GGGGGCGAGGGTGGCCCCTGTCGGGCGCGCCGGGCCGGGCCCGCCCCCCCGTGGGTGAGGTTTATTTTTTTTTCTCCCCCCTCGTTTGCTCCGCCGGTCCGCTTGCCGTTTTTTTTTTTTTTTTTTTTCTTTTCCTAATCTGTTTTATCTTTTATCTTTTATCTTTTGTTTTTCCCTGGACTACATCGACTATTTTAGTAGCTGGCTAATCCTCTTCTCTTTCTAATTTTCTCCAAATTTCACTCTTTCACCTTTTTAGGTTCCTCTGACACTCTTCTGCACCATATGCAGATCAATCAAGCACACTAATCATCTGTTACTGTTGCCATGGCCCCTGATAACGGGCTCCGTCGCCCCTCGGGGTTGTCGGTTGAGCAGGGCGTGGCTACCACCAATGCCGATCAGACTCTGGAGGATATGGGATACAAGCCTGAATTAGCCCGCAATCGATCCGTCTGGCAGGTCACATTCATGTGTTTCATTCTCTCCTCGGTGCCCTACGGTCTCTCTACCACCTTGTACTACCCCCTCGTCGCCGGAGGACCCGCCAATGTCATCTGGGGATGGGTGATTATCTCGTTCCTCATTCTCTGCGTGGCCATCTCCCTGGCTGAAATCACCTCGGTGTATCCGACTGCTGGCGGGGTATACTACCAAACTTTTGTTCTCTCGCCGCTGTGGTGCCGTCGCGTCGCCTCTTGGATCTGCGGGTGGTCGTACGTAGCGGGAAACATCACCATCACACTGGCCGTCAATTTTGGAACCACGTTACTCTTTGTAGCCTGTCTGAACGTGTTTGAGACATCTACTGGTGCAGGCATCATGGATGATTTTGCGACCTATCAGACGTTCCTGCTCTTCTTGGCTATTACCCTGCTGACCCACGCGATCTCGGCATTTGGAAACAAATGGCTGCCCTGGTTGGAGGTAAATTTTTATCTTTGCAATTGAACGTGAGAGTACAAGACTAACGATCGCTTCCTAGACATTCGCGATTTTCTGGACTATGGCCGGGTTACTCGCTATTATTGTCTGTTTACTCTCGATTGCGAAACAAGGGCGTCACAACGCAGCTTGGGTCTTTGGACACTTTGAACCCCAAGCTGGATGGCCTGCAGGATGGTCATTTTTCATCGGTCTTTTACAGGCAGCCTACGCCACCTCGGCAACTGGCATGATTATCTCGTGAGTCTGGATTCCGCGAATGAGGATTGGCCCGTCACTAACCGGCATAGTCTCTGCGAGGAGGTCCGAGAGCCGGCTATCATGGTCCCCAAGGCCATGGTCGGAACAATCGTTATCAACTTCGTCGCCGGTCTGCTCTTCTTGGTCCCCGTCTGCTTTGTGCTGCCGGATCTGGGTGAGCTTGTCGCTTTGGTCTCCGGCCAACCAACCCCCACCATTTTCAAGGTCGCAATCGGGAACAACACGGGAGCATTCTGCCTTTTGATCCCGCTTCTCGTTCTGGGAATTATCTGTGGTGTGGGGTGCGTTACAGCCACATCGCGCTGCACCTGGGCATTCGCGCGCGATGGCGGCATTCCAGGATCCGGCTGGTGGAGCAAGGTACACCCCAAATTGGACATCCCCTTCAACGCCCTGGTTTTGGGAATGGTTGTGGAGATCATCCTCGGCGTGATTTACTTCGGTTCGACCGCGGCATACAACGCATTCTCCGGCGTGGGTGTCATCTTCTTGACCACCAGCTATGCTTGTCCCATCGCCGTCTCTCTTATCTTCCGCCGTCGCGAAGATATCAAAAACGGCAAATTCAACTTCGGCGTATTTGGCTTAATCGCCAATGTCCTTGCTCTGGCTTGGAGTCTTCTTGCCATCCCTCTCTTCTGCATGCCAACCCTCAAGGAGGTCACCCTGGAAAGTATGAATTACGCTTCTGTTGTGTTTGCCGGGTTCATCGCAATTGCTGCAGTCTGGTATGGTGTATGGGGATATCACAATTACCGTGGACCCCCAACAGACGCCGTGGAGCATGATGAGCCATCATCCCCCGTCCATCCTACTTACAATGAGGTTATGCCAAAGAAGCTTTGAGGGTTACATGCCGAGACTATGATCACATCACCAAAAAAGAGCCTATGATTGACATTTAATACCTGAGTGTTTCACAAGCTGTCTAGGTACTCTGAAATACCGCACTCTCATGTGCAGCAAACTATATACCCAATAAAAAATTTAATACCTCGAAAACAAACAGACCGTGTGCATATGACTTTCAAACCACTCATGAGAACCTCTGGGTATAGCGTTCCCGGCAGATGCCTCAGCGAAAAAAAGAGAGGCCTAGGAATTGATGGCGGCAACATGATCGGTTACCAAGCAAGTGAACTCACTGGAGCCATAGTAGAAGGTATTTCCATCGTCGGGTGATAGCCCAGAGCTCAGCGTGTCGCCGTATTGCCAGTATAGATCAGCCGCGACGCCGACGGTGCTCAGGGCTGTCTTCTGCCATGGCGCCTCGATCGCGCAATGATCAGCAGTTACCCCATATTCTTCGAACAAGCAAGGTTTTCCTGCAGCCACACAAGCGGCACCGTGGGATGTGGCCCACCCATTGCCCCAATCATTTGTGGTTCCCCCTGCATACACACATTAGTAAGGTTCAAGGCCTGTCACGACATGGAGGCAGACATACAACTTGAAGGGTAGAGATGGAATGTCGCAAAATCGATGTCATCGATGGCTAGGTTCATCGTAAAGTTGAGGCCTTCTCCGTAACTGTATGGATAGGAGCCATCGGACCCAGTGTCAAGTCCAAAGCCCTCTAGGAGGCAATGTTAGCTAAGAAATCATTGAAAAGCGGGAGAGGGAACGATTCATACCATCGCCAATAGCGACCATATGCTTGGAGTCCAGGGACTTGATATAGGCACTTGTAGTCTTGATCCAGTTGTAAAGAATGGAGACGTCACACCCCTTGCAACGTGGTTCATTTGCCAACTCCCAGGCAAAGACCGCAGGCGAGTCCTTGTATCGGGACACAACCGCCTTGATGTAAGCCTGATAGGCCGTTTGAGCTGCAGTGTTTGTGTACCAACTTGTTTGGCTACCCCCAAACGCCGTGACATAGGCAGCCATGCCACCGTAGTCCGACCAGTTGTTCACAAAGTTGATGATAAGCTTGACGTTGCGGGCTTCAGCAGAAGCAACCACATAGTCCAGGCGTTGCAGGCCGTCCGCTCCAGTGTTGATCGTGGCAGTTCCATCCTTGAGCAGCTGATAGTAGACAGTCCCCGCAGATGGTACGGTGTTCACGTCATTGAATCCCCAAACCCGGAGGATTCGCAGTCCAGTTTCATCCATGTGATCAAAGACCAGATCTACATCATCGTTGTTGGTAAGGAAGCCAATCCAGTATGAATTTGACCCGGCGAAGTAGCTTGTCTTGCCATCAATCTCAAACTGTAGTCCATTGGTGGTAGCAAAGCTCGTCGCACCGGGATTGGCGGCAGTTGTGGTTGCCTTTGTTGTCGTGGCAGTGGATTCGGCGGTAGTCGTTGATGTCGATGGTTTTGTTGTCAAAGTGGTACCCCCGGCAGCAGCTGGAGCGAGAGTTAGCAACTCTATACATTGACACGGGAGTGAGCGATCTAAGGAACTGACATTGTACACATTGACTATACCACTCGTTTTGGTACTGACAGGTCCAGCCTGAGGCACATGTGGTGGGGCCGGAGTAGCCACTTCCCCCACACTGGCTGTAACCGGCGGCTTGAGCAGAGACCAGACCGGACAATGCCAGGAATGTGAGTTGCTTCATTGTCTCCAAGGCTCGACACGAAAGTTAAACGTTTCAAGGTTGAACACTTGTGGTGTTGTTGACTGTACTCAGAGAAAGAAGAATATTTATATTCTAAAGTTCCTCTGTCGAGTACACAAAACTGAAGCCGAGAACGGCAGCGGTCCGCCTTGGATTAGGAAGTGAAATTCTTCCATCGAGTGAGGGCCACCAGACCATTGCGTATCCTGGGCAGCCACCTGGGCAGGACTTTACCCTCCGTGATGCATGGGGAATGATTGAGGAGGCTGGCCTCACCCCAGGTACCCCACGATTCGGAAAGGAAGGAGCCGGTGAGGGTTAACATGAGATTTGGCAGTTACGTGTGGACGTTAACCAAAAGCCAGAGCTGCATGATTAGATTGCGGTCGCGGGGAAGCCCCCCGCTAGGAACACAGGGGAATTAAGAGCCACGCTTGTCTCGATTCGTCAAGGCGTTGCGGCCGCGTACCTGAAGAATCCATTTGGAACGCGGTCAGGATATCATCACCGCCACCAGGACGTTGAATGGCTCTTCCGGCTCATGCAGGTGCTCTCATATACCGTTAGGTATGTGCTGAACTCGAATCGTTCTTTATAAAAAAGTCGAGACACGCATGTGTGTGTGTGTGTGTGTGTGTGTGTGTGTGTGTGTGTGTGTGAAAGTTGATGGATGATAGGACGGCGTATTGCCTGACAGGGTATCTGCTGATGTTTCATCCAGCCAATGGAAAAACTGAGCCCCATCACTTACACCCATGATTTCTTCCCCATTGTGGGCCGGGATACCACCAAATGCCGGCGAGCCACCTACGATACCAGTCGTGTGTACGGCTTGACGGGGTCGACAGAGCACTTCGCTTAGCGAACAAGCTTTCGGAGGTAACCATCCTCGGTATCTCACGGGCTCCGTTAATTTCAAACATCTCGGATGTTGAGGGTCTAGATGGAGGCGACTTCGCGTCGTGTACGGAGTACGCTGTACCGCATATCGTAGCTCGCTACCTGATTCTGAATTGTCGGGACACGTCCGGAACCAGTGCACCATTTCACCCCTCGTTTTCGCGGTTCAGTCAATCAACTGAGCGGGTTCTCCAGCCGAGATTCACCCCGACTTGGCACGGGGATTATCTCAGAACAGTGGCCCAATAGGGTGGAGAAGCCGGAGTAGTGCTATTCCGAGAGGGCAGACACATACTGATACTCGTAACTATGGAGTGCTCCGTACGAGTATACGAGTATGGAGGAGAACCTCATCGTCTATCATTCTTGGCCCCTGGATAAACTCTGGGTAAATTGAGACGTGGAAGACCAAGGGCGGGATGGAAACTACGGGGACTTGCTCTGGTGGAGTGCAAGGAACCCGAGTATGTACTCCGCAGCTTGCAATTACCTAAGGAATATTGACTATTCCGCAAGTGCCTATTGGACATTATCTCTCAATAGTGAGCGAATCTGTCGTCTTGGACCTGCCTAGAAAGGTTACATCAAGGGGGTTGCGGTATACCCCCCTTACAAGTATACTCGTACATAACCTGCAACATGAGATCACCGTTGTACAAAAATTACTCGAAACATTTCCTCGTAAAATCTAGAAGTAAAATCATCAGTAAAATCAACGAACAAAAGACAAACTCTGCAATGACGTATGGGCGCCGGGTGTGGCGCGGGACGAAAACTCGGCATCGGCTTCGGAATGCAACTACACACTACGCATTTCGGAGCACACCGTACGGAGTAAACGCTACGTGACTGGTGCCAACGTGCGGGATTATATCGGAATCCTGGGGCTGAAGGGCCTGCATTAGTGCATATGCCTCTTCCAATGCAACCAGCATGTGGGATTAGAAATCTCAGGGGGTCACCCCCAGACTCCGCATTTCCCCTCCTGCCCGGCTCTGGAGATGACATGGCCTCCGGGGATGTTTTCACCGGGACACCGATCGGGTATGAGTTGGGTTTGAGTCCGGAGAGAAACCGGAGAAGGGGCCTGGGGTCGGAATACTCGGGATTTCGCTGACACACGGCCCACCGCGTTTTCTCCAGACTTCCAGAAGGATTTATCCGACTGCGCACCCAAGCCCAGCAGCAAAGAATGCAGCGTGAAATGCGAACCACACGGGGAAGTCCAATAAGTCTCTCGGCTCCGAAACGGTTGAGCCTTCCATCGTGAACCTTACCAACTTCTGATGGCGATCAACGTGCTCTCGTGTACGAGTACTGGGCTGCAACGCGGGTCGGATTTGCCACTGCCCGACCTCGACCTCTCCGGGCAATCGGCTATCCGCTTGAATGGCGAACCACAGCCGATGACCACATGGAACCTGCCCTGTATGGTCGTTTCGCCTGCGTGTGGAGTGGCTCCGGGCCGTGCGAGTGTCGGCTTCGGCCGGCTTGTTGCCTGTTGGTTGGCTGTCATCCTCGTTGAAGCGCACAGCATACGGCGGACATCGTCATCTCGCACGACTCGTCTCTCCATCGTCCCCTCTCCACTTCGTCTGGAGTGGATTGGTTCACCTTTGGAAATTATTATTATTATTTTTTTCTTCGAATTTTTTTCGAAAATTTCCAGGATTCTTTCTCACTTGGTATCCCAGCTGCCGATCTACAAAAGGGCCCCTATTCCCCCATGTTCCCCAATGTTTGTTCCCCATGGGCTTGTTTCCCTCTATCTTTTCTATTCTTGACCTATTCCATCATTTCTTTTGAGCTGGTCCTCAAATCTCCCTTCCTGTCTATATGAACCTTGAACGTGAGAACACGCATCTATAACTTTTCATCACACAACATGGGTATCGAAACTTCTGCCCATCATGGGGAGTCAATCACCCCGGCCCAACAGCCAAACATTGAGTCCCCTTACCAAAGCAGCCTGGAGCAGAAGCCGATGCGACCTGCTGGCCTTGAGACCCCAATTCCTCGAATTACCATGCGGTCCCTCTTCATGGCCCTCTTCGTGTCCATGGGAGGTCTGCTCTTCGGTTATGACACTGGCCAGATCTCCGGATTCCAAGAGATGAGCAACTACCTGCAACGTTACGGTGAACCCGACTCGAGTGGAGATTACAAATTCAGCACCGTGCGTTCTGGTCTCATCGTCGGATTGCTTTCCATCGGTACTATGATCGGTGCCCTGGCTGGTGCCCCCATCGCAGATAAATTGGGCCGCAAGTGGTCCATTACCCTCTGGTGCATGATTCTCAATGTGGGCTTGATCGTGCAGATCTCTTCCCCCGATGGTCACTGGTATCAGATGGTCGTTGGCCGTTGGGTCACTGGTCTCGGTGTCGGTGGCTGCTCGCTCGTCGTCCCCATGTACCAGGGTGAGAGTGCTCCTCGTCACATCCGTGGTGCTATGATCAGTTGTTACCAGCTGTTCGTCACCCTTGGTATCTTCTTGGCTTATATTATCAACTTGGGTACTCATCACATGGATGGTACCGGTCAATGGCGCATCACCCTGGGACTGACCTTCCTCTTCGCTCTTATCCTCGGTGGCGGTATGCTATTCTTCCCGGAGAGTCCTCGTTTCGAGTTCCGCCATGGAAAGGCCGAGAGTGCCCAACGCACTTTGTCCAAGCTCTATGGTATCCCTGAAAACCATGTTCGCATCTTGGAGGAGATGGATGAGATTCGCGAGCAATTTGAGGCTGAGTCTGATGACCAGAAGTGGCACGAATTCCTCACTGCCCCTCGCATGTTCTACCGAATTGTCCTGGGAATGGCTCTGCAGTCACTTCAGCAGCTCTCCGGCGCCAACTACTTCTTCTACTATGTAAGTTTTGACAATCACCTTGGCTTTAACCTTTTGGTTGAAATATATGGATGGCTAACCAAACTTCGTTCAACAGGGAACTACTATCTTCGAAGGCGCCGGTATCTCCGACAGCTTCATCACTCAGGTTATTCTCGGTGCCGTGAACTTTGGTACCACATTTGGTGGATTGTACGTCGTGGAGAACTTTGGTCGTCGCAAGTCTTTGATCTTCGGAGCTATTTGGATGTTTGTCATGTTCATGATTTTCGCTTCCATTGGTCACTTCGTCCTCGACGTTAAGAACCCCACAAACACCCCGAACGCAGGAAAGGGCATGATCGTTGTGGCATGCTTGTTCATTGCCGCTTATGCTATGACATGGGGCCCTATGGTTTGGGCCATTGTCGCAGAGCTCTTCCCCTCCAAGTACCGTGCCAAGGGTATGGCTATTGCGACCGCAACCAACTGGCTCTGGAACTTCTTGATCAGTTTCTTCACCACCTTCATCACCAACGAAATTGACTTCGCCTATGGATACGTGTTCGCTGGTTGCCTCTTCGTCGGTGTCGGAATTGTCTACTTCTTCGTCATTGAAGGCAAGGGTCGTACCTTGGAAGAACTTGACTGGATGTACGTCAACAAGGTCGTTCCCTGGAAGAGCAGCGACTACGAAATCCCCGAGCGCCACCAAGACTGGATCGCGGATGAAAACCCGTACGGTCGCAAGGAAGAGCGTGCCATGCACACTGAGAACGCATAAGCGCTCAATGATTCTAATTCAACTCACCTTTCCTTCTCTTTTTACGGTCGGAACTTCGGTCTCCTTGCATGTCTGCACAACGTGAGACTACCTCGGGCCTGGCGTACTGGGTGGCATTTTTGTGCGGATCGTTTTTTGTACATTTACTGAACTTTCATATACCTCTTTGCCTTCATATAGAATATAGATCAAACTATCAGCTTTTATTTTCATCTGAACTTCACTGGTGCTTAGTTAAGAAGGTAGGACGGTGGCAGAAAAGTGGCTCAATCTTGAAGATAGGACTTTTCAATGTACACTTGTGGGCACGGTATAAAATGTTGATGACACGTCTAGAGTATGTTGGCGCCCCCATAATTTCGATCTCCATCACTCCAACTTTTCTGATTGGACATCTTCGCGCTGCCAAACCAGGTAAGAAGCCCTTTCAAACACCGAGGAATGGGTAATTCTCACCTCAGAATTGTTTACTCTCATTCACAAATCATATGTTGACCCCAATTTCCCCGAAACTGCATTTCCCATACGCCGATTATGGGCGCGAAAGAGGATGATCTGTAGCACCACAAGCAGTAACCCCGACAAAACCAAAGCGATCATTATGATCAATCCCCGGGGATAACTAGTAGAGTATACATTAGTACTCGATAGGACCCAAAATGAGAACAATGACATACAGCGAGCTGGATTCGTCACCTCGGAAGATTTGAGTGCCTGCCATCAATCCAGCCGTAGCCGACATGACAACTACACCGAATCAGCAAAGGAGCGTTGAACGGAAGAAAAAACACCTACACATGCTGGTGATCGCCCAGAAAAATTAGTATATCTATGCAGAATGGATACAGGACTGGAGACTCACGCAACACTTATACTTCTCTCTTCGGCGGACTTGCAATTGATTTGAATCCAAGCATTGTGAATCGGGTGATATCCCACAGCGAAAGCATTGACGGTAGTCCATAACCCAAACTTGCCCCATTTATCGACATGCGTCTGCAAGACCCTGAGGAGCACCAAAGCAACCAAGTATACTGAGATAGCGATCAGGACAACTAGGCCTCTCTTCTTTAGTACATCACTCATCCAGGCAAAGCAAAAAATGACGGGAAGAGTAAGAAGGCTGCCTATTGCAGCCAGGGCATTCGCTTCAATGGGTCTGAATCCAAGCTCCATGATGATACTTGGAGTGTATGTAGTAAGTGGGCTCCATGTTGAGAACACACATGCGGTGGCGATGAAATGGGGCCATTTTTGTACATTCGTCAATGTCTCCCATATCAACCGGGGGGATATGTGAGGTCGGTGACGATCTGGTGAAGGTAGATCTAGGGATCCCGACTCTTGGTCCTTCGGAATGGGGTAATTTTCCCTCTTTTCAGGAAGGCCGTAAAACAGAATAATAGACATGACAATAGCAAATAGACCCTCCACTGGTTCTGATCAGCGAACTTTCATACATCCAGGGGATTGTTTGAAAAAAGAGAAGAGAGGGGGTGAAAAATATCAGACTTACCTAGGAAGATCCATTGCCAACCGAAAAGGCCACCCTTCCCCTCTAGTTTTAAGAGGGCAGCTCCAAGTAATGGGGAAATGGCAGTACCACCAAACATCCCGAAAAAGAATATGGCAATTCTTTTCGTTAATTGATTTGCATCGTACCACGTAGAAAGCGTATACATCGCGCCTGGAATGTACCCTGCTTCAGCGAGGCCTAGTATCGATCTCGTCACGAGAAAGCCCACTTTGTTTCGCAGAAAAACCTGTAAACAGGCTACGAGACCAAAGATAAAAACCTGCCCGCCTATCCATCGGCGAGCACCTATCTAATTCGGTCAGTAAGACCAGTAGTATAGGCCGATAGATACGAAGTACCTTGTGTAATACCATGTTCGATGGAATCTCCAATATAATAACACCCAAAAACATCAGTTGATTTCCCAAATTGATGGTGTTCTTATCCACCGAGATAATCCTCGCAAAGTCACCCGTAAGAACACTCCCAATATTCGTCCGATCAAGCTGATAGACGGCGAAACCGACTAGCAGAAGAGGCAAAACTCTGCGATCGGCTCTAGACGTTTGTCAACCGTGTTAGATGAACAGCATATCGATGGAGCTTGAAATTTGGGACTTTACATTTTTTGATTGTGTTCAGGATTTATATGGCCACAATTGTCGGTTTTTGCCTGGCCATGGATCTCAACATCGGTGTTGTCATCCATTGTGATGTCCCGATCAGTGTCAAATATTTCATCCAACAGAAGAAGTTTAAAGTTTAAATCTTAGTGACTTTTCGAGAAGCGAGTTAAGATATCGAAACAAATATTTTGGCTTTCTTTTAAATCTCCTGGGGACCTTGGAGGCTGTTGCAAAAGTTGAAGACCTTGGTGGTGATAAGAACATCTAAATGAAAATCCGGGGATGTTAGTCCCCTCATACAGTAGATCTACAGAGTTTACCCGTCATATTTAAATCTGCCATTGTAAATCTACCATTTACTGTTTGCGCACAGGGATAGTTCAAAGTTCTCAAGAGGCATCACATTATCAAATTATCGTTATGGAGCAGTTCATATTCATCCATCACATTATGCCACAGGCCAAAATTTCATCCATTCATCTCCTTCATCAATTATATCGGGGTCGCAGTTGATGCGAGTCTACCTTGGTATCCCCGAGTCCGATCTCGACTATGACTCGGGCATAGACGGGCGTGGGGCATCTAGACGTGGCATCGAATGATGGCGCCGTTGAGGTTGACCGGAGTAGCCTGGCCGGCATTTCCATCGAGGTCCGCAAAGGACTTGTCATTTGTCAAGGTGGCAATGGTGACTCCGTTGTTGATAATCACGCAGTTGATGTTCACCGGGGCGACATTGAAAAAGGCAGAGCTCGCCTTCACTGTGCCACCTGCCCCAACAGGGGTGCTGCCATAAAGAGCGAAGATGCTCCTGTCGGTGTTGTCAGGCTGGAAGGTCGCAGTACCAGTTGCACCGGACTGGTCGTTGGAAAGAACCACAGAGACTGTGCTTGCCTGGCGAGCCTCGAGGGGTGCGGCAGAGACGGCGACTGCCAGCAAAGAGACAATAGCGGAGATGGTGAACTTCATGGTGAAAGTATAAGTTAGGATTCTTGAGTTGAATCTAGAAAGTTGAGTATAGAACTTCGGAGTCTTCGGAGGATATTGAGAGGGAATTGAGTGTCTTGTGTTGAGTGAGTAAAGCATTCGAAGAGGGCCCCGGGGATGCTCTTTTATATTCATTCTAAGTCTTCCAAGGTTCCCCAGGGCTTTGCCTGAATCGTCACCCAGGGTCGTATCGTCTGCCTAGCCTACCTATTCTTAGAAGATCAGGCTGCGAAGCATCCAAGAGATCCTGTTAGACTTGCTGGCTAGAACCCCAGATTCCCAAAACCGAGGCACTGCAGGCGCAGTTCGTATAGAGGTCAGGTGAAGTGTTCACTTCACCCAGGCCCCTCTCCTAATAAGCTAACGGTTTTTTATGTAAATTAAGATATTATTGTAATTGTTTCTATGATCCGCTCTTACTGCCCTGCCATGAAGATTAAGGATAACCTTGGAAGATACGAAATATTCTAAAGTTCTATCATGAACCTTCAAGGCGCGGCGAAGCGATCATGGATTCCCCCCCGGGCCGGCGGTTGAAAGCATGGTCTCGCGGTTTACATCCTACAGGGCTATTATGATCTACTCCAGTGAATTAGAATCAATTTGCCGGAGTACTTGTACATTGTCAGACATCAGGCATCCCATGGCTTTCACTTGAGCATGAAATTGATGTCGCATCGACTGGAAGTAACACACGACGCATTCCTCTTTTTTTTCATGTAGGCTCATGCACTGAGATGATTATCTGTTTCTACAGTTACCGACTTTTTGGTGGCTTTCAATCAACTTACAAATCACTTCATGCTGTATTATCATGTACTCCACAAACATATTCTCCAAAACAGGCTGGAGATTGCCTAGCCATAAGCCTCGCATAGATGGTTTTCACCTGAAGCAGGACATTTATCCATGGATGGAATATGATATCACAAGTATACATGAGAATCCAAATTAAGTTGACATGGGGATCAGGCACGTCTGGTACTCGATCTTGGGGTTCTCAATGGGGGTCTTGGCGAGGACTGACCCCAGGGCTGAAATCTTGGAAGTAGAAAAACCGGGGGCGATGATAAAATTGGAACACGAAGCTGGGGCTAACGTCATGTTAACGAATACGAAGAGGCGTTTTAGGGATGTAGGTGTAGTCGTAATACGCGGGGCTCATTGTTGCGCCCGTATTTCATCGCCCGATGTCTCACCATGTCATACAGAGTACGAAGTAGCTCAGTACATGTTGTTTTTGGGGAACCGTAAGTTTGGAAAGCCTTGAGGTCATTCCGACACAAAAAGCCGCATTTAAATCGATCAGGGCCATCGAGATCATCAGGTTCATTGTTTTCTCTCGTTCATTCTATGCAGCATCAAGATCAAGGTACCCCGTATCCGGTCGCTTTTTGTGCAACTTTGTCTGACTACTCCGTACAGCAGTCAAAAAAATCGAGCTTTGGAAGCGAAAATTGTGGAGACTTGAATTCAATATTGAAGGTCTATTGAAAGCTTCGTACGAGTAGCTCTTTGATCGCCGCTTGTACGGATCTGGCGGCCACAGCCGCGCCATCTCATCTCACATGCACGATATACTCTAATGAGCCTATAATGCGATGGAGTCTGCGCCCTGGAGCCCATAATTGCTTTTTACCCCAGAGCTCAACTGATGTCCTAAATCTAGCACCTGCTTGGTATTTGGGCTCGAATCACCTTCCAAGTTGGAATTTAACCACAGGGGTTTACGGTCTGTTTCGGTCGGTATTGGGCTATAGCGCATCGAAGTCAATGCGTCGTCTGGTAGTCCCGATGCGAACTTAATGTCAGTGCATCTACAAGGTTGCTGGGTCGCCTTTACGGTCAAGGCAAAGAACAATGCCTTGACTTTTCCATACGACCGGTAACAAGTAGACACAAACTCAAACGGAGATATAATGAATTGACAAAAACATTCACTGCGCACGATGAAAATCTTGGAACAGAAGGGAGGAAGGGGCAAATAATGGGAGAGAGATTTAGCGGTAGTCTTGGACAATCTGGGCTACTGAGGTGATGATGATCCCATCGGACTCTCTCTCCCGTCAACTTTTGCTTCTCTTTTCTCTCCCGGTTGACTCATTAAGCTCTGATAGATACACTTCAAATGAAGTTACCACTGCCCGAGCAGCGAGAAAGAGGGAACTCTTTCTTTGAGCACATTGTGATCGCACCAGATACCCATTTCACACCTGCGTAGGATCCATCTTCAAATGAATCAGCGGAGAAAGTACCAGTTTGCGTCTGCGAGCCAAGACAGCCCTTCATGACTCGGCCACTCTTGCGTGTCTTGATGGGCTTGGTAATCATGACACCGGAGTATCCATTGGGGACAGTTGCCTTCACAGTCACCGCAGTTTGAGTAGTCCATGTGCGAGTGTAGGTGATTCCAGTAGAAGCACCCAACTTGTCCTTGATCAAGGTGAGGTCGGCACCGGCGCTAACAGCAACAGAATTGCTGACAGTGTATCCGGACATGACAGATACATCAATGCCGCTTCCAGTGCCAATCACAACGGGAGACATCTGGACATCCCAGTCAACAAATGTCTGGGTTTTGTCGACAATGACTGCGGTGGTCAAATCGCAAGAGTCACGTTGTTGAATGTCGGAAGTATTACGGGGAATAGTCTGGCCGTCAGCAAGTGAGTCAACGACCTCTGGTGCGGAGTCGGACAGTCCTTGCGAGGATAGTATATCATGATAGACGCTTTCATGTACAACCTCCACTGGAAGATGGTGGTCAGTATTATTTCCCGTTATTGAAGTCATTCAACTCATGTAACCTACTGCGCCCCTCGCCGTAAAGAATAACTTCATCCGGTTGAAGAACATGGTCCGGAGTCCACTTAATGCTGTCGCGAATTTGCTTTGCCACAGGTGTGGCAGTGACAGCTGTGGTCATCAAAAGACCCAAGAAATTGACCAGAAGCATCTTCGAGAAATGAGAAATGAATTAGATGAGCGGGAGAGGTGAGATGGTTGCGGATAGCAGGAAGCTACAGGGCAAAGCCCCATCTAAATACACAACGAGACAACAGATTAGGCAAACCGCAGGATTCAGACCATTGGCATGACCCACGAACCTGCATGAATCCCTTGAAGAGAATTGTGGATATCGCCCACGGGTACGGGGTGATACCTTGCGGGCAAGATGTGTATAGACGCTGCTCCGACGTGGAGCGAGATAAGAATTACCCTCAAGTCGTTCGTAGATCTGTTCCTGAATTTAATTTACCGGCGAATAGGATGCAAGCGTGGTGTTCGATTTTGCTTTATCCTCAATTCCCATGGATGCTACGCCCTACACACCCTAAAAATACCCAAACGCGCCACTCATCGGCTTCTGTGTATCCAATGAATTCAGCACGACCGTTAGGCTTTACTCAGTGATCTTCGGCTTTACAAAAGCTAATTATATAGGGCAATTTCCGAGGTTTGGGGGGTAGTGACAGTGTATGGCTGTAGCCGAGATGCCCCATCAGGATTGGGACTCGAGAGGATTTAGTTTGATACAATGTCTCAACTTCGCCCCCTTAACCCCAGCAAAAATCCCCGGATAGATTGTTCACCTGACCATCATTTCCATGGTTGGATGATTGAGTTGGTTGGATATTCAGCTTTCTTTCTGATTTTCCCGAGGTTTCCCCTGATCTACGGCGTGGCACCCCTGATGCGGCAGCCGTTAGCACCAATGTTAAAGTTTGAGACAATCAGGATCAAACATGACCCATTGGTGCATGCAACATGTGCGCTAGGAAGCCAATTTACCCAGAAGTACGAGTAGATTTCGCGCAGAGTCGACCTTCTATATCAAGTGCTATAGGCATCCATTTGATATCAGATAGACCAAATTCACCAAACGATTCAGACTTAAGTACAGAGTTGTGACTGATTCTTTTAGTTTCACATCTCTCTCGCGACCAAGTTTCTCAACTTCAGCTGGAATATTTTCTTGTCGACTTTTCAAATACCCGCAGTACAGACAGCTTGATCATGTTGTTCTCTGCTGTGTCTTTCGTTCTCTTGCTTGCTGGAGGGTAATGACAACATCCTAGTTCCTGGAATGAGTCTTGATCGATGACTGATATCATTCTTTGTTACTTTACAGAGCAGTAGCAGATCTGCACAATGTTGCAGTCTGCGTGACCGGTAGAAAATACTCGGAGGTGGGCGGCACGCCATTCAGCGTTAGCTACACCTGGTCCAAAGATTACGAGATTCTCCCAGATGCTACCAAGTGTGCATGTGATCTGTACAAGCAGCGCAACACGGGCGACAAGCAATGGGATCAGTGCCCTGACTGTACCTTCGTGAGTGATTATCTTTCCAAGTGCCTTATTGATCTAAAGCTTACTTGACCTAGGATGGTAACTACTGCAACTCTGCGGCTTGGCACATTGGAGGTGACGAGGTAAGTTGGGAGGCAAGAATGAACATTGTGATTGGATATTAACTCAGGTTATAGATGACATACTACTGCGAGAAGATGTGTCATGCTCAAGGAGCAGAGGGCAACTAGCCAACGCTCGGCGAATTGAGTCCATGAGCCATGGAAGTTGCCCATTTTACCATATGTCTCTATGGAATGTCCAGCACCATCTTTCGGGCGAAGTTTCAAGCAGAAATCGAATCGCACTCGCTTGATGTTTCCATCATGCTGACAGTTTGATGACATTTGAAATTGACGGGCAATGTTTGATGCCTCATCTTTAGAATCGAAGACATACTAGAACATTAAGGCAAGCCAGCGGTATTGAATTCAGATCGGAATATCTCGTCCATCGTGGTTAGCAATTGAAGCCGGCTAGTATTTTTGACTCACTTCGTGAAAGGCTCCCTGTGCATAGAACGATGAAGTGATGTATGATATTTTGTAGTCGATTTCCAAGCAGCATACATAAAGAAAGGGTGTTGTGAACTGAGAAGAGTGAGTCTTCACAGAAGGAACGATCGCTTGGTACCTGAGGCAGCAATCCATCAGACATCCACCAACGCTGGCACTTCTAGTCTCTCTCCCCCTTCTTCCACTTTCACTCCCCAGTTTAGTCTTTTGAGACAGAGCCACACAAAATGCAGATCTTGCAGTTTACCAGCCTCACAGAAAGGAGTTCGAAACGAACAGAAAGACAGAAAATACATCGAAAAACGAAGAGCTCCAGGCCAGAAGTTAATGCGGGGATCATCCCCAGAGTGGCTGTAGTGGGTTTTGCTCAAAATGTTGTAGAAGTGATCATGTGCGGTTCCGCACCGCTCGGGTTACTTCGTGGCATTGACGTAGATATCAGTTTTAGCGTCTTGGCACAAAGAAAAAGACAAGTGTTCGGTTGAACTTCACTCCTCAAGGGACCAAGAAACGCGTACATTGTACAAATTCACGCCCTGCCTCAGCAAACCAAAGTCGCAATCATGCAGGAAAAATGGAACAATGCAGACAACGGATTGCAAATTGAACTGATTACCGAAGCCGACGATATCACACAAAGCTTGGATTGCGTGTGCGAGGCATTTGGTCGCCAGGCAAAGGATGGTGTTTGGATTGCCATGAATCCTGGCTGGGATACCCCCGAAGGCAAGATGCGCGGGGCCTCTCGTATGGTTGATCGCTGGCGCAGCACAAGCAAAGATACCGCGGGCAACCCAAACACAATGTTTCTGAAGGCTACCCTGCCAAGCCTGCAGGACGCAGGAAAGCGAGATGCTGTCGGCTTTGCGATTTGGGTCCAGGCCTCCAGCGTTGAGGGGCATGGCGAGCCCCAAATAGAGGAATCTGAAACCTCGGCGGACCTCACAGACATCTATCCCGAGGATCAGTCGGAACGCCTTTATCTTTCTCAGGTCATGTCCTCACTGCATCGCCGCCGCAGAGAAGTGGTTGAGGAAGCGAAAAGCGCGGTGCCTCCGGCACTATTTGTTTTGGACCTTTGCGCCGTGGATCCTGCGCACCAGCGGAAAGGAATCGCCAAACAGTTGGTTCAGTGGGGTCTCGATGAATCTTTGCGACGCGGAAATCTCGAGGCTATCACGGAAGCATCTAGCATGGGACGCCATGTTTACGAAAAGATGGGATTCAAACCCGAAGGTGCAGACATTGTGTATTCTGTAGATAACGAGTTTGCTTCGCGGACGAGACCAGCCAATGTATTCATGCGGACGCGTGGGACTGTTTAGAAAACTCCAAGCTTCAAGTCTTGGCGCGATCTGAACCCAAAAGGTCAGACTGCTTCTTGTTTGGCCAATTCAATACTATTGTATGCGCAAAAAGTCCGCAGAGACAGATGTCTCCGGGACAAAATCATTGGTGATCAACCGGCCTACGGCACCATTTAAGTACCTGCAAGGCCCAGTTCATCTGCTGGAGCCAAATACGTGAGACAATCATCAATGATGGCTTGGTGATTCATATTGCGAGATTTTCTGGGCGAGCATCCTAAATGAGCATAAAATGAATGTCGAATAAAATAGGAAACATCGGGATTTTCATGTCATCATTGAAGTTTGCCAAAAGTGGTCCTCTCGAATGCAACATACTCGCCTATCCACTCACTCAGTCATTAGCTCGGCAGAAGGCATTCGGCAATCAAGTTCTGAAAGGCGAGGGCTCTGGATCATAAATTGTCGAAACATGCCAGCGGGATGGGTATGTTTGCCGAGAAAACTTCGAACGATCGTCAGATGGGTGTAGGATCAATAACTTTCATCATCGTTGAAATCATGAGGACAGTATTTCGCATCACCTGACAACGGGGATGAATTTTAGCATGAGCTTTCTTCCGCGCGGCAGTGAGATAAAGGCATAATCCTGCTCTATGCCTTCATCATCTATGATGACCGTCGTGTAATTCGAGTACACAGCTGCCATGACCAGTTTGATTTCTATTCCATTAGCCTTGATTTGGACATTCATCAAGAGGGGATCATACCTTGCAATGCAAAATTACTTCCCAAGCACATGCGACCACCGCTCCCAAAGGGCCAAAATAGACGCCTCATATTATGAATTCTATCACCGGCCTCTAACCACCGTCGAGGAAGCCACTCCAGCGGGCGAGGGAAAACCTCGCCAATGCGGTGCAAAGAGTAGGCGGTTGAACTGACCTTCACGCCCCCTGGGATACTGTCATGTCCATGTAGGGAGGTGCCTTCTTTCGTGTCCGGTGTCACTCGAGGAAGTTGGGCCGGGGCTGGTGAGTGAATGCGAAGCGTTTCGCGGACCACAGCGTCTAACAGCGGAAGGGCATCAATGGCGGAAGGCGAGGGGAGCGACTGGGCTCTGTCTTTATCGAAGCTTTCCAGAGACGGCGATAAGCCAAGCAGCTCGCTTCGAAGCTCTGATTGAAGCTCCGGGTTTTGGGACAATTCCCACATCATATACGTAACAGTGATGCCCGTAGTTTCGTGGCCTGCAACAAGGTGATCGAGCAGTTCAGAGGCAATTGCCAATTTCAACGGACGGTGGTCGTGATCCTTTTGGACAATGAGGCTCTGGCGGAGCTGTTCGAAGACGACTGCATTCGTAGATAGCGATTCCCCACCGTCTCCCAAATTGGTCTTATCTCTGGAGACCTCCGCCTGCTCACAGAGCCCAATGCACCATCGCTCGATGAAGCCCATATACCGGTCCCCACGGCTCATATACTTGAAGCGCTCATACTCCTCAAGCCATACCTTCCATTCCGGAATGCTCAACGAATACTTTGTCCCGTGGCGCAGGCCGAAAAGGAAGGAGGAAGTGAAATCCATCCCAACAGCTTGGAACAGCGGCAGTACATTCAGTACCTCTTGATTATCACCAGCCTCCTTGAGTATTGGCATCAGGCGCGCATGCAATATCTCTTTGGAGATCAAGTGTAGATCATCGGACTGCTGGAGAGACGATTTCGAGTAGGTCTTGCTCAGCATGCGCTTTTGGTGCGCGTGTGGCGCATTGTGCAGCATTCCGACCATATTTTCGGCATTGAAATTGACGAATACATCGTTATAAAAGGCATGTTTCTCAAACGCGCCCGTATATATAATTTTCAGGCCATGAAGTGAATTCACACTTATCTCATGGGGGCCGAGACGAACGATGGGGCCGTGTTTTTGATGTTGGGAGTAGATGGCTAGAACTTCCGTGCCTGTGCTGCGTTTGTGGTCGATCCACCTGCTGGAGAGGGGCGATGTTAAATGCGCATTGGGAATTGAGGATAGCGGGGAAAGGAAGTAGGGGGTTATGATGCGATGGTATGTGAGGTAAAAGAGGTAAAAGACAAGGGCAGCGAGGAGAAGAATGAGAGAAATCATCGTGCGTGACAGACTTCAGGAAGAGAAACTCAGTCCCAATCAAACATTGCGCATTTCAACTGTTGACAGGTCTCTTGTCATCCCTGGCGTGGCAATACCGACGGATGGTGGAGCCGCAATCAACACGAGGCCTTAGTCCACGCCAAACTGTAGGGTCCGCTCTTGACGGCCGAGGAGACAAGCACAGTGGTGACAAAAGTTTCATGCATGCAGCTAACATGCAAACTCTGAGATGTGGTCCACTTGATGCGGCTGGCTTGCGATTTTTATGACAGCACCCTTCACTCTGTAAACTTAGATTGAGGCATAATCTTTCGTTGTATTTGCCATCCACCTGGCGCTATGCCTGCCAGCAAACAAAATTCAACAGTCACAATGTCGATGGGTGTGGAAAATCTGCATGAAGGGCATGTTGCCCCGAAATAGCGCGGTACACTCGCCGACCAGGCCGATATGAGCGTGTTGGGAAGAGATCAAGTCCTGCGGGTACGTCGCTTGATAGAAATTTGCAGCCTCGCTAACTTCCCAGCGAAACTTCCGATATGTTTCGATTGTAGAGTTTGGCTGCACACTTATCGCGACGTGGGAGGTTATTTTGACGTGGGATTCCCTCCAGCCCCTTTGGGTCAATGGCTGATCGTCTAGTTTGCTGGAGCAAGGCCTGACAGATGGAGGAACTGCCGGGCTGATTTGGGGGTTCCTGGTGGTTGCTGCTGGATTTCTATTGGTCTTTCTGAGTCTGGCTGAGATGGCATCCATGTAAGTTGATTCGAGTAAACGTGCACTTCAGGTCTAATGTCGAAGGGCTCCCACATCCGGCGGCCAGTACCACTGGGTATCGGAATTTGCCCCTCCTAGCTGTCAGAAGTTTCTCAGCTATATCACTGGTAAGCATGTCTCCTCCTCGCAGGCTAGACTAACAGTGTAGGCTGGCTGTGTGCCATGGGTTGGCAATGCGCTATTGTTTCAATTGCCTATCTGGCAGGGACCATAATCCAGGGTCTCATCGTGCTGAACCACCCAGACTACAACTTCCAGCGGTGGCACGGTACCCTGTTGGTGATCGCCATTACCTTGTTTTCCATTATCTTCAACACATTCCTGGCCAAGCGATTGCCGTTCGTCGAAGTCTTGATTCTCATTTTGCATGTTTGTGGCCTGTTTGCTATCATTATCCCATTATGGGTTCTTGGTCCTCAACGTAGTGCGAAGCAAGTGTTCACCGAGTTCAACAACGGTGGAGCCTGGAACAGTGCCGGGACTGCCACGCTCGTTGGGTTTTCGACAACCATCACGGCACTGATCGGGTATGATTGTGCGGTGCATATGTGTATGTGTCTTCATCCCTGTGGTTAGGTTTCTCTGACGGTGTGCAGCGGAGGAAATCAAGGATGCATCGGAAACCCTGCCAAAGGCGATGATCACCTCGGTCTGTGTGAACGCTGCTTCTGGATTCCTGATGCTGGTGACGGTATGCTTCACGCTAGGCGACATTGACGATATCTTGGCCACTCCGACCGGTTACCCTTTCATGCAGGTCTTCTTCAACGCAATGAAGAGCCTACCGGGCACCAATGCCATGACTGCCATCCTGGTTCTGACCCTCACAGCGAGCACAATTACCGAAGTCGCCACCGCATCCCGCCAACTGTGGTCATTCGCGCGTGATCGTGGCCTGCCCTTTTCTGACTTCTTCGGATATGTATGTCGTTATCCGTCCAGGCTCGAACACACTACTAACCGTATCAGGTAAACCCCGGGTGGAACATTCCCTTGAATGCTGTGATGGTCTCTTTGGCAGTGACAGTCCTCCTGTCGTTGATTAACATCGGGTCGACAACCGCGCTTCTCGCGATCGTGACCCTGACAATCGGCGCTATGATGTCTTCATACATCATCACAATCTCCTGCCTGCTACTGCGACGTCTGAGAAAGGAACCTCTCCCGCCACATCGATGGACACTCGGCCGCTTCGGCATGGCAATCAACATTGGGGCGCTTTCCTTCTTATTGCCCGTGTTTGTGTTCGCTTTCTTCCCACTGACATCGACTGTGGAGCCGGATAGCATGAACTGGTGCGCCGCAATGTACGGGGGGATATTGATCATCGCGGTGGTGTACTATGTTGTGCGAGGACGACACCACTATATCCCGCCAGTAGCGCTAGTCAGGCGTGATATATAACCTCCCATCTGAATGGAAAGCGGTTGATGAAGCTCGACGCGATGATCAAAGCAGTCCCATTTGGATCAAAATATTTACGGAATATGGAGAGTGGTACGGAGTGCTTGACAAACTAGACTGTATTGGGACAGAACTGGAACATCGAAATTGTGAGAAGTGCAAGATTCTGGCCAATCAGGAACGACGCAGGGGTCCGCCAAGTATGATGCAAACTATGCAAACTAAAGCACATGAGAACAGGTCACGTGCTAGCTCCCCTCCACTTTTGGAAATGCCTCCTCTCTCTGCGCAACAGGAAAGTTGTGGTCGTACTTAATCCCTTATTTTCGATCTTTACATCGATGGATATCTCCTGAAGTCTTCAAGACCAATATCAAAACCTCACTCTGTTGTTGTCAGCCATTTCAAACATGTTCCTACGTCAGAGCCGACATTAAATCCATGTTGTGGTGGCGCAATCCCACAGCAGATGGCAACATGCGACTACGAGTAGTGCGAGCATGACATTTGGCGATAAAAAAATGCATATCTTGGCATTCGCCATTCGATTATTCTTTCTACTTCAATAATCAATGTTCTTTTCATTTGTTTATACAAATTCCAGATGGGTTTCAGCGACAAATTTTCGGGCCTCAATACCTAAGTATAGGAGCTTGTCCACTTGCCATCCATTGCTGTGGTTCCAGAGACAGCATTTGTTAGAACTAGAATATGCACGACAGGTAAATTCCAAGGTTTCTTTGCCGATTGCCAAGCCTTGTTTACCCCTGCTCATTTCTCCGCGGCATGGCCTCGAGATGGCTTATCACCTTGGCTTGATACTGTCTTAATGCTGGCTGGCCAAATTGCGCCATTCTAGGCGTAAGGCACGTTGTGGAAAGATGGAAGAATATAAGCTTGGAGGAGGGGTCACAATATCCAAGTCGCAGGCTCGACTCCATTTTGAAGATGTCCGAGAAAATCTCGTCGTCGCTTGACTCGAAGGAGGCATCTGTCTCTATCGTCCAAGAGTTGCCCAAACCTCAAAAGATCAATGGGTCTTCTGGTGTCCTCGCCGGTGGTGGCTCGGTCGAGCTGTACGCCCCAATCGCAGAGTACGAAGGGAAACATCGATATGATCCAACGGCAGAATGGACAGAGAAGGAAGAGAAAGTCCTTGTCAGAAGAGTAAATTGCCCGTCTCATTCTTCATTACCTCAGATCTGACATCGCAACAGCTCGACTACAGAATTTGCTCCTGGGTGTGCCTGATGTTTTTTGCACTTCAGCTGGACCGTGGCAATATTTCTCAAGCACTGTCTGACGGTATGCTTGATGACCTCGGCCTGTCAACCAACCAGTACAACTATGGTATGACGATCTTTTACCTCTGCTTCCTGTGTGCAGAGGTACCCTCCCAGATGATCTCGAAAAAGCTCGGCCCCGATAGATGGATCCCTATACAGATGGTTCTTTGGAGTGTTATCGGTATTTGCCAGGGCTTTGTCAGTGGCGAGCAGAGCTTCTATGCTACAAGAGCGCTGCTGGGACTGGTAGAAGGTGGCTTCATCCCTGATGCACTTCTCTACCTCTCATACTTTTACACAAACGCTGAACTTCCGATGCGGGTCGCCTTCTTCTACTGTGCATCCAACGGCACTGCCATCGTTGCCGCGTTCTTGGCTTTTGGCATCCTACACATGCGGACAGTGGGTGGCTGGGCAGGCTGGAGATGGTTGTTCGTGCTCGAAGGTGCTTTGACTTTGTTGATCGGCATTGTATCCTGGTTTTATCTTCCTCCAAGCCCAACTGAAACCAAGAGCTGGTTCCGCGGCAAAGATGGATGGTTTACAGAAAGGGAGGAAGTCATCATGGTCAACCGAGTGCTTCGTGATGACCCCGCTAAGGTAAGAAAGATCACAAGATTAAAGCCTCGCTGCGAAATATACTGACAGACTTTAGGGTGGCATGCACAACCGCCAAGGCTTGACTTTGAAGCTTCTCTGGGATGCGCTCATGGACTATGATCTGTGGCCGATGTACCTGATCAGCTGGACCATGCTGATTCCCACCAATCCCCCCACAGCCTACTTGACCCTCTTTTTGAAGTCGCTTGGATTCGATACATTCCAAGTCAATCTTTTGACCATTCCCGGATATGTGCTGTTTTTGATTCAGCTGGTCTTCTGGTCTTGGATATCTGAAAAGATCAACAACCGCATGGCGATTGTCTTGTTCTACTCCTTGTGGTGTTTCCCTCTTTTGCTATCACTGGAACTTCTTCCTTCCACTGCAAGTGCATGGAGTTGGTATGCTCTTACTGTGCTGATCATTGGTTACCCCTATATCCATTCTATCAACGGTAAGCTCCCTTGTGTCTTTCACTTTTCACAATTTCTGACATTACTTCTCCTTTCAGTCAGTTTGATTTCGCGCAATGCAGGCTCTGTGCGCACACGCACCGTGGGCAGTGCAGTATATAACATGATCTGCCAAGCAGGATCCATCATTTCTTCCAACGTGAGTCGCGATTATCCCATGCGTCGAAATCTGCTAGTTATCTTCCTGGGTTATGGCTGACTTATTGATAGATCTATCGAGAGGATGACAAGCCCTACTACCGAAAGGGTAACAAGATTCTTCTTGCGCTTGTTGCGTGGAATGTTGTTATGACCATCTTCATCAAATGGTACTATATTCGGAGAAACAAGAAGCGTGAACAAATTTGGGATAGCATGACTCCCGAGCAAAAGGACGACTACTTAACAACAACAAAAGATGAGGGCAACAAGAGACTGGACTTCCGGTTTGCACATTAAATGAGAAGGATGAGATCTTGTGTCTTATCCGCCTTTAGAGGTTGATCTTGAAATAGAATAGTAAATATACCACTTAAGTGAGACATGACGATAAATGGAATCATGATTTGATCTTTTTGTGCTTAAATTGTCCCAATATGTATACCTTAATTTAACCCGTGGACATCAGATTCCGTCCGGGTAATTTGTTTAGGACGACTCTTGGATCCGCTGCCACTCTCCTTGCACAATTGCGGGTAGTTCCTCCTCAATACTGGGTCGCGAAGGCTTCCAACCCAAGATATTGCGTGCTCGACGCGCCTGGCCACGGGAATTCATACCCCAGCTGAGAGATTCAAAGCCTGCGTACTTCTTAGCGCTTTCCAGATCAATCGGCTCGGCCTTTGCCTCCGGAATGTATCCCAGATCTGCCGCCGCCTTTGCTGTTGCGCTAGCCAACTCTCCCCAGTAATGCTCTCCATTCTCGGTCAGATAGTACGCATCTGCACCCCACAGTCCGTTGTCGGTTCGTCGGGAAATTGCAGCCTCGACGAGTAGTAAATACACATCGCTCAGATCATGCACGTGTACGTTATTCCAGATTGACTGGCCGGCACCAATGATTGGTCCTTTCTTTAGACGGAGGGTAACGCTTGCTAATTCGTAAGCCTGCCGTCCGCGTTGAGAAACTGGTCCCCGACCCTGGCCTGTTTCGAAGTGAGTAAGAAACGTTTGCATTCAATATGGAAGAGCAAGAGAAGGCTTACCGTAAATTGTTGGCGGACAAACCAGCGCTGTCTTGAGCACATCGGCATACTTGGTCCCAGCCTCCAATACGAGCTGGTCCACATTCCGATGGAATGCGTGGTCAGGCAGGTTCAACAATTCATCTACCCCCTCCCAGTCGTTGTAGACATGCTCACTCTTGTTGCCATATTCGTTGCTGTCGCTGTCTCTCCATGTGAGAATACCGGTTCCTCCTGTGTGCAACAAGTAACCTGGGTTTTCCTTGCTGTGGCCGGAAACCAGACCTGCAATGATTGCCTTTGCAGCGCCTACATGATCAGAGGCATCTGCTGTGTCTGTTTGAATGGAATTAGCATTGTTCGGCAAAGTTATGGTTTCCGGACTGGCTCCATGTGATTATTGAAACTCACGCAACACAATATCTGCTGCCGCACTTTCCTCCTCCAGCAAGCTAGAATCATCAAGGTCTCCGATGACTACGCGAATGGAAGGATATTGGACTTTGACCTGCTCAGCTTTCTGCTGACTGCGGACAAGGACCGAGTAAGAGAACTCGGGGTATTTGGCGACAAGCGTGGCCAGGGAGTCACCTCCAATATACCCCGTCGCACCAGTTCTGTAGCAACGTTAAAAGCCTGGCATTTCCTTGTTTGTTCAGAACTTACAGAAAGATTTTCGTCATGTTGATATGTTGAGCTAGGTAGTGCGATCGGTGATCTCCCAAAACCCGATTTCGGGTGATGCTTTAAGGCGAGAAGAACGAAGATAGAAGAACCTCACTTGATGCAGTTTACCTAGATGGTGTTGAAAAAAAAAGTCGACTTCAGCTCATCTCGATCTCCTTTTGTGAACCCCGCAGCACTGGACCCATAAGTTGCATTTATAAGCAGCTGTGTCATTGGCCTTTTATAAGCATTTGGTACGACCTCATGAACCGATCAAATCAGGAGCTGGTTTCTTCTATTCATCCAATATAATGGTCTCTCCTCTATGGCCAATATTTACTAGCTAGCGATTGATTTGGAACTGAACATTGCGACCGGCCGGTCGGCGATTCTTGTACTAGTGCATTTTAGTCGAAGTGAATCCGAGTATATTTTGATTCTTGGCACAATGTGAATTGTGACCAACACAGCGCTTGAATTCTATCCTGGAACTCATACATCTCACTGGCGTTGCTGGCAGGAATGTATGAGTAACGAACATGGTGAAGGTGATAGTGTATCAGGACAACACGAGAGCAAACTGTAGTAGGTCATCTCAGTCCTCATTGAACGGTCACTGGACGAATCATTGCTTCTTGGACGTAGTCAGGGAAGGGTGAAAATGATTCAACGGTCCGGAATCCGTATTTCTCATACATGGGTTTCCCCTCGGGTGATGCTGACAGGTATACCTCCAATCCCTCAGCATCAGCACGAGTGAGACCCCATCTGAGAAGCTTTGATGCAAGGCCACGACCTTGCTGGGAAGGGTGGACTCCCAGCATATTCAAATCTACTCCGTATCATGAGTCAGTTCTCTGCAACCTGGGAACGATCGGGGGTCTATCAAGATGCTCAAAAGCAATTAGGAAAGGGTATAAAGGGGTTAAACTTACAGTAGTGAGGCCTTTTCTCCATCCAATTGTGATGTTGTGCATCCATCCCAGAGAAGAATCGCTCACAGAGGTCCTTATCGCTACTCGGCGCCCAGGCCGCGGGTTCCTCTTCCTGCAGATCGCTACCTGCATGAACAGGTTGTCCCCATTTTGCGAATGCGGCAATCGCACCCTCGTTGTCCATTATCTTGAGAAGAACTTCATTTCCTTCTTTCGCTAGCGTTTGACGAGCCTGGCTTTCGAAATTACGCTCCCACCAGGCGGTAACGTCGGGTGTCTGCGGGAACATGGTGCGATTGAAGTCCCCGCCGAATGTGGCGAAGAAAATCTGGGTGAGCTCCCCCGCGTCCGCAGGAACGGCCTCTTGAATTTCGAAAGACATGAGTGCTTTAAGCTTTGGAGAAATAGCTGTTTCGGGGCTCAGTACAGATGATCAATTTTGGTTTGGGACAGAGTTGTGGATTTTCGGGATTCCCTCATGCCCTGTCGTAAGTGGAGCTCTGTCACTTGTTTTTTGAGACATTTCTCTTTCCGTGTTGATTTGGGACGAGTTTTTCGTATGAGATCGTATTGCGATTAGGGAACAATGTATAGAAAAAATCATAGAAAATTAGAATTGAAATAATTTCAAGGATTTCCATCTCTGTGCCGTGGGGATATGACTCGGGGTATTCCGTAGTAATAGCTAGCATTGACATTTTAAACATTAAAAAATTGCGAATACATAAAAAAGACGCAACCAGGATCATATATGGCCATACGTATGGCTAAGCCACATTTGTTTGTCGGGCGTCTATTGATCGCCAAAGAAGCATAAGATGTCGCGCAGACCATCATGGGAAAACGGCCTTGCTCGACGGGTATTAGATTATTGCTTCTCCTTATTCAACGCGCTCTCTGGAATAGTTATGGGGCTGACCGGCTCGGACTCTCGTCCGGGATGTGCAACTCCGGAGGGCATGTCTGCGCGCCCAGGGCCGACAGGTCCTTTGTATGCCGAGTCGTGCGAGGGTGGAAGCACAGAGCGGCGAATGCGGGGGTCATCCGGTTGTTGACCTTTGCTGTCGGTGCTTTTTGTTGTCTCCATCTCGGCTTTCACGCTCTGGTACATGCTCTCAACGATGAACACTTCTTCCTGTACATCGAGGTCGCATCCGACTAAGCAGAACTCGCGTTCGCGCTGCTCTATGTACTCTCTGATGTTCTTCCACTGATTCTGATAGTGTTTCAAACGATCGGGGAGCCCTGATCCACGGAGGTAGGTCAAGACACCAGCCATTATGGTGTTGATAGCGCCGAACGCAGTGACTGCGGAGTGTGGCCCGCTGGCTGCGCCAAGGGCTGTCACGGCCGCGGCAACCACGACTTGGACTCCAAGGCAGGTATTGATCAGGAAGTTGAAGATCTTGTATGCGCGTTGTGCTTTGGTTTCATTGTCAATAACCCGTGTATAGATTCCGACGTTGGGCGCACTGCGAGCCAGATGACCTGCTTGGGTGAGCGCAGGGACACTGTCGATTCCGGTCAAGGCGCGGAACACGAGAAGCTTGTCGTTGATGGGGATAAGAGATTCCATTTGTGTAGTCGTGACTCGCTTTGGGCCTGACGGCATGTCCGGTGCATACCCATTTTGCGCGCCCTGGGCTGCTGCGGCAGCATGTGCGGCCATTGGTGGATAGCCCTGTTCTTCACGATCCAGCGCGGCCTCGATAATCCGGTGGAGGAGTCTTCGGTTGGGCTTTCGTTGCGACATTGTTTCTATTGAGTGGCTTGGACAATGAGGAGGGAGGTGTGTGCACTGCACACACGGCAGGAGGATGGTCTATATTTGTAGTCAATGTTCAAGTGGAACCGGCATTCCTATCCGATTGCTTTTTCTTTTCTTTTTGCGCATGAACCCACGTCGTAGATGGGCTCGAAAATCGAATCGTGGTCTTGTCCGTGCGCTAAAGCAAGGCTAAATTAGTACTCAGCTCACATCGCTGTGAGATAGGCACGATAATGTTCTCCAAAGGGAAAGGTTGTAATACCAAATCTGCAGGGTTTAGTGAGTAGTGGGCTTTTTTGGACGGATCCCGTTTATGACAGGTTGAGAGACAGCGACGGGTGCTGGCCCGCGCACGCGGCGCAAAGTTAGGGTGAGCAGGAGCCGACGATTCCTCTGAGAATGTGTGTTTGACTGAACCTTGGGCTTTTTGTGGCTTAAATTTGGTGGAGATCGGGACGGCGCACTCACAAGAAGTGGTCAAGAACGGTGGGGTCATCTTCAAGATCCAGGGAATCATAGATCTTGATCACGATCCAATTCCGCGTCGAGTGACGATCCCTCGGTCGACCTCTTTGAAGTTTCCCCCTTCGAGCAGGCGAAATTCTCCGAATGACACTAATAGCGGGCTATCAATGGAGCATCTGCACGCTCAGAAAATAGGGTCTGGGCCTGTAAGCCCCATCATTTGTCACTTGTGCATGACAGGCGCAGAACCCTGGATTTAGTGAAGAGAATTCAGAAAGAACCCGCAGATCAACCATTCTTTGAGCGAGCTCGGTGGACCTTAATGTATGGGCGTAAGACTCCACCAGCACTTATTTAAGTGCCAGGAGTTATGCGAGCTGCAGATGACTCCATGGTATGTATTTTGACGGCAACTATTTGGGAACCCCCGGGCTTGTTGATTACCATACCTACTACGGAGTACGGAGTCCCTGGTCAATGGACGTGTCAGGTGTATCCATGAAGTCGTGGACTAGTCAACCCGGCGTGTTCGATTTTTTTTGTTCGCGTCACACAGTTGCAGACCATTGGTGGGTCGAACCCCTGAAGTTCAGTTTGTGATGAACTGGGGCTTAAGCCTTGCGGGCACTGCAAGAGGGTTCGCTATGATTGGCTTCCTCGGCGCGCTACACTTGGAGTCGCGTGGCGAGCTGAAAGCCGAGCAAAGAGTACAAGAATGATTGGTAGGACGGCGAAGGCTTAACTCCATCTCAAAGGGTCAATTTCCGGTCAATTTTGCCGGTTGAATCTCGACAGTTCCACACGGATACAACCGCACGGCTCCAGATTTCCACTCATTTCCCCCCTTCACGGCTGTTCAAGTATTCATTGCATGGAGTATGGTGTAGGCATTTGGGAGACCAGTCTCGGGTAATGAATGATGGGACATTGAGCATTGGCTGAGTGCAGGAACAATCTGCCGTGTTTGGCTTCCCGGGTCAACGTACCGAGCAATTGATTCAGGCACTCAGGCACTCAGGCACTCAGGCACTCAGGCACTCAGGCACCAACGTTTCAGACTGCAGATCAACAGAGTAAACAGCACGAATTTATCTTCACCTGCAACGCTCATGCAGTTTATGCAGATTCCCCAACTCCCACATGGAATCACATCAAAAACTACGGAGTACGATACCTAGGATTATGCACATCTAAAAGCACACAACTCGGTCTAGTCATGGTCGCTTCAGTACTGAGCTCATATTCAAGCAAAGTGTCGCAATACCACGCCATTCGGTCTAAGAGCTATGTTACCCCCAATGGAGATTTGTGCCAATGAGAGACGTTCGTTCGACTCCGACTCCAGCCAGACTTCGCACTGCTTGTTAAGCCAAAGAGGGGAAGCTGGACAATCGGGGGATTGATAAGGAAAAGCCGTTGCCCGCTCCCAGAAAACCACCTTTTCAATACCTACTCCGTACTTCCAGACCTACACCAACTCAGCTTCCCACGTTATCGGCGCAGAATGGGAGGCGAAAGATCTCCAGAGCGGGTGCTCATTGTTCTACATCGGCCAATTCCTGAACCTGTCCAGGCGGTTATTCGGCACAAGTTCTCCGATGCCGAGGTCACCTTCTACAAGTCCCAGCAGGGTGTCCCGGTGCCTCCTGGTGCGTGAGCTGAATCCAAAGAAAAATCGCGTTGATGCCCTGGAAATCTATTTCAAACTAATATTGAAGGTAGAGTTGTTTCACAGAGCCACTGTCCTCGTCACCTTCGCGAGTCTTCCGGATCTGAAGGACGCCCATAAGTACGACATATTGGCCCCGCGATAAAGAGACAGCTACTGATTATAATCACTTTGCAGCATCAAGTTGATTCACACGTTCTCCGCGGGATTAGATCATCTCTCGCAGCACCCGATCTTGCGTGAAAGCGATATTCACATCACTACAAGTTCCGGGATCCACGGCCCTCCTATCGCGGAATGGACTGTGATGAACTGGCTAGTCTCGTCACGCAAATATGTGCAAACTTACGAAGCACAGAAGGCGCATGACTGGCAGGATAAGACCGGGAAAATTGGCGAGATGCATGACCAAGTTGGCAAGAAAGTGGGCATTTTGGGATATGGGAGTATCGGACGTCAAAGTATGTCACGGTCTTTAAATGGCAGACTGTTGAAATATCGAATACACGGGTATTGATCTAACAATCTACAGTTGGCCGTGTCTCGCAAGCATTGGGTATGACTGTCCACGCTTACACAGCCTCTCCACGACCCACGCCAGAGTCGCGCCATGACAATGGCTACATTGTGCCTGGGACTGGAGATCCAGACGGCTCAATCCCAGCCTCGTGGCACCACGGAACCGATCGCGAATCTATCCGCGAGTTTTTGGCCATCGGATTGGATCATCTTGTCATATCACTTCCGCTGACTCCGCAAACGACCCATCTTCTTTCAGCTGATGAAATTGACATCCTTTCCGATAATTGCCACCACCATGCCAGCAAACCCTATGTGACCAACATCTCGCGGGGAAAGGTTATCGACCAAAAGGCCCTCATTGATGCACTGCGCTCGGGTACCTTGGGCGGTGCTGCACTCGACGTTACGGACCCCGAGCCTCTCCCCAAAGATGATCCTCTTTGGGACGCACCAAATGTGCAGATCAGTCCACACCTCAGTTCTCATGGGAAAGAGTATTTCCCGAGGTCCCTTGATATTCTCAAGGTTAACCTGGGCCGACTTGCCAAGGGCGAGGCCTTAATCAATGATTATAAAAGAGATAAAGGATATTAGATGAGTCCTCATGAATAAATCAAGGAATTTGTAGAACAGCTCCTGCAGTATGGCTTCCAAGTTCTTACTGACATGATGACCCCAGGGTGGTAGTTTCTCTCACCTTTAGTCGGAGAGTATAATTCTCCGGCGAGTAAAATTCTTGACCTATAAAGAACCCTAATCACTCATTTCAGCCTCGGCAAAAGAACTACTTCTGTTCGCACTTGGGATGGGAATATTCGCGAGTGTTTTCTGCCAATGTGAGCATGAGGACAGTTCTGGCATTCGAATTCGAATCAAACTCCCTGGGATTCAAGATGCCTGCAAGAATTTCGACAGTGACGATTGGTGGGTCATTTATTGTACTTTCTTTGGTCACAGCTGTGACTACTGTCAATTAACATGGATCCCCGCTGTTACAATTCAAAGGAGCCTCTCAACCCTTCCTCAACCACCACACTGATGAAACCACAACCAAGAACAGTAAATGCCCAGGGACTCGCAAGCTCACGCAGTGCAGGCCAGAAACTGTTGTTTTCTTTTCGCCACTGTACAAGTTGGTTGTACTTGAGAGGGTCCCCGGACTTATATCGCTCCAGCTGGCTGGCCTCGGTCTGCTTATCACCACCGACAAGCCGAAGGAAAATGTAGTTCATGATAGGCCCAAGAAGCACAGTTGGATTCCACATCCCAGCCATATTGAGCACTGTGAAAGAAAAATGAACCAACGTGTCTCCCAGATAGCTGCCAGCCGGTTAGCTCGTTTCCAATACGGAAAAGCAAATTGTGAATCATGAAACCTACTTTGGATGTCGCACCAAACTCCAAACGCCATGCCGACACAAGTGAGTTCGCTCTCGGCGATGAAGCTCCAGCTGTGTGTCTGCTAGCACTTCCAACCCAAATCCAATGCCAAATAGGCCAACACCAAGCGCCCGAATTGCATTCAGCGCATCCTCGCCAAGGGCCAGAGTGGTGTTGCCAATTGTGAGAGGTGCAGTAAATGGCAAGGAAATAATGGTCAGCACGAGTGCTTCGGGTAAAAAGATTGTCCCGAAAGCACGTTTCCAAAATCCGGGCTCTTTCTTGACAGCGTCATATCGCGAATCATCTTTCCCGCGAGTCAAAGATCGCGCCGCGATCCGGAAAAAGAGCCTGGTACCCCAGATAGTAACGCAGCTCAGAAGTACCTTTTCGGTCCATGATTGGGCACCCCAGACGGTGCTGAAGGGCAAATCATGCATATGCATCGGTCGGCCGACGGCGATCCACCACGCATTGAGGACTTGAGCGGATGGCCAAAGCCAATCCTTCAGCTCAACTCGGTCGGTTGCCTCAGCCGCGAGGTACGTTCCAAGTGAAAGAGAAGCATATATTCCAAATGAAGGGAGAAGAGTTGATTTTAAAATTCCCACGTCCCCTGATGTCATTCTGTTCTGCAGGGGTGGGGAGTGCAGGGGACTGAAGGGTTGGCTTTCTAAAGTTGAGGGAGGAATTAGGAATGCCATAATGTTTATTGATAGGTGTAAAGTGGTTTCATTTATAGGAAAACCCCCTACGCTAGGGGAAATGGGTATCATATAGAGGTTTCTTTCGCCAGGGTTGACATCAATATGATGTCAGGTAAGTGATAATCGACAGTGCCAAGTTTGGAATGAAGCCCACGCAAAAGCAAATTAACTCGCAGCTTTGATTCTCACTTGGAACATAGTGTGCGCATGATTGCTGAGATGAATTGAAGAGGTGCAAATATAGGCGAAGAAAAGAACATCGAGAACGCGGGTGTGTCTGTCAAGTTCAATCGGTATCAAAGGAGTTCAGATGTTGAGCAATCGCCGAAGATAGATCGATCTTATCGCATGTTAGTCGCAAATCATCTTTTGATTGATATTTCTCCTTCATGATCTGCTCTAAACGTGTATTCCAGAGCGGCAAGCAATCCTTCACCTCGGATGGTGAGAAAGCAATGGCCTCTTCGCCAGTTCGAGTGTACTCGTCTTCAGGTGAGCCCTTTTTGAGAGGATCAGACTCGGGAGACCGAGCAACACAGCATGAAACACCCAGGTTGTACAGTTTAATGCCATCGGGTATCCGTTCAAAGGGTAGTCGGCTGGTCAGTAGCCTTCGGGCGCTGGTGTCATTCTCCGGGGCTTCTTTTGCGGCGGAGACTTCTTGCTGGCGCATAAGATAAGCTCGCGGGTCATTGGGAGAAAGCTTTGTGGCAGAGACAGGCCCTCCGATTGAGGTATGTGATGAGGTCAACGCGGCTTTGGCGGCAAGGTACCGACTGTTTTGAGAGGATGGTGGCACTGGCGCTTGCTGTGAAGCTGGGATCGTTTCACGATTTTTGTTTTGGAGACGTTTGTTTTGATTCGCTTCTTTCTTGCGTTTTTCGAAATCCATTGCTTTCTCCAGATCAATTGGTCCCGGATAAGCGCCATCCCCGTGAAGCTGGGCAGCCCATCTTTCGAGGACGGGAAACCCTCGGCCGCTGTCCATTGAGGCACAAGCGGGATCATCTTGTCCATCGGGCGATATGAGCGTGCTTTGGTCAAACTGGAGAGTGGGTGATTCTCCGGAAGAAGGTTCCAAGCGAGCGTCATCTTGTTCACTCTCACTTTCATCATCTCGTAAAGCTTTGGATCCAAACCTTTGTTCTGCGAGTGAAGATAGCGGCAACTCTGTAGGATCTTGCAAAGGCGCTGCCTCTTCTGCGGCTCTCTCTAGAGAATCTTGGGTGATTCTCTGGAACCACGTGTCGATGGCTCCGTTGCCGTATCGCTCACGATCACGCTCTCGTTCTGCCCGGCGGAAACTTGACGCGCGATCAAATTCCGGGGAGGAGCTCAGCAATGCACGGGCATGGGGTTGACGGATTCTGACCGGCGACCTAGAGGAAATTCGAGAGATAGGGGGGCTCGGTAAATCTGAGGTGACTGGCGAACACTGGAAATCTTCTGGTCCGTTCTGCCTTCCCGTTGACCTTTGAATGCTGTCGGTCGACTGATTACCAGAGCTCGGGCTGGTAAAAGGGTCCTGGTCGCGCCTTGGTGTTTGAAAGGAAGCGTTGACTCTTGAAACTGAGTCTGGGTTGGCAATTCTAGGTTTTCTTGCTCCATTGTTGACTGAGCCATCAGGTTCACTGTCACAGTTTTTGGCCAGCTGGCTGCCTTTTCTAACACGAGACTGATTTTCCGAAGGCCTGGCATTTGCGATACTAGCAATGGATGAATTGTCTGGGTGCGAAAAATTTGGGTGAACTTCTGAAGTCGGTTTCCTCGCCATGAGAACATCGAATCCATTGGAGATAGGGGATCCTTTGGAGGAACTATCCTTGATCTGCTTGATACCGGCCTTCTCCCCACTTTTCAGCTCTCCATAGTGCTGTCGGAATAACCCAGCCACCAAGGCCAAAATCAATTCCCGGTCTTCGAACATGACATCGTCCTTAGCTGGCTCGATGTTCACATCGTATATTCCACGAGGACACAGAATTTGCAGTCCTAGGAAGGGATCACTGACTTGCTTTGAAGGCTCGGTCTTGAGTAGGGCGGAACGAATGTAGGATTTGAAGATTTTGGCAATTTCTTGGCCAATGCCCCTGCTGTTTGAAAGAGGCCGACCATCCACACTGATGAACTGACCAGTATTGTTGATTTTAGGAATATCTGCCGCAATTAGAGATTTCACAGCAAAAGAATGGCAAAATTGCTCACCAGGGTTTATATCGGGAAGAAAGGCTACGACTTCACATACGCTCTGCTGCGGCGATTCTGCTATTCCAGTCTCATCGGCAGGCCGAGAAGAAAGCCGCCTCAAGACACAGGAAGAGGAAAGTTCAGTGCCAGCTACTTTGAGGGCTGCATCCTGGAGTGAAGAATCCGCGCTTGGTGCATATGACCAATTGTTGTTTTCGTTCTTGGCCTTGAGTACTTTCAGTGACAGCCTTTTGGATGGCTGAGATAGAGCATATGACTGTAGAAGCCTTTTGATCCTTATCAAGGTCTTTGTTGCACTCTTCAGTGCAGTTTGCCTGCGTACGGGGATATGCTTCAAAAAGTCTGTGATGCGCACAGTGGTCCCCACTGGGTGAGACGTCCGCTGTGTCCTTTTCGAAGGCGTGAGAAATGGCCATGGAATTAATGAATTGGCTCTTTTTTACTCACCCGGTCAATTCTCCATCTCTTCCATATTTCGCACACGTCCCAACAACCTCGGATTCAACTCGCGTGGTGACACTGATGGCCCCAGACATCTCGGCAACACTAGCCAGAGCTTCACCCCTAAAGCCCAGGGATGAACCGCCGACATTTCTTAGATCATCCAGAGACTGGATTTTGCTGGTAAAGGCGCGTTTGCAAACCAGTTTGTGGTCTTCGGGGGCAATTCCATCACCGTTATCCTTGAGCTGTATGACATCCACGGTGTTCTGGGAGATCTCGATCTGCAGAGACGACGCAGATGCATCCAGTGCATTGTCCACGAGCTCTTTGACCACGGAGTATGTATCGGAAATGACTGATGTGGAACCAATTGCCCTGATTGTGTTCTGGGGAAGGGCCTCAATCGGCATCCTGCGCGCCCGGAATCAAACACTCATGGTTGTTCGTGCCGACAAACTTCCACTCGGGGGTTCAATCAGGCAACACAGATCCGCTGTCGTCTGATTGATGGGGTTCGGATGTCAGTGTTGATGAAAGTGGGTTGGAAGTCAACTAATTTCCACGCACTGGTCGAGCTCGAGCTCGAGCCTCATTAGTCAGCACAGTCGCGACAAACATCGCGTCCAACTTGACACCTCTCAAACCAACAGCATCGCTCATCCACACGGCTGGAGATACTGGAATGCTGAGCGAAGACTTCTCAATCACGCAGCTGGCGGTTCCCGCAGTCAGTGTACTGATTGCCTTTTTGGCTTATACGTCACAGTACTTTTTTCTCCACTTTGAATCTGTGCCTCTCACAACAGAGGAGACTTGGAAAATCAACATCTTCGCCGTATGCATCTGGATATGTTATTATCGAACTTGCTTTGTAGACCCAGGACGACTCCCAAAGTCGGAACAACGTCCAAAACCCAAGGAGCAAGAGAGTGACGAGGTCACTGGCCGCCAACGATGGTGTCGTAAATGTGAAGCTTACAAGCCGCCGCGAGCTCATCACTGCAAAACTTGCAAGAGGTCAGAAGAGAGACTATGTAGTTGAACTTTCTCGTGCTGATGATGTTTCAGGTGCATTCCGAAGATGGATCATCATTGCCCCTGGACCTCGAACTGCGTTTCTCATTTTACCCTTCCTCACTTCATACGCTTTTTGTTCTATGCAACTGTTGGAATGTCTTATCTTGAGACTCTGCTTTGGCAGCGGGGCTCATTTGTATGGAAGAATAGCCATTTGCCAAGCGTGAGAGAACCAACACATTCACCACTTCAAGTCGCTAACGGTACAAAGTACATGGGACCTACAGTAGGTCAGCTCATTCACCTTTTCATACTTTTGGTGGTCAACGGCTTTACAGCGTTTGCTCTGGGTATCCTCCTCCTTCGGAGTCTTTGGACAATCGGGTCAAATACAACAACCATCGAGACTTGGGAAATCGAGAGGCATGCTACTCTCGTCCGCCGTGCTCGTGCGCTTGGGGGGTATCTTGAAGGTCCTGGTGGAATCCGGGTCTATATCAAAAAGCAGGAATATCCCTATGACATTGGGATTTGGGCCAACATCAAGCAGGCCATGGGCGGAAGTGCCAATGTAGGTTGACCAGACCCATTTTAGGTCCCGGGCATGCACTTGGGCAATTGCATTAATGCGTCTCTAGGTGATAAGTTGGTTCTGGCCACTCGCCGCAAGCCCGGATCGTCGCACTGGCTGGGAGTTTGAAACAAATGACTTTGAAGGCGAGTCGATTTCCTCTTCAAGTGTCCGTGCTTGCTAACAATCTGTTTAGATCCTGGTCTTTCGTGGCCACCTCCTGATCCAGACAGAATCCCGATACCGGCAAGTGCAAAGCTACCGAACAATTTCCGCATGCCCCAGTACGATACCATACAAGATGAGATCGACGCCTTCAATCGCCGCAAAGAAGAAGACCTAAAGCGATTCCAACAAGTTTCAGGGCTACAGCGTCGCAGACCTTTCCACGACAGGCAACACGGAACCGAGTATGCAGAATATGAAAGCGACGAATCTGACACTGGTTCTCGCAATAACTCCCGTGAGGGCGAGGAGTCATGGCGCAATGCGGAGGGGGAGCGCTTACGCGACTTTGGAGTTGATGAAGAAGTGGAGTTCTACGATGAAGAGGACATCCCTCTTGCCGTTTTGATCCAACGGCGGAAGCAGCAGGAATATCGCGATTGAACATTGCACCGTTTCAACATTAACAAAGTCGTTAAATCTTCTTCGCAACACCTCTGAGTCGTACATATCCCAGCCATTGGCTCCCATCCTCGATGCGGGTCACCACAGTTTGAAGGATATCACCAATCTGTTTCACAGCAGCATCCCGCTTTTCTTCAGGGAGCGCCTCCAGGAATTGTGCGCCCATGAGTCTCACCCAGCCCTCCAAACCGCCCTTGGCATCGCTAGTGAGTTTTGTCGGGCGATACTCGAGTTCGACATTCTCGACTTGAAATCCTACTTCTTCCAGAGCGCTTCGCATCCAGGTGTCGGACGGGAAAAACCATGGACTTGTCTCTCTGGCCTGTTCCACGGGTACACCTTGCTGAACAAGAGCATACAGCAGAGCCGTTTTGACCTCTGCGACGTTCCCATGTCCACCCATCTCAAACACGTAAGTGCCACCTGGTTTCAAACATCCATGGATCCCGCGAAGTGTGGACATGCGAGTAGATTCATCGCGCAGGATCCAGTGGAGGGCTGCGTTGGAGATTCTGTGAGATCGTCAACAAATGAACCGCGAGAAAAGATCGATAGAATGGAGAAAAATACACTTTATCCCAGGATCCATCAACAATAGAGGTTTCCTTCTCCAAATATCGGCAGTCCACAACACGGAAGCTGGCCTCGGGGCTTGCGTAGTCTTTGTTGGCAGACTTGATCATCGACTCTGATGAGTCAATACCCAGCACGGAACCGATGGCTGGAAGGAAGTTCGCTGTAAACTTTCCATCTCCACAACCCACATCTAGGACTTTGTCTGTTGGCTTGGGGGTGAGAGAGTTTAAGAGTTTACCGGTAATCTTTGCCGAGTATACGAAAGATGCAGAAGCGGCGTACGCCTAGATGTGTCAGGATGAAAAGCTCTTAAAGGTACGACGGGTCACACACCTCTTCGGACCAGTTGTCTTTTTTCTCTTGGGTGTTTGCTGACATGGTTTCTGTAGTAGAACGAAGTATAGAAGGGCGATGAGCAAAAGGGGGTTTCGAAATTGGGAATAGTGACAATATGTTTTCTAGAGTCTTCCTGGCAGTTTGCCTTATCCCTCGAGCGTTCTATAGATTTTCAAACCACCCAGGGGGCAATCAAGCTCTTTTATATAGGTGTTTGTTAGCAGAACGGCGAGGGTGGTGTTGGTGACATAGGCGGGGCCGATATCGGACCGGATCTACCAGACACCCGTTTTACGTCGGATGGCTGATGACACTCCCTGCGACGTCGCAGTCATTGCTACAAGTCATCTGCTGTTGAAGCGAAACTCTAGATCTGCATGTTGGATACACAGTGCCTGACGTTGAGCTGGAATGTGCGATATCGGAGGTCCTGGTTCTAAAGTTATGGTAGCGGTTCCATCATTCCAAATATTGACATACAGATTCATCCACTGAAGACTCACGCGCCCTAGAGAATAATTGACCTTCATTATGGATGCAATGACTGATGTAAATAAGGATAGAATCGATGAACAAGGGGGATTGGTTTTCACGGCATTGGAACTGGCTTGTGGAACTTTAGAACTGGATGCTTGAGCACAGTCCAAATGTTACTAGACAACGATCCCAATCTGGGTATTTCACCTGTCTGGACGGCCGTCCATCTACCTGAAGATTGCCTTCTGTGAAGGTCATTACGAAATCGTCAAGTTCCTTCTGACAAAACACATCGATATTGAAGGCACGAACAAGGACGCGATGACACAACTCTGTTGCGCAGCTTCCAAGGGACATGTCTGTATTTTTCGGCTACTTCTCGATCATGGTGCTAATGTGGAGGCCCGAGGTGCTGATGGCTTCACTCTAATCCACATAGCCGTCGAAGAGGGCCATATTGAGCTGGTGAAGATGCTTATCCGGAGAGGTTCTAACATCATGACGACTAGCGACGAGGGAATGATGCCATTTTGTACTGCTAGTCTCAATGACTTTATTGACATGGTTCTAAGTTTGACTTTTACGCGATGTTGGTGTTGATATTGATGTTTCTACACAAGAGAGGCTCCTCCATTCCAGAGGCGTAGAATAAGCCAGACGAATACGATGCCACACCACTTTGGGTTGCTGTCAAGAACGTACATAGAGAGGTTGTGGAGTACCTGCTCTCACTTCCGGGAACCCTCCAGACTCCTCAATATGACGCATGGAATCGAAGCCTTCTCTGGTGGGCTTTTGGCTGCGGTTCAAAAATGATATTGTGGAGCTTGTTCGGGGCATTATTGACGCACCCGAAAGTATAGGAGTAGATACCGTCGAAAATGCTCGGTGGTCAAGTTCAATTCGGATCTTCGGCGGTGTAATGTATGTACGCGATGCATCTTGCAGAGTGAGACCTACCAATCTTGCGGTAAATGCAGTGTGTTATTCTATTTTCATGTTTGGTTAAATTGTGTCGGCTTCAAGGTTCATTGCGGTGACCAGTCTCATATTTGGGACAAGAGAAATTCTGCGCCTGCGCCCGAGAAGTCCAAGGATGAGCATAGGGAGGTATAGAAGTCATAGTCATGGAGATGTGTTTGATGTAGCCCCTTGGGTACTCATGAACTGGCCAATCCCAAGTTGGTTCCAATGAAATTTTGTTATCCAGCCTTGTCAACTTGAGAACTATTCCATCAAGGGAAAAAAAACAAAAAACAAAAAACAAAACAGTTTAATGCGTTTCACAGTCGCGATCCGATATTTTTACTCCGTGGCCTCTGAACTGCCTTTTGACGTCAGCGGGGCAATGGAGCGGAACGCAAATCCTTCGATTTCCGCTCAATTTCACGGGGTAAAATCCCCTCCTCCCACCATTAAAACTCATTGGAGTGTAAATTATACTTGATTCTCACAAGGTTGTCTCCTGCAGCCTATCACAGCACTATGTTGTATCAAGGCTACTGCAATTGCGAAAGCATTCGCATCACTCTTCCGCAGCAGCCCGCGAACACAATCATTTGCCATTGGTAGGCAGTTTCATGAAATTCAAAGGTTGTGAAGTGATGGCTACTTACATTTCTAGCGATTGTTGCAAACGAGCTGGTGGCAGCGGTTCGATTTCCCATGCTGACCTCTCAATTAACATGCTAATATTACTCCAAGCCTTTTCTTTGAACTACTTTATCGACGAGGACACAATGACCGTTGAGGATACGAAATCTACGCTCAAAATTTATGAAGACAAGAAGTCTAGCAGTGGAAACGTTGTGAAGGTATGCTCTTAACCACACTCACCTGGGCTCCAAATTTATATCCAAATTGTGAACTAATCAATATGTGGGGAAAACAGCGTCATTTCTGCATGAGCTGCGGGAGGTATGGTTCTAGAATTCCCCTTGCCAGTGCTGAAGGGCCATATAGCTGACGCTCTGCTTTAGCCCCGTTTTTACAACGACCCCCAAGGCTTTGGGAAAGGCGTTTTTGAAAGCGAGCCTGTTTGACCAGGTCTCTCCTCCGTCGACTGAAGTGTTTGCAAACAAGCAGCATAAGTGGGTTGACCTGGGGCCAACTGAGAAGAATGCTTAAGTGGACTGTTATACACGCAGATGGTGTCATTTACGCTAATGCGCGACAAATTCGATTGGTTGAAATTATAGATATTTTCTAGAAACATGTAAACTTATCCACTGATCACCTTGTTGTATTGAGGTCTAGTTCCATTTCTATTCACATACATTCTCAGTCCAACATGGGACTTCAAATGCTGAGATCAAATTGCGGGGGCAGAATGATGTCGATCCGCGGAGAACCCAACAAACCTGCTTCTCCTCCCCGGACAGATTCTTGAAAGTACGGAGCACTTCGTAACATGCGGCGAGTTGATATCCCCCGAAAATGGCACTATCCAGTGAGATTCCAGACCCAGCGGAACCTTCAGGCGCTGTGCTACGGAATGTCGGATCGCGCGATCGCGGAGTGAGCGAAGATCCCCGCGAGGCTCTGGAGCTGCAAGAAATTCAGACACGCGAAGACAATGAGCTCAACGAGTCCACGGCCTCTGCCTCGTCTGGTGATGAGTATCGCGTCGTGACGCGTCGAACCACATCACGCATCGCGGCGCGTGCGGAAGCCCGCAGGCAGGCTCGGAAGGGTGCTTGGGGCAAGCTCACTCGGTTCTGGACGCACCATGTTACCTTGACGGTTCCGCACAAGAGTAACAGGGACTATTTCGGTGGGTATTCTCTTAAGTGTGATTTTTCCCCAGCTTCACGCCGCCATACTGACACCTTCCAAGCTCTGGAGAGGACGTTCCTCGCCTATATCCGCACGTCGGTTGTCATCGCACAACAAGGGGTGCTCATCGCACAGCTATTTCGCCTGCAGACAGCCGAGGCCTTGGCGGATAAATTGGGGTTTCATCAAGTGGGTGTTCCGCTGTCAGTGACCTGTCACGGTGTGGCTATTCTGGTGGCTTTGGTTGGTGCTTTTCGATTTTGGCGACAACAAGGTGCGATCGCTAGGAATAAGATTCATGCTGGTGGGTGGGAACTGAACTCTGTGGGAATTCTCCTGGGCTGTGTAAGCTCCGTGCCATTCGCAAGCGTCACGGACTTTACTAACGGTGTCTAGATTATTCTAACGACATTGGTCATATCGATTGCGATTATTGTCGAGATCGATATAGATCCGTCCAATGTCATCAATCGAATACTGGTTCGATGAGTGAGATTTCCCAGTAACGGCAAATGAGAGTGAATAATTTTCGTTTTGATGATTCGAGCTAGAGGGCCTTCATGATCAAAGACTACACCAAGTCTACAGAATAGCAATGACCAATGACTGCATTCTTGTGCCTCCGTCTTTGTATCTTCATCTCTATTAGGGGCGCAATGACGACTGTGCCGATACCCGACCGAGCCCACCGAGGGAGCTGGCCCCCACCATGGCAGGTATACACTCGCCGATCCCAGTGCCAATAAGAAAATGAGTGGCAGTGAGACTATCCACCCTGCCCTGCGCCCGATTGTCCACAAAAACAAGGCAGCCCCACTGGGGCCAAATCTATCACGCTTTCTTCTGGTGTTCATGACCCCCTTGGGAACAAATTATCGACAAGGCGCAAACCGTTCTTAGCGATAAATGTGACCATATAGCCCAAAGCACTGCGACCGCCGGCTTCTAAAAGTCCAACAACGACGACGAAATCACCATAGGTCTCCGCGAACCACACAAAATCTTCACAAACATGTCGAACCTCGACACGGCACTTTCGCAAAGACATAGGCTTTCCATATGGCATGTATATCGCAGCGGCCTTGAAAACCTCTCCATCACGCCATTTCTTGTCCCAGAAAAAGAATATGGAAACAGCAGTAATCGGAACCGGACACGTGAAGACGGCACGTCTGGAAATCACTCTGCGAAACCAAGTGGCTACTTCGTGCAACATCCCTCTCTCTTGTTTCATAACACGCCTCGGATTCTTCGGCGCGGACACGAAAAGGGAGGTGATCCGATTTGCATCATCAAGCTTGGGGCCTTTTGGCGAAGCTGGCTGGTCCAGTTCAGTGACGACCTGAAGAATGTCCTTGATCCAAGAGGCTTGGTCAGATGGGAATGTCGCAGTAATTCAGACAACTCCATTTCCAACGACCGAGAGTGGAAGGGGTACAAGGTTCGCTCATGGAGAGTATGGGGAGAATCTGGGGGTGAATATCATCGAATGGTGAATGCCAGACGGAAGGCTTTAAAAGAGGAGGAAGAGGCTGAAGGTCTGATGGGGAGGAGCAAGGGCAAAACCAAAGCACATGACCTGGAAATGGGTGTTGTTAAAGGTGGAAGTGATTTGGTGAGTGCGTCACAGAACAGGGAGGATTCGGATGACGAAAATGCACAACATTCTTCTTCCACACCATCGCTGCCTACCGAGACATCTCAAAGATACCTTGCCGATGAAGCACTCCGTCTCCAGTGGAGGTCCCCATTCTCAATCAACACCCGAAATTATTGTTTTGAATACGCTGGCATCCAGTTTTTTTGGGAGGGCACTCGGGATATACACTCTGATCATGGTTGGAGCAGAAATCTTTTGCCTTTCAACCACTTGAACCTGGTTGCCAGGATTCCTGGCCCTGTCGAAGAAGAGATACTTGTTGCTCAGTACATCTCAAGCTTTTCCAACGACAAGCATGGCCAGTTGTGGGTTTTTGATTCTGCAGTTACAAGATTGCTTGAGAAAACCGGACACCCTTCAAAGTGGATCAAAATAACCGAAAACAACGAGCGATTTTCACTAGATATTTACTGGGATGTTCAACAGACTCGATTGTACGATATTGTTATGGCGACGTCGATGTGTATGATAATTGGCGAGTGGCAGAAGCGGGCGATTCTTTGGATGTTCATTTCCACATTATACTCGGCTGCTGTGCTTGGCATCTTATGAGCGATGGGGATCCTTGAAATGGATACGAGATGCCACGACTACTATCATCTCGGGTTAACTCTCAGCGAGAGTATAGTTTAGGCTAAGATACAATTCAAGCTTACGCCGACAACTCAGCCACAATTTTTCTGACCTCTGATCCAAAAACCTGATACTCCAAGGAGGTATTAAATGTTTTTTTCTGTTTGGATTGAAGATTAAGCGCTGGATAACGGAGATAATTCCAGCCGTGGGATTTCGGGGATGGTCAGCCCTCTGAATCCATGGACATTGGAAGGCCAGGGGTAAAACTGGGGCATTATCCTTGGTACGAAAATACTAGTTCTAACCGCACGATCTAGTAGAACTTAGATACATAGCACAAAACCGCTCTTTTTGTCCCGAGGTCACTCAGTCGACAAGTAGAGTATGATACGAACATTGTCATGAGTATTCAACACCTGTTGGAGCGGGGTACAGGTCCCGGGAGAAAAGCACACATACCTGGGCGCATACCACTGGCCTATCGGGAAAATAATTTTCAGCCAATTGAACGGTACCATGAACTGGAATGGTTTTGAGGAGCAAGGGCCCTTGGGTTTGGGGGTATCATGGAGATCTGAGGGGAAGAACAATGAACTTTCAAGTGTTTCCACTCAGTCTTATAAATAGATTGGGGTAAATCGTTGGAAAGCTTGGGGCAAGCAGCTCAACTGGCTTTTGGCATACATCTTCTGCTTTGCATCTTTCTTTTCATTTGCTTCAGTTCAAATCCCATTCTCACCGACAACCAACCCACAATCCAGCACTAGTTTTCAAGGTCGGCTCATCAACTGAATATTTTGTCATCATGAGTACATCTGCGTTATCCGCGAAGAAGCGCTATGCGCTGGTAGGTACTGGCGGGAGAGCTGGTCTCTTCTACACGAGTATCGCACGAGACTTCAGCGAGACGAGTATCTTGGTTGCCATCTGTGATACGAATCAGACTCGACTCGATTACGCTAAATCCAAGATTGATCCTTTGACCGGTGGTCAAATTCCAACCTATCTCGCCAAAGACTTCGACAGGATGATCGAAGAAACAAAGCCAGATGAAGTGATCGTCACTACCATTGACCGGACCCACCACACATACATCGTGCGCGCTCTAGAACTTGGCTGCAATGTCATTACCGAGAAACCAATGACCATCGACGTGCCACAGTGTAACGAAATTTTCTCAGCGGTCGACCGAACCGACAAGCGAGTGAGAGTCACTTTCAATTATCGATACGCACCTCACAATACGAAGATATTCGAGCTTATCCGATCCGGTGCAATCGGAACTGTGACAAGCATCCATTTTGAATGGATGCTCAATACTTCTCACGGGGCCGACTACTTCCGACGCTGGCATCGTGATGCGCGAAACAGTGGCGGTCTGTTGGTTCACAAATCAACTCATCATTTTGATCTAATCAACTTTTGGCTTCAGTCCAGACCAAAGACTGTATATGCCCAGGGAGACCTCAAGTTCTACGGCAAGAAAAATGCAGAAGATCGCGGTATCACCAGTTTCTACTCGAGGGCTTATGGCAGTGAAGCTGCCAAGGATGATCTCTTCGCTCTCCATCTGGACCAGAACCCACAGCTTAAATCTCTCTACCTTGATGCCGAGCATGAAGATGGATACTATCGTGATCAGAGCGTATTTGGCGACGGAATCAGCATCGAAGACACCATGAATGTGCTAGTCCGGTACGAGAACGAGACTGTCCTGACCTACTCGCTTACAGCATACGCCCCTTGGGAGGGCTTCCGTGTCAGTTTCAACGGGACAGGCGGAAGGTTGGAAGCCGAAATTGTTGAAAGCAGTTATGTCAACTCTGGTGGAGAGCAGTCACTGGAAGGTGCAGCTGAGGATATCACACTCATGCTGCGGCCTTTGTTCCAAGAGCCACGGAAGGTCGAGGTTGTGCAAGCAAAGGGAGGCCATGGAGGAGGTGATGAAGTGATGCTACGTGATCTTTTTGGTGATGTGGAACCAGATGAACATATGAGAGCTGCCAGTCACGTTGATGGGGCAGCTTCCATTCTCACCGGTGTTGCTGCCAATCGGTCTATTCGCACAGGTCAAGTTGTGAAAGTTAGCGATATCTTGACACTTCCATAGATAGTCACAGAGCAGCTTGGATTTTGCGCACAAGAAAGTTATCTGGGGGCTGTCCTAGAGTAAGAAAATATAATAGTGCAGAGCAAGCGACTCGCCACACAGCCCAATTTTCAATATGATGAGTAGGCCATTTAAACCTAACTACAATCCTGAAGTCACCATAATGGTTAGGCTTTGGGTCTTATTGGGTATAATATGAACATAACGCGAGTACTAGGAGCATTGGCTGAAGTCATTGGCGTTTCGGAATAATTGGTGTCAAAGCCAAATGGGAGATGTGTCCAAGCGTTTAGCGTGGGGGGTATCGCAAATCTGGGGAAGTCAAGTCTATCATCAAAGAGTTTGGCGCTACTCGGGAGATCTTTACCCCAGAGTGCTTGCTACCGAGGCAAGGGAGACTTCCAAGATTGGCTTCTTTATCTCCCCAAACCAATCACTCCGGCTGCTTTGCGCCACCACATTTATCCCCGCATTCCAGTTCTACTGCGCGGGAGAATGGCCTCATATGACCAGCTATCTGGTTTTGAACTACACTCCATTCAGACTTTATTGGTGCAAAATTTGACCTGGGCCTTGGTATTGGGCTAACAGAGCTTCAGCACGGTGCGAGTAACCATTGTGGTATCTTGACCAAAGAGAATCATGTTCAGCCTAATATTGATGTGTACATGGGTGAGATTCTCAGAGGGAACTTTCAGAATTCCTCAAAAGCAGGATCTTTCCCGGTGATTCTTAAATACGCACCAGAATCCTAAGCGTCGGACCTCCCCCCTGTTTGAAAAGAAGAGCACCTACACCCACCATTGTTTCGAAGTGTTTGCCCTTTATGAAGCCCCACAAGAGCGATGATATTCAAATTGCCCATGACGAGAATATTGGGCAAGATCATAGCGGTTCGCAAGCAACGCGTTCAAAAGCTGTTGAATTCTTAGCCGATAATTCGAGTGAACAACCCAGTTTCACTTATGAAGAAGAGAAAGCTGTTCTTCGTCGGATCGACTCACGAGTCCTCGTTCTGGTATTGTGGGCTTATTTCTTCCAGCAACTGGACAAGAGTACACTGAGGTACCTAATTTCCAACCCGTATCGGTCTGCTCAAGACTTAGCACTGACCTGAATGAACTTTAGCTATGTTTCTATCTTCGGAATTTCAGAAGATGCCAATTTGGTCGGTCTTCAATATTCCTGGCTTGGGTCCATCCTTTACCTTGCACAACTGGTAATGCAACCATTGGCGGCCTTGATCCTTGTAAAGCTTCCAACGGGAAAGGTTTTGGCTTCAGCCATATTTCTTTGGGGCTCCTCCCTCACAATCATGACAGCTTGCACCAATTTTCCATCGCTGCTTGGTTTACGATTTGTTCTCGGGTCCTTTGAATCTCTTATTGCTCCTTGCTGCGTTGCTATTACACAGATGTGGTGGCGTCGGAGTGAGCAAACTCTACGTGTCAGCTACTGGAGTGCGATGAATGGCGTCACAGCAATAATCGGTAGTCTACTGACTTATGGCCTGGGCCATATTCATAGCACCGTGTTGTTCCGCTATCAGACAATTTTTCTGTTTTGTGGGCTTCTGACAGTGGCTTACTCTCTCGTGGTTTTCTGGCTCATGCCGGATTCGCCAATGGACGCTCGATATCTCAACCAACGAGAGAAATTCATTGCTACAGAGAGACTCCGAGCAAACCAAATGGGCATCGTTACCCAGAAGTGGCGCTGGGACCATGTCTTAGAAGTGGCACTGGATCTCAAAACATATTGCTGGTTCTTCACCATCGTTGCTATCTCGTGAGTTGCTTCTATATTTGTTTTCGACGCTCGTATCAATCTAATACATGACTTTTTCAGCATCGCGAGTGGCGGAATTTCGTCATTTGGCTCTTTGATTGTCAAGTCCTTTGGGTTCAACAGCTTCCAGACAATCTTGTTCAACATTCCTTTCGGTGTTGTTCAAGTCATCGCCATTGTGGGTGCCGGTTGGATCGCCACTCGCACCCAACGCAAAGGTCTCGTTATCTCTGGGATGAGCATAATGCCAGCAGTTGGTGCTATTCTTATGTTAACGGTCCCACGAAAGCAAAAAGGAGTTCTTCTCTTTGGTTACTATCTGGCAAGTCTTGAGTCGAGTATCTTATCTCGTGGGGATTTGCTAACCACATGGTCACAGGTTTCAACTCTTGCGGGAATAACTCCCATGCTTTATGCATGGCAAGCGCAAAACACTGCAGGAGATACCAAGAAGAAATGCACGTCTGGCATTGTCTTTGTTGGCATGTGTGCTGGAAACGTAATTGGTCCACTTCTCTTCTCTACTGATGACGCGCCTTTGTATCGGACAGGGCTGATAGCCGATCTTGCTATGTTTGTCACGGTTGGAATACTCGCTGGGTAGGTCGGATCACTCGCGTCCAAGTGCCATTAAAGCTAATACATGCTCACGCTTCTAGCCTTATCCCAATCTATCTCGCGTTCCTGAACAAAAAGCACGAACAGATGCGTATCCAGCTTGGGAAGTCCGGCCATGTGGCTGATATGTCTATGCTCCGGAAGGATCAGATCAAAGCCAATGAAGTTGTTGGTCTCGAGAATGTTCAGAATCAGAAAAACTCTGTTGATCAAGATAAGGGACTGTTGGATGTGACTGACTTGAGAAACGAAGACTTTATCTATGTTTACTAAATATCAGGTCTTAGAGAATTGAAATTCTTGAAGGTCTCCCAACCTTCGGATACATGCACTTGAATTCTTTGATCATTTCCCCCAAAATTGCAGTAAGATAATTGTGTCAGGATTATCACAAGGTAGTTTAAGCTCCCACCATCCATAATTAAGATTTAAGTTCTGGTAATATACACGTTATGTTCAATATGGCCATATCTGCGTGAGTTTCGCCGGAAAAATCGCATGGAACGTTGGAAAAATGTGAAGCGAATATTTGGATGACCCCCTTCCAAGGTTGCGAACGGCGTTCAATATGAAACACGGATTTCCTCTTCTAGAATCCGCCATTTCTGTGCAACTTCTGCCCGCTCTTCAGCGGAAGATGGATGCATTTCTTCAAGACCCTGGGCTATTCGAGATGCCACGACAGCACCCTCCTGCTTTTTGCCCAAGGATATTTGTAATCTTCTGCGCAGTCCGACCAGAGGATAACCGGCCAGTCCCCAGAGACCTGTGTTTCCTCTATATTAGCTTTCATTTACACATCACGATGTTTGGGTGACATACCTGCGGGTGGCTTGAAGAAGACGCCGCCTAGACCTTTACCAATTCCCTTGGCCATTCCTTTCGCACCTTGATGTTTCAATCCGTATCTTGGCTGAGTGATCACTCCTGTGATTCCATAGTAGAAGCCATCTCGCAGCTCCTAATTTACACCCGGGATCAGCTCATATTCTTAGTTTCTGAAAAGATCATATGTCTTTCAATATATAACGTACCTTGCCAGCAGCTCTGACCCCACTTCGGAAGCCAATGACCTTGGGGGTAGATTTGACCATGCGATCATGATACAGCTTGGGCGCATTGTGAAATCCCTTCGATAAACTGAGAGTCAGATCTGTTGGAAGCCAAATTATGGTTTTCAATAGTTTCTTTGACATCCGACTGCCATGGCTGCGCATTTCAGTGAAAGCTGTGTTGTGTTTCGGAGATCCTATACAGTCCATAGTCCGAGACTTCTCCAGTTGCAGGCTGCGTCTCCTTTCAGGGCTTGTTGCTGATAGTACTTCGCTCTCGTCATCGGTATCTTCGAGGTTCGCTTCGTCGTCATCGTTTGGTTCGTCGGATTGGTGATACTCGTTCGAATCATGATATTCCTCTTCCTCGCTTTGTTCACTTGACTCTTGGCTTCTTCGCTCACGTTTCCATGCACTAGCAGCTTCCACGGGGTCATAGTGATCTCCTGGGTTTCCGATGGCTCGACCAGCGGAGATAAGATCCGTCGCCATTTCATAAGGTAGCTCACCGATTCCGGTGATAAAGTTTGCGATGGCGCCGACAAGGACTTGTGCTCCTGCACTAAGCGGACCTGCGGGGTCCCGCCAGGTATCATATTCCGACGCCCGATTCCTAGGAAGCAGGTTAGTTTGAGAGACGACATCATGATTGGTGATCTTACAGCACGAGATCGCGGGGCTTGATTCTTTCCATTTCAACCAGTACAGTGGCAGCGAAAGCGCTCAAGCCAATCTCAGTGTGCTTAAGGTGCCAGACAGCAGGACGAGATGGGCATATGGCGCATCGGATTGATTTCAGGTCGAGGTGGCGATGAAAACTGCGTACACCATCCCGCACGCCGGACTCTTTCTGCATCTTTTCGGCAATCGCTTGAGCCTTCTCTTTGGTTGTGGATTCCAGTGCAATCGTAATTGCACTACTCAATTTCTCGACTGTTAGTTGTTTGTAGGGGATTGGGCCTGGGCCTGCTCCAGCGGCGGCAACTATTCCTCCCCAGAATTGTTGGTCCCCAAAGAAAGGGACAATGATTGTCGGACGGCCAAGAGAAAGTCCCGCGGCGGTTGTACCAGCACCGCCATGATGAATGACGCACGAGACATGGCGAAATAGCCAATCGTGCGGGATACTTCCAACAATGAGAACATTATCAGGAACTTCCACATTGTCAACTCCGAGATTTCCCCATCCCTTCGAGACGATTGCTCGCTGTCCAGCATTCTCGAGCGCTTCAAACACAATCCTTGTCAGCCTTATCGGGTCATCTACAACGATTGATCCGAATCCAACATAAATTGGAGTTGACCCAGCTTTCAAAAATTCGTCGATCTCCTTTGGGGGTTTGTAGTCGGATTTGGATGGAAGAACGCTGAATCCGCATATATCAATGTCATCGCTCCAATCGCGTGGCTTTGGGAGCAATGCGGGTGACCTTTGTTGGCTGGTTATCGAATGCGCCTCGATAACTTGATCATCAGGCAAAACTTACCATAGATAGGAGTACGGAACTTGAAGGCGATGGATCAGACTCGGCGCTGTAATTGAATCTAATGGATCTAGCGCCAGTACTTTTTTTCGCCATGAATTGACGAGATCTCCTAAGCCCTCCCAGATCATCATGTCCACGACAGCGTAGGAAACAAAATTAGCAACCGTTGGCTTGCAGTCTTGTTGGTGAAGGACAGCCAAAGGATGTGGAAATGATTGGGTGGGCGACCAGGGCATACTAGCAGCTTTGGATCAGCACCTCAAGATGAATCCTCACGGCAGAGGTACTCACGTAAACATCATATGTAGTGGGATCCCTAGCCGTTGGGCACAATGAATGTGAGCCAAACTTGGAGGATTGGCAATGATAGCGTCAGCAATGAAAGGGCGCCGTCGGTAATCCACACCGTCATTCCAAAGGTCTTCTTTGATTTGATGGAGATCAGTACCATCACCAGTCTCAATGCACGATCTCCAACACCCGTGTATTATCTCTTTCATTTCTCTTCGTCGTTTCTGAATCGCCCCACTTCGAATCGTACTAAAGGCCGGCATGAGGGAAGGATTTTTCACCATGAAGGCCATCAGTTCTGCGGGGTCTCCTCCAATGCTGAAGAATTCCAAGCCAGCCTCCAGCACAACATCCCGAAAAGCCAAATGGGTTGCCAACCGTACCCGGTGTCCATGTGCCTTGAGTTCTTTGCCCAATGCGATGAAAGGCTGGATGTCGCCCCGCGACCCAATTACCTGTATGACAAGGTTCATTTTCAATGGGAAGTCCTTCCCTACATTTCCCGGCATTCCTTCTTGGGCCTCCTTAGTCTCGACGTCCTCCAGGTCTGATTGCAATGGTGTATTCTGGATGCGGTTCAACAAGCCTGCAATGCTCGGCTTCCGCTCATTGATATTGATGTCAAGCCGTCCGTCGCCTATACGAGAAAGACTGTTAGTGTCATTTCCTGATTCACCCACTAAGCACGCACTCAAGACTCGGACTCCGGTGCTTAGTCCATCGCCGCTAAATTGCATTCCTTCCGCGCCCTGCGAGTGCGCATTATTGACCTCCTCGGGCCAGTCCTCTGGTTTTATTGCTCCATGCCGGTATGAGCTGGTCCGCCTAGCAGTCGGTGCTGCAGAGGCCATAATTCTCGGGAGATCGACGGGTCAAAGCGGGTCGTTTCGCGATCTGCGATGATCGACCTGCGCGACCGGAAGAATACTGTGGGATTTTTTCTGAAAGAAAACGTTGAGATGTGTGCGACAAACAGAACACTTTCCTCTAATCGATGATGTCAGAGGAGTTCCCAAGCTTCCGGCTTCCCGGTTCTGTGCTTGTTCAGCGGGTCTCGGCAGCCCTGCGCCGATCGGACCCTTTCTCATTTGACTCCGCAAGCTTCACCCTTTGAGGCTTGGTCAATACTCACTGTGAGTCTTTGAGGGTCATTCGCTACCTCTCACTACCTCGGTAGGAAGAGGCCTCGGTGCATCTGCATTCTGGGATCCCAGCCCTTGAGATCAAGGTGCTTCGTTCTGCATTCTTCACCGAAAGGGAATTTCCAGGTGACTTATTCCGCGGTCCGCATTTCAGCCACCCAAAATATGTGTTTACCAGTCCGCAGAATACAGCTCCTCGGGAACGATGTGTACCCAGATGGCCTTTGTTGAGCTGCACATACCTGTTGATCCATCACCATTCACACTTATATTGATGAAAAGCTGGTGCATGAATATGGAACTTGATCCCTTCCATGCAATGGCGTCCTGGAAAACAACGGGGTTACTTCCAAAGATGGCGAAAAGGCAATGGAGGAAGACTGAATTGTTACAACCAAGTGGAAAGACAGGAGATGCTGGTGCGTTGGCCTGAGGTGTCTATCTCGATTCCGACTACATCCAGGCATCATCCCTCATTCCTCATTCCCTCATCCTAAAACCCCCGGAACCCGCCTTTTGCAAAGTGGAAACTCCGGAATCATCAGCATCACCCCAGGCTATCGATATTTACTTAGACAGGCAACACGCGCCGATGATATCCGCTCGTTACAAGGAGTTCATATCGACCAATGAGAACCGCATGCATAACGAGAGTGCAGCGCGATGCGGCCTCTGGCGGATCGCAAGTTCCGAGGAGTGGGTTCCTCCACTTGAAAATATCGGGAGGGGGACTCGAATTGATGCCTGTTCGTACTACTCCATACGTGGGTCGATATCGCTCAGGTTAAGCTATTCCAATGACAGTGTGCTTACCCAAGCTTCTAATCAAGAGTAGGCATTGAGATCCATGCGCCCCCCGAAATTGCGGGTTTGGACGCAGGCTCTTCCTAGTCATTGTCAATCATATTCACGTTTTGAGCCAAAGACCGCAAAATCGCGCATCCTGCGGAGTACATGCTAAGACGTTTTTTTTTTTCGACAAAGAAATGCGCTATGGATACATGACGCACTTTTACATGCAGGTTGGAGGGGTGCGGAGGCGCAAGTCTCTGGTCGGGACATTGTTCAGCCGAAGACCACCCGAATTGGCGATGTTCAACATATCCAGTTATAGGGTGTTTCAATTCAAACCACCCGACTGAAGATCTCGGGCTGGGCAGGAAGTGCGGGCTGCTATCTAGCCTCTTAGGTTGTGATGCCGAAGCGCTCCTCGCCCCGAGCTGTTTCATCGGCTGATTCTCGCCCAGCCGTTGATCTCGGGATTGAAAAATTCAGTCAGCATTCCCTTTCTGGTCACTTGTGAAGCCTGTCTTTTTCTTCGGCGACGGAGATGAGATGGGGCCTCTGATGTGTGGAATATGGTATCCGAAGCGGGAAATGGTGTCCGAGTCGTGACATCCCGGGGCCCCGCGGTCAATTGGCGCATTGTTCCCCGCGTATCCCACGCTCGTGGGGCCCGATGGCGTCAAGCCCGAAGATCATCGTCTTCCACTTTGTGGAGGGGGCGCAAACCGGTTGCGAAATAGTTGCATTAAGATTGGTGCAAGGCAACACTATCTAGGCCATCTAGGCGAAGATGTCTATTTGCCAATTTATATTCAAAGCATATCGAGCGTATACTTAAGTAGGTTGGCCTATGATTTTTCACCCATTGGATGCTTAGCTCTCTCTTGACAAAATCCCATTGCCTTTTTTTTTCTTTTCTTATACTTTGTTTGTCTTGCGCCGCCATCCACAGCTTTCCGAGATTGTCAGATAAATTTGTACCATGGGGGAAAAGAAATCATCACCAGAAAGCGAACATCTAGAGTCCAATTTAAAGGAAGACCCTTCGACTATCATCCCAGATCCAGGACAAGAGCGTCAACCATACGGTGCATCTGGTACGCAACTCATATCATCATACCCAGACAACAACCAGAGTGTGGACTTACAACTAATGAATTGAGCAGGGTTGAAAGGTGTGATCACGAATAAATATGTGGCAACATGTGCTGCCTTCGCAACATTGGGAGGAGCAATGTTCGGCTACGACCAGGGTGTCGTCTCCGTAACCCTTACCATGGACCAATTCCTCGAAACATTCCCTGAGGTTGGGGCAGAAGCAGCCGGAGCCGGTTTCCAAAAGGGCATTCTCACAGCAATGATCGAGTTGGGGGCGTTCCTTGGAGCCATGAATCAGGGATGGCTTGCAGATAAGATTTCACGGAAGTGGTCGATCTTCGTTGCGGTGTGGATCTTTGTCTTTGGCTCCGCGTTGCAGACCGGGGCAATGAATTTCCAAATGCTCGTGGGTGCTCGGTTTGTGGGTGGAATCGGTGTGGGCATGCTGGCCATGGTTGCGCCGTTGTACATTTCGGAGATTGCGCCTCCTGAGATCCGTGGTACTTTGCTTGTATTGCAAGAGCTCTCGATCGTCGCTGCTATTGTGGTTGCATTTTACATCACCTATGCAACTCGCTTCATCCCTAATGAGTGGGCATGGCGACTCCCCTTCCTCATCCAGGTACAAACCCCTTACCAATCATGATATAACTCATCGCTGAACGTCAATCTAGATAATACCTGCTTTGTTCCTCGGTGCCGGTATACCCTTTCTGCCATATTCACCCCGTTGGCTCGCTGGCCGGGGACGGGATGAAGAAGCGCTCCAGGTTCTTTGCAAGCTGCGAAGAGTGGATGCTACCGACCCACGCGTAATGCAGGAATGGGTTGATATTCGATCGGAGGCCGCCTACTGCACGGAAGTGAGCATTTTGCGACATCCCAATTGCCAGGATGGAAGTTACTCTAGTCGGGCTATGCTTCATGTGTGGAGCTATTTGGACTGTTTCCGTAAAGGATGCTGGAAGCGCACTCATGTCGGCATTGGACTGTTATTTTTCCAACGTAAGTATTCCCCGTGCCTAAGTATTTTTTTCATTTGGATTTTGAGGCTCACTGGTGATATATACAGAATTCGGTGGTGTCAATGCTCTGATTTATTACTCGCCCAGCCTCTTCGAAGGAATGGGTCTCGACTACGAAATGCAACTGAACATGTCTGGTGTCGTGAACATCTGCCAACTAGTCGCATGTCTATGGGCTTTGTGGGGAATGGACAAATTTGGCCGCCGGCCTTTGCTCTTCGGAGGTGCGGCATGCATGGCAATCGCTCATCTCATTATCGCCGTGCTCATGAGCCAATACCAATCAGACTGGCCTTCTCATCCAGCCCAGGCTTGGGTCTGTGTCGCATTCCTGTTGGTTTTTATGCTAACCTACGGAGGCACTTGGGGTCCAATCCCCTGGGCGATGCCGGCTGAAATCTTCCCATCTGCCCTTCGTGCTAAAGGTATGGCTTACTCAACAATGTCTGCTTGGCTCAACAACTTCATCATCGGGCTTATTACACCACCGCTGATACAAAACACCGGGTATGGTACCTACGTGTTCTTTTGTCTTTTCTGTGCCTTCTCGTTCGTGTGGTGCTGGTTCTTTGTCCCAGAGACAAAGGGGCGCACGTTAGAGGAAATGGATGAAGTCTTCAAGGACAACAGCTCCAGTGAAGAGAAGAGACAACGAGCCCGTATTGAGGCTTCCATTTGGGCTCTCGCAGATAATAGGCCCAATGGTGGATTTGAGGGTGCACACAAGATGATCTGAATAGACTTCAATTTTCAGGAAAATACACTGTCTTGTGTTGGGACTCCTTTTTCCACCTGAAGGGTCAAGAAAATGAGCAACATCTATCTCAACTTTAGAGTGATTACAATACAAAGTAAAGTAGCGAGAATTCATGAGAAAGGATAAGATATTTAAATGTTCTAAAAGTTTTCAAAGATAAAACATGACCATCACAAAAGATTATACAGAAAACAGATATGCCAAAGCCACGCTCAAACAAACAAGACATGCAAATATAGAGGATATAAAATCATTAAGCGTTCCGAGGTATCAAATCACATATTAAACATCAGCCTTAGCACCAATGCTCTCGTGGTGTGTGGCACCCTCGGCGCGCTTCTCACCGGCATCGATCTCGAGCTGGGCGAGGTCACCAGACTTTCCGTTAGAGACATCGCGAACATCGGCGTAGTTGACGGAAGGAACCCAGCCAACGGACTTCCAGGCACAGGAGACCTTGGAGTAAAGCTCATCGACCTGCTCAAGGGAGAGACCCTTGGTCTCGTAAATACAGGTGTAGACGAAGACGGCGCAGATCATGCAGAAACCACCCCAGATGAAGAACACCTTGGACTTGAGGTTGGCGTTGCCAGGACCGCTGTTCACCATGTAGGGAGTGGCGTAGGCAATGGCCCAGTTGAGCAGCCAGTTGGTGGCGGTGGTGATGGAGAGACACTTGGCGCGGGCCTTCAGAGGGAACAGCTCACCAGTGACGACCCAGGCGACGGGACCCCAGGAGCAAGCGAAGAAGAAGATGTAGATGCAGACGAAGGCAATGAGGACCTTGTTGGAGACATCCGAGTCGACGGCGGTGCCGACGATGGCGACAATCAGCTGAGAGACACACATGCCGACAGCACCGAACAACAGGAGAGGGCGACGACCCCACTTCTCGACCATGTAGAGACCGGGGAAGGTGGAGACAACGTTGATGATGTTGGTGATCAGGGTGATGACGAAGGAGTTCTGGATTCCAGAGTTCTGGAAGAAGGTGGTGCCGTAGTAGAAGATGAAGTTGACACCAGCAAGCTGTTGCAGACCCTGGACGGCACATCCGGTAGCAAGACGCTTGCCAAGGGTGCCACGGAAGATCTCAAGGTAAGTAGCAGCTCCGAGGCGCATTTCAAACTCGTGGTTGGCCTGGATCTCGGCAAGCTCCTCAACGACAGCAGGGTCGTTCACGTCCATGCGGCGAAGGCGAGCGAGAGCCTTGGTGGCCTCCTCGTAGCGATCCTGCTTGATAAGGAAACGAGGAGTCTCGGGGAGAACAATCATGCCGACGACAAGGATGATGGCCCAGGCAAACTGGACAGCGACAGGGATACGGTAGGAACCGGTGTCATTGCGGTCCTTGGTCGCATTGTTGACGATGGCAGCGAGGAGCAGACCGAAGGTGATAGCCAGCTGGTAAGCACCGACAATTGTACCACGAATCCACTTGGGGGAGGTCTCAGACTGGTAAAGGGGGATGGTTGCAGAGAGCAAACCGACACCGAGACCAGCGAAGAAACGACCAGCAACGAAGAGAGGAATGGAGGTGGCAATGGTCTGGAGAATGACACCGAAGACAAAGACACCGGATTCCATGATCATTCCCAGTCGACGACCAAACTTATCGGCGATGGGGGCAGCGAAGAGAGCACCGAAGAAGGTACCGGCAGAGAGGAGAGACACGATCATAGAGGATTGAGAAGAGGTGACATCCTTCATGCCATCTTCCTTGTTGATGTAGCCGGTGGAGAAAGTCTCGCGCCAGTACTTCATGGCGAGGATACCACTAATGGTACCGGTGTCATATCTGAGATTTTGTTAGAACTAGAGCCGACGAAGGTATGGAATGGAAGTGGTACATACCCGAAGAGAACACCACCGAATGCAACAAAGAGACCGATCAAGATGGCCGGGGTAGCAGAACCCACGGCATCATCGGGCCTTTTCAAAGCGAAACCCATTGCAGTAGGGTGGGCTAGTTTAATCGATGCGGGTTCTTGTATAGGTTTGGGTATAGGTGGTTGTGTGTGTGTGTGTGTGTGTGTGTGTGTGTGTGTGTGTGTGTATAGAAGACAGAAGAGTAGATCCGCTCAGCAGAGAATATAGAAAGTAGGTCGAAGTGAGTTGATGTGATTGATGTGTGTAGAAAAGGTAGATGCAGACCAAAAACGTCGAGGACGATCCTCCTATTTGTAGTTTTTTCTCCCCCAGAAAAACTCAACCACATGGCCACCCACACACAGGCCGGGCCGGGGTAGACAGCGCAGAACCCGAAAGCAGCGAGACCGCGGGGGCCAAGGCCGAAGTCTGCATCATGTCCAATCCCAGGAGGTTATTCGCTGACTAGCGTGATTCTACTAAGAATCCTGTAGTATTATTTGGGTAATTTGATTTGGATGTTTCGAGCCTGGGGATAGGGTTTAGGCCGGCCGTGGGGGAGCCAATACGGTCTGGATGCGCTGTGGGGCCACTCAGCCCCCGGCGAAATCCGAAAGAGCCATTGGTCACCTGCGCAAATTGGCTCAACGCTGAGCCGAGGATTCGAGAAGAGTTTGCCCTGGACCTTGCTTGGGGCGTCTTGGCTAGGCCCTCTCATTGGTATTTTACCAACCCCAATTGAATTGGTGCATGGCCGTGGAATGTTGCATACCTTCGAGGGATGGCTCTTTCGATAGAAGCCGGTAGTTCTGAGATCTGATTTTAGTGCGATCGGGACGGAAATAGCCATGTGTATGCACATGACAGGAAATTCGGGGGATGCCGAAAACGGATCCGATCGGCGTCGGCCTGCCGCTTCGGGGAACTGGACAACGGGCTGGAATTTCCTAAGGCCGTCCTAAGGGTCTCGGTACTTCTGGGATATTCTCTGCTTAGGAAGTATAGAAGGCATTAGGAATCAAATTTCTAAGTATACTCCCCAGATCTCCATAGATCATTTTCTACAATTTCTACAAGACTTTTATGTACGTTGGGGAAGAGTAGAGAAACGTATTGAAATCATGAAACTCAAACCTCACCCCCAACCAACTGTTCATCTCCAGATTTCCCCCCTCACTTCAGTGCGTATTTCCCCAGGTCTGTAGGGGCCCGAGTGATCCGGGGAGACCAATAATCAATTCTAACAAGCCGTGATCCGCAGTAAATGTCGTCAATCCCTGGCTACTCACTCCTAACCCCATGTTAGAGTTGCTCACCGGAGGCCAAATGAGCAAAAGACGGCCAGATTAAAACAGGCCCCGCATTCTCGCGTGTCATGAACAATCCGGGCATAGGAAGGTTTAGGCCTATTAATATTCCCCGTTTGGGTTTTCCTCGCACGAGTACGCTCCACTCTCGCACCGCTTCTAAATCCCCCTACTTCAAACATCTCCAGTGATTTCGGCCATACCCATCCTTCTAAAGTCTCTTACTAAACAGTTCTACACAATCCACGCTCACCTGGGCAGGAGCAGGGGGGAAAAACGAACTGTGGAAAGTGCAAACAAGATCCTACGGCCCGCGCCAGTGTCTTGGCAAAACACAAAACAAGGTGCGCTATTTTCCCGTTCCTCGGATTGGGCCATCAGACCGAGGCTTTCCCGACAATTGTCCCGCCGGGAAATCGTCGGAGACAAGGTCAAGTCCGGGGGTCACGACCGGGGTCGGGATCTCGGGGAATAAAAATATCCCGGTCAGCTGTGAGGAAAAAAAAGTGGCGCAGCTCGGGAACTAAGAGCAAGTCTTGTTTTTTGAGGCTGAGAATAGACATCAGATGATCAATGGGATTCTTCAGAATTAGGCCGATTCGGCTCGGTCCGATGAAATGCGTGTCTATGGTCTATGCTTGCCTGGGGTAAAAAAAGAAAAAAAACCGGAAGGTGAGACCCACCCGGACTAGCTACCAGCGCCAGATGAGGATGAAATACACGATGAGTACCACTTGGGCCACGTATCGGATGGATGAGCCTAAGTCTCTCACGATGAGAGAAAAGCGAGACCGGGGTTGTGACGATGCTGGACGCCATCCTCCTTTTTCTTTGGGAAAAGGGTCCCTTTCATCGTCTGTGCGGTATGTGTCCTGGGGAGATTTGGTGCCGGGGTAGCGCGCGGACGGTGGAATCCCACCACGGCTAGCCAGGCCGCCCATGGACATGGTAGAGCTGGACGCACCAGATGTGTGGAATTGGTGGGAGGGACGTCGCTGTTCGGCGAGGGGAAGGATGCTATCCGTGGAAGGCTGTGGCGAGTAGATGGCCTGATATACAGAGCGGAAGGCAAGGAGGGAGATGCTTAGACCCAGAATGGTGAGGTAGTAAATGAAGATTCCCAACTGGTCGGGGAGAAGGCAGAGGTGATTTTGAATGGTAGAGGTCCCTTCGTGGAGCGCTTGGCCCGTCTTAGGGTCGATTGGGTGCCACAAACTGGTGAGGACAAACCCGGGGCGGCGGACTCCCATCGCCCAGGATATACTCTTCACTGTGATTTCGTTCGGTGAGCCGTTAAACTCCCGGTGGGAGACCTGACAATAATCATGGTCATCGCCAGAGTAGACCTGTACAACATTCGGTCCAGCTTTGGATATCACTTCGGTCGAGACGGTCTGCGTCAAGACGTTCTGGTACTGATAACCAGCCGATATACTGAGGGCGTTTCGCTCATCTTCTTGTAAGTCCTCTTCCGAGGAAGATGGTGGATAGTGCTCACGTAGAGGGCCACAGGGGGTTCCTGCTTTCCTGTAGAGAGGAACGTGGGTGAGCAGAATGGTCGGGAAGCCGACGCTCACTTGTTCTGGCTTGTGGTGAATTGTCGGCTCGATGGCATCGACAACACGGTAATCAAACATATGCCCCTCGCTCTGGTTTCTTAGCATCCGTAGCTCATCAGTTTCCGCCTTGGCCTTGTGGATAGCCATTTTATCCAAAAAGTCATCTGCGTCTTTCCAAATCGGGCGAATGGCTTGGTTCGCATCATTCGATGTTGGTGAACTACCTGTCAACGGATCAGGTTGGTCCATCGCGCTCAGAGAAACCGAGTCGACTGAAACAAAAGTGTGGTTGCCTATCACGTTGACCTGGTTGGTCTTCCCAAAGAAGCTCTCAAATCGGTCCCGGACAGGCTCCTGGACTCCGTTGCCGAACCCTAGGTCATGGTTTCCGGGTAGATTTGCAAGCAACCTCCGACCCCGTCCACCAACAGTCGGTTTATTTGCTTTTTCCCATGGATCGAGGAAGACCTTGACAAATCTCCGGAACTCCTTTTTCCAATATGAGTCTTTATAGCCCTTCCAGCGAGCTTCGGGGCTGCTAGTTGTCGCGGTCGCCCATTCTCTGCCGCCATCGAAGAGATCACCGAGGAACAGCACCGAGTCTGGCTCAAGATGGTCCTGGATCAATGAGAAGGATCGACGCATATACTGGTCGGTATATCGCATCGTCAATGTCGACAGAGGCCATGGTCGGCCGGGGTAGGTGTGGGGATCAACGAGCTGAGGGTCGGCAATAAAGGCAATATGGTGCGGAGTAGCGTCTTGGGGCTAATTTCAGCGTCAATTGTTAGTTTGATTCACCAAAATTGTATCAGTTGTGACAACGCGCCGCTGGGTGCTCACCCAGTCTTCCCAGCTGTCCCAGAGACACTGGTTTATGTGATCTTCGAACACTGTGCGCTCTCCCCACCGGATTGATAACATCCACAATAGAATAATTGCATTGGGAATCGTGAAGATATTTTTGACAACATTCACAGCTGTGACCTTGAGCCCCGCCTCTTTAGTTCTCCTCCATCTCCGCTGAACACTTCTGGGAGAGAGCCATTGCTTCGCCACTGGGGGTATATATTGGGCGACCTGGTTCAGAATTTCTGGTGACCTTTGACGCTTTGGGTTGTAGAAAGGGAGCGAGGATGGCGAGGAAGCACCTGTGTTACGCGGGTAGGCGAATGTCATGTTTGGCACAGCTCAAGATGACAGGGTGGCTTAACCCCAAACAAGAGAGGGCAATTTAGCAGAATGAACGACAGGTCATGCTCTGTGAACGCGACAAAATGATATTAAAGGAATGAATGAGTGAGAGCTGAAGGTGATCCATGGATATCTTTGGGGAACAGGGGGATTACTGTTTAAGCTTCGGGTCGAGATGTGTCGGTGGGTCAAGTCACGTGTGGTATAAAGATAGAACTCCCGAGCTCATTTCATATTTACTTGCTACCTTCATCGACACACAGTACATTTAGGTATATGAAAAGTCCACAAGCATTCTTGATTAGGAATAAGTAGAAATACATGCAGAGTACCGCGTGAAAGAAACCAACGTGAATCTAGCCTGAAGCAGAAGATTATTGCATGCCATGCTGTGTGTCATGCTGTGCCCCAAAGGCATGATCTCTCCAAAACACTTCTAGGGTAGCTGGAAATAAGAAATAGGTATGAAGGATCTAAATGAGCCTCCTAAGTGTAATGATGAGAGGACTTGGGATCAAGGGGTATCTGAATAGGGAAAACCGATGGGGATGATGGTGTTTTAGGGAATGTGAGTAATGACTGAATGAGGCTGGGTTTGTGGTCAATCACCACATGAAATAATCAGATTCACTTTTTGGGGCAACACTGGCCTCCGCGAGCACAGTTCTCGTCACACTCCAGAAGGCACGCTTGAGAGTCACCGTCCCGGACACTGGCAGCACGACTGGGGAGTGCATCCTCGGTACCACGAGAGGAGGCGGCCTGGCCATTATCTTCAACGTCACTCTCGGGAGCAAACTCGGGTTGAATGGTAGAAGAGTGGATACCGTAGGCATGGAGACAACGTCGCACCTGTCTGGCGAGACGCATGTACCTCTCCGAACCTTCGCCCTTGATCTCGGTGTCTACCTGGAGATGGATAGATGCCACAATCTTAGTGTCGCTCAATTGCCAAACGTGCAGGTGGTGGGATCCAATGACACCGGGCAGTCGCTCAATGTCCTCCTTGATATGATCGATGCTCATTCCGGGGGGAACGGCCTGGAGCAGGATGCGGGATGCGGCCTTGCACAACGGAATAGCAGAAGCAAGAATGATAAGGGTGATCACAAGGGAAATGCCGGGGTCGACGTAGTAGCGCCATTCATAGTCGGTCAGCCAGATAATCAGCGCTGAAACGATCACACCAATGTTTCCGAGGGCGTCACCCATGACGTGGAGGAAGACACCACGCATGTTGAGGTCATGGCTGTGGCCCTTCTTCTGATCCTTCGACTTGGGTTGCGCGTGGTTGTGCGATTTGTGAACATCCTCATCCCGGTGGTCATGAACTCTTACTGGCGCTCCCTCCTCGTCGGTGTAGTTTGTGGCGTGGTCCCGGTGGCGCAAAAGGCCCGATCGTTCAGATGGAATCTCTTCGTCATCGCGACCCTCTGAATCCGAGGTTTCTTCACTGCGGTACTGGCTGGCTGCAATAATTCCTTGTCGGAGTCGCTCTGGAAGCACTGGAATATCCTCGGCGCTGACGAAGCCACGTCCATTGGGGGCGCTGTAGCCCCTGGAACTACGGGTTTGGGTGTCTCGGCGTTTGCGGGAGATCGGGGAGCCGGGCTCTGTAGTAGAGTGGGTAAGGGTGGTCTCGGATTCTGGTAGAGCGACTGGGGTATGATCGTGGTCATGGTCATGGTCGTGGTCGTGATCAGTGTATCCTCCCTCGATGGCGTGCTCTTCATCGTGGTCGTGGTCATGGCCGTGATCATGACCCCCGCCATGTCCGTGGGAGTGGTCATGGAAAAGCACCAATCCAATGAGATTGGAGGCCAACCCGAAGCAACCAACAATGCAAACAAACCGGGGGTTTTGGACTTCCTGCGGTTCCACCAATCGCTGAGTCGCCTCCAGGAAAATCGACATGCACAATGCGACGAGGAAGACGCCATTTACCAGAGCACCAAGAGTTTCGGCTCGTTGCCACTGTTGATAGAGATCCCACGGTCAGACAATTCTTCGCCCTTTGTTCCGGATGCACTTACGCCGTATGTGTAGGTGTTGGAGGTAGTCTCGCGGTTTGCGACCTTCACGGCCCATAATCCGACGCAGAGAGATAAAACATCGTTCAACTGGTGGTTTGGTTAGGATTGAATTCTTTTTCTTTCGTGTTGGCTGGACAGGCGTACCATGTGGAAGGAGTCGGCAACAAGGGCAAGTGAGTGAACGGCGTAACCTAGGTAGCAACAGTCAGGAATTGCTCGCATGCAATTCAACTGGTGCGCACGAACCAGTTATCAATTCAAGTAGGAAGAAAGCTGTATCAATGACCAGCAGGATCAAGATCCTATTCGTCTTAGAGAGACCCATGATCGCGTCGGGTTTGCGCTCGATGGCGCAGAGACTCTGAGGGAATCAAGTAATGAGCTGCAGGTAGTAAGAATCTGAATTCTAGAGCAAAGTCAAGATCGCGAAAGGTGGAAAGAAAGGAGGGGTTTATGTAGGAGGACAAAAAATGGGTTCAGTCGATAGCGCCGGAGAGAGATGAACCCGCTGACGCAGTGGACCTCGAAACGGCCAGGCGGAAACCCCTCCGATATGGTCCGTTGTGGCGAGACTTTCTTTTTGATTGTTTTCCTTAACTACTTTGGGCTACGTTGAATTCAGTTTTACGAAGAACAAACTAAAATACTGAAATGAACATAAAATCAAATGGAGCAGAAGTACTAGCAGAGTTTTCGAAGGGCCGATATCGTACCTCACGGGTGATCTCCACTCTGGGGCATCGGTCCACAAGGGGGAAACCTCCCATTGGGACACCCTTGGGCTTGGGCCTTCGATTTATACATCCAAGACATATCGAGTTCTTGTTTGGTGTCTCCAGGGCTGGAATGAGATCTCTTTCAAAGCACGTCCCCGATCGATATGCCCTTGATATACCCAACTATACTTGAACTCACAAATATGTGCGAAAACATATACACCTACTTGGTCTTACATTCACATTGTAAATCGGTCAGCTCAACATGGGTCAAGGACAACCCAAGGTAGTTTTAAACACAGCCAAACTCTGTGGAACAAGCCACAAATTCTCCGTACTGCAGCTGCACTACTGTAGGTACTATGCGAGTAGTATCATTCATTTCCCGACGCCATATCCACTTGAACTCCTAACTCCTAAGGTCCTCACTTCGCTAACCGCTTATCGCCAACCGCTTAAATAACCTCGCTGTCAGAATATCGCACAAAAAAATAAGCCCTAGATCCTAGTCCTTTTTGTCTCGGCATTTCTAGCGCCACGGCGCGGATGGCTGTTTCTTCTCATCCAAGCAGGGCTAGGGCTGGAGATGTGCATTTCCCTGCTTGGTGGCATCATGATCAAAGTTAATAGACGCTGGTCTCAGTTGTCGCGTGCTAGTAAACTCAGGTTGGCCCCCAATTACATGCCCCACGCCTAGCTAGACGAGCAATCGGACATTTGCCGACGTGTCACCCAAGTCTCCCGTTGATGCCTCTATTCCCACGCCGCTGATAATTAGATACTTGGTCATTGGATACTGTGGGAGTCTGCCCCATCTAATACCCATCTACTTTAATATCGCTTGCAAGCAACAACTCTAGAAGGTGGTTCCTGTGGATCGATTTAGAGCGTACTCGTACAAGCTGCGAGATATTTACTTCTGTTGGCAACAACTTGAGAACAGGAGTCTCCACAAACCCCCCCGGTGTACCAGTATCCTTCACCGATTTTCACATGAGATTCCAAGTTCTTCTTTTCTCTCATGCTCAATTCCACAAACTTTCGCGAGCAAATCGAGATAAACCGTAGCCCACATGCTTTCAAGTGGCGACCTGTGCAACACTCCGTCATACAAAGTACGAGCTAGAACTGCCGATAAAAGCTACCCGTAGACATGATACAATCGATGCTGTTTTTTTGATCACAAGACATCCCTAGACCCAAATGAAATACATAAGAAACCAGATAGGGACCAAACTCTACACATTCTGAACCCAATGAAGGTTGATTGTCTTGACCTTGGGAAGCTGTCAGTGCCGGCTGAGCTATGTAGGCAAATAGAGCGAATTTATTCATCGAAGCTCATGTGGCCTAGCGGTTCAAAGTTTCAGCAGCCGAGTGGTTCCACACCAGTGATCCACTTTTCAGGCCGGCTGGCCCAATGGCAAGGCGCTTGACTACGAATCAAGAGATTGCAGGTTCGATCCCTGCGTCGGTCAACTTTTTTTTGCATCATTCTGAATTGAATCGTGTAATCTGCGCAAGGACGGCGTGGCTTATTCCATTTGGTACTGTAGGTCTGGAGGCCGGAAATCAGCGTTGAACTACTTCGCGGGCACTAGCGTCCTCTTGATCGTCGATCCCGTACTTAAGTAGTCTACAGGTTCTTGGCGCCGGTTTTCGTTTGGCTGGCTATGTCTGGTAAGGTCGTTCCTGTGATCCATGGGAGTACCAGATGTGAGTGAAACCCCTGCCCTGCTCGGCCTTGTGAGGAGGCAGAAACAGTCGGTGTTGCGAGGTTGTTGCCGTGCAGCAGTAAAGTAAGCTCTAGTATCAACATCTAAACCAACAGTATAGATGAGAGCTTTTGAAAGTGAAGACTTTGCGCAGTGCAGCGAGGCTGCCTGTGCAGGGTCCAGTTGAAAATCGACATCAACTCATGCGCAAGTGCTCGTAAAATACAGATACATAGCTCAAGCAGGACAACTTTATATACCCTAAATGCACAGACCCACCGAGGGCATGTTCTCCTCAAGGTTTCTTTCTTGAAACTTGAGCACTCTTAAGATAGAACCCATGCTGGTCTATTGGCAGTGCATCATTTATGTGAGACCTTGGCACAGGGCAGTCAACGGCCCCATTCCTTTTAGGGGGCTGTCTAAGCCCCATGGGTCGCTCGCACGGTGCACAACTTGATCTCACCAATAGTGCAAGGCTGAAATGATGTATGTATCTACATAGTACTAAAACAAGCAATCGTCCGTGGGTCTGAATTCCACAGTGATCTTGATTTGTTTGTTTACTTTTGCGGAGTTGTTCGTACGTCATTTGAGCCGAGCCTCACATTTACTCGTACTATTTCTATGTACGAGTAGCACAGCCCTCGGCCCAGATAACAGTATACCAAATAAATTCTTACTTTTGGACCAACTTTATGCTTTGATCCATTTCATTATCTGCACTTGGAAACATCGGACTTTGATCTCTGGCAAACCATGGCTGGTCGTTTTGTGTCTCTCGTTGGAGGTGACAGACTGCTTCTTCGGATAATATGTTTCGCCATTGGCACTATCGCAATAATTTGCCTCAATTTTACTAATGATTATGTTGGCATTGGATTGGTACGAGACTCCAGCAGATCCCCATCAAATCCCCGTTTCTGATCTGGGTTTCAGACCATGGCTGCCGTGGGCTGGTCATTGGTTCATATCTTATTTCTTGAGATCAAGAAGGAGCTTCATCCTGCACTTTCAATCATATTTGACTTCACCTCAACAGTCATCACCATATCTTACGCGATCGTTGGTCTCACAGCAACAATGGGAGTTGATAATCCCCTTTGTATGACCACCACCGTGATTCGCATGATCCTGGGTCTTACAAAGCTGGCTAAATTCAAGTCAATTGAACTTGATGATTCCCATATGGGCTCTTTGGAGATTGGAAGTGAAGCCTTAATGGGCCTCACGGGGTATGTTTGTTGGAATGACATGAATTTCAAATGCACTAATCGTCTTCTATTAGCATCACTCACTTCCTATTCTTTGTTATTGCCTGTCGTGATGTTCAAAATCGACGTCGCCGCCCATGGGATCTCACAGAGAAGTAGATGGCTGTTCTTACAAACAACCCATGCACATCAGTCTTGCATAACTAGAAAACGACTACCCAGAGAGACATCTGGCGATGGAACATGATACCAGAGTATAAGAGCATAATGAAATGGACGACGGTTATGAACAAAGAAGCAGAATACCAATCCTATATCACACCTATCTGCATTTACGGGAAGATTTACGAGGCATCCATTCTTGACATATCTCATAATCTGCTGTAACAATTTCTGACTGTCTATCATGTACGGAGTACGAATGGTGGCTGATGTATGTGAACTACTAGCCTATGGTAGCTGTTGGGGAGCCAGCATCTTGCTTCCAGTAGCGTCCTTTAAAAGTAGGTCTTTGTATTCTAGATGCACGGCCAGTTCTCAATTGACCAACGGCGGAGCATTCACTCTCCATAAGTCGAATGGAAGATGTTCCCTCAAGCCCCGCCGGAAATCGCGTGGCCACGAGACGGAACCTTGGGCCCCACTCCCGACAACTTCCGAAAATGGAAGCTCAAAGTCGAACGCTTGGCACTGTTCTCTTTTTCGGATAGAAATCTGCCATATCCAGTTCATCCACAAATCATGGCCGTTTTCTCCATAAAAGTCCGTGTGTATCGTCCGAAAATGGGCACTATTCTTCAACTAACACTGCAACGGGGCTTCACTGGGTCGTTGCCCCCCTCTGGCTACGGGGGGGCGTCATTGCTTAGAAATTTCGCTACTAGTGCACCCTTTGAATATAAAACATGTTCTTTTCTTCTTAATCCCTTGATATTTACTTTGCTAAAGCTTGTTTATCTCGATATCGAAAATATTTGATCTAGCCCGATGGGCGCACTCGAGAAGGATGGGGCCTTGCCACACGACCCGGAGCAGGCCAGGATAGACCACGAACTTGCTGACTTGGAAAGACTGGGGAGGGAGAGACCAAAATGCTTCCGTGGAGCTTGGTCAGAGATCTCCTTTTGTCTTTCAATCTTCATGTCTCAAATTCTGGCTGTAAGTTATCACCCACTGGAATGGGTAGATTTGGTGGCGGATAGCCTAACCTTCCTCCAGGAATATTACATCTCAGGCTCAAATGTGCTCCTTCCTACTCTCGTTAAAGAGCTCGATCTGCCCGAAGCCTCCGCAATTTGGCCTTCAACAGCACTGTCGTTGGTAGTCACATCGACACTCCTCATCTTCGGCCGGTTGACCGATATGTTCGGCGGGTATGCGATTTACAATGCGGGAGCTATCTGGCTCACGATATCATCCATATTATGCGGTGTTTCCCAGACATGGTTGATGCTAGTCATTTGCCGAGCTCTGCAGGGCTTTGCTCTGGCCGCATTTCTTCCCTCTGGAATTATGATTCTCGGCAGCACCTACAGACCAGGTCCTCGAAAAAATATTGTGTTCAGTATTTATGGTGCGTGTGCAGCACTGGGATTCTTTGTGGGGATTTTCTTCTCCGGTCTCGCCGGCGAATATCTTACCTGGAGGTGGTATTTCTTCTTCGGCGCAATCTTCTCGGCCATCACTGCAGCCCTTGCCCTCTTCTCCATCCCAAGAGACTACGCCGAGAAACGAAATTCCGGAGTCAAGATGGACTGGCCAGGGGCATGCCTTTCCGTTCCCGCGGCGGTACTCATCGTCTTTGCTATTGCCGACAGTGCCCACGCACCGCAGGGTTGGAAAACGCCATACATCCCTCTATTCCTTGTGCTCGGGTTGATTATCCTTGGAGTGATGGTTTACGTCGAAGGGTGGGTTGTCACGAACCCCCTTCTTCCTGGCGATATCTTCAAAGTGAGATACATGCTGCCGCTGGTTGTATCGTTGCTCCTTTTATACGGAACATTGGGTATATTCCTGCTCTACGCAGTTTTATAGTAAGTAACCGGCTTTCTAACCCATCCTTGACTTATCATGGCTGACAACGATTTGCAGTATGTCCGACATTATGGGAGCTTCCCCCATGCAAATTGTCGCATGGACCGCGCCCATGGGAGTAGGCGGCCTGATTCTCTCGGTTGGAGGCGGAATGATATTCCACAAAGTGCCCGGAACTATATTGATGTTGATTTCGTGCTTGGGATATGTGGGATCTGGGCTTTTGTTTGCTGTGATTCCCGTTGGGGGCAATTACTGGGCATACGTGTTCCCGTCGATGATCTGTGGCACGATCGGTATCGACATCAGCTTCAACCTCGCGAATGTTTTCATCACAACCAATCTCCCCAAAGCAAGACAAGGTCTTGCGGGCGCCTTGATCAACTGTACGCTGCACATGGGAATTGCAGTGATGCTTGGCTTTGCAGATATAGTCCAAACCCAAACCGTCGACCTAGGGACTCGCCGAAGCTACAAAGCGGTCTTTTGGTACGAAACCGGACTGGCAATCCTGGGACTTATCATTGTCGCCTTGTTTGTGAGAATTCGTGAAGCAAAGAGTGAACTGACTCTTGACGAGAGAGAGGTAATGGCGGCCACTGCAAATAATGAAAGGTCTGGTGAAGTTTAGCATCTTTGATACCCTACGTCGCGCCAAGATCCATACTTAAGTAATTTATGGGACTTTGGGAATAGAAAAAGTCGATTGTTTTTCTTTCTAGCGAGTCATTGTTTATCTCCAATTGCCTAGTTGCACGGGTCAGTCCTTAACTGAAAATGTAGATATTCTCCGAGGACCCCGTAGGCTGATTACTTACACTCGAATCATAGCAAGTACATCAAAAACGAGTAGACCGATTTAAAGTAGTTTAGGGTTATTGTAACACCTGAGCAACGGGGTTATGTTAGTGTGATCACCCCCAGGGTGGAGGACTATTTATAGTTTGGACAAGAGATCGTATCTCATTGGTTGACAGACCCACTATCACATGAAGTCCCTGAAAGCATCACGTGATTCCGATCCGACCGGGCTTGGCGTGCACAACCCCGGTAACACAACAGGTGCTTGATTGATCTGATTGTCCCTAGTCTTCCGTCAACATTGCTTGCTACTTGGAATCGGCTTCAAAATGATCCTTTTGGACCCGGGCTGATGATTGAGATCCACGACCATGTCAGCCACAACTATACCTCTCCAACCCCTCGTGTCGAGGGCACGTGCGGAGACAAATGACCGTTCCCCCCATGCCGGCGCAGTCGGAGACTTTGATTCTATCATAGTACACCCCGAAGAGGGGAAAGAATGCGCTGGCATGGAGATAAGCGATCGCGATACTCCCCATGCCGAGAACCGTGCTGGAAGGGATCGGGTCTCACTTGCGGAGAAGCAACATCCGCCAGATCTGAGCTTTTTGACGGCCAAACACCCGCTCTTTCCACCCATGCCTTCCTACGGTCCTCCCTCTGCCATCCGCCGGATCCAGGACTGTCTGTTCATCGCCATATCGTTCGTCCTCTCGCTGTGCTTTTTGACGGCTGTCTTCCTCGGTGCCCTCGTGCGGACGGCCGCTGTCGCCATTACGAACGCTCGACTACGAATGAGCGGTCATAATCCAGATACCCAGAGAACGTTCTATGAAGAAGAGCGTGCTCGACGGAAAGCGCGTGCTGAGGCCGACCGCAGATGGCATCTACGTCAGCAGAAAAGGGATGCCGACGAGGAACAAGCTCTGGATGAATGCCCGTCGTTGGAAGGCGGCAAGGATCCTATTGTCTGTGATGTTGCATACTATGCCCGTCGGGTTGGCCTTGATGTTGAGACATTCCGCGTGCAGACCGAAGATGGATTTATCATTACCCTGTGGCACGTCTATAATCCCCAAGAGTACACTGCATTATCACCTGAAGCAAGGCGTGAACGTGGACCCCAGGTCTTTAGTGGGCCAAAGATCTCAAACCTGACTGGCCAACAGTCTCAGCGGCGATATCCCGTTCTCTTGGTCCATGGGTTGCTTCAAAGTGCCGGTGCATTCTGCACCAACGACGAAGACAGCCTGGCATTCTACCTCTGTAAATCCGGCTATGATGTGTGGTTAGGCAATAACCGATGCGGCTCAAACCCCGAACATACCACCCTGTCGCCCGATGACCCACGTATGTGGTCTTGGGATATCCGTCACCTTGGGACATTGGACCTTGCAGCCCTTACTTCGCGTGTTCTCTATGAGACTGGATTCGAGAAGCTGGGTCTTGTCTGCCATTCGCAAGGCACCACACAGACCTTTGTGGCTTTGTCGAAAGAACAACGCCCTGAGCTGAGCGAGCATATTTCTGTTTTCTGCGCTCTTGCGCCTGCTGTATATGCTGGGCCCCTTGTACACAGACCTTACTTCCGATTCATGAGCATTTTATCTCCAGCCATGTTTAGACTCGTCTTTGGCATTCACTCATTCATCCCTTTCATGATGACCGCCCGCCGTCTGCTTCCACCTAGGATATATGGAACCCTGGCATATTGGGTATTCTCTTTTTTGTTTGATTGGTCCGATGATCGCTGGGAGCGTGATCTGCGCCACCGCATGTTCCAGTTTGCTCCAGTATACGTGAGTGCCGAGACCATGCGTTGGTGGCTCGGCAGTGATAGTTTCGCCAAACATAAATGCATTCTGTCCACGGAGGACGAGTTGCGACGTGAGCTTGCCCCGAACAGTACCTTACCTGACGAGACTGTCACCGAACACGGGGATGACCCTCGCGACGCTTGCTTGGGTAGCTCATCCCCTAGCCCCTGGTTTGGCCCAGGGACGCCCCCATTTGCATTTTGGATCGGCGGGTCCGATGCTCTTGTCGATGGTCGTCGGCTGGTGGATCGCTTCCATAGCGGCCGTGAGCCCCATGCACGTCTCGTACATTCGAAGATTATTGAGGAGTATGAACACCTCGATGTGCTTTGGGCTATGGACGCTATTGAGCAGGTTGGCATGGAGGTCAGAGATGTCATTTGGAAAACCATGCCAGACGATGCACGTAACATCTGCCGTGCCCCTCGCGGTGTAGATTTTGACCAGACATAACACCTCATAATATTCTGGTGTTACTGATATGCTTTTAATCTTCTCATGTACATACCGGTTGTTGAAGTTTGGATGCCACTATAGATTAGTACCTCGCGTGTCAAGCGTAATGAGCGATGTTTGCCGATTGCCTAATATATGCCCATAGGGCCTTGACGCCCGTATGAATGTACCCTCGGAGAAATACGCCGCCGGGGGCTGTGTTGATCGCCCCCACGTCAGCACCGCCCTCCAGCTTATCCCCCAAACCTCTTGACATGGATGATATTCTACCTGCTTACCTCTCTCACTACTACTATCCGAGCACCAACAGTCTCTGACACAAACTTCTTTTTTACCAGCTTCTTTCCTCTAGGCTCACATTCAAGCGCCATTGATTCATATTCTTAGCACTGTTATCATGAACAAAAGCGGGGCCTCGTCTGGCTCCAGTGCTATCGATGGAGCCGGGAACACCATCTCCCGCTCCTCTTTGAAGAACTGCAATACCAATAACTCTAATTTGAGACGCTGCGATTTTACCAACTGTGTTCTATCCAATGTGGAGAATGCCTCCCGAAGTAGCGCCAAAGATTCCCAACTGCATGATGTGATTCTCGCTGAGCGCAGCGATATCAGAGAAAGCGCCATTCGAAGCGGAAGCTCTGTTCACAGATCTGACTTGAGAAAAAGCGTTGTCCAAGAGAAAACTTCAATCGAGAGAAGTGTATTGAATGGAGCTGTTGTGTCGCAGAGTCAAGTCCAGAGAACTTCACTGGTCGATTGCGATGTGACAGAATGTGTGATTTCACGATCGAGTTTCACCGGCATGGTTCTCAAGTATGGTATTTGGAAAAAAGGGGTCTTGGTTGGGAAGACCGGGGACATGGAACCGATCCAAATCAAGAGGAATGTTGGTCCAGAGGAAATGGTAAGACTCATCGCTCACTTGAACATTAGATGGAACAACTGTTGACCGTGAGATTCAGTCAAATAAGCATATGCCTTCTCTCACCCAGGAATTATCTACCCCGGATAATGTCCCTGAGTTGGATTCTACGCCAGTTGCTCCATTTTCAAATGCTGTTGAATTGGACAGCAAGACCCAGCCACGCTCCTTTGACCATCTTCATAATCGGGATGATGATTCAGATGTCACCATTGATAGTGAGGACACTGGCGATGACCTACCACCGTCCTACGAGAGTGCTATTAGGGATGAGATAGAGGAAAAAGATGCCAAGCGGCCTCAAATCTAATTGGCATATATTCGATTCTCACATCCATCTACATGATGGCTGATTACATTCGTGTACAAAATCACTCTATCATCATGCATCTCTTCCGTTTCACAACCAGAAGAGGGAGACTTCCGAGCCCGTCCTGTTGCCGGATTCCAGATAGGTCCACCTTATCTCAACTCTATCATCAATATTGTGCATCCGAAGTTCACAGGCAGTAGCCTCTGAGCCTCAGATCTTGCATGCTCAAGTATCCTTACCAGCAACCACATATTGCTTTTCTGAACTCAATTTACTGAGAGTTTCTTCACTCAGGTTTAACGTGTCTGCAATGATTTGCTTGGGAGTGGACCCGATCCATTGACCAAGAGCCATATCTGCGGATTGTCAGTAAAGTGTGGCTCAAGTTTGCAGAATGAAAGACCCTACCTGTGAATAATGGGGCTTGAAGAACTTCGACAAAAACCAAGTCTTCATCGCCAGTGTTCTCAATATAGTGACTGTTTGACTTCGGGAAGTAGCCCACATCACCCCCGCGGTAATCGAAGGTAGTGGCGGCATTTGGTGCAGTAAACAGGGTCGCGCGACCCTGGCCCGAAATGAAGAATGTCCACTCATCACTAGTGGGATGCCAATGGATCTCACGCATGCCGCCTGGACAGACGGTCACGACAGCAGCAGAGAAGTTGGCGGCGATGGGGAAAGTCACTGGGTCGACAATTTTGACCGAACCACCTGCAACTTCGTGGGCTGGTTGCTCGGAAAAGTGGTAGGAGTAACTTTTGGCTCGCGGAATAAATCCAGATGAGGTTGTTACATTTTGCTTCTCAATGTCCGCGGGTGCTGGGGTGCCCTTGAAGATGTACAGTTCGTCTTCCGGGATCTTGTCAAAGGCTGATACATCCAGACCGAAGTTTTTAGACAGGACCTCTTTCTGTTCAATTTGTTAGCGGAGAAATCCCCCCAAAGACATATTGATAGCACCGGATACTCACCGGAGTGTGAAGGAACACTTCACTGGCCAGGAACGTGTTGTCCTCGCTAAAGCCGCCATCATCGAAGACCAGCAGGAACTCAACTCCATCATCAAGAGCTTGAATTGAATGAGGAACACCCCTAGAAATGGTCAGTATGATCTGGAAGTTCGAAGCCGAAACAAAACTCACGGTGGGAAAAACCACACATCCCCGGCAGTCACGTCATCGATGAATGTCTCTCCATTCTCATCAACAGCCTAAGACTATCAGTAACCCCCCGAATCAAATTATCGCAACAGAACATACCTGGATCCTACAAGACCCATTGAGCACAAGAGACCACTCGGACGCAACATGCCAATGAAGCTCGCGATACCCGGCGGGCTCCAGGCGCATATCCACTCCCGCCATCAGCGTCGCATCCGGCATCACGTTTATGTTTTCTTGGCGAGCCCAGCCAGCTCCGTCCTGTCCAAGTCTTTCGCCACATCAGCCTTGTCATCGATATGACCGGGAAACAATAGTTACCTGTTATGACTCAATCCTGCGAAATCGTTAACTTTGTCCTTTAACCCGCAAGACTAGTGAACTTACCCATCGGCCATTGTGCATTAATTGTCTGCCCATGATCAGTTCCTGGTGGTGCAAGCTTATCACTATTGATCCTATCATAGTTATAATTTCCTGAAATGGTCAGCATCGAAGATATCCTTCAAGCTCGGGATTTTGATGCAAACGTACTCGGGCCGGGGTCATCGGAACCCAAGGAACCACGGATCGGCTGGGGATTGTCGGCTTTTTCGAAATCGAGATACGACCCAATTTTGGGATCCTCATTCTGCCCCGGGAGCAATGTATACTTAATATCTGGTGGAGAGTCGCCACCCCCCTTGTTTGATGACGAATATCCGAGGAGCGCGTCGCTACCTCGGAGCCCTGGGTTTCCTGTGTGCCTAGGAGCAGGTGCGGCATTCACCGAAGGTAATAGAGCCGGAATCAGAGCCGTGAGAATTTGGAGCTTCATAATGAGGAGCCAGAGCAAAGAAAAGCAGAAATGATTGCGTTGAACTGGTGCGATGTGAATTGAGAGCCGTGTCCCAGAGCCCTATTTATACGTTTGTCCGCCAACCTTGACTAACCAATTAGGCCTTCCTTGATTCAATCGACATTTGGGTCATCCTTTCCCCCTCATCCGATATCATTTGCCCGAGGACTTTGCATGGTGGGTTTCCATACTTCCCCTCATGGGGAAGCCTAAAGAGGCAAGGGCAGAGTCATCGGCCTTACAACGCCACAATGACGGGCTACGCCCTGCCGAGGCGGAGCAAATAATAAATCAGGAATAGCTCTAGAAGGAGGCCTTGTTCTCCCGCCCACCCCTCACCGGCACAAGCGGAACTACGCTACAGCGGAGTTGCTTGAGATGAAGCCGAAATACCCATCGGGATATTCCCCAAAGACACCAGGCTGCCAAGGTTGGAGATCGACCTATAGATAGAGCCGATTCTTATGCATTTCTCTCTATAAATACTTACAAAAGTAGGTAATGTGACTGACAAAACTAATGCACAAGATGTGCATTGAAGCAAGGTACACCCACCGTCATGTCCGCGGATACCTTGGAACGCACGCTCATCCTGGCCGAGGAAGAGGACTCAGAACCTCAGTCTCAGCCAGGCTGCAACAAACCTTTTGCGCTATCCATTATAGGGCGAGGGTACCCACATCAAACAAGTATACGAGGCCCACTATGAACAAGCAAGGAAAGCCTTTTGGAAGGGCGAGGCTCTCAGAAGCACACTGTATGTAAGACTTCGCCTAACCGCTTTGAGTAATTCGTTTGTAGCGGGATCAATTATATTGAGGGGTCATCTTTGGTCGAACAAGGATGGAGTATGAAAGGCTTATTCCCACGCGTCACGAGAGTGATAATTGGAGATAAATTGGCCACCAAAACCGTAGCGGAAGCGTTGAGAACAAGCTAAGCTTCTTTAGCCAAGAAATCCGAAACGCGTCAATCAAAGACTAGCACTGTGAAATCTCCCATTTGCTCGGGTGACGTGTGGACACACTACGACGGTCCCCAATATGTGGACCCCAGATTCCCCACTTGGCATAGGGCAGCATGTCCTTCCCGTGAAGGGAGCTATACAATTAGTTTCATTCAGCAAATTGAACTCTAATGCGGGTTGGAGAATCACAGCCCCCTATTCAAACAAGGTCCTTCGTTTCTCAAGTTGAAGGAGTCGACACAGCGAGAGTACATGAATCTGAATCTAACCCTTTCGGGCTTTAAGACTTCATTGACCGGGCAATTATTTCCGTCAGATCTCAACCCGGCTGTTACAACTTTAGAAGCAAGGCAGGCCTAGCAGGGATGTAAAGGGGGGTTTGGAGGTTTGGACAGGGAGGCGCGTGCGCCTGCGGGCGCTGGCCTGAATTAGAAACCAAGACGGTAGGGCTGGACTCGGTGACCCCGCACCATAGATGCATGCCTCGAGCCGAGATGGATGCTATCCATATGCTCAAGTGAGAGATTGATGCAGTCGTAATGAGACTGTAGCCTATAGCTGCCCATGTATACATCCACTACTACTGTCAGTTGAGATATGCAGGACACAGAGGCCAGATGACCGAATATGAAAATGCCATGGCCCTTGGCCCTGCAATACGAGATTTACGAACTCAGTTGCATTATTTGTGTCCGCCTATTCTCCCCACTATACGATCACTAAGAAACCAGTGGTTGACTTGTCAAAAGCTTGTTCAGGTGGCCAGATCGAGCTTGGCAAAGTCAATATTAGTAGATGTTTCTTAGTAGACACTTGGTCAGGCAATCGACATGAGCATTATTAACGATGCCTCGATAGATGCTCACTCCTGTAATCAAAACAGGGTATAGTATTGATATCCGGACTGCAGTACAGACATTTCGAGGTACATCTCTATTGCCGGACGTTCCGATCTGCACCCCTGTGACAAGCGGGTGATCCCGCGCCGGCAAGGACCCCCAGGGTACGAAGTCGTATAGCGGCCAGTATCAGACGCAATGCAATTTCGGTATTTTCGACCAAATTGGAAATTGACGCCTGAAAATTAAGACCGCCTTTTTTACCGCCCCATACTATATACTGGAACTCAGCCTCTTGTTCCCTTTTAGGGTCATCACATAGTAAGCAGGCAAGCCGGCGTAGGGTTGATAGTAAGACGTAATTGTATGTGTAAGCGAATGAAGAGAGGAATAAACGAAGAAGAAGGGAGCCTTGGAAGATATATACGAGGGTGGGGGCCTGAGGCCTCCGAGATCTTGACCTTTGGAATAGCTTCACGTCAACGAGATGGAAGCAGATATTTAGATTTTCTGCCGGGATAAAACCAGGCCAATTAAGGCATCAATGACTCAGTGCATGGCATCCGCCATTGGCCGCTATATGACTTCGCACCTTGGGGCGCAGGGCCAATCTTACGTGTGAAGCCACATAAGGCGTAGTACGTCAAGTGTTTGACCGATATTTCAACTCGAGCTCGTGACTAACTATTCAATACCCATAATATGAGACATTGGAACGATAGAAAAAAAGGAAGCCTAATGCGCAAGGGGTGTCCTCTGAAGACGCCGGTGTCAAACTACCCCTCGACAGCCCTATGAAGCAAGGAACGGTGACGTGGAGCCTTGCTTGCATAGGAACTAGTTTTTGTCGGCAAATTTAAGCCGAAAGACCAATGATGTGGGAGAGGCAGTCCAGCTCATTTGGGCCAAAACAAGGTCTTATGCCAGGGCGTGGGCGTCACGGGGTCGGTTTTTCCTGGAATGACAAAGGGTTTCCACCGACTGGAATAGCTCAACTGGCCAACATTTAACGGCTCAGCGGCAAATGAGAATGGGAGCTAGGAGATCTCACTAAATAAACACTTAAGAGAGTGCTCTGTTTGGCGTGACTTCAAAATATTCCGTGTTCGTTTCTCAAATCAAGAACAGAATAAGAATTTTCTGGATTCCCGATCTGATCCACAATCGCGAGAAACTCGGCTGAAGAAATCCCGATGTCATCAAGTAGCTCAGTACTCGGCATTGGGAAATCTGCAGTGCATGGCGAGGGAGGATACTCAGGGTGAAGAAGATCACCTGATAGTAACTCATCCACAGACTTCTGATTCATAATTTTCTCTCCTTCAATGGCTGACCTGATATTATGAGCGGGCCCGGACTCTTCATCAACCGCAGTGGACAGGGAAAGTGGCTGGAGACCGTTTGACTCTGCTCGAGCTGCTACCTCCAAGAATAAATTTTCAACATAGGCCAGTTCGTCTTTCCGAACCATGGCTATCTTGTTGCCGTTGGCGATCATCTGATCTAAAATAGCATGGGCTTCGTTGACTGAAGCCTGGCCATTGAGAGCCTCCGGAAATAATGCATTTGCCATTGCAAGATGAATCGCGGCTGCATAAGTAAACTCAAGGTTGTAGAGCAGAAAGACCTCTGGATTGTCGTCAATTTATTTCATAATCAGTTAAAATTGAAACCGTGAAAACATACCGAGGAGACTGTCGCTATGGGACAAAATTCGAAGTGTTTTCGAGGCGGACTTGATTCCTGTGGTTATCAAAGTTTTTGTGAGATCCAAGGTATCCCCAACATCCCAACTGTTGCCGCTTAGTTTAAGCAGTCGCTCCATGAGAGCTGAGAGGAGAAGAGGGCGCGTGGCAACAATTACACACTGTTTCAGAAATTATTTTGAGAATTAAGGCCAAACCATAGGAAAGAGTGCTGGTAATCACGAACCTGATGGTATAGTAACGTAATATGTCTCGTGCCTCGAGGCATTGAATCGACTGAATTACGGAATGTTGCATGTATGATCCCCTCGACTTCTTGGGCGTGTCCAGCCAGTCTCTGCAAAATTGATCTTGTCGCGTCCAGGAAAACATTTACCTGTGTTTTCTCTGCCTTGTAAACGGCTGCCTCAACAGTAAGCGGGTTGGTTGCATGTGAATAGATACTCAGGCAGGACTCACTTGTGAGAATGGTTGACAATAAGTGTGATAACTTCACTTGAAGACTCAGAGCCACATCTCGATGGGAAGTAGTACAAGGCTCGATAGGAGTGGTAATGTCGCTGTCTTGTGCAGACATCGGAAGTCCTACAGAGTATGAAAAATGGCGGTCCATGATATAAAGGGTCCACCAGAGATTGCGACACCGGGCTACGACATCAGTGCCGAGCTGCTCTTCTGAAAGTTGGGTATGAAGTCCCTCATACTGCGCTATACGCATCGCCTGACCAAGCTGTCAAATGCGTCAGTGAAGATAATCTATGGGTTGAGAAAGATCGGAATACTCACGTAAATGTATGCGGACTCCCTTTGATCGATCGAGTAAAGATACAGGGCAGCCAAAGCAAGTACTTCGATCGCTAGCAGACTATTCTTCCATAGGGATGCATGATCGGGCATCAGGGACATAGCCCGAACGAAGAAGTATGAGCCTGGTGGATCGTCACTCTTCGTGCGGCATAAAAAAGCCGATCCGAACGAGAGGACTAATAGATACTGTATAAACCAAAGTCGCTGCTCACTCGCCATGCTTAAAGGATCTCCATGGTAAAACTCATGGACATTTTGGAGAAATTTCTCTTCGTCAAAAAACCGATAGCTTTGACCGAGATGAAACTTGACAGTGTCGAAAAGATACAAGGCGTAGTCGAGAGACGGTAGGCCAGTTATGTCAGGGCGGTCTTTAGTTGCACAATGATCCCATCGGAGGGGGTATACTTCCTTCTCCACCAGAGTCGGAGCACTCTCCGGATACTTATAGTGTAGCGTCTCGGACATCAAGATTGATAAACGAGTCGTGAAGGACCACATGGAAGACGGGGCAAGCCAAACTAGACGCATGTTCAGTCTCCAAAATCAAAGATACAGGCCGGATGACCCACTCCAACTGCGGCTGTTTTTCTTTGTATTCTTGATTGTTGTCGAGGGTAAACTAAAAGGACTTGTCCAAATGCTGGCCGTATCACTCATCGAAGGCGCGGGCGAGGGTGTTGCGCTGGATGCATTGGGAAGTTCTGGAATCTCGACGGCTGCGGCCACCACTTCTTCGGTGCTTCCATGTCGAGTTTGGGAATGATAGTGAATTGAAGGGCTTGTAGAGCTTTCGGATGCGGCATGGATTCGCTGGTTTCGCACCTGTGTCTCCAACTGTCGGAGATACCTGCAGCAAAGTTCAGCACTGGAAATTTGAGACCCAGTAGAGCCACAATGACAAACCTTTCTGACACCACCACCCGATTGATCCCTTCGGTAAATTCACATCGTATCTGTCGCCGCTGGCAGTTGTTACAGGGATCGTTCCCCGAGCACTTGATTTTGCTATGCCGACAGGCGATACAACTGACTTGTTAGTGTCACTCCCAAGCATTGCGGACGGATGCTTACGCGTTTGCAGTCCTTCTGACTCTACGAGTGTGGTCTTGCATCCCTGTAAATTGGACAAAACATTCACCAAAAGACAAAGTGCGGACGAGACGGGAGCCGGACTTGGGTTCCCCGCACTCCACAGCGGGGAAGCCATACGCGTCGGCAATGCGCTCTTGAAGCGTCTTCGATGGGAATCTGGTCCTATGTTGGGACGCAGAGAAACAGAGACAGGCATATGAAAATAAATGACAATCAGGCGAAGACTTTCAAGGCTAGCATGAGTCTTTTGTTTGTTTGTTTGAATTTTGTTTGCCCTCGCGCTCTCGGAAGCAACACCCGAGACGAACGTAGAGACTCTCTGGCGACAGCGAGCTGGGGAGGTAAGACTTCATTTTTTCATCTATTTTGCCCAAGGCGTCTCACACAAAATACTCGATTTCTATTACACTTACATACATGTTGTATTGAGGCCTAGGGGACTCGCTAGGTGGGATAATACAAAGCAGGAAATGGTCCTTATGCTTATTTTCTCGCTACATTGCACCTCCTGGCCTAGGTGAGTGTGCGCCAAAACCGAGATTGGATGACTTGCGACTCTAGACGTTGAGCCGAGAACCCGAGGAAGCCGAAGCCACTGACCTAGACACGCAGTGGATCCCTTACAGGACCGATGTCCCTGTCTACCGAAAGAATTTCACTGGACCGGGTTGGATTTGGTGCCATTTTTGGAGCAGAAAACGTGAAACCCATCACGAATTCTTTACTCGAGAGCTCCATCCGAGGTGCCCTTTTGCCTCCAAGTCCAGCGGCATGGTTTCATTCGAGAGGGGGCTTCTACCTCTGTTGGTAACAACCCTGAAACTATGCCCATTTTGAGTAGCAGGAACGGAAAATATATAACAACCCGTGAAGCCTCTTATTTGCGAAACAAGCCTGCTTAAACCTCGCAACCAACCTTCGAGCTCAACATATCTAAAGTATCTCTCGACCTACCTGTCAACAGAATGTCTGCTACCCAAATCATGACCCCAGTGGCAGCGCCAAAGGTGCACCATACTGGAATCACTGCGCAGCGAGCAACTCGCCCCAAAGATCCAATTCCTCAATTCCTTATCGATGGCGCCAAGGTCGAAGTGAAGCAGACCTTTGACGCTGAAAGACACATGAGTTACCAGCCCCCAAGCAAGATCTACACCATGAGGGAGATTGGTCTTGAAGGCCAAGGGATCTCTCCCAATGCGGTGACTGCGCCGTTCCAATTGTTCACCGAGGAGGCCATCAAGCAGATGAGAGCCGAAATATTCAGCCAGGATGTGATGGACAACTGCCAGTATATGTCTGCCTTCGTGAAAAGTACCATTAGGGGAATGGGCTCTGCGTACGTATTCTAGATTCACTGTCGATGAGATTGACCATACTAACTCCCCAAATTAGGCGTGCTCCATTCACCTGTGATGCCTGGAATAGCCCCGAAGTTCTTGCCAAAGTTTCAGAGGTGGCTGGTATTGAACTGACACCTGCTATGGACTATGAGATCGCGGCTATCAACATCTCAGTCAACGACCAGACCGTACCGATATTCAATGCCCCCAAGCCCGATGAAGATAACCTCCCTGCCTTCGCATGGCACCGGGACAGTTACCCCTTCGTATGCGTGACAATGCTCTCTGATTGCGTCGGTATGACAGGGGGTGAGACTGCACTGAAGACTGCGTCTGGGGAAATCATGAAAGTTCGTGGTCCGGCTATGGTATGTTCTCACTCACATTCCGTTTCTGTTTTTGCTTCTTTGCTAAGGCCAGCTATAGGGAACTGCCGTCGTTATGCAGGGGAGATATATCGAGCACCAGGCCCTCAAAGCCTACGGAGGTCGTGAACGAATTAGCATGGTCACTTCCTTCCGGGCCAAATCCCCTCTTGTGAGGGACGAGAGCGTTCTTACTGGTGTACGCCCGATCAGTAATTTGTCAGAGCTGTACACCCAGTACACAAAATACAGACTCGAGGTACTCGAAGAGAAAATTCGCGACCGTTTGAAGAAGGAGCAATATCGGGAATTCGCAAAGCGTGATTTCGATCTCGTGGGTGTTCGAACCTTTTTGACTGAACAAAAGGATTTCCTCGATTCGATGCTTGAGGAGTTGATTGAGTAGAAATAGTTTTTCAGTTTCGTTCTCTAGGATTATTGGAGGAAGAAAGATATTAGGCTATAGAAAGATTCTGGACTATATTCAATCAACCAGTTTTGTCTTCATATTCATTGTTTATCAACAGTCATCGGCAGTTTGGGACTCTACTAATCTTGGAACCTTGGAAGTTGAACAAAATTATCTAGTCTCCGCACGATTATGTGATAAATCCCACCTCCAGGTGGGCATCCTCGCAGAAGGGAGTGTTTTGATACAGTGGAAATGTAGCTACGTTGAGTCTGCCCTAGATTTTACTCAAATTCAGATCTTTACACAAGGGATCAGTGTATGGAACAGGGTCCATAGATTTTCGAAAACAAGCCAAATCAAGCTGTTTAGGGTGCGATAGTGGCGATTCTGAGAGCCTACCAGGAACTTTAGAAGAGAGTAGTGGAAGGAAACGATCAATTCCCTGGGCTCCTGGAGAGAGAGAGAGAGAGAGGGCGAGAAGCGCGGCTTTAGGAGCTATCTCCAGCGCTAGGGCGAATCACCCCTACTACAGCTTTAGAAAAGCAAGTCCTCGAGTATGTTCCCTAAGACCATAACCATAAGGAAAGATGTATGCCTCGGCCGACTTAGCCGAGCCACAGCTCTAGTATATGCCTTTGAACCGAGGCTAGCATACATATGTTCAAGCATTTTACAAGGCCTTGCACGGTAAAAACATCCGATTAATGCCAAGTCGGCTTCCTCGGGGGTTTGCAATGATGCGAGGTTCTCGAGGTAACAATGTCGATGATAATGCGGCGGGAAAAACTCAAATATTAATCAACAACAGCCTGCATGTCTGTTGATGGAATTTGAATTATAATCACTTGACAGTATTGCGCGTCTACCCTCATACCTTCCCTGTGACCACTTGAGAGCCCCTACTTCCTTACGTTTTCATAAGAGGTATACCGTCAGAAGAGCACACTTTCAAACATGCAAGCAGCCAATCGCCTTCAGAAATCCCTCAAAGCAGGCAATCCTGCTTATGGAGGATGGCAAATGCTACCGGGAACAAACCTCACCCGAGTCCTATGTCGAGCAGCAAGCAACATGGATTGGCTGCTAGTCGATATGGAGCACGGAAATATATCAGATGATTCAATGCACGAGATTGTGGCAGCTGCAGCGGCCTGTGCAGTTTCCCCAATTGTTCGTGTTGTCGATGGGCAACCCTGGATGATCAAACGCGCGTTGGACTCTGGTGCGCACGGGATTCTAGTCCCTGTCTTGGAAACCGTCAAGGACGCGGAAGATGTGGTGCGATCTTCCAAGTTTCCTCCCATGGGGAACAGAGGCTTTGAGCCTCTCCTCGCGGTGGAGAAGTTTGTCGAGCAACACGCTCATGGCGGTAATGTCAAGGAACTCTCCGGGAGAGAATACCTGGAGCAAGCCAACAATTCACTTGTTATCGCTGTTCAGATCGAAACGCAATCTGCTCTAGAACATGTGAAGGAGATAGCAATGGTGCCGGGCATCGATGTCTTGTTTGTCGGGCCTTTCGATCTTGGTGTCAGCATCGGCCATCCAATTGTTGGAGGAAAAATAGATAAAACACTTGAGCTTGCCATTCAATCAGTTCAAGAGGCAGCACAGGCTGCAGGCATAAAGGCGGGTATCTACTGCGACAGTGGTGAAGATGCGAAGGAGTGGGCCGCCAAAGGGTTCCTTATGAACAGCGTGGTGACAGACATGATCGGGCTCCGAGAGATGGTTAGCCAGTCATTCAGTTCCACCAGATAGCCCAAACACCCTCTCAACGCGCTTCTTATGAGAAGTCACTCATGTACACAAATCCTGAACATGTTAGATCGAGGCTAAATAGAGCAGATGGTACAAATGCCATAGCAGTGGTCCCGAGCTATATTTGCGATCGGCTCAGCTTGGAAATTTAATTTAGTAATTTTCTCTTAGATTCGATTTTCCCAACATCCTGTGTGTGAACCCAAGACCCGTATGTTGTGAAGTGACTTGAGTCTCGAATAACTTAGGCTGCAAGGCACCAAGGCGCTAAGGCATCAAGGCAAGAACTGTTTTATTTCCCTCTTCACTTCCTCACTTCCTGCCCCTTGCATCTTCAGCATCTCCACATTCCCAGATCCCTTCTCATTCTTCTCATATAATGATCTACACAGAGCTCTTCTCAAGAGACATCTCACACTTGTACGATTTATGAAGGAGCCCAAGTTCGATTTCTATGCGCTCGAAGTCGCCTCCGATGTTCATTCTTAGTCTAAAGCCCTTTAAACAACATCAAATTCAATGGTGCCCCAGCCTTCAAACTCGCAAGACCACCGCCCAGCCTTCTCCATCGGAACGGCTTCCAAACAACTGCCAGGCAAGATGATCTGACCGGGCTGGAATTCAATATCATACTCAGCCAGTCGATTCGCCAACCAAGCAACTCCAGCAAGGGGATTCCCGAGAACATTCCGAGTGTTTCCAGACATAACCTCTTGGCCATTGAAACGCAAGACACCCCTGGTGTTACTGAGGTTGAGATCATACACCCTTTTGGGTGTACCGCCAAGAATCACACCGCCGTTTGAACCATTATCAGCCAAGGTATCCGGCAGGTCGATGGCCCAATTCTTGACACGAGAGTCAATGATCTCAATTGCGGGGACGACGTAATCGACCGCACTGATAACGTCGGCAACAGTCACATTGGGGCCCTTCAGAGCGCTGCGCAGGACGAAAGCCGGTTCAAGCTCAACATATGGCTTGATGAACTGATCGAGATGAAGGGGGGTTCCTTCATATGAGAAGGTACTTGCATGCAGAAAGCCGTAGTCTGGGTGGTCAAGCCCAAAAGCAACTTGCATGACTTTTGCGATGTTACCAAGCTTGTAACCCACGAGACGGTCCCCGTTGTTGATGGCAAAATCGGAATTGATTTTTTGAATCTGGAATCCGCCCTCGGCATCGAGAGAGGTCCACGTTTTTGTCGGTGCATCCATAGGCTTTCGCTCATCGCGCGCCGTGCGAAGCGCGATTGCGATATCGCTCAAGTTGAGGGCCGACATTTTACACTTTTGTCAAGTCGCGAGTTCAGATGAAATATATCGGAATCGAATTGTTGGGGTAGCGGAGATGGGAGATGGAAGTTGAGGCAAGCACTGATTTGGGAACCTCTACCCAACTTTCTTCGCCTTTATAGTACTGGACTGCTGCAAACCCGAGGGAAAATCGGACATCGTGTTCCAGAGGATGGATGTCACCAATCCAGTTCCCCTCCTCGGCTACAATGCGTGACGAAAAACCCGAGTCTCCCGACGCTGTTGTCTACTGCCATTTCGGATGAGGAACCCGACCGGCCCACCCCCAAACTCGCCTTCGTCGGGAAGTGACATGGATGGATTTACACTTGGCAAGGCGGACCCCTCATCGGACCTATAATATATCGAGCATGTCAAACGAGCGCAGAGAGAGGCTGGTCGGCAAACTCAATCCCCCGCAATGTTTTTTCTGGGGAATAACAATCCGGGGTTTGTCGGCAGGCGGGTATCCTAAACTCATAGTTTGAAAAGCCTGGGGAAGCCAAGAGATGTACATAAATACCAGCCTAATTCTGCATTGCGATTATCTCTTATCGACTCCTACAAGCTCACTTAACTTTATGTGGCTGGCCCATTGAACTTGCGTGTGAACCCATCGGTCGAAAGACCCCCCCCCCTCCCCCCCAAGAATGTCCGCCCTGGCCCAACTTGCTGAGGGCAAACGCCTCTCGTCTGAAGAAGTTATGAAAATTGGGAATGACGACCCTTCTCGCAAGGATGATGAGTTCTATGAAGGCCATTCCTCAGAGAGGATCGGAGGGCTACGCCGCCGACTTGGAAATCGCCATATCCAGCTTGTTGCCATAGGTGGCTCTATTGGCACCGGCCTCTTCATTGCCATCGGTACTGGGCTTCACAAAGGTGGACCCGCTAGTCTATTGATTGCTTTCGCCATTGAAGCTATCATAGTAGGCATGCTCAACAACTGCCTGGCTGAAATGACCACATACATGCCGGTGAGCGGCGGCTTTATCAGACTGGCAGGCCAATGGGTGGATGAAGCCTGGGGCTTTATGGCTGGATGGAACTTCTTTATTTACATGGCTCTCACCGTACCGTTCGAGATATGCGCTGTCAACTTACTCCTACAATATTGGCGAGATGACATCCCGGTCGTTGCCGTGATTGTGGCATGCATGGTGGTCTACTCGTAAGACCCCTTTTAAAAACGGCAATTTTGCTTGGACATCGGCTAACAAGGATTGCTTATCGCAGACTGATAAATCTCCTTGCTGTTGGTACCTACGGTGAGGCCGAGTTCTGGCTTAGCGGAGGCAAGGTCATATTAATCTTGATTTTGTTTGCGTTTACCTTCGTTACCATGGTCGGTGGTAATCCAAAGCGGGACGCTTATGGATTCAGACATTGGCAAACCCCTGGCCCTTTTGCTGAATACGCCACCGAGGGAACTCTCGGTCGTTTTGAGGGTTTCCTAGGTGCTTTGTGGATTGCACTCTTCACTGTGGTCGGTCCAGAATATATATCCATGGTTGCCGCAGAAGCAAAACACCCTCGAATCTACATCAAAAGCGCTTTCAAAACGGTGTACTGGCGGTTTGGCGTGTTCTTTGTCGGAGGTGCACTCTGTGTCGGCGTGCTCGTCGCCTACAATGATACCACCCTTGCGAACGCTATCGAGAGCGGGGAGTCTTCTTCTGCTTCATCTCCATACGTTATTGCCATGCAAAACCTCGGAGTCGATGTTCTCCCTCATATTGTAACTGCCCTGATGATTACTTCCGTTTTCTCTGCCGGCAACACCTACACATACGCCGCTACTCGTGCGTTACACGGCCTGGCAGTTGGAGGGCATGCACCAGGAATATTTGCTAAGACCACCCGCAAAGGTGTGCCTATCTACAGCTTTATTGTTGTGATGGCCTTTGCGTGTTTATCGTTCCTTCAATTATCTGGCAGCGCGATGAAGGTACTGGAATGGTTGATTAGCCTAACGACGGCGAATATTCTCATCGACTACATCATTATCACCACCACATACCTCAAATTCTATCATGCTTGCAAGGCGCAGGGCTTTGACCGTTCAAGGCTTCCATATGTGGGATGGTTTCAACCATATTGTGGCTACATTGCCCTCACCTGGATGGTCATCATGGCTGGTTGCTTTGGTTACGAAAGCTTTGCACCTTGGTCTACTTCCACCTTCTTCCTCAATTACACCATGATACTACTAGCACCAATCGTGTTCATTTCCTGGAAGGCCTTCAAGAGAACCAGTTGGCTGAAACCTCGCGAGTTGGATTTGACATGGGAGGCTGAGCTGGTTGCAGCCTATGAGGAAGCCGAGGAAGAGCAGCCCACTGGATTTTGGAGAGAAATGGCACGCACGGTTGACATTCGAGGACTCTACCACAAGAGCACTACAGAAGCCTGAAATGAACGTCGATCAAAGATTCAGTCGCTGATGGGACTTCAATCAGGGGAAATATTGAGATTGAGGTTCTTCGGCTTGATAATGTGACTTGTTACTAATTTCCAACATCCAACTGCCTTCAGGTACCGAGTCCTCTAGTTGTGGATTTGCCCGCTGGGCCAATTCCGATGACAGTGGCAATGAGTACCTGACCACTTAGGCAGAGGGGGAGCTACGTCTCCCATTTTCACGTCTTCAGTAGCCTTGAACTACTCTACAAATCATTGTGTTACCATCCATAGATATTATATTCCGACAAGGTTGTCTAACCCTGACACAGTATACACTCTTATTTCTAGAACCATCGAAATGATTTAACTCAAAAATACGCCGTCGTTACTTGGTAATGAAAGCGACCGGGCGATACTGTGTTAAGGCCAATCAGAATCTGCCAGTTTCCATCTGGAAGTACTGTAGGTGTTGGCTGTGGACTCGGGTTCGTCGGGTTCGTCGGGGTTGCTATTCCCTTTTGAGTGCAGATCTGGAGTGTTGCACCCCGCATTGATACCCCGTTGATACATTTTATTCCTCCTCGATTCTGGCCAAGAAATTACGCAGGGAAGTTCAAACTTCGCCTCGGCTTGAAATACTGAACTGTGAAATAGGAACGCGTGGTGTCAACCGAAGTGAAGAGGATTGGTCGTGGATTTCCCTGCCCACAGCACACATGAAGCGACAGATCCACAGGACAAAAAAGCGAACGACGACAGCGTGAGACAATTCATTAAAAAGTCAGAGAGGACAACGAGTTCTACTAACTTTGAGATAGTTGTGTTGCCTGTCGCCGGAGCAAAATCAAATGCAATGGAGAAAAGCCGTGCTGGAATTGTCACCGTCGCGGTACTGACTGCTATCTTTCAGACTCGTCTACAAAGGTCCTCATCTCTGAAAGGTACGTGTGTGTTGGAAGAAGTCCACCATACTATCCTTGCTAAAAGTCGGTAGATATCTCCGGGACCTTCAGAATCAAGCAAGAGGAAAAATAGCAGGGGACAATGAGAGCTCTAGGAGCTCTTCAAGTACCGGTGAACAGACACTACAAACTCCGTGTTTTTCTGACGAGGTACCTGTATTTGAGCGTGACCAGTCTACGCCAAAAGACACATCTCATGCAAGTGAACTGGCACCCAGTATATGGGCAAGCCCCTTCACGCTACCTTCAAGCGTCATCAAAGATGCTGGGACGACTAAACGCAATTGGCGTAAGTTTTACATAACCTAATTCCCTTTCCAACCTCTGATTTGACATAGTTTGGCTGGCGCCAACGTCTCCCTGGTCCTTTGTTGCAAGGCTTGCTGTTATGATGAGCGAGAAACTTGAGTTAGAAGGTCAAGCGACTCTACGTTTTAACCTTGATGGGGACATCTACCCACTCGACTGGGGAAACGAAAAAGTAATTCCCGATTCGCTGATCAGCATTCCTCTGCCTTCAGTTGATCAGGCTCTTCACGCTTTCAACGCTGTTCACTTCTACCTGGGTCAGATATACCGCCTATTTGACGAGAATTTTGGTGCACAGATACAGCACTTCTACAAGCGCCGTGCGTCTGGTGAAATGGCATATTCTCGCATGTGGTTCATTCAGCTACTTTTGATTCTTGCTTTTGGAAAAGCCTTCTCCTCGAGAACCAGAACGGATGAGAGCCCGCCCGGATCCAAGATATTTGTGCACGCTATGTCTTTAATGCCAAACCAGACTTTTACCGGCAAAGACAGCTTGGCTGTGATAGAGACACTGGCTCTCACATCACTGTATCTTTATGCGATTGATCACAGAGAAGGGGCTCATTCACATGTAAGAACCAGGTATTCCGCGCGTTGACCACAATTTAACAGTGCATACACTGACAATATTATATTTGAGCAGATCGGCCAGGCCATACGACTCGCGCAACTAGAGGGGCTTCATACTCAGCTCCCAGAGGATGAGCTGGGAACCTTGAAAGTTACGCGATGTCGGAACATATGGTGGACACTGTACATCATAGATCGCCAAATATCATCCGCACTTGGGCTCCCAATGACAGTTCAGGATTTTGACATATCCGCCCTAGTTGATGTACCAGGCACAGGAACTCATGACCTCACTCTTGGTCTTCAAGTGAGACTGTCGCAAATGATGTCATCTATCTTGAGAAGTAAGTAGGGTCAGGTTCCAAGGTTTTACCTCAAGCCGGAGAATACTAATGACTGCGCGAAAGAGATATTCAAGACGGAAAAAACACATCTTGGGCGTTTCTTGGATCTCACGAGTGAAATCCTTCAAGCAATGGCTGGGCTTGCTGAGGAAATTGAAAATATATTCCCAGCTGGCTTTCAGGCTACAAACGACACGATGCCCCATGCAATGAGGCATGTAATCTTACTTTATCATCAGGTGCGTGATGCAACGTTGATTTTGAGCTTGAAAGTCAAGTGGATTTTTTCAAAAAGCTTCGGCATATCTGATTTCCCTGAACAAAGTGCGTGATTATTGCAACACGACCGCTTCTTCTTTCTGTTCTGAAGGAAAGAATGGAAAATATCGACAGACCGGAAGAGGAATGGGATACCTTTCTCATGCTCCCGAGAAACCTTGTTTCCATCGGCATCAAATCTGCTGTGAAGTCTTTGGAAATTCTCTCGGATGAGAACATAATTCTTGGTACGAAATTTGCTTCGATGGTTGCTCAAGCGCTGCGTCTGCAAGTCCACAAGCTGATAGAAGATTCCAGAGACGTTTCTACCATTCGATCTCGAATTTACCTTTTCGGCGGCTCTTCATTTGACAATAGCATATACACTATTTTATTCCGAGCCAGCAGAGCACCCTCATACAAAAACTACTCAGCGCATCTTCGAAAAGCTCGTTTCAGGGGGAAATCAAGTCGCGAAGGCGCGAAGAGCCGACTTGACACATATTCAGTATCTGCTTCAGGAATTCTCTAATCGGACTGAGAACCAGAAGATGAAAGGTCTCAGATTGTCTGCTGAGTTAGGAGGTGACTCTAGCCCCAAGATCGGGGCTGACGGAGAGGAGGGAACACCATCGCGTATGGATTTTACGACATTGGAATGGCCCTTGGAACCGGAAGATGACCCCAGCTCATTTGTACTTGCAGAAGAGCCCGGGTCACAAGGATTGGATTGCCTTGAGGCGATCGGGATTTCATCAAATGAATTTCTCTCGATTGTGGATCAAATAGGGGCCCACGATCTTCCCCATGAGCTTCATGATCCACCACCGACGTGGATGTTCAGGGGTATTTAATGCGGTCGGTCAAGGAGGCTTCAGTTTCCAAATAATAATTCTACTCGTATTCATGTGAATCTCGTTCACTCCGTATATCTGATACGAAAAATGCTCTGTGACACCAGTTCCTCAATGCGCAATGGCGTCCTCACCCATCTGTCACAAATCCGAAGCACAAATTGATCGCAAAATGTAACCCGGGCATTCAGCAAATAAGCAAGGTGTTACTGGAGTGGTAGATCTATGTACCCACCAGAAAAATAGATTGGGCCAACGTGCTATCGATTGCCTGGCCACCAGTTGACCTTTCAAGGCCCATTGAGGACAAACTCGCATGAGGTGGTACGTTATGAACATACGCACCGGAGAAGGAGAACAAGCTTCCATCACTTTCCACGTCAAGCGCAGCAAGAAAAAAAAAAAAGATGCATCGCGGACTGTTGAGCTTGGTAGCCCACCCGAGATCCCGATGCTGGAAATTTCCTGATCGGAGATTCGGGAAGTGACTCGAACACAAGGTCATTGAGACAACGCCCGGGGATATGCTAGCTCAATTGAGACAGAAAACCCTGTGAAACCCCCGCCAAAAAAATCATTGGGATATCGGATTGGAAGGGATTCCACAAAGTCATCGGCTTTCGCGGGAATTCGGGTGGCACCAAAATGACTTGAAAGACCACAGCAAGAGCCAGCACAAGGCATAAAAGCGAGAAAATCCCTCGACTTGGGATATCATCACTCGCCTCAGCACTGAATATCGAATTTCAAGTGACCTCCTTACCCACCCCTGATTTCAAACACCCAAGATGCCCTCGATCGCCGAACTACGCCCTATCCCGCCCACTGTGGTAGGTCCGACAACCAAGAAGGCAACACGCCCAACCAACAAACTACCCCAGTCACTCATCGATGGTGCTCGAGTGACAGAAAAGGAGCTCTTCGATCCTCAGAAGCACCTGGACTTTCACCCGCCCAGTAGTATCACCACTATGAAGGATATTGGTCTTCAAGGCCATGGAATATCGCCAGTTGCAGCCTCTGAGCCGTTCCCGCTATTCACTACAGCTGCCATCAAGCAAATCAGAGCCGAGATCTTTAGTGAGCCGGTACTGCGGGATTGTCAATATTCGTCAAGCTTTGCCAAGAACATGGTGAGAGGCATGGGAAGAGAGTATGTGTTATTCAGTTGTGAATTGCCCTAGTTTCGTGGATTGACATCGCATGATAGACGTGCCCCATTTACCTGTGACGCATGGAGCTCACCAGAGCTCCTTGCCAGAGTATCAGAGGTAGCCGGTATTGATCTTGTGGTAGCATGGGACTACGAGATTGCCAATATCAACATCTCAGCTGGTGAGGAGTCATCAGCTAATCTGCCTACCGAGGCCAAGCGCGATACCTCAGCCTTCGCATGGCACTACGATAGCTTCCCTTTCGTTTGTGTCACCATGCTATCCGACTGTACCAACATGACAGGAGGAGAAACGGCGATTAGGACTCCTTCTGGGGATATCAAGAAGATTCGGGGACCTGCAATGGTTGGTTTCCAAACTGAAGGCTCGATGACTATACTTATCTCATAACTAGGGCACTGCTGTAATCATGCAAGGTCGTTACATTGAGCACCAAGCATTGAAGGCCCTTGGTGGCTGTGAACGTATCAGCATGGTGACTCCATTTCGGCCACGGGATCCATCTATCCGTGACGAGATTGTGTTGACGGGATCTAGGGCCATCAGCAACTGGTCGGAGCTCTACCATGGATTCACCGAGTATCGGTTGGAGCTTCTGGAAGAGCGGATCCGCTTGAAATTGAAGGAAGAACAAAAAAGGGTCGACACAAAACGTCCCTTCAATATCCGCAACATGACCGAGTTCCTGGCGGAGCAGAGGAACTTTTTGGATGCTACAATCAATGAACTTATCGAGGTCGAGGAAATGGATTAGATGAACCGAGTGATATTTTGCGCTCGATGTATATCTCAATTTTATGGGCATTTTTGGTTTTCATTTTCAAGATTGCCTCAGCAGCCCCCGTGGCCAGGAATGGTTGCGAAGGGGTAGAGTTAAACAGTACGCATGAACCTTCCAAGGTCGGTAGCAAACCAAGACCATACTCGTAGGTATCGCTCGAGTGCGAGTTAACGAAAAAATTCTATGGAAAAACTTACCTTTAGCAATGAAAACATCTCAACTTATCTTTTTTCAAGGTTCTTCCAAGGCTATAGGTTATTTCCAAATCTCGCTTAAGCTAGAGGTGGCTATCACAACTACTGCAACCAACCACCCACTTTCTTTCATTGGCTCCTCTCATCAAATATTGCCACTGAATTTGATTGAGGTCCAAGCCAGATAGTGGCGCACCAGTGGAAATTTCCGCCTGGCAGTCGTTGAATATGGGCAGACAATTATAGCGACTTCAGGAAGTCTTAAGCGTATGCCAATGTGAGCAGGCACTCACATTCTCATACCACCACACTTGCAGTATTTGTACTCTATACAATATTGAGGCACTTGTCAGGCCACCCGAAGAGGAAACCGTCCCACACGAAACACAAATGCGGGGTTGCCAAGCCTCCTAACGGGCTAGCGCATGCAATTTTGATCAATGGGATTCGGATTACAGGTTGCATGAAGTATAGTGACGACTACTGAGTAAGAAGGGACGTATGATAGGTCATCTAGTAGTATGTTTACAACTCATCTGCGGGAGCTCCGTACGGAGTATAGTATACGGAAACGGGGCTGAGCTGACTCCTGGTTCTCTGGGGAACGGATTCTTCACCCGAGCAGATCTGTCAATCTTTGAATTTCTACTTTTACAGATTTGTTTGCTTGTACCAGTACCTCGTTATAGAGCTGTGGTCAATGCGCTATATTGAGTCCTTATACATCGTGTTTGCAGCATGTTTGTATCGTGACATGTGCAGTACTATGTACTTGCCCCTTTTATTACGCATCCCATTCTGTCAATGGGCGTATCGCACGTTGATCGTTTCTGCTTATGCCTCCTGATTATGGACTTCTGGTCTAGCCTGGCCCTCTTCATGCCTAAAATAGGGTTAAAGCCCTGGGTGTTTGCCCAGGTATCAAGAACATTGATCATCATGACCTTATGCGCTCACAAATATCCCACTGTGCAGGCATAATAGGCACACATGTTGGTACAGCCGACCCAACAATTCGACCCCTACCAATTTTTATCTATGACAATACTTCACTGAATAACATGGCTCCAGGAGTTATGAGGAAATTACTATGTAAAGATGACATGGATCAAATATTTAGAGAATTTGTTGATAGTATGGGTACAGTAGCCCTAATTGAGAACAAAAACGCCGACTCCGTCGTGCCATCTCCTGACGGCGAGAAGAAATACCGAGTGAACAAAGGAAAGAATGACAAAGACATAAGAAGCATCAGACACAAGTACGGCATGGCTCTTTATAACTACCGATCGAACACAGCAAGTTCAGTAAACTCATGTCGAGGGGGTGCCGGGCGGATGCGTGTGGGAAGAATATTGGATGCTCGGAGGCGGAGGATAAAGTCGCTCTACCGCACCACGCGTTTCATGTAGCGAAGTGTGAGATAAACTGCGGCCATGCTGGTGTACATGCCGCCACCAGCGGTTACCCAGACTGGACGGTGAACATTGAGGGAAGTTCGCAGGAGGTTGGCTTCCTTGGGCTGTCTCTCTCCTTTGGAAGAAGTTAGTGATACCGAACTTTAGAGTGACCAAAAGGACTGTAAACAAAACGGTCGGGGGGTATGGGAGAAGAACATACCCTGCTGGAACAGTCGCTGACGCAAGTTACTCAGACCCTGCCTCGAGCGGGCAGGGAGAGTTGCGATCTGTTGAAGGATAGGGCCCATAGGTGCCGACATCTTGAATATTGGGGGTATGCGAGATAGAGAGAAAGAGGCAAGTTGATGAAAGTAGAGTCACAGTTGGAGGGGAGAGTTTCTTGAGTAACACATCAGTGTGAGTACTGAAAGAGGTTATATAGGAAGGAATCAGATGACAGAATGCGGGGTTGGGAGTCAGTGAAGACTGAAAGGTGACATCTGGGACAATCCCTGTATGGTGGCAAGCCAGTGGTTGCGATGTGGCATTACCAGAGGTTTCAGGGGCATGTACCTCATGGCCATGGTCTAGACTGGATGGATGTCGTAGTGATGAGCTGGAGGGCTCGTCTGTTCCATGGAATAGAATCTATATCCTTCCAGGTACCCGGGCTCACCCACACATACTAGCAGTCTATACAGTGATGTTTATAGACATAATATGAGCTTGAGAAGATAGTGGAGGCAGTCAAGGCGATCGTGAGCTCACTAGGCCAGTCTAATTCTCGACGGGGTGGTCTTGGTTGGCCTTATGCCAACCATTGGTCGAGTTCGGCGTCACAGATGTGCCAAAAGTACGTGGCACACAAGTAGACTTAGGTAGTAGACCTTGGGTAGGAGGGTGTCTAGGTACAGAGGCGACAGGTACATTCTACTCCGTACCCGCGTCTGTGTAATTTAATGTGACACACGGACATCTGGTGGGACGATCACTTCTCGGTGGTTTCCTGGCATTTTGTGATGACCAAATGTCTTTTTATTAACTGCTCTTGCTCTACATATACTCTTGGGGTGCACACATGAGTGCACATGGATGTCAATTGAAACAAAGCGGTGGAGTCGACGGGACCCGCAAAATCCGGGGATTGCGGGGGAGTGGAACCGATCCACTTTGACATTTGCATTCAAGGGTTGTCTCCTGAAGTCATCACCACTGACGATGCTGATACAATATCTCTCTTCTGTCAAGCAAAAACTAACTAGTCCCTGACTAACTTGTTGAGTTTATGCAGATCCTCGAGTCCTAGTCAAGCCGAACTCGATCCAACATCCATTTTTCATCTTGGTCACAGTCAGCCTCCATGACGCATTCATAACCTCTTGGCACCATTTAATACCATTCAGAGCGTTTCAACAGTATACCTCATCCTTGTGCGAATTCATAGCAGCCTTGAGGCAAACTTTCTTCATCATTACACGGAGCATAAGTCCTTCCGACCGGTGTGGAATGAGCCAAAACTTCGAGATCAAAATACAGCCCCTGACAATCGACGAGCGAGGGTATCGATCAATGATTGCTACCCGTGGAATGATTCACGAAGCCGGGCTCATTAAAATTTTGTTCGACCCAACCCATCCTTCCGTGCCCCAAGAAGTTTGAATCGCAGTCGGTGTCAAGTAAATAGTGGTAGGGCCGCTGTGGTCTGTCATATGGAGTAGGCAGGGGCGCACTGCCTGAGAGAAACCTCGGGATTCTTCCGCATCAGGTCTAGTGGTCCTCCTCCCCTGCCTCTCTGCCCATACTGACAGAGCCCCGTTCATTGCCCTGTGCTGTGATTCCGAAGAATAACTTGATTGTTGATCGCGAAGACGGCAAGACAATATCCTATCATAATGACCAGGGGGATGCCTCGGACCTTCAATCTCGAGCTGCCCTGCAGCTGACAGCCTTAGGATCTGGAAAGCCCTGGAGAAGAGGTCCACTGTCCATTTTCTTCGAGTCTGGCCGGGGTTGTCTATTCGTTCATCGATTATTCGTCACCGTCGATTCCGATGCCCATCCCGAACTTTAACCGGCCCGTATAGGAGATAATAACATTAGAAATGGGCCTACTTCTTTCACCACCGCTGGAAGGTGGTCTGCTGTTCAAACAAACTTATTATACCTACTAGCTGGCTTTGGACAAATAATTATAGAATATCTTAGACGATGGCTTGATCCCCTATCTCACCTGGTTATCCTGGGCTAACAAGCGCCAGGGCAAGCACCGGTCATGTCCACGAGTAGCGACTTAATGAAAGTTATTACATTGCTATTATATAAGATAAGGAAGGACAGCACTCCAGGGTTTTATCGACATATTCACACTGGCACATCGCACTGAATCAAATGGATAAACCCGGTCTAATCACCCAAATGTACCAGTGACAAGCTCTGATGAGCTTGACTCACTTCTTCAGAGCCGCGCAACCAAGAGCCACGGTACCACCCTAAAGAGCAGTTAGTACGTTGCCCGAGAGAAATTTTAAAATGCTTTAACTTACCAAAAGGTTGGCCTCGGTGCAGCACTGGGGCGCAGAGTCACAGCTAGAGTCGTATCCATGGCCTGTAGAAGTGTTAGCAAACCTTGAAGGGTTAGAGCTAGGCGAGTGGTAGACATACAAAGAAGACCAATGGATCCGACGATGTTGGCGGCATTGACGCCGAGGGCCAACAGGAGAGGATCGACAACAGGGTCGAGAGGGGTGGTCAGAGAACCGCAGCACAGCAGGGGGCCAACACAGTCCGAAGTCTCAGATTCATTCTCGAGCTTCTTGCCGGCCAAAGCGGCAGCGGCAGCGTTGACCTTGTCCTCGGTGGTCTCTCCGCGCTTGACGGCAAAGCTCTCACTGGGTCGTGCAGATACCATGCCGGCACCGACGAGGGAAATGACAGAGAGGGCGAGGAATCTCATTTTGAAGTTAGGTTGCTAGTGGTGAAGATGAAAGTGAATTGAAATTTGGAAGAAGATGATTGGGATGATGAATGAAACACAAGACTTGAGGAAATCGTCGTGCTTAAATAAATTTCATGGTGATACCTAGAGCACCGATAGCTTCTGAGCAATTTCTATGCACAACCGCTGTACCCTCTTATCATTGATTTCTAAATGTCAGCGAAATTCGTTTGTGAGCTATCAACCGTGGTGCTTCTGAGTAGTATTCCATGGCAATGATCCAAGGGATCTACAAAACTCTAGATAGCATTGGTCCCCCAGGAGGGCTTCGACCTTGAACCGAGGCAGAGACATGCAGGAACAGCAGTTCTTGGTGCTGGGGGCATCAAGCGGATCCACAGGCTGAGAGCACCGACATTTTCCGTTCGGTCAAGGTCCAGGTGGACTCCAAGCGAGCTGTCTTGGCAGTCGATCAGTCTTGGTTTACCATATTCCCATTATCGCCCACAGGGTTGCAGTGACAGGCTCTACGGAGTAAGTCACTTTGGGTCAATGAGGAATGGGACAGTCTCCAGTTCATCTTCGCCTGTTCCCCAGATGAGAAGCACCTTATCTGTGGAGCATACCCGGGCGATCCGTTCAGTGGCTCTCGAATTGGGGCTGTTGAAAGGCAGGTCCACCGCAAGGTACGGAGCACTAGCCCAATGCGCCCCAGCGATCAAGCAGTAAAACTCAATTGACCATGGGCCAACTGCAAACGGAGGCTGTTATCCGAATTTCATTGCTATGCAAAGATTTGTCACTGGTCACATTATTGTGCATTGCAGTGGAACCGGGGACAATATCTTCCCGAGGGTCGAGATAAGGCTCGCACTGGTGATTGCACAGTACCGAACCGACAGACGAAAATAGTCTTGCCCACAATCCCACAGCCTTGGTAGCCTTCGATCTGGGCGGTAGTTAATCGGGATCGACTGCATCTCTCCCAGACCGGTCTGTAATCAAGGGACGGGTCTTGGCTTCCCCTGATTGTCGTGGTTCGCGTTGATCTTGATAACATTGGAGATGATAAAATTATGTGATTGAATTGGAGGAAGATATCGCTGGCCAACAGAATCTGAATATATCCAATCGCTCATGGCCGCATATACATCCCTTAAGTTCAATAGTTGACAATAGTCAGCCAGATGCAATCCACGTGAAGGAGCATGGTCAGGATAAGACAGTGTCCTGGATGTTAATGAAGCTGAGTCTAGTCCATGGTTACTCAGTCCTCGGTGTATTTGTGACAGTCGTAGTAGCTGGGAAAAAAATCCCTCTTTGGCTGTTTGGCAAAGACAGAATAAACGCTCGAGAGCAAGAGCATTCGATGCCAAGTAGGACTGGCGGTGGCGGTGTGGCGGTGCGCTTTGTTACGCACCGCCACAGGCTCGCGACACAAAAAACTTCCGTCAATTAATCCACACCACATTCCACGGGGTTATCGATCAACCAACCCCTCTAATTTTTTGATTTTTGAGCAGTTGCCCAGCGCGAATTGCCCTTAGATCATCACAATGCCTTCCACTTCTCTTGCAGACCTGGTGGCCGCCCTCCCAGCGGAGGACAGCTGGGGCCCCTCCACCACCGCTGACAGCATGCTGTCTGGTGTGCCTTACGCTCCTTTCTCCAAGGGCGATAAGCTGGGCCGTATGGCCGATTGGACTGCCGAGTCCAAGGAGCGCCAGAACCAGCGTCCCCAGTACAACCGTGGCTTCAGAGGTATGTGTTTCGTTTTTTCTTCCATGCCCCTCCACCGCTTTTCAGGTGAGCCCCATCGCTAACATTGGAAATAGACCAGCAGGTGTACGGTGCCGGCTCCTCCAACCTTTTCACTGTCGCAACCGCCGAGGACGAGTCCTCCTTCTCCGTCGTCGATAACACCCGCACTCAAAAGCGCACCTTCGGCCGTGGCGGTGGCACTGTCTTCCGTGGTCGTGGTGGTCAGCGCGGTGCTGCCAACCAGCGTGGCGGCCGCGGTGGCTTCCAGCGTGCCGGCCCTGGTGGCCGTGATCAGCAGAACAAGTCTGGCTACAACTATGACACCCGCGGTGGACGTGGTGGCCAGCGCGGTGGCCGTCGTTTCGGCTGGAGAGATTACGACAAGCCTCAGCGCATTCGTGAGCCCTCTGTCAACATCCGTCCTGACTGGACCATGCTTGAGGAGGTTGACTTCAGCCGTCTGTCTAAGTTGAACCTCGATGCTCCCGAGGGTGAGGACCTCGAGACCTACGGTTTCCTCCACTACTACGACAAGTCCTACGACAAGGCCCCTGTCAAGAACGCCGAGCGCAGAATCCAGGCTCTCGACCGTGCCGCCTACAACGTCACTACTTCCCAGGATCCCGTCATCAACGAGCTCTCTGAGAAGAACGCCGCCACCGTTTTCGCTACCTCCGATATCCTCTCCATGCTGATGTGCGCTACCCGCAGTGTCTACTCCTGGGACATTGTCATTGTCCACCAGGGCGACAAGATCTACTTCGACAAGCGCGACGGCGCCTCCTTCGACATGGTCTCCGTTAACGAGAACGCCATTGACGCACCCCTCGAGGCCACCGAGACCACTGGCAAGGCCGACCAGCTCAACACCCCCAACGCCCTCGCCATGGAAGCCACCATCATCAACCACAACTTCGCCCTGCAGACTCTGACTGAGTCTGACAAGTCCAAGGTCTCCTTCGCCAAGCCCAACCCCTTCTACGACGAGACCGAGGAGACCGAGCCCCTCGCCTCCAAGGGTTACAAGTACCGCCGCTTCGACATCTCCCTCGAGCGCGACGAGGAGCCCGTCTCCATGGTCGTCCGTACTGAGGTCGACGCCGTCATGAAGGGTGGCCCCACCGGTGGTGAAGACCAGCAGCTGATCATCAAGGCCCTGAACGAGTTCGACCCCAAGGCCCAGGGCTCCGGCGGTGCCCTCGACTGGCGCAGCAAGCTCAACTCCCAGCGCGGTGCTGTTCTCGCCACCGAGATGAAGAACAACTCCGCCAAGCTCGCCCGCTGGACCACCCAGGCCATCCTCGCCAAGGCCGACGGCATGAAGCTTGGATTCGTCTCCCGTGTCAACCCTCGCTCTGCTGTTGGTCACGTCGTTCTCGGCGTTGCTGGCTACAAGCCCCGCGAGTTCGCTAGCCAGATGAACCTGAACCTCGGCAACGGTTGGGGTATCGTCCGTACTATCGTTGACCGCATTCGCACTCTCGACTCCGATGAGCCTGCTGACAAGGTCAAGAAGTACGTCCTCATCAAGGACCCCAACAAGTCCGTCCTCCGTCTGTACAGCGTCCCTGCTACTACTTTCGAGGAGGATGAGGAGGCTGAGATTGAGGAGCCTTCCGATGAGAAGTCGGATGCTGAGGAGTAAACTGATGAATTATGTTCCAGATGTGCATACGTACTCTACCTAAAATTTGATGCTTTATACTCTTGATAGATTTGATCATAATTCTCTTTCTTTTTCCCCTCCTTTTTTTTTCCATTTTGATTCTGGAAGGATAGAATGACTCTTGCGTAGGACAATAGGCTTCTCCCGCAACATTGTACAACCCGTGGCAACTTTAGAAGATTTGCGTAACGGGTATGACGCCGTGGGACTTCCTTGAGAGACATCAATGCGGGCAATTTGTGGGCAGGTTTGTTATTCTCTTGCGGGAGTGTTGTATTCAAGACATGGCACCACCCAAACCCGCCCCGGGCAGGTAAACATTGGTCGTTGGTTTATACGGAGTACAGATGAAGGAATCTTTCTCCCCATGTACCACCCTTTAACAGGGTGGCGATTTCAGTTGTCTTGAGATTAAATTCAATGGTGAGTTCGGAGAATGGCGGCAAATGTGATGAATTGGTAGCCTTCATTCCAACAGAGCAAAAGGAGAGAAGAGAAGCAAAGTAAGAACCTGGGTCAAAAGCCACCTGAACCAACAGGTTTTATATACAACTAGACCAAACGCTAGAAAAGAGATAACAGATCATAATGGTTGCCGTCACAGTTAGCCATACATAGAATCGTCGGCTGTACCAGACATGCCGAGTTCCACCTCTGGACCAAGCACACTGCTCAAACAATCCATCAATTCAAAGTCTTCCACCACGGCGCCAAAGCCGTAGCAGCGCACCTTGGTGTTGAGGGTGTCAATGATGATCTTGATGTCCTCGCGGCGGAGGTTGGCGTATTGCTTTTGGTTCTTGAGGTGTTGCAGTGCCATAATGGGCGTGATTTGACCCTCTGTCACCAGCTGCCGACTGAGGTTGAGGAGGGTGCTCAGGTTGGCATGGGGCAGATTCGGCGCTTGGTGGGGATATGGTTGTTCGTGTGTCGTTTTCTCGATATAGCTGGGTGGTGGGCAAGTCGCCATCAGGGCGTGCCCGGAGAATGGCATGTCTTCATCGTCAGCCTCGGTGACGGATCGGCGACAGAGATAATCTGTGTGTTCACGACAAGGTCCTTCGAGTCTGAATGGGGTCAGTACGGTAACAATAGGTGAAAATTCGTGTCGGGTTGGGGCAACTCACGTCAAGATAAAGTCGACCTGCAGCTGTGGATCTGTCTCGAACACGCCGCGCGGTCCGGGCATGGGCATGGGTGGCATGGGTGTCATGGTATCTACTGGTGTGCATGATGAATGGTCCATGCTCATCGATTGTTCGCCAGGACTGGTTTGGTAAACTTGTTGGCCCCCGTATCCGAGCGAAGGCGAGACGTCCGAGTGATCCATTCCATTGACACGCGGGCTCAGGTCGGAGAGAGTAGTCGCCGGGGTAGTGTCATGATTGCTGACCGAGGTCGTACGGGGCACCGATTGCGATGCTGTGCTGCTACCTGCCACAGGGCTGGTATCGAAGTGTACGGGTGGACGCTCCGCCCGTCGTCGCTCTAATTCGGCTTCGTATCGTACCCCATGTGCGGCCAGAATCTCTTTCAGAATTTCATTCTCCTCCTGCGCCGCATGTATGACGCCCTTCTGTTGTTGAATTGTGATGTTGGCGTCTGTAATCTCCGTGGTGTATGCTTCCCGTAACCGCGATACCTCGGTTTCCATTGATCGGATGTATTGTTCTTTGCGCTCGCGATGCGTTCTACCGGAGTCAGTCCCACTCACGTCATCGTCATCGGAACGATCATCCTACCGTTGTGCCTGGCGATTCAATTCTTGTCGCCTGGTTAAGGCAGGCTTGCTGTCGGGTTTGGGTCCTCGGCGTTTGGGCTGCTGGCCATCTGGTGAAGGTCAGTAGTGGTCGATCGTAGACGGAAAAGCGGCCCTCACCTCGGGTGACTTTTTTCTGTGCATTCTGTGCATTCGGAGCACTGCCACTGCCTCCTCCACCAAAGATTTTGAAAATTTCGGAGCCGAAGCCTCTGGATGAGGGGGTTTGGGGTTCCTCTGCGATGGCTTGCACCGTGCACTCCGGGGCCGTGGGCCGAGCCGGAGAGACATCGGCGCGATAAAGTCAGCGATCGAGATCTTGAGATTGCGATCGAAATTGCAGTCCGTTGGTATGTGTCAGTTCTAGCCCCTTCGCATCGCTGCCGGGGGAAACCCGGGGGAAAACCCGTTGGGAGCTTCCGATCCGGGGGCTAGGGGGGTTTCCCATGTGTCGCATATGCGTCGCAACTCGCCAGAGGTTGCGACCGCGAGATGGCAATTGCAATTCGCGCAGCAGCCAGAGTCCAGTTGACAAGTACGGGATTTTCCCATCACTGTGAGACATATTGGAACTCACCATATTGGACATGGTCCATCGGGTATACCCCACCGCTAGCCATGATGCGAGAAGTGAAAGGAAGTAAGGGAGAGGAAAAGAGCGAAAATATTGGAGTAGAGTCGAGTAGAGAGAAAGAGAGTACAATGTGACGTGAAGAGGAAAAGAGAAAGTGGAGGTGATAACGTGTGCCCCTAAACAACTTCGTCTTTTTTTTCTTTTTTTTTTTCCCACGCTTTTTTACCTTCGCTTTTTTCTATTTCTTTTTTTCTTTTCTCATTTCTCTGTGTTTGGGGAGTACGAATATCATTTTCCTCTTCGGCTCCGTTTGTCTTGCATTGCTTGCAGGCTCAATGTTTCAATAGCGCTCGTTTGCTCCACCTTTCCAACGGCGTCACTTGCAGGCCCTTATTGCATATTGCTTCTTCCTTCTGATCTCACGAGTAGGTACCTTCGCCGAACAGATACCGAAGCGCCCGTGGGAATTAATTTATCATTTGATCTGAACGTGGAATTCATTTACAGAACTGACAGATCAGATACTCGATTTAGATTGCGGGTAGCAGATTCAGAAGTACAGACTACGGCTTCACAAATCTAGTATACCAGACATCAACTCTGTACGGAGTACTCCATACTCTCTGCGGAGTATGAGCACACAGTACTCGCAAGCGTGAGTACTCTGTACTCTAGACATCGTCGACTCTGCAAATTACCGGCCCGAAAATATGCTAAAATATGACCTGTCCAAAACAATAGCCAATCAAGGTGCCTTTGAAGGGCGACAGAAAATATTCACGAAAACTCCATTTGACAAATCTTCGCCGATCCGTGAATAGCGCATGATCCGCATGATTTGCGATCCCGGGATCTGGACCCCTATTGTCTTCACACTATTGCTTTCATCACATCTAGTGTACAATGGCAAAGATTCAGACTTCCGATCGCGGGTGTGATTGGCCCATCGCGGGATCAATGTACAGAGTACGAAGGGATCGATCTGACATCACCGCAGTGACGGAGTACAGTGACATCAATACATTTTCAACCAGGATTTGTCTCCTTCGATATACACCTTACGCCGCGCTACTTTGTACCTACAACGTCGTAGTCTATATGCTACGAGTATATCTCAAATCGCCGCAATGACCAAGAAGATTGCCATAATTGGCGCGGGTGCCGCAGGGATGTCATGCGCCTCCACGCTGGCGAAACATCCGGAATTTTCGGTCACCCTGATAGACACCGAGAGTTACACTGGAGGACAGGCTACCTCCATCAACTTGGACGCGACGAAACACGGCGCCGACTGGTTAAACGACGGGGTTCAAGGCGGCTCACAAATTTTCCGCCATACCTTTCAATTCTTCCGTCACTACGGCTATGAACCTCAACCGGTAAAGCTTCAAGTCGCGTTCGGCAAGGGCAAGGATTTTTGGACCAATGTGTTCCCCAGCCAATTGGTCGATGAGCACTCGGGGGAGATCAAGAAGCTATCACGGGTTTTGTCATGCATCAAATACTTGATGCCCATCCTGGGAATCATGCCCGTCAAGATCATTCTACGTCTATTCCGCTTCAGTAACGATTTTAGCAATAAAATGGTGCTACCACTGTTGGCATTGTTCCTGGGAACGGGGAACCAGACACCCAACGTGTCAAGTGTCCTGCTGGAACGACTGTTCAATGACCCCCAGATGAAACTTTGGGAGTATGATCCGGACACACTCCTGCCCAATCTTCCTATGATGTATACCTTCCCGAACCTGAGCAACTTTTATCGGGACTGGACGACGGATCTGCGCGCCAAAGGGGTGGAAATTCGGCTTGGTTGTCACCCATCCATTGTCAAACGCGACAAGAAAGGGGTCGTGTTGCAATTGCAAGATTATGATGGAGATCAAGCGAAAGGAGAACCCTCGATCGAAAAGTTCGATGACTTGGTAATGTGCTGTCCTGCCGATGAGGCAAAACGGCTCCTGGACCGACACGCTACCTGGCGCGAGAAATACGTCCTAGGGGGCGTGAAGTTTTACAACGACATCACAATTACCCATTCGGACTCTGCATACTTTCAAAAGATCTTTGAAGTGCAATATGAGCCAGAGCTGGCAGCGAAACCCACCTCACAGACACGAAAGGACCAAATTTCATTTGCAGAACAGCAGCCTCGGAGCCAAAAAGATGGATGGCTGGGATTCCGACCGATGTACTTCACGCGATCCTATCGGTCGGACCCAGGAAAGATTGAAATGGGATTCAATTGTACTCACTACCAACACCAATTCCGCGAGAATCTGGGCAAGGACCAACCACCGCTACCGGAGGATCAACAAGTGTTCCAAACAATATTCCTGGTATGTCCCTTCACTTACTGCCATCGATATTTGAGCTGACAGTGGGATTTTCAGAACGATCAAGAAAAAGATCTCTGGACATGGAACGATATTGACCCATCAAAGATCATAGCGTAAGTCTCCGAGCTGGATCTGTTCATTTCCATGCGACAGAAAACTAACATCAAAGTACAGCCGCAAATGGTGGCACCAATTTGGTCATCGTTGGCAGCATTATCTCCGGGTTGTTCCGGGCATGATGTTCATCAATGGTACCAACCGAACCCTCTATGCTGGAAGTTGGACTATGGTAGTGAGTTGATCTACCCTAGCTATAACCCATAATGCTCACATTTATTCTAGAATATGCACGAGATTGCCTGCATATCCGGTATTGCAGCGGCATACCAGCTTGGCGCCACCTATGAGCCATTCGATGACTTCGCGGAAGACTTCTTCGCCAAATACTTACTAGTATGCCATGGGACGAGATACAAGAAGGATAGAGCAAAGAGCACGTAAACAAGATATGTTTGGAGAACACTAATGAATCTAATCAAATACTAAGTACATCTCAGAGCATATATCGGAAACTTTCAATCTCGTGGTCGGTCTTGTTGGATATCTCATCCTGTAGTTCTTCACTTTCCGTCATTTCCCTTGGGGATCCATACAGCCGATCTCGGCGGCGATTTTCAAATATGTAAAAGACATAAAGGCAGATCAGGAAGAAAATACCAAATGCCAGGCCCGCCATTGAAGCTTTGATGCCAGTCTGTCAATCGTTAGTAGCTGGCCAATACCATCAAGCTTGACATGATATTACTCACCATATAGGAAGGTTCCTCGGAAGGAATGAAGAACTGCGGCCCAACAATGTTGCCAATACAGTATGCTGCAAACATGACAGCACTGACTGTACTCTTCTTTGTAAACCCAGCAACATTCGAGCTAATCAGACTGAGCGACAACGGAATGTTGGCCGCAAAGACACCCCCCAGGCAAAGTCCAGTCATCTTGCCTGCTCGATTATCATCACCAAGCTTCCAGATCAGTAGCATCCCAACCATCGAAACTGCAGTATTGAAGATCATCATGAGGATACGAGTCTTTGGAACGAACGAGGCAACACCCGAAGTAAGCAGGAGGAAGACAAGCTGTGCACCGCCAATGGGCATCTGAATGAGAAGAGCCTCGAGGTGAGGAAATCCAAAGCCTGTGATGATGATGGCAGAGAAACTGGTCAAACCACCATTGCAGAAGTTGACGCAGAGGGTATATAAGACCAAAAACCACATCTGGGGATCTTTAACGGCCATCCAGACCTGGTTCCATTTGAAATTTCCTTGATCCATGACTCCAGTCTTGTTTTTCAATGTTCTTTGCACGGCGACGGCTCGTTCGGTCGGTTTGAGGAAGATGGCTTTGGCAGGTGAGTCGGGTAGAGTGAGGAATAAGAGAATCCCATATGCTGAGGTGATGGCTCCGAGAATGAGGAACAGCAATTGCCATTGAGCAATTGCTGTCACATGAATGTTTCCAATGCCGTACGCAATCAGTCCCTATTTTCAATTTGGTCAGAACACCTGTTTTGACAGACTGCTTTGGATTTGTACTCACGCCAAGAAGGACAGCAATTGAATTGCCACAGAACCAGGCGGCTTGTCGAGCTGGCTGTTCCTCTCTGGTATAAAACATTCCAGTGATAAGCGCAAAGCCAGGGGCAATGGATGCTTCTGTTCGATGAAATAAGATCAGCTTCTGATAATCCATTGAGGTTTTTTAGAGAATAGTACCTCCAACTCCAAGGAAGAACCGAGCTGCCATGAGGCCTCCCCAGTTGATGCATGCAGCGTGCACCATAAGACACGCTCCCCATACGCATGCCGCAACACCAAGATATTTTCCTAAGGGAAGCCTGACTGGATGGAGGTTAGAGGAAGCAGCATGTCCAAAACATCAGTGCAAACATACCAACTAGATAGGAGCTAGGCCTATAATGAAGATTGATTGTTAGTATTGCTTCAAATCAGAGGGCGAAATATTTGCATACCAGCTCCACGCAAAATAGCCAAAATAGAAGATTGCCGACGCCCAATTATATTCATTCCCTTTCAGATTCTAACATCAATCAGCGAAAATTCCACGAGAATGACAGGTAAGGAGGGAAATACTAACCAAGTCTTGTCGAAGGTTGAAAAGTGTTGCCTGGCTGATTGCCAGCTTGTCAATGTATTGCAGCATGTAGCAACCCCCCATGAGAGGTATTAAAAACAAGTCCAATTTTCTGAGGACTTTTTTGTCTAGCTCCGGCGAGGTTTCAACCTGAAGTACTTCACCAAAATCAACATCACGCATGATTGACCCGTCGACCTTCAGCTTGTCAACGCCGGACTGAGCGCCCCCTGACGAGGGTTGGTTCTTTTCCATTTTGATTACAACCAAAATGAGCAGAAAGAAAAGGTTCAAAACAGTAGATTTTTGGAGAAGGAAACTCGCGACTTAGTTAAAGGATTGAGATTGATAAATGGCCATTAAGCTACGGGAACCCCAGGGGTCTATATGGCTTTCCGGACGTTGAGGCCAAGGCATAGGCACCTAAGCGCAGTGGCGTTGATGAGTACAGAATAGCATCTGATAGGGTAACACTTTTGATAATCTCGTGTCTCAAAATTCATTATTACGTTGTTTAGATGGGACTGCAACTGACAAACGCGGGGAGTTTGAGCGATAGCCTTTGGCCTTGAACACGGGCGATATCAACGGCAACGAAAGGCGACGGGGGTCAGTTCTAGATGCCGAAATATTTACCATGAGGTCGAGTTATCGTCAGCTGTTGCTGTTTGTTTAGACTTTGTAAGGAACAAAAGATTGGCATCTATACATCGGCAGTTTGGCGAATCAAACGAACGATATACTAACCTTGGAACTCGTCGGCAATCACCCTCATCGGCAACCCACTTTCCCTATCATCCCCGCAGAATCTGTCATATCGGATAGCGAGATTGAGCAGTTATCAAAACACTGCCTCTTTACCCCAGATTCCATAGGTCTGTGCAGATTGCCGAGCCCAGCATGATAGGCCAACCTCAGTATCGCGGGATTATGACCGCCATTTCCGTCCTTGCTCTCTCCAATTTGGTTATCACAACTACAAATCGCAATACCAGCGACGGGTCAAAGATACAAAGTCCATGAATCCATGACAAATTCCGCCTCACTTTGTACGCTCATCATATCGTCGGCAAACGCCACCCGAATACTACCTCGTCGGATTTCCAGCTACCACCGACTTGGCATGGCATCAGGAGTTAAATATACCTTGGACGGCTTCCAACTTTTCGGTATCAAGAAGCCTACCAAAAGCACGAACCTGAAGAAGTACAAAGAATAGAGACTGATTTTGCGACAATATGACCGTCACAAAAGTCGACATCGCAGAAGTCAAAGCATATGTAGATGCTACCCTGGAAGCACTGCACAAGGAACTGCGAGATTTAAATCATCAGGTATTTTCAGTATTGCTCTTCAGAATTCCGGTAGAGGCTAACGCGGCGATTGGCACTGTTAGATCTGGTCTAACCCTGAGCTTGCTTACCAAGAGCACCGTGCTCACGATACGATCTGCGAATTTCTCGATAGGCAAGGTTTCACGGTCACACGTCATGCCTACGGTCTTGATACCTCGTTTGAAGCCTTGAGTGGATCTGGGGGCCGGCTGATAAACTTCAATGCGGAATACGATGCTTTGCCTGATATTGGCCACGCGTGTGGGCATAATCTCATATCAACCAGCAGTGTTGCTGCATTTGTCGCTCTGTCACTTGCACTGAGGAAGTTCGGCATCCAAGGGCGAACGCAGCTACTGGGTACTCCTGCGGAAGAGAATGGAGGCGGTAAAGCGAAGCTCATTGAAGCTGGTGCTTATAAGGGTGTGGACATATCACTGATGGCGTGAGTCTTAAAATGTGCGTGTCTTAGATTAAAGTGCAGACTGACCATGTACAAGTCATCCTGGTCCCGAAAAGCTATACCCCGGACAGGAATGCTGTGGGATTGCTGGCACACTTATGAATGCCAGAAAAAACATTCATTGTAAGAAGTTCGATCACGCCTTTTACTTCCACTAATAACAATGTCTCGACACAGGCGAATTCACAGGCCGGAACGCTCATGCGGGCGGAAATCCTTGGGAGGGAATTAACGCTTTGGATGCACTGATTTCATCTTATAACAATGTGGCTGTGTTGAGGCAACAGTTGCTTCCAGACCAAAGAATTCATTGTGCCTTTTTGGACACACCAAAGGTGGCCAACGTGATCCCCGCATTCACGAAGGCTTTCTGGCAGGTGCGGAGTCCTACACTCAAGGGGTTAAATACTCTGATTGGGAAAGTACGAAACTGCATTGAGGCAGGTGCACTGGCAACGGGCTGTCAGGTCAAGATTGAGGAGTACGGTTTCCATATCATTGAGGGATTACCTTTTCGCTAACGTGGTTCGATCTAGGGATGAACTCTATACCGATGTTCGGCTGAATGACACTCTCTGCGAGCGTTATCAATCTCACATGGGACGATACCAGCGTGATGTGCTCAAGCGACATGACAAGGTCTTGACAGGATCATCTGATATAGGCATGTGGCAGCGTCTCGTTCGAGAAGACAATTCTAACTTTATCCACAGGGAATGTCAGCTACGAGACTCCAACCCTTCACACTATGTTTGGTATACCCGCCCCTGAGACATCCTATCCTCATCATCCGACATTTGCCGCTGCAGCTGGAACGGATGAGGCTCATACCGAGGCAGTCATCGTTGGGAAATCGTTGGCCTTGATTGGATGGGACATGGTCACTGAGGATGGTTTGTATGATACAGCACGGGTTCAATGGAAGGAAGAGATCGGACGGATTGACTAGATGTCTCGTCGAGTGTTGCAAGATCTATATGTAAGACTGCTACATTTCGACTGAAGTATAGCCTAGCGGAAGAATACAGAATTCAATGAACACATTGTATCTACTTGACTGAATTGGCTTGTACCAAACTACGCGTTCCAGTCCCACAATTAAGTCAAGGATCAAGAAGCTTAGGGATTATAAGGTTTAGCGTTAATTGTCTACTCCATAGTCCGAACCTGCATTGTAGAGAGCCACGATGAGTTTAAATGAGATAGCTGATATATTCGAGGGTCTACATCTCAATCTCAATAATTCTAGACCTCAAATATCAATTGATCTCAGGGCCAGCAAAAATCTCCCAAAACAGCTGTATAGGACGTCATGGAGATTAGGTCAGCGCTCTTCCCCGCGTTATCGGCAGCTTATCGGGGGTTCGGCAGTTGACCTTTTCGACACAAGACCCGCACCCACATCTTCAATTCTCCTATGCCTGATCTTTGCTAGTTCCAGAGGTGGGGGAATTGGTGCTTGATGTCCATGCAATCTGGACGCAACGGCCCCCGGTCCAAGAGCGGTACTGCAGCCCCCTAGGCCTTTTCCCACAACTGCCGGCTAATCGCTTCTCAGGCTGTAGTACGTGCCGCCGCCGCAAGGTCAAATGCGGCGAAGAAAAACCAGTCTGCAGGCGCTGCTCCGCGCTACGCCTCAATTGTGAATGGGGTGTTCCTGTCAAAAGAGGACGCAGTACTCAAATTCGCAATTTAGAACCCGCTCCAGTCGCTTCCGAGTCATATCCGATCTGCCCACTGCCGAAAGTCGAGGACCTCGTCGATTTTCAACCAGATGTGTTTTTTTCCAGCATGTCGCCAGTCTCATGGGCAGGCGATGTCATGTCGTTAGATGCGACTCCAATACCATCATTTTATCCCCCAGTGCCCATCGCGTCTCCTGTATACCCGTCGTTGAACATTGATGATCTCGCTTGCGCCAACTCATTGACTCTCAACAACCTTGATCGCCAATACTTCCAGTATTTCCCTTCCTCGTCTCTCGTCCATTACTATATGAAGGGCTGGAAATGGAGCAGCTTTTGGTGAGTGTGGTCTCGAGAGCTACGGCTGCCCTAGTCGTCCTTGGAAGATGTCACCCGCTGATCAAATAACCCAAATCGCCAGTCATCTTTACGAGGGTCCCGCCGCGTCCAACAAGGTTATAATGCGCATGATCCTGGCTATCGCAGCCTGCGACATGCATCGCAATGGAATAGTTACGCGCTCCCCGGGCCGACCAACAGCAGACGACCACGGGCGATATCACTACGGTTTGGCGGTAAAAGAATTCAGACAACTGTTGGAGACACCGCGTCAAGTGTCGCTGGATGAGGTCGAAACGGTTTTCGCTACCGTATTCCTGATGATCGCCTGGGAGTGGCAGTTTGGTCACTCAGTGCGCCATGTAGGAAGATCATAACCAATGTTTCATCAACGAATCACTGACCTGGCGTGATTTAGCTTCAACTCCATCTTCAGGGAGTCCGATCACTTTTGGAAACACATCCCCGACTGTTCCGCATCAAGGATGTGAACGACATGTTCTTGGCTCCAGATATCCCAACAACCTCCGACGAAAATTCCGCCGTTGCCAGAGTCTCGTTTATACCGGAACAATTCCTCTTGTGGATATTGTGAGTCTTTCTGCACATGCATTGAGAAACGTGATACTCATTCAATCCAGATATATCGATGCCAGCTGTCGCCCTACTGGGATCACAGAGTCACTGAATGACTGGGTCGTTCAATCAGGTAACCCTGCACTACAGCCGGATCATCTTTATCGCTGTGCTCGCCTTTGGGGCCGCTGCTTCTGGGGCGAGCAATACCCCGACGAGGAGGTTTTAGATGATATTGAGAACTACCGAGCCTTGGAGTTGCTTCATGCCGGGTTTTGTTTGCGCCATCGAACCTGGAAACTCCTTGTGGATTCAGCGGCTGGTACCGCTGAGCCCAAGGAGCCCTTTTTGCGCGAGATTGTGGCTGTTCGAGAGGTTGGTGCATCCACGCAAAAACATGGAAATGAAACTAACCCGACTAGAAATTCTCTGATCTCTTTATTACGGCAAGATTTGCGGGCAGCGTTTCCGCTCGACGTACGCTCAATACAATATACATGGGAGTTTGTACATTCTATGCGCAAGTTCTACTCTATCGCCGACTTCTCTGCGTCGGCGCTCCTCCCACGGCTCTTGACAAGCAAGCTGTTGCGGCGATTATTGACATATCACAAAAGCAATTCCTCTCTGATCCAAAGCTCCTCAGGAGGCTACATTGGCCCTTGCTCATGGCAGTGGTTGAAACAGGCGATGTCGCACATCGAGCCTGGCTCCGGCAACGATTGTGGGAACTTCGTGATTTCCACTCTGAATTTGTTTGGGCACATGATCTCGCCGAAGAAATCCTGGCTCAGCAAGATGTGACCCAGGGACGATATCTGAATCTGGCAGAATTGCTACTTCAGCGAATCAATGCCTTCTGAACGAAGCCTTCGGCTCCTGTATATCTACTTCAATTCTTATAGAACACCTTAATGTCTTATGTCTTTCATCTGCTCTCTTGCGTGTTGGCTCGCTCACTGACCAGGTGGTTGTACTGACTATTTCTATGGACTGTTTTCCAGAAAGTATGCATCGTATGCCACCTCGCCTTTTGCCCTTGTGGCTCGTCCGACAATAACGCGATTGTTCATCCACTTGTACTTCTCGTGACCAGTTTCAATCTTCACGTGAAGGTGAAACCAATACTGACTAGGATCAACAGGACCGCCCTCCATCAATGCCTGGAGAACCTCCGGAGGACCTGCCCGTGTTCCTTCAGTGCTGTTATCCAATCAGCTTATATTCATTTGCCTGCATATTCATCTAATGATACCGGATATAGAGAAAAGCGCCGTCATCGCTCTTGATCATATAGTTGGTATTCACATGCGTCGTCTGGTCTTCTTCAACCAACCTGGTCATTCGTTAAATCCGACCTCTCAAGTCCTCTAAGCAATAGTTCAATGCGGGCCATACATAAAATCCGCACCTCCTGGCACCACCTCACCATTGAGAAATTTTCCTTGTACAGATCCAGACTTGATTGGAACACAGCGCCGTCGACCATAGGGACCATGGCCGACTTCCATTGGCGCGTCTACCGCGCAGCGCAACGTGAAAAGGTGTGTGAGTTTTGGTGGCGGTGATAGAGTATCCATGACGGTTGTTTCAATACAGAAGAACACTTGAAGCACACAGTTGAAGCCAGGAGAGGGGTTGCGGGGATACGCTTTCTCCGGGATATCCGATCTTGAATCTCGGACTTTAAGAACTCCATGCGAGCTACTTTCGAGGATTCTTCCCAGCGTAGTAGGAGATTTTGGTCTGTTGTAGTCCATTTCTATTGCACTATCCGTGATTCTCGCTGAAATTCAAGTATACATTGTCACAATATTAGACATTCTCAACTGATCCTACATTCCCCATCGGCCAAAGTTTCCCAGTTCCATCACAGTCGGCTACCCACAGAGCTAAGCATTTGAGTGTCAACATTTGTACCACTGAAAAAGTTTAGTGGATATGCACATTTCTCAGTTGAGCTCCACCAAACCTACGTCTGATGGTTGAGAAAGCCGGAAAAGAAGTTGCCAATTTCCTGATAATCCCCCAATCCCATCACAGCGGAGACATCTAAAGTTCGCAGAAGATCAGTAATCGGCTATAGTTTGGTGCTGGGAGTCTCTTACATTGATCTGGTCGAACAATGATGATTGCACCTTGTACTGGGTCAATACCCAGGTGCTCATATGCATGTCCGTGGCCCATATTATAACTTTCGTCGTCGTAGTATAGTTTGTGAAGATCTGAGCGACAAGGGTCAGTAAGAGCATTTATGGATACTTCAAAAAGGGCTATACCTCTGGTTTGATTTTTTCCGGAGATTGGATAGAAGCATTTGGGGATTTCCTCCAATTCCACATCATGGCGTACTCCATGACCGATCACGATAGTCTCAATCAGACTATCAGAGTCTTGGTTTCGAGGCGTGAAACTGTGGACTGGGCCATCGGCTGCATCCAAGTAATCACCAAGCTAAAAGAAAAAAAAAATTAATTAGATATGATCTCTTGTATACCACAGCAAAACATACCTTGACTAATTTTGACTGGCTTTCTGGTGTAGCAAGGTTGCCGACAAAGGCCATTATCCGCCATCGGCCATCAGACTTGAGGGCTTGCATAAGCTGCATTGGTTTGGAGTCACAGAAACGCACGACCTGCGCACTGGGCAGACGCATACCTACAGTCACCTGAGAGGCAATCTGTTCAGATTCCAACGCGCATGTGATGGAGGAAACATCATACGTCGCTGTCAAACCAGCAGTATACTTTCCAGCTTGGATAAAGCCCTGTTGAAACTCGGCAGGGGAAGTTTGAGCACCAGATGAAAACAGTTTAGAGAAATGACGGTCGAAGTTGATTAGATCGATGGCGACCTTCTGGCGTTCCAAGACATATGTCTCAAGGAGTGACGGATTGGCCAAACCAGTCAGAACTTCGCCTAGCTTCCAGCCAATGTTATATCCATCTTGCAAGCTGACATTCATACCCTGTCCAGCTTTAGGGGAGTGGGTATGGCAAGCATCGCCGGCGAGGAACACTCGGTGATCTTTGTGGAAGAAATCGGCATGGCGCTGGCCAATTGCGTATGCAGACCACCAGACAGTTTCAACAAAATCAACTTTGTAAGGACTCAAGATCCTTTGTGCTTGTGCCTGTAAATTTTCAAGGGTGACCTCCTTCGGGTTGGTCCCAGGAGGAAGTTCAATATAGAATCTAGTTAGGTTGTCGTTTTCGCCCTCGCGGGGAATAATCAGAATGTTGCCGGATTTCGAGCGAATTGTGGACTTCTTCCGAATGTCTGGGAAATCAGTTCGGGGAACCATGTCCATGACACCCCAAACTGCATCACTGCTGTCCCCAATCATGCGGTACCCAAGGGCTTTGCGGACGATACTGTGCGCCCCATCGCAAGCCTAGACACCGAGTCAGAGAATTCATAGTATTGGATATGAGAGTTACATACCAGAGCATATTTGGCCGCAGATACCTCGGTTTTGCCATCTTTCTCTGCAGTGACCTTCACAGGATAGGCGTTGGGGTCACCAGCAGACAGGCTATCAACTTCGACGTTGGTCACATTATAACCATAGTCAATTTGCTGATTATTGGTCTTCTTCATCAAATCCAACAATAGTCCGTTGATGCGAGCTTGATTGAGAATAACATGAGGCTGGTGCGATAGACCGGGCTGGGTATCTGCCGTTCGCCCAGTGCGTTTGATGCCAGTGCTATCCTCAGCCCAGAAGTTAACTTCTAGAACATGATATGCCTCGCGAAGGAGCTCCTCTCCCACACCGAAACTTTCGAAGATCTCCACGGTGCGACATTGCACGCCGTCGGCCTGGCCCATCTGCATAGGGCCATCCCTTCGCTCCAATACCTTGCATCGCACACCGTATTTAGCAAGCCATGTAGCTGCACAGAGACCAGCAGATCCACTGCCACAAATTAAAACGTCGACTTTCTCCATTTTGTCAGAGTTGGACTCTAATGTGTTGGAATATCGCCGAGCTTTTAACGTGAATCCGGGGTGAATCCCGAAGCCTCCGGAATGAGTTCCGGGATGAGTCCCGAGAGCGGCAGTGCCTCCCTCGGTATATCCACCATACTGTACTCCGCACAAGACCCTGGAGTATGGGTGTGTGGGGGATATGACCAAGAACAAAAAGAGGATAAATAGTACTCCGTCAAAACGGCAAAGGAAATTTCGATGGCTGCCTCAGGTTGAACAACATCTTTGTATCAGGGCCTTATTGAAGAGGCCTACACTTCGGGCCCAATTCTAGACAATTTAAAGTTACTGAATTGGTACTTTTGTGCCATCGAGAGACTCGAAAACACGGTCATGGATTTTTGGTGCACTTTCATGCCCATATACGAGGCGTATGCATCATTAATTCCGGTCTAAATCATTATAAAATGTCCATCCTACCACCCCGAATCCCAACCGAACGCCAGCGCCGGTGCAAAGCTCGTAAACACATCTTACAAGAAGTACTCGCTCCGGCCCGGTCGCGAGGTTGGAACGTGTCGTTGGTCATCGCTAACTGCGCTAAACAACTTGAAGGTAGGCTTGAGGTCATCGCCAATCTCACACACCGAGGCCAAGTTACCACAGCGGTAGCAGTAGTTTGGCGCACTCCAGACGGTGACCACATTTTGGTTGTTGAAATGATATTTGTAGCCTTCGTTGACCAATTGATGAGCACGAGCAATCAAGGAAAGGTCGTTAACATGGCAGAACTCATCTGCCACTCGGTCTCCGAACAGCCATCCTAGATCTTATTAGCGCGATAAAAATTGAGATTGCCCGTGAGTTTGCTTACCTGCTCCTCGAGGACTAACAGCCCATGTCTCGACATCATCGGGGTCGGACCAGACAAGATCACAGAAAGCACCCTCGTGAGGGATCTCCTGCGCACGGGCAACCACGCGGACTTGGTCCAGCGTGCGGATCTCGGGGCTCAGACCACCGTGAACACAGAGCACTTTACCGTCAATGATCGCCCCCAATGTCATGAAATCGAAGACCTGACAGCATGCCTTCCACACTGAAGCACTGCCATATTTTTGGAAACACTCTTCGTAGAACCCATATACTTGAGTAATTTGTCGTGACTCGTGGTTGCCACGGACCAAGGTGACACGATCGGGATATCTGGACATAGCAAGATTAGAGACGCACAGCTGGTGGTGTATGTTAGCTTGAACTCACTTGGCCTTGAGACAGAGCAAGAGTGTTAATGTCTCCAAGCTGAAGTATCCGCGGTCCACGTAATCGCCAAGGAATACAAAGTTGCGGTTGATCTGAAGATCCGCAGAGGTACCACTGCCCGACCGGCTCCGTGGACCTGATTCTGCATCCTCATCCTCATCGTTGGGGTTTGTACTAGGGCCGCGAAGCTTCTTGCGAACTTTGGGGTCTGAGATGCTGGATGGGGGTTCGATATCGGCGGAGGTGATCACAGAGGGTGATGTCTTTGGGGAATCCAGCTCAGTTCCATCTGGCATGCCTCCCGAAACACGGAAAAGCTCCAAGAGATCATAGAATTGACCGTGAATATCACCACAGACCGTGACGGGCGTAGAGACGGGTTGGATATTCGATTCTGCAGAGATAGTAAGCACGCGCCAAACTAGACACAATCATCCACGCGGTTATCACTGACCTTCCATCATGTATTCCTTCACAATCTCACACAGCTGTTTCATGTGTGGCTCTGAAAGGTACTTGCAGTCTTTTGCTGCCTCCAGCCATTCGTCCGGGCCCGCATTGCGCTTGAGTTTGGCAGGACCCGGCTGGGGGATCTTGCTCTCAGGCATGTTGAAGATAGAGAACAAGAGGAAAATGTGAAAATGGTGGGAATGAGGTGAGGGAGAAGAGTGCAATGTGTTTCCCCGCAAGTGGGACTTCGTCTTCGGTCCGCCCTGGCCACCGAAGTCCTTCTGGTCTCAGCTGCGGTGCTCAACACTTCCCCATCTCCAACGAACAGATACTGCTGGACACTTCAGACTTGCGATTTGTTGCAGTGCTTGCCATACTGACCACTCATGTCTAGTTTCTTGAGGTCCATACGCTAAGTGGCCATCACCCGTCCACATGACATCCTCACGACCTCACCTCACGATCCCACCGTCATGCCTCGATTTCGTTTACACAATTTATGTGTGCTAGATCACATTGTAATTTCCCATGCACAGGCCCAGCGACGACTGTCTATATATTCAAATGATGCACTTGTGCACTGAATCACAATACCGCGACTCATCTGACGGTGCAACCTGTGAGGACACCCTTGAGTGTTACAACCCACGGTGTTACTAGCACTGCAAAAACAGAGGGACACAAAAAGAGGGAGGGATAGAAAGGGGTAGCTAAGAAACACATTCATCATTCATTTTCCTATATCTTCATGGGGATATCGAACATCTACACACATAAGCCATAGAAATGCAATCAACCATCAATTTTGCCCAGGAACTCAGTCACAACTTCAGCAAATGCCACTGGCTGCTCGACCATGGGGAGATGGCCGGCACGATCAATGATCTTGAGCTCAGCGCCGCCACGCAGATCCGCAGCCATCTTCTGCATAGTCTGTGGCAGGACGCCATCGTTGGCACCGGCAACAAACAGCCCAGGCACAGTGGCGGCAGCCATGCGCTCGCGGATATCATAAGCACAGAGCGCCTGCACGCTGTGAGCGAAACCCTTCAAGCTGTTGGTGCGCACTGCCTCCTTGACAGGCGCGAGCACCTCGGGCTGGGTTTCGTACGATTCTGGCACGAACCAGCGGCGAGTGGTGACCTCGGCCAACTCCTCTCCGACAATAGGCTCGTTGGTGTCAGGGTCAGTTGAGCCTTCCTTTTCACAAATAGCCACACGGTCGCCCCATGCTTTGCGGTTGGATTCCGGTGCAGAAGAGTTAGTGTCGCATGCGATGAAAGCTCCAACGCGCTCCGGGTGGAGTAAGGAGGTGTTCAAAACGGTGACACCACCCAGGCTGACTCCGATCAGACGGGCGGCCTTGGGTGGCACACGCAGTGCCTCGAGCAGCGTGGCAAGGTCAGAGGCCAACACGTCAATGTTGACTGGCTGCTCGCCGCTCGCAGAACGGCGACCGCGGGTCAAGTAGCGCACCACACGGTAGCGCTGGTTCTGCTTGTGGGCGAAGAATGCATCAACGAAACGATCCCAAATGTTCCAGTTGACAAGGATGGAGTTGCTGAGAACAACAACTGGCGCGTAGGGGTCAGTGCTACCCTCCAACCGGTAGGGAATCTCCACGCCATCTTTGGTGGTAATGAATGACTCGACTGCCGGTCGAGAGGCTGAGGGGAAGGTGCGAGTACGGCCATCGTTGGAGCTCCAGGGGCCAGCAACATCCGGGGCAGCGAGGGAGGTGAGCTCGCGAGGGGCAGGACCGAAAGTGTAATACCACTCATACACGCGGCGGTTCTTTGATGTCACGACCTCGCTCATGAGACGGGCTCCCCAAGGAGTGTTCATCGCGGCCTTGTGGGCCTCGCCTCCTAGGCCATTGACAGGGGCATATTCGTACAGAGTCAGAGACTCCTGCGGGGCAGCGGAATCAATTGCCGCAGTGACAAAACGACGGCTACGACGCCAGCCAGGTACACGAGAAAGCATCTCAAAGTGTTCCTCACGGTACCACTTGTCCAGGTCTGCCTGCTTGGCGGGGTCGGGGTGGGTGGCCACACGAACGGCGATGAGCACGGTTCCCCGAGTCTCGGCATCTGTATCGGCTTGGTCTTCCAAGGGGCGGAAATCGGGACTGCTGCGCTCATCGACCAAATCGTACAACAGACGACCCACGTCGATCTGCGCCATGGTTTTCTTCTCCCGCTCGGTCTTGATCAGATCGGTGCGCAGGTCGAGGTAAGTCTTGCGGGTCAACTCGTCCATGTCGGTGATATCGTACAAAGCCACGTATTCAGGCTTCTCGCCATCGGTCGCGCGGAAACGAAAGCCATTGGTGATGAAAGGCAGACGCAGACGCAGCGGTCCATGTTCGGTGTTGTACCAGTCGTGGAATTGGGTGTCCGGCAGCGAGCCCTTGGGCTGCATGGTGACGTAGAGGAGGCCGGGAGTAGGCATGGTGAATATTGAGAATCAACTCGCGAGGCTCGATTGAAGACTACAGAGTAGACGGGGTGGAGGATCGAGCGACATCCTATATGTCATGTCCCCGGCATTGCGGCGGGTGAAAGCAAAGAGCAGCCGAACTCGACTGCCGATGTTCCCCAGTTTTTGCCGTCGCGCAATCTGCCTTCCGACTTCTCTACGCATTAGTGTGACAGGACTGTTACAGAGTTTGGACTGTCTTATATGTGCATTTGATTTCTATTCTGGTATTTTGAGGTCATTTACTACTTCTTGGGGCTCATTAATCGTACCAAATGGCGTTCATTCCGAATCCTTGCTCCGGAATATCCACACGCGCCACGCGAGCCAGCTTCTCGTCGCGCCAGCGGTACATCTCGACAAATCCGAGCTGGTCATCGCACAGTGCCACCCACTTGTCAGTGAAATCGCAGGGGCTCACAGCGTTGGAGTGACCGCCGCTAGTGGATGTAGGGTTGATGAAGAGCTGGCGCTCAATCTCGCCGTTCGGGCCGAGCTTGAAGGCAGTAATGTAGCCGGTGACGTCGAAGTGGTTCGACCGAGTTGTGGCGAACAGGTACTCGCCGCTCTGGGTGCAGAATGTAACATCGCCACGGTATTTGTTGCGTGGGGGAAGACCTAGAGACCGTTAGCTGGGATCTTGACGGCCACAAGTCTGGCTACTCACCTGAAGGCAGTAGGGGATAGGTGATGTGCGTGAACACGGGCTTGTGAGTACGCTCATCAATGACGTAGACTGCCAGGCGGTTGCCCGCCTCCATCAGCGCGTACAGGTACTTGCCGCTGGGGTGCATCTCCACCCAACGAGGGTGGTCACCGGCGTCGGGAGCTTCAAGGCAGTCCACAAGGGTCAATTCGCCCGTCTTCGCGTCCTTGATGTGAGTCCAAATCTTGTTGGCCGTGAGATCAGCCGAGTAGAGGTAGGTCTCGGTTGGGTCGAACACCATGCCGTGGATACCTGTGTTGGAAACGTATTCGTAGTTCTGGATATTGCTGTCCAAGGCTCCGTCGGGCTTCACAGAGAAAACGTTGCCGTAGCCGGCGTGGTTATAGAATGGGTTGCCGTAGACATTGTACGGCGGCTTGTGAGCGGCCAACACAAAGATGGCACGAGTGTTAGTCTCGCTGCTGGGAGCCAAGGCTAGTATTTGGTCAGCGGACAATGATCTCCCTAATTGGACTCTAACATACGGTGGCCGGCCACAGGGTGTGACACTTGGTGAACGATGTCGGTGGGGCTGTTCACGGCAAAGCTGTTCCACTTCTTCATGGCGGCTCCGTAGATGGCCTTCTTGTCATGGGAGAAGGTCATCCATGAAATTGGTTCCGCCTCCGGGATGTCGGTCTTCTTGACCAGCTCGAGGGTGAGAGCTTCATCGTCGAATTGGACTGTATAGATGCGACCGGGCGCAGTCCAGGTACCAACCATCAAATGGTGCTTCATATTGGCGATTGGAGATTGAGAGAAATATCGAGATTGAGTTCTTAAGGCCGATGCCCGCGAGAAAGCAGAACGGAGCATATATGTAGCAGTTGAATGAGAAATTATTGCGGGGGACTGTCGGCATCGGAGGGCGGCACCGGCTGTGTGCTTTACTCCCGCGACCTCTTTGCCCTGTGAATCCAGTTGCCCCGGGATTGGGGCTTTCAATTATTCTTTTCCTACGATTTAATTGAATTGATACTTAAGTATAAAGAATGGCTATCAGGCTATATCCTCTGACTCTTTGTAGGTCTTGTCAATGAATTATAGTGCCTCACGCTCAACTCTATATACTTCACTTCGATGCTGCGGGCAAATTATACTTAAATACTTGCAGAGTAGCTTGAGCTAACCAAAAAATCGCAAAGCTGCAGATTACAGCCATATATTTAGATCTCAACATAGACACCCAATAGTCTGTTGGCCGCAGAACATCTGTTTCTGTATCCAATTGACCATATGTCTACACTTCGTCTGCCGGAAATGCATATCCAAGTTGAACGCCCCACACATGCACAAGACCCCTAAAGCAACTACTCGTACTCGTATGTTCAAATCAGCAGAAGCAGCATTACGAAGCTTGAAAACATCTACAGCGCGATACGATACAATCAGACCCATCATTGCCACTCCGAATTCAGTGCCAGTTGCCGGAGAAACCCTCCTCCCCGGATAAGTCCTTTCCCGTCGACGCCGGACTCGGTTGCGAACCTGCCGAAACGTGGGGTATTCACCTCATCAGTTGGAGATGCACTTGCTCCGTAGAGTTTCTTTGAAAGCAGCTCGATCAATTCCTGCAACTCAATCTCGCGCCATGCGTCTGCCATACGCCCCCTCCACTCCGCCCGCTGATGCGCCCGCCGACACAGCGGACATTTATGCCCGCATCGCAGCGCGCAGGAATCCTCGTCCCTTGATTCCGCTTGATCTTTCTCTGCTTCACAGCCCACCGGTGGCCGATGGCTGGAATAGCTTCATCGGCGCCATCCGCTCCCGCACTCTGGTCGACTCCGGGGTCATGGAGTTGGCCGTTTGCCGAGTTGCTGTGCTTAACAATGCAATCTACGAGTGGAACGCCCATGCGCCATTGGCATTGAAGGGTGGAATCAAGCCCGAGCAATTGCACGCTGCTCGGATCCTGCCATCTACTGCAGAAGGCGATGTTGCGGAACTGGAGAAGAGCGCACTCACCCCGCAACAGCGTGCTGTCCTTCGCTACACCGATCAGATGACTCGCACCATCACCGTGCAGGATGATGTTTTTGCCGAGTTGAAGACGGTGGGATATGATGACCGGGAGATTGTGGAGCTCACCACTGGTATTGCCGGATACAACTGTGTGAGCCGGTTCTTGGTTGCGCTGGACGTCGGCGAGAACAACGACCGTGAAATGAAGAGTGTCGAGGAGCTTGTCGCTGCTTTACAATAGAGAAATGAATTATCAGCGCGACTTGAAAACGAGCTAGAGAAGTTGGGAACAGCCATGCAAAGTTCTTCATTTCACAAGATACGACGGTGACTTTACGATTCTGTATATACTGTGGCTTCGCCTTGAATAATGAATGACGGTGAAATCGAGATTGTGTGAATAACTATCATATACCTAGATATCTCTGCTGAAACATTGTCCTCCTTCCACAGTCCTATAGACATTGCGAATAGAAGTCATTCTGCTTCTGGCAGGTGTACGGAGTGGCACATGTAGTAGAACCTGTCCAGCTAGACCCACCGCACTGTGCGTAATGAGGAGCTCCTGTAGATCCCGTTCCTCCGGCGGCTGTCGTGGTCGTTGTGGCGATGGTTGTGGTAGCTGTGGCCTTGGTCGTTGTGGCTATGCTTGTCGTAGTGGGACCATCGGACCCAGGAAAGTATGACTCAAGGAGACTCATGTAGTAAGTATAACCGGTGCCCGATGGAGGCTCGAAGCTATACATGTAGTCTCCCCACCATGGTCCAGCAGACCACCAGGCTGCACCTAGCCAGACATCGCTGTTTGCCGAGAGGTAATCAAGCATTCCTGTCACAGCAGTCTTGCAGACAGAGTTGGCACCCCCAGCGAATTCTCCCAAGAAGGCCCTTTTCCCATTATCTTTGAGCCATTTTGTGGCAGCCACCACACGTTCCTGGCCGATCGTCGAGCTGACACATGTCTCTGATGTACCAGAGCCATCGGAGTCCAGATACTGATGCATTTGATAGATCACCAGGTCCTGTGGATCTGTCAACGCCTTCATGTTGTCGTTCACAGTGGTCCAGGTCCATGCTCCACTCCACGAGTTTCCTTCAACGAAGATATACTGAGATTTGGCACCGGCAGCTCTAATTGCGTCGATGGCAGCCTGGTTGAGGTTCAGGACCAAGGTCTGGTCCATCGTGTGGTATTCGTTGTCTGTTATGTCAGTGCATGACCATTGAACCAAACAGGAGTAGGCTCACTTGTGTCGAAGATGACTTTTTCGTTTGATGCAAATTCGGTAGCCAGAGTCTTCCAAAATGCTGCAAAGTCACTAGTAGACGTGATTACGTTGCCGTAACTGAATGGAATTAGCTATTTGCAATGGTGTTGATGATGCTGTTCAAGCTTACTATCTCCCAAAGTTGTGGGGATCGAGGACAGCATATGCACCACTCGAGGTGATAAATTCGACCGTCTGTGAAATTTTATTGTGAGTATGATATGACTCAAGGGCCTCTATGCAAGAGTTGTCTTCACATACGCTTTTCAAATCAGCCAGATAAGTTGCATCCGGACTCGAAGTCAGGGTGCCTGGAATCAAACGTTCCATTGCAAATGGAACACGGAAAATGTTCATTCCAGCAGTGCGCAGGGTCTGCATTGCAGAATTTGATGGCCAGATATAATCTGTATTCAATGACCCGGGGATGTTCCCACTCCCGAACTCTGCACCGGCTTCATTTGTCCCGAACCCTGTTCGACGAAGGTAAGAGTTTTGACCGGTTATCATGTCAATTTATACTCACATAGGAATGGAGCTGCTCTTTTGGAGATGGATTGCCCTGGTGCCGCGAGGGCCAGGCCGGTGATACCAGTCACGGCAAACAAACAGGTGAAGCGCATCGTGGGCAAAAAGAGACTTCAGGATATTTTGGATCCTAAGACAACCTTTGGACTTGAGAACTACTTAAGTAGCGCAGCGAGAGAGATTGAGTTGCGAGAAATTTCATACAAATAAATACGGACTACCGTTCACAACCACGGCAAGGAGCCATGCTCCTTACCAAAAGGGCCACTTCAGCTTGATTGCCAACTAAAAGTCTATCTCAACACCATACAAAAGCACCAGAATCATAGTGTCCAAGATGTCAAGGTCATGTTGGAGCTCCGAATCGGTCTTCTCGGACCGTCATCCGCACTGAAATTCTTTATTCCGAATTGATTAATCATTTAGTCCAGGTGTGTAGACTACCTCAGTGTGTACAAAGTGTATAGAAGACCCCATTAGACACGGCAATCTAACCCCTGGTGGCGGCTGTACCGGAGATGAGTGTCGGGCCTTGATTCAGATACTGCAAGCCTTGGGTCGCATAGCATGAGATACAAAAATTGTAGCGTGATGGCGAACTTGGAAGCCTCAGAAGTTACGAAGTCTGTCTTTTTCTCCAATACCAACGTTGGCCATCAACCACTAAGGCCAAATTGAAACTGTTAGTCCAAGGGGAGAATACATAACCTGGGGCTTTCGGCTATGCTCAATCTCACTCGTAGTCCGAGAACTCCTTCTTCCAACGACAATTAACGCCAAGAAACAAGATCAAGGATTGTGCTGACACTGTCAGGCACCCGTCTTTTTGCTCTAATTGACAAATGGGAAATAGGGTATAGGGGCCTCCCGAGGCCCGGTCAGACAGACAATATGCCTGGGTAGTTGGGTTATAGCTAGCGTACTTCCAAGCAGAATAATCTCCAGAAGACTTTGTATATAGGCAATGCCTCTTTCTACTAGGTATGGATTCTACCACCAGCTCCGACGTCAAAATTCGCTTGTCAAGTCTCGTCCTTTAGAGTAATTTCTAAGATTGGCATCAGTTGAATGCATATTCCATACTGATAAATGCAGACTTCCCTGAGAACAAATACTCCGTGTACGTCAGTGTGCATGAAGTGTGCATGAAAGACTCGATAGGAGAAAACAGGCGCTTCAAGGTCCCCATGACCCAAGTATTGTGGCTTGACTAGTCGGAGGATTCTCCGCACGGCAGTTTCTGCTTGATTTCTTCACTGTGGAAAAAGACGCCCAAAGACCGGTTATGACATGCAGGAGGCGTTCGCCCGCACGGCTTCACATTATTAGCGCTGACCCTGCTGCAGGGGCTAGGAAGCGACGCCGGCTATTCGTGGAAAGCGGATAAAGTTCCCATTTTGGCCCCTGTAAGCATATGCTGGATGTCATGCGATCTGAAATCCCCTTTGTGTGGCTTAAGAGAAATAAATTACGCCCAGGATTGATATGTCCAAGTCTTATGTGCTAAGAGGGGGAATATCATGATGTTGGGCCGAGGGCAACGGGATGATTCTCGAGAAGCTTTCTCGAGAGCAAAAGAACTAAGCCAGCTAGTTTCCACAAAGCACGAATATCCATGGATGAATTCAAGTATAGTGAAAATGAGGTTAAATTCAAAGTGGAATAGACAGTTTGCATTTCAAGGATCTCAGAAAGACTAAACTATGCTAGCAAACAGCGCGGCGAATTTCTCCAATCACACTATTCCATGTCTTCAATCTTTGCGTCTCCACCACACTCGAGCTGCATGATCATACCACCAGTTTGATCCACGATCTATCTCTTACAGGCACTGGGAGTAGAAATCATTCTGCTTCTGGCATGTGTATGGGCTGACGCAAGTGGTAGGACCGGTCCAGCTGGATCCACCGCACTGCGCAAATTGAGCGGCGCCAGTGGTAGATCCGCCGGCGGCGGTTGTGGTGGTAGTGGCCTTGGTAGTGGTAGCAGTAGTGGCAGTAGTCCCGGAGCCGGAGCCGGAGCCAGAGTCAGCAGAGTTGAAAGTCGAACCGATGGGGCCAACCTTGATGTTCGAGTAGATGACGTAGGCATCGGGATGGTTGTTCTCGACTTCGATGGGATCACCGGAAGAGATATCACAGCTACCGCGGGCAGCACCGGGAGTAGTGGAGCTGGCAGTGGTAGGGTAGGTGCTGTCAAGCCAGAGCATGTTGGCAGCGTGGTCGTCCCAGAGACTCATCACGAGAACCATGCCTTCAGCCATACCAGCACCCATACCTGCCATGCCACCGTGCTTACTGAACACGTCGGTGTCTTTGAAGGCTGCCTTTTGAGCATCACAGAATGATTCGGTAATGGAGTTACCGCTCACGCCGCTGATGGTGGATACCGACTGAGGGATGACCTTGCCGTTCTGGACGTAGAAGCGCTTGATTTCAGAAAGAGTTCCAGTGGAGGTACCGTCGTTTGTAATGAATTGAGTTACAACAGTAAATGGAGACGTGGTATCGACGATCTTGCTCGGGCCGTAGAAGGACTGGTTACCCATGCGATACGGGTTGAAATCACAACCATCAGGATCGCAAGTGCCGCCGTAGCGCTCAGAACTGTAGGTGCCGCCACAGGAATCTCCCGTGCACATGGACTGGTTTGGATCATCACAGGGGTGCGGAGTCACCGCTGTGGAAATTGAATTGGCCTCCCAGATATCCATCTCCGCGCAACAGGAACCGTGGTTACCAGTGCCGGCATTGACATCATTGGAAGATGGTACCCATCCTTCAACATTGGCTTGGCCGTTGATGAATTTCAGATCACGAGGGCATTGTGCGTCGCAATACCCAGTACCGTACTTGGCACCGGCCTTGTTGGTGGGGTACTTCGCCATGCCTCCGTCGGCGTCCATAGTGACGAAGTAAAGGGCACCGTTCAGGCCACATGGAAGCTTCGAGACGTCGACGTCAAACGTGAACTCTTGGTTGAGCAGCTTGAACATCTCGTACTTGCTATCATCCTGCATCAGGTACAGACGTGAACCGATGTTCTTCTGGTATGCTTGGGTGACGAAGTTCAGACGCAACGAGCTACCGCTAGCTGTAACACCGTAGGTGCCAGGGTAGTCAGCGCCTTCCAGGGCGCAATTGCTCGCACAGGTTTTGTCGTCGGGGCAGAGCGAGGCATCCCACGTGTTACCGGTGTAGCAGTTGGTGGTGCCACTGGTGGAGTGGACCCAACGCCAGTTTGCATCAACGACGACCTTGCCGGATTGCGCGGTGCAGCTGCCTCCGGCAGTGCACTTTTGCCATGTCAAAGACGGATGGACCTCAGCAGTGTTTGTGCCAACTTGCTGTGCCTGAGTGACTCCCAGGAATGCAGCGAGGAGCAGCGCACTTTTGTAGAAATTGAAAGAAGCAATTGATGCCATGTTGTCCAACGTTGCCTTTGGATCAGAACTTTGGTTGCTTGGAAGATTGATGAGGATTCAGCTCATGGCCGAGGAACATGTCCTTTATATCATTCAAAGGACTCCTTCGATCTAGAAATGGCCAGATTCAGAACCGAATCACGGCGCTGCGGTCCGTACGGCCGTGGTGGACATGATGCTTTAGTTTCCTAATGGAGGTCAACCAGCCAACACTCCGGGGACACGGAGGATGCGCCCAAGCCCCGTCAAGTGGCGATGAGAAAGATTCGATGATTTCCTCAGGAAGCGCTTTCGGGCTCGGTGATACCGAAAACCGAAATGACCTGGGGTACTGTGGCTTGGGAAATTTACCTCGCCCCACGAGACCAAATCTCCGAGCAGCGTGGCGGATGCATTGCTCCAGAATTGGCGGCTAAATGAGCCAGTCTTCAACCCTAGCAGAGCAAGGGGCAGAAGCATCATCCTGTCCAGTCCCATCATCCGACCACATCGGGACATCTCGATTGGGTGAATGCTTCATAGCCGTGACGAAGTGGTCACTGCCCAGGTTCTGCAGGCAGGTGGAAACCTTGCTGATTCTCGGCAGATTGGCTGCGCACTGGCGCATGGGTGTGCAGGGGTTACACTAGCGTAGCACAGGCAGGAGAGTTAGTTGGTTAAATTGCGGGGATAGAGACCTAATGCCGAGGTCAGAAGAAGATTAGTTCGCATTTCCATCTCCACCAGCGTCGACGCGCCCAGGGTCAGAATGCGGCCATATTGAAAGGTCGCCCTGTAATACACTCGACACGAAAGGCTTCAGATGAAATATCAGGAGTAATAGGCAGAGTACGCAGTATATAGAGAGATGTGACAGAGTAAAGAAGATTAAAGGACAAGACCTAAACAAAGAGGGTTGCGGGATCTGCGGGATCTTCGCGATGACTCATCACCGAAAGCGGTAAGTGGGACACACATTTTGTGTCGAAGCGAAAGAGCGCAATTAAGACACGCCTTGAACAGCATACGGATTCAACACCGATAGAAATGGCCAGCTTCATCCTCACCCTCTCGGGCCCCGACCGCCCCGGCATTGTCCACGCCGTCACTGCCTTCCTTGTCCAGAACGACCTCAACATCATCGATTCGTCGCAATATGGCGATGCCACATCCAAGCGTTTTTTCATGCGCACCCATTTCGCGCAAGCCAATGGAACCGATGAGACACCGGAGCTCGAGAAGCTTTGCGCTGCGTTCACCTCCACCGCCGAGTCCTTCAACCTCGACTTCCAGATCCACCCCAGCGTGAAGAAGCCCCGCGTGCTGATCATGGTCTCCAAGATCGGCCACTGCCTCAACGATCTCCTGTTCCGCCAATCGACCGGTCAGCTCAGCATTGAGATCCCCCTGATTGTCTCCAACCACCCCGATTTCGCCACCCTCGCGGCCACCTATAACATTCCCTTCCACCACCTTCCCGTCACCGCGGATACCAAGGCGCAGCAGGAAGCTCAGATCCTGGAGTTGGTCAGCCAGCACAACATCGATTTGATCGTGCTCGCTCGGTACATGCAGGTTCTTTCACCAACCTTGTGCTCCGCCATGTCTGGTCGCATCATCAACATCCACCACAGCTTCTTGCCCTCTTTCAAGGGCGCCAAGCCTTACCACCAGGCCTATGATCGTGGTGTGAAGATCATTGGTGCTACTGCCCACTTCGTCACCAGCGACCTGGACGAAGGCCCAATCATTGAGCAAAACGTCGTTCGTGTCAACCACGGAATGAGCCCCAAGGAGCTGACTCACGCCGGAAGCAACGTTGAGAGCAACGTTCTTGCTACCGCCGTCAAGTACGTGACCGAGCGCCGTGTCATCTTGAACGGCCACAAGACCGTTGTCTTCAACTAGGGTACACAACTCCATTGCACCTCCAGGGCTGCAATTGTACTGCATGTCTTATGACATTATGCTTCCAACGACTCTATGATACCTTGGCGGTTATCAGTATATACCAAAAGACTGCTGGGAACAAAATGGGGGGAAAGATGTCCCGTCATATAGAGAGCTCCAGATTCCTCCTATACATATAGTATCTCAAACCCCTGCCTCCAGGGCTGGGACCGAGAAGTGGGATCTTATCATGTGAAATAAGACATATAGAAAGTTCATGCTGCTAGGTACATTGATGTTTTTCACATATACATGCGTAGCCTTGGAACTTTAGAAGCTCATGGCCACGAGAGTGTTGGAGTAAAGTGGATAGTCCTCGTATTTCTCACTTGGCGGGGAATGGATCTTACAACTTGTGTGCATCCAGTGCACACTCTCACACAATCATGAATTATACAGTTGCCCCTCATCTCCACTATTTCACCATCCCTCTTGCCGATTTCATGGCCGCCAGGCCAGAAATCGAAGGGTTTGGGGTCGGCGCGTACATTTTTTCCAGGGCCGATCCCACCCCACGGATCCTGCTCTTGCAGCGTGCAGAATCGGACTCCATGCCAGGATGCTGGGAGGGCCCGGGGGGTGCATGTGAACCCGAAACGGACCAAACGTTACTAGACTCGCTGGTACGCGAAACTCAGGAGGAAAGTGGTTTACATGTCTCTCACGTTGTTGGACTAGTCGCAGTCGACTGCTGGGAGCATCACCGTCGCAGCGGAGGCAGAATCAGAATTGCCAAATACTCGTTTATTGTTGAAGTCCATGAGAGTTCCCAACTTGGAAAGACGACAGAGCCCGTGCCAACTGTTCAAATCCCCGTCCAGCTCGACGCGACGGAGCACCAAGCATTTGACTGGGCTACAGAAGAGGATGTTCATCTCTCTGTGAAGACCTCCCGGGGCCCATACAAATTCCCATTACATCCAATGGGACATCAGGCACCCAACATTCTGAGGGCTTTTGAACTGGTCGAAGGGAAATCGGATGCGGCATGAATTATGCGCTGCGCCCAAATTCCGTCCCTTTCTACTATCCTAGAATCAACATCGAGTGGTTTGAAACCTTTGCTTAATCTTATTTGGCACCTGAGCCCACAAAAGCTCAGGAGATGTCCAGGCTCCCCTGGGTCGCTAAGTACAAGTCCATTTGTATCAAACTCGGCACCTAAATGCAATTGAATATAGGTGTGGATGTGTGAAATTATTGGTCTCTTGAATTTTTGTAAAAGACCACCCCTAATGAAGAGAGTGAAAACCAAGACAGACTGATAGTGGGTCGTAAAAGGCATCATATATACACGAAAAGGTCATCACAGGGTTAAAGATGAATGCTCAAGTCACTGGGAGCTGGACTTGAATGACCTTGGGGGAGTTTCACCAGGCATCGGCTTGCGAGCCCATACCCTGCGTCTGTAGAAAATGTCAGCTTTTGCGAACAGTCCATAGAAAGGCTGGACTTACGATGTATGATAGGCATGATAGTAAGGGTTCTTCAACTCGCTCCTGAGCTTTGCGCAATAGACATGCACTTGCTCCTTAGTCCAAGGCTCGGGCTCACCAAACTTGGTCAGCAACCACATGCACCATCCTTCCATCCCGGACATCCAGTGTTGCACATTGACCGTGCCGGCTTCTTTGAGCTTTTGATTCTTAGGCCACGGCCCCAGGGGCCATTTATAGGTTTTCTCTCGGACCTCCACGAATCCAGCTTTCCTGATGCTATCTGACATGGTTAGGATGATGTCGCACGAGCGGCCCGCCTGTTCACCACAGGCCTGCATCATTGGACCCCATTGGGACATGGCAGAGTCAGGGGGAATGGATCCGTCATCACTTTTGACGAAGGGACCGACTTCAAGCTGTTCAATCCAGCCACCGGGTGCCATTTTGCTATTTGGTCAGATTCGCCAGACAGAGATTCGAAGGAGTCACTTACTCAAAGCATTGTTGGTAAAGGCGATCCCATTCACTAGGGTCAAATGATCCTAGCATGTTACGCATATGGATCAGGTCGAACTGCTCACGCCAGGTCCACTCTTCGAGGACGTTGTCAACTTCAATGACACAATTGGGGGGCATCCAAGTGACCGGGGGTGGGAACAGGTCCACTCCCCGTACAGTGGAATTGGGGAACATATCGGCCACGTCGCTAGGGGTCATCAGATTTTGGCTAGGGTCGGACACGGATCTGGACTTACATGGCCCAGGTGCCTTGGCCGGTGCCGATATCGAGCACCTGAAGGGCTCGTTCCCGGTCGGCACCGACAGGGGAGCGAAACAATGGGTTTTCTCTATCTGATTCTAGGATCAGATCCACGAGATGTCTGCAGGAATTAGCGCTGTCTGGGATGGGTCCTGGATGATTGACGGCGTACCCAGCCTCATATGTTTCGAATTGCAGTTCATCAGATGGAATGCTGCAGATCCAGTCAGTTGGGTGAGATAGAAGAGATAATGTAATAGGAAGGCAACGAACCAGTATTCTTTGTTTGAAAGTGATTGATAGCTGGATATAGATCAGCCCATGTTTCCGGGAAGGGTCAACTGGTCAACTGTTCCTACCGCCTCCCATTATCCAACAGACCACGATATAACGATGATCCGATCGATGTAGTTTCACTAGAAAAGAATCAGTTCATGCACGGAGTACGGAGTAAATAATATTGATGGGTCACTTACGACTGCCAATCGTCGGGGGAAGCAGTCCAACCCGGCGCGTACAGATCAGGGTCCACAGCGATAGGGTCCGTCATTTCAAAGAAAAAAAATAGAGAACCTGTGGGGAGAAGAAAACCGTGGACATGAAAAGGGTAAAATATCGAGCTAAAGCTCTGCAGAAAGAGTTTAATGGGCTTTAACGGGTCCCTCGCGACATTTTCTTCTCCTTTTCCACCTTTTCCCACTCTGTCCACTCACTTCATTCTCACGGCCCTGATTGGTTACGGAGACACGATTCCGTTTCTGCGGGTGCCAATCTGGTCAGTCATGCCGGAGTCTCCACGCGGAAGAAGTATCATTCTCCCCCTGGACTGTTGATTGGTCTCCTATCAACGGTTTACGTTCGTTTGTTTTGCTGTGCGAAAGTACGAGTACGGACTACGGAAAAGACGGAGTCATCGGTGCAGCTTGATGATTCTGCGGTCCGTGCAGATTACTGTTTCGTGGCCTGATCTGTGGACTTGGAGAAACGAGAGAAAACGTCTAGTCTGCACAGAGTGCTCTGCACGGAGTATAACAAAGGCAGAGGATGCATCTTGCACTTCCCGCAGGTGGGGCACCAATATGACGGCAAGATGAGGCGAACTGCAGGTTCTTCTGCAAATGTGCAGCTAAGTCTGGGCCCGTGTTCCGTACACTCCGGACCGCCCACTAGCCACTAGGGACTTCGTAAACCGTGCTTCGTATTGCAAGTCCATGACCCCTCCCGGACAATCGAATCAAGGGGTCAATTATTCGCATATCAAAATACTCGTACAAGCCCATCTTACCAAGTCAAACAGAGGGACTCATAATACAGACCCGTCCCGCATTTGGTCCGCTTCAGTCCCGGGAAGATCATCCACTGCAAACTTTGTGAACGTTAGTTGCATTTGTCCAAAGGTTTGACCCTCTCCATGCTCAGAATCGTGGCCTTGGTACGGAACATTCCGTACACATCTTGCTTGTCGGCGGATCCTTGAACTCCCTAAGTCTGTAGTTCGTACCAGTATCGTTCGTAGGGGGCTGAGTGCCGTCTATTCCATCATTTTTTGTAATGTCTCAAGCTGAAAAACCCGTTTAAAGAACAGTCGTACATCATGCAAGAGAATTTTGAATAAACCGTACTTTGTAGGTCTCACAAGTTGCGTAATTGAACCTTAGTCAAGCACGGGTCCACTATGTACTCCGTGCTCAAACAGAGTACGGTGTGAAGTGCTAGTTAACTACTCCGTACGAGTAGTTATCGGAAAATATGAACTCCGTTCAACCGATCGAACAAGATGGTCAGTGCACAAACCAGTCAGTGCGGCGGATGGTCATCTCGATTCTGAGAGTCAATCTTGGAGCGCGAATCATTTGAGGCTGCAACTGAGTGTTTGCATTAGATCTGTGCTCAAGCGCGGGCGTTTTGTTGCGGAGCATTCCAATGGCCTGGTTGGAGAGGGGGTCACCTTGCGTTTCATTGGCTTTCTGGTTCGAACAGAATCCCTTCGACACAATATTGGAATAATTAGTGGTAATGCAGCTCAACCCATGACATGGGATTCTGGAATCTGTTCGAAATATCATACAAACAAAACCCCGAGTTCCGAGTGACCAACTTGGAGATTCAGTTCCAAAGTGGTCAGGTGATCTCAGTTGTCATCCGGGCAAAAGCGGCAAGAGCATGCACTAAAGCGGAAGGCGCTATGGAGCGCTGTTTCAAAGCCAATGACGTCCTCTCTGTAATGTTTCAATATTCAAAGTACATTATCTAGTGTATCACAGCTTAAACCACTTGCATACTTCAAATCAATTGTCTACCGCCTCCTGATTGGAAGCGTATTGTGACAATTGGAGCCGGAGACAACGAAACAAAGCAACAAGTAGAGATAAAAGCCCGATTAAATTGTATGGGAGGCGACATCGGTCCCCGATGAATGCCGTGCTCCGTGGATGATTCCAAGGTTGGAATGCAATTGATCTCCTGGTGTTTTTGGCGGAATATCCGATGATGCACGTGCCACATACAAGACTCGCGTTAAGGGATTTGGTTCCCGAATGGTAGCTGGGCATCAACAAACATTCTGTATCAAATTATATCAAAGCTCTCACAGAGCGCAAATCCAAAGTTACACAACAATCGACTCCGGACATGCCATATCGCTCCATTAAACGCTGACGGGGAATAGGTATCAGGTATCGACAAAAGAAAACTCGAAAACACAAAAGGAGCCCCAGCTAGAAGATTTCCAGGTCGTCAAACTCAACAACCAGCCCATCCGAACCAGTCGGCAGCGAATTATCAAGTGTCATGCCGTGCATCGCATCCCACATCGTTCCCCCACGCGACAGACTCGTCGGCCGGCTCGCATAGACACCAACATGCACGAACTTATCCTCAACTCCATAAAAGAACCATGTCACCTCTCGCAGCTTCTTCCACGTGCTCCCCACTGCACCAGGCGTGAGGGTATAGGGCAGAGCCGATGGAACCTGGTACCAGATCCACAGGGCGTGGCCGACCCGCTCAAGCTTAATGCGCAGTGAGTGGATCGCCATATCCGTAGACCCTAGCGGGGATAAACACCAGTCTGCGCCGTCGGCCGTAGCACTCACTGATGAGGCATTCACGGTCCCCGACGAGAATTCCATGCCGGCTTTCACCCATTTGCATGGGAATTGAGGCGCCCCACGGTAAATTGTTGGCTCGTCGAGGTCGGAGAAGGATTGCGGTGCTGCACCAGCGAAAATCACTAGTCCGCCTTGGTCCCATTCCATCTCCCAGTCTGCACTGACGGTTACCTCGGCTACGACGAATGGTCGCCGGAGTGACGTGAAGACAATTGGTGCTGTGGAAGTGTCTCCGTTTGGTGGTTTGCGCCAAAGGTCTGTGTTTGGGCCTGCCTGGAGGCTGAAATATTCCATACATTGAGGTAACTCGAATGTCGGTGGAAGATTTAGAGTCGTGAATGATGATCCATTCGGAGGCATATTTTGTAATGAGACCCACGATTATCAAGACGAATGAAATAGAGGAAAGAAGAACAGGAAGTGAAAAGGACAAGATCAGAAGGAGAAGAAACGAGGAGAATCAGAACAGCGGTGGGTCATCGACGGACTCCCAGCAATTAATACTCTTTGAACCCTCAGCAGCGAAGGGTTCACAGCATTCGTGCTAAAGTTTAAGCAAGCTCAGCAGCTAGAATTTGAAATCATGCAGGACTGAAGGACTGCAAAATAGGTACAAGTAAAAAGAAAAAAGAGCTGTTGGGCTATGATGCAGTCGAAAATTGGGATGTGCGGATGCGCCGAATGCGGGTTGCTCCAGACCTGGAAATGGGGAACACCGAAAACAATATGCACAGGGAGAAATAGAAAATGAAATCAAATGAGGAAAGAAAAGGTCATCAATTGACAGATTATGGCTAGGGATTTATATGTTTGAAGTTGTGGTCCCCCTAATCGCTTTCAGGAGACGATCATCTCAAGTCCTGCTGGGCACATCTTCGATCCAAATCCATGGGGTCCAGTACCGAGCTGCTGGTATCAGTGAGGCGCTACAGCTGCATTCCTTGTGGTCGATTTCTTTGATCGCCCCCCAGAAGCGTGCATGCATTGCTTCGGCGACAGCCCAGTTCGCAAGTGGCGGGCCATGCATTTGGTGATCACGATGTGACGAAGAACGTGGGTGGGAGATCAAAGGTCCCAGTCCCCTCCACAAACAAAGCTTCAAAGAAATACTGGGGCAATCTTCCTCGGTTCAATTGACACTTGTCAATAGGCAGCTGAACATGGTGAAGCTGAAAGGCTGAAGTGGATTCTTGTGGTGATTCTCACCTTGCCACAAAGCATACCGAGTACGTAGAGGGCATCGGGATAATGCAGGACGCATGAATTGGGAACAGAGGTTCGGGCTGAGAAATGCTCTGGGATCTTCCTTGGTCGGCTTAGACTTTTGAGAGTCCACCCCAGTGGCGTTACTTAAGTAGCTGAGCCACAGCGAGGAGATGGGGAAACCCTGGAGTGGATCATGGTCGGAGCTGCCGAAATATAAATTGCTTAAAATCTCCAGGGCTGTCCTGGGGTCTCAAATCCCCCATCTCCCCACAGTTGGATATCCAATTCCATCTATACTCATAATGATCTACGGCACATCCTCCGTCTTGGTGGTTTCACGGGCAAAGAACGGATTATCTGCAAACGGGATCTGTTATTTCTTTTTTTGTTTATTTTTACCCTCGCCAAGGCCTTAGCCTCTCTGGTCCATTACCCTTAGCTTCTGAGTTGGCACTTTCGGGCACACCACTTCTAAGGTTGACTCTGCCTAACCTATAAATTCATGGCTTATGACCTGCTTCTGACTAAATTCCAAATCGCATCCCGATTCACATCCGAAAATTCTATCTTGCGCCCCGCTTTAGCGTGTTTCTCAAGCGTACTAGGTACGGGCGCAGTGCAGAGGGAGAAAAAAGGGGGCCAAAACCATGAGGCGAAAGCCCAGTGACTCGTATTTTGTCTTCCCAGTCCCTAATTAGGCCCTCCCACCAATCATGTCATCGACTAAGCATCTTGGCCTCGTATCATGGGGTCCTTGAACCTCAATCAAATTTAGTGAAAATTGCCCTAAGCCCCCCTAAGGAAAACCTTTAAAAGCTGCTCACAGGAGTGAGATGATGAAACTTTTCGCGAACTTCGTCTGACTTTCTGATTAATCGCTGACTCGCAAATCGCAAAGATGGCGCCTCGACGCGGTGGTTCAGGATTTTATTACGACAACAGCGCTTGGAGCTCGACGACTATCTTGTCATTGGAGTATGGTTCCTATGGCTATGGCAGCAATCACAACCGCTATAAAGATCTATACTATGCCATGTTTGCGTTCGACATTCTAACTCTCATCGCCTTCATCGTCTTTCTTGTTTGGTCATGCACCATCCGGGGCAACCGCGGTCTGCCAATAAAAACACTCAACTCGGCGCTGTTTTCCTTCATCCTGTACGGATTGCCCCATTCCTGATCAAAGAAATCCATTGGAAAAATCACCAGTCTTGCTAATCCGAATGATGCGCTAGGTCCCAAATATGTACTGTCGTTGTGGAAGCCCTATATGTTGCCAGCGCCGAAGTGATGATGTATTATCTCATTAGTTACATGTTGTCCAATTTCTTCCATTACCTGGGAATTTGTCTAACATTCTATGTATTCTGGAGTCTACAACACCGCTTGCTGAGCCGCCTCACAGACTCTGGCAAGCCATATGCTGCAGTGACCACAGTGCACTGGATCTTGCTGGCCCTCACCTTGCTTTTCTCTCTCGTCGTCTGGGCCTTATATGTGGTTTATGTCGCTGGAAACGTGACATATCGTTACTTCATCGACGTGGCGGTCTGGGTCAAGGTCGGTTCTGCGCTTTACATCGTATTCTGGCTTCTCTCTTTGGAGGTCCTGGCTTGGTCGATCTTCGTGGCTGTCAAGGCCGGAACCCATCGCTTTGTGTCGAAGGTGAGTTTTCAAAATCCTCTCAGGGCACCCATTTTTAAACATATTTCCAGATGCCCGTTTTCGCGTTGATCAACGCTGCTGTTGGATGGTTTGCCCTGGCTCTCACGTCGATGGTGATTTGGGTCCGCTATAACCTTGAGATACGCTTCGTGGTCCCCGACTATCTTTCTACTGTTCAAGCCGCTGTCAGCTTCATCTTCTGGGTCGTCACCTTTGTGGGACTACTTCTCTGCTGCTCGAAATGGCGGAGACTCGGTCAGGAGCCGGAGAAGTACGATGCTCCTGCTCAGTACCCTTATCCCCAATACCCCGCTGGCCCATACCCGCCTCCGCCTGGCCAAGCCCCTCCGGGTCAGTATCAGACCCCGTACCCCAACCAGCCTCACGGAACCGCTCCGTATTATGACTATGCGGCGAACCCTGCGCCGACTCATCCCGTTTCTTCGCCACATTAGACGCTGTTCAAGTTCTGACTCACACCGAAAATTGTTGAGATGGAACATAATTCGAATGCTTTTGTGGAAGCTTACACCCAGTCATGCTCTTTTAATGCGCCCTTATATCCTCCCCTAATGTGATACCCCATGGAACGATGCAGGTGGATCTGAAATTAATATTTCCATAGCAATAATCAATTATGAAGAGAAATCAATGATTCCAATACTGTAAAGAGTAAAGAAAACATGGAGGCTATATGTCTTGGCAGGCGGTGGCGCAGATCACCATATCTCCATTTTCGAACCCAAGCCCGCACCTCCAACTTTCAAGCAAACATGGTCTGCTCAAAATGTCAGAAAAAGCTCAAATCCACGGAGCTCGCCACGCCCGGTGTCAAGCGCAAGAATGAACTGTACTATGGGTCCCCGTCTAGTACCCTCGGCGGTGGTGACAAAGGGAAGAAGGCAACCCTCGGTGCTACTGGAATCGGCAAGGTATCTTCCCGCTTGGATCTTCTCGAAATCTGGGTGTTTCAGTCAGATTTGAGTCGTATTAACTAACTCTATCTGCAGAGCAAGCTTCTCAGCGCAAAGGCCAAGAATCCTTACGCGGCTTACGCTTCTTCCTGTGACAACTGCAAAGTGAAAACTGAACAGGGCAAGAAGTTCTGTCAGCGGTGCGCTTATCAGAGGAATGGTGAGTGATTTGATGGTCTTTTTTTTTGGCTGAAGTGAATGCTAACATCAAAAGCATGCGCGATGTGTGGCAAGAATCTGGCTGGCAAGGCGGCCAAGGACCAACCCATTGTCCAAGGACAGAAGTTCAACATGGCATGATGGGGTTTTGAACAAGAAAAAGGTGTATGGGTATGGCGAGGCGTTCGGTGCATATCTTTTTGAAAATCGAATATTGAATGAAAATTGAACCGCAGAAATTCTAGTTATACATGGCATGCGCAAAAGTATATGCAGTGCGTCAAGTAGTACGCTTTATATCAGAACAAGTATGCCTTTCCTTCATCCGGCATCCGTACACCACCAACCAGCTCAACTTCACTGCTTCTTTACCGGTCGGCCAGCATGTTCTTGATGTTGCTGTAGTATTGTGTGTTCAAGTACTGTGGGAGCTCCTCCTTGGCCAGCCACTTGAAGTCCTTAAGGTTCTGAGTGTTGATGGAGAGGTCGGCCTGGCCACCCATAATGCGGGACTTAAGGAAGAAGACCTTGTTGCCGGAGGCATCGACCTGGGCGGTTTCCCCCTTCTTCGCGCGGGGTGCGTTGAATTGGTGCCATCCAACGGGGTGGTAGCCGACCATCCAGGTGTTCATGTTGACACCGGCGGAATCGGCAAGGGTACGCTCGGCAGCCTAAGTGTGGGATTTGTTAATAACAACAAAGTATCAATCAAGTCGCGCTTCAAGGTTCTGAACTCACCAGGCGGAGGGTCTCTCCCGTCTCCACGGGGGAAGTGGGGAACTTCCAGTTTCCTTCCTTGGATTGCACAAGGAGATAGAGAGTGCGGGATAGCAGGCGGTTGAGGCTCTTCTGGTCGTTCTTTTGGTCTGCCTCGGTGATTCGGGGGTAGGGGCGGGGAATATCCTCCTTTTTACTGGTATCTTGGGAAGTTGCATTGGCGGTCGATTCAGCATCCTGGACAAGAGCCTCGATCTGGTTTGCGGGCTCGGATTGCTCGGCACCGAGCAAAAGCTCATCGTTCCACGCATCGCTGTCATACGCGTTGTACTTTCCGATGTCACGGGCGGCAGTCCGGCGCTCCTGAATCTTCTTCTTCCAGTCCTCGTCGGCCGGAGTTCCGCGCTTGAAGTAGAAATATTTTGTGAAAGGGAGAGCGAGACGCTCGTTCAGACGCTTCTGGTAGAAGAAGAAGGCTTTCTCGAACGGCTCGAGTTCACGGGTGATCTGGGGAGGGCGGGAGAGAACTACACCGGCGTTGATGGTGTATGCCGGCGTGACGACGGGAGGGGTTGTTGTCGATTCGGTTGCTGCTGGGGTAGCAGTGGCATAGCTGCGACGGCCAATGGTCTCTTGACAGCTTCTGCACACGCCGGAGTCGATTATTGATGGCCCTGCGAGGAAGGTCAGCATTGGAATGGGAATGATCGGGAAAAAGCGACAATTGAACATACTCATCAACGAGGCAACGCGCCTTGCACTGTTTGAACCTGACGACATCTTGAGTGGATGGGCAATGGAGTGTTCGGGCGTCGCTATGTCTCCCCGAGAAAAAGATCCAGCACAGGTCACGTTGTCACCAGGCCCAATCGGGTTAGACTATACCCGCACGGTTTAAATTTCGCGGAAGTCGAAAACCTCCTTCTCTTCTCCAAGCATCTCTTATCATCAATGTGTCCACTGTTCTACGACCACTTGATCATTTAATGGTGCTCAGATTGAGCTCGCGGCCTTTTTTCGCTAGCGGTACCTTCTTCAAATCAAGGTGTACTGTTAGATAGTCGCCGCGAACATCCATCATAGCCTTAGACACATTTTTCAATGAACAATGAAATCCAAAAATCTTGATTTTCATTCCATCGTATTTCTTTCTCCCGTCCATCTCACTAAAGTTCAATCAGCACCCCGACCTTGATCTGGTGGTCGGTCACTCGAATGATACCCTCTCGCGTGCCGAACACTCTCAGTTTATTTCCGTAATTGGACCAGAAGACTGTCCCCAGGCGTGGCACCAGCATCCCTCGGTTGGCCAAGTTCGTGATTTGCCTGTCTCCGTAGTCTTCCCAGGATCTGCCGGGTTCCGCAACTTGCTCTTCATCAACGGTTGGGATAATCTCACACTCCTGATCAAAGAACTCGTGGGACTCACTCTTGGCTGATGATATCTGGTGATCCAATTGCTGCATGGCAATGGAAAATAGGCTTTGAGAATCCTCCGCGGAACACAGGGCTGGCATCTCGCTTGTGTGATCAAAGAGGGCTGGATTCCGTTGCAGGTTACCTCCCAATTTGATGAAGGCCAAGGCCGTCAGTAAGCTATCGTAGCCTGCTTCGTGGGCGCATCTGCGGAATTTGTATTTTGTGAAGCGGACGTCGAGCTCTGAAACATGGTCAGTTATGATCATCGTCAGAAACATGGGAAGTACTCCGTACCTATCTTGGGATACTTCAGATGTGCCAGATTATTGTTCAGATCCTCCAATGAAGAATGTCGCGCCATGATGCCGCAATCGTGGGTAGCCAGATACTTGGTATCCGCCAGCATAGGGAACAGATCATGGATGGCGCCATTGAATTCTTGGAGAGTATCCGGCAATGAGCCTATGAAGCATCTGTAGAAGAAGAGTAGATCAAAGAACATGTTGTGCCCCACCATGACAGGTCTGTTCTGCTTGAGCTGCCTTTTAACTCTCTCTGACAGTTGCTGAACATCCAGCATCGGGTTTTTGATTCTTCTCAGCAGGGGTTCGAAGACTTCCGGGTCAAGCTCGTTCAAATTTCCCCCAACGAGTGCTTCAGCAATCCATCGAAACCCGATGTTGTTTTTGATCCGTTGCTTTCTAGTCTTCAACCTCGTTTCAAAGGACCGTCGCTCAGCGTCTGGGTTCCGATTCTGGATCTGAACAAATGTCGATGCACCCCGGGATGTCAGACCTGGATACTCGATGCTGACAAGTTGATGCACGAGCCGCTTCTGTGTACTGCTTAGTCCCAAGGGAATCTCGCGGGGAGGAGATGGGACAGCGGTAGGTGGTGGGATATTCAGCCACTCTTGGCGTTTCTGCGAGTGTCAGCTGCATTACCTGGTCCAGCTTCATTTGAGGAATGCTTACCGCTCCCTCTGCAAGCCAACTGTTGATTGTAAGCCGCGAGGATTGCAGGAACTCCAAACATTCTCGGTCATCCTCTTGGATCTTCATATCCGGGATAGGTGTCCGACAACGAGATTTTTCAACCGCAATCTGGATAGCCAACTCTTCCTCTTCTCGAGAGAGGTATCGGACGCCGGTATTGCACATCGTGTCAATGCTGAAGCCTTGGTTGAGGAGAAACTCCATTGCTGCATCCATGTTAGTAACTTGCACGCTCGTAGCTTACCACTTCCAGTACATACAACGGCTTCCAAACACCCAGTCACGATGCACATCCATCCCAGGATTAGTGATCGGACTGATATTGAAGTTGTAAGGCTTGAGGATGTAGGTGGCTGCAGATGGTTAGCTGGCTTTTCCAACTGGCTTCCAAGGAAGTTGCATACCGGTCGTCGGGTTCTCATGGCAAATGGTCAACCCAACCTGTAGGATCTGATAGCGCTCAGCAGCTTCCTTGGCTTCGAGGTATCGTTCCTGCACGGTTGGCGTCTCGGTCCGTGTACTCGGGGGAAATGCAAGTCCAGACAGCTCAAAGTCGATGGAGATACAACAGCTCGATGAGATGTCGTTGAGAATGAAGGGGAGGTAGTCCGGGAAATTTGTTATCTCAATCTCCATTTTGTTTTTCTTTGGATGGTTAAGATCTCAGATGGAAAGAACTGGATGGAGGGTGTCGGGGGTTTGACTCTGGGACGCAGGCCTCGCCTTGGACAATCGCTCGCTAGTTCGCTTTCTCGCAATGGACATAGTCGACCTTGGAAATCTGCAGACGTCGCTTTCCCTTGCACTTTTGGCAGACGGGGATGGGAGGAAGTCGAGGTAAGTGTTTGTTTGGCGCAGTCAGAGAACTTGCTGTAAGTAAAAGAAAGCAAACGATCAGTTTGGAGAAGTGAAGTGATCTGCCTCGAAGACCAATATATCGAGACTCACGACTTGCATTGCCACCTCTTAGTAGATCAAGCTCATCACATTATGTAGATCTTTAGTTCGCAATCTGCTGTGTTGTGACTGGAAAGTACTAGGTAGTATCACTCCTACAGTCGTAAACATGCCGCCAAAGTCTTTTCAGTTCGCTCATGCACCGGTCAAACTCATCTTGAGCTCCTGTTCAGGCAAAGTTTAGCCCCCAGAGCCGCCTTTGTTAATGGCATCTTCACACGAGACATCTCTTCAGCCTTAGGAAAATCAAAAATTTCCAGCTGGCTATTACCTAAATGTTTAATTTCTAAAAAAAATTGTCCAATCTTCCATGGCATAGCGAGTTCGCCTCTACTGTTCATATTGAGAGACGAGACAAGAGAACCAAGGGGAGAAGCAAGCCCCAAAGGAAAGAGAGGGAAGAGTGATAAATCCATAGAACTAACTTATCAGAAAGCTTTGACTAGCCTCTATATGGTCTCTATGATGCCCTGTTGACGCTGGATATAGATCTCACAGGCCAAGTCCCGTGACCGACCCCGGACTTGGAGAATGAGCCGAGGGAAAACGACAGCCGATCGCAATCGGCCCCGAATCGTTTCAGACTGTCAGTTCCTTATTTCCCCCCAATCCCCCTCGAATTATCGTTTCCCTCTACACTACCCCCGGATCTACTGATTCCAATGGCCAACGGATCAATGTCGTCCCAGTCCCAAGCCCGCTCTCCGTCCTCCCCCACAAAGCTGTGTTCCAAGACCTACAAGAAAGCCTCACAGCTCTACCTCACAAGGCGACTCCCAGAAGCTCTTGAGAGCCTCAAGCCGATTATCACACCTTCTGTTTCCAAAGATGATACAATTAATGCCGACAACACAACTCCGGTCGCACCGATCGCCACTGCCGCGGGCACGTGGAGGATCAAGGTGTGGAACCTCTACATTACTCTCCTCAGCGCGATAGTTGATCTCGGCGCAGAGGAAGGAAAGAATCAATTCGGCTTGAAGGAATGGAAGTCAATTGCTTCGCAAGTCAGAGAAGGCGCAATCTGGGAAACTGTGGTCGACGTCGGGTATCAGGGCCGAGAGGGTTCGGTGGATGCCGAAGTAGTCTACAACCTGTGAGTATTCCGCAAGCTCTCTCTCGCCAGCGCCAGTGAACTAAGATTGTTGCAACAGTGCTACTCTCCTCCTTACCCACACCTCCTCACAATCATTGAACCAACAGCGCCTTGAGACTTATCTCTCGTCATACGGCCAGCCAAACCTCGACCTCGCAGATCGCCTACAAGATGCATCCGATGACGCTCAGCCCATACGTACGACAAGTGGAGCGGATACACCAAAGGATCTCACGGCCCGAGTCAAGATCATCGAACTGTTCACCCTCCACGTCCTCCCCCGCAATGACGAGTGGGAATATGCGACCGAGTTCATCAATTTGAGTGAAGTCCTTGATGAAGAACGCAAAGAGCTCTTCCTACAAACTCTCGAAGGATTGAAGGAAGAAAAAGAGCGAGGCGAAACGCGCGCCGTCGAAATACAGCGCGCAAAAGACGCAGAGCTGGAACGGCAACGAGACGAGGAACGTCGCGGGGCAGAAGCTGCGGCTGCGGCTGCGGCTGCGGCTGCGAAGGCACAAGCTAATGGTCACAAACGCAATACCAGTGAGACGGACTATGGGATTGAAAAAAGTCGCGCGCAAGGCTCGCCCAAAAGCAAAGGAGCCAAGGGGTCTGATAAGTCACTGAACGGGAAGTCGAAAACCTCACTCTCCTCTGGCTCCAAAGGTGCCAAGAAGCAGGACAAGACCGAGCCACGTGGGCGTCAAACCCAGGCTGTGGCTACTGCTGTGCGCAACCTCTTCCGCCATATCATCCAGACCGTGTCTGGTAACCCGATGTCATTATTGCGCACTCTCCTCTTTGTGATCGGTATCTTAATGGCAATGAGCCGACAAGACGTTCGTGAACGGGTCCGACGTGTGACCGACGGTGCTTGGCAAAAGGTCAAGGCCACCGTCGGCATGGGCGTCAAAGTGAGCTATATCTAAGATATAGACTGCAGCGTCTACTCACATTACATGGTTATCATGTAAACTTTTCTTCCATGTTGATCTTGTGATTATCAAGATCATTGTTGCATACAGGTTTCTTTCGTGAATTGTTCATGTATTCTATGCATACATACCAGTTTTCCACCAGGTGTGGCTGACACTACTCCAACCCGCTTTTTTGTTACTAGAAACGAATGACAACCCCCTTTTACGGCATATTTCACTGTCCAGTTCGCTCGTTCCATTTGCGATCGAAGACAGTAAGAGATCGTTGCGCTGCATTAGTTAGCATTGTCAATGATCTGGTTGGTGGCAAGGGACTTACCCGACGGAACGACATCCAATGCTTTAACAGATATGTTCAATGGCTGATTGAGCATATAGATAGCAGCATCGGCAATATCATTTGCAAGCAGCGGCCTGTGATATGATTAGTGAAGCCCCACCTACCACTCGAGCAAGGGCAGAACAGAAAACTCACGTATACCCATTCAAGAACTCATCGTACTGCGCTTGGTCATTCCCGACGCGCTGGGCGTGGAAATGACCCGCGACAACACCAGGTCTCAGCGCTAGTACTCTGATGTTGGTTCCACATAACTCATTCCGCAATGAGTTTGTGAATCCCTCCTGTGCAGCCTTGTTGGAGTGATAGACTGCCTCGCCGGTAAACGGTGGGACCTCCAAGCCCGTGACGGAGGTCACATTGATGATGGTCCCGGACTTGCGTGAGAGCATAGACCTATTCAGGACCGAGTGAGTCACGAACATTGGGCCGTTAACGTTTGTAGAGTTCATCGTCAAGATTTCTGATATCTCGAGTTCGTGGAATGCTTTCGGGGCGCCAATTGCAAGACCCGCCTGAAACTATGAGTTTGGTGCTGAGGCGCAGTCTGTTTGGATGGGATCATACGTTGTTGATCAGGATATCGATACCACCTATTTCAATGATGGATGATTCGACTGCAGTATCGACTTCCTCGTAGTTCCCTACATCAGCAGTCCGGTAGATCACTTGGATTTGCGGGTATTGCTTCTTCAGCTCGTCTGTCAGTTTGGCGAGTTTGTCCTGGTGGTTTCAGTATTAGGACGTTTCAGATCAGACACACGCCGATTCATGTGAATTATTTATACCTCTGAGCGAGAGAGTAATATCAGATTTGCGCCTGATTTGGCGAGGGCTCTTGCTGTCGCTTCGCCAATGCCCATCGAGGCTCCGGTCTGGACCAGTTAGGATATATTTCGACATACACAGGACAATCCACATACAACCAAAGCAGTCTGTCCATTGATACCCATTTTGAGGTTGAATCTGAATTGTTTGTCGCAGTCGAATACGGGAAACGGCCGTGGTACAAGTAGTTGACTGTCTATCCGCGCTGCTCATGTGGAGTTGGAGCACTGGAGCTCATGTATGATTATCAATCAATTTGCTACCACGTCATCTCAAAGTTTATACTGAAAGGACCCGCCTTCGAACAGACAGCATGGATTATTGTAGATGTAGATACGGAGTAGTTCGAGGATAGTTCGGATCTCAATGGCTCGCGAAGAGGCTCGCGCATAAGCAAGATGCATAAGAGCCATGGAGGTTACCAGGTGTCGAAATATATCACCATGCCTCAGGTCAATAAAAACAACGAAGCCCCATTTCATGCCTTTCCATTTGGGATCACAAAATATTGCTTCGTATAGTGTAACTTTAGAAGTAAAATGACTACTTAAGTATGCTCTCCAGGTGATCGCAGATGCCATTTCAAAGTTAACCCTTGATGCCAGGCTTCCAAGGTTACCTTCGGAAACATACAATTTGGGAAGTAAGCCCAAAAAAAGAACATCAGAATCAAACAATTTGCACGATTATCATAAAATATTCATGATATGGCATATTGAGAAAAAAATGTCACTGTCAATGCGGACAACGATTAAAAAAAATCGACACCTGTGTGATTCGAACACACGCTCCCGAGGGAATTGCCTTAGCAGGGCAACGCGTTAACCACTCCGCCAAAGTGCCTTGGATTGATTGGTCAGCAGTAGTTTGACTGGTTCATATAACCATGGATCAGGACTCTGGGGCCCAAGGTTCCAACGTTGAGTCGCAGCGCCCAGGCGGATCTTGGACAGATCTGACTCTGTGTACAAGGAGTGCGGCAGAGTGTCGATACACGGGAGAGATCCGCAAGCTCGAGTAGGAGAGACAGTACATCGACCCAACGTGACAGTTTTTGTGGCTACAATCGCCTATGAGAGCGGCGGGACACATGGCTTGGATACATATGGTCGGGATCCGTAGGTATAAGCTGATTATGGGTGCTGTAATGCCTAGAGGAAGCGCACTACGAATATTGGACCTCGATCTGTGTAGGATACTGTCCGCAAGACGCGTTCTAGCTGAGCTCCATCGGCCTGTCGCATTCACTCCTTCGCTCCAACAGAGGCGGGCAAGACAGGCCATTTACGGGAATTTGGCACCCACCACAGACAACCAAATACCCAAATAATTACTGCACATCTCCGACCGAGTTATTCTTATCTTGGTTCGTAGCACACAGCCCTGTGCTAGCAGTTGAACCTGCTTCCTGATACCCTGCGTGCTTAAGTCTGCCATCTGGAGGATCGTACGCGAAGAAAGATCGGAGATATCGCTCGAAGCGTTTGGAGGACTGAAAACTGCGAGCGGAGGCACTAGAGCGTCCGGTAATATACGACGTCAGCCTGCACGTACCGAAGATATTCCGAAGTAGTTGCTCCATATCACAGATACCGATAGAGGGTCACCGGTGAATGGAGAGATGCTTACCTGATTCGATGCTGCATACGCGGGGACTCTTCCGTACCCAAACTACGCAAAGCTGAGTCGAGGCTCACAAGAAACCCAAGTGTCCATGGGTGGCTGTGTATCGGTGTCAGCAAGAGGGCAAGAACAGCGGAGCAAGAGTAGAGTAAAATGTGGCCGTAAAGGCGATTAATGTGAGCCTAGTCTCACCATAAAACTGATCTGCTAAGCCGGCTGCAATTAACCCAGGCCCATGTTGTGCAGAACTCGTACAGCACAGGTGGCTTCCGCATGTGACTCGTAGACGGGAGAGGCGCCGATAGTTCTATGCAAACTAGCACTATAGCCGAGAGTGAATGATGCTCTACAGGTCATTTGGGTAACTAGATGGGATTGACATCGAAGACAAAGTCATGGGCTTCTTGAACTGGCTTAGTGAACTACCCCAAGTTGACCGCGGGAGCCCGCACAACAGGCAGCAAAACACAAGCAAACTGGATTACTATGCATACTAATGATTGCTCTCAGGGAGTGTAGAGCCAAAAGAAAAGTCTGTTCTCATCTCTTAAACCTGCTAGCATGTTATGAGATCAGCAGAAGGCTTTTGCTTGCTGAAGAATGCGATTCACGCACACAGTCCTGCTCCCGAGGTCCTGTAGGCTCATGACTGGCCCATATAGATAAAAATTACATTGTACATCATGATATGGATCCAATAAATCTTAAGGACAGGTGACAGCTACCTCAAATGTCTTGTCTGTGGTGGGAGTATGTCTTCTTTTTTTGGGATAAGGTTGCGGGCCGCTGTGGGGAGGATGTGGAGCAAAACCTTAGCTACATCGGCACCAATGAGGACCTGGTGTGTGGCATTTGTGGATTTGCCACTAGCCAATAAGAGGCACAGAAATTATTCTGCCAGAGAAGTCCGCATTCAAGGTATATATCCCCGTCAATTTTTTCCCTCCCCCAGATTCTTTCTTCCTTTCTTATCTCCCCACTTTCTGCTGCCCCGACCTCTCTGGCTTCTCAACCATCAACTGGCAACTTGAAACTTTTTTTCTTTTCTCTCGAGCTCCCCCAACCTTCGTTGGGTTTTTGCCTTCCCATTCCACCATGACGCATGACATCCCACTTCGGTCCTTTTATCCGAGACTTCAACCTTGATGGCCCTCAACCTCACTGGCCCTCACCTCACTGGCCCTCACCTCACTGGCCCTCACCTCACTGGCCTCCAACCTCACTGGCCTCCAACCTCACTGGCCTCCAACCTCACTGGCTCCAACCTCACTGGCCTCCAACCTCGCTGGTGATGTGCATTCCATGTCATGCTCTGGTCATCTGCTGTGGCTCCTCCACATCCACAAGGTACTTCATTTTCCACGACGTTTGCTTGTGTTCGACGCTAACCCACAACTAGTTGCTCCTCGGGCAGCCACTCATGCAGCTGTGTCGTGGCGGGCTACGGCTTCAGGACAATCGACACAGCTTGCTTTGAATTTCCACCAACCGCGATTCCACCGATCAATTCCATCGTGCAGCTGTGTCGTGGCGGGCTACGGCTTCAGGACAATCGGCACAGCTTGCTTCGATTTCTACCATACCACGAAGCCGTGAACCGAGTTCATCGTGCAATTTTTCTGGGGGTCGTGGAGGATACTTCTTACCTGTACCAATTTACTCTCCTGTACTGCAAATTTGCGAGCAATCATTCAGTCTTTGTGAACTGCCCCGTGCAGGCTTCAGGCAATAGGCATCGTCATTTATTCAGTCCCATACAATATGTGGACTCTTAGTTATCGGCCCAAATGGAGCCAGAATCTCACGCTGTCAATCTATTCTTGCTTCCCGTAGCAACTAGACTATCTTCCCGGGCAACTACACTCTCCAGTGAGATTATCATACACTACTCTGCTCAAAGGAAATCCATTCGTTCGCCGGTACTATGTGGGCAGATGTCCTTGGGATTGAGTATCATACCATGCATCCACCGCATGAGTAAACCACTGGAAAAACAGCTTTTGTAGACCACTTTCCTAAAGAGGAAGCCCGCTGGCCACACTAGACTCTTGGCAGGGACTGCTGTTCATCGACGAATGACTTCGAATTCCTGGATGTCTTTGAAGCTCAGAAGCAAGGCATGCTCTATAAGATTCTGCCTTTATATACCATGACAGCAGTTGGTAAGAACATCTCAACACATCAGACTGTGTAGCGAAGTGGAAAAGTGCCTCCGGTTGCCAAGACATAGTCAAAGTTTCTTGTTTTGCTCCACTTACTCGACACGGCAACTCAGTGCGAATATCTCCACACGGACCCGCAAGAGAAAGCTCGTCTGTCTTACCAAAAGTGTGATATAGATTGATTAGATTAGAATGATCCAACCCGATTCGTTGGCCCTGTGCGATGTGGAACATGTCTCGCTCAGCATAGGAGATATAAGAAGGCCATCGAACCATCCTTGACTGATCAAGTCAGTATGGCAGACAAGGACGAGATCACCAGCGTGGCTGCACCAGCCCCAACTGCCACACATGTCCCCGAATCTAAGGTGGGGGATGTTATTCAATCCCAAGGAGTTACTCGCATGGAAGCTGTCTACCGCGAGGCCAAGTCCAACCGCACAACCCTGTGGCTGGTCGGGATATCGGTCTTGGTATGCGCTTGGGCATACTCACTCGATTCTTCCACTACTTACAACTACTCCATCGATGCGTCGTCGTACTTCAAGCAGCACGGATCGGTCCTTTCAACCCTGTCGATCGCAACGAGCATCATAAGTGCTGTGAGCAAGCCTTTCATCGCCAAAATCTCCGATATCACCTCCCGCCCCTATACATACCTCCTGACACTGTTCTTCTATGTCATCGGCTATATCATTGTGGCAAGCTGCAAGAGCATCTCGGCCTATGTCATTGGAGAGGTGTTCGTTTCGATCGGCAGCTCGGGGCTGGACTTGACAAACGATATTATCGTTGCGGATTTGACACCTCTCGAATGGCGTGGCTTTGCTAGCTCCATGCTGTCCACTCCCTTCATCATAAATACTTGGTTTGCGGGCAAAATTGTCGATGCTATTGATAGCAAGGACCAGTGGCGGTGGGGATATGGAATGTTTGCCATCATCATGCCTGCTGCACTGGGCCCCGCTATCGCCACGCTCATCTGGTTGGATCGCAAGGCGAAGAAAGCTGGCATTGTGAACCTTGCTTCGTCCAACGCAGCTAGACGAGCAGCACGTGAACTCGCCGAGAAAGAGGGCATGGAGGCCCCTCGCGGTGCGGTGGTTGCTGCCGCGGCAGATTCATCTGAGACATGGCTTCGAACACTCAATCGAAATTTGGAAGAAATAGATGCCTTTGGCCTTGTCCTCCTTGGCTTTGGGTGGTCCTTGCTTTTGCTGCCATTCTCGCTCAAGACATACGCTGACCATGGTTGGCGTAACCAGTCACTTATTGCCATGATGATTGTCGGCGGTCTTCTTTTGATAGCCTACGTTGCCTATGAGATCAAGTGGGCTCGTGTCCCCAGTGCGCCGCGTCGGTTGGTATTCAATAAGACATTCATCATGGCCATCATCATCGATAGTATTTACATGCGTGAGTCTCATTGCATTAGCTTTGGATCTATTGAACACTGACATTAGACCATAGTTGCTGGACGAATGCGCGGTCTGTACTGGGATTCATACGTCTATGTCTCCAAGCCATGGAGCTACCAAGATTGGGTGTACTACAACAATACCCTGACTCTTGCCCTCTGTATTGCAGGGCCATTGGTCGGTCTTCTCCAGCGCTGGACACATCGTTACAAAGCCATCCAGATCGCAGGTCTGGCCATCAAACTCATCGGAATGGGAATCATGCTCGACGGTAACAAGGCCACATCTAACACAGCTGCAATGGTCATGTCAATGATTTTGATCGGGTTCGGTGGCTCAATGTCCGTCGTTGGTTCGCGAGTTGCATCTCAAGCCTCCGTGCCGCACCAGGACGTCGCTCTTGTCATCTCTTTGCTCTCACTGTGGTCGAAAATCGGTAGCGCCATTGGAGCCGCCATCGTCGCAGTCATTTGGGCCGATCAAATGCCCAAGCAGCTACGTGAACATCTACCTTCTACAGCGACTGATGCTGATGTGAAGAAGCTTTTTGGTGTCCTCACATCGATTCGAAAGAATTACGCCTTCGATGATCCCATGCGCGTGGGTGCTATTGTCGCTTTTCGTCGTGCGCTATATTACTGTCTTGCACCTGCATTGGGGATCGCTTTCATCCCGCTGGTTGCCGCTTTCTTCCAGACGAACTACTTCCTGGGTAAATCGCAGAATGCGGTTACAAATGTTGGTAATGATGGATTGCCGCTGGAAGAGAAGGATCGAGATCCTGAATTGGCACCTCCAAAGAACAAGAGGGAGGCGTTCCTGCGCTTCTGGGCTGGGCGATGAATCGTCTTTGTTAGAACCGGTTCTTCAAAGAGCTTTTGAGGAAACAAAACATTGGTTAAAAAATGAGCTTGCTATGTCTCAAAACTGGTCAAGCGGGTAGCGATGCCAACGAAATTGTTTGTATATTAAGTCTAGGTTTATAATTTCAATTGATAGTATGTCTTATTGGCAGTGAGACTTGTCATAGTTTAGCGCAATTGGAATTATAAGAAGGCCTTGGCCAATATTGGAGGGGCCGAAGACGAGGCATTGTTGAAAATGGTGATGAGAGACTTGGAAAAAAAGTCAGACAGGCATGACCCGATGTCTATGTCCAGGTTGAGTTTCGTCCACATCTCCAGTCACCCCGGTCGTCTCCATCTCCACACTCCCGGGAACATTGTCATCACTATGCTCTTTCTCAAGAATCTTGGCGTGCCATCTCTTGAAGAGTTGTACAAAGAAGTGCGCCACACAGATCTGCTCCGTGGTGTAAAGCAGTACCGGGACAGATGTTTTCGCCTTCGTGAACAGATCTATAGGCTTCCACATGGCGTATAGCAGCGGGATACCGAGTGCTGTGCTTTTTGCCGGTCCACAGAAACAGACTGCGATTGTTTCTTCGGGGGACATGCGTTTGAAAATAGGTTTAGACCACGGTCGAGAACCGAAAATCCGGGGTGGCCTTGACCCGATGAAGCAGACTGCCGTCAGGACGATGTATAATGCAATGTTGAACAGAACTACGAAGACCACACTCTGTGTGGAAAGAGATTGCAAGGCCCCCGTTGCGAAACATGAAGAAAATGTACACCTGATGGCGTTAGAATCATCGTCGTCAGTACCAATCGAACCGACTCACCATATCAACAGCAGCATGCACACAGTAGCTAACTTGGGCAGCTTCGTCTTCGCCAGCACTGCTGCAGTACGATCGGGCCAGGTCCATCTTACCAACTGACCAACAAACAGCGGTAGCAGCACACTGAGTCCCAACTGCTGGAAGACGTCTTTGTACATGCTCTCCAAACTGCCACCTCCGTAACGCCACGGGTCAAACGCGGCATCCTTCGGGATTAGCGCAACAGTCCAAGCAGCCGTCACAAACGGCCCCAGAACGTTTGCAAGCAGCACCTCCACCAAAGCCGCTGCATCATCTCCGCCCGCCGCCCTTGTCATCACCACATTGGACGCGATAGTCGTTGGGATACAAGCCGTAAAGATATACCCGGCCAACACGGCGCGGTCAATATGTCCCCGCGGATCCCCAGCGAGGATGATGTGCACCACCGCCAGGACCAAGGCAGGAATGAACAAAAAGGAAATGACCTGCACGACGAGGTGAAGCCGCCAGTTCAAGAAATGCGAGAACAGCTTCTGGCGCGGTATACTCAAGCCGGAGATCAAAAAAATGATCGCGATCACCCCGTACATGATACTGTACTCCGAGCGGATCACGCCGCCATGCTTGGCGACGTTCGGGAAGCAGTAGGCCAGGGCGCAAACGACTCCGATCCCGATCAGCAGCCATTGGTGCAGGATCAGCGACACACTGCGCTTCAGCAGTGGAGTCAGCTCCATATTTTAGTTTGTTGCGAGCATATGGGTATTTGGATACCCTGGGGTTGGGAGAGAGGAGGATGTCGAGATTGCGCGATCGGTTTTCATCCGAGGCGGAGATGATAGCGGCTGAAAGATCGTGCGCTCGCGTTTATCGCCATGCCTACAAGAATATCTTGGCCCTACATAAGTACATGGTGTCTGTTGGAGCTGTGAAGTTCAATTCTCTACTTCCAACCTTGAAAGCTTATAGGTGTAAATTGAGAATCGCCGAAATCGGATGCTGAACGTTGTGGCGCATGTGAAGGTATCGCGTCTTGCATCTTCTCTTGTCTCGCATATGATGCTATCTCTGGATCATCATTAAAACTGAATAAGAAACAAAGTCAAAGAAAGGAGACGATTGAAAATGCGCAATGGGCAATGCACTCCGTCCAGAAGTCGAGATCTCCAATGTGATTGGGTAAAACGTTCAACCGGCCCCGGGGGTAAAGTTGAGGGCACTAGAACTGCACTGTACTCTGTATTCAGCCCCGGACTCGGAATAAAGGCCAAGTCTTCAGGACATTGTACACGGAGTACTTTGTACCCTCATCTGACTCAGAAGCAGGTCCCATGACCACTGAGAGATGACCCTCATTTCCTGGTTCATCAACCTCGGCTGAGAGGAACACTCGCGGTGGCCCGAGAACACCCGCACAAGGTAGCGGTATTCGCTACTTTCCTCCGATGCTGGAACTACCGAACCTGGGGAGAGCATTAGGGGGAGTCTCCTTCCGGAGTAATTTAGCTCCCCGGGAAATAGGAGACGGGGATGATGTATAGCAGAGCAGTGAATCTAGTCGTTCAAGTCAAATTATTCTCAAGAACATATACGAGTAGTCCGTATTCTTAAATTCATGGGATCTGAGCTTAATAGCAGAATCACAAGCCTAAACTATGACGACAAGGCATGTGAAGTCAGATCGTGGGAGATCTGTGAATCATATACCGTGGAATGGGGGTGCCGCCCTTGTTCCCGAAGGCCTCGGGATGTTCTAGAGAGGTACCCGGAATCGAGTATTGATTCTGATATATAGGAAATGATATATTAGTCGAGAGATCCCTCGGCATTCGATTCTCTTTTTCCAATCTCTTTACTTCGTCTTCGGTGCTGTGAGGTTCTATACACCTATCCGCTTCCGCTCGTCCAGCTTCCGCTACCCCGTCATAGCTCCCCCACAAAGTTTGGCAGTTTTGCCGCCACTTCGATCCGAAAGCCATATTCCCCCGGCTAAGTGCTGGTCTTTTGGAAATTAAAAAAAGTTCTCAAGTCCCTCAGCAAAAGAGTCTGTCAAGTTCAAAAGACCAAATACATCCAATTGCGCTGGTGATATCCCCGGGATTGTATACTTCCGCTTCTCCGCAATTTCGGTTTTCCCTCGCGACTATCGGAACGATCTACGCAATTCGAGTTCCGATATTTTTGGCCATTCGAAGAAGTCCGATTGGAAATCTTGATCCTCGACAATCCCCCTATATACACACATATTGAAAATGTCCGCAAAAACTGCCAATGGGAAGCGCACATCGCCCGCGGTCAACTTGATCGGTAGAGTAGACCCTGTCCTTGAGATCTGGACAATGATTAACGTCTGAAAAGCTGGTGGTGGTGCTGGAATGATGGAGGCTCTGGTGTGCCACCCTCTGGACACAATCAAGGTTCGCATGCAGCTGTCAAGGAGAGCCACAGCGCCTGGAGTGAGTCCCCCTCGAAACTGCCTGCGGTAATCGGGCACCGTGCTAACCAACGGTTCGAACAGGCTAAGCCACGCGGGTTCGTGGCCACCGGTGCGCAAATCGTGAAAAAGGAGACCGCTCTGGGTCTATACAAGGGTCTGGGTGCCGTGCTCGGTGGTATCATCCCCAAGATGGCCATCCGGTTCACCTCATACGAATATTACAAGGGCGCACTCGCGGATCCAACAACGGGCCAGGTCACCAGTAAAGCCACCTTCTTGGCGGGTCTCGCAGCCGGTGTGACTGAAGCTGTGGCCGTGGTCAACCCTATGGAGGTCGTCAAGATTCGTCTGCAGGCCCAGCACCACAGTCTGGCTGACCCCCTCGATGCCCCTAAGTACCGCAGCGCACCGCACGCACTCTTCACGGTCATCAAGGAAGAGGGTTTCCGCGTCCTCTACCGAGGTGTCTCCCTCACAGCCCTCCGACAAGGAACCAACCAAGCCGCCAACTTCACTGCCTACACGGAATTGAAGGCTGCTTTGCAACGCTGGCAACCGGAGTACAGCACCAGCCAGCTGCCTTCGTACCAGACCACATTCATCGGTCTGATTTCCGGTGCCGTGGGCCCCTTCTCCAACGCCCCCATTGATACCATCAAGACTCGCCTGCAAAAGACCCGCGCTGAACCCGGCCAGTCTGCTGTTTCTCGCATCATGGTTATTGCCAAGGATATGTTCAAGACCGAGGGTACCCGTGCTTTCTACAAGGGTATCACTCCTCGTGTGATGCGTGTCGCTCCTGGTCAGGCGGTTACTTTCACCGTGTATGAGTTCCTCAAGGGCAAGCTGGAGGGATCAAACTGGGCCTTTGTGGGTGGCAAGTTTGAGGAGTAAAGTTGTCAAAATGTGTCAAATCTTTTGGAAAACATTGTGATACCTGTCCCAGCATGGTGGGCGTTGCGATTCGTCTTGCGTTGGACGGAGCTTTCTCGGTTCAACCAATTTTCTTTTGTATATATTTTGTGCTTTGGGTTAGTCTGTTTGTATACCACTTTGTTGGGCCCTTTGGCCTGAAATAGAACTGAAATGGCCTTCTGGTTTTTCGGATCTCAATAGTATATCTCGCGCAGAAGTATCAGGACTCCTTGTTTTGCTTCAGCCATTCCGTTCTGTCTGTCGGGCATCCCTCCAATGGCTATTGCATCGAGTTTGGAATAACGGGAATAAAGAGAATATTCGGCGACTGATTTTGTTTCATTTTTGTGCTCTTCATGTATTCGATGAGGGAAAGATCGGGCCAGACAAGCGCTGACATGCCTTCGGCCCCTCATTCACCGCTCCCCTCACTCTGTAAACAACCAACTACCCTGCATCCCACAGTGCGGCATCATGCAGTCTGGTATTACAGGTAAGAGACTGATATTCAATTTCAAATATAATTGGGGCTCACAATCCAAGTCTCCTCGGAGCTGCAAGATGCCTTCGCCCGCTTCAACTCCGACACCTCCACCTTTTGCCTGCCCGTAACCATCACAGCAGAGACCCTCACACCGTTGGCTCCTATCTCCTTCCAGGGTACTCCGTCTGCAGACTCCTTTTTCTCGGCCCTCCCGCAGCTGTCCTCTGTCCTACAGCCTAAAACACCCATCTACCTGCTCCTCCGACGCACCAAGTCTTCCACAACCTCGCTCATTGCGCTGACCTACATCCCCTCCAATGCCCCCGTGCGAGCGAAGACACTCTTTGCCTCCACTCGCTCGACCTTGACTCGCGAACTCGGAACGGAGAAGTTCACTTCTACCGTCTTTGCTACCGAGGAAGACGAGGTTCTGGGCCAAGACGCATGGCGCGAGCGTGATGGCGAGGGGCCTAATGCCATCAGCCGCGAGGATATGATGGGTGAGAAGGAGCGGGAACTTGAGGCAGTGCGGAAGGCCGAGGCTGAGGCGCGCAGCGGTACACCCGGTAGAGATATTGGGATAGGAGGAACCTTTGGTCCTGGCTCTGGCTCTGGAATGAGGGTTTCTATGCCTGTTGATGAGGCTGCTAAAACGGCTCTTAGGGATCTACAGGATGGTGGGCTTGTTCAGCTGGTGAGTATCATGAGCGTGCTACATGCACAATATCACAATGGGGTTCGAGGCTAACATCTTCATAAAGACAATTGACATTCCCACGGAGAAGATCATTTTGGCAGACTCCAAGACTGGAGTCGAAGCGAGCGCCGTCGCCTCTCACATTTCGTCCTCGTCTCCACGATACACCTTCTACCACTACCCCGGATCTGATGTTGTTGTTTTCGTATACACCTGTCCTAGCGGATCGTCGATCAAGGAGCGCATGCTGCATGCCAGCTCACGGAGAAATGCCATCACGGTGGCCGAACAGGAGGGTCACAAGATCTTGAAGAAGGTATGTATCGATGTGTGATTGTTGTGATTGTCGGATGCTCACAAATAACAGATTGAGGCCTCGGGCCCTGATGAGATCACCGATGAGCGCTTGCAAGAGGAAGTCAACCCGCCACGAGACCAGGGGCCTGCGCGAGGATTCGCGAGACCTCGTCGCCCCGGCCGGTAAATTGCCAAATCCACAGCCCAGTTGAACACCCAGGGCTTATAGCCCTTTTTTGACCTGTACAAGCTCTCCCTTTCTGTAACGTTTGTAGACCCATTTCCATTGCTAGGCGTAGAGCATCGGGCACCTCCCTCCCAGACAAGCCAATCCATAGATGGAGCCCAGTGTATGATCATTGATTCCTGAAACTTTTCTTTTGGTAGAATAAGTCTGTCCTCGAACTTCCCAGATTGATAATCTTCGGGCACCCATCACGGTCTTTCTCCAGTCGCGTACATTCAAAGCAGTAGAATGCATCACTGATTCCTTCACCACCGCAAACAACACACTTGTTCTGGTAGTTGCCGAAGGAGCACTCATCGCAGATGCGGACAAGGGTGGTTGGGCGCACGTAGGAATCACACACGGGACATTTGCCGTCGCATTTGTCACACAGGCGGCCGATAGAAATGCCGGGCTGCTTGCGACACATGACGAGATCGGGGTGGTGGCGAGACATATTGGCTGGGTATCAGGTTTTGGATGGAAACAGAGGCTTGAGAAAGAGAAAGAGCCAAGATTGTGATCGCAAGTGAAATGAAAGAGCTAAGAAATGAAAAGCCGGAGGGAAAGGGCGCAGATGGTCCGTGCGCAATCGGTATCTGTTCCTTTTGCGCTCAATCACCCAAGCAAGAACCAAGTCTGACAGCCTTGTTTTGCTTGATTCTCGCCTTACTTCCCTCTGATCTGTGCAGTTGATTGATATCTGCAAAATTATGGCTGAAGAGTATGCTACCCTCCGTACTGAGTCGCACAAGCACCAAGTTGAATCGATGTAGCTAACATCCATGGTCTTGTCAAAGAACACTGGCCTCGGCAGTCGCAGTGCCTGAGCAAGACACCGCGCGAGAATCACCAGAAGTGACCACAAAGCGGAGGCAGTCCTCAATATCGGAATCTGACAGCAAACGCCGGCGACTTAGCTCCCAAGGCAACATCTCTCCGCAATCGGAAAGACGGCGCCCCTCTTCCCCACCAGCTGCGACAAGTGAATCATCTGGGCGCAAACCTACAAGGCCACGGGAAGGCCGGGAGGAGGATCGCAAGCGTGGTCAACGACTATTTGGCGGGCTGCTGGGCACTCTGTCCCAAAAGCCAAGCATTGCGGCACAGCGACGCCGTGCTGACATTGAGAAGAAGCAACAAGAGAAACTGAAGACACAGGATGTGCAATACGGCGAGCAGAAGAAACGGAGAAAAGAAGAGTTTGAAGAAATCCGCAGACGGGAGGCGCCGTTATATGAGCGGGAAGCAGTATGTTTGGCTCATGATATCTATGAACATTCGCATGAAAATCGATGCCTAACCCTTGAGTACAGATGCAAACACGACACTCGAATATGATTGCCATGGCGAATTTCTTCAAAACTCGGGCAGAGCCTGTTCTGGTGAGCCCAGCTTCTGCTCCTATATTCCATGATCACTCCTAACCATTCCCAGTATTATAAACCATGGCAACCCAGGCCCGGCGATGATTCTGTGATAAAAGAGCAGATTGAAAATGCAAGGGCCATAGTTGACAGAGAGGTCGCAGAGTTCGAGGCCAAATACCCTCCAGAGGCCTTCACATCAAAGCTACCAATTCCCTTACAGGCAGAGCAAGAAAAGTCAACTGAACAGCAGAGCCCAGATGTCCACACGGGTCAAGAGTCAGCTCTTCAGACAAATCCTACAGATCCAGAGCCCAAGGAACAAGCTCCAGGTGCTCCAGACACGGTGTGTGTGGAATCTAATGATGGAACTACCGATCTGCACAAAGATGAAACTGCTGCCAAAGACGATCAAAGCATTCATGAACAAAACGAAGTCCACAATGACGATGGGGGCGAAGTCGTTGAGGATAACGAGGATACTGTGATATACTAGCTTGCTCATTATTGTTGACTGCACATCAATCTGTTAACTTGGGTGCAATCGTTTCGCCATGACCCACGACCAATACCCGATTTTATCTGTTTCAAGGTTTTATCTTTAGCACTGTATGTTTATATTGGAGTTCCTGTTCAAATCTAATGGGATGAACAGCATGTCCATTGGTATGCATGGATCTTTCATACACATACTGGTCTCCTATGAGACCCTGTGGTGGATGATCAAGGGTCACTTTGCTCTTGCTGTCAGACACAGCATGCTTGAAGGTATTCAGACATCTGAAACATCAAGCTCGACTCTGTCTGTGCATATCGATACAAACACAGTTCATAGGGTCATACTAGCCATCCCCATGTGAAATCACGCATTCTGTTTGATCACACTGCAGCCTGTCAATCATGGCATGTTGTATCAAACCGAATACTTGCTCCTACAGCACTCCTAGATTGACTTCAAGGCTTCTGCAACTCGCTCTTTTCAGATCATCTGCTGGTTTCTTACTCACAAGCTCACTGTCCTCTACTTCAGACACCGAATTCCTCAATGACGCACTCAATCCTCATCCTCAATCATCAACTCTTGGAGATCCGCCATATGTCGGTGGCCTCGAACTTTAGACGATGTTTGGCGTCGGGAAGCCCTGAAACAGGCTTGTGGACGTTCTTAAGTTCTACTTCATACTCGTTCTAAGAAAAGAAATTCCAATTCCATATTTCACTACTCCGTGCCACACGTATTGCTCAAGTGATACTTAGTAAACAAAAGGCACCAAGAAAGCATGAATGCTCCGTAAGTCTGTACCTTGAAGGCTTGGATATTCTAAAATTCCAAGGCTCTCCCGGACTCACAACTTGAGAATTCGACGTCAAAGTGGACATATTTTCTAAACTACACTCGCACTCCTTAGTCCGCTCTAGATTTCCCCGTAGGCTTTTTGGCACATAAAATTCATAATTCATAACGCGAGGTAAAACTAATGTCTTGGCGCCCCACCGATCAACGTGCCGAGGCAAAGACGTGAGGGGAGTTGGTCTTTATCCGAATATCTGTTTCGGTCTAAAGTTACTCTTCTCACGACATTAGGATTCCTGGCTACGAGAACTTTAGAAAGAAGACTCTCCCTCGAGCTCACGTGATACCCGAAGTTTCACAACTATACCTGGGATATATCTAAATCGCTGAACATATATATTTCGGAGCTAGCTCTCCAGTCCCATAAGCCCCTTTTAAGGATCTCTAACCACAAACCTCGAGAGGACATGACAGTCGATAAGATCCAAGTCTCGGGTGATTCCCGCATCGAGTACAAGACTGCCAACCTCAATGGCCGTACTTACGGTGTGTGCCAGACCCCCGACCCCGGCACCACAGCACCGAGCTAACGCCATCCAGCTTACCTCCTCAGCCAACCCAAGTCAGGGCAGTACAAAGCTACAATTTTCCTGGTAAGAGCCCAAGACGAAATCAGCGAATCAAGCCCTGACATTTGACAGATCCATGGCTTCCCCGACATCTCCATGGGGTGGCGGTATCAAATCCCCATGCTCGTCAATATGGGTCTACGCGTAGTAGCTCCAGATTGCCTCGGATACGGACGAACAGTATGGTCTCACCTCCCTTCTCTACCTCAACTTAACTCACAAGACCAGGACGCACCAGATGACTTCAGCCCCTACTCGCACAAAAGCTGCGCAGCGGATATCAAAGCCCTGGCTACACAGCTAGGTGAGAGGACAATTATTCTCGGTGGACATGACTGGTAATGTCGACTGGATCTGCACACCAAAAAATCATACTGACATCGAACAGGGGCGCCGCGTTCGCCTACCGCATCGCAATGTGGTATCCGGATCTGGTGAGCCATCTGTTCACCGTCTGTGTACCGTATGCGCGCCCAATGAAAGAGAATATCTCCCTCGAAAGCCTGGTGCAGAATGCTGCACCGCATTTTGCGTACCAGCTGCAGTTCAAGAGCGGGGAGTTGGAGAAGGTGATTCGATCCAAGGCCGAGATTCGTCAGTTCCTGCTTGCACTGTATGGCGGACGTACGGAAGGTGGGGAGGTTGGATTTGATGCGCACAAGGGTGTGTTGGTGGACAAGATTGGTGGGCTGAAGCCTTCGAGACTTCTGAGTGAAGAGGTGAGTGGGTGTTCTGAGTTCTCTTTAGTGGGTGCTGTGCTGACTTTATGCAGGAGCTGGAGTATTATACAAATGAGTTTGCTAGGAGTGGTGTTCATGGTCCACGTATGTTGGTTTAACGGAATTTTGAGATCTGGATCCTGACTTTTTACAGTGAATTGGTATCGCACCCGCGAGGTGAATCACAGAGAGGAGCTTGAGATCCTTGATAGGCAGATCCAGATCCCTACGCTGTTTATTCAGGCCTTGAGGGATCAGGCTCTGCCGCCGCACCTTGGGAAGTCGATGGCAAAGCATATTCCGAATCTCACTCTGAAACAGGTCAATACTTCGCACTGGGCACTGTGGGAGAAGCCACAGGAGGTTAATGATATCATCTCGGGCTGGCTGAAGGAGAAAGCTTTTGCTGGAAGAGATGGAAAGCTCTGAATTGGACTTGAATGGAAGTTAATAGCAAAGTTGATTGATTATCGCAAGATTACATGAAAGCTCATTGAAGCATCGACCTTGGCCTCGCAGGACATACTGAAAGTCACAAGTTGGACAATGGTCATTTAATGCTGGAAAACCTTGGTCTCAACATTGCAGCCAACCTTCTCCAAACGGTCCATAAAGTCCTGACCCAGTGTAGCAGGGGTAACAATACCACCCCGTGAGATCTTCTTGATCTTCTCCCCCTCATTAAGAATCACCATTGCGGCCTCGGCCATCAACAGTCCAGTGAAGACGTACATACTGCCTGCGAAAGAGATCTTACCAAAGACACGCTGCTTCTCGGAATTATCTGCAGTAGCAATGGCGTTATACTCAAGACGATCGTTAGTCGAGTCCTCGCGACGCGGACCCGCACCAGGCGCGAACACAAACTTCCGCAGCAACCACCGCACAGGCGACAGCAAGAGCAGCGCGAGTCCAACAGTGAAACCGACATGCAGTGCAATTCCAATGACTGCATTTCGCACAGATAGGAACTGGCGGAAGACGAATTTCTGGCCGTATAGCTCGGGCATCAGACTGCTGCTGCGGTGCACGATAGTGATGTCGGCAATGGCGGATGGGGAGGTGGTGACTGTTCCCAGATCGCGGATTGCACGCACACCGAATACCTTCTCGAGAATCGTTTCCTTGGGCATCTTGTTTTGCGAAGCCGAGGCAGATAGCGCGAAGGGGGTCATTGATCTGGAGAGCTCGGACACAGGAAGCCAGTCGAACATGGTGAGAATGGTGTTCAAGGTGCCGCCACTGGGGCCAGAAGACCTGAAAGGATCAGGTTAGTGGTAGTCAACTGTTGAAAAGGATATGACATACTTCATCTCCTTGATAGTGCCATCAATATGGCGGGTGGGGGATGAGAGGTCCTCGCGGACTCGCTTGGCTAAAGACCATGCTAGAAGATCGGCAGGAGCACTCTCAACACCGGTGGAGGGAATCATCTGTTGAGGTTAGACTGGAGAGGCGTTTGGGATTGGTGCAAGGACGAACAATTGCGCCGTTTGCCTTGGCAGTCTCATGATACTTCTCGATGATCAACTTGATCCATGGAGTCTCTCCGGTACTACGTGTATTGGTATTAGCTATCAGTAGGCGATGAAAAAAGTGCATGTACACATACGCATCGACATAGTGAGTTCCATTGACAGCACAGGCCTCGACAACCGGGGTCGAGTACAAGTGATAGGGGCCCACGCAGTTGATAATGAGCCGCGTCTTTTGGGCTAGCTCGTTGAGCTCACTGGAGTTGAGCTGCACAACCAGAACATCTATATTCCCAATTCAATCAGCATTGAGATATGGAGTTGCAAGGCCACGGAATCCGGGGTAGATACCTGGGTCGGCGCGGTCTGAATTGAGGGCTTTGAGTTCCTTGGCGATGGGGTCCATCTTGTGCGCAGAACGGCCTGCGATAGCCCATTTCAGATCGGTAGGGAGGTTTTGAACAATGTGCTCTGAGCAGAACCGACCGGTGTAGCCGGTTGGACCAAGGAGCACCAAGTCATACTGGCGGTTGGAAGCCATTGAGCTGTAGTTCTGCCGGACAGGGGAGCTGTTCGGGAGATGGCAAGCTCGAAACACTACTCGAGGTTATGATTCGGTCTGTTCGGTGGAGAGAAGCAGACACGGGGGTTCCCAAACGTTTTGAAGCTCTCTGGTGGGCTCACGGTAATACAGGTCATACGTTGACTTTACAATTCTACTGTTGACCTTGGACAACCTTCATATTTCCATGATTTCATGCATACGGATCACGTGACCGGATAGATGAATTCGCCCGACCTCATCGCTTTCGTTTCAGACAACGCCGACTCTCGCATGTGAGAGACTCGTGAGAAGCCTTTGGGAACCCCGAGTAACAGCCTGAATAACAAGGCATCACTAGACAAATCCATTTGGCCCACAATCTGAAATCGAACAAAAAAAACATCCACACCTTACATTCGTCATTTGTGGTGGAGCGAAAGTGGATTAAAAAGGAAGCACTTGGCAAACCGTCGAAACCTGAGGCCTGGACAGTGGCCGCTTTAAGGTGTATGACGTAAGCCCACTAAGACCAAAAGGGGTCAGGTGATCGCACTGCGCCAAGAGCCCTAAGCGAGAATCCACAGCACACAGCGCCCTCATTCAAAGCGTCTTTTTTGAACTCCTGTCCAGTACCCATCTTCATCCTCGACACCAGCCAAGATGACGAAGCGCACCAAGAGTATGTTGCACCCGATTAACACTCAATTTATCATTGCTAATTTATTTCTACAGAGGTCGGCATCGCCGGTAAATACGGAACGAGGTATGACAATGCGCCCATGCGATTTCATCGCGATCCGACCATTTCGCACGAACAATCAATCTAACCCCCCCGGACAGATACGGTGCTTCTCTGCGTAAGCAGATCAAGAAGATCGAAACTCAGCAACACGCCCGGTACGTTCACCACGACGCAACCCCGACTATCGCATCGCTAATCAACCCTTAGTTACACCTGCACCTTCTGCGGTAAGAACACCGTGAAGCGCAAGGCCACCGGTATCTGGGAGTGCCACGGCTGCAACAAGGTCGTTGCTGGCGGTGCCTACGCCGTTTCGTAAGTTCACACCGGAGTGTGACTCGTTGACCCGAGACCCCCCTCGGACGAGCACACACACACACACCTCAGGACTCTACTTACCATTCATTGCTACAGTACCCCCGCTGCCGCTGCCACCCGTTCCACCATCCGTCGTCTCCGTGAGATTGCTGAGGTTTAAATGGGAGGATGTATCGGTTCATTTCTCTTTTACGGTTACGTCTGAATACCAAAAATGAATGAAAAAATTCGGGATTACGAATTCTTGTGCACAATCGTGGACGCTTTCGCCTCTAACGTACTTGTCGAACTTGTCTCCAACTCGCCCCGGTCGCAGCCTACCACCCTTCTCGCCAACTTCCAACACCGAACTTTTCTACTTGGGTCTGCGACTGAGGAATTTATGGACGGATCGCCATCGACAGCCAATGAGCTCACGCGCCCGCCTCACGTAGATCGAAAACCGCGAGTCACAAGTGGGTCATCTGTTCATAGGGCAATCACTTGCGTATCTTTTGGGATTCCTCCCGATTGGCCTCGTGCGGATATGCCCAAACACTGGACCCTCAATTTCTCTTATAGTACCCCGTACTTTGGACACTTGCGCATGGTCCACTTCGCCTGACATTAGTAGGATCCCGCGATCTTCACGATGACTAATGTCAAACCCCTGCCTGGTGCACAGATGCCCTGGGGCCACTTGCAGGTGTGTCCAGGTGTCTAGATTTCCAGATGCGATTCGAGTCGGAACTGGATCTGGGCGCCTAACGAAGGGGACTCGTAGGGCTTCCTGTCTTTGCGTAGTGTCCACCTGACATGGTCCTCAGTGAAATGGTCCTTAGTGATTGAGAACTTTAGATGTAAATCTATAAAGTGGACATGCATGCAAAGCATGCGCCTACAATATACAATAGAGAGTATGGAGTATATCGCAATGCATTGACTCGTAAATGTGGGAAAGTCCCGGGGCATCATTCGCCTCCGTCACGTTCCTGTTTTGCGTTAGTCCGGCAATCCGGCCCACCTTCAAAAAGGCCGCTCCACCTTCTTCGCTTCTACACCTCCATGGTCTTCGCTTTTGATTATCTCCATGTCAGACACCTGTATCGTTTGTTTGGGAGACCTGGGCGAAGGCGCGGGCGACCCTCTCGTGCCTGTAGGCGACTTCAGCCTCAAGGATGAGGACTCCCAGATCGCCCAGCTACTACCCTGTGGCCATATCTTACACAATAATTGCTTGAAGCCATGGGTGGAACGAGCGAACAGTTGCCCGATCTGTCGCCGAAGTTTTAATATGGTGGAGTTGAGTGACCGGCCTGGAGGTATGACGCCCCTTGGAATCATGGCATATTCCCGTTTGTTCGGAGTACTGACTGCGAATGCGCTCTAGGAACCGTTCTTTCATCATATGCCGTTCAGGACCGAACACAAACAGCCGATATCGACCCTTCTATGATCATCGAATATGCAGAGGATGACTTGGTGGACTATCAACCATGCACGATTTGCAGGCAAGCCGACAACGAAGATGTTCTGCTACTATGTGACGGATGCGATAAAGCGTCCCACCTCTATTGCCTCGGGATTGACGAGATCCCATCGGGAGAATGGTATTGCCAACAATGCGAGTCACAACGTGCACCAGGACCTGCACCCGAGGTACCCTCGGCGCGACCATCTCGAACCGAGCAGCGGAGTCAGCGGAGTCAGCGTAACCAACGACGCCAGCGAACACGGGCCCAGCAACGACGTCTACATAATCGCAGCCAAACAAACTCGCTCCATTGGGCCAGAGTTTGGCAGTCTGTTTGGGACAACCTCAACCTCGACCTAGATTTCCCATTCGACGACGATCGATCCGCCGAACGTTTGCGTCAGCAGCGCCGTCGCGAAGAGGCAAACCAGCGCGAATTCCAAGCCTGGCAACGTCGATTCGAGGTCGCCGAACGACAGGGCGGCGGAAGCCGTTTTCGTGATGCAGCACCGCAGTTCGATGTGGAGGCTGCCCGGCCCTCACGTCCTCGGGTCCCCCGGGTCCCATCGCCGGAGCCCGAATCCCTAGAAGAGATGCGTGCGTGGAATGCATTCGAGAGAGCACGGGAAATCGAGAACAACCCAAACGCAGCCAGGAAGCGCAAAGAGCCCACCATGTCGCCATCACCCGAGCCTACTGAGCCTCAGCGCAAGTTGAAACGCCCTCGAACCAGAAGGCCGCAAGAGCTTGCTGCCCGAGCTCAACAAACCCAAAATGGTGAATCATCTCGAGCCGGTGCCGCCAGCTCCAGCTCCAGCTCCAGCGCTTATCACCCCACTGGACCGAGCTTCCTCTCATCGCTATTGAAGGAAGTTGAAGACGCACCCAGTCGTACCAATTCATACGGACCTTCTGCCTCGACATCCGTGGCACCCACCGACCACCCCTCGCCAGGCCCCTCATCTCCATCTATATCGCCAACCTCCTCCAGCTATTCATCCCCTCTTCTCTCATCGGCTACACCCCCGCCTTTCCCGCGCAGCCGGCCCATCTCCCCTCTCCAACTATCATCCCCGGCTGAGCCACCGTCTCCACCGTTCTCACCCGAACTCCCATTCTCAGTCAGTCCACCACCTAACCAACATTCCACTCGCAATTCCGCTCGACCTCGCTCCCGCATCCCGCAACGCCTGAACACCGCCCATGTCCACTCCCACTCCCACTCCCCAGACTCCTCCCCCACCCGTGCCGGTCCATCTTTGGCCCTGAAAGCAGACATCCAGAAAATGGTCGGCACGGCACTCAAACCCCACTATAAGAAGAAGATCATCTCGAAAGAGCAATACACCAATGTCAACCGCAGCATCTCTCGGATGCTCTACGAGCGAGTCGGTGATCGCGAAACCCTCGAGCCAGACGAACGCACAAACCTTGATACAGAGGCTCAGCATGAAGTGCAGAACACAATCGACGCTCTGAAGAGGCAAAGTAAAAATAAGCAGAAACAGCGGGCTGCAGATGATTCTCAATGACTATAATGTCGGCATTTGATGGCGTTTCTCTTAGCGACTCGGATTCGGAATCATCTCATCCGATCATTTGTATTGGCGTTTAGCAGATTGTTTCTTTTAGCGTTTCTGGGGACTTGTGGCTGGTCTGCTTCTCTTTCGAATATTGTGTCTAAATAGTCATAATGTTTAGCCTTTTGCTCCAATTTTCATACATCGCAAGTTGTTTTGGTATTCAGCGGGAAGAGAGTACAAATACAGTGGACAAGACAGCACAGAATTTAAATCAAGTAGCAGTGAGGATGTTGTGATGACCACAAATCACATCTATGGATGCGTGCCGGCCTCGAAATGAGAAATGTTTGGCCCTGGAACCATTGACTCAGGCTCTTGAGAGAATACATGAAAGCAGAGATCCTAACCCTACCGTATTCCTATGTACTCTGTATATAAGGAGAGGATATCTGAACCCTACAAAATTAAAGAACACGCATAGGCCTTACTTAGGTTAGGGGAAGCAAGCCCTGTCACAGTGCCGATTGGGACTCGGGAGCAATACACTTCCCTGGGGCTTACCACAGGCCTACCCCACACACCGCATCTAACAAGCAAGTGAGCGCGCCGAATCACACTCAAACTGAGAGAACTGAGAGCTCAAAGCAACAACGATATGCGCTGCCACCATCCAAGACGAGCACAAGTATAAATCCCAGATTTGCCATGGAATCAGACCGCGTCGGTCGGAAGTCCGAACCTTTGGAACCGTCCAAACGAAGTGCCAGAACCTTTTGCCGACTCTTATTTCGCGTACAAAGTCTGTGATAATGGCTTAAAGAAGAAAGAAGATACCAATATCATGCCATTTCTCGCTCACTTACGACTCAGTCTCCAAAAAGCCACCCGTGTTCGCAACTACGTGACCATGACCCCCACCAAGCCCTTGGTTCTGTTCTTTAGTCCTGTCCGACATGCCCTATCAACCTATGAGCAGTTACAGCAAGTAGCTCAGACAGAGGTTGTGACGAGCCAGAGCCGCGAAGAATTCTTTCATGATCTTACGACCAAGTACAAGGATGTTTTTGCTATCTATCGGACGTCTGCTAGTGGCTCTGTACGTGTTTTGTGTCTTTTTGCTTGTCAATTGACCGTACTGACGAGTATATGACTCGAATTGCTCAACAATATGCTAACGAAGTGAATATAGGTCGCTGGTAAATTCGACAATGACTTCATCAACCATCTGCCCGCTAGTTGCCGGTACATATGCCACAACGGTGCCGGTAAATGCCGAACCCCCAATGAAGAGAGAATCAAACAAAAGCTGACCTGATATGATTGAGGATACGACCCTATTGATACCGCTGCCTGTGCCCAAAGAGGCATCATTGCTACTAACGCGCCGGATCCTGTAACCGATGCCACTGCCGACCTGGCCATCTTCCTCCTCCTGGGAGCCCTCCGTCAGCTGAACCCAGCAATTTCTTCGCTGCGTGCAGGAAATTTCAAACAGGGTGTCAACTTTGGCCACGATCCCCAGAACAAGACCCTTGGTATTTTGGGCATGGGCCGAATCGGTCGCGCCATCAAATCTCGTTGCGATCCATTTGGTCTCAAGACAATATATCACAACCGCAATCCATTGTCATCACAGGAAGCAGCCGGTGCGACGTACGTTTCATTTGAGCAACTTCTCGCCACGAGTGACATTATCAGTGTCAATGTGCCCTTGACCCCAAAGACAAAGCACCTTATTGGCGCGAAGGAAATTGCCATGATGAAACCAGGCGTCGTGATCATCAACACAGCTCGAGGTGCTATTATCGACGAGGCTGCTATGGCTGACGCCTTGGAGAGTGATCACATTGCTGCTGTTGGCCTTGACGTATATGAAGAGGAGCCCAAGATCAATGAGAAGCTCTTAAGGCAGGAGCGTGCCCTTATGGTGCCTCATGTGGGAACGCATACTACTGAAACATTGGCTAAGATGGAATCGTGGGCGATGGAGAATGTGCGGCGCGCAATTACTGGGGAGGCACTACTTTCACCTGTCGCGGAACACCAACATCTTGTCCAATAATTTTGACCGAGAGGCATTGAACGTCAAGATTCATGCGATGGAAATTTTGAAACGCAAGTCGGTTTCCCAAATAGGACTCGATACATCCATGAATGCAACTTTAGAAGTCCCAAAATCAATTTGATCAATTCATTCGTTAATCAGCCAAGCTAATCCCGGACGGACTTTTCCGGGCTCTCCTAGGATACCAAGGTTGGGGTCCTTTTCCACCTATAGTAAATATGGTGATCGAAAGCCAGAAATCAAGATCGGAGATCCGAAGCTTAGCCCCAAGGAAAAGGTAATGTAACACACGGAAATATAACTTTAGAAAGAGGGATGGGGAATATCCGGGGTATGAGTTTGTGGGGTTGCGGCCAAACCCGTAGGCTGAACTTACAGCCGACATTGGAGCCTCCGCAATGAACTTATATCAAAAGCCATTCGTTCTTGAATTGAAGCATTGTCCAAGCTCATCGATTTAACGTATTGATCAAACTCAGACAAAATCTGCTCATCATGGTCAAAATCGCACTTATTGGCGCCGCGGGCCAGATCGGCACCCCTCTCAGCCTGCTCTGCAAAACTGTAAGAAACGACCAGGATCCGAGGCTTCAATGCGATGGAATCTATTCTAACTTTGTTTGACTCAGAGCGATATTTTTGATGAGATATCGCTGTACGATATTGTGCATGTTCCAGGCATTGCGACTGACCTTATGCACATCGACACCAGAGCCAAGGTCAGCGGCTATCTTCCAGACGACGGAGGTCTCAGAAAGGCTCTTACTGGCGCAAACATTGTTGTTGTGACTGCTGGCATTGCTCGAAAGCCCGGTATGACAAGAGATGGTGAGTAATGGAATGACTGGCCATATGAATCTCACCTCGATATCTAACACTGGAACTATAGATCTTTTCAAGGTATCGTGCTCTGACATAATCTTTCAACGTGCCATAGCGCATGTACACACAGCCGTATTCTAATGACAGATAGACCAACGCTGGGATCATTCGTGACATCTTTGCTCAAGTCGCCGAGACTTGCCCTGATGCCATTGCTTGCGTGGTTACCAACCCGGTAAACTCGACAGTTCCCGTCGCAGCTGAAACTCTGAGGAAGGCGGGTGTTTTTGAACCAACTCGTCTCTTTGGCGTTACGACCCTAGATGTTGTGCGAGCTTCCACGTTTGCTGCACACGCTCTCGGAGGAAAAGCCGATCCAAAGCATTATAAGGTACCGGTAGTTGGTGGCCACAGCGGAGCCACCATTCTCCCCCTTTATAGCCAAGCCGAGCCTGCTATTGATCTGAGCGATGAGCAATTAGCACCGGTCATCAACCGTGAGTTTCCTGGTGATTTATCTTAAAATCATATGCTGAAAACCCGACTAGGTGTGCAATTTGGAGGCGATGAGATCGTGAAGAGTAAAAAGGGAGCTGGTAGTGCCACTACTTGCATGGCATACGCTGGATTCCGCTTTGTCAAGGCTCTTGTGGCCGCCCAAAATGGCCAATCTGTGTCGGAAGAGGCATATGTGTATTTGCCTGGCGTTCCCGGGGGTCAAGAAATTGCTGCACAGCTCGGTGTGGACTACTTTGCAGTCAAAGTTGAGATCGGCAAGAACGGTGCTTCCAAAGCTCTTCCTATCGGTAACCTGTCTGTGAGTGAAGAGAAGCTGCTTGAGGTCGCTTTGAGTGATCTGAAGACGAATATCTCCACGGGTGTCTCATTCATGCGCGCTTGAGATGTGATGTGTTCAGAGTAATGAAAGAACATCAAAGACCGGGACCAGGCACTTGAGACCCATGGTAGCACCGAAACCCAATCTGATTTCCGTCGTTCAACCTCCCGAGGTCGGTACCCGTTTCTCGTATTCAACCTTGGAAGTGTTGGTATTTCACCTGTAGATGTTGTTTTGATTTCTTTTTCGGTGATAGTTCGAAAGCTCAAGTCTCGACTGATATGAAGGAATTCCTTCTTTGTGTAGATTAATAGGTTTGATTGGCGAGGAGCACCTCCTGCGAGATAAAAAAATTGGGGTTGAGGATCGTGCTACGGAGGAGATGGTTAAATTTGGATCGACTACCGTGCACTAACTAAGCTACTTGAATTATTTAAAGGAGGTGGAGACATGGGCGATGAGGGTCTGATATCTTCAACGCTAGATAGTCTATTGCCGAGCAAAACCCTGATTTGGAACTGATCCCCGGCTGTTTTTTTCCTTTTACGGTATAAACTTATTTAATCTATGTGTCCAAGGTATCCGGATATTCACCTCTCAATATCTAGCACACCTAAAATTTCCGAGGCAAACGAGCCACATTCAGAGCGTACTCGTATCTTGTTGGCGGCCACTCAACAATAACCTTGCTTCTGAAATCTCAGTCCGAATAGAGCAAAAGCCAGTTGAGTGTTTCAGGTTTCCCCCAAGCTCCTGAGCACTCAGTGCCAAGACCTCGCATGAGCTATGTGAAACACTAGACTGACATGACAGCGAGGGTCGGTACCCCACTATAGTAGATCGTTACAGGTTGAACGAGTTGGACATCTTGAAACAACCCGCGTAGACGCTTGTGGCTATCTGTGGCACTCATGAGCTTATGGTTCGATGAAAGCTAAATGCTGATGGGTCTTGGGGGGATTCTTAGACCCTCGTTCCTGATATAGTTCATGGCATCTCGAAGGTACTTAAACAGGGCTATAGCCTCCGTTTTTCCATCTGCAATATCTCATTCATTTTTGTACTTCCCTTCTCTCTTTTAATATTTCAATTACTACCGCCATGCGGAATTTCGTTCTTTTGTCTGCCCTGGCGGCAGGCCTTTCTGATGCCTACACTGTCACTGTGTCAGACTTTATGATGTTCAAAAACATTGACCCGCTTGTGCTTCCTGGCCAGTATACTAGCCATATGCACAGCTTCTTTGGCTCGGATGCAATCACCGTGAACACGACCACTTCAGCTGAGCTGCAAAAGGGCTGTTCCACTACCGAGAACCCAAATGACTTCTCAACCTACTGTAACTCTCCCTGGTACCTTATGATCAAACTCCTAAATACTAACGATAAAATCCAGGGGTTCCTACCTTGTACCTTGTGGAGAATAATGGCAAGACTTACACGCCTATCAAGCCAATGCGTTTCAGTGCCTATTACGAGCAGCCGGAATCTGCAGAGATTGCTATCCCACAAAACTTCAAAGACCTTGCAGGAAATGCCTCAGCAACTTCCCAGGCTGACGTGGAAGACAACGCCGGAATCAGCTGGTTCTGCGAAGGAGATGCCACAGACGAAGAGAAGGACGCGGCCGCTTTCCCCACAAAGACATGCTCCACCCATCTTCAGACCCTTCTTCTTTTCCACGACTGTGTGAACACAGACACCCTTGAGTCAGCTTACTCCGGTAACCCTCGCGTGAACTCTGGGTACGGTAGCAACTGGTGCCCCTCGGACATGAAGCGTATCCCTCAACTGCGGTTCTCCATTCGCTATGATCTGCGCAAGTTGCTTCCTGATGGATGGTCCGGGGCTCCTCCTTTGGCTCTGGCTTGTGGATCATCGTACTGTTCGCATGGTGACTTCATCAATGGCTGGCTGCCAGAAGCTGCGCAGAAGATGGTTGATGATGCCGGTGCTAAGTATGAGTACTTTGCCGTCGATGGACCCCTTGGTGATGCGAGTGCAGGCTCTGTCTGCGGTGCGGAGAACGCTCAAGACAGTGATCCCACGCACGGTACTACCGATTACTTTGAGAGCTTGAAAATGATGGGCAAGATGTCCATGAAGGCTCGCAGACATCATAAGCGTCGTCACTAAGGAGGAAGTAAGCCTTGGAATATCTGAACTTATTCATAGACCACAGAGCAACCCACCTGTATCATATCATGTATAATTGATTTCCAGAGATATTCTGGAAATAGACAGGTCACAATGATCATACATACAAACGGAGAGCTACATTAGAAGAAACACCACGAGCAAGCTTCTTCGAGTACTTAAATGCTTGCATACTATGCATTGATACTGGCACTTTTCGTCATGCCGATCCCCACTGCGGCTGTCGTTCCAGCATCCACAGGGAGAACTACGCCAGTCATCCACCGTGCATGAGGCCCAGCAAGGAAGACGACGGCCCCTGCACAATCCCATCCATTGCCTTCGGTACCAAGCAGACTCCGCTTTCGGCGGGCTTCTCTGGCTTCTTCGCTCATGCCGTTTCCATACATCATGGGTGTATAAAGCATCTATTATGTGGTCAGATGGGAAACTTCTGCTCACGCGGGTTTGGCTTACCCCAGGGCATACACAGTTCACTCGAATTCCATCGGGAGAGTGGTGGGCGGCCATGGCACGCGTCATGTTGACAATGGCACCTTTGGCCGTGGGATATAGGAGGTGAGGCGTTCCGCCCTTGAGTCCAGCAACGCTTCCCATGTTCACGATACTTCCTTTTATTTCATCGTTGTTTTTGGTCATTTCTGGGATGGCATATTTGGCCATTTGAACCATACTGGCAACGTTGGTTTCCATGCTTTTTGCCCACTGTATCATATCCACATTTACCGCGGTGCCAGCGGCACCGCTAATCCCGACATTGTGAATCAGAATATCCAACCGACCGAAGGCTTTAATTGCGTACTGTACTGCTGCTTGACAGTCTTCCTCCGACGTAACGTCTGCGCGGATCGCAAGTGCTCGACCACGATTTGGCCTGGAATTCACAAACTCAACTGTCTTATTCGCCCATTCCAAATTCAGATCAATGCATATTACATCACATCCGTCGTCGGCGAGGAGAATCGAGATCGCACGTCCGTTTCCAATGCCATCACCAAGGCAGCCTGCGCCTGTCACAATTGCAACTTTTCCTACCAAGAACGGGACGGAGGATCGGGTGGAATGCCAGGATCCATGGCTGCAAGATTGGTACTTGGATCCTATGCGGACACGGTCGCATATATATAGTCTCCATTTCTTAAGTCGAAGAAGATCTGATTATCATGCGGGGTACGTACATGTACTGCATGCTCAGACGTTCTGAGTTACCGGTCGGTAGCCGAGCCGAGGTGGGTGGGGTAGTGATGATCGTGCAACACGCCTCAAGACTTGCGACTATCAATACCCCCCCAATTGATATAGAATGGCCGATTTTTCTGAATATGCTGGCCCCAGTGCTGAATGGCTGGCCCTGGAGGCTACGCTGCCCGCGCCGCCCAAAGATCTCTCACTGGCACAGTTGAAGGAATTCCTAAACAAAGGCCGCGAGGACTCTGCCGCGCAAGATATGATCGACCAGGGACTTAGCTCTGTGGTTCAGATGCACGACCACACGGTCACGGCGCGGGATGGCGCAGTGCTTGAAGCGCGTACCTATCGCCCCGCCGGCGTACCCATCTCCGAGCGTCTACCAGTTTACCTTCATCTCCACGGAGGTGGTTTCATGTTTGGGACACTGGCGTCTGAGGACGCGACGTGTTCTCGCATTGTTGCTTCTCGCCTCGAAAATAACATGCCCGTCGTCGTTTTCAATATTAATTATCGACACACCCCCGAGCATCAGTACCCCGTTGCTTGGAATGATGTCGAGGATGCCTTCATCTGGCTACATGAACATATCGCCGAGATTGGGGGTATAAGTGAGCAAGTGGTCGTGGGGGGCATTTCGGCCGGTGCATGGATGACTGCGTCATTGGCACTGGCGCAACTGCGTGGCGAGGATAAGCGGTTGGCGGCCTGTCCAAAGATCGCAGGACAAATTCTCATGATTCCCGTTCTGGTACAGTGGGATCACTATGCGCCTCGTCAGGAGATGCTCAAGAGCCCTGAGCTCTCAAGTTATGTTCAATGTGCGCAGGCGCCTGTCTTGCCGATCGACCGTATGAGAATGTTTAGCAATCTGCTTGGTATTGCAGAGGCCAAGGATGCAGCTGAAGATCTTCGAATGAACCCTGGAAATGCAAGTGCCGAGGATGTCAAGAATTTACCTCCTACCACCTTTGGAGTTGCAGGCAACGACCCTCTGAGAGACGAGGGCCTTTTCTATGGAAAGCATCTTGCCGAGAACGGGTATGTTTTCGCCTCATTATCCAATTCATGCGCGTTTCTAATTCCATTGTCTAGCATCCCTACCAACGTCCATGTCTTCCCCGGCGTGCCTCATGGTTTCCGGCGGTGGGGAGACAAGCTGCCTGGCAGCAAGAGGTGGGATAAGCTGATGAGCGACGGAATTTCATGGGCCCTTTCGAAGCCAACAGCCGGCCCCTTTGAAATCCACTCGGATTAAATTTAGAAGTTGTAGCACTTGAGGCTTGAAACGAGGATAGACCGGGGTATCGAATATATCAGCCCTGCGAGGCTTTGGCATTGCCCTAAAAAGTAGGAGTGGCAACTACCGAACGTCCTCAAGCCCATTCTAAACTTGAAGCAAAACAATAGATAAGAAAAGGGTCCGATTCAATATAAGTCAATATAAGCCAATATAAGCAGCAAGCTCTGGGAGGAAATGTGCTCGAACAATCCGAAAGAATCTCCGATTCACCGCTCGCGGACCCGCAATACCGATTGTCCGATCTGGCGGCCACAATAGTTATTGGCGAAAGACCTTCAATTGTCTGTCTATTCATCTATTTGTATTCATGCAATGTAATTCTAATCCGCCCTTGAAGATCCCGCATTGATATAACAAGGGCGGGCCCCTCTTCGCCTCAACCCACACTTGCGCATCGCACCTCGCTTTGCGCCCAACCCTAAAGTCACCAGAGCCTCGTCGCCAGGGCCTCCGATCCTCCCCCTCGTGAGCTGAAAGTGCCTTTTTGGCCCTCAGAATCAAACAACTGTGACTATGCCTTCTTCAACCTCCACAAATGGAGTCTCTTCCACCCCCGACGCCCTCGAATCCGACCTCCTCGTCAAGCTATCCGCCAGTTGCGCGCTCGAGGACTTACAAGAGAATCTCCTCGGATCACTACATCGCCTGGGATGGACCGAAAAAGTAACCACCCTGGCAGCCGAACTCCTCCGCGCCGGCCGCTGTGAGACCTTTGACGAAGTACTGGCTGCAGTCCTCGCCTCCGCCGAGGGTCGACACCACCCCGCCCTGGGGCCAAAATCCGCCAACGGCGAGTCAACTTCAAACGGATCCAAAGAAACCAACGGTACAAAAAAGGGCAACAAGGATACCCCGTATGATCCCATCAAATACATTGAGGAGGTCAATGTGCGCATTCCAGAACCAGTGGTTGAAGAAGGAGTCCGTGGATTAAAAGACATATTGCGAGAAGTGGCCGATCTGGAGGGCGAAAGCACCCCCAACGGAGAGAAGAAATAATGGCCTTGGGTGCCGAATACCATATGGGAACGTGATCATGCATTTCTGGCTCTGGTTCTTCTTTTTCTTTCTTTTTGTTTTTGCCTCTTTTTTGTATTGGAGGAGTATAGTTTGAATCTGGTTCATTTCCACCCACGAGACTGGGGTTGGCATATGAGGCCGACTGGCGTTTTGCATCGCATAGACGATTAAAATTAAACGGGGCTCTGTGAGTTCCTTTCGAACATCTGTTCCTGCTGATCTTTAACCGATCCCGTATCTCATCGACCGATCTATATTACGAGATGACGCAGAGCATCAATCTGGGCTCGTGGGGCCTTTGAAATTAATCTGCAACCGACATTGATAGACCGGCAGATGATTACTGTGTTGAGACTTAAGTAGTATACATGGTCCATGTTCCAAGACCAGGTCATGGGAGTTTTAGAACCAGCGGCTTGATACAGATCTGCAACACTAGAGAGATAATAAGTTCTTCTAAGGTTAGGTAATGGTCTGTAAGTTTCTGATTTTTGGCAAGGTTTGCCTGTATTTTCATACTTGAATAGTACCTTCGATCCTTATACAGGATATCTACTATAAGATTCGAAAGCTACCAACCCTATTACCTCTACTGACGTCTATTTTAATTGTAGCTAAACATGACCCTTGATATCTACTCCATCAGAATGCACAATTGACAGGTCTAGCGGGGTCTGTCAAGTTCTGTGGAGTGACAAAATTTAAGATTACAGACTCCCGGCCCGGGAAACCTTCGAAGTCCAGGCCCCGTCACGTGTTCCCCAGAGCGCTTTCGCCTAATCCTCATGTTCTTTCAATGTTGTACGCTGTGTTGGATTCAGATCGACGTTGACGATCTTCCTGATAGTCGTCTTTCTGCCACGTTCTGCCGTGACTGTAAAGCATCATCCTCCCCGCTCAGCGCTGTTTATTGAACTCCCGCGTCCCCCCCCCCCCCCTCATCGAAAAGGAGTCTCCACCACTTCGCGCAACAACTTCGATACGTTCTTATATTATAAAATCTTTACGTTGGCTCATGGTTGTCGGGCGACAAACATTTTATTTCTTCTTGCTGCCCGCGTTTGAGAAGGGGAAGCAATCGGCGCATTACCGCCGACCCTCATTTTGTTTGCCTTGACTAGCTCCCTCAACCCGGTGGCGGCGCCTACGCATCTTCCTCATCCATAACTCTCGGTGAATATCACATTGTCGCCGAACCTCTGGACCATGTCCCTTCATACCTCTTACCACGCCGACTCCGACGCGGACGATGAATACGAACGCAGCGTGATCACTTCGCCGCACCTTCAGATCGATTCCGAATCCTCCCCCACAGACTCCGATATCCATTCCTCTGAGCATACCCCCACCAAATTCGGACCGATGGATGCTCCTCGCTCCCCGCGAGCGCTCATAGCAGAATGGGGAGTCGATGAATGCAAGGAATTCCTGACTTCGCTGGGATTATTACAGTATCACGGTACATTTCGAGGTAAGCGCAATTTCCGATGAAAGTCTGTGTGTGTAGCGCTGACGGATCATAATTTGACAGAAAACGGAATTGTCGGCGAGGCGCTCATTGCCTTGAAGCATGAGGAGCTAAAGGAAATGGGAATCAACAGTGTTGGTCATCGATTGACTATCCTCAAAAGCGTATATGAAATCAAAGTGAAGCAGGATGTTCCCTTGGATGCGGATCATTACATTCCTCTATGTATGCCACCAGATCTCTCGTTTCCAGCAGTGTACTGACGTCATAATCGCAGCTGCGGATCAAAGTATGAATGAGACCGCAACTCAAGAGGATCTTGCCCGTTTGATCAAATCAATCCAGTTGCGAGATGAAAAGCTCATGTTGGTGGAAACAGAGCTACGTCGAATCACAGATGATTATCGTCGATTGCGGGAAGAAATCCTACCAGTGATCAAGATAGCAAAAGATCGGTCACATCCGTTACCTCCGCCATCTTCAGGAGGCCCGCCCTCAGATAATTGGCACGATAATACGGCCACACTTACATCACCTTCTCAACTGAATATCAGCAACAACGACACATCTACATCGAAAATCGCCCGGGCTTTCTCAAAGCGCATGCATCCTAGCGGTGCTACCTCCAAAAACAATTCACCAACCCATATTCCACCTATGATCCATGAGGGAAGGTCTCATCATGACAACTTGAATCCCTCGGCCTCGTCATTTTCTGCAGCCTCTCATTTAACGTCTCTGAACGGAGGATCCCAATTATCCCCAGGGATTCCCTCGCCCACATCGCCCCACACACACCACGCGCATCCTCAGACTCTCAACCCAAGATCATATACCCAGCCAGGTCCCGGTGCGAACCGGAATACGGCTTATGATTATGCCGAACAGACCCCGACGATCCATTCTAGAGACCGTCTGACTCCGAGCCAACTCCCATCATCCCGCGCCGAAACCCCATCCACTGCATCACGTCTTGACCCACGCAATGACCCACGAGCTGAATCCAGGGCCGAATCTCGGGCAGGCGGAGGCGGCAGTGAAAATCCAAGTAGCGTGGAAATTTTCAAGTCTTTCCGGGTTTCCTGGGAAGATCCCTGCTACAAGGTCCTGCCGGCGGCGCTCAAAAAATACAACATCAATTCCGACTGGAAGAACTACGCCCTCTATATCGTTTACGGCGACCAAGAGCGGTGCTTGGAATTACAGGAGAAGCCTCTCCTTCTGTTTAAGCAGCTAGAAAAGGAGGGACGAAAACCCATGTTCATGCTGCGCAAGATTCACATGGATAATCCGGCGAGTACCCCGGGCCCTGGCGCCTCTGTCCCCAACAGTGCTGGCTTTGAAGGTGGCCGCCAAGGGCAAATCAATCTGCCAGGTGGCGTGCTGTGATAAAAAAACTTTCCATCCCTCCCTGTTTTAAAACACTCGTGTCTGGCTTGAGATACCCGGTGACTTTGACTGCCTCTTGGCTCATCTTTTCCTTCTGTTGTGTTTTGGCTTTGTGGGTGTGTATTTGTCTCTGGTATTGCCAGTTTTGCCGGTGTTTTGTGTTCATGGGAATTCCGGTATACCATCTCCAGGGGAACGAAGTTTTAAGAATGACTTTGGCGTTTCTGCTTCACTTAACGTGTTTCATGCTCCCCACGCGTCAATCTTCCACGCTGCATCTGCATCTGCATCAGCCTTAGCCTTTTTTTCTTTTTCTTTTCCCAAGACATCATAACTTGCCATTGAGTCATGGCGCAACATGTTAGCATAGTACATACCAATTGAAATTTCATGTCCTCGACCGGACTGCATCGATATCCTTCAGAGACCTCCTGAAAAAAATAAAGACTACTTACTGGGACTGCCTTAGGGAACCACTTATACCACCCTCTGCTTGTTATGGAACCCCTGTCTCGTGGATGTGTGTGATCATATTAAAAAGTAACTTGCAATAGACAGTGACCATGGAAAAATACCCTTCCAACGGAGTACCTAGGTAGGTATAAAACCCAAGACGATCCTTATCGTCACGTGTGATCGTGTCACGGACGCGTTTGATAGCGCATTTTGGTTTCACACATCGCAATCAACAGAGCGGCCTTGACCACTAAGTATCAATGAGCTGGGATCGTGTCATCCAGGACTCTGATGAGGACGAACCCCTCGAGGGGGATGCCCCTCCGATTGTCGCCCCCAACCAACGTTCGGAGCCTGCAGTGCAGGAATCCCACGATCATGTCCCCGCCAAACTCACGACCCACGACGCAAACGAACATGGCTCGGTGCTCGGTGAAAGCATGCTCCCGCAATTAAATGTCAATTTCGATGAATATCTGCAATCACAAGAAAGAAATAATGCAGGGTTGTCATCGTCTCAGCAACGGCGCGAGGAGAGGTGGATTCCCAGCACCGAGGGCGCGAGCGGATCGATGGGTACGTGACGACCAGGGCGCATTAGAAACAAAAGAAACACTCTGAAAATTTGCTTATACTGGTTTTGCAGATGGATCGGGTACCATGATGAGTGAAATTGGACTCGCGCAGCAAAGACTTCTCGACGACAATGCTTCCAGCGCAGGCCAGCAAATCCCGTCTGCCGGGGCTTCATTTTCAACCGAATCAATCCAGTCCGCGCCATTTCCCACGATACCGAGCTCTCACTCCTATCAGATGGGTCCACCAGATGGCGAGCATTTCCCTTACTACCAAGCCCCCCATGACATGTCTATCAACAGAAACCAGGCCTTACTACCCGACCAAACGGGTGTGTATAGTCTGAATCAACCAGGTGCTAATAATGATACTGCTCCAAATCCAAATGGCGCCCTTGACCAACCCACAGCACCCTGGAAGGAATATCAGCATGCAGATTTGAACCCACCCCAGGCAATCTTGCATTCTCGATCGCAGCAACCGTTTCCTCAATCCCCGCATGACACCGAGCCTATATCATCTGTCGCATCAAGGCAAGACATCGGGTTCAAATCTAGCACCGTCGCAACCAACCTCATTTCGCCGCAACAGTCGCAAAGCAGTGCACAGGACGAGCTCGCCTTGCCGGCTGTCCAGCCAATCTCACAACCAATCGCACAGCCACCTGCAGCCATTGAGCCCCCAGTCCCAAAGAAAAAGCGAGGGCGACCCAAGAAGCAAGCTCTGCCAATAAACGACGAGGACGACGAGCTAGCCAACTCTCGAGACCATGAATTCAAAACCCCTGGCGTAAATGGTGCGATTGATCAATCCGATAGTGAATATTCTACGGAGAATGACACCCCCGCCTCGAGTGGCGTCTCCAATCAGTCTGACGAAGAAGAAATAGGAACAGCCAAAACCAGGAAATCGGAATCTCAAGACTCGACGAAGAAGAAACCAAAGAAAGCGAAATCGAAACCGGCACCTGTCCCCGTTCCAGGTTCGGGAGAGGACGATGTCATCTGGATCGATACAAAATCAATCGATGCTGCACCCGTCAACGACAGCACCAATCTAAACCAGGAACAAGAGCCCACAGAACATGAAGCAAGGTCTACAAATCCAATCACAAATCCTGCGCAGCCTTCAAAATCCACTACTGCAGCCGAGCCAACGACTCAACCCGCCGACGAAAAGCCAGCGCCCAAAAAGCGCGGCCGTAAGCGAAAGCAACCCATCGAGGAAGAAGCACCCAAGCTTGCAGACACACCAGCACCCAATAATGTTGGCGCCCAAACCCCCGGCCCAAAGCTTGCCGTTGTCGTTGATAATAGTCCGAAGTCTGCGCCAGTGACCGATGCCCAATTCGAATCGCCGGCCAAAGAGCCGAGCGATGATACCGTCACCGCTCCAACTGAAGCCCCTTCGACTACTAATTCTACAACCGGAATTCCCCAAACGCCCTCAAAACCCGATACTGGATCCATCAATACGCCGAAGAATACAGGCAAGGGCCCGGAAAAGCACAGTCCCATCTCGGCACGAGGTGGAGTGCCCTACCGGGTTGGATTGAGTAAGAGGGCAAGAATTGCACCGCTGCTCAAGATGGTCCGGAAGTAGGATGTTTTCTATATCTGCTTCGACGTGATCATATCGATTCTTTGTCTTCGGTTTGTCCCACGTTATTCGACTTGTCTTGTATGGTTCCATTGTTATTGAGCTTTTCCTTGCTATCCTTATACCCCCTCGAGAATATTCTCGACGCGCTGATTTCATCATTTTTGCTTCTTGTCTTCCAGTGATTAGTATTGGTTTTTACACGCTTGCGCTGGCCTTGGCTCATCTCTATCATGTGCGTGCATTCTTACACTCAAGTCCGTGATATTACCTTGTCACTTGGAATGATCTGGTAGGAGATCTTGTCAATTTACCTGCATATCAGGAATGATAACCTTCCACCAAGCTTCAGAGCGTGAGCTTTACGTTTGTAGGATACACGAGCAAGTAATGCCATTGAAGTAGAGACCCCTCGGGGTTTTCGTGAAATGCTTGCTAATAATTAACAATTTTCCATTCATCTCCTGCCCATGGATCGTCCTCTGTCACATTTGCCGGTGCATTGAAAAGAATGATTGTGCTCGTAAAAAGCCACAGGATAAGTATATAAGGAATGCCAACAGCAGTGAGTCCGACTATCAAACCTCAGAAGATGTCACACAAGAGGCCAACATGCTCTATTACATGAGCATCGCAACAATAAAGGCAAGGAGCAAGGACGTCATAGCTGCCATGACCGCGGACCCAAGCATTCGAATTTCAACATCGGCCTCTGACTTGGAGATTGTGGTATCAATTTTTGGGTCCCAGGCATCGCCATTGCCAGGAACATCGACAGTGCAATAACCGGCGTCCTTGCGGCAGCCTTTGCCACAATGATTACTTGTGTTGCCACAGGCATTTTCGCTACTGCAGCAGAAACCAAAGGTGGATCCAAGACAGGTATAGTTGGAGCCGCAAGATCCGTCCCAGGAGACCGCCTTGTTGGGATCTGCCGATGCTGGCTTCTTGGGTTTTTCCTTCTGAGTGGGCATGCGGGTGTCTTTGCGGTACCAAAGGGGCCGAGGATCGCGAAGGCAGTCTCCGACAGTGATTGCCCGGTACCCCAATCTCTTGATGGATTTGAGCATATACTCTGTGAGGTTGTGGACCGTCTGTTCATGAGCATCATGGGCGATGACAAGCCAAGACTTGGTGAGAGGATCGCCCTGGAGTACTTGGTGATCGAAAATATCCTTGGATCGTTGGATCAAGTCGGGGCTGTCATTCTTGTAGTCGTCCGTATCGATATCATAGAGAATGATGTGATAGCCAAGTTCACCGAGCTGCTTTCCACATTCCGTATCAGGGGTACAGCTGGAGTAAGGTGGTCGCATGTAGCTAGGGAAGTGACCAAGAATATTTCGTATGGCGGCTTCGTTCTTCTCCATCTGCTCACTGCGTTGAGAGGGGGTGACCTTGCTGAGATCCTGGTGCGACCAAGTGTGACTGGCAACCTGGTGACCACTCGAATGCATGCGCTCGATTAGCGAGGCCCAGGGCAAGGTGAGGTCATCAATCGCACCCTTTCCGTTGTTGATTCCTGTGACGAAGAACGTCGCCTTGGCATCGTATTTGTCAAGCAAATCGAGCAAATCCCCTGTGTAACGAGTTGGGCCATCGTCGAAAGTCAGCGCGACAGTTCCGGGGATGGCACACGAGCGGATCTGGGTTGGGCCGAATGGGACTTGACCAAGATGTGGCCGAGGAATCTCTTTGGTAGGGGGGCCATAAGGGGATCGATGAGCGTCACAATGGCCGTAGTCAATCTTGCAGTCCGGGGAGCGGCAGTGTGCCTTGGAAGTCCCACAGAAGCCTGTTTTCCGTCAGTAGTTTGGTCGCCTACATACTTCTGACACATACCTGCACCGGAGCAGCATGTGCCGACTGGGCATTTGCCAATTTTAGGACCGCAACGATAGTCAACATTGTTGGGGACATCGCGGGTGTCCAAGGCAGACTGAACAGCAGAAGATTCAAGCGTAGCAGTATACACTGGAGCTGCACCATGGATTTTGGTCAACGCAGAGGTTGCCAGTGCTATAAGCGAGACAAAGGCAGGACGAAGACGCATCTTGGACGGTACGAAAGGTATACAGAAAGTATGTAATGTTCGATGGGGATGAAGTAATGTGAAGTACTGTAAGGCGATGGAGATGATTTGAAGAGAGAGAGAAGAGAGAAAATCAAAGGCAAAAGGTCACCGGCAGGAGGGAGCTAGTTTCTTAGGAAAGCGCGAGGTGAGGAAGCTGCGAGTGTATTTCACGTCTACCTCCACATAGGGAAAGACCGTGGATCTATGTACGGAGAAGATACCTACATGATGCTTTGTGTTAGAGGAATGTGTAGAAGAATAGAGGCGCTAGTAGATTCAGTATCAACGTGGGTATCGTGAGTTCTTTTTGCCTTCCTGGGCGTTCTGAATTTGACCCAAGGGCAGACTCTTTCCCAGACGACCTTGAGCGCCATGACATAATGGGGTATCCATTAATGTAGGCTGAACATAGCAGGTCGAACCAGTAAGCCTTGAAATGAATAGCAAATTTTTAATCCGAGGGACTTTACCGGCAATTTCGACTGCCGATGTCAGTCAGGATTGGTGATCACTTCAGTTGGTCTGTGTGATGTCCTCCTCTCCAACCGCGGAGAACACAAAAGGTGCGAGACTATCCAGGTGAGGACCGAACTTTGCAGGAGCCGTTCGTGCAATAACACCGATGGCAGCAATCAAGTGTCGACGCTGCACGAGAGAGATGTTGGAGGAGAGGGTTTTGGTCAAAGTGGCCACGAAGTTGTTGAGCTGGCTTTCGGAGAAATGGAGCACAAGAGCCGAGATGGCTGTCAATGCGCGCTTAGTGACCACAGTGCCGGCTGTGTCATTTCGGATTATGGCCATCACTGAGATTTGAAGCCCGTCGAGCTCTCTTTCCTGAAGGAGAGGCCCAAAGCAGGTCACGACCTTGATGAGCACATCAATAGCATCGCTGCTGAAGCCGCGAGACGGATCTTTCTCCATCATGCCTCTCACCAATGAGCCACGTCTCCCTGAGGGGGAAGGCGTCGGGCCAGTCAGACGGGGAATGAGAACAGTTGAGACCGCTGAGTATGCCGTGATCACGTTTTGGGGCGCAGGCTGGCCCGCCTGGGGATGGGGGAGGGTGTCGACGATGACGCGAAGGGCTGTATTTGGTACAGATGTGTCTATTGTCTGGGAAGCAGTCAAGCTAGCCAGCTGCTCGAGAAGAGGAGTGAGGGATTCGGATGGCAGGCGAACAGCGAGCGGGCCAAGGCTATTCAGATACAGTTAGAATCGTCAGAGCGGGACAGAGCTGGGGACGAACCATTTTAGTGCCATGTTCTGCACGTCACCATGTTGATCGTCAAGAGCCTTGAGTAGGCCTTCTGCGAGCCTCGTTGATGTGCCACGGTCATGGGCGAGGAATGCGGAATTTGGATTGTTCAAGATTCCATAGAGGTCGTTCAGCGACATGTATCTCAGGTCGGCATCGGGGTCATCGAGCTTCGACAGCAATGTGACGATAGTTGACTGAGTGATCTGTCGGTCCGCCATGATAGTGAAACTGGATAACAAGTTCGGGGTGTCGAAGAAAGCAAGTGTTGGAGTAGGCCAGCCACAAGTGAAGTGATAGCTTCTGATAGCTGGCGCCGCAACGTGGGGTCGTTTCTGCCTGAGGTGTCAACCCTGATTTTCGCCTGAGGCCAACCTTGGAAACAATCGCTCCAACGTCAAGTATGAAACTCCGCCGCTCTACACACTTCTCCCCTGGAAATATTTGTTCAATTCTTTCTTTGTTTGTTTCTTTTTTTCAAAGTCTACTGAAATGATTTCTCAAGTAACCTTATGGGTTACACATACGCCAAATTCATCAAAGATTCGCGCTGAGAGTGATTTATTCCATTGGACTTATGTGACTGACTAGCATATCTACACTTTCCACCAAGGACTTCGTCATTTCATGGCTAGACAAGCCTAAACATCAAACAAGCAGAATAAGCACTTCTGATTCAATTGAATCTCAACAAAGACAAACGAGGGAGCTCACCTGAAATATGCTCTAAGCAGAACGAGAACCATAGGCCGAAGCGTCAAAGTCCAGCGTGATGCAGGCATCTTTTTTGAACGTATCACTTCCACCATCGGCCCAGAAGTCTGTCCATCGTTGGCCCCCGATACATTTGGCCTCGTCATAAAAAGCAGCTCGCTGGCGATGAGCACCATAGGACAAAACTCGGAAAGATCGAGTGGCAGGGACGTTCGAGTCACGGCAAGTGTTATCCCATACATTGACTTCACGGGCACCACCGGAGCAATCTTTACCGGAGAAAGCGCGGATCTTGAATGAAAGAGCCCCAGAGCTCAGACTCAGGAGTGCAAGTGTCTTTGCGAAGTGCATAGTGGACGACAAGAGGCGGTTTGTTTGAAATGAAGGATGTGTTTAATGTTGAATGCTCCATTCTCCCTGGGGACTGATTGAATCTTTATACCTGAAGGCATGACCATGCCAAGTCTGAGAATTTGAGCGATTAGTTTGAAATGCACGAAGTCCAGCCGCGATTGCTCAGCACTGATCCAAAACATACTTCCAGGGTACGCTAGTCCGTCTACCCGTGTCTATGCAAAATTTTACAGCCAGTATTTGCATCTTTATTGGATACGATGAGTGGACACAACCTGGCCAAATCGGAGTGCAGAGGACCCTCCCGTAGGCTTCCAGTATGCGTATTGAGATGTGGCGCCAGCGATACTACCCTCCTACCATATCTAGAAGGGATTTGGGGCGGTTTCACTTGGCTGTCGGGATATAACAAATCACACTAACATATTATCGGTATCTCGAGGCGCCCCGTATTCAAGTCCTTGTTTAGGCCTGCCATAGGCTAGGCATACGAAACCGACCAAACCAAGCTACAAATGCAGATTTGAGTGCACCATGCTTGGGATATTCACTTCTAGAACTCCACCTTTGTTACTTAAGGAATTGTTTCTACCGCGAGAGCTACTTCCAGGCTTGTATCACTCAGACTCAAGCCCTGAACTGATTGCAGATGATTTGCAATATCTCATATTTTTGAGCACAATGAATAATGTCTTCTTGCTGCATGCCCTGTTTCATTTCCTATTTCTGGGGCCAAGATTAAGGCCGTCCATAAGTAACATCCGGGGAGACCTACGCCCAGCAGTACCCTGCATGATACATGAACGGCCCCCACACTTTTTCGGTATACTCAGTGAGTCTATACGCCATGACGACTCCGCACCGGAAAGACCGGGTCTACTCATACGCAGCTTAGTCGGGACTGCTACTGGTTGATTTCCAAGGTTGATTCCAAGCCAAGACCCAATGAAAGGCAGTAAAGAAGAGGATAGAAGCGATGGATTTTGATTTTGCTTGGCCTATTACCCATCGGGAAATATGGTGCGCGTGCTCACCTTATTTCCCCAGGGGTAGGCTCCAACGCTGAGTGATCGGCATGATGTCGATCAGCAAAATACGAGTGCTGCTGATCATGCAAGTAAGCAAGGTCCCTTGAAAATCGTTTCTTGGCGGGCGTTTACTATACGCACCTGCAGACTCAACTTCACGAGTACGGAAAATGCCAAACTTTACGACATCAGGTTACATTCTTGTCGAGTGTTGCCCTAACTAGCTGAGAGACTCATCCAGTCCACTTTGGAGGACTTGGCGGGTCTCCCATTACCAGATATAAAAGTCGGCTCCCAACTACTCCTTACTCTTAATCCTGACAACAGAAGCATTCATCTCCTCATCACATTGCAAAGAAAGAACCAAACCATCCTTGAAACTCTCGACGTTTGTGAAATCATGCATTTCGGAAAGACCCTCACCCTAGCCTGCCTCAGCACCGGAGCCATGTCGTTCAAAGTCCGCGCATTCACGGGAGCCGACTGCTCTGGGGATGCGAAGGAAGTCAACATTTATGACAACACCTGCAGAGGCTCTGGCCTGCCAAAGACACTCTCCTTCCGAGTCCTCTCTTATGGAGCCCATCGCCAGCGTGCTGGCTTTTACTCTGACGGTTCTTGCAATGCACTCGGCAGAGAATGGGTTGATTATTGGGCGGACGGTGGAAGCAACGTATTCAAGAAGGGAGATTGCGTCAATCTCGGCTTTGGCGCGTACTCAATGGGTTCCCGGTCAGCATAGGGGGAAAATTTGGGTGAGTGTTATCTTCCACCTGAATTGGCATATAGGAATTTCTAGCAGATGCTAACCGAGCTCTGTAGGAATGATTTTACCATGCCTCTTTCACACTTGAGCTGTATTGGGAAATGTGATCCGGAAACATCGCGTTCGAATGTTGGCAGTGAGTTCGAGGTAGATTATTTCACGAATGCCTTCCAATTTAGTATGATCTATAGATGCTTTAAATCTTGAATATCTCAAAACTGGAAACCGTGAAGAGAATTTTCTCTTTTTCTAGATTCCGAAAGAACGTCAAGATTGAATTTAGGATACCAGTCACCAAAAACCAGATATTCAGAATAGTTAGCAGCCATTGCAACGTTGGAAGGCTCTATCAAGGGCTGAACAGCTGGGATGGATACTTTCACACCTTGCGCTGTTGCGCAGAAAGTCATGTAGATCTTATTTTGTTCAATCTTATCAAGATCTGATAACAGAGGCATCCCTCTAAGGGTTAAACGGAGAAATGCCCAATGTGAAAACTGAGCCATGAAAGTCAAAGATAACCCAATGATCGAAAAATCATTCAACTACGCATATTTTCCGTAGTACATTTAAGCTAGGGAGATTATATCTTGCATGTTCGGAGTATAGATCAAGGCCCAGTGGTGGAGCCCATTGCATCATATAGTGCACAGACCCGCGGAATGAGCTAGGAAGCGGTCTTACGACCAGCCTTCCGGCAACTTGCGAATTCCCCGACATCTCTCTCACCTATCACACTCTCCATATTCTCTATCCCCTCCTCTTCATTCGCAATACACACAATGGTCTTTGCACGCCGTTCCATCTTCCGCGCTGCGACTGCAGCTCAATCCATTCGCGCAGCCCCGGTGGCTCGTCGATCCGCCCAGCTACTTGGTCGTCGGTTCAATTCCACCGGTAGCCACGAGACGGTCCAAGCCTCCAGTGACCTTCCTTGGTGAGACTTCTATTCTAATTGGCATTGGTGTCCGTCTTCTCACTATATGTCTTTCTATAGGGCGCTCGGGTCTGCTGTCCTTACCGGTTCCTTGCTCTTCTCTCTGTGGCCTTCAGGCTCCGACGGTCACCATGACGCCCACGGACATGGCCACGGACATGAGCAGGAGGCCGAGCATGAAGAAAAGGCCGAGGAGGCTGTAGAGGCAGAGAGTGAACCTGCCGAGAACAAGGACCAAGAATCTTCCGAAGAAGCCCCCAAGGAAGCCCCCAAGGAGGAGGGACAGAAGGACGAAAAGGAGGGCGAAGCCAAGGAGGAGCCTAAGGAACAGTCCAAGGAAGAGAAGGACGACTCCAAGGAGCCTAAGAAGGATACCCCTGCGGATGAATCCAAGGAGGAGCCCAAGAACGACGACTCCAAGCAGGAAGAGTCCAAGGAAGATGCCAAGAGCGACAAGGGCGACGAGTCAAAGGAGTAAAGTCACCTCACTACTTGAACTGCGCGCTTGGAGTCAACCTACTCCCGAATCTACCTGCTCTAGAGCTGAACATCTAGCGAAGAACTATGGATTGACGACCACAATGCTTATGTATTTATACTTCTAGAAGCGGGACGTGAAATACATAATTTTTACATATCCATACTTATCTCTTGCTTTTACACTGTGCCTCATCTCATGAGCCGTGAAGCTCGGTGCGTTTTGGGCCTATGTCCATCATTCCGAAAGCTAACCGTGGACCGAGGCTGGGATCTTAGCTTGGAATCCTATGGAAGCCATCTCAAAGGAATATTCCAGGCTCTGCCAGAGCTTGATACATCTTTCTAACATTGGAAGGGAATAGTAAATAATAATTCAAAACCACTTGATTCATACGCTCGTTCAAAAACAAGCGCCGGCGCCCGCTCTTCTAAAGGGGCATATTCTAGCTGGCGCAGCCAATGCACCACACCCAGACCCAGCTCACAATTACATTAACAGCGTATCGACATATCCAAACCACCGTTTGGAGAACTCCTCCGAAGTATAAGCTATAACATGATTAAACCTTCTTTTTAACAACTCAATGAAAAGGGGAGAAAAAGAAATATCGAATCAAGCCTTTCGGCTGCGCGTGCGAGGTCCGCGCTGCTCGGCGATTGGTTCGCCGTTGACCAGGACCTGTGGAGCATGGTTCTCCTTGCCCTGGTCGGCGCCTGTGGCAATAGCCTTGGTCTCAACATTGGTCTCAACAGTGTTCTCCTCTTCCTCTTCTTCCTCGTCATCGCTGCGCTCATCCTTCGTCACATTGGTAAAGATATAGTTGGTCAAAATGCGCAGGATCAGGAAGAGCCAAAACAGGTTGACGGCCTGTAGACTGGCAAGCAGGGAGAACGTGATGTATTGACTGATCCAGCACTTGTACTGTTGAGTCTCCCAGTTGAGTTCGAAGGGTCCAACGGTACGGAATTCAGTGAGGACAGCCCAGAGGATCTTCAAATTGAGGTAGTGACGCAGATAAATCCACCAACCAACGAACATGGTGAAGTACGGCGCAGTGATGTACGCATCCAGATAGTTGAGCGTCTTGGAGGTCGCCAAAAAGAAATCGGAGATATCGTGAGTGATGTACACTGCCAGACCCATGTGCGTGAAGTGGAAGCGATAACTCAGCCCTATAAGGGCCAAGGTGATGATGTGATGTCCAACAAGCTCCTTGAAGTCCTTGCGCGGCTTCTCCAGCTGCAGCATGAGAACAATAGCTTGCTGTGCCCAGTAACTAGCCTCAAGGAGATAGTAGGCTTTGAAAACCGCCTCGTGCTCGCGGTGAGGGAATCCCTCGAACATAGCCGTCGTGTTGAAGTACCAGATGGTCGAGCGCTTCATCACATACAGTCCAAACGGTCCAAACACCCCAAAGTACACTGCGGTGTACATCTGTTCCATGAATCGTGCCGTCTTGCCCTTGCCCCGAATACCGCACCAGACCGCGAATGGGCGGATCATCTGCTGCATGATGAACTCGCGCGTAAACGACAGCACAACTGTGTAGAACGCCACGAACGCGATATCCTTTTTACCCTTGCCGTACATAATCGGACCACCGGGAGTCTTGGGACCTTGCGGGTACGACAGGAAGATGGCGCTGTGCATGGGGTTCGAGGGTGTAGGATTGATGACGTACAGCCCGACCAGGAACAGCATCACGAGTAGCGGCAGCAACCAGGTGTATCGCAGGCAGGTATCAGCGAAGCGGTGGAGGAGTGAGCGGGCGCGACGCCGTTTTGTCGTCTTTGGTTTCGGTACACCATTGAACTGGGTGTTGTCAGTTGGGATGCGCGCGACCACTCGGCAGTGCATTGCGTACCTGTGGTTCAATCGGGCTCACTTCGTTCATGGTGGACATCGCCGGCGCACTAGTATCGCCTCGGATGTCCACGCCCAAGGCTGAGCTTCCCCGAGGTCGCACCATACTGAGTGTTGTCCTCGCTCACGGTGTTCTCGTATTCGGGATGGGATGGAATGAGCTCACGTGTGCTCCGAGGGAAAGAAAAAAAAAAACAAGAGGAAAAGAAACTGGAAACCACCAAGATGAAATGGGGAAAAAGAAAGAAACACCGCTAATCCGGAACGATCGGATGAGAGAAGATGAAGACGATCTTTTTTTTTTGGCCCAGGGGTTGCGAGTTCGTCTCTCCCCACTCTAAAGCTGTCGGAAAGTCTTGGCGCCCTTTGTGCCAACCTCGGCGTATGCAGCTTCCTTGCCAGTTTGTGCAATAGTGCGGACTTGAAGGTTGGGATTAGAAAGGAGCTGGAATTGCAATTGGAATGAGACTGCAATACGGTCAATCCTTTTCTGTAGACACGCCAAGAGCCTGGGTTTTGCAAACTCCACCTCGGCAGCCCCGATTGCAATTGTGGGAATTGGACCTCAAAAGGCACAGAGTGGGAACAGGGCAGGATACGAGTACGAATCGATCACACCAATTTTGAATGTCCGTCCTCGGTTTATGTGGCATATTTCCAATGACATCATTCACGATGTAACCCCTGTGTCCAAAAATTGATCAGAGGGATGGGGATACTTGCATGTTCGGGGGCTATTTAATGTCCTGAACACCTGCATTGATCTTTATGAATGTCCTTTCTGCGTACTCTGTATCGCATGGAGTAATTGGTCTGCAGTTGAAACGTGCTTGATTATTTGTGCAATTAAGACAACACAGTAGATTAGAATCTACTGATGTCGATGATTCTGTTCCAAAATATTTTGTATACGTCCTGAAGTCATTCATGTATTAACGTTTTCGAGATCAACTCGCTCTTTCCGCACTCCATTAAACTTCCTCGGTGTGGGCAGCAGTGCGCTTCTCAGCACCAGCCAACTTCTCACCCAGCGCACCAATATCGCCAGCCTCGGCAGCGACGGTGCGCTTGGTATCGTGGGAGGTCTTCCAGGCAGGGGTACCGATGTAAGGAATACCGTTGGGATCCTCGAAGATCTGCTCGGTCTCTTCAAGGGTCTTGCCGGCGGTTTCAGGGAAGAGGAAGAAAACGTGGAGGAGCATGACAGCCAGGAAAACACCGAAGATGATGTAGGTCTGCCAACGAATAGTGGCAAAAGCAGTAGGCACGAATAGACCGAGAGCAGTGTTGAAAGCCCAGTTGGCGGAGGTGGCGAGAGCAACGGCCTTACCACGCACACGGAGAGGGTACAGCTCGGGAGGGTACACCCAAGAAACAGGTCCCCAGGTCGGGGCATATGAGGCGACGAACAGGTAGGTGCAGGCAATGAGACCCTTGGCAGGGGCACCGCTCAGGCGCATAGACTCCTCGGCTACACCCTTGATACCACCGGGAACTACCTCGCCGTACTTGGCCATGATACCAGCGTTGGCGAACATCCAGGTCATCATCAGGGTTGCACCGATAAGCAGAGTCGGTCGACGACCCCAGCGGTCAACCCAGATAAGAGCAGGGACAGTCATTACCACGTTGATAATGTACTGAATAGATGAAGCGAGCAGAGTAGCGTCGCCTTCATAGCCAGCCATACCGAAGACGTAAGTGATGTAGTACATCATGACGTTCATACCGGTCAGTTGGGACCAAATCTGAGTCCAGATACCAGTCATGGTACGGTGAATCATCTTGGGGTGGAACAACTCCAAGTATGACACATCCTTGTTGGCACGCTCAAACTCGCACATGTCGCGAATCTCTTGCATCTCGGCGACAACGAATGGGCTGTTGGAATCACCCTTACCGTGAACCAGAGCCAGAACAGACTGGCACTCCTCCCAGCGGTCGTGACGGGCCAACCAACGGGGAGACTCGGGCAGGAACATCATTCCAACGAAGAGAAGAACGGCAGGAACCATCTGCACACCCCAGGGAATACGGAAAACAGACTCGCTATAGTTGTGAGAGGTCGAGTCGTTGCCGTGGCCAATATAGGAGCAACCGAAGGAGATACTGTAAATTGAAATGTCAGTCGCTGTTACCGTGTCGAGCCCAAAGAGGTAAAGTACATACTAGTACATGATCAGAATACCCCAGGTAATAGCCCACTGCTGGGAGCCGACAAGACGACCACGCTTGGAAGGCGGCGCAATCTCGGAGATATAAACGGGGACCTGGGCAGACTCGATACCGACACTGAGACCGTTGATGATACGTCCGGCAATGAGCATGCCCATGTTCTGGGAAGCGCAAACAATAATCGAACCGATGACCCTAAAAAGACGCTGTTAGTTATACTTGATTGTTGAATATTCTTGAAGTCGCGCAATAACTTACCAAATAATACAACCAACCATGATAGCGTACTTGCGACCAAGACGATCAGAGATAAAACCAGAAATCAGAGCACCCAGCCATGAACCACCGGGCATAGCAGCAGTGACACCACCCTGAGCCAGGGAGCTGAGACCACTACAGTGGTCTTCATCGGTAAAAGGAGGACCATGAGGACCGTGATTAAAGTAACACTTATATGCTGGTGTGCTGATAATGGCTGACATAGACGAGATATCGAATCCAAACAGCGCACCGCCAACGACGGACACAGCCGTGATGACATAGATGTTCCCCACGACAACCATGGTGAATGATATGGTTCCAAACCAGTAAAAAAAAATGGAGGGGAAAGGAGACACAGAGAGCCCAGGTCAAGGGGAAACCAACGGTGTTTAAATAAATCTCAATAGGAAAATTTCTGGCTACTTGTCGGGGGGGCCGAATGGTAATGCACACACAGAACCCGTACGAAGTAGATTAGGCTTGTCACTTTGTCAACCCACTCCCATGCCGTGTCTGGGATCTCCGAGAAGTCAAATTACTGTATCATATGTACACTCGAGTACGGAGTACACGATAATCAAACCACCTAGGGCTGCGCCAAGACCCTGTTTGCAACCCCAGCTGTGATAAGATCCCATGATTGGTGGATATTCACTTAAGCATATCCACCCGTTGTCTGTTGATTGGTGGACACCCCAGGATGGCTTATGGGATCCGGGGAATCAACCACGAGGGTGACAGTCCTAGGCCGAAGGGGGTCAAGCGGCGTATTACACCTGAGCTCGGCTTCTGGCCGGGTTCGGGAGAAAGAAAAGTCGGTCATCTCCCCTGTAATCGGGACGGCAGTGGCGTTTCTGGGCATTTGAGAGTTTCCTCATGTTCAGATTCGAGCCTCAAAAAGTCAGGCGTAGGGATAGAGATCGAAATCTGGAGAAAAATGTGGTCCCCCGTTTATCAAGGGGTCCATGTGAGGACTGGTCTTTTTTCTCCCGGCCCCCAGATTAACCCACATTTCGTTTTCTGGAGAGACTAATCATGTCAAAGGTACGCTCGGTTCCAGCATTCCCGAACCCTGCTGCAAAACAGGTATTTTCACTGTACTCCGTCTTCCGTATTGTAGCCGACTGCTACTCCGGAACACCTGCCTATGCAATTTACCCGGGGTGCCCACATCGCGTGAAATGAAACGAATGAGACTGCCGCTTCCAAAATGACAACCCGACCAATTTGCTAGTCCGGGGCCCCGACGACGGCCATTTTCCCTGAACGGGACGGTATACGGCTTCTCGCGACTCCAGTGGCTGGCAGGACCCGAAGTGGACTCGGGTCGCACGATTCGGCCCTTGCCAGACGGTGTGTTCTCTGTGGGTCGGAGCTGGCCGATGAGATTTTTCCTCTTGCTCTTTTCCCCCCTCTCTTTTTCGCCTTTTTTTGATCTGCCTATAGGTCCGCTACGCGTTACGCTGGAAACTTAAATTGGGCGTGTTTCAGACTTGAAGTCCCGTTTTGCCCTAAATGTACATAGTGTATTGCGGATGTCGCTTTGAGAAAGTGTTAAACAGCTCGGATATCAACATTTTTCATGGTTGATGTGACATTCCCCGCGTCCGTGGGAAAGATGCGGAGGGCCTGGGGAAGACCAACCCCTTTGCGCTCACCGAGATACATACCCCGGAAAGTTGGTTTCTAGATTGCTGTACGGTCTTTCTCCGAAACAACCCCATATGTACTCTGTTGCGATGATCTCTTTCGTTTTCATTTTTTTTTAGCTTCATGCCTTGCTTTGACCACGCCCAAGCCACTGACATGGGTGGCCGTTGCCTTTCCCCCTTGCCGTTGCACGGACCACTTGAACATGCGAGTACCGAGTAAGCATTTGTTAATTCCGGCAATTTGCCGGGGTGGATGCGGCAAAATTGACATTACTTAAGGCTACTGAGGCATTTACAACTAGTAGGTCTGCCTGAGATCTCGCTGTATCTTGGCGCTTCGCTCCGAGGCCACTGAGCACATGCTGGCGCGGCAAAATAGTCACGGCTTCCCTACACAATTTAAAATATCTCCTGATGCGCGGGTGTACTCTCGGGATTACCAAGCTCGGAGGCATCTTCTGATTGAAATATCGGCATAAGCAAATAGCACACACCATCGATTAGTGCAAAGAAACCGTATATTCCTGGCTTCGTATATTTAGTAAGGACCATAGACTCAGACTTCGATAATGCTGAGAGAGTCACGCATACTTGAGTAGTAGACTTCTTATGATGATCCTTCATGTCCAGCTCACAACCTTCGAAGTGTGTCAAATCCACAATTCCTCGAGTTTGAGAAGAATCTATCGGAATGGTCAGTAAGCTCGCCGTGAGAGTTACACAAGATACTCACATTCTCAATATAACGGACCCCGATTGTGGTACCATCCTTGTTTTTCAGACCAACATCATCCGTTTGAAAGACATTGTCATCACCTTTGTCCAGACAACATAGATAAGCAATGATCACACTGGTGTATCGATCCCCAACTAAGCGAGGTAGGCGCTCTTTTGCTATTGCAACCAGTCTTTTTTTGATCGCGAATCCCCTCCGACGATCATCATTATAGTCAACCAAAGAGACACCCTTTTCCGAGTACCGATTTCTTTGAGATTATGTCAAAGGACTGATTGGTTTTCCCGATGCTTCTTTCACTCAGCGAGGAGTTGGCTCTTCTGCACAAAGCTTTATCCACCGGTTACTAGCACCATGGCCAGAGGACCGTCCAAGTGCTTCCTTTGATTTGATAGAGGATAGGATTATTGGTAAAACTACCAGATATCGAACTCTTTTGCAAGAGAGGGATGCTCCTCCTATTCACGACCTACCCGGAAGTTCTACCGAGCTCGATCCCCCAATGCTTCCAACAACTGGTCCAGCCCAGTCAAAGAAGCAGGCTCTATGGACTGGATGGTACGATTCCAAAATCAAATAAACAAGCGAGAGCTTCGTTAATAGAATCAAAATTTCTGGCCTACGAGCTTTGGCATATGTTGAAGTCTACAAGAAGCAAGACTGTTGGTGCAGAGCGCCTGCTGTGTCTTCTCAATCAGAACGCAGATCCCAACGCAGTACGTGATGGATATGGTGCACTCAGGGCTTCATCTGGCTGCAGAGCATGGAAGTATTGACTGTGTCAAATCATTACTTGAATACCATGCAGATGTGTATAAAACAACAGAGCCTCGGCTCGAGAACGCATTACACCTGGCTACCTGGCAACATGACCTGAAATTGTTTCTGAAGAAACTAAGCCTATCACAAGAATATGTGCTCAGGGGTACATCTCGACGCTCAGAATGTTGACGGTGAAACTGCACTACACTTTTTGACCAGAAGACTTCGATCAACGAAGGCCATCGAGGCCATGCTTCTTGCAGGCGCATCCACCGAGAAAAGGAGATGCAATGGATATACCCCGTTAATTTATGCACTTCATTCAGGGGAAGAGGACAATGCAACGGTCTTGTTAAACGCAGGTGCCGATGCTAATGTTCAAGATGAGCAGGGCCGCAATCTCTTGCACTTTGCAATCGCCTCAAGAAACATAAGTGTAGAGTTCATTGGACAGTTGCTCAACGCAAATTCCGATAGGAAACATACGGATCAAGATGGGCACACTCCCCTGTTCGAAGCTGTCAAATTGAAGATAGATGATGTCATTCATCTTCTCCTTGACCGTGGTGAAGAACGATACCTGGCGAAGGTACAATTATGACGGTGGATCAAATTAGGAATGTCTTCATTTCTTTAATAATGCTACAGTCGGGGACCTTTTGCGTCTGTTAAATACGCATCATGCCTATAGCTCCATGCTCCATTGCTCCCTTCTCTTGTTTTGACACAATCTTGGAAGAATGCTGATAGTTTATCTTTCAGATTGACTGCACGAGGTGTACTTTATGGAAGGAGACCTAATAAGTTGGGACTCATTGGAAAGCAAATGACAGACAAACGTATGGGGTTGGAAGCTCAAAGGAATAGACACCGGCACCAGCTTGGTGTTCCAGGTTCAGATCCAGAAACCGTTTGATGATACATGTGGCGACGATAGAGATGATGAATGGTCAACAATCTTAAATTTCACGACCTTTTTGTCAAAAGATTTCCAAAGCAGAAGCTCATTTCAAGGTTCTATCTTTATCTCTGTAGGGCTTGGGTGCCCGCTTACTCTTCTTTTTTTTTCTCGGTCGTCTTCCAAGGCCAGCCTGTGAGAACCTCACTTTCCAGCTTTATGCCATCACCTTACATCCATAAATGGCTATGATGCTAAACATAAATCATTGTTTAATATCACCAAAATATCTTGAGCTTCGCAAGCTACTCAATAAAATCCATTGAATTTCAGTCACTGTAGCACTAAAAACTATCCAGTCCTCCACGGGGACCTCTGGAACATTCAAATTCAAACTCCATCCCGTAGGCTTATGCGACCATACCTAGGCAACATCAATCACTTAAGATCGTCGTTCTTCAGAGGACACCAGCGCATCCAATCGTTCGTTGCTCACAGGACACCAGCGCATCCACGAGGATTCATGCACCCCATATCCACTGAGAGGTGGGGCAAACTTAGCCAGATCCAAAGCAAAGCGCATTGTATCGTGGAATTTCAACTTGAAGAAGAAATCATGAGCAGTAGGTTCCGCGCGAACGTACAGGGGAACTCGGTACGTCATTGCCTGCTTGATGCAATGTTTCACGAAGTGCGATCCGATTCCCTGAAGTCGGTGTCCCGGCTTGACCCACAGGTATTCGATCTCTAAAAGAATTCAAAACCGTTAGCAGCACTCAATTTACAAGGCTAACGTGGATTATCTCACCAATGAATCGGGTTCCCTGCATCATTTCATCGAGGAGGTTCATGTGGTATCGGGCAGTGTGGTTGATGAGTCGCGAAGTGGAATCGGTTCCCGGGACCTCGCTCCAAGCGGAGGTGCGGTGGAAGGGAGCATGGGAGTAGTTCTTCTTGGCAGTTGGCTTGTTGCCTGCCTTGAGCTCTGAATCTTGACCAGAGCTCTTTGAATCTCCTTTCACGGTCGGAACGGGCTCCTTGGCTGAAACCGTATCAGATTGGACCCGAGCCTCACTGCCGGGTTTGAGATTTCCTTCCTCATTGGCCCGACTGGACAGCTTGTTGAGTCGGTAGCGCAGAGTAAAGTCGGGTGGTTCATACTCATGGGCTCCGTAAGCAATATAATCACCCACAGTGCCTCTCCAGTTGGCGCGTGCTCTGAGTATGTTTTCCACCTCGGTAGGAGAGAGTGGAAGCTCGTCTTTCTCGTTGGGAGACTTGCTTTGTGGTTCCAGGATTTTCGCCTTTTCTTCGGCGTTGAGATATCGTTTGGCGATGCAGAAGGCGACGACTTCTCCGGTTTGGTCGCTTTTCACGATGGTGCATGTAGATGAGGGGTCGTTGAGGGCAGCCCTTACAGCACGCTCACATTGAGGCCGCTGTAGTTTTTCATCCGGCTGATCTCGGAAGAGGATGTGGCTAATAGGCTGGGAGATACGGGCTGCGTAGGCCAGTTCAACGACAGCGGGAATGTGGGCTTCTTGGAGAGGCCAAACATGGTAGGACCGAATCACCATCCGAGGTTGAGTAGCCATTTTGATGAATGCTTGGCGTTGGGGTTTGTAATTGAAAAGGATCAGACTTTTTGGAAGATCAAGTAGTAAGCTGTGCTTCAGTCCCAAGATTGTTAGAACGCGGATGCGTGAAGATCAAAATGACGGAAAACTCTGTATGGAATGAAGCAAGAGGAGGTCACAACTTACAACTTCCTGGCAATATTGCTCAGGTCACAGAGACTGATGATCAGAAGAGTTGATTTGTGTGCACAGGGTATGCGCGTTTGGGAAGGTGATAAAAGAGTGAGAAGAATGAGACAAAGTAAAATTAGAAAGATGTATGCATCGTGGGATTGGGGTTGCATGTGACGGCCATGGAAAAGAAGTAAAAAGACGTATACATCGTGGGATTAGGGTTACAACCACGAAAAAGGTGAAGATATGTATACATCGTGGGATTAGGGTTGCAGGTGACGACCACGACAAAGAAGTGATCAATTAAACATGAGCTTCCGAGGTTCTGCCCATTTCACGTAGTTAAGCAAGCATCAGGTCAGCAGAATGAACGAGAGAGTGGCTCGTGGCCCCAATCTCGAGATGAGATATTCGATGAGATGTAAGATATTTCGATTAGACCCTTGCAGACAAGGGCATGGAAACGAACGCCATACTCACACCAAACGCTCATATAAAAAACTCTGACCAGTCGGTCTACCGAACCAATTCCCATTCCGCGACATAAGCCCACGCCATTCCAACGCGTCCAACCTTCTCCTGGAACTCTTGCGCCGTAACTCCACTGGCATCTTTTCGATCACCGAAGCTAGTCAGAACCGCCAGCTGCAGCTTCTGACCAGGGGCACCAAGCATGCGTGCATCGGGGACATCGACATACCAGAACTCGCCGCCACCAGAAGGGCCCGAGCCTGGCACATGTGTGAAAGGAAGCCTGTCATCCTTGCGGCCATCCACGCCATGAATCATGAGCAAGAATAGACCCGCGTGTTGGGTGTGGCTGTGATGCGCGAGTGTCCAGTGCGGACAAAGGAGACCAAATTGGAAACGCATGGCTCCAGGTGTGCTGACGGAAATGTGGAGACCTTGGGGGTGGAATGTTTTCCGGCCAATGGTGCGCGTGTCCGCGTCGCTGTAGACTTTGAGGCTTTCTACGCCGTTGGGTCGGTCTGGGTCTGTAAGGACGTATTCTTCCCAGGTAAGGTCTGGGCGCCCGTCCTCGCGGTAGAAGTGGCGCCGGTTTTCGGGGAAGTGCTTGAGACCGAACTCTTCGTTCGGGATCGAGAACATGGCTGGCTCAAAGCGTTGCTTATAGGGTTGTCCTGCACCCTCGATTGCTCCAGCTCCCCAACAGGAATCGATCAACTTCCAACGACCACCGTCAATTTTGACTGCATTCCAAGCGTGGTTGCCTGCGTATGGAGGAACGGAGGCTCCAGGCCCTAGGGCAACATGCCCGAATCCTTTACCGTGGCCGCCGACTACCACAGCTTCTAACCCGGCGTGGGTCGCCAAAGCTGCAAATAGACCGGCATATCCTTCGCAAACTGCCAAACCGGTTGCCAGGGTGCTGGCCGGCGTAGAAGGCTTGACACAATTATTGAAGAAGGCATGAGTATCGTACATGACATTATGGTGCAGCCAGGTAAAGAGAGCACGTGCCTTGTCCGTCAAAGATGTGAATGGTGCCGTTAATTCGTTCGCCAACCACGCCATATCTTGCGTGGGAAGAGATGCACGAGGGTAGCGAGCAGCATGATTATCGGGGCCTGAGAAATCTCGACATACTAGACACTCTTCATTTGCAGAGGCTGCAGGGACAGCCGAAGCAGTGGAACCATCGAAGCGTGGTTTTGTGGCCAGTATTTTAGATAGATCTGGGCGAGTGCCGAGCGGGATTGGCGGCGGTGTTCCACTGGGAGCAGTACTGCTAGGCCGTGATGGAAGGCTTGGGCTTTTATTCCCGAACCCAAATTGTCGAGCATCCTTTATACTGGAAGCAGATGGTGGTGGCGGCAGTGTTCTCCGGATAGGTAGACTGGGTGCTGGATCGTCGTTCGCTTGATGCGTGTCTGCCTGCACGCCAGATGGTCGGCGTGCGGGTAGTTTAGGGCCTGGGGCTTCATTTTCAGTCTCCCGGCGAGGAGGCTGGCTAGGAGGCTGACTAGGTCGTGGTGAGGGCGAAGGCGAAGGCACAGGTGGTGGTTTGGAGCCCGGCAAGTTAAATTTAGAGGTAAATCTAGAAGACAGGCCTCCCAAGCTCCTTTTGCTACTGAGGGTGGGTCGCGGAGGCGGTTCGACGGCGGCCTCCTTCGGTCGTCGGGGAGGCAGTGAGGGCAATTCTGTTTCGCCCCATGCGGGCGCCTTGATGCGACTGTTGCTGGCAGAGTTCACTGAGGTCGTCGCTCCACCTCGCCCCGCAGTGGCTGTGGTCGACGTTGTCGAATGCGAAGCATCGGAGGTAGATGAATCGAGAGAAGGCCTGCGCTTCTGGTCTGTCGGTCTTCGTGGTGGTAAGCTAGGGCGAGCTGGTGTCGGAGGAGGCAGACGGTCTGCTTTGCGCGTGGGTACCGGTGGAGGGGGCTTCTTCTTTGGCTTCACGTCGGGCCTGAGGGTTTCCATTGCAGGTGCCTGCAGGACAGGCCTTTGGGTCCTTTCATCTGCAGGCTCATTTCCGATATGTGAACGGTCCGTCACAGAACCGATTGAGTCGTAGGAGGGAGGATTGTTGGCTGATGCGCTTCGTTCGGGTGTTGGGCGGAGGAATGGCGGTTCAGGTCCTCCCGCTGGACGGGCCAACTGCGACTGGTTGAGAGCGGCGATCCGCTGCTGGATTGAATTTAACTGCGGTTCTTCGGCCATCCTGCGCAGCGTGGAACGTCGAAAAGATGTGGCCAGATACAATCAGACTGGCGATATTTAATTTCAAGTAGTACCTCCCTCAGTGGCTTGGCGGGGGCGAAACGTAGCCCCCCGTCACTAGACGAACGGCCCTAAATATAGGTCGTTTCTCCAGGCCATAATTCGAGCCATGTCAGCCAGCTTTACACCCGTGGACACTAAGTCAACAGCAATGGAAGTTACCTGATGACTGGACTTTGAAACAGTCCTTGACCGCAATAGTCGCCACGGAGAGACGGCCTTTTCTTGGTGTGTATACCGCAGATCCAGAACTTTAGTCTATAGCCCTACACCAATATAACAACTCAGCAGAATTGAGGGTAGAGTTGTATTTCCAGCATATCGCCCTCCAGGGTTCAGACTCCCTAACGCCTCAAGGCGGCCTGGAACATGGACAAAAAAGAGAAGACTAGGTACGTTCAGATGTAAATGAAGGGGGAAAGTGCACCAAAGAAAATGACAAGGAGAAAGGGAGATAGAGAGACAAGAATCAAGCCTTGAGGTCTCGGATAGCGTACAGCATGTTCGGAGGAGCTCAAGGCCGACAAAAAGACATAAGAAAGGTCAAGTACATCATCGGAGAAAGGAAAGAGAAATTCACAAAGTGGTAAAGCCGTGAGGTAAGAGGGCCAGCGTCGATCATCAACAGCGTCACTTCGTCCCAATGTACATAATCGTGGGGGTAAGCGGGCAGTTGTTAAACGTTTTTGTATAGGAGCAGAGGCTCTCCCACGTTCTCGATCTCGGGAATGGTGCACTTCAGGTCGAAGGCTTTGGCCAGAACAATCTTGAAGATCTGCGGTGCATTAGCCAATGTGATCTATCTTCCATTGAATGATTCAATGCTTTGGGGGGTTGCTTCATACCTTTTGCACGTTGATACTGTGGCTAGTGCTACTAAAGATGAGACTGGCCTTCATCGCCTTGGCAAATCGCTTGGCCTGGATGGAGATTTCTTCTTGATCTTCTCGGGGGAAATTGACAAAATGATCATACTTGGTGCCAACCAGGAATGGAATGGCGGTCTTATTGAAGCCACGACCTTGACGGTACCACTCCTTAATTGAGTTCAAAGTACTCTTGCGAGTGAGATCGAACATGAAAAGGATTGCGACGGCGTCATTGCAGACAAGGGGCAACATATTAACAAACTCGCGCTGACCACCAAGATCCCAAATGGAAAATGTGATCTCGGTGTTGCGAATAGAGATGGTTTTCTCCATAAAGTTGACACCTGCAGGCGCCGTTAGTCGGGAATAACGTGGTTTTTTGCATGGTATCAATATAACTCACCCAGAGTTTGAATGTAATCTTCATCCCAGCTGCCCTCGACGTATTTTACCATCAGACTGGTCTTTCCAATCTGTGCATCTCCCACCATGCCAACTTTGATTACAACACTATTCTTGTTTGCCTGCGCCGCTTGTCGCTGACCGAGGTCTTGTTGTTGCAGCTGCTGCTGTTGTTGAGAGGCACCAGGACGTTCGGGGCCACTGGAGAGTCCAGATCCGGGTCTGGAGTTGGGAACAGGTAAAGGGTGGTGGCTAAGGGATGGAGATGAGTTTTGGCGGGACTGGTCTGTATCTTGGGCGGCATATTCGGGGGCAGATTGATGGAAGTCGGTCGATCGGGAATGATAATGCGCCTTTGAGTCGCTGTTATAGCCATTATTGAAGGCAGCACGGCTGTTTGCGTGGTCAGAAGCCGGTTCTTCGATATTGACCATGACAGGCGCCGAATTTTCGACAGGGTGCTCGGTTGGGATCTCCTGTTCCTGCTGCGACTCCGGCTGCGGCTCCTGTGCCTGCGGCGTCTGGTCTCCTTGGACGACCTCTTCGGCTTCTGTGACAGCAGGCCCAACAGGCACTTCGGCATCAGGCACGGGCAGAGACTCTGAGGGCGGTGGAGCGAATTCCATTTTGTCTTCACGATCTGTATGGACTTAGATAGTGCAGGCTGTCAGACACCCTGATGGTCAGCACATAACCGAGGAATGAGACCAGGGGCTGAGACCCACCAATAACCAGTGCTGATATTCCAGCCCAATCTAACGAGATTGCATATGATGCAGTATGATTCAGGGATTAGGAAAATTGAGGTCGAGGAGCTGTGTCTCGGGAGTTAAGCGGAGAGGGTTGGTCCCTGAGTAAACACAGGGAGAGAAACAAGAATTGGACGCGACAAGGGAGTGAGTTGGCAACCCAACAGACCGAATGCAGGTACCGGACTAGAAATGAATGTCAACTAGATTTGGAAAATAGTAAGTCAGGCCCAGACACATCAGGAACCTCAGGTACATTCAGCTCAAGGCGGGCAACTGGGATCTGACACTAGTCCGCGATAGGTTTAGCGCCGCTCCCACGCTTTTGCCAAAATTTACGGGAAAAAAGTTCTTATCGCACACCCCTCTATACCTTCTACTTCCCCCATATAAATTTCCCTCGGAACGTCGTCAGGATGTCCAAGAGAAGTGCCGAAACTTTGGAGCAGTCTGCCCTCAAGGCAGGCGAGCGTCCAATCTCCGAGGTCCCCATGGATGAAGCGGGGGAGTTTGAGGACGAGTTCGAGGATGAATTCGAGAGTGAAGATGAGATTCTCGAGGCTGGTGTCGACGGTCGCCCAGATGCTGAACGTGAAGAAGAGGAGAAGGGTGCGCACTCCCCGCGATGCTTACTGGGTCTGTTGGGACAACGTCGCTGACTTTCTCTTTTCATTTTACTAGAAGCTATGGAGGTGGACAAGGAAACCTTCATTCCAGGACGCACAAAACTGGCCCCGGGAGAGACACTATCGCCCGATCCTTCCACCTACGATATGCTGCACACCCTGAGCACGCCCTGGCCCTGTCTTTCCTTCGACATTGTGCGCGACTCGCTCGGTGACAACCGCAAGACCTACCCTGGCACCGTCTACGCTGTCACTGGCACCCAAGCCGAGGGATCCAAGGCCAAGGAAAATGAACTTATGGTCATCAAGATGAGCGGTCTTAGCAAAATGGAGAAGGAGGCCGAGTCAGACAGTGACTCGGACGACGACGACATGGGCGAGCCCATTCTCGAGCACAAGTCGATCCCGCTTGGCTCAACGACAAACCGCATTCGCACCCACCAAACCCCTTCCCAGTCCGGAGACTACTCCAAGCCCCCGCAGACCCTTACTGCGACTTGGCTCGAGAACGCACAGGTTGTCATTCACGACGTCACCGCCCACCTTTCTAGCTTCGATGTCCCCGGCACCATCCTTCCTCCCTCCGCGTCCAAGCCTCTTTCAACCCTGCGCATGCATAAGACTGAGGGTTATGCCCTGGATTGGTCTCCTCTCCAGCCTCTCGGGAAGCTGTTGACTGGTGACAACGACGGTCTTATCTATGCTACTACTCGTACCGAGGGCGGCGGCTGGGTCACCGACACCCGACCCTTCATTGGCCACTCTTCCTCGATTGAGGAATTGCAGTGGTCTCCCAACGAGCGCAATGTGTTTGCGTCCGCAAGCAGTGACGGAAGTGTCAAGGTGTGGGATGTCCGATCCAAGTCGCGCAAGCCCGCCGTGGACGTTCAAGTCTCTAACACTGATGTCAACGTCATGAGCTGGTCCAACCAGACTGCTCACCTTCTGGCCACAGGTGCTGATGACGGACAGTGGGCCGTCTGGGATCTTCGTCACTGGAAGCCCAATGCCGCTGCGCCCTCTGCTCAGATCACCTCTTCTCCCGTTGCATCCTTCGACTTCCACAAGGAACCTATCACCAGTATTGAGTGGCACCCCACGGATGACAGTGTGGTGGCAGTTGGCTCTGCCGATAACACTGTGACTCTTTGGGATTTGGCTGTCGAGTTGGATGACGAAGAGAGCCGTGCCGCCAGCATGGCGGACATTCCCTCTCAACTGCTGTTCGTGCACTACATGGAGTCCGTCAAGGAGCTCCACTGGCAAGCGCAGATGCCCGGTACGCTCATGGCGACCGGTAGCAACGGATTCAGGTATGTGGTGCCCCAACGGAGAACTATGAAATCAGCTAACACCTCTTACCTCGTAGTGTTTTCAAGACCATCAGTGTCTAGACGCAGATATGTATCTACGCTCCGACCGACTCGGAAATTGCATGTGCCATGTCTTGCTCATATACCATTCGAATTCTGTGAATATTTTTGCTCCTCAAAATCATTATGCTCGGAGTTGGGCCCTTGCTTTGTGGCTCGGGTGGTGAATCAAAACTATGTCTTTAGGTCTGGAATAGTATATAGACATCATCTCACAGTTTCTTCTTCCACTCAGCATTTCCAATTCAAGTGATGACTCCGGCCCCCGGGGCCGTCTGAAGCAATGGACAAGACGGTGCGATCCTACTGACGGTGTCTACCATCAATCTATAACGTCAACAGCGGAATTAGCTCCACAATTCCGCCAATCCCAGCCGAGGCCAGTTCGATCAACAGGGAGGGGGAGGGGCAATGCAATGCAGAACATACTCCGTACTCTTCACTGTGTCGAGCAACGGCCCGCAATGCGCCTGGTACCTCAACGACACCATATAAATTTCATCCTTACGACTCCTACTTCCACAGCGGTACTTCACTCCGCTCACACACGCAAGACGTCAACGGTAACGTAAAGCCGCCGTAAAGCCGCCATAAAGCGAAGTACATGGCGTTAGCTGGGCTATCCTGCATGCAAAGGTCACTTCGGCCGCAGGATGGACCGTGCCAGATCGCCAATGCGCCATTAATTACATTGCGACCTAGACCTACATGTAATGTCTAAGAGTCGGGTGCGACGAATGGCTGGGCCAGTCGGTTCAATGATCCTGCATTGTTGGGTGGCGGCCGTTGGAGGGAGTATACGACGTTTCAAATTGGATTTTACGCGCGATCAATAGACGATATTGTGAAGAGGGCAAAATTGTAGGAAGTGTGGTGTGTGGTTGATAGAAACGATCGACCTTGGCGACGTCTATGTATGGACTTTGGCTGTGCATAGTGGCGATGTCGAAGACTTTGGTGATTTGATGCTTGTGTCAGTGCGAGGCGATCCAACGCTGCGCCCAGTGCTCCATACGGAAGAGTATGGAGTACGGACTACTTGTATAGTTATTGATTTGGATTGTGTTGCAGGATTATGACATGTATGACGTGCATCGATTTAGATGGAGACTGTTTGAGTGCATTTTTCTCTGTTTCCTTTCTTTCGTAGTCAGACGACTGTTGTGCTTGTGTTGCTCGGGAGACAATTCTGTACAGTGCCGAGGGTCCCTCTGGTAAAGCCAAAGAAGCTGACTGCATAGCACCACGCAAGGTACAACTCGGACGCTAGAAAACCAATCGATCGCTTGATCTACGCCGGCGAAGTCTGCTCCTATCCAATCCGCAAAAGAGGTTGAATACACCCCGTCATCGCGCCTGAAATATTACCACTAATGCACGCCCTAACCAGCCGGTCAATCACATCAGATCTAACCCGCGCACGTTTGATGCGAGAGAAACAGGCTAAAATAGCTCCATTTTTGCGACATCGGCCTTTCTCCGGTGAATTAACTCCGATATCTGCTTCAACAGTTTCCGGGACTACTGTGTCGTAGTGAGCCTTTATCGGATATATCCTCGTGCTGTCGGTGATTCAATATCGTCTAGTGCCACGGCATCCGAGCAAATGAGATTGCAATGACCCCAATCCCAAGTTTGGAGACCCATCTTCTTGCGATAGAGTGCAATGTTACATCGATCAGTTGATGACTAGGCGGACTCCAATGTATTAAACACTAAATATAACATCTTCAACTTTCTTAGCGCTGGGTAAACTCTTTACTCTTTACGAGTTGACTCAGGTTATTTCCACGGAGTTTTATTAAGAAGAGTAGCACTGTCCTCAGATAGGCCCAAACACATCTAGCTGCAAATGGCAGCTCTCATACGAGTCCTTCATATTCCGTACATTGTGGGCTGTCTGGTCGCACCTTATAGAGTACAGCATTACAGCGTACTTCCAAGGTTAGTAGTCTCTTAGCTCTGATCGTCCACGCAGGGACTCGACCAGTCAAACCACGAGCTAAAACGCCTACATGGCCCTTGAAATCCGTTACAAATGCACAAGTCGCTATCTCGAATGATCAAAAAGATTGGGGAATGGTATCAGCGCAGCTATCGCTAGCCCCATAGCTATCCGCCCAGGCACGGCCGAGAATATCAACTCTGCGAATCAACAAAGAATAATATTCACCGGTTGAAATTTCCATCGAAGCTTGCGGCAGCGCTCCACTCAGCTCGGCATCTTCTTTCAGTTTGCCTTTTCGTTTCAAATTAATATGTGGTTGGCCTGGCCACCTCGTACTCTGTACGACATTTGGGTGGTTTGCAGCCTTGTCGGGACATGCCGATGCTTGGAATTGCCAAAATGTTTCGTTGCTATTTCCATATCCCTTCGCTGATCACGATCATCCCGGCCCTGTCACTTTGAGGCATTTGCCACTCGATTTGATATGATACTACTCGTACTGCGTATGTATGCAATATATTCTGGCTCGAGCGGCTGGCCTTTTTTTATCTGATCACCGGTTAAACGCTAGATACGCGTATGAGAATTACACTGACTGCAATTACACGTACAGCGTACAGGTATTCGTAAATTGTTGAGGTCATTCTGGCGCTGGCGACTTAAATTGTATCAACGATGTCATGTAATGTGGACCTGCAATGACGCACAGGGCGCGATAGAGCCTCAGGAGATTCGGTCTTCCCTGAACTTTAGAAGCAAATCAGCCTGCGAGTGGCATGCTGTCGAGTTGTTTTTCGGGTTTCGCGTGATAGCGTTTCAATTCCATACTTCGAAATCAACCTGCTCCGTACCATGCATAATAAAGGATATGGAACAAAATTGCCAGGTCATCTACAGAAGACAGTACGGAGTACTTATCAGGATGCAGCTAATTTATCCAATGACAGTACCCACAGAGTGGGTAGCTTCAGAAAAGATACACAAATGAGCGGTTAGCATATCCGGTATGGAATTCGAGACGAAATTAGACATCAGAAGCTCAGACGGCTTGAAGTCCGATCAGTTGCAGGTCCGCCCCATTCCGTGTTTTTGCCATTGTGCACAAACACTAACCATGATAGTAAAACAAGACTAGAATGGTTTTTCGGAGATATGCACCACATATGAAGGCAGGTTGAGAGTCGTTTCGTAACTTATTCCTGAGACCGGATGATTTACAGACTGAGCAAAAAAACCCTTATACAATGTACGGAATGTTGCACACATGGTACACGGGACAGCGATCATCCGCGAAGCGCAGTTACGCAATAATATTTTTCGACTCGCGTTGACTAGCGCCGAGATAAGGAGGTGTCGGATGGTGCATGGATTTTAGTGGCATTTGCCCCTGATTTGGGCGCCCCGAGCTCAGGGCAAATTGATCAATTCTTCATGGACCTGCCTCACAGGCAATGTCGCTTCTTGGGCTTCAGAGCCTGCATTCTAGAAGCATTCGCGAAGGGCGCACTGCGCAACGACTGCGTTCGGGTTCGAAGGTGAATTGCCACTGTTGTACGGAGTACGGTGCGTCCTAAGTTCCAGCCGAGACATGTCTTCGCCAGAGGATGCCTTCAATACTGGGCACGACCCGGACAGATCAGACACATTGCCTCGGGAATTGACACAGCAGGGAGAATATTGTGGCTGATAATTCTTTTCATCTCTGCATGCATATATTGAAACCAGGCCGGAAGGCCATGTCGATGCTTTCTCAGACCCCCAGAACCTTTATGGAGTACGGAATACGGAGTAGTTGCAGCTTATTTCCCCAGCCTGGGGAATTCCCGGGTGCCAGTTGACCCGCCCCCATACTGTGATACAGCTCAGAGACAGCTCACTCGGAGGGTGGCTTACGGCGTTGCGGTTTCATTTGTCGCTCTACCACCCTTGACTCATCTCGGGTCACCTGCAGCTTTCTTAGACTCGCTCTAGTGTCCTAGTTCGACTAGCGTGTTGTCAAGTCCGGGGATTCTGCAAACGAGATGTCCGTGCGAATAATTGGGATGAGCAGAGCCTACTCTGTCCACGGCACACCCTTTGAACTTGCAAACCCGCAATTGCTGCCCATGAGCAATTTCCGTCCGTGTGACCTCTGCTACAGTCTCGGAATCACGCCGTGAGGCCACCAGCCAAAGGCCAAGGACGATTGACACGAACAAGAGAAATTCCCAGGGAGTGGAAAGCCAATGACCCCAGATCCGGCCCCAATCCCACCATGGGCTGGTCCAATGGAAGCTGGGATGTTCATCCTCGCCTCGTTCCGTGCGACCCAAACTCAAAACGGCGTGGCGCAACGTGCAAGTCCCATCTTCTGGAAACGCTTGGATTCCGGGGAAAGGAGAAACTCAAGAACCAAAACAAAAAGAAAAAGCAATGTTCCATCTTGCCACTCTGGAACGTGTTGTAGGAACCGGAGGATATCCCTTGCTGGCTGCAGAATAACGGATTCTGATTTGTGACTGGGCACGAGCAGGCAAATCCCCCACACGAACCCTGTTTTGTCTGGTTATCCCCCACAAAAATGGCGCATGGCTCTGGATCCGCCAGACTCATCCATTAGCTCCGATTTAGGTCTAGGACAAATAATAAGACGTTGTCGGTTGTCTGGTAGGATAAATTTAAGTCGTTTGTTTCAATTTCTGTCAGGGAGACCAGAAATCCTAGAAATCCTTCTCGAATCACAGCGGATATCCGGAGTACAGTTAGTAGCTCCAGCGCTGAAACCCAAGTTGTCACGAGGGCGCTGATACCAAGGATACCACCTTACCGTACCGTATTGATGGCTTCGGGGCTTGTTAACCCCGGTAACTCTCGGGCCCACTCCGACTCAGGGCAGTATACATTGTACCGTTGTACCGTTGTACTCCGTACGCTTAAGATTAGAATGCGATCTGGGATTGTCGCTGTCGACCTGAAGGTCAGATGTTACAAACGTAGTAATATATCCTTATTGTTATGAATCCCGAATTTCCGAGACCAGAAGTGCCCTTCAAAAGATACGATCAGGCAATCGCTGCATCTACCTGAAGCAGATAAGACGTAAGAGATTACTACGAGTAAGTTACCTAGGTACTAGCAGAGTAACGGAGCGCCTTCAGGCAACAGAAAGTCAGGAACTGGTGGGCGTGGCCGTGCGTGCGCATAGGATTTGGCCTACGCCGGATTTAGTATCACCCTGGGTAATCGTCAGGGTCTCATTGGCTTATCCAGCGTCGCCCGTGTGTCGGGCCCCACTGGACCGGACGCTGTATCGGTACCGTCTGCTGCGTGGACATCTGGGCCTGACATCGCCCTGGTGCGTGCGAGTGGATGTACCCCCGGTGTACCTTTGCTCTCGGACCCCCTTATCGTGGGTACTTCCCCAATACTTGTTGTCCGCTACCCGCCACTACTGCCACGACTACCCGCTATGTAAGTAAGAGGTACCTCGTCGCTCGCCCTCTCTCTTGACTCCAACTTCGGAGGCAATTTAGAACTTCTTTCTTCTTTCTCTGTCTCATTCTCACCACTTCGCTTTCATCCTTATCGCCTATCTGCACTTGCTCCCGTCGGTTACCTCCGGCTGATCCACTTCCGACCCAGTGAGATCAATTCCCTCAATGGATGCGCGAGTCTTGAAGACAACGTCCCCATAGCTTCGACTGAGCTTCCTATACGGAGAAGTTTTGATGTGAGTCGACCTCGCATATCCGCTACCGAGAATTCGGGGGACTCCTCACAGACCAGTTGGCTGATGTTGCCGGAAGACTGTCAACACTAGCCTCCCGCGATACCGGCCGCAGGTCCTCATATCCTGTCAATCGAATCCAGTTCCCCCCCTTCAGATTCCTTCGATAGACCGACTGTAAATTTTCTTTGTCATTGGTTGGTTCCCATTCCTCCGTCTCACGGCAAGGTTCACAGATAGTCTGTTTCGGTACCCTGGGTCGCCGAGATGGCGCCTTATACGCATCATACGAGAGACATGCTGACTTGATGTCATCGCAGTCCTTGCGAACTCTGAATTGTATAAATTCGAAAGCCAGATATTGGGCAAACGCGACCACTCAATCGACTCATTGACACTCTTCAGCGACTTCCCCGCCCTCAACGAATTTCCCCCGAGACCAGTAGTCAACACTCTGGTCCGTGAGGCTTCGAAACAATAGCATGCTACTGGATGGTATGGTCGGACAAGATCGAGACTACAGCTCTAAAGTGGCGGATCTAGCCAGTATCAACGAAATCCCGGGAAACATGCCTGGTGAGTGTAGCTGATCAAATATCCCTCGGTGCAATTCTTACCCATTTATCTTCAGCCCCCAAAGACTCGAAGAAACAGGACCTGAATGGCCAGACGGGCGCCAATGGCAATATCCCACCCCCCAAGACAGATAAGCCTCGGCCCCACGTTTGCACCACTTGCACCCGTTCCTTCGCGCGATTGGAGCACCTCAAGCGCCACGAGCGATCGCACACCAAAGAAAAGCCCTTTGAATGTCCAGATTGTGCACGATGCTTTGCTCGCCGTGATCTGCTTCTGCGACACCAGCAGAAGCTACACATGACCACGACGCCATCTTCTCGGCCGAGAAACGGTCGCCGTGAGAGCACGGGTGCTGCACCCGGTGTCAACCGCGTTCGTAAGAACTCCATTGCCAATAATTCATCGGCATCAGTGCGCCCAAGGGCGAATACCATCAGTCATATCGACGGGGCCGCGCTAGGTATTCCGGGTGCTGGTAACCCGTCCTCGGCCCCTCAATCGGGACACTCATATCACCCTAGCCTTAGTTCCTCAATCGGCTCAAGCATGGATTATAGGGGATTCAGCTCCGGACATCCTCCAGTAAACGGTCTCTCGAAGCTCGAAACTTCCGGCCTTCCCATGGACATGTCTGGGTCACTCAGGACTGCTCCAGTGTACGGGAGTTTCGATACGGGTATAGATGGTATGCTCATGGGTCACGGAAGCACCATAAACCCAGCACAATTACATTTCGCAGGCTCCCCGCAAGGCTTCGGCGACTCCCCTTCGTCTCCATTCGGTCACTATCACCAAAGTGGATTACCCACGTCCGTGGATCCCATGATGGACGAAGAGATGAATTTCGATTGGATGAATGGGTTTGATGCAGCGGTGGCGATGGGTAATGGCAATGACTCGGTCATTGACGAGTCTTCGCCATCAGCGATGAGTACGGGTAGCCAGAGCGGTATCAGCGAGGCCATGCTCGATGGCCCGAATCGCATCCCCATATCTAATGGCTGGCACAACCCGTTCCCTACCCACCACGCAGCAAACCAGTTCGCGATCGATTTCTCCCCAACGACTTTGAATGATCTGGGGATACCCCCAGAGACTGTCTCGCCCAAGTCTTTAATGGCCCAGAACCCGTTTACAGAGACTTATGCCACCCCACCATCTATGACCTCGGTCGGCCAACCCATCATGGGAGGGCATTCCCAGAGTATGTTTTCATCCTCTCTGGCAACAAACGGAGAATCTCCTAATCCTCTCAACGTTTCTTTCACGAATAGTGCCCTACGAAATCAACATTCCCCAGTCTCAACGGATACATTTACAGAATCCACACGACAGGCTCTATTAGCGAGCATGTCGACCCCCACTGGCTTCAATCATCGCAAGTATTCCCAGCCCGCAAGTGGACTTTCAAACAGCCGCGATCTGTTCGCCCGTTCGACTGGCTTCAACAGCTCCGGTCAACTGCCCAGCACTTCGGACTTGCAGCGATACATCTCGGCCTATATCACCTATTTTCACCCTCACGTCCCATTTCTTCATATCCCGACCCTCAATTTCCAAGCCCCCGAATACACGAATAACTTGCGCACCCCCAGCGGACACCTCAATCTCAGTTCTACCGGTGTTGCCGGCGGTGGAGGCTGCCTGATTCTCTCCATGGCCGCCATCGGAGCCCTGTACGAATATGACACTGCAGCATCCAAGGACCTCTTCGAAGCCGCGAAAAAGATGATTCAATTATACCTCGAAGAGCGACGAAAAGCCGACATGTCTGCTGCTCTCAACCGTTCCCAATCCCCCCGCGATAACTCCGTCCACAACACTCCGCTCTGGCTCGTGCAGGCGATGCTTTTGAATGTGATTTATGGCCATACCTGCGGCGACAAAACATCCGCAGATATTGCTAGCACTCACTGCGCGGCTTTGGTCAGCCTAGCCCGAGCAGCCGAATTAACTCAGCATCTGGATCCCAAGAATTTGCCCCAGGATCATCTCAGCACCGGGCTCACCACAAACAACCTTTCTGGCGACAGTGACAACTGGATGTCCTCGTCAGTTAGTCAGCCCAAAGAACGCCGGGACTGGTTGAACTGGAAGGTTGTGGAAGAGCGGAAACGCACCCTCTATGCCATATTCGATCTATCCAGCTTTCTTGTCTCAGCCTACAATCACGCTCCTGCACTCACTAACTCCGAAATTCGTCTCGATCTGCCCTGCGAAGAAGATCTCTGGGCGGCCGAGTCGCCTCAGGCTTGGAAGAATATGGGCGGCCAAACTGCCTCGGACAAAACGTTATCTTTTTCAGCTGCCTTGACGTCTCTTTTGACCGCCAGCCAGCGAGAACAAAACCAATCGTCGAACCTGTTCTATAGCTCAGATGATTTGTCTAACTCGGAAAACCGACCGAGTACTTTCGGCTGCCTGGTGCTCATCTACTCGCTTCACAATTATATATGGGAGACACGCCAGAGACATATGGGTCGCCAATGGACTGCGCAAGAAACCGATGCCATGCAAGCACATATCGAGCCTGCTCTCCGGGCCTGGCAAGCAGCCTGGGCTAGCAATCCAGTTCACAGCCTCGAGCGACCAAACCCATTTGGTGCCGGTCCATTGTCCGCAGACAGCATTCCTCTGCTTGATCTAGCCTATGTCCGTCTATTTGTCAACCTCGGGCGCTGCAAAGAAGCATTTTGGCAACGAGACTGGAACGGCATGGCAGATGAGCTTGCACGCGGCACCGAGATATTTCAACAGCAAGACGCCACAACAGACGACGTTGTGGATCCTTCTCTGACAGGCTCTCTCGATTCCAGACGTGATTCGATCGCTGATCTGGGAGTCTCTGATCTCGCTATCTCTAGAACGCCGACGCAAGATGAGCCCATGCAGACTCTGTCTGAGATGTACAAAACCGGCCAGACTAAACGGGAGAAGCACCTGCGCAAAGCAGCTTTCTATGCCGCTGATTCTATATCCATGTCTGATCGTCTAGGCAATACCTTCGCTGAATTCTCATCACGAGAATTGCCAATTCAATGTGCGATGTGCGCTTTCGATTGTGCGCAGGTTCTAGCAGAATGGATCACGACCGTTCAAGAGCGTGTCGGTCCCTACCTTGGCGTTTTAGGCCGCGATGATGCAGATCTGACTGGTGTTCCTGGGGTCATGCTACTTGAAGACGAGGACTGCAAACTGGTGGACAAGATCAAGGAAATTTTGAGCAGTATTGAAAGCAAGATGCAACGCCAAGTGCAACATAGCAATTCCATGTCTGCACTCAGTGTCATGCAACGGCTACCCAGTGTTGTGGAAGGTGGATACGGATGTAAAATATTGATTGCGACAGCCAGTCTCCTGGATCGAGCTGCTGTCTGGCCCGGTAAGCCTGCCACTGCTGATACATTTCTCGAAACGATCACTAACCCACTCCAGTCACGAAACTGATGGCCCGCTCGCTCGAAGCCCAAGCCATGCGAATGAAGGAGCGTACCGAGCACTCCCTTCTTATGACCACTTAATGACCACCCATTCTTACCCTGTTCCAACGTCTTCATATTCATATTACTTCGTCTTCATTTTGAAATTCTTCCATGTATCATGAATAAACCAAGGCAATTTTCCCATCGAAGCATGTGTACCTTTCAATTCTCGCGCATTCACTGCGCGCTTTGATACCCTGGTCTTCGATATAGACGAATTGCCTCTCATCCTATGCCTCGGTTAGCGTTCTGTCTCGTTTCATTTGGGCTCTGTTGAAATGATCATCTTGCTGTGTGATGATTGAAGCTTGTGGCTCCTTTCCACTTTGTTCTCATGGATTGCATTTTCTTCCACCCGTGCAGTGTTTGATTACGCAGTGTTTTACTTCGTGTGAATATGATTTATCATTTCCTTATCATTGTTGTAGAGCTTTCAATGAATGTTGATATTTGATACCTCGTGGTTCTTGGGCTGGTTGAATTGGCTAGTTGTTCTAAAATCTGGTTTTTGTTAACCTTGTCGATTTCTATACTGCTGCTGTAAACCTATCAATGTAATTCTTAGAGCTAGTTTAATGCATGTCAGGCAATTGATCATGCTTCCAAGGTTTGCCTGTGGACTGTGTTGGTTTGACATGCTATCTATGGATGTCTGGCTTTGTCTCAACAATAGTTACATCCCAACCAGATTTTGGATAGACCTCTTACCAATTCTCAATTTGTCATGCTGGTCTACCATTGGCGAATATGCCAACGGCCTATATCCCCAGATGTGGGCTTTCACTCGGGCGAGACCTCAAGAGTGGTGAATGACCTTCTCCCTCCAGGTTCTGGCTGGACCAAGTTGCCTGGTACTTAAGTACCTAGGATCCTAGGTACTTTTCACTCTATAAAATCATGTTTCGTTCGAAATTCGGCTTCACCGTTCTATCATATCACTAGGCGCACTGCTCTTTAAAGGACGCGACTATTACCTAGACTAGGTCTCATCAAGCCCTGGCTTGACCGAGATTTTGGAAAAAGCTGACCAGAGCACAAGCAACCTTGGAATTGTCTTTATACCGCCTCATCCAAATTGCAGAATACAACCGCCTTGGTGATATAAGAACATGGTTCTCCCATCCAGGCCTCTCTCTCTTTCTTCTTCTTCCCCAGCTCTGTGTTGTCTGGACTGTTCTTTTCGAGTGTTATGGTATTTTTTGAACCGCAGCTTCATGGCTGCACTGTGTCACTGGGCTTACACTACACCCAGAGGACGCGAATATGTTTTCACCACTTGCCCTGGCTTGGCCAAGCGCTTGGAGAAGATATGATTCTTGAGTAGGTAGTCCGTATGTGTGGGACCCGCCTGACGTGTAAATCTGAATAGTACTACTACTAGCCCTGGAGCCCTGGAGTATAGACATGATGACATAATATTTCCCCACCGTTGCTGCATCAACAAACTCCACACGCGTTAAGTGGTTTTCGCGTTAGCTAGTCCTGACATGTCTGCCTTGACCTGTCCACATATGCAATATCTGAGGCTTTAGAAATGAAGGTTATTCCCGACCGACTGATCGAAGCCGCCTCACCGCAGTCTCCAGCTGCTGTGGCTACACTGAACTGATTACCCCAAGCTCCCACCCCAAGCCCGATGCCCTACCCGCGCCCGATCTCCCCGCTCTCCCTCGAAACATGCGCTTCTCCGCCACATGGTAATGACTCTGATGAATTGCTTGGCTCGGACGATGAGTTGGATGAGGATTCCAGGGCCGTGAAGCGGCAGCGCATCGAAAAACTGGCCGAGTCGTATCTGCAAGGAAGGCCATTGTTCATTCTCTCCGCTTCATTGAAAGGACCACTGGACGAAGAATGGGAAAACCCATGGAAGAAGACCAGAAAGCATGGGGGTGATCCTTCGGCCTCGCCCGACTGCCAAACCAAAGGACCGGAGCGCATTGTCACAGAAACAGATTTGCGCCCACCGAAGTTTAGGAAAAGCTTGTCGGCTGGTAGCCGTGGGCCAGAGATACCTGCATCGTCTTTGAACTACGTCGAAAGGGCCTCTGTCCACCCTGAAAACCGGTCTTCATCATCCAGATCACCACGGAGGGATTCAATACAATCGAGCTCGAGACCAGGGCGTGGTTCATCGAATGTGATCACACGCTCGCCTGTGAAATCGACCGGCCCGCTATCTTCCCCGGCGAAAGCTCAATCAGTCGTACCGCCTCGGACGGCCAATTGGCTGAAGAAGGACCGACGATTGATGAATTTCACCAAATTTGATCCACCCAGCTCGCCGACATTATCCATCACATCGCGACAGTCGGACAAGTCTTACCGGCCTTCAACTCGCAGTGTTCAGGTACAAGTTCCGCAAACACCTGCATCTCCATCAAAATTACGCCCTACCAAGATAGTACCGCCAAAAACCGTCCAAAGTAGCTCGCAAGGTCACCGCTCGCCTGGGTCCACACACTCTGTCGCCTCTACCTCACACCAAATACATCAAGTGGCACAGCAATCGCCGCTCAGGCGAGCTCAAGCTACAGCAGATCCTCCTTCTCTCCGGATCGTCAATTCTTCTTCTCAGCTACCGAGGTTTGAATACCGTCGGTGCCATACTGAGAAGTCGAGGTCGCCCTTGGAGGATGAGAGTATTCTCCAAGAGGAAACTATTCTTCATGACGAAATTCCCCGAGAAAAAACTGCGACTGTTTCGCCGCCTGTCAGTAGTGCGAAGAGAAATATCGTGGAGCCTATACCCAGCGGCTCGGATAAGCCCCCCGCGAATCCTCCATCCAGCCAATCTATCAATGTCCTACCACTTGGTGCCGATGCCCCTGAGTCCCCCCAACATGAATCTGCTCCTAAACAGGCATTTATCAAGGAAGCCGAAAGCCACAAGACACTATCCAAAGATCTTAGGTTCGCGGATGAGACAGACGTCGCTAATGAAGACGAAGAAGCGACGTTTCAAGGCACAGCGCCTTCTACAGAGCTTGATCAAAATGCAACTGAACAAAACACGTGTGATGATCTTCCATCCGCTCAACAGGTACCAGCACCATTGGGGGTCTCAGATCGAATCACCTCGTTGCACTCGACGGCATTGCCCAGGGCAAATTCCGATCTCAGCTCAAGCGCCAGTCCGGAAACTCAGCTTTCAACGCAAGCAGCACTATCCCACGCCCAGAAATCTTTCCAGGATGACCTGGATAGTCCGGCATATTATGCGACAACACCCGGCCAAAATAAAGCCGTTCATTCACCTAGTGGGACGACCTATTCCGCCAATGTTACTCCATTCTATCGCATAGAGGAGTCAATTCGACGTGATCTAGAACGGACCTCGCTGTCTGCAAACAAGGACAGAATGCACGCAATGAGCACACAGTTCATGCTTGATGCAGCCACGCCCTTCAACTTTAGCACAGAGCAAGCTGGTCAGGATGCAAGCTGGAAACCGGCCAACAAAAGTATGACCCAGGCCATGAATACACAGTTCATGCTGGATACTGCCACACCTTATGCTTTCAGCACAGAGAAGAAGCCTCGTGCACCTCGGCCAGACTCAGCTAAAAGCATGACCGCTGGATCCAAAAGAAAGCAACGTCACGATGCGAGCAATTCCGGCTCTCCAAAGAGCGACTCCATAAGCGTGGACTACAAATATCATTCCACCGAATCTAATCAAGGCGGCAGTGAAATCAATTCTCCACGCATCACTCAACAGCCAGATCATCAGTCCATCGATCACCCTTCCCTTCTACTTGACTTGGGCGAAGCCACGCCAGCAGCAGGCCAAGATGGACAGGGCGCCAATCAAGCGGTGGAAAGTTTCAATCTTAGCCAGGCGATTGCCGATGCTGGGAGTTGGCTTCAGCAAAGCTTTGACTTTATGAAAGATACCGGACGACCGAGCCAAAGCCTTCAGAGACAATCTCTGAACATGGATCTATCCTAGCAAGTATCTCCTACGCTCCCATGACTTCGCATATTATCAGGTTTTGTGTTCTATGTTTAAACTTTGCACGGCACACCATTCACAGACGATGAAGGCGTGCTGGCCGTACTTAAGTATTATAGCTGGTGTCTTGTACATATTCTTAGACCTGTATGGCTGGTTAAGGTGCTCGATTACATTTAGAATCAAGGGAATACACCAAGGAGCAGTCTCATCTTCTGATGTCAACAATTCCAACACATTTCGTACTTCAAGCACTTGCTAGTCCACTATTAAATCCCATTATTGACACAAAATCCTACCTCATAGCTGTTCAGAGTCTACTGGATGCGCAAAAAGCCAACAGATCGACGTCAGGCACCAGCTGGTCCGAGCGCCAGCGGGGAGAGCTCCGAACCGCATCACCTCCCGGCCGCACATCTCAGTCAATGGCAAGCCGAGATGGCCTTGACATCAGTAAGAAGACATATGTGCCATGTCATCTGAGGGCCCGCTAACAATAATAGTGGAAAGCATTCAACTTCATCGACGTCTCGCCGGTGAAGCTAGAGGACAGCTCCGTCTTCAATGTAAGTCCTCAACCGCTTGTTCAAACGCCATATCTAACACATTTAGAATGACCTGTCGAGTATATGCACCGGTGCCGCGAACCTCTTTGTCGGAACCGCAGATGGCTTCGTCCACATCGTCTCCTCGGCCTTTCGCGTCGTACGATCGTTTAAAGCCTACGACGGCGGCGGCTCCATAACACACATGCGACAAATAAACGACACTGCTTTATTAGTGACGGTTGCAGAGGATCTCTCCAATGAGCCAGTGCTGAAAGTCTGGGCGCTGGATACAGAGAAAAAAGACGGGGGTCCGCGATGCTTATCAACGGTTTCGGTGCAGAACGCCAGGAGACAATTCCCGGTGCGCTTCAGCTCTATCGAACCTGCTCCAAGGCCCTGCTTTACTAACCTGTGCTTAGATTTCTGCCTTCGCAGCCACCGAAGACCTCTCCCAAGTAGCAATCGGGTTCGCGAACGGATCCGTGACGATCATCCGAGGCGATCTGATCCATGACCGCGGCGCACGACAACGTATCGTATTCGAATCTGAAGAACCAATCACTGGACTCGAAGTCCAGAATGGGACTATCACAACGCTGTACATTTCCACCACAAGCCGTATCCTGACATTGGTGATCGCCGGGCGAGGCCAGGGTCAGCCTGCGCGCGTCCTGGAAGACACGGGCTGCGGGTTGGGATGCATGACACTTGATAAAGAGGGCGGGGATATTCTGATTGCTCGAGAGGACGCTGTCTACACCTACGGCCCGCGTGGTCGTGGCGCAAGCTATGCGTTTGAAAGCCCGAAGACATCGATCGATGCGTTCCGTGACTATGTGGCTCTTGTTTGTCCACCCAAGGCTGGTAATGGAAAGTCAGATCCGTTGAGGAAATATACTGCTAGCCCTGGCCAGGAAATTTTTGGCACAACAACGTTCACGCTGCTGGATACCGACCTCAAATTCATTGCGCACAGTGAAGCGTTGGTTTCGCCCATGAAGCAGATCTTCATGGAATGGGGGCAGCTGTTTCTTTTAACGACAGATGGGAAGGTAGATCGAAATCCGAAGCCATGCATACAAGCAAATCACTAACGCATTTGTTTAGATTTTCCGTTATCGCGAAAAGACACTCCAGCAGAAGCTCGAGATCTTATATGAACGGAATCTTTACATCCTTGCCATCAACCTTGCACAGAAGATTGGAATCGATCCGCTTCAACAGAATGCAATCTACCGCAAGTATGGTGACTTCCTGTACCAACGGGGTGACTACGACACAGCCATGCAACAGTACCTCCGTGCCATTGATAATACAGAGCCTTCGCAGGTTATTCGAAAGGTCAGTCAATTCGCTTCGATGAATATTCTGATGTACTAAACCGCAGTAGTACTTGGACACCCAGCGTATCCACAACCTCATCGAGTATCTCGAAGAACTACACGACCATGGTCGTGCGACAGTCGACCATACAACGTTACTTCTCAATTGTTATGCAAAACTCAAAGATACAAGCAAGCTTGACTCCTTCATAAAGGCTCCCGGTGAACTGAAGTTTGATCTTGAGACGGCCATTGCCATGTGTCGACAAGGGGGGTATTATGAACAAGCAGCCTACCTTGCAACCAAACACGGGGAGAATGACATGGTTGTCGACATTTTGATTGAAGACTCAAAGAAATATGCCGAGGCGGTGGAGTACATCTGGCGTTTAGACCCTGAAGTGGTAAGTCAACTCATGCCCAGAGTGGAAAAACGTGCTAATATCTCCTAGGCCTATGCGAATTTGATGAAGTATGCAAGGGTGCTGCTGACTCACTGCCCTGAGCAAACAGCGGACCTGTTCAAGGTTTACTACTCTGGCCAATACCGGCCACGGACTGAGCCAGAAGAGCCAGAACAACCCCAACAACAGGCCACCAGTACAGTCCAAAGTCTGGCCGCTCTCCTACCCCTGCGATATATGCAAGTTGGAACTGGCAAGCAGACAGAGACACCCGTACCTGAAACAGAGACCACAGAGGACAAGGTCGATGAGACACCAGACTATGAAATCCCCAAGCCCCGCACAGCCTTCTCTGCATTTGTAGACCATCCCAAGGAATTCATCGACTTCCTTGAGACATTGACACAAAAGCCAGACTTGAAGAAAGATGCAAAGATAGACCTCTTCACGACTTTGTTTGAGATGTATTTGGACACAGCAAAGGGAAAGAAAGACGCAACCGAGAGACAGGAATGGGAGACCAAAGCCAAGAAGATCATTGAAGGAAAAGATGTGAGTCAATGCGTGGTATCCATACGATTGATTGATCGTCCTGACTAGCATAGATCCCCATATCAACATCCAATGTCCTCCTACTGTCCGATCTATCGAACTTCCGCGAAGGATCTACCCTTGTCCGAGAGCAAGAAGGCCTCCGTCTTGATATTTTCCGCTCATTCACATCCGCGAAAGACACACAAGGTGCGATCAAGGCACTGAGGCGATACGGACCCGACGAGCCCCAGCTATACGTCGATGCATTAACGTACTTCGCCTCAAGTCCTCAAATCCTTGAAGAGGCGGGTGACGAGTTGGACGCTGTTCTGCAACGAATCAACCAAGATGGCCTTCTCTCCCCACTGCAGGTCATCCAAGCGCTGAGCAATAACGCAGTAGTTACGATGGGCCGCGTCAAGAAGTATCTCAGTGACAACATTGACCGTGAGCGCAAAGAGATCACCACCGTAAATATCCCCTTTTCCCTCCCTCCTATAGAACCAGTCTAACGTTCACAGAATCGTCGCCTGATAGCGAGCTATAAATCGGAAACCACAGCGAAACAACAAGAACTAGACCATCTGACCGACCAGCCCGTGGTCTTCCAATCTCGCCGCTGCCAATCCTGCGGTGGAAGCTTGGACCTCCCGACTGTTCATTTCCTCTGCAAACATTCCTTCCACGAACGTTGTTTGAATCAGTTAGATGAGGATGCCCAATGTCCTGTCTGCGCGCCAACCAATGCAACAATGCGCGCTATCAGACAGCGCCAGGTCGCCTCGGCTGACCAGCATGACTTGTTCAGGGGTGAGCTGACGCGCTCTAGGGACCGATTCGGTGTTGTGAGTGAGTTCTTTGGAAGAGGCATCATGAGGCCACAGGGTACTATGGAGTGATGTGTATGCGTCATACCGTCTAGATATTCGTGTTTCTTCTTATTTTCAAGATTTTCTATAGGGAACTGGTGTTTGTTTATACATTGGTCTTCACTGGCTAGGTGGATCAGGTTGTTTTAGAATTAATGGCGAGGTATTTATGAAGGGTGCGGGCCAAGTAGGAAAATACAGAGTGCATTGAATGTCCATCGGTGGTTTTTTTACTAACCTTAGAGCCTTGGAAGCTGGGAAGGTTGACATCTTAGTAGTGGCTTGAAATGTAGAAGTTAAATATATTCAAATAAGCAATGTATTGTATAGCTAACTCTGGCTCGGCTGTAGTAATAAGGCAAGCGACAGGATCATATCAACACAGATGGAGAAAAAAAGGCGATCATAATCGTAGTGATCGGGGTCCTTATGCGAAGGCAGTGTATGCACAGCAGTGAAATCAGAAAATACATGAAAAGGATGCAAGAAGGTGTCCGAGAGTATGCTAAGATGGTAACATACAAGTCTCAGGGCACGCATGGATGTACGCGGACAAGCATCACCGTGAGTTGACAGATATTAAGATATGATGAACCCAAAGAAGTTCAAGTTGATGGAAGATGAGCCCGCTCAGAGTTCACGTCCTTTCTCGCCTCCCCAGGAAACACGGGGGATGTGACGCGAAGCGGACTGTGAGTTGGATCCGGCTCCAGATCCAGAAGGCGAGGACTCGTCAGAAGCAGTGGCTTCTCCAGGCTGGATCTTGCCGGCCTTGGAATCCACGTCCTCGCTTTCCGAGTCTTCAGCGATGACATCTTCATCTTCTGTGTCGGATCCATCATTATCAGAGTCATCGCCGTCAACGCCCAAGGCGGCAAGACGACGGCGACGCTCAGCGGGTGTCTCGCCTGTGTCATCGTCAATCTGGCGCGGGGGCGCAGTCAGACCGGCGGCCTTGCGAAGACGGGATGGGGGGATACGCTCTGTGCCATCGTCGTCGGAGTCCCGACGAGCGCGGTCGCGGGTGCGAGGAGGTGCGGGGCTGAGGTTGTTACGACGCTCTTGGGCCGCAGAAGTGCCGCCGCGGGAGAACTTAGCGAGGGAAGCGGCAACGTTAGGAGAGCCGTGGTGGCCAGCCTCGTCGGCACTAGCTTCGCTGTCGGTGACAGATTCGGACTCTAGAGCCTCGGCGTCTTCTTCAGGGATAGTACCAGTGGTAGCTCCGATAGCAGCGGCAGAGAGACGTCGCTCTTGCTTCTCCTCGACCTTCTCTTCTTGCTTGGCTTCAGTTTGAGCGACTTCCTGGACTGGCGCGGGGGCGTCGGTCTGCTGGACAATATCCCGGCGGGTCTTGGCATCCAGACCCTTGATTTGGTCGAAGAACTCTTGTTTGTTCATACGTCTGCCCTTGTGTCCAATGCCGTGAGAGGTGATTTCAGGATCCTGGGCCAATGTGAACCGCAGGCCATCGTCGGCCATCTGGCTATCCTTCTTCTTCTTCTTTTCTTGGGCAGCCTGGGAGGTTTCACCTTCTTCTTCCATGCCGAACCAGGTTCCCATGCGAGTAAGACCGCGACGGACTGGTGCATCACCTGGAGCAGTGGGCTGGCCCTGGGGCTTCTCTGGCTTCTCGGACTTCTTGCCACCGGGGAGAGTGTACTTCTTGATCACCTCACCATCCTCATCCTCAACGATAATAGTGTTACCGAATTGATAAGCATGGGCTGAGCGGGGCTTAGGCTTGGCTGAGTCGGCCTTGGGTGGCTTTTCGGTTTTCTCGGGCTTCTCTGCCTTTTTGTCGGGCTGTTCAGCAGCCTTCTCTTTTCCGAGTCCGGTCCAGTTGGTCCACTTCTTGATTGCCTTGCCGTAAGAAGTACCGGCCTTCTCCTCCACGGCATGCTTGAGCTCCTCTCCCTCGTTCTTCTGGTGTGGTTGGCTTTCGGATTGAGCCAGCTCGCCCGTCTTATCATTCTCCAGGCGCTTGCGTTGTTCTTCAATGTGAGCGATCTTTTCTTCCGGTGAAAGATGGGACGTGTTTTCAGTCTTGAGAACATTGCCTTCTTCATCCTCGATGATCATGTTATGACCCTCTTGATAAACCTCTAGTTGTGGCTCACGACCGAAGCGATCGCGTTCGGCGTGCGGTGGAGAAGCTCCACGCTCAACCTGATCACGCTCTTCCAGTTCTTTCTTTTCTTCCTCTGTTTCAATCTCAGACTCCTTACGAGGAGCGGGCATGATAGCAGACTGGCTGATGGGTCCGCCGGCACCGGAATCACGCTTGCGGCGACGTCTCCGCAGAGGCTTGCGACGAGACGATTCAAGACTTTGAGCCTCACTTTCGTCCTCGTCACGCTGCCGGCGAAGGAAGTTGCCAGGCATTCCGATGGGTGGAAGGGTGCCAGGGGGATATTCGGGTAGCTTTTCATCGGAGGATGCATCGGTATCTTCCGCCTTGCGGAAGGACATGGAACCCTTGGCAATGGACTGCACACGGGGCAGACGGTTCATCCATGAAGGTCCATCCTCATTGGCCTGGGTGTAGGAGAGGGTGATGGTCAAGGTGTTGATGCGCTTACCCAGTGTGAAAACAGCAATTGAGGAGCCGTGCACCAGGATAGACGAAATAACCATGAAAGTTGTGATGGGCCAGATCAGTCTCACAATATAATAATTGCTGGCTCCTGGCACCGGGAGTTCATTTTCAGGGTCCGGTTGTGTATTGTCGTTCTCTAACTCGGCTCTGGCAAGAATGGCGGCAAAAATTGCACCGACACCGATGGGACCAAAGTGACCAGCAAACAGTGCTTCTCGCCAGGTCTTGACGTCCGGTATAATGGGTTTGAGCATCAACATGATCGGGATGCGGCGGAAGAAAATAACCAATAATGCAATCACCACTAGTCTCCAGGGAGTAAGGCCGAGAGCGGGGGAGTTGAAATCCTCCCAAGGGATGATGGATCCAAAGTAGACAAAGTAAGCCAAGTTGAGCAGAAGATCAATAACGTTAGAAACGTGGGACTCTTCGGTCTTCTCTGTGAACCAACCATCGTTACTGAATCCGACACCACAGGAGAATCCGATCAGCAGGTCGTCCATGCCTAGCAAACTTCCAGAACCAGCACAGAAAACAGCCAGCACAAAGTAGAACACCAGGAAACTCTCACGATCAATCAGCCCCCTACGCTCAGCCAATTTGATAGCGTGTCGGGCGATGTAACCGATGGCAAAGCCAAAGATAGCTCCCAGCACACACTCGTAGAGAACGGTGATACAGAACCAATTCAACCACACCTCGCCAACAGCGGGCCGGTAGTGATAGATGTAGAAGGAGAGGTAGATGAATGGGAAAGCCATGCCATCGTTACACCCAGACTCAGCAGACAGCAAGTCACGCAAATGCTTGGGGACACGCTTGGCAAACTTACCCTTACCAACGACGGACGAAGCCAGGACAGGGTCAGTGGCCGTAACGCAGGAGGCACAGATCAGACTTTCCAGCCAGTTCAGCGGAGGAACCATCCACCAGATGAACAGACTCGTAATCAGCCAGCCCCAGGTCATCACAGGAATCAGCAGCAGGGATACAGACTTCCAATGGCGCTCCATGTACGCCTTGGGCAATTCGACACCGACGGCAAAACATTGCACAACCAGAACGATTCGCGAACACTCCAGTGTGATCTTGTCGATGTTTCCCCACTCATGCGGGTTAAACAAATTGGCCGCATGGGGACCGAAGATAATACCACAGAGCGTGGCGACTGTAGCTTCGCCAATGTATAGCTTTTCCTTGACGAACAGGGAACACAGCATGAACAGGCCTGTGAAACCGCCCAGGATCATGTATGCCAGATGCGGCCTATCGATGTCCAAGTGATCCCACGCCATTATGTGAAGATATCGGTCAAAGACCGATTGGGATTATGGAGGATTTTTCTTAATCTCCGGGTTGAAGAGATGCGTCCGGCGCGTGCGGCGACCAATTTACCGGATATATTCCCGCCTCGAACTTCGGTGAATCGTGTAGCTCTGCATGCCTTGGTGAATCGGTGGTCGGAAAGCCGAGATGCCGAGCCTCGTAGGGCTGATTTGGGAGGGGGCTCGAGGGATCTAGGCGCACGTCCGACAACGGAGAGGCACCGTTAGTTAAGAATCTGCGGGGTGCAGATACGAAAGCCAAGATGCGGAGGGATGCGACAAGAAGGCGAAGCCTTGGGAGGTTGAGAAAAAAAAAAGAGGTAGGCTTGGCCTAAGGGTAGTCTGGCACTGGGGAAGGAAAGAAGAAAAGAAGAAAAATGCCAATCTCAGCAAAACTTGGTCAGAGTCTTGGGGGACTCTTGGCCAAGCAGAGAAAGACGAGTGAACGCGTGCTTGGGGAGTTTTGCCCAGCACGCAGTCTTCTTGGAAAGGGCGGGATTCGTCAGCCGAGACTTTCTGACCCACGTCGGAAGCGGAATGGATCTTGGCTAGCGGAGGCGGACGTGCGAGGTATTTTTTTGTTGGCTGGTGGGAGGTGAGGTAAGTGGATGTAAAAGTAATAGCAGTGATTGGAGTGGAATTATAGCCTAGGTGTCATATGTAAGAAAGATGAAGCAAGGGATCAGTCGCGATTCCCGATCCCCCGTATTCGTGTCACGTATGGTAAATCAGCCCTGCCAGCCGCCAAGAAATCGCTCAGGGATCATCGTATTAGGTCAGTGGCGCCTAGTAGATCAAGATAGAATTGACTATTGAGATAATGTAATTCTTTGATATTTAGATAGAAAAATCAAAGAAAATACTCCATACTTGAGTAAAGACAGATATCTGGCCATCCTCTTCATATCTTGATCTTTTCTTATATTAGGTGTCTCTAACTATCCTGTACTTGAGCCCCGGAGTACTCTGGATGGAACCCTTTTAATTCGTACATCTTTCGTATCTGATACCATGTACTGTCACATACCCAATTGCATGTCCCACTGCACCTGTATACATGCACTGCATGCTTCGTACAGCCATTCTCTATAAAGAGAGAAATCAGAGCTAAAAGCCAAAGCGCGCATCAATTGGGGGGTAGTACAAACATAACATTTAAATAACCAGCTGCATATGGAAAAAACGTGCGTGTCCGCGGAGAAACAAGGAACAATAAACAAAAAGCGCTGTCATGCAAGGCACGCGCATCCCGCGCCTCGGAGAAAATCAACCAAAGAGACTATCAATCCTACCGATGAGATTTGTGAACAAATTCGACCTAGTTGAGGCCCAATCCTGCTCGCCTGCCCAGCTATACGCCCGTCGGCATCCCCTCGACTTCGTCACTCAAGCCACGCCAGTTGTCCGCCTGCAATTCGGAGTACTTGACCCGCTCCTGGCTCCAGTCCTGGTGCAGACGGCTGATGTGGTATTGGCTCTGCTGGAAGTGAATAAGTTCGTCTCGAATGCATTCCTTGATAAAGACACCCCGGGCATGCTGCTCAACAATGGTTGCCTTATCCTAAAGGGCGAGACATGTCAGTAGGATGGCAAGAATTCATGGGGATCATAGATCTTACCTTGTGGATAGAGTCCCCGACCTTCTCAATCTCCCCAGGCTTGACGGTTCCTGCGGGTCTGGCGTGGAGGTCCTGCAATTTCTGCTCGTTCGTCTCGATTCGTCGCTCCAGCTGCGGGATGTTGTTCCGTGCATACCGATCCCGTCGATCGAACATCTCAAGAACACTGAAGAGGCAATCACGTTGCCGCTTGAGATCTTCCAGAACTCCCTCGGTCCACCCCCGAGCCTCATCTTCCAATAGACTCTGGCTGGTAGATAGGTGACGAGCGGTAGCAACGATCCCCTCGTTCAGAGCCGGAATGTCATTGGTATCCACAGCGTACGTGTCTTTGGTGACTTCAGTCAGGGACTGCAGAGCAAGAGAGAACCGGAGATGGTCCGCCGCCAGGCCGTCGTTGCGCTTAGCCAGTCGTTCTAGCAAAGTACATAGATTAAAATAGATATCTGCAGACCGCTTGACCCCACTGCGCACTGTCTCGAATGTGTCAAGGAGATCATTGGGCAGTGATTCTTCGAGATCTGGCGGGAGCGTACGGCCGACGAATTCGTCCTGGACCGAGATTGTGGCTTGCTTACGCCATACCGAAAGCTCCTGTCGAAACATTTAGCAACTGACAGATATTTGAACTAACAGGACTTGCCGTGGGGACTGTCAGAAACATGACAACCAGTTGTTCCTGGCCGAGAACGGGATGACGGACGAGGGCGTTGGTGAATCGGACGAGGCCATGTCGGCGCCGTTCGAGGAAAGATGATGAATCCGCTGAAAGGTGAGTGCCATTGACTTCATAGTTGTGAGTAAGTAAGTAGGTGCGCCACTTCAGCGTTTTACATACCTGAAACACGCTTTGGTGGAAGAAGAGGCAATTGCCTAAAGGGAAACCGCTTCTGGAGGCAGTCCAATAACCAAACGAAATCACTATAGCGACGAATGACCGTGCTACCTCTGCGAGCTGACTTGACCTCATAGTTCCTGTGCTGGAACATAAACAGCCCTTCTTTTTCGGGGAGCAGTGAAACAGTGACAACCTCCTCTACCTGTGGGTTTGTTGTGCTACGGCCGAGGCCTAGAGATCGACGCCGTGGCGCGGGTGCGAGTGGGTTTGGGCCATCTCCTGGATGACCAAACCCACCTAGAGCTGTGCGCTGTGTACCTCCAAAGCTGCTTTCGTCACTCTGGCTTGGACCGCTAGGATTATTATTCCCCCATCCTGACCCAGCACTACTGGGTGGCGCAACCGCCGCCTGGCCGTTAGCATGCCCATGCTGGGGCACACTGGGAATGGGCTCTTCGTTCACATGGGTAGACCAGGCGTTTGCGGTAGACCGGACGCTTCCGAAATTATTTGATATACGTGAATCAGCGCCGCCTGCAGCATGGTTGTGGCCCCGATGTAGCTGTGGACTGCCCCACGGGTCAGCTTCCAACCCACCCAAGGACTCACGCCGGGATATTTGTGATCGCGCCGAGCCCGGCGTTGGCAAGGGAGGATCTTGAGACGGAGGGGTTGCCGGTCGCGCGTCTAATTGTTCAGAAGGCGCGTCACCAGTCGTACGTAGCTTGTCAAGGTAATCGGCTTTTGGTTGGGGTAATTCTGCATCAGATTCCAAGTTAGAGATGCTGTCTGATTCATCGCGGAAACCACTCACTTTTGCGACGGTCGTCCACTGCATCGAAGGAGAGATCTTCTCCTTCTTGCGCTAGACCGACCAGAGCTAACAGCACATTGAACTCGCCACGACCAAGCCCGCCAAAGCTTTCATGGTCACCAGATGAAACAAGATTCAAGATCTTGCTTTGGTCCGTTGCAGACAGCTTGCTGCTCGAAAGAATCTCCCGGACCGAAGTCAACCCAATCCCAGAGCCAACCCTGTCCCCGCTATTCAAGATCAAATCGTATGCATCGATGTAGCTTTCTGGTACATCTGAATTTGGAAGCAGAGTGCGGGCAAGGTCGCGCCGAGCGGTTCGTTTCGCGGTGTTATTCTGGATGTTCCAAGGAGAGGAGCTGTCATCGCCGTCGTCATCGGCGAACAACGAGGAGCCGCCCGTAGCCGGCTCGTCCGCAAATAGAGAGGACTTGGAGTTCTGAGCGAAGCCTCCGTTTGGGCGATCTGGTGATTCGCCGAATAAGGACATCTGGACGTGGTGTTGGCGCCGCTGTCTGGGATCCGGTGTGGAGGTGATGACAATGACGATGTTGACGATCAAGCGGAGCTCGGACTGGGTCGCACGGGTCGACAATACTCTCTATACCAGCACACCGCAACCGCCAAGTGAGACAAATCAAGAACAAAAAAAAATAAACGACAAAAGAATCCTGAAAATGCGAGGTCACGGAAATGCAATGATCGTAGGAACGAGATAACGCAATGTCGCCGGTACCACGCCAAACTAGGTTAGCCGCCCAAGTCCGACGTACCAAGGACTTTGATTAACATTGTGTTTGTGTGTCACATCTAAACTCCTCTAGTTCTTGCTTGCTAGTTTGATAGTCGACATGTGAATGTTAGTTGGTTTTTTTCCCTCAATTGCTCATTAGGCAAACCCGAGCAATATTTCTGGGGATGCAGATATATAAGGAAGGGTCCAGATATTCATAACTTGGAACAAGTGACAATACCTTGGCAGCTTCCAATGGTATAGAATTTTCCATAAACCACACGAAGCTATTAACGGCTGAAAGAAGCCCAACTCACTACGGGGTATCTGTTGGACATTTGCCTCAGGCAGCACTAGCACTGCCTTCCAAGGTTGCTTGGTAGAACAACATGCCCAATAGGAGGAGCATATCAGGAAATGAACCTCAGATGAGCCCTGGTTTCTTCCATGGATAATCTCCATTGCTCATTGCTCTAGCCTTGGCACATATCATAGGCAAATGCCCCGCTGGCTCTTATCAAACGTCGGCTGGCTGCACCGACATGTCATTTTTGGGGTAGGATCCGCATTCTCCACACCTGCTGTGTAGTTGAACCTCCACGTCGGAGAGGAACACCGACAGTAAGTCTGCATAGATCATGCAGTTGTCCCGACAGTGGCTCATTCGTCGCGGGCCGCCAGCAATTGGGTCCATATAAAACCGACGCAAGCCTTTGTTTGTTCTCCTATCTTCCATATTGAACATTCATCATACACAAGCTTGAAAGATGAGACCGAGTACACTCTCACGAGCAGCTAGGCTAAACTGCTTCAAGCCCCATGCCCTCAATGGCACACCACGGAGATGCTTGACCATGTTAAGCCCTCCCAAGTTCGAGAATGAAAAGATGGTGAGGCTTCTCAGGATAGAGCTTAATTGGTGTTTACTAATCATACCAGCTCAACTATGCCAAAGGGTCTCCAGAGAGAGCTGAGTTGACTCAAGCTATTCGAAAGCTTAAGAGCCAATTCCCTCTCACGATCCCTATTACGATCAATGGAACAGAGGTACGCACCTGAGATTTCAAGCATATATTGGCAACCAAAAATTGACTTTCTATCTGTAGATCGAGACAAAAGAGTCCCGCTCTCAGCCAAACCCCTCAAAGCACCGCGAGATTGTCGCAAACTACGCTGCTGCAACACCAAGCCAAGCGAATGCCTCCATCGACGCGGCACTTAGTGCCAAACCCGCTTGGGAAGCGACTCCTTTCGAGGATCGTGCTGCTATTTTTCTCCGTGCCTCTGAGTTGATCACCGGTAAATACCGATCTGACATTGTTGCTGCCACAATGCTCGGCCAAGGCAAGAATATATGGCAAGCGGAGATCGATGCCCCTGCCGAGACGGCAGATTTCTTCCGCCACTATATCCAAGAGGCCTGGGCTTTGTATTCGCAGCAGCCTCGAGTGCAGCTTGATGGTAACTGGAACAAGATGGAGTACCGCCCACTCGAGGGCTTCACATACGCTATTGCCCCGTTCAATTTCACTGCACTGGGTGCAACTCTGATTGGACCAGCCGCATTGCTTGGAAATGTCGTGATCTGGAAGCCATCAGATTCAGCACTTCATGCCAGTTGGCTACTCTACCAAATTCTGCTCGAAGCGGGCCTCCCCAAGGATGTCATTCAATTCTTGCCTGGTGACGCCGAGCAGGTGACAAACACTATCCTGAAAAGACCCGAGTTTGGAGCCCTCACATTCATCGGTGCCACATCTACCTTCAAGGGGATTCAAAGGAAGATTGGCGATGGAATCGGTGCCGGCATCTATAACTCCTACCCGCGAGTGGTCGGTGAGACCGGAGGAAAAAACTGGGGTGTTGTCCATCCATCCGCAGATGTGAGGAGTGCTGCGCTCAACACCATCCGAGCAGCCTTTGAATACCAGGGCCAGAAGTGCTCTGCAAACTCACGTGTCTACGTCGCTGAGTCTGTCTGGCCCGAATTCCAGAAAGTCCTGGCTGAAGAGACTGCCGCGCTGAAGGTCGGCGATGTCGAGGACTATGCCAACTTTGTGAACCCAGTGATTCATGAGCGTTCATTCGACAAACTCAGCAAGTTCATCGAGGGGGCCAAGAACGATTCTGAGCTCGAGCTGGTTGTCGGTGGCAAGGCCTCCAAAGAAGAGGGCTACTATGTGCATCCCACTGTATATCGGACAACCAATCCTCGCCATGAGATCATGTCCGAGGAGCTCTTTGGACCTGTTCTGGGTGTTTACGTCTACCCGGATGCCGAATGGGAACAGACCCTGAAGCTGGTTGACTCAACCTCTCGATATGCTCTGACGGGTAGTATTTTCGCCAAGGACCCATATGTCAGTCGTCAAGCGCAGACCGTTCTCAAACACGCGGCCGGTATGCTCTACTTGAACACCAAGTGTACTGGCTCTACTGTGGCCCAACAACCATTTGGTGGTAGCCGTGACTCAGGCACGAATGACAAGACCGGTACCATGGCACATCTACAGAGGTTCGTTAGTACCAGGACTATCAAGGAGGAATTTGTTCCACTAGAGAAGGTTACCTACCCTTCGAATGAAGTTTAAATCAGTTGAGAAAGGGAGCAACAATCAAGAACTATAGTAATGATCATGCATTTTCAATATCTCACAATACGTCTTGGCCAATTTTAGTACCCTTTCACGAGGATTGATACTTGTATCCATATGTCTATCTTTTTGAACATAAAAAAATGTCTTGGAAGGTTCTTGTTGCAGGAACCCCCAGACCTCGAGAGCTTGCACGATCTCGATTTATGTTGAGCTTCGTTTCCAACTCTGTCTACAGGTTGGACGCCGTCCAGAGCCAAATAATTACGAAAAAGCCAGACCTAAAAGCCTCGGAAGCAAAGTGTATTCACATCAACCCGTGATGTGATATATTCATGGCCCAATCTATAAAACTTTTTTCGAGTTTACTGAGTAGTTACCAAGTCGAGATGAAATACAGCAATTAAGCATTGTATCAAGCCAAGTAGCCAGGGATTGGTGGAATACTCTGAAGGAAAAGTCAATGGCTAATCCATTTCCATAGATGAAAACAGCTCTTGAGCTTGCTGGACAGGAAAAAACATTAGCGGAAACCATGCTCCAGACTGCTCTGGGAGAGATAGAGGGGAGAGAGAGCCAGCTATCTAACTCCGACCCCCCCACCTCACAACAGAACTGCACACTGGAAATACACACTCCAATCGGGCCGGTGCTGAGCCATGGCGACCAAAGAAACACGGAGTTGCCTTCCTGGACTTTCGATAGTCGGATACCCCGCAAAGACAATGAGTTGGCATTGCGGGACAGGGTTTCCTGGTTCCCAAATCCCCACCATCGGAATCGTCCTCCGATGAAGGTCGGCTGACTATCGGTCAGTAGAGAGCGAAGTAAGTGTCGGTGTGGTGAAGATATGCACAGGTAATGGAGAGTTGTATATAATGCTCCGTGGATGCGACATGACCATCTGACGTGACCCTCGGAACCATTTGCCCACAACTCCTCCCAATATGCTCCCCCAATCTACTATGAGAAGATCAACACATCGTATTCTTGCACAGAGCCCACAGTATCAAGTTTGTCGGCGACTTCGGTCTACCAAGTCTCATTACCACGATGCTGCTCTTGGGCCGACAATCCGTCCCCCTGTTGAGGTTTCGTCCATGGCTCGATTACCAACGAGATTCCTGCTACGATCATTGCTTCTGACTTCCCTGATGACCTCGAAAATGTTCTTACGACCTGCATTGGCTCTTATGAGCGTCCTTTCGACCTCCAAATCAGCGTTGTTGAACCCGGACCGGAATATTGCATTGAACAAGCTTCTCCGCTGGACGGTCTACAACCACTTCTGTGCTGGAGCAAATAAGAAGGAAGTGTCACGGACTGTGGCAGATGTTAAGAAGATTGGCTACCAAGGTGTTATCCTGGGATACTCAAGAGAAATTGTGCTGGACCACAATGAACAGGTGTCTGGCGATGGATCCGGTGCGACGCAGTACAGCAAGAAATGTTATGAGATGGTCGACGAATGGAAGAACGGTACACTGGAGACGTTGCAGATGGTGGGTCTCGGTGACTTTCTCGCGGTGAAGTAAGTGACTGTTCCCCGTTTTCGAAGGTCCAGGACTGACATTACTTCTAGATTGACAGGTGCCGGCCCCATTTCGGTGGATGCCATGATGGCCCGTCAGCCTATGCCAGAAGTCATGGCTAAAGCCGTGGACGATATCTGCATTGCGACTGAGAAGCAAGGCTCACGTCTCTGGTTAGACGCAGAGCAACAAATCCTACAGAAAGGACTCGATGACTGGGCTATTGAGATAATGCGCAAGCACAACAAACATGAGACACCGATCGTCTATAACACCATCCAAGGGTATCTCAAGGGATCCAAGGCCAATCTTGATCAGCATCTTACGTTGGCTTCACAAGAGGGCTGGACCCTCGGCATCAAACTGGTTCGCGGAGCATACATTGAACACGAAACGCGCTCTCTCATCCACGATACCCAACAAGACACAGATCAGTCTTACGATCTCATAGCCGACACTATGCTCTGTCGAAGAATGCCTGCCGATAATCAAGATCTTCCGTTCCCGAAAGCTGCTCTCTTCCTCGCAACCCACAATGCGGCTAGTGCCACAAAGGCGATTGCCACACATCAAAACCGCCTCCTCGCCAACCAACCGACGATTATGCTCGAATGTGGCCAGATTCAAGGCATGGCCGATGAACTCAGCTGTGAATTGGTTTCCAATTATGAGCGCGCTCTCGCAGAGTCATCTGCGGCTAATTTGACAGTCCCTAAGGCTTACAAGTGTATGACGTGGGGCTCGGTGGCCGAGTGCATGGGCTATCTGCATCGTCGAGCGGTCGAGAATCGCGGGGCCGTGGAACGGACCCAACACATGGTCAATGCATTGCGGCATGAGCTATGGCGGAGGATCACCGGATAAAGGGCTAAATTATACGAGTTGCTGATAGTTCACATCAATGCAGGACAACTTCAGTCCCACCTGGGCACCTTCCAGGATTCTGTAGATCAAGTAGCCAATCAGACGGGCGGATGGCTTATCGATAATCATATCGATAAGGAAACGTCGGAACGGCTTCCCGACATCGGGACTGCCTGCTCTTTTTCTTGAAACCCCGCATTCTCCAGGGCATTGAACTCGCAGTAGATATCGGATACAGGCCCCGGAAGCACAGACACTGCTTTCAATCTATATCCTTCGATCCAAGAATCCGGCATGCCTACTGCAAAACCAAAAAAGTGCCAAAGGGCGTAAGTCATCGCATACTCAATTTGGATCAGTGCCTGACATCGCGTGAATTGGATAAGCTGCGAGCGATGTCGGTCTATGAAAGTCAAATGTTCGGGCTCCAGTCCCTGTACAAGATGTGCTCGGAGGAAAAAGCCTTGTCACTTTCCAGTCGAGGAGACTCGGGTTTTAGTGTCGGAACGGTAAGGGTGACACCCGACGGAATGGTCTAAACTAACGGGGTTTCAGGTACCTACGTGAATTGGAACAGCATATCGCCAGAAGTGGAAGTATAGGGCAGAGTACAGCCCTAACAAATCCGGATCAAAGTCCCCTGGACGACACGTTGTTCATGGGTGATGAGCACACTGAAGTTCCACCCACTCCTCACACATCCGACACCCTCCTCGAAAGTCATGCAAATGTCGGGTGGCATTCAGTCCGTCATGGTATGAAAAACTTCCTGATGAATTTTTGGAATTTGTACTGATCAATGCGCACTCTAGGAATGGGTCCGCCCTTGCATACACCAGAGACTCCCCAAAGAGGATATGAGAATCGTGGCGCTGTACAGAATTCTCACCAATCGAGGTTCTCCAAAAACCCTTTGGTTGATAGAGATCCATCTTTCGCCCAAACTCCCGATGGCCGATTTTGTAAGTTGTTTCAATACCCGCCGCCATGTGATGTTGCTAACACAATCTTGAAAGGGTATATGGGACCAACATCATCGTGGTCTTTCTGTCGCCGTGTTCTTGCATTGATAGGGAGGAAGGTGCCTGAGTCAAATTGTCCGCCTGATCCATTCCACATTGATGGAACAGCGTTCAAGTTGCACTGGCGACCTTTCCCTCCGGATGAAGTACCCGATGTTACCAACCTGCCACCATTGGATTATGCCCTTTTCTTATTCAACACGGTCAAATTTTATTTTGGCTTTCTTTCTTTTATGATCGACGAAGCAGCATATTTACGTGACCTTCATGAGTTCTATAAAGACCCGGCAGCTAAAGCGGCAGCTGCAAGGCCGTGGTACTGCCAGTATCTACTTGTCTTGGCTTTTGGGAAAGCATTCTTGACACAGAAGAACCACTCAGGGACCCCTCCCGGTCATCAATACGCATCCCGCGCGATGGCCCTCTTACCTGATTTGTCAGGAATTGACGAAGACCCCCTGGCTTGTATTCAGGCTTTGAGCTTAGGGGCCGTGTATCTCCAGTCCATAGACATGAGAAGGGCGGCATTCCAGCATGTGAGTGGTGATATGTTCATCAATCTGGAAGAAAATCTGGAATCTGGCTGACTGTATCCATAGATTGGCCATGCCCTACGTGGTTGTATCATTGAAGGAATTCATCGACACGTACCCGAGGAGATATGTGGACCTGAGCTTTCCCAGAGGTGTCGAACGATATTCTGGGTGGTATACATGTTGGATCGCGAGTTCTCTGCTCTGATCGGTGCACCAAGCTCGATTCGGGACGAAGATATCACGGTTAAACTACCAGCAGAAATGAATGATTCAGTGGAACACATCAACCTGACATTGCATGTCCGACTTTCTCGACTCATGGCAACCATTTTAACGAGTGCGTATATTCCCCCAGCCTTTCCAAGACAATACTAAAAAAATCTAGCCGTCTATGGAGTAGACAACGACTTTGATGACACACTTGTTCGAAGCACACAATCTATTCTGCACAGTATGGCAGAGCTTTCGCACGACCTTACGGAATTTTTAAATACACACTTTCACGGATTAATTAGTCGAGCTTCAAAAATGGCAATTAGATTGATGCTGGCTCATCATCATGTGAGTTAATCCTTTTATGCCATGCTGAATATCAATTGACTGGAGCAGTGTGTGGTCTTGACAACCAGACCACTTGTCATGTGCGCTCTTCACATGCATATTGAACGAACAGAGAGGCAAAGCTCTCAGACAATTGCTTTATCCGCCCCCGTCTCCTCTCTTCTACAATGTTGTGCCGAGTCCGCACAGACAATTCTCCAGACCCTCCGTGTTCTTGCCGACGATGATTTGATGGGTATGTCTCGTTCATTATCTTCTCACATGCCCATTTCGATACTGACTTGTTGTCCAAAGACGCATTCCTCCCATTCCAAATCGAAGACGCTTCATCATCTGCATTTGTTCTTTATCTTATTCGCGCGATTGCACCATCTGTCATCTCAAACGATTCTTGGTGCGAGAACCTAGAATGTGTATTGGACAAATTAATATCAAAAGGAAATCTCGCCGCACCCCTACGAAGACTTGAGTTAAGACACTTGGAGCATGTACTAGCGCCTTTGACACCGAAACTATCATATCGCCCCCCTCCGGCGAGCTCCCATGAAGGGAATGAGATTAATGAAGATTCGTATATCTTTGATCAAGAGGAATTCGAGTGGGACATGCTCGGGCTCAATTCTTCTGTCAGCCTTCCACCGCGAGAGTTGTTGGACCTCGCAGATCAGCTAGATGTGGAGGGTATCATGCAGTCTGTTGGGGTCTGAATTTCTATCTATGAACTCGGGAATTGACTCCATCAAATTAAGCCAAGTGCGTTAACTGCATGAATCTTGGTTGGGGTTTGCAAGGCTACTGCGCCCAAGAAATAAATCCTTCCATGGAACCACAATACCACGATAATGCACACTTGTGTAGAACCTGATGCGTATGTATTGTAAGGAATCAGCCTAGCAAAAAGAAAAGCGCAGATGATACTTGGGTACATTTGAACTCGCGAAATAGGGACATCACTCCGAAATACTTTCTCTGCAAGACCTATTTCTTTTCCATGTCCGTCTTGCACAATAAGGCCAAATTTGTACATAATACCGCCTATTTTCATACCGTTAGATAAAGCATCCATGAATCTTGTGATTAATCTAGAAAGGACAAAGCACTGATTCTGTGTCGCTACAATCGGGGCTGAGCAGCAAGATTCACTTGTATGGTTATGTTGTGTCGGGATCTCCCTCCGACAAGTAGGTCGGCTACTTGGCGGTTATATGGCAAAAGTTCATTTCGCCGAAACCTTTCCATGCTTAATGCAGAGGGGGTGAATTGGTAAATTCCATGTCTATAGAGGCCTGGATTTGTATGTGATTTAAGCTTGGAGTCTTTCAACTGTTGTAGTATCTTGCGTGCCGCATGCTTTTCTTGGTGAGATCTATTCTTTGGCGTCTGAGGAAATGTGACAATATTAAATGATCGAATAGACACTACAGTGACTATGCTCTTACTGAGAGCTTCTTTTCATCGGGCGCCCGTCCACCTTCATCGGGGCCTGAGGCAAACGACTGGAAGCCGCAACCTGAGGCCACGCTTGTCATTCCACGCGAGACAAAGCCACCGATGTGTAAGACCTGCCCTTTTCCTATCCTTCTCCAGAACTCACTCCTATTTTTTCTCATTTCTTTATACCTCTTTGCCATCATTGCAATTGTCATCTGCCAAAGAACTTTGGAAGCTGATCTACCTCGATTTAGCTTCAGACTGACAGTTTTCTACATGGGACTACTGCAGACTACCTGGACGATGTATACGCCAAATGGCAGGAGGACCCATCCTCGGTTGATGAATCCTGGAAAACGTATTTCGAGGCTATAGAAAACGACAAACCTCCACCGCCACATTTGTTTCGACTATCAGAAGATTCGTTCATCCGGGCACACAATCCCTCCCCGCTACCTCCAGGTTTCAATAAACCTCAACCCACCAGAGTCTCGCCCCCAAATGAAGATCAAGCGAGGATAGGGCGTTTGGTCAGAGCATTTCAAGATCACGGCCACAAAGCCGCAAGGACGAACCCGCTGGGTATCAAAAGTCGAAATTCGTCGGTACCGGAACTCGAACTCGATTTCTATGGCTTTGCAGATGCCGATTTGGACCGAGTCTTTACGTTGGGGGCTGAAGTACTCCCCGAGTATCATACCTCTACCGGGAAACAAATCACACTTCGTGATATTGTCAAAGCCTGCAAAGCTCAGTATTGTGGCTCCATTGGAACTGAGTACTCACACGTTGCTACGCTCGAAGAACGTGATTGGATTCGCAACCGAATCGAGTCCCCTGGCCTCTATCATTTCTCCGTGGAAGAAAAAAAGAGAATACTTGATCGATTAGTGTGGTCAACCAATTTCGAGAAGTTCCTTGCTTCCAAATTTCCAAACGCCAAACGATTTGGCTTAGAAGGTGCCGAAAGCCAGCTTCCAGCCGTGAAAGCAATCATTGATTCAAGCGCCGAACATGGGGTGCGCAACATTATCTTTCCCTGCTGTCACCGTGGGAAACTCAATATTATGAGCAATGTGACGCGGAAACCCAATGAATTGATCTTCAACGAGTTTTTGGGCGAAATGAAATCCCGACCTGATATTCCTGGTGATGTCAAATACCATCTTGGAATGAACTATGAGCGCGAGACCCCATCTGGAAAGAAGGTCAATATTTCTATCTTGCCGAATCCATCCCATTTGGAAGCACAGGATCCCGTTGCTCAGGGGATGGCCCGCGCTGTCCAACAACAGAATGGAGAAGACAGATCGTCTACCATGGTTCTCAACAGCCACACTGATGCCTCTTTCTCCGGACAAGGTGTGATCTACGAGACTCTGGGACTTTCAGGTCTAAAGTCATACGAGACTGGCGGGACCGTCCATTTGATTGTGAACAATCAAGTCGGCTTCACCACAGATCCCGAGTCCGCCCGGACATCTTATTATGCATCCGATATCGCGAAGGGTATCAATGCGCCTGTTTTCCATGTTAATGCAGATGACGTTGAAGCAGTTGTTTTTGTGTCAAAACTCGCAGCGGACTACCGAGCGAGATTTGCAAAAGACGTTTGGGTCGACTTGATCTGCTATCGAAAGAATGGACACAACGAGATGGATCAACCATCCTTCACCCAGCCATTGATGTACGAGGAAATTGCAAACAAAACCCCACAGTTGCAGCTTTATGTCGATAAATTGACGAGGGAAGGGGTCATCTCACGCGAAGAAGTCTCAGCCATGGAAGCTGCTGTGTGGAACACCCTGAGTGAGAGTCTCGAGAGCAGCAAAGACATGAAGCCCGTCGATCGGGAGTATTTGACAAAGCCATGGGAGGCTCTCAAAAAGCCAGAAGATGTTGCCCGAGAGGTCTATCGTCCAAAGCCAACGTCAATTACTCAAGATGTTGTCGACACGGTGGCGAGCAAACTGGGTGTCCCAGAGAAGCCATTTGTCGTCCACAAAAGTTTGAACAGGATCCTTCAAAAAAGACAGGAGAGCTTTAAAGATGGGCAAGGTATTGATTGGGCTACGGCGGAAGCTCTAGCAATGGGAAGCCTCTGTCTAGAAGGCCACCATGTACGAGTTTCGGGCCAAGATGTTGAACGAGGGACCTTCTCACAGCGCCATGCATTGCTGCATGATCAGAATGACGCTTCAAAGAATATCCCCCTTGACACACTAAGTCGAGATCAAGCTAGATTCACCATTGGCAATTCCTCACTGAGTGAATATGGCGTCATGGGATTCGATTACGGGTACTCTTGCATGCACCCAAATGCATTGGTAATGTGGGAAGCCCAATTTGGAGACTTCGCAAATAATGCTCAGTGCATTATTGACCAGTTCATTGCCTCTGGTGAAGACAAGTGGTTACTTCGATCCGGTCTTGTGCTCTCCTTGCCTCACGGATTTGATGGACAAGGATCAGAGCATTCCTCTGCCCGTATGGAGAGATTCTTACAACTCTGTAACGAGGATGCTCGCTTTTATCCGTCGCCAGAAAAGCTAGAGAGACAACACCAAGATGCTAATATACAGATTGTTTGCATGACGACCCCTGCAAACTTGTTCCACGTTCTGAGGCGACAACTACACCGGGAGTTTAGAAAGCGTATGTTCATGCCTTTCGTTTTTGCTTTGGCCTACATATACTAACAGTCACAAACAGCGTTGATCATTTTCTTCTCAAAGTCCCTTCTTCGTCACCCGATGGTCAAATCCAACATTACAGAGTGTATGGGGGACTCTGGATTCCAGCCTCTTATTCCTGACCCAAACCACGGAGTCTCAATTTCCGAGCCATCTGAAATCAAGCGGGTGATCTACTGCACGGGACAAGTATACATGGCACTGGCAAACTATCGTGAAACGCACAACATCACCGACACGGCGATTACTCGCATTGAGCAACTTCATCCGTTCCCTTGGCAGCAGGTGAAAGAGAATCTCAATAGCTACACCAGTGCGTTGGATTTTGTCTGGTGCCAAGAAGAGTCTCTCAACGACGGTCCATGGGCATTTGCCCGAACTAGGCTGGAGACCATCTTTGATACCATGGAACAGTTCAAAGGTCGTCGGGTACGATTTGCAGGACGTGAAGCCACATCTTGTGTTGCCACCGGATTTGGAAAGGAACATCATGCCCAAGAGCGCGGCTTGATCCGGGAGGCCTTTGGTCATCATGAAGTCCAAGACAGTTCCGCTTAGCTCTTGGAAGTCATTGCGACCCTCATCTTTTCTCGCACTGGACTTTCAATTACTCAAAGATAAACTCTGCATACAATACAAATTGAAATTTCTTTTCGGAATTTAAAAACAAGCACGCAAGCAATGAAAAATAAAATATCCTTACTTTTGAGAGGCTGGTTTCGATGGCTAGCATTCCGGGGATGTGTTTCGCAATCAACCCCTTGATTCATCTAACCCAACGTCGTCTTCACTGCTCTTCGGCAAAGCAAACCAAGAACAGTTTCTTTCACTCACAAATATTTCAGATCTCGACTCAGCACCATGGGCAAAGCTGAAACACCAGAGTGGGATTCCGTAGATACGGAGGCTGCCGCCAGCGACACCGGTCTTCAAGACCAGCACAAAGAGGATTCGCATGGCGACGTGGACAACGACCCATTCGGAAACGAGGAAAATGCAGAAGTCAAGTATCGCACTATGAAATGGTGGTAAGTCTATAGCGAGATGGCAGGTTAGAACCAATGGCAATACTGACTACTCTGAGTAGGCACTGCGGAATGCGTGGGTTCGAGCACCTTATGATGCATGGTGGCATCGATTTTGATTTATTGCTCTTTAGTGATGATTGCTGTCAACATATCGCTGGGGATCCTTTCGCTTCCCTCCGCTGTTGCAACTCTGGGCATAGCACCGTGAGTATGCCCCGTCAACCCGGGGAAAAACACTGACCTGAGATCATTAAGCACCGCAATTCTGATTGTGTTTCTCTCTGGGCTATCCTGGTACACTGGATACGTGATAGGTCAATTCAAGCTACGCCATCCACATGTTCATAGCATGGGAGATGCTGGTGAAATCCTAATGGGCCGAGTTGGTCGCGAAATCCTAGGAGTCGGACAATTGCTCCTCCTTATTTTTCTGATGTCAAGCCATTTACTGACTTTCACCATTTTGATGAATACCCTTACTATGCATGGTACTTGCACGACAGTCTTTGGTGTTGTTGGCCTTATCATTTGCTTCCTAGGTGCCCTTCCGCGTACTATGGGAAAGGTATACTGGATGTCTGTCGCATGTGAGCTTTCTGATATTCACAAACTTGTCACGGAACTAATTCTACATAGCCTTTTTGAGTATCTTCATCGCGACTGTAGTTACTATGGTCTCGATTGGCGTGGAATCGCATGGGCCTATCCAGAATGAGGTTGTGAGAGAGACCAGCTTTTACAAGGGCTTTCTGGCAGTGACCAACATTATATTTGCCTACAGTAAGGCGATGGTTCCTACTACCCTCTGGATACAGATGAGACTAACTTCCATTTCAGTTGCCCACGCTACGTTTTTCGGGTTTGTCTCGGAGACTGAGGATCCAAGAACTTTCCCAAAATCCCTAGCAATGCTTCAGGTAGTCGATACCGTGATGTATCTGGTTACTGCGATGGTCATATATCACTATGCTGGTCCTGACGTCAGATCACCTGCACTTTCGTCTGCAGGCCCCCTTATGAAGAAAATTTGCTATGGTTTAGCTATTCCCACGGTCGGTCATCAAATATTGCGCCAAATAAGGATCTCCACTGAAAACAGTTTTAGGTGATTGTTTCGGGTGTTGTCGAAGGCCATGTGGCTTGCAAGTACATTTACGTCCGTGTCTTTCGAGGATCGGACCATATGCACCAACGCAGCTTTCTGGCAATTGGATCGTGGGTTGGAATTGGACTTGCTGTTTGGACGGTTGCATGGATCATTGCAGAGTCCATTCCTGTTTTCAACGATCTATTAAGCCTAATTGTAGGTCACCCAGAGTTGTCCATTCATGGGTTGGTATACTGATGTTCGCATACAGAGCTCACTTTTTGGAAGCATGCTTTGCTGTAAGTTTCTCTTATTATTTGGCTCTATTTTCTCCCCTGTGCTAACAAAACACTGAAGATGCTTTCCCCGCTCTTTTCTGGCTTCACATGAACCGAGGACAGTATTTCTCAACTCCATCAAAGGGACTCTTGACAATTTGCAATTTGAGCATCTTGGCTATTGCCTTTGCAATGGTAAGCTCGCAACTAAGACCCAAATTTTCCTTGCTCATAATATTCACAGTGCGGTATGGGTCTATATGTGTCAGGCAGGGCCATCAATGAGAGCTCTGGCAGCAGTAGTTGGTCCTGTGCCAACAACAGTTGAAAGCTGCGAGATTGAAGGGACCTTAGAGGGGTCCCAAAGATAGAATAGCTTGGAAACAATCAGGAGATCTCACACAAATCGGTAACTCAGTCAGATAAGGAAACAAAGTGACTTCCACATTTTTGTGTAGACACGCCCAGAGAGCTAGGGAGGTCAAAGCCAGTTAACTTCTCCAACTTCAAAGTTCCAGCAACATAGTCTCCGGGTTTTCGAGGTAATTCTTTATCATAACTAAGAATTTCACAGCCTCGCGTCCATCAATGATCCGGTGGTCATATGTCAACGCGATGTACATCATCTGTGTTTTGGTTAGAATCAAAGCAACACGTTACGTGCTTGGTAAACTCACCGGGCGGATCTCAACTTGTCCATTGACCGCGACTGGTCGGTCTTGAATACCATAAGTTCCCAAGACTGCAGTCTGCGGCAGGTTGATGATCGGTGTACCAAACAAAGAGCCCCAGATACCACTGTTGCTGATTGTAAAGCTCCCTCCGTTCAAATCGTCCATAGTCAACTTTCCATCTCGAGCCTGGATAACAATATTTGTGAGTATTTATTCTTTCCTCGTATGCCAAAGAACGTGATCTTACCTTCTTGACTAGCTGAGCGATACCTTGTTCGATTTGCAGGATGCTCATGGACTCAATATTCCGCAGCACGGGTGTCACAAGCCCCTTTGGAATTGAGGCTGCAACGCTCAAATCAACATAGTTGCGGTAGACAATCGTATCATCATTTTCAATTGATGCATTCACTGCAGGGACTTCTTTGAGGGCAAGAACTGAAGCCCGGGCCATGGATCCCATAAGACCAAGCTTCACTCCGTGCTTTTCTAGAACCGCCTCCTTGTTCTTTTTGCGGAAATCCAGCAGGCTAGACATATCAACCTCGTTGAATGTAGTTAGAAAGGCGGCTGTATTCTGGGACTCTTTGAGGCGTTGTGCTGTGCGCTTTCGGATTCGAGTCATTTTGACCTATGGTTGGGAGGGGTTGTTAATATGTATACCCCCTCAACGAGAGTTGCATTGACTTGCCTTTTCTTCCGCACGACTAGGCATGTATCCCTGGAAGGTGTCAGGTTCCTCGGTGGATTTGGCAGGTGCGCTGCTTCCCTTCATGCTGGGAGCTTCTTTCGATGTCTCTTGTTCGGCCTTGGGTTTGGGTGGATCAGAGGATCTCTGTTCTGTTGTTGTCGATGGAATGGAGGACTGGGTCTTTTGCGAAGAGTCGTGCTGTGCATCTACACTAGCGGTGCTTGGTTCCGCACTTGGTTGATTCCCGTCTTGCTTTTCGCCCGGCTGAATCTCTGCGATTACTTGGTCGACGGTAACCACATCCCCCTCGGCGACGAGTAGCTGCTGGATGAGACCGGCCTGTGTGGCATTCACAGATACATCAATCTTATCGGTCTCGATCGTTGCAAGTTCTTCGTCCATCTCAATGAAGTCCCCAACGCTCTTGCTGAATTGGCTCAAAGTGCCCTCCGTTATGGACTCTGCCATTGGTGGAACTCGCACCACAATATTGGAGTCATATTTGCGCAAAGAAGTGCTGAAAAGGCGGAACTGAGGTTTCGGGTTGTAAGGGTAATGTTGGTACAATGTGATGGGTGCACGTAGCAGGCCTTTCGGTTGGGGGTCGACGCACCGTCCCGGAGCGCGTAGTAACGTCTTAGGAAGCCACAAGATCGGGCGAGAAGTCCAACGTGACGCCATTTGTGGAGTGAGACAAGCCAAAGAAGTCAGTAAAGAATTGATTCTCAAATTCGGGAATTTCCAAATGTCTTAACACTCTCTCGACGAATGGAGGGAGCTCGGGCAGTTCTGCCGCGTTTCGGCATCTTGTCAATTCGCCGCGAGGGCGATATAGGCGACTCCGAAGCTATTCATTAGGTGGATACGACAATTAAACTTCACCCCGAGTTCAACCAGCTAGTGCCTTGAGCCTAAGATTTCATTGGCGAAATCCCAGGGCCTGAGTCCTCGGAGAGGATTGTCTTCTATGTTAAAAGGGATACTGGGCACTACATTGTAAGTCTTACAATTTCCAGTCATCGCCTGCCCAAGTTCTCGATATGAAATGTGTTACCAGGTCTAATATATTTAATGTCTAGGGAATTATTCTCATACAACAGCTATAAAATCAACCTGGATGTCCACACCGGCCGGTAGCTTGGACACCTCCACCATAGACCTTGCAGGGCGATGGGGAAAAGCAGGATCATAAACAGATGCAAACTCAGGCATAACTGTAGCATCTTTTACATAGACCTAATGAAGCATTAGAATTGACAGCAGTACACTGGTAAAGTATCACTCACCACTACCTTAACGACTCTATCGAGTCCGGTACCCGAGGCTTTGAGAATTGCTTCGGTATTCTTGATTATCGCTTGGGTTTGTTCGGTCATTGAACCTTTGATCAAATTGCCTTGAGCATCCGCCGGAATCTGGCCTGACAGCCATACTTGCCCGGCGGCTTTGATCGCTTGTGACTTGATTGTTTGTTAGATACATGTAGCAGGTATGTTTGGATCAATCCGACATACATAGTGGGCAAATGCTAGTTGAATTGTTAAGTATTATATGAGTATTATATGAGATGACTTTATTTGCAAAGAACACTTACGAGCATATGCTTCATTCGTTTGTATACTGGTCACCAAGCCGTAGTTCGGCGCACTGGAAGACATGGCTTGGTTGCGAACAGCAGGGTGCCAGGGCACAGTCACAGATATGCGATTGAGCCGACCTAATGCGAGAGCACTGCGTGAGCTTCGGCTAAACATGGTGTATTATGAAGATTCAATGGCTTGTGGTAGTTGACCCCTCTTAACCAAAGATCTTATCAGCAAGATGTCGGAGCCCCATCCCGAGGGTCGGAGGCACATCCGACTTGTCCTTTTTTTTTTCTCTCGCCAATGCAACTGAGTAAGCATCACATTATTTCTATATCAGACTGCATGGCTTCGTTAAAGCATAAGTATTTTCCAACAGCATTGAATTTGTAATCGACTGAAATGTCCCCCGCAAGATCAGTCGGACGCCTCTTGTCCTCCCAGTACGTCTTGCTTTCAGCACTTCGTTCTACTATCTAACCTGAGCAGAGCCTGGAGCTGTACTTCAATCTCTACATCGCGCATTTGGTATCAATCACTCAATCAGAAACGCATGAGCTCCTCAGCAGCGGCTGTAGCCTCAGAGGCCGAAACCACAGCAGCGCAGGCAAAATACAAGATCGTCCAAGACTCAGGCGACTTTGAGGATGCTGAAGCCAAACGTCCAAACTTTGATCAATCCAAGCCAATTGAAGTAACCAAATCTCCTAATCCCAATTGGAAATATGGCCAAGGAGTCCCGGGTGCCAATCCCGCGGCAAAGCACCATGAGATCGACCCATACGCCTCAGATCGACCGATGATCAACAACTACCGCCTGCTTGTTTCAGGAATTGCCCCACGACCGGTAGGCTTCCTCAGCACAGTCAATTCCAAAGGAGAAAAGAACCTGTCACCGTTCAGTTATTTCCAAGTCATTGATCATGACCCACCAATGTTCATCGTGGGCTTTTCGTCGCGTCCGGGTCGCGTCAAAGATACCTATCGCAATTTAAAAGAGACAGGGGAATGTGTCATCAACACCGTTTCGGAGAACATGATCGAAGCAGTAAATGCGACTTCGATTGATGCGCCATATGGCGTGTCGGAATGGGATGTATCTGGTCTTCACGAGGCGCCGTCCACTACAGTGAAACCGAGCCGGGTTGCGGAGTCTGTGTTCAATATCGAAGGCAAGGTCATTGATATCAAGGAGTTCACGGATCATCAACAGCCAGGAATGAGTCTTGCTGCAACGGTTCTTATCAAGGCCACTCGGTTCTGGGTGAAGGAGGGTACTGCGAATGAGGATTATAGCCATATTGACCTTGAGAAGTTGCGGCCAGTCGGTCAGCTTGGTGGTATCTCTTATGGTCGGATAGTGTCAACCTTTGAGCAGCCACGCAAGAAGTGGAGCGATGAGGTGCCGAAGAGTGAGATTTTGGCGAAGCTTGAGGCCGAGAAACCTGTCGATCAATGATCTCATTGCACAGTTGTATATCACACAGCGAAGATAGACGTGAACATTACAACTGTTTTGTATATATCAACCATTTTCAACTTTGTATATGTGAAGTTGGCATTTGCAGCAGGCACAAATTCAGTAAATCGAACAAGTGGTAAATTGTCATAGACCAGATTCCATTGGATTTGCTGAATTTTCATTTTTCGGTTTAACGTGTTTGAACTCCAAATTGATAAGAATATGGATCATGACTGAAATTCGACATAAAGACGCTAGCAAGAACCCTGGAAATCGCATAGCTGTAGTCATCAACGGGGGAATATGGAAAGAACGAAGTTGGCTAAAGAACCAATAAAAAAAGCCCAGAACGTAAACGGTAAACGCCGACCCGACCTGCAGGAAGCTGAAACGTATATCGTCAGTGACCAGTCAAGTCGTGAGGATTCAGATGCAACCGACAGCTCAGATCCTCAAACCCCTATGAAACAACACGTGCAGCAGGAGGTTTGGAAACCTCAGGACTCTGGAACTGGGCAAGGTGGTAAGGCCCATGATCCTGTTTGTAGTCAAAGAAGGACTCCCCCGAGCTGCGCCGCGATTCAGTAGCCTGGGCTTTGCGTGGTCCCTGTGCGCCGAACCGCTGTGTTGCGTAGTTGCCGTAGAAACCGGAGTCGCGTTGGCGTTCTTCTAGGTCTTCGCGGTCATCGCGGCGCTGGCGCTTGAAGTAGAGGACTACCAGGACAATGATGGCCGTGAGGAGAAGGCTGGAAGGGGGTTTAGTTGGGGGCGCTTTGGGGGGGGATATTTTCAAGAATGATTGAATTTGTCGGATTCAGTGCAGGATACTCACACTCCTGTGATAGCGGCTGGTACACCGACGGTAAGTGCTCGACTGGTGGGCTTATCGGAGTCTCTCCGGAAGAGGGTAACGAGTGTATTCGGGAGCATGGTTGAAATGATTTAAAAGAGTGTGGTTAAAGAAAGGCTTAAAGTCTCAGGGGAGAATGAGAGTTTGTGGGGGAAATCATCCTCCAAGACAATGTTTCAGCGAAAAGATCGGGATTGGAGATCTAGGGTAAATAGGGAAAAGGGGGTGGCATTCCTCAACGCCCAAGGGCTTGGCGGTTGTGTTTGAAGGGCCTCTACGGAGTATACATCTATAAACAATCTCTCGCTGGCTGCAGAGATGTTCACTGATTTTATTTTTCTCCTTTTTGGTTTTCTTTTTCTCTGGCTTTTCTTCTTTTGCTTCTTTTTGGCAGATCCGTGGAGCGCCTTTAATTTAAGACGTTTATTGTTTTGGCAGCACGTTCCCACTTTACCCGCATTTCTACCGGATACGATTTAGTACGTTAGGCGCTCGTGTGGAATACTCCAACCTTGGAGGACTATGTACGAGTATGATAAGCACTACGTACTCTATCTCTTATCGGCTGTTAAACAAAATTGGAGTAAAGCAACGTATTTGTTCCGGAGATGTTGAACATAGCTGTAGTAAGTCTTGAGGTCGTGTTCATAAATACATTGAATGGGATCAATCATCCATTTCGTGGTCACCAGAAGTCGAGTCGCCCCGCTGAAGGGATGCCTCAATGGCAGGCTCGATACGGAAGTGTCCCATGTGAAACAGAGCATCCTGCCACGCCGGCCCAGCCGTCGCTTGGATCTTGTAATAAGGGGCGTCCATGGAAAACCATCGCTCCTTGCGAACCGAAGCTTTGTCGCCGCCCTCAAGAGCAGCGCGGCTAGCCCGCGTGTTTCGTGAGCGCCTCTCTCCACCATTCTCCGACATCGTCAACTCGAACAGGCTTTGACGGTATTGATGCAAACGCCCATCAAAGACCATAATGGCTCGGATGTATGGAGCCAAATCCTCGGTGATTGGTGCAAGTCCATTCTCGAATGACGGAGCATGCCGAGCGGTAGGTGTAGGGATAGAGTAGTTTGCGCGCATGATTGGCTCGAAAATGCGTTGGAACTGCGGTAAAGTCGATGGAGGGGTTGGGGGTGGCTGAGCAGAGACGATGGATTTGTTTAACGATCGGTTGGCGTATGAAGACTCAATATCTACCCCGGCTGTAGGGCGGAAGGTTCGGTTGATCAACGCTTCGAAGGTGGTGCCGACGAGTTCGCTCAGGGATGAATACTCGGTCTTCAGTCCGGTCTGAAGAACTGGATAGTTGTCCAGATAATTTGATCGATAGCCTTCGGGCAATGGCGGTGCAGAGATGTCAAGAAGATCCTGCCAAAACATTAGCACTGGACTTTGATCCAAGAGTACTGTCACTTACACTGCTGGTTTCTGTTGCGAAATTAGAGCAAAGAATATCAAGTGAGCTTTTCATGTCATAGTAGTCGGCTTCGCGACACATCATATTCAGCACATCCAACTTGGAACTTGACTGGACTCTTTGAGGTGGCAGAAGTTCGTCGTTGCTCCTCCCAGCCATGTCTTCGGACTCTTGTAGGCCAAGCCCCCACCAGTGAAAGCTGTTGCGAATGACTTCCGTCTCTCCGTCCAAAGAACTGTGAGACAGGAGCAAGTCACGATTGAACCAACCCATATATCGTTCATATGTGTTAAGGCTCAAGACTCGCAAGTGGTCTCCGTTTTGATCTACATTGGATTCTGGCGGCCAAGCAGGAAGTAGCCAATCCAAGCCTGACTTTTCGCTGCCAACACCCATTTGGCACCAGAAATTCAGTTCCATGAGTGACTTCCGAAGGTCAAGCCCAGATCCTTGGTAAAGCCTTGTGACAGCTTCTCTCTTCAATATGTGGCCCTCGTTGGCGGCGACTAAGAGCAGGTAGTCGATGCAGAAGTCCGGGGACGGTTTTTGATAGCGCAAAATAGCATGCAGTGACATGTCTTGAATGGGAATCAAACTCTCATCATTGCAGGTGATGATTATTGGTCGTTTAGATTGGCTGATGAGAGTAAAAACGCCCGTCCAGAACTGCCGATCTTCGTCAAAGAGAATATCCGCTTCTTCTAGGAGGATCAATGACTGCTTCTGCTCTCGGGGCCGTTTTGACTCAGTTGGGCCTTGAGTGTGTTGCGGGCTGTCATTGTCTCCCGGCTTGCTGGAATTTGCAGCGGGACCTTTGAAAAAGCTCATCAATTTATTGGACTTGCTGGCAGCTTTGCTGCTGGGAACACCATCAGAGTCATTGAGAAGATGGACCAGATGATTTTGGGTCATGTCACCAACTCGCTCCAGCATGTCTCGTGCATTTCGTCGGGTTCCAGCATTGATTTCGAAAACTTCAAAATCCAGTTCTTTGGCAATGGCATGAACCGATGCAGTTTTGCCACAGCCGGAAGGGCCGCTGATGAGAATTGCATTAGACATTTGGGACTTTCTCTCGTTTTGAGGGGCTGAGAACGAGTCCCCGGATCTGACGACAGTCCTCGGCATCGACGTCGTGACATCTCCTGCTAACTCATCGTCAGACCCAGAAATGTTGTCCATCTCCGAAGCCTCTTCCTCGCTTGATACAATGAAGTTATCAAGTTTGTCGGCTTTCCGTCGCTTCTTCTGTTTCTTCTCGCGATTTGATTTGGGTTTAGCGCCGTCTTTGGTTGGCTTCCCAGTATCAACTGCTGTGACTCTGAGGTGATATAACCAGTCACGGAGCATCTGCGGCTCCCGTCCGAGTTGAAGCACATCGTCCGCTGACTTTGGTGCGTGCTTTTGTGTCCAAAGCTGAGTCTCATATTTTCCAAGATCGATAGCAGAGGCCGAGGAAAGCAATGCAGATCGAAGCCTCGCGAGAGGTGGGCTAGCAGGGCCCCAGTGGAACTTGCGTTTAGGTGAGGACCATGACATTTGCTTTTCCATTGCCGCTTGTAGAACATTGCTGCTGGCAACATGTCGTATAGGATGACGCAGTATGCCTAAACTATCCCGGGCTTGATTCTTGGGCAATTGGGCGATCTTTCTGGCCTCGGAAGTTTCACACAGAAAGACATTCTCTTGATCCCTAATCGAGATCGCCGCAACCTTCGACTTTTTCCTGTCTTGAGAGACGTGCGAAACGACATCGTTGGTTCTCGTGGGAAAGCAGGTATCTCGAACGTGCACCAAGTCTCTCGGGGGCCACAGAGGATGAACAAGCTCTGGAAACTTAGATACACGGCGAGGAGGCCTAATGAAGGAGCTCTCTGAAGCAGGTACCACTCGGCTTTTGTCGGGCGTTCCCGCTGTGCTGGGGGTTGACGTCGAGGGGTCTGTTTGGCCATCAATCATGCTTGACTGGCTGGTATTTTGTGCTGAGCTTTTGTTGAAGAATGGATGAGTAGGTTTCCGAGTGGTTGTTTTTGTTTTGCGAGGCTGGGCGACAGGAGTAGGCACAGGTACGTTTGGGACGACAGGCCCGTTCAAGATATCGTTGATCAACTGTCCCGTGTTGTTTTCCGCCCCGACGTTATATTTAAATATAACCAGCTTTCTACTGTCCTTCTGTGTCCTGCGCTGCTTCCCTCTCCCCCTCTTTTGCGTGTCCGGTGGCGGGCTCGAGCCGGGCGAAGAGAGGAACTTGCCCTTCGAGTTCAGCTTGAGTGTTTTTTGCCGTGCAGAAGATCTTCCAGATGGGGCTTTTGATGGTTGTTCTTCGGTCGATTGCGAGATTTGGACAGCATTGGGAAGGGTGACGTCCGCCGGCGGAGCCCCCGACTGAAGAGCTAAGGTGGGTTCTGCGTCGTTCAGAGAATCGGGCGCCGGAGAATTGATACCTTGGGGGTTAACACCAAGCCATGCTGATATTCCAGCGCTTGCGGTGCTGTTCGGTTCTGATGCCTGGGTTTTGTTCATCCGTCGCCTCTTCCTCCGACTCTCATTCTGATCCTCGTCTGCAGTCATGGGATCCCCTTCGACGGTCCGGGAGACACTTGAGTCAAGATCATCTTTATCCTCCGGGCAAGCTTCATCTATAGTGCTATTAGGGGTTATGGGTCGAGGATCCTTCGTATTGATGTCGGCGGTCGAGAGTTCTTCCAACGGCGTAGGTTTTGCTATAAGACCGGTGAGAGATATTTCATACAGAAGGTTGACTTTTGTTCTGACCTGGTCGAAAGAAAGGATGTATAGCCTGCTGGTCGTCGGATCTCATGGCCATCGGTGGATTGGATGCGATGTCCATATGGTGAACGATCAGAGATTCCCTCAGGGGAAACTGAAGATAAAGCAATACACTGGCTGCAGCATTGAAATGACAGGCTTTTGAGAGGGGCTCTGGAGCTATTGCTTGGGATCAAGATTGCAAATAAGTCCCGATCCCTCTATAGATTCAGACACGTCCGGACGCGCCGGCGCGTTAATTGCGAAGTGGCTTATGTCAGGGTGGATCCAAACCTCATAATACGCTAGCCTCTTATGTACTAGGCATTAGCTCTCCGGCCCGACGTAATCCCGAAAATTTTTCAGATTTCCAAATTGGATGGCTCGGATCGAAAAGAACACACGTTGTGAAGGGTCAGGAAATCAAGCATTTTGTGACATTCACTACTTGGTTTCGTCATGGATTTGCAGTCTCCATCTGTGCTGGCGCAATTGCCTCGCCCCCTACACGCCTCCACCGGCCAAACACGTATCGGCGATGTCTTCAGTCTTGCCGATGCGAAAAAACGCAAGCGCTATGAAGTCGCAGTCGCCGTTGATGGAGAGGCTGTCAACATCTATAACGTACCACTCTCTGCCCTCCTGGTACTATTACGTATAAGGCTGACTTGAGTGTTTTCAGGTGCAAACCCCAAAGCTCGTGACTTCTTACGCTGTCCCGCCGCAATCTACTTTCTCGTGCCGCCCATGCTCAATCCGCCAGAAAGTGTCAAAGAAGTCAGCAGTTCGAAGACAGACATATACAGCGGTTACCAAGCCCGAACATCAGATAAAATGCTTTGTGGAGGAGATTGGAAGCACCGGCTCTAGTGCCCCGATTATCTCTTCGTCGACTACCACCGTGACCGACTCAACCAGCCCTACCACCTTCGTTGGAATTGTCCCTTCAAGTACCGGTGCAGAGAGAGAGGCGGATCCATTCGATATTTTGGCTGTTCACGAGGACGGTCGTGTGCGCAGACTGTCCTCGGACCTGAAAACCCAACGATGGAGTATCCAGCACAGCGAAATCGCCAAAGTATGCGCTACGCATAATGTCCAATCTAGCTTTTTGGTCGAGTTCGAGGATGCCAAGAAGGCTTTGTTCAAAAGACGGCAGGACCTTGCCTCATTGGCACTAGGCGATATCATCACCGCCGGTGTCAACGAACCATCCATTTTGCTTATCGTGTCGCACCCACAGAGCGCCGGTCGAGTCTCCTTGAAGGACATCATTGTTCAAATGTTCTCTGTTCCCGCCGATTCGAAATCCGAGTCTCGTGTGGACGAAAGCCAGCGCCTGCGCCATTTGCAAACTTTCCACATCCCGGACGTGAACGGCTTGGAGACTACCAATGACAACGCAATGCAGTGGAGCTTCCATTCGGGCTCCGCAGGATTGAACCTTTCTTTCGAGAAGGGATTCATTAACGTTGATCTCTCTCAATACTCTCCCTCGGTGACATCGCAATTTGTTCTCGAGGACGAAAGATTTACCTCTGTCATGCGCATTTCTCCTCAATCCATCATCGGAGCACAGAAATCGCTTGTGGCCGTGTATGATACCCAGTACCATTCTGTGCAGCGCAGTATTCCCGTTGGGGACCTCTTGTCAAGCACTGGTTCAGCTCCGGAAACTCCCACAAACTTCATTAGCTACTTTGCCAAGCTTGGAATCGCAGTGGCAACCAAAGGCAATACCCTTATTGCCTTTGATTTGAGCTCTCTTCCCAGTGCGCCGAGCTCTTCACTGAAGCGTACAAGGGATAGCCTACTTATTGATGCCATTGGAAGAGGTATTGGGTCATCTGCTGCCCAATGGGACGTTGCATCCAAGAAACACCGGTCTGACAACGTGGCGTCGCTCCGACTCAACTCTCCAGAAGAAGTCACCAAGTGGACTCAACTCACAACCACCGTTGAGAAGGCTACTGCGGCGAAGAACGTTGACTTGTTCGATAATGCCGTTTTGACTTACTTTAGCACTGCCGACACCTCAACTGTTCTCCCAGTGCGCGGACAATATGTCAACTCAGAAGCAACTCTTTTCCTGCTGTCGAAGATTTTCGCTGTCGAGGAAATTGCTTCCAATGATACAATTTCTGCTTCCTCGTCTTCTCAACTTCGCGTTGCCATGTGGCCTCCGACCACTTGTGACTGGCTTATCCGCCTGGGACACTTCTCCCTCGACAATGTTGAGATCGCCCTGCGCCGGGCCTGCAAGCCCCGTATCCTGCAGTCTTTCCCAACCGGCTCATTCATCCAAGCTCTTCTGGACTCTGACCCATCCCTGAAGCAGGTGAACCAAGTGCTCGATGGACCCACCTTGATTTCATCTGACGAGCTTGCCTACGCTCTGAAGTCCTTCTTGAATCAGGCTCGTTCCCACTCTGGGACTCTCGAGGAAACCGCTCGTGCGATCACAAACGGTGACCTGGCAACACCTACGCAAGAGCTCTCAAAACAACTCGGGGCTGAAACTGCGACCCTCAAGAGTATCTTCGCCGGGCTGAATACCTCCTTACAAAAAATCCACTCCCAACCTATGACAGTCGTGGTTGGCTCTCTTCGTTCTAATCTCTCGCGCACAGAACTTATCTCTATGGTTCACCATCTCCGTCTCTCCCTCGCCACCGGTGGTTATACCTCTCGGTTTACTGAAAATCCTCCTACTCCTATCACACTCGACCAAATCACCCCTACCCTCTCCCTCAACGTCATTGTTGACCTTCTCACTGCCTCTGTTGACGCCGTTGGCCCCTCTGGTTGGATCTCCGCCATCCCAGCAGTCAACGAGTATGAGGACTCGGACTCCGCTGCGGCCGCCGCCAGCCGTGAAATGGAGCTGATCGCGGACATGAAGTCAGAAGTCTCCGCAGCACTCGCCGGAGTCGAGGAGGCGACACATCTCAAAGGCATCCTATGCGAGTACCTTCGTTTTGCCGACCAAGTCGACACCTCGAAGGCCCACTCTGAGGACGCGTTGGCCAAGATGGATGCCGAAGCCGCGGGTCCATCCCACTTGGTCCGCCATGAGAAGCTCAACGGTGCTGACCTGATGGTCTTCACTCGCCCAGGTGAAGGGGAGGACGGCTTTGATGGCGATCACGGAGGCAAGATGCTGCCTCTGTCACTCAAGGCCGCCTCCAATGACGTCTCTCGCACGAAGACCAAGAAGTCCACCGGTGAGGTCAAGAACCGCAGCAGCCGTGAGATTGGATACCTGCGCCGCAAGGCGGTTGGCAAGTACTCCTTCGAACGACTCATTATCTAAAAGCCATGCTCATTTCCTGTTCTATACTGTATCATTTTTTTATGGGAGACAATATCCTAGGAGTTAGACATGACCAATACATACTTGTTCCAAGGTTTCCAGACTACATTACATCACTCGAATTACTCGTAATCTTGGATGCCTCGAAGTCACATAAAGTAAAGAAAAAGAAAAGAAAGGCCACCCTTGCGCATGATATATTTAATGTGGCCCAATGGTCTGGATGAATATGCACGTCCTCGAAGGGATACACAGCGGAATTCCAGCGGGGAGTCCGGAGCCTTGCAGCTATATATAAGTGGGACGTGGAAAAATTTTACTCTTAATTTGGCCCTCAACCTGTAGAAATCTGGGCACAACACATAATTGAAACGGGCACTTGCAGGATCAGTACCTAGCCATAAGTCTAAAGCTTCAAACTCAGAACTGCCATCAAAATTCCATTTGAATGAGATTTGCGAGTCCGAGCTGATACCCAAGTAGTAATGTTGAAACGTAAGACTAAGTGGGACCGTCGCATTGGGTCATAAGGATTCAATAGTCACAGAACCTGGGGATTTAGAGAGCGGAGTAGCTTAAAAATGAAACAAGGGCAGTAGAAAGGGTGAACACAGATTGATAGATCGCAAAACATATAGATTTGGATATGGACGGTGCCCAAAAAGGTAAACAATGAAAAAAAAAGATAATAAACAAGGAGCTTAGGTGGAGCGACACCGCATCTCCGCACTGTTCTCTACCCACAGTCCTCTTCTCGAATCTCCATCTATTCTCTTAGTCCCGATCTATGCCTCCATGTGTGTGTATGGTTGTGCGCGAGTGTAGGACGCGATCATAACAAAGGAACAAAGGTGACAGGTGAAGATGAGCAACCAACCATGGCTCGACAGCCTGTCCGATGACTGGCCGTCAATGCCGGCCTCACCCACCAGTCCGGCTACCCAACCTGTCTCCCCCAAAGCTCCTAGTCAGCAGGGGACACCTAGCCGCATTCCTGTGCCTGCACGGCGCTCCGAACAATCACCCGGGGACAAGTCCAAGTCCAAGGACCAGGATAAGGACAAGAAGGTTACCCGCCCATGCCACTTCCACCGAAAAACACCTCCGACACCAAAAACCCCTCGAACACCCAAGACTCGAAAGCCTCGATCGCCGGCTCCCTCTCATTCTCACTCACATACTCCCAAGACCAACCCGAAAGTCGGTCCCAAGCCGAGCCCCGGGGCGGGACGTAAACAGTCCGCCATGGATACGCGCTCCCCTCTACGATCGGTGTCAAACGTCTCCAACACGTCAAATCAGTCGGAAATCCAGGGCACTGTTCAAATAAACACCAAAAAAGGAGGGGAACCGAAAGATGGCACGCCAGAATGGCGGCGGCGACTAGTGCGCGGGGAAATCGCTCACGGTGAGCACAGGGATCTGTTTGCGCCGATGGGCCTGGAAAGTGTGTTCAAGCCGCCTACACCAGGCGCGGCACAGGATGAATCTACGCCATTCCAAAAACACGATGATCAACTATGGGATTTCACCGACACTCCTTCGCGACACGACCGAGACGGCCACACCACGCGCGACGATGATACCCAACGCGTCGATGGCGAGATCGATGGAGTTACATACGAGGAAACCCCGCTAGGAACGGTAAATCACGCGCCGTGGGGAGACAATGGGCCCCAGGAAGGGGATTGGGACCCCGAGGGATTGACGCAGCCGGACGACACCCAGCAACGGACCGCGAGTGGGTTGGAGGATCTGCGCAACGAGGGCATCACACCCATCACCTTCAGCCGTAACAACACCTGGAATGGCAATGGCAACGGGACCTCTGAGGTGATCAAATCCGCACTGAAGCAGGTCACCAACAAGCTCGAAGGCCTGTCAATTGGAAATGACAGTCGCCCTGGCTCACCAGCGAGCGACAGTTTCCTGTTTGAGAACCACAGCGAACCTCATCCCAATGACTCTCGAAACGACAGTCTGCTCGACGTGACCAGTCACTCATTACCCCAAGACTTGTCGATGGGAACGGTGGACTTTCACAGCCGCCGGGGAAATCGCTCCTTCCCTCGCAGGTTCTCCCCTTCGCCCTTTCCCTCACATCGTCTGTCCCCTACTACTCTCGCCAACTCGAAAATTCGAAGCTCCCCCTTGTTTAACCCCCCTCACAAGCCTGGCTCACCCGGTCTGCCACGCCCTTCTTCGTCTCACGTCCGTCCGTCGACGGCTGGAACCGAAGGCAATGATTCCAAAATGCCCTCATCTGGGAGCCCTTTGAAGTTGTTTGGAAATCATGATACATTCACCAATAACAGGCTTCTTCGTCGCATGAGTCAATTCGAAGACAACTACAGCGATGGTTCCGAAGGAGAGGAACCCCCTTCACCTTCCGAAGAAGCGCGGAGGAAAGGCGAGAGTCGCAGCTTTTTGAATTCAAAGCATGAGCCATTGCGTGAGATCTCACCCAGACGAAACGAACGCGTCGAATCTCACAGTGATGCCCACCGAATAAGTCAATTTGGCCACGGAGAGTTGGATAAATTCGATTTCTCGGACAACAGCCCGTACGAACACAAGTTGGTTTATGACGAGGCCGCGGGTTTTGGCTCTCGGCCAACATCGCGCAAACGATCGTCAGGGCGACAACAGTATCTCCGTGGTCCTTCCCAGCAGTTGTACCACTACAGCCGATCGGCAAGTTCGGGATTCACCCGGAAGCCGTCTGCATGGATGCGTCAAGATTTCTTTGATGATGTGCGACCAGGATCTCGTCCAAGCAATAAGGAAAACATGCCTCCTGATGTCAAGCGAGTTCCCCGGGCACCAGGGATGGACCCCACCCCCAAACGGCGCCGAACAATCATGCGGAAAAATAGTGCGGACCCTCACCACAATGCGAACGGTGATTCGCCTCCAAAGTATGGCGAGAGCATGTCTCTTTTGCAAAGAAGCCTCATGCAACATGGCGTCCAGCTCGACAACACCGAATATCTCGCTCCACCCAGCATATCTCGATCTATGCAGCGACCGCGGACACCAACGCCAAGTCAAATACGGGCGGCTACAGAAAGTCGCATTTCGTCATACAGAGATTTCTCAGAACCAAACTTCCACGATAATGACTATTCGGATTCGTTCTCATTCGATGGCGAAGGGATTGTTCCCCTGGTCAAGATAACTGGTACCAGTGATACGTCGCGGAAGGGATCTATCACTACACAGGATTACTTGAATGAAGCCACCAAAATTATGGATTTGATCAGATCAAAAGGAAGAGGCGCAACTGGTTTGACGAGCGTGCACGAGTCTGATGTGGAAAGCGAAGGTGATGATTTCAGTTATGATGACGAATCTACTCGAGAAGCCTTTTCTCGACCACCTAGTCGAGATGGCACAGACCTGCGCAAGCTCAGAGAAGTCAAAGAGCTGAACCCGCAAATATTGAATCATCTGAAAAAATACCAAGAGCAGGATGACCCTGATGACCGAGAGATGTCCCTGCATGCTCGTCATGACCAGACTGAAGACCAATCTGAGCTTGATGACTACAATTCTCAAAACATCCGCATCCAAGGGCCAAGGAAACGCAAGACCAGCGGCATGGCTGACGATACAGCGGAAAACATCGCTCAGGATCTGATGACCATCAACACTCAAATGTCTGGCTTCAGTGTCAACTCCGTGCCAACAGGATCATCACAAAGCTCTGGGGTGAAGGGAATGTTAGCCTCTGATCTGGTCTCACACTTGATCCCTAATGAGGTGAACGGTTTCATATATGACCGGGCAAAGAACCAATGGGTGAAGGATGGACTGGAAGAACCAGAAGCACCGGTCTCGGAATCATCTGAGGAACACGAAGACCCATTCAGAGACATACCTGATCTGAGTGTGGATGAATTACAGGAGATGATGAGAGTGCATGGCCTCGGCTCTCCTTCTAAGAGCGATGCCTCGACGAATCCGGAAAACATGGCCCGTATACCTTCAGCGTTAAGCAAATCTCCAAGGAAACTCGACGTTCGACCCCACACGAGGGATGGTGTCCCTTCTATCAACACTAGCTCAGTCCATTCCAGACTCACCCGATTCACATCGAGTGTGCCCAACACCGGGACTAGAGCTTCCTCGTGGGACACCGAAGAGTATCCGCAGAGGAAACGTTCTGCTGAAGAGGATGTTCCAGCCCATACCCAGGAGGCCGCAGAGCCCAAACCGCTTCGAATCCAAAGGAAGCAAGCACGCGTTTCCACAGTCAATCTCTCGTCGTCACAAGGCTCCCGCCGTTCTCCGACATCTGAGGAGGCTGGCTCTCCACCTGATTCAAATGCGGAACATGTCTACCACGGAATTGTGCCGAACGATGATGCAACCCAAGCAAATCACGAGAGTGGCACAGTTCGGTCTTCCGTCCCTCCCACAGGGCGCCAAAGCTCGGTTGCCGGTCAACCTTTCATAAGACGCCCTATCTCAAGGATAGAAGAACGAAACGAGGAGACCCTTGACGAACAAAGCATTGTCCGCAGAAACAACTCGCTGCATGTCCAGGACACACCGGCCAGAAGTGAAGCACACCAGCATTTGATGCCCGTTAATAGCGCTGGGCCCGACACCAGCTATAGCTTCCATCTCAGCCCGCTTGCCGACTTTACCGTCAACCAAGGCGACCGACCATCCAACCCTGAGATGAGTTATGTGGCCCAGCGTACAAACCCTTCCTCCCTACGACAAGTGCACGGCACATTCGCCTTGGCGACCGAAGATTTGATCAAACATATCACAGACGTGGAGCCATATGAACCTTACTGGGAACATGTGCGTCGTCTCGTTCTGCGTGGCAAGGGGCTGATCTCATTGCACAAGCTAGATGAATTTTGCCCCCGGCTTGAGGAGTTGGATGTTTCCGACAATGACATTGGTCAATTGAGTGGGATTCCTTCAACCCTCAGAACCCTCAAGATCTCCCGCAATTGTCTCTCCAACTTAACACCCTGGGGCCACTTGACGAACTTGCAATACTTGGATGTTTCCGGAAATGACATTGAGACATTGGATGGATTCTCCAGCCTGATTCATCTCAGAGAGCTGAAAGCGAATGATAACCAAATTCGCAATATTGATGGTATTCTGGATTTGAATGGCTTGCTCAGTTTGAAATTGAGCAATAACTCTCTGACAACGGTAGACTTCGAAGGTTCGGAGTTGACTCGTCTACGTGACCTTGATTTGAGTCACAATTGTCTCACCTCTGTTCGCAATGTTGAATGGCTTCCCTCGCTTACCACTCTTGATTTGAGCGCCAACCAAATCACCCGCTTCGATTCTGCTGCTTCTCTCATCAGCCTGCGAGCCTTGAAGCTCTCGGAAAATCGTCTGGATGTCTTCGATACACAGCCCTTCTCTTCGGTCAGCCTTTTATACCTCGACCAGAATCATCTTTCGGCCATTACCAGCCTCGAACAATGTCAAAACCTCGAAGTTCTGTCTATTCGAGAACAGACATCCCCCAAAGAAAATAACCCTGATTTCGGGCTTGACATTGATTTGGGACTTGTGAAGGACGTCCGCAAAGTATTCATGTCATCCAATAAACTTTCCTCACAGAGCGTCTCTCCATCTGCCCCGCTTCTGCGGCTTCAGCTTCTTGATGTCGCTGCATGCACATTGAAGGGTTTGCCTAGTGACTTCGCCTTGAGTTTCCCTAATCTCAAGGTTTTGAACCTCAATTTCAATTCTGTGGGGGATGTTGAGCCTCTGGTGGGCATGAACTGTCTTGCCAGGCTAATGATTGTTGGCAACCGTCTCTCCCGGATGCGGAGAGTCTGTCAAGTTCTCAGTCGACTGGGTCGGACTGGCAAAGGGACCGCATGTTCATTGCGGAAGCTGGATGTTCGTGGCAATCCTCTGACAGTTGGCTTTTACCCTCCAGCTCTTACTGGAAGTGGCAATCCAGACAGAAAAAAGTTGAAGTCCCATGAACAGCAAGCGGTTGTTCGGCTTCGAGACCATCGTGACCTGTCTGAGGCTCTAGCCGAACTTGGAAAGGATGATCAAATTTCTCATCGTGCGACTATGGGAGAGGATACCCAACCCGACAGAGACGCTGAAATCAACGACCCCTTCATGGTGCCCCTTGCGGACGCCCAAGCGGATGCAAAGTACTTGAGACATCTCGACCAGGCCACGCGACTACGTCGAAGAGTTCTTGAGCTCATGCTCTACGCCGGCACAAGTGGCTCTCTCCATAGCCTTGATGGGTTGAACCTTCGCCCCTCACTTGGTGAGGATTCTTCGGATATGAATAAAGCATGGGATCGACTGGAGCAGTTGGGGGTCCTCCGGAGGAAAGCGATCAAAAATTAGGCTATACTATTTGTTTTTTCTTGTTCTGTTGAGAGTTTTTTTTTGCGTGTGAGCAAGCGTGGTTTGAGCATTGATGGCATTGTGTTTGGAGTTTGACCGAGTGGACTGAGCCCTCGGCTTTTTGGGCTCACTATCAGGACAGGTGCATAATTGGAGTTTGATATTGCAACAAGTGGCATTTTGGAACGCTCACATACTGGAATTGCAGTAATTTTGAAAAGAACCAATGACAAGTCTCGACAAGTCGATTGTTTGCTCTGCAATGTACTTCGTACTCATTTTAACTAATTTAAACTAGGGAAGCCACACCCCCGCACCATTGTCACTTATCACCCTCTCGCCACCTGCAATGCTTCAAATGTTTACTGTGCACCTCAAAGCCACACTTGGCACTGTAACCTCAGCCCTTACATTGCCAAGATCCGTCGGGGTCCCGCCTGCAGTCACCATCTCCGGGCACTGGCCGGCCCTATGATAGCGTTTCCTCATCTGCAGAAGTGCAGCCCGCTCCTTGGCTTCCCCTCGCCTTCGCGCAGATTATGGCACCTTATCATCGCGTGATGATGCAGATAAACATCATCTGCCGGAGAAGTAGGTATAAAAGCGTCCCTGCGACCGTCGCTGAATGATCATCGATTCTCGAATTGTCCAAGATGAAGTGGCTCTTTTTGATCTGCAACCTATCTGTGGCCTTGGCCAGCCAAAACAAGCCCCGAGTCACACCGGTATGTACGCATATGCGCTGTTGTCATTCGGCAATCTGACGTAGCAGGATAAACTATCCTCCCTCATTCGACTCGAAGACCTCCTGAAGGGCACTCAACAGCTCGAGGATTTCGCCTACGCGTATCCAGAGCGTAACCGTGTCTTTGGCGGTGCAGCCCATAATGAAACGGTTGACTTCCTCTACCGTGAGCTGAAGAAGACAGGGTATTACAATGTCTACAAGCAGCCGCAGGTACACACATGGACTAGTGCCGAGGCTTCTCTCAAGTTCGATGGCAAGTCCATCACGGTGACTTCCATGACGTACAGCCCTAGCGTCGATATCATCGCCGACCTAGTGCTGGTATCGAATGTCGGGTGCGCTGCATCGGACTACCCGAGCGAAGTGGCTGGTAAAATTGCCTTCGTGAAGCGTGGAGAGTGCACTTTTGCAGAGAAGTCGCTGCTTGCTGGTGCGGCTAAGGCATCTGCCGTGCTTGTTTATAATAACGCTGCTGGATCTCTCAGTGGAACGCTGGGAGGCGTTTCCAGCGACTATGCTCCCATTGGGGGAATTTCGCAAGCGGACGGCCAGACTCTGCTCGATGCGGTAGCGAAGGGTGCTGCAAGTGTCTCGCTTGAAATCGACAGCAAAGTCGAGAACCGCACTACGTTCAACGTCATTGCGGAGACAAAAGGTGGTGATCACAAGAATGTCGTCTCACTGGGAGGACACACCGACTCTGTCGAAGCTGGCCCCGGAATCAACGATGATGGATCTGGAATTATCAGCAATCTCGTGGTAGCCAAAGCCTTAACACGTTTCACTGTGAAGAATGCAGTCAGGTTCTGCTTCTGGACGGGTGAGGAATTCGGTCTGCTTGGCAGTGAATACTATACCTCACACCTCAGCGCCGAGGAGCTAGCGAAAATCAAGCTCTACCTCAACTTCGACATGATTGCCTCGCCGAACTATGCGATCATGATCTACGACGGTGATGGAAACGCTTTCAACCAGACTGGACCAGCTGGATCTGCTGAGATCGAGGCCTTGTTCGAAAACTACTTCAAGTCTAAGAAACTGCCGTACATCCCAACTGCATTCGACGGCCGATCCGACTACGATGGCTTCATCTCTCGGGGTATCCCCGCAGGTGGTGTTTTCACCGGTGCTGAAGGTCTGAAGACCGAGGCAGAGGCGAAATTGTTCGGAGGCCAAGCGAATGTCTCTTACGATGCCAACTATCATGCCGCTGGAGATAACACTACCAACCTCAACCATGAGGCCTTCCTGCTCAACTCCAAGGCTACTGCCTTCGCTGTTGCGACCTACGCAAATAGCCTTAAGTCGATTCCAAAGCGGAACGCAACTCTGGCGGGACCATTGAAGAAGAGGGCTCCCAAGTCACACGCTCACACCGAGAACACTGGGTGCTTCCATTCCTTGGTGGAGATTTAGTAGCTTTTATTTAACGTTGTCAGCCGCCAAGTTGAGGATTCAAAAAAGAAATACAGGAGGTTCACATGAAGAATATTGAAACATTGAAGCGACTGTTGAGCGAGTAAAAAAGTGTATCAAAAATTTAAATCAAGAACCAGAGTGATCTGTCCTCTCGTATGAAATGTGCGTACAGGCATTTAGTAGACGTATTAACTGCCGCTCCCTAAACAGGAAATCCAACAACCATAAATACCTCTCGCACCCTCCATCACAACTCTCCTTTCTTTTTATCCCTCAGCTTTCTCTCTCAGATTTCTCTCTCAGCTTTCTCTCTCAGCCATTTCTCTCAGCCTTTTCTCTCTGTGCTGTACCTTACTCCGTACCAAAGCAGCACTTCATTTGTGTTCACGGTTATCAAAATGCCTCATTTACCACCGTTCAAAATCCCTGAACGCATCTCGTCGAAACTCCAACCTGCACGTCTTGAGACTCTCCGTTATCTTCAGAACAAGAGAACTGTGAGCGCATCCTCAGCTCAGTCACTTTCTTCTCAGATATCCCTCGAATCAACAACCTCAGAGTTCCTCGAAGCGAAAATCGGCTCCCTTTACAACGAACAAGAGTACCTCGAAAAAGTCCAGCGCGAACTTGTGGCTGGTAAGCAAGAAGGAGAAATTACAACTACAGAATTTCAAGATGTCAATCACGATCTTTTGGCAACGTTCACCTCCGCAAAGCAGACCATCGATGTGCTGGAGAGTCAGCGAAAGTTCATTGAGGACGATATAAGCAAGTATGTGAGCTTGACGGTCAAGAAACAAAGGGTGAACGCGCCTTTTGACAACGGGTTGATAGAACGTGCTTACGTTGATGTTATCATTCCCCGGGTGATGGGAGCAGTCGCAAAACAGCGCAAAGATACATTTGATCAGAGCGATTTCAAGCAGCGGGTAGTGGAATACTACAGCACCCAGCACCCAGAGGGAGGCGATTACGCAACCGAGACATGGTGTCATGTGCAGGGACGATTCCTTCGCTCCTCAGATGTCAAGGCAGCTCATATTGTCCCGAAATGTCTCAGCGACGAAGAGATTGCTCATGTTTTCGGAGTGAAGGCAGGCGTCCGTGGAGATGAGCAGAATGGTAAGAAATCACTTTCCGCTCAAGAAAAGAACGAGCTAACATAGCCCTTTATAGCCTTGTGCCTGAGCAGTAGTATCGAACGCCTCCTCGACGAGGGGATCATCGCCATTATCCCCGTTCCCGATTCAATCACCCTCCCCGCAGGGCCGATGTCCGAGCCTACCACTTGGCGCTGCATTGTACTTGACGAAACCAAGAATGGGAATTTCCTCTGGAGTGATGGTGGAAGAAGTTACTTTGTTAGGGTTGGTTCTGTTTCTACATTGACAATGAACGAGGACAAGCTAACATCTCTTTAGGATTTGAACAACCGACCTTTGACGTTCCTCAATGAGAAGAGACCGCGACGTCGTTACTTATACTTTCGTTTCTTGGTGTCATACCTCTGCGCCCTTCGACAAGCCAAGCGTGCGTTAGATGGCAAAGATGAGGCGGCCAAAGCTCAAGCCAAGAAGTTTGAAGATATAACAGCAAAGTGCGACGCCCGAAAGTTCTGGCCGTCAGGGGGAAGTTGGCTTGACAAATCGACAATTGTCACTATGGCACGATCCGTGTCTGGTGTCGAGCTACCTGGGCGATTCATTCGCCACAAAACCTTTGACTCTCCCAACGAGTCTGACGGTATAAAGACTGGCATGGTACTGGCGGCTAATCTGACCGAGTCGATCTGGGATCGGGAGCGTGATGCTGTAGTGGAATCGATGAAGCAACTTGAGACTTGACAATTTTTCGATGGCAAAGGGGAATACTTTCTTTTTTGAGAAAAAGATAAGTTATTTTTAGTTAGGTAGCTTCGACGAATGCAATGATGAATGGTGCATTGTCGCGGTGAGCTTTGTGTTGTGATTCCTGGCGACCTGGAACGCTGCTTGTAAAGTGTCATGCTCGAGAGCCTCAACGTATGTGACCAACTCGAGGCCAGGAGGTCGAAGGTAAAAAAAAGAGACATCACGCATATGTTCTGGTATACAAATTCCAATTCTTCATTTGTCGCCCTTCTCGCCATCTGCAACCTCTTCCTCTTCACCTTCACTTTCCTCTTCACTCTCTTCTGCCTTGTGCGGCTCACCCAGAACTGACCCATAGATCACCACCGCCGCCAATCCGTCAACACTCTGATCCCTCTCTCCCTCGACATAGATTTGCACTTGTATCCCTTTCTGCAAACACAAAACATTGAATCGGTCCTCATGCTCAATATCAGCAGAATGAAAGGGTTCACTTTCATTCTCGCCAACTCTCAACGTTTCTACGCGCAAGGAAATTCCCGGCGCCAGGTAGGCCGCGGTAAATAGCATGTCTGCATCCCAAAGTTTCGTCGCAGCGGGAACTTTGCTACCATCACCATTCTCATGATTGGGAAATTCAATCGTGAATACCTCTGTGTTGGGTGGTTGAAAGGTCCCCGTGCCGTACACGTGTGACAGCCAATTCCCAACGTCGTAGAACACATGGTTCCACGTATAATAGATCTGATCGCGCCATGGTGTATGGCAAGTCTTGAGATCAGAGTCTTGTGGGAATTGTTCGCGTTCTTCTTGAGTGAGCCCGTTGAGCTCTCTCCCAAAGGCACTAATGTCGCCGCAGGGCGGGTTGTTGCATTCCGGGTTCGGTCTGAGGATAGACCAACTATGGATGAGAAGATGGGCGACGGTGAATTGAGCCGCGTCCTCGCTAAATCCGACTTTGCGAATTGCTGGAGCGGGAAATGGACTCATCTCCCCAGGGCCGAGCGTGGACATTGAATGCATGCTGAGAGTATGTTGACCTGCAGTCAATGTGTGTAGACAGGTGGTTGGCTGGAGTGAAAATTATTGAGTCCTGTCTGTCCTCTTCCTTTTAAATTCTCAAATTCGCCTCACAGAAAAGAATATTTAGGAACTTGACCGAATGGGAGTTTTTGCCCCGGGGCTAAGGCGAGGCTAAGTTGACTGACTCACTTGCCATCACACAGTGGCCCACAGCGTACAGTGCACTGAGAACCGTCTTGGGGGACAAGCTTTTGTTGAAGGTTTACAAAAAGAATCATTCGAATTCTTGAAGCTCGTAGTAGATATTTTGCATACCCGTCGCTTCCACTCATTTGCAATGACAGCCTTGTCATGTCAGGCACCATGCTTGGGAGACCACTGGGCAAAAGGAAAATAAACTTGCCCTTGACCAGAAAAGAAATCTGCATTCAGAAGTCCCGCTCGACTCCAAGCCGGTGCGCCACTTCTATCAAACCATTGCCAGTATCACTGACCCAAATATCGACAACCCCATTCCGCTTTGCCCAGAGGACCTCCTCACTGCTCCATGCTTCTTCCATTTCTCGTTCGACATAAATCGTTTTGAAACCACACTTCTTGGCTGCCTGCAAATCTTCGAGGTGTGCCGCAACCATGCCACACTGCGAAGTTTCTAACCCAAATCTCTTGGCGGCCCCACGATAAACCTCCGGTGATGGCTTATATGCACCAAAGTGCTCGGCGCTAGTGATATGAGTGAAAACTAGAGACCCATGGGATTGAAGATCCTCCAGCAAAGAAACGTTGCCATTTGAGAGTGTAGATGTTGTGAAGCTGCTCTTGAGAAGAAGTAGGCCCGCAACGGCCTCAGGCCAGGGATCGAGTCGATGCCAAGTGAAAGTCAATTGTGTCAGATCTTCGTCGTTGAATAGAGGTCGTAGACCTCGCTTTATGATGAGCTCCTCGAGTGAAGCCCGATTGTGTTCATCAACCGAAATGAATGATCGAGATGAATTGAAACTGTTTCCGAATTCCATATATGATCGATGCCATTCCTCGGCAAGACTCAACCAGTCTGCCATATCCAGAGAGGATACATCGTCTCGCAGCTCAGACCCGACGTTCCTTCGTGTGTCTTGAATGGCAGTCTGCGCAGTCTTGCTAAATTCATTTGCGATACAGCGTCTCCATTCCACCACTGTACCAAGGATATCGAAGAATAGCATCTGGGGTGGATCTTCGGTTGACATCTTCAAGATTGCCGCGATTCAAGAACAATGACTGGTTTGGTATGGAGGAAAATAGAAATTACCATCCGCAACGCGTTCTCAAGGCTTCTTAAGTACCCCGCTGTGAGATTCAAATTTCCCTTCATCGTAGCCGCGGTGCTCCAATAGTACAAAAGTAAGCAGGACTCTTCAACATTTGTAGTTGTTTCTTCTGCCGAGCGTTAACCATATAGCCAATGAACTCGCCAGACAGAACGATACCTAGCCGAGGCTCGGAATTTTTGAATACGTACGTTGCATGTGAATGAAATCGAGAGGGAAAGACATTTCGCTTATTACGATTTCACCAGACGAGGATGTGGCCGGACTTAGAATAATTCCTGCGAATCTTTCCAATAGAGCTGAAATAATGAGAAAATTATATTGTTTAAATAAAGTAGGCACAGAAGAAGAGTAATGTGAAGTCCAGTATGAGTATGGGCCAATGGGCCCTCAGCCGCATTCAAGATATGATAAGCCGTAGAATTATACCAACGATCATTTCTTGCCCGGGAGAAGAATCTGCTTCTCCTTCTTAATCTGCTCGACGACACTAATGTCAATCTTGAGGACATTGGCAACTGTATCAGACGGAGTGAGAGCAAGCCATTGGGCAAGCGAGATATCAGCGACACGGTCACTCTTGTAGAGCTCGATCCAGACGAGCTTCTCTGTCTCGGATGTGTTCTCGATATAGTGACCTAGAGATCGTTCATCAGTTCATAATCTGATACCCAGAAGGAGTTCTACCTACCGCTGTTGTCGGGGAAGGCGGCAGTGTCACCCGGGTGGAAGTCAAAGGTGCGGGCCTTAGAGTCACCAATGAATACGGTCGCGCGAGCATGACCCTGGAGGAAGTACAGCCATTCCTCAGCCTAGAATATATTAGTACTGAATCGTTATGAGACCGACAGAACTTACATTGGGATGCCAGTGAAGCTCCCGGAGACCCTTGGGCTCAAGTTCAACAATGGCAGCAGCGATGGTCTTCGAGATGGGGAAGTTGGTGGAGTCAATCTTTCGGAATGTTCCGCCATGGCCAGGAACAGGCTCGGGCTTGTGCTTGTAGGTGTGAAAGACGTATGAATCATCACCTCTCAAAGTACCCTCGGGAGCCTTGTCAAGATCCTTGCTGACAGTGCCGTTGAGGATGTAAGGGAATTTAGCAGGAACCGAGTCAAAAACCTTGGGGTCAACACCAAAGTTCTTTGCGAGAACATCTCGAGGGGTGTGGGCAATCCAGTCGTCAACCATGAAGGTGGTTCTATTGGGTCAGCATATGGCATACAATGGAATAAGGTGACATACCCGATCTTCTCGAAGTCACCGTCGTCGAAGGCAAGGAGATACTCGTTCTCATCGTCCAGACCTTGTACGTTGTGGGCAACACCCTTGGGGAAATACCAGATGTCTCCAGTCTCAAGGACTTCAGTGGTGAAGCCACCGTGCTCGTCAACACCAGAAAGTAAGAGAGATCCGTTATAGACAAAACCCCATTCAGCCTGGACTCCAAAGTTAGTCTCATCTCCATGAAGGTACATTGCGAGGATCACTCACAGTTCTGTGCCAGTGAAGCTCGCGGATAGCACCCTTCTTCAGGTGCTGCTGAGCACCAGCAATGTCATGACTCTGAGGTAGGTCCTGAATGACTTGTTCTCTGGACCAACCGCCTGGAAACAATCTAGTTTGGGACTCGGAAAAGCTCCACTTCACATTCGGCACGAAGCCGTTGTCAGTGCTAGGGGTGCGGAATTGATCGGGGTTCTGGAGATCCAGAGCTCTGTTGGTACCACCTGTTTGAAGAGTTAGATCAATATATGTTGGAATAGCGTACTGTGGTCGATTCACTCACCGAGGATAGGGGCGCCTTTGCCACCACTGATTGGCTGGTCACTGCCACCGTCATGCCTTTTGGCCTTAGGTACCGCAAAGGCAGAGGAGACAAAAAGTCCGAAAAGCGCAAGACTTTGAGACTTCATTGTGAATCTGTAAAAAAAAAATGCACGGAGTGGAACTTGAACTTGTGCACTTTTAGCCAAGAACTGTGCTGTTGGATTGTTTATATGTCGTTTTTATATCAATCTTCGATGCCTTGCGACCCCTCCATATCTATTTCGTGATCGGAACTCAGAATGTGACTCCGACGGGACATACCAGTCCTCGGCCTGGGCTTCTGCTGATCTCAATGAAAAGCAACCACCACAAATCTTGTTAGTTGAAAGTATAAACGGAATTATTGAACGGCAGGTATGACGCGATTCAGGAACAAGTCGCATCTGGTAGACAAGCTGAAAGAATAGGTCTTCGATCGACAGGTTCCCAGGCGAAAAAGGTAGACAGGTAGGATTTAAGATTGGGTATAACAACATTCTTGGCATCATGTCGAAATAGATGCAGGGTTCGCCCGTGCACCAGGGTTCCATGGGGAAATTCGAATGTAGATCGAGGGACCTGACAGATAGCGGGTTGGTCGGTACTAGCCGGGACTGGAGAAATATCGGGATTTGGAAACGGGGGAGCCCTGGGGAATCTTGGAGAGAGCCCTGAATCACCTCATCCGCTCCTTGGATGATTAGATCCCACGTGTCTTGGCTTCTTGGCACCCGCAGATCATTCCTTGTCTTACGACCCACTGTCACCTCTATCTTCGCAGTAGTTCGTCCAAAAGCACCGAAGAAGCTTTGCTTTGACCCCTGCCCAGAAGGGTCTTGATATTGGGCCCTGGGAATGGACGTGTAAGGTTGATTTTCTCCTCGTGTGGTTTTGCACCTTTCCTATTCGGGTCCAACTTTTGGCCTTTGTGCCCTAACTCCCCTCCAGATCTTGGTCTTGGCGACTTTTTCAGTGAGGTTGGGTCTGGATATCAGCCACAAATCCATGCTAGTGACGCACCTTTGGGTTCGAGCTATTGAACTCAGCGACCTCGTGAGATTCGGGACAGCAATCCGCTGCTTGTTCACTGCTTGCTCGCTGCTCATCCGCTGCCCTGGACAAACTTCAATCACGACATCTTGTCAACATTGTGATCTGCTAGTCAATTCTTGGCCTCAGATAGCTCTGAACACACGAGTGAGCGCATGGCCTTATTCCCGAGTCGGCAATGAATTTGGCTCGTGGCGTCCAAGAATGGTGCGGCATTTACAAGATCGACTCCGATCTGTGGAATTTGGAATAACGAAGGTCACCACACTACCGTCTTGCGTGCTTTCACATCTTTGCCGTCGGGATGTGATAGTTAACTGAAGAGCGCTCAGAAATGGGGAAGCTTGGGTGTATATAAGCCGTGAAGATTTCCCGCAAATCTGCTCATCACAACGCAAATCCCCTCAATTGTTCTCACGATGAAGTACATTACTTCGCTTGCGTCGCTTGTCGCCCTCGGCGAGTGCCTTTCCTTGCCTCCGCTCATCCCCACCATTCCTGGCGTGACTGAGGCTCTGACTACCAACGCGCCCCCTCTGCCTATCCTGCAGGTCCCAACTCCCCCTTTGGAGAGTCCTCCTTTCACCCCAAGCGACATCAAGCCTAAGAGGATTGGATATTTCTGGACCGGCTCTGCTGATAAGTTCCACAAGGGTAGGATATTCAAAATCTATCCACAAGCCTCGCGACGTGATATTAATGGTCATTGGCAGATTTCCTTGCAACCTACAGTCTTGATGATGTGGGTCTTGCCTATTGTCATACTCTTAATCTTTCTTTACTGACTGTACCTTAGGATACCTTTGGTACACTCTTGTGGGTGACAGATGTTCCCTCCAGTGGAAATGACCCCCACCATCTCGGACCGTCCCTTGACGGTAAGACCATTTGGGGTGGTGGTCTGCTATCTCTCTTGAAGACTCAGGTACGCAAATCTCTTAAAGCAAACGTCTCCAATAACTAACAAGAATCAGGACACGGGTTTCTACTTCGACACCTCTGACCCCTACCGCCCCAAGTTCCTCAAGAGTAATCGCGGTATTCTCGGCTCCATTGCAGATGAGGTCCGTGCTAAGCCCGATGGTGGATTCTTCATTACCTACATGGGTTCTGCCGTGGGTACCTCGCCCGGCCGTCTCATTGAGACCGATGCCAACTTTGACATCATTCACGAGTGGCCCGAGGATGTGGAGGGCACCCTCAACATTCTGGGTCAACAGTTTTCTCCCCACGGATTGAGCATCGACTGGGAGAAGAAGCTCATCCTTACTTCCGACTTCGTCGAGCCTATCAGTATCCTGAAGCCCAGTCTTGGAGTTCGCCATGCTGACACTCTTCGTCTTTGGGATCTGGACTCGAGGAAGATTCTCAGCACCCTGACTATCCCCAACGTAAGATAAAGCTCCAGAATACTTGCTCTACTTTTTCTAACTTCACTAGGGTGGTGGTATTCAAGACGTCAAATTCATTCCCGGACACCCCGAATCTGCGGCTATTGCCACTGCCGTGCACCTGGGCCAGCTCTGGGTTATCTACCCCCTGCGTAAAGATGCGAATGGCAACCAAGGTGTGATTGAGGAGCTTTATGATCTTGGTCCTAAGGCCCGTGATACCATCGCTATCTAGTAAGCTCCTTGCCCTTTTCCCTCAATACACCAAGGATATGGTCATTAACAACATACTCTAGCTCCGACATCAGCCAAGACGGTAAATACTTCTATGCCACCTTGACTACTGCCAACCACATTGCCGCTCTGGACATTAGCGACCTGGACAACATCAAGCGTCTCGATGACCCTGATGAGGACCAGCCTACTGTTGGACCCCACTACGTCAAGATCACTCCCGACCAAAAGCACTTGGTTGTTACCGATTACTTTGTCCAGACCGGTGACATCGGAATCATCAACACCCCAGCTGACTTCAAGGCTCTTTACATTGACCTCCAAGAGGATGGAAGCCTGTCTTTCAACCGAACCATTGACTTTAACAAGGAGTTCGCCAACCGCGGTGGAGCCAAGCCTCACTCCAGTGTTGTCTTTGATCTCACTGACCCCGAGAACCCTCTGTACTACTAGACTGTCAGGTCTATTGCGGAGTATTGCGAGCCTTTTATACTTAAGTAATGGCTCGGGGATGTGGATATTCCTTTTCATTCTTTGCTTGACATTTCCTTCGGGTTGTATATTTATTGTGGATAAACTCCAGATATTTATTAATTCATACCTATCAATGGACAACCTCTCTCTTTGTACAATAAACCAGTAAAGTAACTTCGATCGCAACTGCGACAATTGAAAGTGAGTACATCCAGACCACTTTCAAGGCCATCTATTCGAACAGGTGGCACGCCATTTGAATCTTCAATATGTTGTATGCAGATATTCTCTGCCGAGGCCAGAGCATATAACTATCTATACCTCGTTGACACTAGCAGTATGTGTAACTTTCGAGCTTTCACCGTTGTGCCTTCTATTTTCGGCTGAAACAGCCGGAATCGCCGACGAATTTGCCTTGCTGGCAACAATGTCCTCTTCAATCTCAGCGCGGAATTCCTCGCGCTGGGGCAAGAGGTACCGCACATCCACAAATCTCAGAATACTCGTCATGATGATTACGAGAACCAACAAGGCCAGCGCAGACTGCCATCCGTACTTGTAATATGGAGCCTGCGACGCAGGCCAAACGAGCACTTGCGACCAGGCAGAGATGGAGTAGTATCCGGCAACAGCGACTCCAACGGCCAGCGACCGTGCTTCGGGATCTTGGGGGATGAGATCTGACAGCCACGCGAAGATGAGTGGTGCTGTTCCGAGACATATATATGAGATGAAATATGAAGCATAGGCAGCGGATAGGGCTACCGAAGCCGGGTTTGCGGTCCAAGCACTCATGATAATGCAGGGGATAATTCCAATAACCGCCTGAACGACAATCAATGTCCAGCGGGTTTCGAAGAAATCAGAAAGAAGAGCCCAGATCCAAACGAACACGACATTGATCGCAGATCCACCAATGGGGATAGCGTTGACCTGAGTTACGGTCCATCGGGGGGTTCCATCAGGGTTCTTGAGTGACTTGAGGAAAAGCGAGAAGTAAACGTATCCGTAGGTTCCAAGCACTGTCGCAATGTACAAGATGGCGATGAAGTAGACCACCCACCCAGAGAAGGTACGCTTGACACCAGCCCAAGTCATGCGCTTAGGTTCGGCGCGGCCATTGCGAGCAAGTCGCTCCAGTGAAAGCTCGCCATGGATCTTCTTGAACCAGAATGCTCGCGGATTCGGTCGGTTGGGCAGATCGGGAATCATGAAGAATCCTGCAAATCCCCAGACGACGGTGATAATGGCATTGATCACAAATAGCCACCGCCACCCTGCTAGTCCGGCATGGCCATCGAGCGTGTCGGAGATTGCTGCTTGCATGGCACCAGATAGCATTTGCCCGACAGCTTGGCAGGAGTGGTAGAATCCCATTCGCTTGGCGAGCTCTGTTGGCGTATACCAGTACACTGTGAATGTTAGTGGGACGGTGGGTGGTTATTGCTTTTTATTAGATGAACTCACTGAAAAGAGTCATCATTCCTGGCCATGCGCTACTCTCGCATAGACCCAGGAAGACACGCAGGACATATACTTGTTTCGCGTTGCTGCACATGGCGACCAAGCCGGTTAGGACACCCCATATAATCTCCAGGCCCGGGAGCCAGTAGCTTGGGCGCACATAAGTGAGTATGATTTGCGAAGGGATGAGCATGATGCAGTATGCGACGTTGAAATATGTTGTAAATCTGACCATGAGCTCCTAACCTCATTCCACAACGGGTGGGCAACTCACAAATTCAGCTCATTTCCATATAGGTTCAGGTCTTCCATCATCCCCGAGACATATGCATTATTGATGTTTTGTTGATCGAGATACTTGATGACTAGAAAAAGGTCAGGATCATGCATCGACGTGCTTTGCAGCCCAACGCACCCTGTGAAAGACAGCCAAAGGTCATAAGAAAGATATCCAGTCGTCGGACGAGGGCCTTTTCGTCAGGCGATCGGACATCGTTGGTCGCGTCCGCCGACGAAGAGCGAAGCATCTTGAATGTCACCATGCCGGAGAAATGTGAAGAGAAGACAAGTCCGGTTCTGGCGACCGGTTACTCATAAGGTCTAAGCGGATAAAGCCGTAACCTGTGACCCCTCGCGGATAGAGATGCGCCCGCAGCTTTGGCCGCAGATCCGAGGGCGTGTCGATAAGAATTGGGCCAATAGAGATACACCTTGGGCTTTGGGGTCACATCGGATATCAGGGCGGCGAAGCCTGCGATAGAGAGACAACATTGAAAGTGAGCTTGGCATTCCTTTCCCCCCACTTGGTCACTTTCAAAGATTAGCTTAGTCTCCCAGTTGTCCAATCTGATTGGCGCGAGATGGGTATTTCGAAGGATTACCCCAAAAGAGAAGTGCTAGTACTAGACTCTGGGGTAGCCCGCGATAGGAGATTCCCCGAGCCCACCTTTTCCCCCGCATCGGTGATTAACCAACGCCGACACCGGCGAGTTATTATAACCTCGAGACCATTTCAGAACCGTAGGCCAGTTCAGATCTGATGTCTTGGTTTGAAATTCGCAGCCATGGCGAGTCACGAGTCTAGCAGAAGTCTGCCAAACCCAACCCCTTGTTTGAGCTATTGGCAACGGACCACGCGGGGGTTTCAACATTTGTATGAAAACACAGATGTACCCCTACCATCAATTTCTCCATATGTCATTGTTGGCTCCGGTATCGCTGGTGGCCTGACTGCGTTCGAATTAATTGAAGGGGGTGTCAAGGCGGAAGAAATCGTCATTTTGGAAGCGCGAGAGGCAGCGAGCGGTGCTAGTTCACGAAACGCCGGGCATGTGCGACCAGGTAAGTACAGCTGACGTTTGTGGATTTTTGGGATTTGGTTTTTAATTTTGAGAATGATAGACGCCTTCAGGGGATTTAGTGCCTACTCTAAAGTCCATGGTGACGAGCAAGCTCTCAAGATCATCAACAACGAGCGACTTGTTCTCGAACGAGTCGCGCAATTCACCAAGAAGCACAACGTTGGATGTGACTTTCACCTGACTTCCACCTTTGATGTTTGCATGACTCCAGAGTTTGCTGCGTACGAGGCAGAAAGTCTACAGGCTTTCAAACACGCCGGCGGCGATACTTCGCACATCAAATTTTACAAAGGAGCGGAAGCAGGAAAAAAGACACGAGTTCCAGGCGCTGTAGCAGCATACGAGTGGCCAGCAGGGTCAAGTCACCCAGCAAAACTGTCGCAATTCCTCCTCGCTGCGGTCATTGCCAAAGGTGCAAAGCTATTTACGTTCTGTCCTGCGACCGAAGTCAAAGGCCAAGGTCCGGACTCCAACCTCTGGGATGTGCACACCTCTCGTGGGATAATTACCGCCGAGAAAGTGATTCACTGTACGAATGCTCATGCTGCTCAATTGTTGCCACAGCTGGAGCCCTATATGCGACCAAATCGGGCTCAAGCCCAGTCTCTCGTGCCGGTGCCTGCTTTCTCGGGAGCAGGAATCTTGCAATCTACTTATTCGCTGCGTTACAGTCTTCATCATTTCTACTCTTTGATTCAGCGCCAAGGGGATGGCACATTGGTCTTGGGTGTCTCACGATCGAATCCAACACTCAGCCCCGAAACCATTGCCAGTCGGTTGAGCACCGATGACTCTCGATTCAACGACGAAATTGCCCAAGACGCATTGCAGAGCTTTGGCAATTTATTCCCGGATTATTCCTACGATGCTACCATGCACGGCGAAGGCTTAGATCACGCTTGGACTGGAATTATTGGAATGACAACGGACTCGGTTCCCTTTGTCGGTGCAATTGAGTCTCTACCGGGGCAATATATCTGCGCAGGGTTCAACGGCCACGGTAACGTCCACTAGTTACTCCGTAGCGATGAACGGGTAAAACTGTGGGGCACTACTGACTTTTGACAGGCATGGCCCGCATATTTACCTGCGCCCCCGGCCTCGCTAAACTTGTGCTTGGTGCGAATTGGAGCGACACCGGTCTCCCAGAATGCTTCCAATCCAGCAATGAACGACTGTCACGACTATCAGAGGGAGATTTGCCATCAATTTGGTGAATGACAAATTCAAGGAGTCCCCGTATAGGTCGCGACCGTGGGGAACCCCCTAGAACCTCTAGAGTTTGCAATTGTGTTCATCAGTATGCAAGTGTTCTAAGTTTCTCTTATTAGATCATAGGTGCGGAGTATTAGAGCTCTTCATTGCATGTATAAACTCGATACATATGAGCCGATCCACACATAGTTCACATAAAAACTGCTGGGATTGCCACGACACCTTCCAGCATGCACAATGGGATTCCTATGAGCGCCTCTCGTTCGTGGATTATTATAATAAAACTGGTCCATATAATTTAATCTCCGCAGAATAAAGAATCCTTTTTTTTATTACGGGCTAGTTCTCTATCTTCATTCTAGGGGCGGCCGTTGCTGTGGAAAATTGTATTCTCAATATTCTGATTTTTTCCGAGTGTGCACTCGACATCTTTCCATGCCTATGAAATAATCTGAGATTTGACAAGCATTATACATAGCAAAGGAATCGGCTATGAATGGTTGCGGTGTGTGCATTAAAGCATACGAGGCTCGCGGGATCCGCGCAAGGGGGCGGCCCCCAAACAATCTCCAATCACTAAGTTGTATAACTATATTGGGTGGGTCAAGGTCGGACATGAAACCTTTATAACAGGCCCCCCGCGCTAGATTGTGAGCTCTCCAAAAAAATGTTTGCTCTCTTTGCGGCCTCACTGTTGGCCGTGTCTGCCCAGGCCTCCGCAGCCTGTCGGTGCTTCCCCGGAGATGCTTGTTGGCCGTCTGAAAATGTCTGGACTCAGTTCAATCAGTCAATTGATGGCCGGTTGGTGAAAACGGTTCCTCTTGGCACACCATGCCATGCACCCAACTATGACGCTGCCAAATGTACAATTTTGCGCGATGGATGGACAGTTCCTGAGGAACAGTGAGTTTGACTTGGGTCACTTTGAAACGCGAAACTAAATACAAAATTCTAGTTATGAATCCTCGTCATCCGTCATGGCTCCATTCTTTGCGAATGGTACTTGTGATCCGTTCCACCCAGTTTCTAAGCCTTGCACTCTGGGCAATTACGCTGTGTACGCCGTCAACGTTACTACCCCCGCACATATCTCCAAAGCTGTCCAATTCGCCACAAAGCACGATATTCGCATCGTGGTGCGTAATACTGGCCATGACTACAGTGGAAGGTCTACCGGTGCAGGAGCCCTAGGTATCTGGACACACTACCTGAAGGACCTAGAAATCCACGACTATAAAGACAAGCATTATTCTGGCAAGGCTATCACTATGGGAGCTGGCGTCCAAGGTTTTGAAGCCTACGAGGCTGCTGAAAAGGCCAATGTCCAAGTCGTTGGCGGCGAGTGTCCAACCGTTGGCCTGGCTGGAGGATACAGCCAGGGTGGTGGGCATTCCGCCCTCTCCTCTCGTTACGGACTGGGTGCCGACCAAGTTTTGCAGTGGCAAGTGGTGGATGGCCAGGGCAACTTTATCACTGCCACCCGCGACAATGAGTATTCTGATCTATACTGGGCATTGAGTGGTGGTGGCGGTGGTACCTATGGTGTGGTCACATCTATGACCTCCAAGGCTCACCCTGGTACCCCTGTGTCCGGTCTTAATATGACCTTCACCAACGCCAAGATCTCCCAAGATACATTCTACGAGGCGATCGCGCGCTTCCACACTAGACTCCCTGCTCTGGTGGATGCCGGTGCTATGAGTATCTGGTTCTACACCAACACCAGCTTCGCGATATCCCCATTGACCGGTCCTAACATCCCGGAGGCCGACCTGCTCAAATTGATCCAACCTTTCGTCAGCGACTTAAAGGAGCTTGGTATTACTCCCACAGTTTACTCCAAGCAGTTCCCCAGCTATCTGAGTCAGTTCAATGGCATGCAGCAGGAGATAGGCGTTGGCGAGGCACAGTATGGTGGCTGGCTCATTCCACGGTCGGTCGTGCAGGACAACAACAAAGGTCTCACAGCCGCTTATCGCCAGATCACCGAAGACGGCGCTACCTTCATCGGTGTTGGTCTCAATGTATCACGCCAGGTGGCTGGGGATGTGAGCAACTCCGTCTTCCCCGGCTGGCGCGACGCTCTGATCGCAACAACGATCACTACTCCCTGGAAATGGGACAATGACAAGGAAATGTTGGCAAATCAGCGAAAAATGACCGACTCCTATATGGCTAAGTTGACTGCGCTGTCACCCAACTCGGGAGCATACATGAACGAGGTAAATTTAGTTCTCGATCTTGAACACAGATATTCTATACTAACTTCCCTCTCCCAGGCTGATTTCCGCCAGCCGAATTTCCAGAAATTCTTTTTCGGCAAGAATTATCCCGCTTTGCAGAAGATTAAGGCGAAATATGATTCTAAGGACATATTCTATGCCCGGACCAACGTCGGATCCGAGGCCTGGGAAGAGCGAAAGGATGGCCGGCTGTGCCGCGTTGGTCAGAGTTCTCGAACAGCTGGACATGCCAGAGATCTGTAGAGGAACCTCCACTATTAATTCTGTACAGTGTGGTGATTTGCCCTCAGTGAGACATAGTTCAAGATTGCCAAGACCACCAAGACCGAACTAATTAAGTAAAATTGGAAATTCTGATATCCAAACCTTACGCCTGTTTCAGACACAGTACCGGAATGACCTTCATTCCCGACATTGTATCAGTAGTCTTGAGCTTTTACCATGATCTTAGATCTGGACTCGCTATTCCAGCGAAGAATCCCATATGATATCTGAGTGCATTTCTGATATGACGAGGTTGTATCGTTAACATGTTGACACCCCACTGTGTAAAATTCGATCGGCGTCGACGTTACCAGATGGGGTTATTGGTGACCCTCTCGAGTCGAATTCCCCGTTGGAATACACTAGGCTGGATTACTCCGTATGTAGTGACAAACTCCGATCGGCACAGCCGCAGGATTCAACGTGGAGCAGACCACATGAAAAATGACCCAACATGATCTTATTGGCAAATCATCACAGGGTTGTGGATAGTACCCCTGGGCTAGGTTAAAAATCTGCAATCTAAACACGGGGAGCAAATACTCCGTAGCTACGGAGTACAACCAACCCTTGGAATCAGCCGTTAGAAGCATGAAAGTAGAGAGCGAACGGTTACGACGATCCATGCAGGATCTGCATCCTTGGCTCTTGATAACCCTGGTCCCTGCAGGTTGCGTTGATTAACGATTTATTGGGCACATTGAATCCTTCATATTAAACAATATGCAATGAACCCATCTGCTGAATGCTCAGAAAACCACGTTGGACACACTCACGATGCCGTGGGTCCATAACCTGCAAGATAGTGACTCCCACCGTGGTATTCGACGAGTCATTACAACATGCGTGGTTCTTCCAACGATTGCTCTTCTGGCAGTGTGTCTGCGCCTCGGAATTCGAATGAATAGAAAACGGACTCTGTGGGTGGATGATTATGCGGCGCTTATCAGTGTGCTGTTGACGTGGACATATGCCGGGATCTCGCTTGCACGTCAGTCTGTTTTTCTGATATAGATTCTGCTGGAAAGCTGACGGGGACAGAAACGCGATGGGGGCTCGGATTGAAGATGGATCATTTCCCGAGGGAAAATGTGGTCGCTTTCAGCAAGGTCTGCTTGAAACTGCTTTGTAGGTCTACAGGCCCCTTGGACTCATCTGATTCATGCTATAGGTTCAATGGATGGGGGGTCCGGTATACACGCTCAACCTTCTGGCATTCAAGGTCTCCCTGCTTGCCTCCTATTATCGAATTGGAGGCTTTGTGGCTCTTTACAGGACTATCATTGTCATTGCGATTGCAATATGTGTGGTCACTCAACTGATTTACACATTTATCATATGTCTCGCTTGCCAGCCAGTACGTCCCCTTCTACCAAGCGTTAATCAATATCGCATCTTATCTCTTGTGTTTTGAGGGGCCAAACTGAAACGAATACAGATCGCGAGGCAGTGGGATATGTCCGTTGAAGGCAAATGTATCGATACGGTTTCCTTCTATTATGGTATGCGAGAACCGCTTTTCCTAGCTATTTCTTACTAACTATTTCTTAGCAATTGCTGGTTAGTTCTTCGAAACAAGGTTTCAAATTAATCTTGTCTAACCTAGGAACACAAAGGAACAAATCTCGCTTTTGATATTGCAATATTCATTCTTCCTATGCCAGTGTTGTGGAAACTCCAACTTCGACAAAAAGAAAAAATCGTTCTGACGGGTCTTTTTGCTCTTGGGTTCTTCGTCACCATTATTCAAATTGCGCGAATCTTCCAAGTCAAAAATTTGAAAGTTGTGACGGATAGTGAGAAACTCATTATCTGGTCTGTCATCGAAGTTAGCCTTGGGGTATACCACTTCCACTCTAGCAGACTCGATCAAATACTGACGTTAAACATCTCGATCCAGGCAATAATTACATGCATCCCAACATTTGGTCCTTTGTTCAAAAGTTTTGCAAGAACTGTCTCGTCGCATCGCCAAAATGGGACCGGACCTTCCTATCCCCTCAACTCGATGACCGGGGGCGTTTTCCAGAGCAAGAATTCAGGCACCAACACATCTGCCATCTTTGGATCTCGAACTGAGAATACTGGAACAACGGTTCATTCTGGAAGAGAAGGTGTCCAATTGTCCCATGGCACCGGAAGTCAGGAGCATATCCTTGGTGGGGAAGAGAGGACAAGAATATACAGGACAGTGGACTTCACCGTGGAGAAGAACTAGCTGACTCGCACGGAGCAGTCCCCTTGCCTGTATCTTATCATTTAAAATAGGATATTCTTGTGGAATACCTTCTCCAGGGCTACGAACTAAATGACCTATTGAAACCAGTGTCCAAACTTAAACCTGCAATGTGCTTGGCATCACAGCGAGTTTATATTTTTCGACTTTATTCACAGCAATTCCTCATACTGGGCGAGGTAAGCTGCGCTGCGTTTGCTTTCTCTCAGATTGTTGTAAGCTCTGGATGGCCATGTGAATGGAAGCTGGGTCGGCTCCGACACCATCTCGCGAGGAAACAACAGCCTCAGCGGTATATTTTTTTTGGATCATCAGGACTAGTAGCTGTGCTCTAGATGATCGCGGCGGGGGTATCGGCTGAAAATGATTTCACACTGGTTTCGACGTCTGCTGCGGTTTTGTCCGCGTGTTCTATTTCCTCTGAATCCCGTGGCTTCTTGAATTTCCCGGCCAGTCTTTTCAAAATCCCCGGCTTTTGGCCCAGCTTCATGGTGAGACGCGACTCAAAGTATTTGGTTGAGTGGCAGTTTCTCCTCACTGGTTGAGTGATCGGGCGGTTTGCTTCGCTTACGAGTAGGTGCTCGGGCGGGGCTGGTGATGCGGGAGTATTACCAGCCTGTGGCTGAGACTCAGGAGTTGACAATCTAAGCGTTTGGAGAAATTCAATAGCTGAGCAGATCCAATTATATACTTAAGTATATAACAGAGGATACTCTGTGGACGATGCTCTACACTCTGTACGGAGTACGGAGTACGCTGAACTTTAGAAGACATGCGCCCTTGATGGATCTGCGGGGCCAATTGTTTTGGAATAGCTCGGAGGGTATTGAGAAACAGGTGCCATTCACTAGTCTAATCCTTATTACGGCAGAGGGAGTTCCAATATTGAAGGTTCAAAAGTAGGATACACCTGGGCAGAGCCCCTACTTAAGTAGATTACTAACTTTGGAGCTCCCGCCAAGCTGGGCCGTGGGCCCTCAAGGTCGAGCTCGGACCGTTCCGCACGTCTCCACCCCTTTACTCCGAACTCTCTGAAATGGCGAGCTTCAGAGTCAGCCACGCTTCTAGGCGCAGCCTTTCGTCCCTCCACAAAAAGCCCCTCCATTTACCAAGCCCTGTAGCCGCTTTCCCCAGTCAGAGCCTCCTCGACGAAGAAAAATGCCCAAGATACAGCCCCAAATCCTGGTATCCAGCCAAACCCGGCGAGATCCTCGCCGAGAAATACCAGCTGATGACCAAGATAGGCTGGGGATCTGGCTCAACAGTGTGGCTTGCACGCGACATGGATCGGTAAGAGCTTTCCGCCCTGAGTGACACCCAGGCTGACAGCTACGCTATCCTTCAGTTTACGATGGCAGTCTGAAGAAGCAGTGGCTTTGAAGATATTCAACGCGCGAGACTCTGATTCGGCAAAGTTTGAGCTTGAAGAACTAATTGCGCGACAAAATCCGTCTCATCAGGGATATGGCAGTGTGCGCACTTGTTTAGGACATTTCGAATTTAACCACGGCGAACAGAAACACGCGTGCCAGATTTATCAGCCTTTGCGTGAGACTATGGACATATTTACGAAGCGATTCCCGGATTGCAAGCTACCACTCCCGATTGCAAAAGCTTATATTCTTCTCCTCCTCCTGGGGATTGACTACCTGCATGCGGAGTGTCGGATCGTGCATACAGGTGACTGATCCACTTGCATCCATTCAGTTGACAACACTCAGATTCAAGTACAGAATGCTGACCTTCAGCTCTCATTGTCAGACCTCAAACTCACAAATATCCTCATGACCTTTGAGAACGAAAAAGTCCTTCCTCGATTCATGCAGGACTATGTCCTGAACAACCCCATGGAATACAAAATCGACCCCAAGACCAACCGAACCATCTACCGCAGCATTGACAGTCTAGGGGATCTGGAAGTCGATGATATCGCCAACATGCTACCGAAGATAGCCGATTTCGACGCCGCGATGCTCACAGAGCCTAATCCTGACCCACAGGATAAATCCCAACCTAAAGCCGTCTATACCTATCCCATTCAGTCAGACTACTACCGAGCACCAGAAGTTGTTTGTGGGTATGGATGGGATACAACGGCAGATATCTGGAATTTCGGTGTTCTGGTACAGGTAGCCTTTTGTCTGACCGGAAACAGGAAGCTAACACGCATAGATGTGGAATATCATCGAAGGCACAGAGCTATTCACCCAGGTTCAAGATGCTGAACACCGATACGATCCCAAATCACACATTGGTGAGATGGTTGGCTTCCTCGGTTCACCGCCAAAGCCGATATTGAAGAGGATGGACGCGTTGGCGCATGCTTCTTTTGTTGACGATGGCCCTGTGAGTGTGGAGAACGGGCCCCTGTATAGTACTCCGCGAGAGCTGTACGGCGGACCGTATCTCGATGAAGAAGGTCAGTTTTTATACTTTGATCGGTGACATCCGCTGATTGACTAGGCAACTTTCTCTATGAGGACCTTATACCCAAGCGCAAACTCGAAGATACGGTTCCCTCACTGAAGGGCGAAGAGAAAGAGTTGTTCCTTTCATTCGCGAGGGAGATGCTGACGTGGGATCCATCAGCGAGAAAGACTGCTGCTGAGCTAGCACAGCATCCCTTCCTGAACTTCGGTGGCTATGTAGTCAAAAATCTCGTCTAATCGTCTGTCGCCCAATTTCCACTCCGCACTCTCCACGGGGCTATGTATAATATAAGAGAACGTCTCCTCTCTCAGTTGCTAACACCTGACAATTAACCAAAATCATCTGGGCATCTTTCAACCCAGATCGATCCTGCTCGTTGAAAAGCATGCAACCCATATTATAGAGACCATCAAAATACCACCACAAAAGACCCTAGGATCTGTCTCTTCGATCATTGCAAAATTGGCCCGGGCGCATTTGGCGAGGCGGGTCGCACCTGCCAAATCTGAGTCGCTGTCAAAAGTAGCAGTTAGAATGACGTAGAGTGTAAACAAATCCCCCGCCTACACATCTACTTAAGTACACACAGCATCTGCCCACCCCTCCAGGTGACTCAACTCGTAGGGCTCAAATAAAGATCGGCAGTCTTACACAGTACCCTTAACTACGTGTAGGCTTCTCAGTATGTTTTACTACACTTGGGTTTTTTACACCGGAATAACATGCCAGTCCCCACATGGGCAGGCAACTGAGTACACACGGAGTACAAGTAAGCCGTGCCTCGGCTGCTCTGTGCCCCGTACATTGGTAGGTATTTCGTACACCTACTTACATAGAGCAAATAAATCCACGGTAGACCAGCTGTATAAAATATAACCTTGGAATATCCATGGATATCATCGACCTGCCCAACTACTTCTAAATTTGGACTTGAGCCTCGGGATGGATTCATTGAACATCTCGTAAGCCACCGTGGACCCCGGGCCCCGGGGGCCAAAGGGTGAACTTAGGACACGGCTGGTCTGACGATTATCTCCACCCGATCACGACAGTGCAAGACTGCATTCGTGGGTCTACAGGTCCTACGAGTACCGATGACCTTGGAACATCTGCGACAAATTTCTACAGCCATGATACTTAGGTAGAAAGTCAAGATCATATGTCTCATTCAAACGGGTCATCAGGCTATGTTGTCAATAGTAAATAGTTCGTGATTGTACTTTTCATGCTGGTTTGCCAGTATCACTCAGAAGTCGTTCTCCAACGAGGCGAACTGCTGCTGAAAGTTCTTCCGCACAAACTCCAAGTAGGCCTTCCACTTGTGAAGATCGCCCGATGCCTCCGCCCCGGCGAACGCCTTGCAGAGCTCCCTGGTGATCTTCAAAATACCCAGGGACGCCTCCTGGGCCTTTTCCAACTCTTGCTTGACGGCGTTGTCTTTCGGCTTGAAGGAAAGGACAGCGGTATAGCGCTCTGACAACGCGTCCAAATGGCGCTCGGTGGCTTCAGGCGCAATCTTGATCAGCTTGGAAGTCATGAGGTTACTGATCGCACGAATATCTTGCTCGTCATCGATACCGGCGAGGATACGATCAAATAGCTCGGTCATGTGGGTGCGGGAGAACGAGGTGTCGAGCGAAGCGTAGAGGGTCTCGTAGGCGCTCTGCAAATGCGTATGTAAGTATGATATCCACGGCCCCGTAAGCAAGCGACAAATACTAACCTTACGCAGATCGAGTCCGTCGTCCACCTTGTGCCTGAACGGACCCATCTGTACTTCACGGATAAGCTCCGGCTTGATCTTGGTATCGCCAAGCACAGCCGGTAGCAGCTCGTCGAGGTGGGGCAGAAGAAGCTCCATCTTGTTGTGGATTGCAGAGTTGAGGGTTGTCAATGCAAGGCGATGGTTGCCCAGATCGCTGTCTCCGAGCATGTTGGTCAACAGTGGGACCATCAACGGGCGAAGGACATCGTTGTAAGCATCGCTTGAATCGGCAAGCGTGTAGCGGAATGCTGAAATCACCACACCGCGGACGGCGGGGTCGGAGTTGGCCAAATATTCCTGCGATAACACATTAGCATCATTGACATCTGAAAGGACAGACTCTGACTTACTTGGAAGTGGGGGATATAAGCAACGGGGTCAAGAAGGGCCAGGCGTCCGACACATTCCGCGCCCACAGCGCGGTTGTCTTCCTCCTCTGAGACAATAAGAAGAGCGTGCCACAGCTTGTGAGCCGATGGCGCAAGATCGGGACGGACAACCTCAGGATGTTGCAGCAGCTCTCGCACGGAATGAAGTAGCAGATAGCTTTGAGGGTTTTCTTTCTCCAACCCATTGAGAATGATGGGAAGGTATGCTTTGACACTACCAGCGGCAGCATTTCCGAGAGCGGTAGCGGCAGCCAGGCGAACTTGATCTGATTCGGATCGGAAGTGAGGAATGAAAAGGTCTGGGGACAGGGAGCACTCGGGCCCCATTCGCAAGCCAATTTCACCCAATATAGCAAGCGCAAGGCATTTCCGGCTATCGTCACGCGCGGTCTTCAGCTCTGTGGAGAAATCGTCCATCGTGACTCCGAGGTTTGGTCCGCCGTGGACCAGGAGGGTACCAACAGCTCTGCCGACCACGGAAGAGTCACCAGTGATGCCAACATCTCGCAAGAGGTTTTGCATCAAGCTGGCACCTGCGCCTTCGTCGCCAATAACTTTAACGAGCAGTAGCAAAGCCTTGAGGACGGTTCCAACCAATGGCTTTTTCACGATTGCGCAGATAGACGAGATCAAAGCATCGTTCACCAGTAGTTTTGAGTTTCCGGGGAGGAGCTTGGCAATGACAATAAGGGTCGGGGTCAGGGTGTGGAAATCTGCGGCGGCTAGGAGAGGCAACACGGCGTTTTCGAGTACCACCATTGTCTCTGCACTGAGGTGAGATCGGACATGGGGGTTCATAGACAAACTACGAAGAGCCTCCAAGCATGCGCCCCTCAATGCGCGATCTGATTTCCGCAGGTTAGAGCTGAGCTCAACAGCAACGATGTTCACCCAGTCACTAGGAACATCCTGCTTGCGTTCGGCGAGTACAACAACATCATCGACAGCGCGGACAGTGGATAGGCGGGTTGTCTCGTTCCTCACTCGGTCGACCAAAACAGCCAGGCCACTGGATCTCCGCTCTGCTGAGAGGAAATCTAAGCCCCGTTCTCCTGATGTACGGGCAATGATGACACCGAAGACATGGATGGCTCGTTGACGGACTTCAAGGTCAGCGCTCGTATCGGTGATTCGAGCGTGAACAACGTCATAGAGCTTCTGCAGCTGTGAATTGACATCGGAAGGATTGGTAGAAAAGCGAGGGGGTGTCATGGCTTTGACAATCTGTTCCACAGATCCCAATGCCTCACTACTGACTTTGTAATTGCGATCATTGACAGCTGCAATAACTCCGGGCACCAGCGCGATCAGGAATGGGAGAAGAGCATCAGACAGATGTGTCTCAGCGATTGCTGCGATGAGCCCTAAAGTTTCAATCTGCAGAGTACCTGCACTGACAGCAGCTCCAGTGTGAGCCGGTGTGCTTCCTGAAAGGGAGGAGGTTTCCAATGCATCTGCGATAAGGTCCTCTATTTGCTGGAGGTGGTCGGAAAGGCCTCCATACCTAACCAAGGAAAGACTTTTGAGAAGAATAATTGCGGCCTGTTTGAGGGGAATCGAAGCCTGCTTCCACACCTTGACCAGGTTCTGAACAATCAAAGGAACGGAGCGAGCCAGATCGGCCTGAGGACCAGACTTGGGCGATGATGGAATGACGGGGGAGTCTACTGCCGATGAGGTGCTAGCGCTTGGCTCGAAGTCGATCATGGATGCGTCGCTGTCCTGGCGTCTGCGCTTTCGAGAGTTCTTCGATCCTCCTACGGCCTCCAGGAAGTCGTTGGAAGTGACAATCATGGAGCCCTCGCCAGTTTTGCGGACCAGCGCGGTCAACGTGGACACAACTTCCAACTTCACGCTCTCTTCCCGTTCTTTGCTGATGCGAGAGACAAGGGCGGGGGCGATTTGTTGGAACAGTGCCGAGTTGTCTGCGGCGCGGGCATGACCGTAGGTGGAGATCACAGTGTAGAGTAGCTTGGCAGCACATCGACGCACCTTCCAACTCATGTCGTCAATATCACTGTAACCGCCTTCCTCTTCAAAGTCTTCGAATTCATCGTCCATGTCGGGATCCTCCGTGGTGTCATCTTCACTGCCATCATCTTGGGTGCCGCCCATCTCTTCGTCATCCTCCGTTTCGGCGACGTTGGGGTCATATTTAAGGAATCGAAGTGCGGATCGAGTGGTGTTCATCAAGTATGGTTGCATTTGTTGATTGCAGGAGCTGATCAAAGCCTCAAGCGTGACCAAAGCGGTTTCGCGGAGCTCATCCGCCTGAGGATCATGCTCCTCGTCATCCGAGTAAGCGGACATTGCTGTAATTTCTGATTTGCAACGCTGATATTTCAGTTGCAAGCTCCTTCAAAGCTTCCTTGCGCGTGGTTTGGCGAGCTTGCGCGTGAGTTGCGGTAGATGGGACAGTCGGGGAATCAAGCTGGAGCCCCGCGCTAGTTCCGATTTAGCGATGTGGTCACGTGTGAGACTTCTACTGCAAGAAATCCAGCAGGTCCAGTGAGGGTTGTGCTTGTTGTTTAGAGGCAAGAAGAGCTTGCAGACCACCCTGCTTGCGCGCTTTCGCTCTCTTCTTGCTGTTCTGGTTATCACCTGACTTGGACTCGGTTGAGACTCGCGTTGGTCCTTTCGCAGCCCCGGAAGTTGGATCTGGAGCGGACGAGGGTGTAGCAGTTGCAGCAGAGGCCCGAGATGTAAGAGGCTGGATAGGTGGCAATACAGTCCGTCGTTGACAACGGAGACACTTGTACACACTGGCACCTTTAGCGGCAGATGCAGCTAGATGTTTCCTCGATTTCGGTTTGATCTCAGTCACCTTGGTCCACTCGGGCTTTCTAATACTACCGCAGGCTCCACAATAGTCTCTTTGTTGTCGGACATTCAATGACTTATGAGTGTTGTGTAGAAGATGGGAGTGCGTCGCAAGTAGATGGGATGATGTTGAGGAGCTCAATGGTACAACCGAGGCAGCCTCAATCAGAAAGGGATCCGGCATTATTCTTCAATAGCCCTATTGACAAGTCAAACAAGTCTATTGACGGATCAATAGGAAGAATAGGAACAATAGGAACGAGTAAAGAAGATGAATAGGAACAATGTCAATAGCAAATCACTTGACAGGAAAACCATCTGAACTTCAGAGATTTGCCCGGGAGCTTAAATTCCGCCTGCTCCACCCGCCGCTTCTTTTCCATCTACATCTCTCTACCTTCACTTCGACTTTCACCCCGCTCTCTTTCATGCTTTTGCTTGTCTTCTAGCATCCCTGTAGCTCAACGGGCCCCGCCTTTGGAGATTTTCTTTCTCTCCTTAGGTGTTTCGTTTCTTCGTATCTCGTCTTTTCGTCTTCTCTATCATCAACCCTTCGACATCTCATGATGGCACCCATGCGCATTGCTCTTGAGGGCTGTGTGAGTTTCCTCTTCATGATCTCAGGTCATCCCCAACTCCTAGTGTGGCTGCTAACCTATTCCATCCAGGGCCATGGCAGCCTCAACGTGATTTACGATGCCGTCAAGGTCAAGGCTGACCAACTGAATTGGACATCTGTGGATGTCCTCATCATTGGAGGAGACTTTCAAGTATGTCTCGTCTTCCATCAAATTGAAATTTGTTCTCTTGCTAACTGCCCACAGGCCCTCCGCAACTCAAATGATGCCACTTGTGTCTCTATGCCCGCCAAGTATCGCCAGATTGGTGACTTCCATGAGTATTACAGCGGCAAGCGCGTTGCACCCTACTTGACGATCTTCCTCGGGGGTAACCATGAGGCTTCCAACTACCTCTCTGAGCTGTACTACGGTGGCTGGGTGGCTCCTAACATCTATTATCTCGGCGCTGCCAACATCATTCGTCTTGGTTCTCTTCGAATTTCTGGGATTTCTGGCATTTGGAAAGGCTATGACTACCGCAAGCCTCACTTCGAGCGTCTCCCCTACAATGAAAGTGACGTGCAATCCATTTATCACGTGCGTGAACTTGATGTTCGCAAGCTGCTCCAAGTGCGCACTCAGGTGGACATTGGTCTTTCTCATGACTGGCCTCAGGGCGTTGAAAAACATGGTGACTACATCACTCTTTTCAAGAAGAAGAGGGGATTTGAGCAGGATTCTCACACTGGCCGACTTGGCAGTACGCCTGCCCGTGAGCTCCTTGATCACCTTCGCCCTCCTCTTTGGTTCTCGGCTCATCTGCATGTCCGATTTACTGCCTTCTTGCGTCATGATGGCTCCAGCACTCCCACAAAGCAGCAGGCTTTGGCCAACCATGCTCCCCGGTCTTTGACTTCCTCTACCAAGATCAGCCTGCCGGATGAACACAACAAGGCTATCTGCCCCAATGAAGAGGGTCCTATGACTGCTGGTCAGCGCAAGCTGGGAGTTGCCACCGGAGATGTGGCTGCGCGGATTGCGGCTTGGCAAGGATTCGGAAAGGTGGCTCATCGGAAGGAAATGGCTGACGAGGCCGAGTTCATGGCAGCCTTTAAGCAGCGACAGGCCACTGGTGCTAAGCTAGGTCAACCCTTCACATTTGAGGAGACAGTGAGGATTGGGAAGGGTCCTATTCAGACGTTTGTTCTCGGCCCCGACGGAGAGAGAGTTGAAACTACGGGCATCTCCAGCTCTACTCAGAACAGCGTTTCTGCTTCCGAGACCACCGCCGAGAAATTTGCAAATGCCGACAAAGTCAGCCTTGGCAGCAGCCCTGCCAGTTCAACTGGGGCCCGCCTCGAATCTGCGACGGAGACACCATCCAATGCCAAATCGTCCATGGAACAGGATTCGAATGTCGCCAACAACGATCAAATCAGTCTGGGCTCGAGCTCAAAGTCAAGCCCTCAGAGTGTCGCCAGCTCAGCTCCTCTTGATCACTCTTCGCTCGCTTTGGCCCAGCTCGATGGAGCACCTTTTTCGAAGGAACTTGTTGACGAGAAAGACAATCTCGTTGAAGACGACCTCGATGATTTGGTTGCCGTGGCGAAGAATGAACTTCCCGCTAGTCTTGAACGCTCTCCGACCCCAGTTGCTGTCAGCAAGGTCCTTCCTGCCCCGGAAGAAATCACCAACAAGCTCACAAAGTTCCTGACCCTGGACAAGCCCAAGAATCATGACCCATTCGTTGAATTGGTTGAGTTCGGCCCTGTCTCTCAGGGGGAGACTGAGCAGCAGCGTCCATTCCGCCTCCAATACGACAAGGAGTGGCTGGCCATTACTCGTGTCTTTGCTGAGGAGCTTGACTTCGGCAATGTGGATGCCTCGGTCCCCCACCACAAGGGTTACGAATACTACCAGCGTCGCATTGCTGAGGAGGAAGTCTGGGTCCAGGAGCACGTCGTCGATGCTGGTCTGCTGAACGTTCCGGAGGATTTCGCTCGCACTGCGCCTGTTTATGACCCTTCGGTCATCATTACCACCGATGAGCAGCCAGTGGAGTACACCAACCCCCAGACCGAGGCCTTCTGCCGCCTGGTGGGAATTGAGAACAAGTTTGATCTTCCCGATGAGGAGCGACGTGCCCGCGTGGAGGCTGGTCCTCGTCCTTGTGATCCTCGCACTCGCAAGACTCGAGGTCGGGGCAGCCGGGGCGGCCGAGGCCGTGGGGGACGTGGTCGTGGCCGCGGCCGGGGCGGCCATAGCAAGAGCGGTAACTGGAACCAGGGTGGTGGACAAGGTGGGCTAGCCACTTGGTAGCTGATTTCACTGTCTGGTCAGCGGGCTCAATAGGTTGGGGGTTTCAACGGCGTGTGGGGAAGTAGGTGGCTCGCTCGGTCGTCACTCTGGAAGAGAGAGTTTCTAATAAGACCAACAGTTCAACTTCTTTTTTATGTCATTTCCCTTTATGTGTTCACAAGATTTTGTGGCCCATTTTTTCGTGGTCATAGGTACAGTGTGCATCTTATGAAGTTCAATATCCACATCGGTCTGGCGCAGAACAGGTCGGGGTTTCTTGATTTCGCGTTTCTCGTTTCGTCTCCATCCTCTAAGTAATAAATTGCTTTGATAACTAGCCAGAATCAAAATATTTCAGTCATTGCAATCTTCTCATCTCATACTCAGTAGCGTACATTAAATTCAAAAAGTATTGGGAAGAGTGTTAGAAACATGTTCGGAGAGTACCAAAATGGCCGAAGAAAAGAAGTTAAAATCCGAGAGAGACCTCCCAGGTAGACAAGATAGCAAGTAACACGATACTCAAGTTCATCTTTGGAATGACAGTGACTTTCCACTCGAGACCAAAATCGAGAATCGAAAGAAAAAAAAGAAATGTGCATCATCCGTGAATCGAACACGGGCCTCGTCGATGGCAACGACGAATTCTACCACTAGACCAATGATGCTGAGGAAACCAGAGAAGGTGAATTCTCATTGGCTGTTGATATAGTTCGGCGCCCAAATGTCAATCATGTTCACATTTGTTCCTGAGCCCTGCTCGATCCGTAGATACTTCGTTCGTGCGAAGGTCTTTCTGCGGAAATCTGCACTTTTGCATTTGGTATGATCTACTGGGCCAGGTACATGGCCATGTATATATTGGTTGATGTTTGTACATTTCTTTTCAACTGAATGCAACTAGATTATACTCATTCAATCTCTTCAATGCGAGGGCGACCAGTTCCTTCCAAACCAGCCATCGGGTCAACATGAAGACCCGCAATCCTGCCACCGAGTCCAAGTCCTGCATCCAGAGCCTCTTGGCCTTCGTGAACGCCGATGCCCCACATCAAAGACTTCTCCGTCCAGGCCTCCAAACTCTCGACCAAATCACGAAGATGTTGACGGGTAAGGCCGTCCTTCTCCCGACTCTCGACGAAGCATAGCGTGCGCAGCATAGCAGGAATATTACCGACAGTGGACTTCTCGTGCGAGAAAGCCTGCGGCACGGCGAATGAATCATTGTCTGAAAGAGAGAAGCCAAATCCAACGTCCTGTCCGAGTGTTTCGCGTGCCGTTTCAAGGGCCTTTAAGGTGTCAAGGATCAGGATCACGCTTGCGCGGCGCATGATGGCCGTTTCGGTGGCGGTTTCGAGCGTAAGGACGGAGAGGGCGAGATCGATGGCAGATGAGACGGCTGTGGGGCCGAGGCCGATGATGTTGGTTGTGATGGCTGTGCCGAGGATCGAAATCGCCGATGCTCGGGCACGAAGATCGTCTGGTTTGTCGTCTGCTGACGTGCCAGCTGCCCATGCTGCGACAACATTGGCAGCAAATGCTTTCTGTTCCTCGGTCTCCTCGTCGGAGTCCTCGTCGTGAAGGTTGAGCTCGGACGCGACTTTGGCGATCTCAGATGGGATTGACCAGCCATCTGACAGTTCAGTTCCATTTTCTTCGTCGCTAGCCTGACTAGGCTGATGGCTCGCGACGTTGTCGTTTTCTTGTGTCGTGGTTCTCAACTTCTTGGGTTGGTCTTTGGTGCCACGCCGTCCGGCAACAGCAATCAGGGTTTCTCCCAGAACCTTTGCTGTTTCACCGGAGAGTCCGTTACCTATATTTTGGATCGATTGGACCATCGCCTGACCGATCATAAGACGCTGGTTCAGGGTCCTCTTCTCCTGTTTATCCGCATAATCCTCAACCAACGTCTTGATCACCGTGTGCGGGTGGCGTGACGCCAGCTTTCCAATGACGCTGGTTGCAGCTTTGTGGTTGTATGTTTCATCTTCCGCTGTACCTGAAGTGTCTGTGACTACCAATAGCATCCACCCGAGGGCCACGCTCACATCAACAACCGGGGAAGCTGCCATTATAAGCTCCTCCAAGAGGAATAGACCTTCTGCTTTGACTGGTGGCATGTCTGAGGTTAGATTTGCCATTGCTTGACGATAGGTCTCAAGATCTTTGATGTGAGCTGGTTTCGTCTGCGTTGCGGGCTTATCTGGAGTGGCAAGTTGAATCTCCAGCAGTAGCGACGACGTAAGTCCTGGCTTGGAGAGCGTTGGTGGAAGAAGCGGTACAAGCTGATCCAGATTTTGCTTTAGAGACGAGAGTAGCGGAATCAGTTCTTCGGTGGGCGAGAACTCAGCTGAGGCGAGCAGAGTGGACAGGAGGCTGAAGGCCGTTGAGAGGGACTCGGATGAATCGATTGCTGACTCTTCCATTGTATCATCCTCTTTCTCGACAATGTTGGATAGTGATGATAGAGAGACATCTCCTTTTTTCGCGCTATCTCGGGCCTGAAGTACATGCAATTCTCCATCAACTATATGTTTGATGAGTTCCAGAACACGGAGCGGACGTCTGGTGAGTGCTTCCTTGAAGTTGTCCAGCAGCTTCTCTGCAACCTTTGCACTGACAAGCTTCTGGGTAATGTTTTCGGTCTCATTTACAGGACCTCCATGAAGCATGTTCCTGGACGGTTGAGAGATGGTGGGTTTCACTAGCCACTTTTCACTCACGTAGAGGAATATATCACCAGTCCTCTCTTCACTGCTAGGGTCAGATCCAAGAAGACTGATGAATAATTCGGCTCTTGTGTGCAATGAATCCATTAAGCGGATCAAATTGGAGTGGTCGCCCGCTGGGGCGTTTCGTTGGACCAATGCAACTCGCAAGTCAGCATCCTCGAGATATGTCCAATTCACGCCTCCATCCCAAAGAAGATTATCGACCAGCTTTTTCAGCGGTGGAAACCCGACCGAAATACCGAAAAATGTTTGCAGTAGCGGTAGCACACGTTCATGAAAAGAACCCAGGGGTTGCTGTTCCTTGGAGAAGCATACTAGTCCCCATAGAGGAAGAAGAATTGGCTGAATGAGCCGCTTGACGACGCTGGGATTCGGGTGCTGCAATGTCAAGCATCTCAATCTTTCCAAAGCCAGATCGATGGTTGTGCTGTCCACAATGGTAGTAGATGTATGGCCGTCATCCCTTGACTGAGGCAAAGAGCCTTCGACATCCGTAAATTGGGTCATCCATTGCCTGGACTTTGGGTCAAGTTCCGCAGTGAGTGCATTGAATATAGGTTCCACGAAAATAGAATGACCAATGGTTCCAACGGCCCCGTATGCACGTTTACCCAGTATTCCATTGGCGACAACATATGAAGCAGTTTTCCGGAGGTCTGGATCAGCGCCATCTATCAAGGCCAAAAGTTGCGGAGCGATCGTCTCAAAATAGACCTTCGAGTCAACCCCATGTGGTACAGACGAGAGAAGGCGGGATATCTGCATGATAGCCTGCACGGTCAACCGAGGGCCGTTTGATTGATCCTGTGCTTCCTGGCCAAGCGATGGGGAGAATTGCGATGCAATAAACATTATGACTTGCACCACTCCGCCTGGTCGTAGTGGGACGTGTGAGATCTGACTTGATATCGTTGATTTGAACCATTGAGCAGTGTCCGACTGAAGGAAGCTAGATAGCGTGGGTAATAAGACGGTTGTGGGGGTACTATAAGTGATCAGCATCTGTCGGGGGCACAATGGTAACATCAACATACGCTTCCACAATGTCTGTTAATGATGCCTTGAGGCCTATTCTATCAGGCGATTGTTCGAGGTTTGGGTTGAACGCAAGGTCCGAGATCCCACTGATCACATCACTCAGGATACGACTTCGAATTATGGGCTGTATGCTTGGGTGAGGGTCACTGAGTATAACAAGCAAAACACCAATGATGCGGCGAAGTAGCGGCTCATTCTGAGGTACACTGCTGGTGATTGTGTGCGCCTTCTTGGCAATAATACCGGCTGGGAGAACCGATATAACGCGCTGCTGCAAAGGTATTCCGACGCCAGCGGACAATGAAGGATATATGCCTTCCAAGGAAATCAGATCCAGCAGAGCGTGCAACATTCGACGGCGCTTGGCATCTTCCATGGGGGAACCTGCAACATCAGAATACTGCTGTTGCGCCCCCTTTCGTGGGGCAGGTGGAACGAATGATCTATGGATATTGATCAATATATCCAAGGCCTTGTTGATGACCGTCGGTCTCCCGGATTCATCATCACCGCCGTCATGATCGGAGACCTGGCTTAGAATTTGAATCAAAGAGGTCCCTGGTGTCTTTTTTATTTCATCTAACAGGCCAGTCAGCCCTAGCTCTCTTTTGCTACGAGGGGATGAGTATCTCAATTGTGCATACCTCGATCCAGGACTGGTGTCAAGAAGTCATTAGCAGTGCTAAAAGCATCTTGAATCTGCGGGTCCTCTTCCATCATGAGATGTAGTCAATTTTGATCATGATAGCATCATATCCACGGGTTAATACGGGGTTTTTAAATATCTAAAATGCCCAGGTGTGAAAAATGAATGAATAATCAAGAAGTAATGATGAGTCTTGGCATCCAAAATGCTATGTCCTCAATATGCATCATGTGACCACGTGTTTTTCTGCCCGCGTCGGGAATCGCGTTCACCGCCCCCACGGCTTTATTGACATCGATATTCTTCTATCCGCATGCACCTCACAAAGTACAATACACAAGCTACCTCGTCCAGTTTCTTGACTTTTCACAAATCTTGCTCATTCCGACAACCTTTATTGGACCCGTTATCTTTTCACACGCGTCGAAGTTTCACCACTATCATCAGATGGATGTGAATCCACTTAAGTCTCTTGCCCCTCGAGGCATATGTACAGATCAACTCTTCCCGATCTTCCATCATCAACCGCTGCTTTCAATGGTAAACCGCCGTGTACGCGTCGGTGCAGTTAATGTTGGAGACCAACCCCTAAGCTTATTTCGGAAAAATGTCTTCGCAGGCATAGTTTCACGGATTGCGCATGCCGGATTTTACGATGAGCTCAATCGGACTGTGATGGTCTGCCTAAGCGAAAGGGGATCCGACTTGCCAGAGCCTCCTGGCAGAAAAGACGGTTTACTATGTGTCCTCTCAACGGGGTACTCGTCAGTTTTCCAATGCTGGACAATGCATGCCGGTCGCAACTGAAGGGTCGCTCTATGCTTTGGATATCAGTTCATTGAGGAGAGAAAGCAGGCGAAACATGTCGGGCAATTCTGTGTTAGATTTCGCCTTGAGGATCAACAACGACAGCGCGACCAGACGGCAATTGGGTGCAACAATCAAGGCTCGGATATCCTAGGGCATTAATCCATTTGATTCGGGAATTTGGCGCCTGAACACAACAGCTTCCTTACACACGGTCATGCTACTATCATATCAAATGAGCTCACTCGCCAGAATCAACTCTCTTCTCCCTGAATATGGCCCAGGCATGTTCAAAGTTGAAGTTGAAGCGAAGTTCTTTTGATATGGTACTCATGATTCTTGAATTTGGTCTGCAAAGAACAAATTGAAGACACTGGACTGTTGTCCCGTTCCGGGAGGCAAAAAATTTCCTTCTCCGAATGAATTGATGTTTTCGGTCTTGGTTGTCTGTATTTTTTTGTCGATTCTGCTAGCATGGTCTGTCTGTTCCTGTGCATGTTTCTCATCCCAGAGTCCCTGGGGACCTTGCACCTGCGATCCAACTCCTCGAGTTCTGATTTCCTTCAGCCTGACAGGCAGCTAGACACCTCGAATCAAGCCATCCGCCAACGATTCGACTTCATCAGAAGATTCTGACCACCCGTGTTCACCATCTCTTTGCAAAGCAGTTTGTGAATCGATTGATGGGCACCGATTCCAACAACAACTTCGGTCGTTGTCCCTTCCTTTGGGAAGCAGGAAGCGGTTTTTTAGGATGTTCTTTGTCCGCTTCACCTGCCCTCCTGTGAGGTCTTCGGATCAATCAGGGGAGGAAACAAAAACCTGTCCCTAAGAGTCCTGTACCACACACGAGAGACTTGGAGTCACATTCGTCTGACGATAACGGCCAAACAACAACGACTTGAAAGAAATCGTGGAGATGATGTTTGTCGAGCAGTTTGGTTGAGATTACTGAGGCGCGGTCAGCCGTGACTTGTTTTTGTGGAGCTGCGTGGGAATCAGTGGGAATCAGTGGGCTTGTTGGCAACTGTGGGCTCGAGGGCTATAGTCATCGGCTTTCGCCAAGTCCGAACCATTCCTCAACTTCTTTTTGTGCCTGCTCTCGAAGAATGTCCTTCCATCTCTCAATTGACGTCGATTTTTCCGGACAGAAAAACACGCAGTCTCCATGTTTTGAACGCTTACGCCATCAGTCCTTTTCCAGTCGACTGCAGGGTATGACTTGGTCGGTCCAACGTATATGCGTCCTGTGGGTGTTATTGCGGGACCTCTCTCGAGTGAGGCTCAAAGCTTCGGCTTGTCTGCGATACCTGTCTACTGCTTCTGCGTCCCAATCAAGGCCTACTCCTGCTGTCTATCTGGAAGGGACTGAAAAGCGACAAAACAGAGATATGCTACTTTCCGTGCCACTGAGGAACTATTGTATGGGCGTTGAGAACAAGGGCTTGCTTTGAGACTTGTACTACGTTTCATCGAAGCAGAATGTTTGGGACTTGGCGATGGCTGATGACCGGCCATTTCTACTTGCCTCGGCTGGTAGAAGTGGCCCTCCTTTTTTTTTATACGTCCCCCCGATCTTCTTCAAAAGACTATGCTAACTACTTGCCCGCAGCGAAATCGTCCTATCACTCTTGGATTTGTTGACTTGAAATGAACCTTCCGTTTGAATGGGTGAAATTGGGCTTCATATCATCTTCTCAAGACCCGGTCGCGATGTGTGGATTTGTCGATTCAAGGTTGCTAGTATAGTGAAAACACATTACGTCATGGATATCCCGAAGTGCACTAACGGCTACACTACGCCGCAAGTTGTTTATAGCGGCCAAATAGAAGAATTACATAAGTGTCTTTTGTCAGCTGCCCCTCAGCCCCGCGCAGAACAGGAAGGAATGTTCCCGTGGTTCCGATAATTTTTTTGATAAGAATTTCTTGTCGCATTGTACATTCTTCCGAAACCACCACCGCCAGTACAACTTGGATACACGTGAAATTGAGCCTATAACCGATATTCACAAATTTCCTACACAATGGTCAGCAAAGCCGATAATGATGCGCTCGAGTCGCAATTCGAGTCGCAATTCCAAAAGCCCGGTGATCTGGTGGAGCGTGATGATGACACAGGACTCATGGAAGTTGAGTCTCTTTGCATGAGTGAGTAGCTTCTATATCGAATTTTATTGCTCTCGGCTAACTGGAGTGTACTAGACTGTCATGAGCAAGGGTTTGTCTCCGGCGCACAAAATCTCAATGAGCCAGAACACTAATCTTCGTTGTCATCGCCAGAACCACTCGCCTCCTCCTCCTTCGTGTCCCCTACTTCCGCGACATTATCCTGGAGAGCTTTGAGTGCCCTCACTGTCACTTCAAGGACAACTCCGTCAAGTCAGCTGGCCAAATCCAGGAGCGCGGCGCGAAGTATACTCTGAACGTTGAAAATGAGCAAGACATGGCCCGGTATGAATATCTTTTGTCGAATGCTGCTATGCGTTTCGAGGCAAGATCGTGACATGGACTGACGTTCCATCTAGCCAAGTCATTCGCAGTGATCTTTCAATCTTCAAGCTTGAGGACCTCGGCATCGAGATGCCCCGCGGCGAATCACAGCTTACCAACGTTGAAGGAGGTTCGTTCTGTCATGAACCAGTTCCACTGCGCTCAATCGGCTAATCACATATGTTAGTCGTTCAACACATCCACGAGCATCTTTCGGGAGAACAAGACCTTCGCAAAGAACAAGCCCCCGAGCTCCACGATGCGCTCGTTCCGATCATCGCCAGTTTGAAGAAGATCCTCGACCGCGACGGCGCTTTCCCCTTCACAATTTCCCTGGATGACCCCACTGGAAACTCGTGGATCGCACCTAACACAACCGACCGTGGCAGCAAGTACACACGTCGTGAATACCCTCGAACTCACGAGCAAAACGAGGAGCTCGGAATTGCGGCGGACACACAGGCGGTCGAAGCTGAGAAGTCGCAGATGGACTTCGGTAACCCCGAGGACCTTGACATCGTCGACGGCCAGGTCTACACCATTCCTGCTGAATGCCCAGGATGCAGCAAGGCCTGCAAGGGTAAGATCTATCTATGTGGTTGATTTGTCATTCGACATGCTAACGCTTTTTGCTGCAATTAGTCAACATCAAGAAGCTCAACATCCCCTATTTCAAGGAGGTCTTCATTTGGGGTACAAACTGTGACGGCATTGATGAGGCCGAGTCTTTCGGCCAGGTTCCTCACGATGGCTGTGGTTACCGTAGCAGTGAAGTCCGCACCGGTGGTGCTGTTCCCGAGAAGGGAAAGACCATTACTCTTCGTGTCGAGAACAACCTCGATATGTCCCGCGACATCTTGAAGTCTGACACATGTCAACTTCAGAGTGATGATCTGGATCTTTCCGTTGAGCCAGGTACTCTGGGTGGAAGATTCACTACTGTCGAGGGATTGCTGGGTTAGTTCCTCCCCTCTTGTTCCATGACAAGAATTCCAAAGCTAATATTCCATGTTTTAGTTGAAATCCGCGACCAATTGAAGGGAACTATCTTCTCTGGTGTCGATGAGACCACTGGAGGTGATGGCATGGCTTCTTCCGACAAGGAGACATGGGAACGCTTCTTTAACCGCCTCGACCAAGCCATTGCCGGTGAGCTTAAGTTCACCATCACCCTGAAGGACCCCATGGCGAACTCCTACGTGCAAGATCTCTGCACCCCCGAAGTCGACCCTCAGATTACCAGCGAGGAATACACTCGAACTGAGGAAGAGGAGGATGACCTTGGTTTCAAGGACATGAAGACCGAGGGCTACGAGCAGGACGCCCAGACCAACGGCGATGCCAAGGAGTAAGGGATTTCCCAAAGCTTCCTTTGTTTTTTCACAATGGCCAATATCCATTGCATGATATGAGACTTTATGATTTTGTTGAGATTTTCCGCATTAAGGCGTCTGTTGTATGTATGATTCTGCTATGTTCATTTAGATATCCGGTGATTAGATACATATGGATGGAGCTCAAAAGTTGTTATGTTGAAATTCTTTCAGTATCACCAACCTTGTATTCCGTACTCCCTAGCTTGTTTGTGGTTTGTCGCCCATCCTTCTTGGCTATGGCGATTTGAAGATTCAACCAATTTCTGTCTAAAAACCAGGACCTCGGGATAAATTGAATTTACATAAGTACAGGACCTGGCTTGGGGCATGCTTACATGCATACTCGAGTGCTTAGTTACGTAGTCTTCAAATGGATACCGAGGCATTTCCTAGCTCTTTATGTAGCTAGTGCTATGGATGACATGAGCATTCCTCAACATGTTAATCATCCATGCTGGATTTTTATCATCCCATATACCTTGGTAAAGCCGGTCATTCTAGGCCCATTGCGGTGTTCAGGTGGCCTTGTGGCTTGTGGCAAGAAATGCGCCGAAACCTAAGTGCTCTCGAGCAAGGAGTCCGTTTCGGTGGGGGTCACCGGAAGGGCTAGGCGTTGTTTGCGGCGTGAGGAATGATAGAGCTGTATCTTAGGACAGCCCTAAGAGCCACACCGAAGGACACCATTAGAAATTCCATGCCCGAAAATCATTGACCCATAGCCTTGAATTGTAGTTTTAGCCAGAGCAGGGCGCGCAATAATCTGGAAATGCATGTATTCCGGATGTTTGGGTATCTTCAAGTTCCAATAGAATTTGTGCATGGACAAGCTCAGGTTGCAAAAGGATTGGCATGGATTGTGACACGGTTGATCTTGAAAGGTTCAAAGTCGTCGCCCTCCTTCGGCTGAGAGACCTTGCCCTTTTTATCAACTTTAACATTTGCCTTCTCAAGCTTCGTCAAGATATCACCACCCTCATCCTGGGCAGTCAAATTCAATACCTTTCCAAAGACAGTGCTGGCACCATCAAGGTGCGGCGCCGGGACGAATGAGATGAAGAATTGACTGCCGTTGATCGTCGCGCCCGTTGCGCCTTGTGACCCAGGCGCCGTTCGGTCCTTGACTGGGCGCGAAGCCATAGACAGAATGCCCCGTGCATTATGACGCAGAGACGGGAGATGAATTTCTTGATTCATCGCTGCAGGGTGGTAGATGGATGTGCCACCTTTCGGGATCTCGAAGTCAAGCATCGGCTTTGTGGATGTTTCTTTCGCAATGGGGCCGAGAGAAATGTCTCCACCCTGGATCATGAACCCAGGGATGAGCCGGTGGAACGGGGTATCATTGTATGCGCCGGTTGCACAAAGTGCGAGGAAGTTCTCTGCGGTCTGAGGCACCGCTTCGCAAAAAAGCTCAACCTTGAGGTCGCCCTGGGTCGTATGCAACTATTGAGCCAATGTTAGCAAGCCGAGGTACCTTTTGGGGCATACAAGCACTCTTGAAGCTCTTTTTCATATTTCTTGGAGGTTCATACTTACTGTAACGGACATTTTGGCGGAATTCAGCGACGTAATATCAATATGCAAGTGGTAAAGTGACCTGCGGCGTCTTCAAGTTTCCGCGGCGGCAGTCCCTTAGTCAGCGGTTCTTATCGGCGCTGGCAGGCCCAGGTGTTTGTTGCAAATAACAAACCTCTTCGATTCGTGTTCCGTCGGCATATCTCGAGCCTAGGGTGACTTACCTCTTCCCTTCCGAACTGGATATCAGGATTGAGATTGCCATTGCCCATCATCCCAGCTTAAGCCCGGCTGCGTTCCGTCCTCGCCCTTGGCAAAGCAAGCGCAATGAACAATCGACCAGTCGAACAGGCGTTGGCCACATTGGTGCCAACGCATGCCAGTGATCTACCCCAGGAACTTCTCAGCTATGCGATGTCCCTGGTTGCGCAATCTCGGAGCTTCTCGGCCAGTCTGAAGCCCGAAGAGGAGATCGCGCGTCCGTACGCCTGTGCGGAGATTGCCTGTAGAAGGTATGGCGAAGTTTCTCGAAGGAATTGTTTCGATGCATGCTAATCATGTCTTGCTGTTCTATTTAGAATGAGCCGCACCTTGAAGCTTCCCCCGCTCCTAGGACGTGCGCCATGTCCTCCGCGCGTATACAAAAAGCTTTACTCATACCTCGATCGATCTCTAACAGCAAGCTCAGTCGGAATCAAACGATCAGCAAGTGGATCTGTCGCTGGATCTCCTTCACGCGCTGGGTCTGCGCAGACAACGCCTACCAAAGTCAGGAACACCCCTTCCAAGGCGGTAGCTCCCACGCCACGAGGACTCCAAAACACCCCCTCGAAACCTACACCTCTGAAGCGGAGTATGAGTACGGCTAATCATCTTGAGAGCCCTTCAAAATCAGCAAGGAAGGTTGCAACTCCTCGACCTAAAGAAGTCACTGGCTCCACTGTCATCCCCGATGCGCCTGCTTGGGTGATGACGGCCATTCGGACTGTATGCAAGATACTTTCGACACCCGCACCGCGCACAAATACCTGGTCTCGACCTCCAATTTCAAGAACTCTTCCTCCCCACATCTTCTCTGGCGTGTCGTCCATTCTTTACCTCACTTCGAGTATGTCCAATGACGAAGCTGGATGGGATGAGGAGGCATTGGGATTCCTGGAGCCAATTGTTTCCATCAGCGGCTCAGATAAGGATGATGACTTCAAAGAACTGGTATATGCTCTGGCTGTGGCTGTATACTTCCTTGTCCTTGCACGTCGACGCAATCCCGGGCCAGATGAAGAGGCGAACATCGAAACGCAGAAGATGGACAAGAAGACATTTATTGAAATGCGCCAGACTGCGTTAAACAGTCTTGGTCTCACTAACGATCGGCGGCACCGTGACGACGTGGACCAGTGGATTGCTCTGATCATGGAGCACGGCTGGGCCAATGGCCAGGAATGGTTCGAGAACATCGCCTACGCTGGGCAACTCTTTGGGGAGGACGAGGAAGGAAAGTCTTACCAGGACTTGGATCAGGAAGATGCCATACTCAGGGGTGTCAGACCACCCAAGCGTTCATCCGCAGCTCAGGGCACCTCAGCTTCACAGCCCGATCACCCTCCCCGAGATGGTCTTCTGCCTGGCTTGGGAACAATGATGCAGGATCGTGTTGACTGGTTGAGTGATGAGCGTCGAGAAGAATATGTAGATTGGAAGACGGAGCTCATGACCCGCATCCAAGGTGCAGCGGCATAAGTGTCGAGATTTGCGATTGCGAGGATGCCATTGCAGGCTGTAGGATTAATTGATACCCAAGATACTGAACCAAATCTTTTCAATTCATTTGACGCAACGATACCATTGATCTCCCTCGCCATCCATGTCCAGGCAAAAGCCAATATTGTAATATCTAAATAGTGTACCAAGGTCTCTATGCATTTTTGCGCCCAAAGCAACCATATTTCCATATCATTCACCGACTCCATGCGCCGTCGACGATGCCAATGCTAGCATCTATTCTAATACCAAATGCTCCTTGTCCGGTGGTGGGGAATCGACTCATTATGTTCCGCCTCGAGGTTCTTCATCGTGTCGTACAAGAAGAAATCAATAAGGATGGCGTTAATACCATATGTTCTTTTCGGCTTTTCGTCATTCCCAGTCTTCTCAATTGCCTGGGTTTCTCCGTCCTCATTCTCCTCGTTTTTATTTTTGTTTGAGGCAGCTTGGGCAGGAGGAGCTTTGCAGCTCATCTTGACCTCAGGGTGCCGTCGCTCGATCTCCCTTTTGATCAATTCCACGCACCAGATACTCGTGCCCCGAAGTTCAACTTCCCAATTAGAGCCTGATTCAATGGGCTTCAAGTCACGTATGTGGCTCTCTAGTTTGGGTGCATAGCGGATGCAGTTCAGTTGGTGTAGCATCTGTGGAATGCGGTAGTCTAGTGTTCGTGGTCAGTTTGTTCTTGGGTTGTTGTATGAGGGGTGAAAAGGACAAAAGCCAGGCCTGAGCATACCTGCAAACATGGTGATCTTGTCGATATCATGGAATTCACCGAAGTCCTCGCCGTTGAAACAAGCCCACAGGTCAGCAACCAGAATCTGAGCGCGCTTATAGAGTCGAATGCGTCTCCCGTTGTAAATTGTCTCGTCACGGAAACACGAAAAGCTCTCTGTCACGAGATTGACCAGTCCTGCAGCTGAAAGATTTGCACTGTCAATGCAATTGGCAAAGCTTCCACCAAATTCCTGTTTTGTTTAGCATTTCTCGTAGGTGTCAATGAGACGGGGAATTCTTACCTCGCAAAGAACTTCGCCTGCCTCGCGGAGACATTGCATTCTCTCTTTGAACATGGGGATCTCCTCATCTGTCGCGGATCTGAATACATGTCGGAGCACTTCTTCGGTGCACTTTTCTTCATCCACCCAGAAATCAGGGGTTGTGATAGGGATATCTGGATCTCCAGTCAATACATGCACATTCTTGGCACCTGTTGACTCTTGACTGACCTTCTTCCAGGGCCCTTTGCAGGGCAGCAACCAGGCTCCAATATCCAGTCCACAGCTTGCCACGGTACTCGATGCAGAAACGCTTTGGTGCTTCCTCTTCTGCAGACCAGAAGCTGAAATTCAGCAAATCCATCGTAAAGATAAAATCAACAGTGCTCTCATCTTTGGCTTGAGGATGCAACTCATGCTCCGACCAAGTCTGCGTGGAGTACTCTTTCTTCTGCATGAGACGCCAGATTGTCTCGGCGGCTTCTTGGGTGAACTCGCGGCTGACAGCAACATCAATCGCATTATCAAAGACGTATTGAGCAGCCTCAAGCACCTTTGTCTCTGGGGGCACATCTTTGGCTTTTCCGCCACCCAGTCCGAGATGCTGGCGGAGAAGCTCTACCAGCTCTGGGTCCGCTTCATCGTCGGAATTCACCTCGACCTGTTCATTTTTTCTAGCCGGAACCGGATCCAATGAAGGCATGATTGCGTATAGTGCGTTTTCACTCAGATGTGAATGTATGGGAGAACTTGGTGGTCAGGGGCTTCTCCTTTTTCAGGGAGAATCTGGCGGTGGGCAAACGGCTGATGTGCCTTCCACTGAATACGAACTGGTTTTGAGGTGCGATTGAAGCGACTGGTCTGGCCTTGGAAGCGGTTTAAAAGCTCCTGTAAGTGACCTAACCACACTGGTTTCTTTTTTTTATTATTTTCCTTTGGCTTTGCCACACCGAAAATTCGAGCCGACGCCCTTTTGATAGAGGTTATGTAAGCAGGGGTAAGCTGCTGAAATTGCGAGTACTTGTCTACTCATACGAAATTTGGGGCGGAATAGATGGGCAGGGAGAATTGGGCAATGTGTATTCCGTACGGAGTACAGCATTTGAAATCGAGGTACAGCCCTGGAGTTGCACAGGGCAGGTCTGATCCCTGAAGTACGGGATAAACTACACAATGTTCTAAAGTTGTTCAGGTTTTTCAGACTACGAGCCTTATGGTTTTGAGATGGTGGACATGACATAAATAATGCGAGAGCAGCTTCGATACTCTTTCTGGTCAGATGGTCTCAAAGATCCCGTGTGTCCAACTAGTGCTGTGTACCACATACTTAAGTCGTTCATTATACGGAGTACATAGCAAACAAACAATGCAAACAGGTTCCTGCGCGCTATCAACATGCCGATTCATGAAATGACCCCAGCCTTTTATGTATTTGTTTGTTTTGAGAAAAAACACTGCTCTTTTAGTGACTTCAAATGGCAGCAGCATACAAATCCCCGGCTGAAGGCTCTAATTCCGACCCGAAAGCCATTGAACCACAGTGCACAATGCACATTCAGCACTGAGGACCTTCATGGCCTCCTGAGCGGTCTCATCGTCGAGGAATCTTTCCATGGTCGTCATCTCGGTAATTCAGAACTACTCTTTCTGATCTGGCATTCGTCTCAAGCTGGGTGAACGCCGTTTTACTAAGCGACATCGGCTAAATTATTGTCTTGGGACTCACCAATGGGCCCGTGTGTTTGAATTTGCAATATCACTTATCGACTTGGTGATGGGGACCCATACAAGCGTTTTTCTTGCGAGTAGCGGTTAACAATCCATATTTATCAGTAGTTGGCAAGATGATTGAGCTCACGAAACGCCAGTGGGGAGAGCAACAGCCTGTCCCAACTCCGCAGCAACGCGGGTCTCATACTTGGTCTACAGGTAGGAACGACCATTTGGTCTAGGTCTTTGCGCCATCTGGCAAATGCCTTTTACCATTGCTTCTCTGTTGATGCCCTAGGATTGTTGTATACCAACGACTCAAACATGTGCTTAAGAGAGCAACGAGGTTAACGCAGTCTCAAAATTCACGTTCGTCCTTGTACCAGGAACCTTGACCAATCGATCTCCAGCGTCGAGTACCGATTCACGCACGCGAACCCAAAATGAGAGGAGTGAGGCTTAGCAGCTATCATTATCACACCACCTAGGCAGTCTGAAACAGAGCTCAGGATGTGGGCAGGGATGGGGCATGCAATGGGGCCATACCTAGTCAGAGTGAGTTAAATGTCCAAAAGAAGAGGGACAAATAAAGAGAACGGAGAAGGAAATTTAAAGAAGGGAGCAAAGAAGGATTTGAAACCTTGAAAAGAGATGAGCAGATCTAATCTTATCTGATTGACTATCGAACCTGTTATGTGATTCGAATAGATGGTGCGATTCTTTTGGAGAAAGACTGCTTGGAAGCGTATATTGGGATTCATGGTTGCTAGGGTTTGCGGGATTCTACATTCATGTCCTCCAGGACTCAAGGATGTCGGGTCTGGGTCACATATCATACAAGGGCCCGTTGATAGGCTGCGGTTTTTGTGTATACATTGAGACTTCATGATGTATATTTGATGTCGGGCAAGGCAAGGAATTCTTTCTCCATGGTCCTCCACACTGAAAATACTAAAGTTAGGGAGGGAACGGGGGAGAGAAAGAGAGGCGTGGAATGGTGTCGAGTGATGTTGATGCCTCAAGCATAAAACCTCCTGAAGTCACACCTGGGGGGGGGCATTGAGAGCAAACAGTGCAAACCCTTGGCGAAATGACTTCCACGACTGCATGGAGTACTAATAGCCAAGTATACAGACAAAAAACAAGCTAAACAAAATATATTCAAGCTCACCTATCACAATCTCTCAGAATCAATTCTTTAGATATTCATCCAAAATACCTAGCCGACGCAGGCTGAAGTGCAAGGGGAAGTAAGTATAACCTCTGGAGGGAAAAAGATCGAAAGTGAGGCTCAAACGGCAAATGGGTGGGTGCCGTCATCACCAACTTCCGTCCTTCCGCGTCTGCTGCTCTTCACCTTCACCTGCTCGCTTTATAACCCCTGGCTACTGACCCGAGCTCCCCACGTCTCTCTCGGGACAACTAATTCTATCTTATTGTGATCATTGACTCTACCCGCCATGCGGGATAGCTCACTCAAGCGCTCTCTAGGCGTGGACCTCACGCGATCCATCAAGGAGGTAACTTTCCCACAGGCGCACAACCTCAACTGATTGCGCAACCTTCTGTTCTTTCTCTGACACATATTGCTGCATCTAGTCCCGTGTTCTCCTTGTTGGCGCAGGCGGTATCGGCTGCGAGCTCCTCAAAAACCTCGTGCTCACCGGGTTCGGTGAAATCCACATCATCGACCTCGATACAATCGACCTCAGCAATCTGAATCGCCAGTTCCTCTTCCGGCATGAGCATATCAAGAAATCGAAAGCCTTGGTACGTTCAAACGACGATTCGCGGGTGCTCGCGCCGCTCCCTTCCGAACCCCCTCCTCCGTCCGACGTCGCGTAGTCGCGCGCCGACTTGCGGGTGAAAGATATGGAACAACATGGAATAACAAGACACTCATACGGCTTTCTAGGTTGCAAAGGAAGTTGCGCAAAAGTTCCGCCCCGATGCCAAACTTGAGGCCTACCATGCCAACATCATGGATCCCCAGTTCAACATCTCGTGGTTTGGATCTTTCACGGTAGTCTTCAACGCGCTTGACAACTTGGCTGCAAGACGCTATGTGAACAAAATGTGTCTTCGCGCAAACGTGCCATTGATCGAGAGTGGAACCATGGGCTTTAACGGCCAGGTGCAGGTCATCAAGAAGGTGTGTAGGGCTTCGGATTGGAATCCAAAAGATGAGCGTGAGACCGGGCTTTTGCTAACTGGCTCTATTACATAGTCCGAAACAGAATGTTATGACTGCAACCCCAAAGAAACCCCAAAATCCTTCCCTGTGTGCACAATCCGCAGCACTCCCAGTCAAGCTATTCATTGCATTGTGTGGGCAAAGAGTTTCCTTGTGCCGTAAGTCTGACTCCAAGTTCGTCTGTTCAATACTAACCATCTACCAGTGAGCTTTTCGGTAACAGCGAAAACGAAGCCGAGGAAGTGGACAATTCTGAGAATGCAGAAAACGGTTCGTAGCCACACCCAAAACATTGACGACGAAACTCATGCGTGATTAGCAAATGAAATCGAGGAGCTGCGCAAAGAGGCTTTAGAATTCAGGGTCTTGCGTGAATCTATCGGTACCGAGGAAGGACATCAGAAGGTCTTTGACAAGGTCTTCAGGGCAGACATAGAGCGCTTGCGCGGCATGGAAGACATGTGGAAGTCACGAAAAGCGCCAGAACTCCTCGACTCTTCTCGGCTGCGAGAGCAATCTGCATCAATTGATAGCGGGATCTCTGCCAATGACCAAAAAGTATGGTCTCTGGCGGAGAATTTCGCAGTGTTCAAAGACAGGTAAGATGTCCCCATTCTGCCAAAGAACATTCCGTTGACACTCCAATGCTACAGTTTTAATCGCCTGAGCCAGCGTCTGAAGGGACTTCGAGCAAGCACACCCTCAGACCAAACCCCTCCAATCTTGACCTTCGACAAGGATGACGAGGATACTCTGGACTTTGTTGCAGCTACGGCCAACCTCCGAGCGGCGATATTCCATATCGAATCCAACTCTAAATTTGAGATCAAACGTGAGACTACAAACTTGGTTTTCCCCCCCCAATCAACTGTTGTTAACATGTCTTCAGGAATGGCCGGCAACATCATTCCCGCCATTGCTACTACCAATGCCATGACAGCTGGATTATGTGTTCTCCAGGCATTCAAGGTATTCCAAAACGACTTGGCTCACGCAAAAACGGTATGCCTTTTGACATATTTGTGACGCTCAAACCTAGGCTAACCTAGCACCATACAAACAGGTATTCTTGGAAAGGTCAGGGATGCGAGCTATCAACTCCGAATCGTTGAACCCGCCGAACCCCGATTGTTCGACCTGTTCATTTGTACAGACTCGTGTAGAAGTCGACCCTGAGTCTGCAACCCTGGAGCACCTCGTTGGGATTCTAGAGAACGACCTGGGTTATAAGGAGGGTACCTCGATTGCCTTCGGCGACGTATTAATTTACGACCCTGACTTTGATGATAACTTGGGGAAGAACTTTTCACACTTTGGGATCACGAACGAGAGTGTTCTTACGGTGATAGACGAGAATACTGAAGATACACGAATGCCCCTTGAAGTGTTGATTCTTGAAAGGTAAGCCCCCCGAAACTACCGTGGCTCGTATATCATGATACTGACTAGTGGTTTAGAGCCGAGGCCTCGTCAACGGATACCGATCCTGCAAAGCTTCTAGAGGTGTTTGAAATTCCCTTGAAGCCCAAAAAGCCATCTCAACCTTCTCCTGAGATGTCCCGACTTTCTCTTGATCCTACTGCCACGGACGGAACATCTGTCATTGGCAAGCGCAAACGTGAAGGAGAAGATGAAGACGGCGAACGCAGCCCAGGAGGTTCTGGTGAACACAACGCCAAGCGTGCAGCCAGTAGACCCGCAATCGACACAGATACCAGTGGCCCTATCGTCCTCGATGATGATGACGAAGAGGGCATCATCACCCTCGACGATTGAGGACATCTTGGGAGCTTTTCTTCGAATTTCCAAGCCTGTCCTTGAAAATTCATGAAATTTGGGATGATCCCATCCATCTCTTAGAATCTTGTTTTCCATCCGTTTCTTGGGGCCTCGTTTATGCCGCAATTCTCCCTTTTTGTATTCTGTTTTTGTACCATATGGCATACAGGCGAACTTGCTTTTCAGGTGGAAGAGAAAACGGGGGTCAGGGTTAATCATACTTCGGAAACGAACGTGATAATGCATTATTGATGAACATGTTTGATTTTACAAATTGGCGCTTCTCGAATGTTAGATTTCTCGAAGCACAGCCATCATCCACTTTAATTTTTACCAGTCGCATACATTACCGTGCAAATTGACATTAATGTGGCCGCTCATTTTTTCCGCTTTTCTTCAATTTTCACCTCGACACCTCGCTCCTGTGACATTCTTCTAAACGGCACTGAGTCCCCCGTCGAGATTCAATACACAATTATTGGCGTATTCGTTTTGCGCCAAGAAGACAGCTGCATCTGCAATCTCGCGCGCATCTCCAAATCGATGAAGAGGAATGAGATCTTTCAATCTGCTTGTTTCACCAGGTGTAAAATCTGGATTGATAGCCAGTCAGTCAGTACTGATACACCAAAGGAAATCGATTACAAAGCATACCTGCCACCATAGGGGTTTCAATATATCCCGGCACAATAGCGTTCGATCGAATAACGATGTCCTTCATTGAGGCTGATGCTTCGGCAGCTACCGATCGAGTCAGACCCAAAAGCCCAGCTTTGGAAGCGGCATAGGGGACTGCCCCGGTTCCGCCTTTCAACGCGAGCAGGGAGGACACATTGATGATGCACTTTGAGCGGACATTCTGTCCTGCAGTTGAATCGTTTCGATTACGAATGCGGCTACGAATTGAAGCTCGCATTAATGCCCGTGAAGTCAGCATTGCGCCTTCAAGATTGGTGCGGAGAATTGTTGAGATATCGTCTAGCTCGGACCTCGGCAGGATGTTTGATATCGAGATCCCGGCTGCATTGACTAAGATATCAACGTTTGCCTATTTGGTTCTGTCAGTTCTGGCTCTCATCGGACTCGACAGGTTGGCTTGCCATTTCCTTTTCGAGTTCGCGCATCCATGATCGGGCATCGGAGACATCGCCGACGAGTAGACGGATGTTCCCCGATGGGCTTTGCCGGGCATCCTCTTCTGGAGCGCGAGTGGCAACCGTACTATCACCTTCTTCAATGGGTGATGTGTTCGTGAACGGTGCCAGTCTTAATGCCGCCTGTTCCAGGCGCTCCTGGGATCGGCCCACTAGGACTATTGTCGATGCCCCCTCTTGCAGGAATCGCTCAGCAATGGCATATCCGATCCCTGATGTGCCGCCTGTGATTAGACACTTTCGACCAGACAATCTGTTTCCTTGTTGAAATGTATTATCTGCGACATTGTTGTTGGATTGAGACGAGAGTGAGCGGGTTATATATCTTGGACTTTGAAATATCACTGGCGTCACATGCTCGATATGGGATGGGTATACCAGCCTCGACGTAGCGAATATAGAATGCCTAGACAGCCTCAGACGAGCCAATGCCGTTGAATGTGTCATGATTGTAACTTTAGAAGTGAAAAACAATCCGCCTCGGACTCCGAAGACGTGCGTCACAGCTTGAGCACGGACCAGGCACCGGCCCTCAAAAGGCTCTTTTCGCTCCACCTCACCGTTCTTCCTTCAACTACGCGTCTCAACATGGCAGACTCAGCTTCTGAATATGTGACCCTAATTTCACATGATGATTATGAATTCATCATCCCCCGCAGTGCAGCTTGCATCTCAGGCACCATTCGACGCATGCTGGATCCTTCGAGTACGTGGATACCAGATCCCGTGCTGCGTGGGCTCTACTGACCACTCACAGGCAAATTCTCCGAGGGTCTGACCGGCCGCTGTAAACTGGATGACATGTCGTACGTCCCTTGTCTCAAATGAGATGACATTGTCCAGGTTGCTAACAAGCTTTTCTCCACCGTGCAGCGGCGTTGTCCTCGAGAAAGTCTGCGAATACTTCTGCTATCATGAAAAACACAAGGACCAGACCAATGTCCCAGATATGGACATTCCACCTGAGCTATGCTTAGAACTTTTGATGGCCGCCGATTACTTGGACACTTGATGGGATTGAGGTGGTATGGATCTCGGTTTCGGCCCCAGACCCAGGCTTCATATCATTCCATCGGCTCATCATCTCCTTCCAACGATTAACGGCGCAACGAGATTACATTGATTCAAATACGATACCACAAGGAGTTTAGGATGCTCACACAGGCCAGATCAAGGTTCAATGTCCTGCCTTTGATTCTCTGCCTTCGAATTGATTTACCATGAATTTTCTCTTGTTTCTACTGATCTAGCACTGCGCAATCTTGCCCAATGCAGCAATGCAACCTGGCCCATCTGAGCATATGCAAACGGTTCTTTGCCCTATGGCCGAATTTGTCTAAAGATGATGGTAGATCAACTTCCAATGATTGCGCGCTTGTCTGAATGTCACAGACTTGGGCTTTGGATCATAGGAAACATACATACCTAAACCAGCATACACAATATCACCCCTCTTTCAGTATTAGCTATGTTTTGTTGATCATTGAACTGGCGTGGATTCGCACACAGTACCCAATGATAAGTGAAGGAACGAACCACTATCAACTATCATTGTGGCATCTTTAGAAAGCCGCTCAAGAGGGGATCTACGTTGTGCAAGTAACAGCTCAAGTGTACCTGGAGGATCATTTAGAACTTGATTCTGGGTACACGTCCACGGGTCTGGCCAGGTTTTCCCCCCGGCAGCCCCGGCCTCGGCAGCTTACTCATCCTGTACCCGGGACTGGGAAGTGCCCGCTATCGCTCCGCTCTTTCACCATCACCATCGGCAATTGCGGGATGCAGTTTCCAGGAGCCTTTGCTCACTGTATTCCAAATTACTAAAATAAATCTCTTTGATTTTCCTGATTTGCACCAGTTGAATCCGTCTGTACCCACGGTCCTCGTGTGGACTGGCGGCGTGCCGCTTTGATTGTTGTCCCCCCGGATTACTGATAAGGGCCTTTGACAGAAGACAGGCATTATCGGCCCATCATGTCTGGCCTCATGGAGCCTTCAACAATACAAAGCACTACCGCGTCTTTATTACATCATGCGAACACTTCAACACCAACCCCCGACAGTTCATCTTTATCATCTTTACCACTTCGCCTCCTAACCTCCACCATTCACGCCTTAGAACACGTCGACACCTTTGCCTTCCAAACGGTCCCAGGATCTGTCGGAAGAATAACCGGGATCTCCAGCCTTTGGAGCGGAGCAGGTCCAACATCGGAAGCTGGCAGTACAGCAGCTACCCATGCAGTGGCGGACATGGCGGACATGGCGGGAAGTGGGTTGGCCGAAGGAGCGGCCCAGGAAGGAAGCTATTACTTTGCCGAATTCTTGGTTGCCCTCAAGAAGCTAGGTGGATTCTTCGGCTATTTGACAAGCATATGGTCGTTTGCCTGTTTACTGGAGGTGAATATTGGACCTTAAACCTCGGTAGTTACGATACTAACGGGTCCAGGCGTTGATCTTGAATCGAATCACCATCTACGCTTCCACACGGCGACACCTCCGACTTGGGTGGGAGCGGCGTGTAGCTCTTCGCTTGATTCCGATACTTTGCTTTGCCTACCAGATTGTCAGCCTGCTTCGTGGGATGCGATGTCAGACCTCTCCTTCTTTCTCAACAATGCGCTACGGCTACCCCGGAAAGCAAATCATCTTCGATTACTCAAGTGATGGGGGTGTTCTTTACTCTTTAAGTTCGAGATTGCTAGGATGGGAATCCGAGGAGCAGTCATGCAGCGCCGTGAAGATGGCCCGGGAAAGTAACTCGGAACTTCCATATGGGTCGTTCTCTCTTCTGTGGCCCACGTTCTTGGTGCTTTGCTTGAGTCATTTCATCGAGACACTTTCGTGCGCATTACAAGGTCGGCCAGTGATGACGGAGACAGGAATGTCCATATTCGAGCACTCACTTGCCTTCGCAGAAGCCGAGTCAATGATTGGCAAATCCGTCGGATTGGGCATGTTCGGTCTTCCCAAACAGAATCCGCTCAGCGCTATGGCCGGTGAAATCAACGACGAATCAACTTCGGTTCTCCAACTACTCACAAGGTCGCAAGTGTTGGAACGCATGAACGTTACGCCAGAGTTACTACTCATTGCTTTAATCTCGTGCTGCAACAGTGCTTCTTCCCATATCCTCGATATCTTTGGGAAGCAGAGCAGATATCGACTCTTCAACACCGCTCTTTGGGGTGCCTGCTTTATGGCTGCGATGTCGTGGGGGCTAGATGCCGGACCACCCATCAGCCTCGAAACCGGCGTCCTTAGATTCCCAACCGTGTGTATTGTGGGATTCATTCCTCATATCATGGTACTGGGTGGTATTACAATATGCGGCGCAATATACGCACTGGCGCTCACCATCACCGCCTTCTCCTTGTCTTCAGAAGATGCTCAGCCTGTTTCCCTTTACGATCGATTCATGCTGGCTCACGATAATATGCAAGGCTCGAGCCAAGTCCGAAGCATTCGCATCAACAGACACGAAGACTTCTACACAACCCTACTTCGAATCGGGTATGTCGCTCTTACAGCTGCCAGCGAAGCCGTATTCCTGAACGAGGGCAAGGCTGTTATTGCAAGGAGGATGACATGGCTGGAAGAAGATCGGCTTACCGAAATCGAAGCTCAGCGGCAAAAGTCCTCTCCCCATGGCCACTGGAAAAATGAATCCAATAATCGATCCATTGAGGCCACGGGCTTTGCAAATTTCGAAGTGCCGGAGCAATCTCGGGCATGGGAAACTGGTTATAACCGCGAGAAGAAGATCGACAAGGAGAAGGAGGGTCCTCGCGCCGTTCACTCTGAGTCCCATGTAGGAGGAGTGGGAGCAGTTCGTGTTTCTATCCGATTAATTCACGTGTTCGGATTTTTCCGTGCAATCTGTCTGCTCATGCTTCGATGGACTACCTACGGACTCAGCAGCGCTCTTGATCGACTGGGAATCACCGCCCGACCGCTGTGGCTGAAACGCCTCATCGGTCACCGTCGACAACCGCCCGGTTCTGATAAAGAACCCCCGAAACAGTCGTTAGACTTCTGGATTCTTTCGGATAACGGCAATCTTGAACTCCCCGAAAATGGCGAGTTTGACGTTGAAGCTGAGATGCGAAAGCGGGAGCGTGCGAACCGGCCAAACTGGATGGGCGCCGATGAAAATTATCTGGACGACAGGCTGTATAGCTGGTGGAAAATTGGTGGCTCCTGGGGTAACCAAGATCAAACCTCGGATTACAACCCGCCAACAGATGACTTTGACACTACAAGTGTGATCTCAATGTCTACTAATGCCTCAGGATCAGAGTGGGAAGATGAACCTTCAGATGACGGTCGTCGAACCCCTACCCAGGTCGACCCGTACGCAGATAGGAGCACTTCACTCCAAGACCCATTACTAGACATGACGACGCTCGCGCGCCTTCTGGATCCCCGGGACCGCGAGAGCAGAGAAGAAGCTCAGATCCTAGCTGCTCATCTGAAGACAAGCAATGGAAGTCCCCAAATTATGACACGCAGTCGCTACCAGAAACAAGTTGAAAGGGAGAGATCTCGCATCTTGTTTTCCTCGCGTCTTCACCAATTGGACACGATGCAATCGGGTTCTGGAGGGCGAAAGCCTACTGCCGAGGAGGAATCCGAGCTTCTAGAGAAATTGATTCTTTCCCGTCGCTCGGAAGTGCCCACGGATACCGATGCCCACACATGGGAATCTGGCGCGACGGGTCTCGGTCCCAATGGACCCCCCTGTGTTGTCTGTCAAACCAGCCCTCGAGCCATTATCACTTGGCCATGTCGCTGTCTGTGCATTTGCGAGGACTGTCGTGTCAGTCTTGCTATGAATAACTTTGGCAGCTGCGTGACTTGTCGTCAGGAGGTTGGAGGTTTCATGCGTCTATGGGTTCCTTGAATGGCTGACTAGCCTAGTTCCTGTTCTATCCTTTACCTTTCCATATCATTTTAGGGTTACTTGGAGTATGGCATACGAATAGCTTGTAATATATTGCACTTACATCATGATCATCTCGGGCTACTCAGATCTACCGGGACAAATGGAAAACCTGCGGACTGCTGACTATGCATTTCTGGGAAGGCTCACTTTACCTGTTCCAAGTTTCTCGTTCCTCCCAATGGCGACTTCCCGGGTGTATCAAGATACCAGGAAACAGGCACTACCCCCATGTCATTACTCACTAACAAGAGGCCTATAGCCCGCCTCCCACATTTGGGCTTGAATCCATTCCCGCAGCTCCGACTCATTCTCGGGAATTCCCTCTTGCTGTGCGAGCCCTTCCTCCACCGCACATCTGATCACAGCGGCCGCAATATTCACACTGATCTTGCGTACGTTTTGAACATCGGGGAGTAATGGTTTGTTGGAGTCTTTCAGGGCCGGTGACTCTGCTTTGAGTGCCTCAACGGCAGCGACAAGCATCTTCTTGGACATCAGCCGACATTGAGAGAGGACTGCTCCAAGACCAATGCCCGGGAAACATGTTGAATTGTTGCATTCAGCTAGGATGGCCTCGTTAGCGTAATTTCTGTGTGTGCGCCTCCTTGGCTCTTACCGATCTCGTATTCAGTGCCATTGTATTTCACAGGGTCGAATGGGCTGCCTGTGGCAACGAGGGCTCTTCCTTCTGTCCATTTGTAAAGGTCATCGGGCTTTGCCTCGTGGAGTCGGGTAGGGTTGCTCAGAGGGAAAACGATAGGTCTTTCCACATGGCGGGCCATCTCACGAATTGCATCCTCGGTAAATGCGCCAGGTTTCGTAGATGTACCGATGAGAACGTGTGGTTGGACCTTCTTGATAACCGACTGCAAGTCTCGATCATTATCTGTCCAATCTTGATCGTCTCGTGCGAAAGATCGCTGTCCGTCGGTCAATTTCTGATCAAGAGACTTTACCAGAAGGCCTGGCTTATCGATACACCTTGTTCAATCAACATCAGTGGAGGGCTATTTATGTTCCATTTTGATGCATACCATATTTGCTTCGATGCATCATCCTTCGACTTCTGTGTTTCAGTGGCGATAGTCTCGGCGATCTGATCTGCAATGCCAATACCGGCAGTGCCTGATCCGAAAATCACGACCCGGACATCTTCCAATTGAACCTTGCTCACTTCAAGTGCAGCCAGCATGGCAGCCAGAGTGACACATCCTGTTCCTTGGATATCATCATTGAAACATGGGATCTGTGACTGATAGCGGTTGAGGATTCTTCGTGCATTGCTCAATCCAAAGTCCTCACTGACACAGTTAGTCGGGACCAATGGACATGATTGGAATGGGACTTGGCATACAAATGGATATAGGCCTTGGGGAACCGCTTGCGAGCAGCTTGCACAAATCGATCCACAAACTGATCATACTTTTCTCCTCTTTCACGGTGCTGCCGCAGACCCAAGTACAGTTCGTCGGCGAGAAGTTCTTCGTTCTAGAGCCGCCATTAGCGAATGCTATGCTGATATGAGCCAAACATACATCTGTTCCACAATCTAAAACAACCGGTAGTTGGCGTGATGGGTGAATCCCAGCACAAAGCGTGGTGATGACAAGTTTTGCGACCGAGATGAGAATGGCACCAACGCCCTGGTCTCCGATACCTAGGATCTAACGTATCATAGTTAGAGCAGCCCTGGTTCAATGATACTTGAGTAGATTCAAAGCTCACCTCTTCTCCATCGCTGACTACAATGTAGTCAATATCATCACCGATTCCAAATGAGGAGAGACTTTCTTCAATACGATCCTGGTCGTTTATGTTCAAGAAGCAACCCTCGGGTTTTCTAAACAGTCGCGAATAGTTCTGGATTGCATCGCCCTCGGTAGGAGTATAGATCACACTGAACATCTCCTTTAAATGTGTTTGAACAAGCTGGTTAGAAGGTTAGAAAGGGTGGAATTCCTCGGGTCTTGCTCGGGTCTTCTTACCTTGTAGTAGAGCACCTCGTTCTGTGCTTTCATGCTAGACAAGAAAGTGTTCTTGGCTAGGTCATCTGCTCTGCTGCTGTATTGCTGATAGGCACGTTGAACCTGCTCGTCCAGTGTCTGTATGTTGGGTGGGAGGAAGCCATGCAGTTTGAAAGCGGATCGCTCATGGGTTGGGAAAGCAGATCCTTTGTTAAACTGTGATGTTTGCAGTACAGATGCTCCCTGTTGATGTTAGAGGAATATCCATGGATACTGACCTCGGGCGCTCGGCTCAGCTTACCTGGTAGGGACAGGGGAGAGGTCCAGCCGTTGCGCGGGGCAAGTGACTGAACTTCGACTTCTGGTCTGACATGACGATAATGCTAGAAAAATGCTACTTGACTTTAGAAGTAGAATATTGTCAAACTGTTTAGGATCACAGAAAGGCCAGGACAGAAATAAGCAGCGACGATCGGAAGACGGAAGTCAACCCGCAAATGCTTGTCTGACTGTGATGTCACTTCCTCATCCTGTTTGTATCTATACTTAAGTGGATATTCCCTGTTTGGGCTCCACACATTGACTTCAAGCCTTGTCATTCTAGAGTTGCATAACTAGGTCTACAGGTATGTGGGCTATCTAGTATGTTGTGCGACCAAAGTGATGTCAAAATATATTGTACAACCTACGCGGGTCTGGATAACAGAAGATGGGACAAGAAATGTCTTCACATTCATTTTTATCAAAAGTCAAAACGTACACTGTATTAATTGTGGCGACTGTACACGGTAATAATCCAATGCCAGTCAGTACATCAAACTGCCGATCAAAGACAGCAAGCTGTCCCAAACCCGACAGAATCAAATTAGGTATAGGTATATTTACAGGACGTAGGCGGCAGCGGCCACAACAGCAGCGACACCGGCAAGGTTACCCTTGACATTGGTGGCAGCGCCAGTGTAGGCAGGGGAAGAAGCCGAGGCCGAAGCCGAGGCAGTCTGGGAGCCCAGAGGGGTGGAGGTGGCAGCGCCGCTGGAGCCGATGGCGGTGGAAGAGCCGACGGCAGTGGTGCCGGCGGAGGAGGACTCGGCAGGGGTGGACTCAGCAGAGGAAGACTCTGCGACACTGGAGCTGTCACTGGCGGTAGCGGTGGCAGTGGCAGTAGGGGTAGCACTGGTCTCAGCGGGAGTGGAGCTTGAGGAGCTGGCTCCGGTGGTGCTAGCGCTGGAAGCGCCGGTAGTCACCACGGGAGGCACCGAGATGGGGTGGCCAGCAGAGGAGCACTGTTCAACGACGGCGTTGGAAACGGCTGGTTCAAATTAGCTGGTGCATTTGGGACTCGGGTCTAGTGAGCCTACCGATCTGGTCGGCAATCTTGCAGGCCTTCTGCACACAGGGAGTGATGCTGCTGACAAGCTCGGTCTTCTGGCAGTGGCAGTTGAAGTCGAGGAGCTCGGAGCAACCGTCGCTGCCAAGGGCAGTGATGAAGCATTGAAGCTAGAGGTAAGTTAGTATATCCTCTTAGGTCTCTTTGGGTCATGATGAAAGTGTACCGAGCAAGCGGGGACATTAGGCAGCTGGGCCTGAGCCAGGCCGGCAGCAACGAGGGCAACAAGGGTGGTAGAGAACTTCATCTTGACAAAAATGCTGGACTGAATATGTATCGAGGTTAAAGACCACTTTTCGAAAACGACAGTTGAATAATCAGTGAATACGGATGAGCTGTCGAGAAAGAAAATGTAGTGATGGGAATGCCCTTCTTATAAACTTTGTCGGTGCCATTCATCTGTGTCACAGCGCCCTGGCAGAGTCGCACTAAAGGTTCACAGACGGGAACATCACATGTCTCTGCATCTTTAATGCGCCTTGATAAACACGCAGAGCACCGCGGTTGACCCAAAACCTGTAATTACCACGGACTGTGACCCCAGTCCGTCCTTTGCATAGCCAAGCCTGATGGCTGATGCCGGACCCTAGGTTCAATGGCCGATTGAGCGTAGCATCTAAGATGGCTGACTTGATGGCGTAGAAGTCTCGTACGGCGTACGTATGCTCGCGTTACCAAGTCAGGATTAGACCAGGGTGCAGTGGGCAGCCATCAGAGGCTGGACCAGTGGCAATGCCTGGTTGTGCAGCGGTTGCCCCATTTACAGCTAGTCCCACGGCCGAATAGAGAGTGGGCAGTAATCTCCACTATCTGTCCAGACTTGAAGGAACGGTACTTTCGATGTACGAGTTGGCAGTCCACGCAGCTCAGGTTGTGCAACGTCTCAACTGTAAGGCCTTGTGCCTATCAGGAATTCAATGCTCGAGCGGTGTACAGCGTACATGAGGAATGTGGGACGCGCAACCCTGAAAGCATGACCAAGACTTTGACGATTTCCAGTGGCAAAGCGCATTGAGGAAAATCCGGGGAAGAAAATTGGAGCCCGAGGGTAGCATCGAACTATTCCCCTTCGGGTGGTGGTCCGGATCAGTCAGCAGTTAATATAATTTGACCTTGTGGTTGTAGGACATGTCCTTTAGTTGCAGGGTCCAAACTCAGGGGACAAACTGTTATTGACATTTGACTACTACATCTGTGGCGTCACCGGTCAAGAATGATTCCTGGGATCCGAAAGTACAGGCGCTCACACTTGTTCAGGCTGGTTGGCACTTCACTCCGGTCGTTCGATATGCTCCGAGATAAAAAGGGACTAGCGAGATTACCAAAGTGTTCACTTCGAGTGACACTTCGGACCCATGAGTCGATCGTGATACTCTGTACCTGCATGAGGTCAATCTGACCTTCACTACTGTCCAATTTCCCCAATCCCTTGAATCCCTCAGATTCAAGGTTCTTTGAAGTCAGCGTCCACGGGTGCGGAGCATGAGATTGTATCCACTGCACGAAAGTGGGCTGCCCCAGGGCCCAAGTGAGACATTGGAGGGGCACGGTCAAGGGGCCAGAAGCTTCGACTTGAACAATGAGCACAGGGCTTGCCAAGGCCCTAGTAGGGGCTCTGGGGAATCACACGGGGTCCCTAGCGCTGCTAGGGTCCTATTAGCGAGACATAAATACCCAAGGACAATCAATGTACGGGTAGATACCATCCAGCCATTTTTAATTGACTCCCGGTGTATTCCGTACTCTATACTCCAACCTGCATCGGCTGAAATCTCTGCAACTGGGTTAGGCTTGAACTTCTAGAATTAATCATATGTCCAGTGATTGAATTCAGTATTTCGCACGTGCAAATTTCCGCGGCCATAATCTCACTGTATTGGTTTTGAGGGAGAACAATAGCAATAGATAAGCCAATATAAACGACGAAACAATATAAGTAATACATAAAGTAATAAAACAAGCAACCATTGATATCGCGGGGGCGGGCCCCCGAACAGAGCCGTGGATCGCATGGTTACAGCAGAGAATTGTAACCGAAATGAGATGTCGAAGGCATAGTCATTTCTAGTTTCAAAATATCGATAAACTACTTAAGACATATAGCCCTGGAACATTGCCCTTGGAATCAATTGGAAAATATTTCCGGCCAGATGACTTGGAACCGCGGCGAAGATCACTCGACCGTATCGTATCATTCTAGCATAAATCTAGATTTGATTTGGTGGGGTTTGTTCTAACGTTGTTTCTACGCAGCTATGATCAGGGCTCGTATACAGAGGATGATTAGGTTCAATTCGCCTGAAACAACAGTCACAAACCCTCCAAGTTGGAAGGGTCTCAATGCCTCGGCTCAACACATGGAAACTTCCAAGATTGACATCAACGATGCAACACCCATATTGTACGAGTGAGTCCAGGAAAAGACAACAGAGCACGTGGAGAATTGGAAAGTTGGCAGTGTCAACGTATGGCCTAATTTGTGTGCCGGTCGACCTGACCGAACAACTACACCACTGAATGAGGCCTGCTGGAAAGAGAGGTCTCTCATATGGGGATATCATTCCACTAACGCCATGCTAAAATCAAAATGTAAAAACAAAACCATATGTTCATGACAACAGCTCATCGATGTATGCCCGCTGTTTCGTGTCTTTCCCTTTCAGAAGAACCGCAAGAACTTCAATAGGAGGGTTGAGTTTCAATTGGTTGGCACGGCGCCAGCGCTTGATTCGAGCGATTCCGATGCAGGGCTAGAGGTTTCATTAGAGCTGTTGAGGCACAGCAGACAAAAGGATCGCATACCCCATATTGACTTGAGAGATCAAAATGTCTCAGAATCTTTTCTTCCATGTCGATTCCCTCTTGGTGCGCTTGTCCAAAGTCAGCCACGGAGGGTCCTAGGTACTTGGTTCCCTTTGAAGCACTTACCAGGAGGTGCTAAGCGAGTCTCATCTTGAGTCCGCCAATACCGCCAAATGTCCTGCTTGTTCAACTCCAGCGCCCGCTTGTCCTCCTCCGTGTGCGGCGCCTGAACCTCGGTGGTGGCCTGTTGGCGCACGACTAGTTCCGCGACGTGAGGCTTAGAGGTTTCCGGTACGTCGGAAAGCTGAGGTTCGGGGGTTGAGGGAGATTTAGTTCGGAGCGAGTCGAGGGCCTTGGTCTGGGGTGCGGTGACTGGTTTGGTAACTCGAGCCTGGGAGCCAAAGGCTAGGGTTGACTGCCCATTGTTTGCTGTACGGCGACGAGGAGGCATTTTGAGTACGAGAATACGAGTAGGAAGTATCTCCGAAGTATAGGTATTAAGGTCAGTGGGGAGACGAAGTGTCAAGTCATGTGTGGAGAAAGGACGTCATATGGTTGCACTAGCAACCATCGGAATCCTGACCATGGAACTAGAGGAGTATTTTGTACTGTAGTTGTATATAGAGTATTTAAGTAGACACATTGCACATCTCGGTATGTTCCATATTCTCTGTGTATTCTGTGATCGACTCTAAGCCCATGTGTGATGACGATGATGACATTGCGAATTGGCCTTGAGACACATCTATATAACCCCATAGTCACATAGAAATAGAATATCCTGTAGCCTGAGAGCCTGGAGATCACAGTAGATACAAGGAAATACATTCATATACTTAAGTATACGACGGTGGAAACGAGTAAATCAAAGCGAGGCTCAAAATCACGAAGTTTGGGGGGGCTCGGCTCACCTTTCCCCACCGTCAGGAGCTCAGCTTCTCTAATCACACAGGCTTCTCCCTCAACCACCAACATTCAACTCAGCTTTCTCACTAACCCTACATTATCTTACTACCGTCCAGTTCAAGCTGGACTCTGGTTATCCCGTCCAGAAGGGTTTCCCACATCCCGTCCGCTCGCATTCCCTCCACATATCCCGACCCTACCTCCGCATGTCCATGGTGCTACAGGCACACTTGATTCGAGATGGCCGCCTTCGTGCGCATTTCAGGCCCAGCAAATGGCAACTTTCTGCTCGGCTACCCCGGAATCTCCGCGACTATGGTGAGCGCCCTCCCGGACAGCCATGCGACCAGGCAGTCTGGCCCCCTGGTCGAAGCCATTGATTGACACTCTCAAGCCACGCATCGAGGGTAAGGTCGAAATCCGCCCCTGCGCCGGTATCACAGCCCCCGTCAACGTCTCACTCGTCACTATCTCCCTCCTCCGCCGCGAAACCATCCACCCCTCGGCCGACTCCGTTGCAAAGAAACGCTTGGCGCCGCCGCGCAAAGAGATCACGGACATCGTGGGCAAGGAGATGCTCTTATTTCGATGCCCGGCCGGAAGAGAATACGAAGAGGTAATTTCGATGGACTTGCCTTTCGTACTCTTTATTCCATTTGGCCGTGGTGGCCGCGATGCCTCCCGCCGTGTTCCTCCCGCCAGTGTACAGCTTCAAAGTCGGACCGCCGAGACATACTACGAGATGGTGGTGACGGTCCAACAGGGACAGCAAGAACAGCGCAAATACACATTCCCCGTTCCCATTGCACGGTACGACACACTTTCTACTTTCGGCATGTACAATCGTCCCGAGTCCGCGGAACGGGTATCAGATCATCTAGTCACCCTAGCCATCTCAGTCCCACGGTGGTCGTATGGGCCCCTCGATCCCGTCAGTGTCTATGTGAAGCTCTCCCCCAACGAAAGCTGGATGGGCAAGGCGCGAAAAGTGACGATCAGCAAAATCACCATCGGGATCGACGAAGAGATCATCTTCAACCACGAGGGCGACGAGCCCCAACGCAAAGTGAAAGTTCTAGCCAAGAAAACAGAAATTATTGGCGTGAAACTACCCCAATCCGGATATTTGACAAACCTGGGATTAGTGTTTCCTGCCAAGGATCTGCGCGACGCCGAGGGTATCTTGCCCAGGAACAGAGCAGCATTCCCTACCTATGGCGTGAGCGGCTTCACTACCACAGCGAGTCTATATAAAATCGAGTACTACCTCACCGTCCGAGTGAGTTTCCCTCCTTCTGTCCCTATGTGATACACCGAAAGAGATTAGGCTTACACCAAGCAGGCCCACCTAACCTCAGCAAGAGATATAACGATACGCCAACCGATCGTGGTCTGTCCCCTCGACCATGCTGGCTGCAAAGAAGAAATGGAGGCCATTGAGCAAGCTGCCCGGGATGCTGCCCACATCAACCCCGACAACCCCATGCTGCCCCTTCCAGCAATAGTACGACCCAACGACCTCAACGCCCTAAGCCACCTAGGCTGTGCAATCGTTGGCAATCAGAAGAAACCACTGATCGACTGAAGCGCCCTTGCCGCTCCTGATCATGAAAAATGACAAAAAAAAGAACCCTATTTAATCACACTCCACATCGGTCCCGTCCTGATCTGCTGTCCCTGCATCGGCGATCTCGACCCTAGGACCGACAGTGGCCATAATTTTCGGTCCTCCTGCGAGCAGCACGGTGGCAAAATCCTACCCCGTGCGTCCGCCATATCATGACATGTCTTATGATTGCATAAATCCTGGAGTTTGTTGCATGGCATTTTTAAAGAGCTGTTTGTTCATTTGATAGGGAATCACAGGTGTCCGGGGTGTTGGTGCACTGCCAGGCTTTTCCTGCACGGGTTGATTCATACCCAGCCAGTGCCCTTTGGCTTTTATTAGGCTGCTCATTCGGCATTGGGCTTGTCTGTCGAACTTACATCGGCGCATTCGAGCTCAGTGGACTGAATACATACGAATTGCCAATTATGTATTTTGACTAGATGTATCTCTTGCATCCTACTTGGGTATCATCGCTTCAACATTGACCAAATGACGCGTACCACTTGCAAATGCCACACAGGGGGTATCAACTTCCTATACAAATTTCTTTTTCCTGCCCGATCTCATTTCTCCTCATTTTCCAATATCCAAGAATCCCATAGCGATGCTGAGCATGTCTGCATCTACCACTTGGTCTTTATCCCTAGTTTCGCTCTCGCTCTCAATTTCCCGGAGACAATCCTTCAGAATTTCTAATATTGCGTGGTATTGTCTTGAAGAAGAACCAAAGGTGTCGAGTGCGTTCTCGAGGCTGTTTGATATCTACAGCTGGGTTAGATGAATATAGGCTGTTTTGACAAAAACCTAACGAACCTTGCGTAAACTTTCGTTGTAGTTCACTATATGTTGAACGCTGGGGTCCATGGTTGATGGAGTACGAGTACGGTGGCACTGTCGAGATATGAGTCCTTTTTAACGTGGGGCGTAAATAGGAGGGGAATATATCCCACGGTCACCGCCTCTGTCTGAAGCATATTCCAGCCTCCAACAATAGCTTTACCACCAAAGCCTTGGAACTTTTGCCTATGGAGGGTAGACCTCTCGACACGTATTCCGAGAATTCCAGTCACAAGTGCTTCTAGCGTTATGAAATTCCAATCTCTTCTAATGTCCAAGGCCTCTCTTCAACCCCATTCCCCTCCCTCTCACTAACCGGATGACCAAACTCGACCAAAAACCTCACCATCCACCCATCCATACAAAAGCTAGTATCAACAGAGCGCCTACAAGCTCGATGAAAAGCCTGCAGACGCTCCATGCAAACATCCAGCGTGGGCCAGAGACCACGCAACCGAGTAAGGATACAGAAATTCCTCTCCAGTCTCCGCCTTGCGTGCGCAATACCCTCATTATCAACCCCGAAAAGCAAGGTGTGGATCTGGACAGTCGAGGCAATCACTAGAACATGTCCTACCATATTGTACAGCACGTCGCACCCGGGGACCTCCTCTGAACTGTAGATCATTTCGCACAGCAGGACGGCATGGTCTTTACATTTGTTGGCGTAGAAGTGTGTGCGCGGTACATAACTGCGTAAATCTTCGTGGAGGAATCGATAGAAGAGCATTTGGCCGTAGTGGTAGTAGCCTAGGTAGAGGGTTACGAAGAGCTGGCCCAGGCCGTCGGATGCGAAAGAGACGAGATTTGCGCGTGTATCGTGCATGTGCACCGGTAGTTCGGCGAGCCAGCGGTCGAGCTTTGCAGAGAGATCGGAGATTCTGGTCATTATGTAGGTTGTAGTTAGGGAAGTTTCTGCGGCTTCAATGTTGAAGTCATTGATTTCGCAGAGGATTCGGTTTAGAAGGACCATTTGTGCGAGGAGCGATGAGGCGCGGTCGGTTTCGACTTCTACCGTGAAGCCTTGCTCACGGTTCATTTGTAGGAATGTTGTTTCATTCATCGGGAGGGGGGTGTTTGGCTTTGGGGTAAGTAGACGTGGGAGTCGAACTCCCGTTGAGGACCAGACGTCTATCATACAGAGGGTCCACCATACTTTGGGATGTTAAAATTTGAGATTGAATAGAGTGAAAGCATACGAACCTCTGATATAAATCTCCTGTTCAACCCGATTCGCGGCCTGGCAATTTGGTAAATCGAGAAGCTGGGCAATGCGGCATGCAACTGCGTAGTATATTGTCTCCGAGGCCGGCTTACCGTCAACCACGCCAATTGCGCCCAGCAAGACGCAGGCTTGAATTGTTGTCACAGAGACGTTATTAAGGTCTAGCAGCTCTTCACATCGCTTGGCAAACCCCCTCCCCCTTTCTCGGGGGTCTATGTCGGCAAAGAACGGGTGCGTTGAAAAGCTACAGAAGTCAGTCAGGAGTCATTCGGGCCGAATCGCAGAATTCATACCGGGCCGAGAGTGCCAACATGCCATAGATCAAGATTTTGGGTGCCTGACCTCGGAGCATGTCTTCCACCAGACTTGGCCGATGAAACAGTGAATGGAATTTATCATGCACATAGTCGAAATAGAGCTGCACCAGATCCCTGCAGAGAGGTTGTTCTGGCAGAGTACAACTTTCGGATTCCAATAGAGCATCACTCCTAGAAACTGGAGTTGATTTGTCTGACACAGACTCCGGAGCCTTGGCTACCGATGACTCCGCTCGCGTACATGTCAACTTTCGAGCCGAACAGTATGTGCAAGCCAGACCGGGCCTCCGAATGTCACATTTCCGGCGCCGTTCACTGACATCGTATGAGCGCGGGGTGTGGGGGTGAGGGATAAACTGCTTACCGGCATATTGAACATGCCTTTGCCAATCTCATTTTGTCCTAGCTTGCGGCAATTGTGCCAATATATACGTCACTCGCGAGAGACAGGACGATGGGAGAAATGGAGAAAACAATTCCCGGCGGAATTGAACCTACTCCAGCCAATCAGAAACTGCCAAAGCCGCCGACACGGACAATCCCCGGCTCACTCCGCATTTGGGACCCCGCAATTACTCCACGCTGCGCTTTTATATCGCCCAAAATGCCTGCGATCGGCAGGATACAAGTTACTAGAGCTGTGAATGATCTTGGAAGTTCCACTGCTCTCTGCTCGGAAGCAATTGACCCCCGGGTCTCGCACATATTGAGTTTGACATTGACTGAGCCGAGATTCCTTACCGTGGATGCAACCTTGGGGTTAAACATATAAAGGTATCGTCTTCGCTTTTCCAGGAAGTGTGTGAGCCGGAAATCCCTCAGACAAGCTAAGATGGTTCGCTTCACAAGGAATACTGCGGTGGCTACCGGCCTCGTAGCGATACTTGTGCACTCTCCGGCTGTGATGGCGCAGAACTCAAACACCAAGCGTGAGTGACTTCTTTGTACTGAAAAGATGAATTGATGTTGACTAGTATATCTATAGCCATTGTGACAGATGGCACTTCCTTCGCTCTCAATGGCGACAATGTGTCTTATCGCTTCCATGTGGACAATAGCACCGGTGACCTTCTAGGAGATCACTTCGGTGGCTCTGTTACAGGGAACATTCCATTGGAGTCGGTAGGCGATGTCAATGGCTGGGTTGGTACCACTGGCCGTGTTCGCCGTGAGTTCCCAGACCAAGGTCGAGGGGACTTCCGCATCCCTGCGATTCGCATTCGCCAGTCGGCAGGATACACCGTTTCTGATTTGCAATACCAATCGCACCGCATCATTGCGGGAAAGCCTGCCCTGCCTGGATTGCCCGCCACAATGGGAAGCGAAGAAGATGTTAGCACTTTGGTGGTCAGTCTATACGACAAGTATAGCGACGTTGCGGCGGACCTGTCGTATTCGATCTTTCCCAAGTACGATGCCATCGTGCGTAGTGTCAATGTCACGAACAATGGCAAGGGAAATATTACCATCGAGTCGCTAGCTAGTCTGAGCGTGGACCTGCCGTACGAAGATCTCGAGATGATCAGCCTGCGGGGAGACTGGGCGAGAGAGGCCCACAAGGAGAGAAGAAAGGTCGAGTATGGCATTCAAAGCTTTGGAAGTTCCACTGGCTACTCGTCACACCTCCACAACCCATTCTTGGCGTTGGTCGAGCCATCGGCCACTGAGTCTCATGGAGAGGCATGGGGTTTCTCGCTAGTGTACACAGGATCGTTTTCAGTGGACGTTGAGAAGGGGTCCCAGGGTTTCACCCGCGCACTTCTTGGCTTCAACCCTGGTCAGCTTTCCTGGAAATTGGCCCCCGGAGAGACTCTCGCATCCCCGGAATGTGTTTCTGTGTACTCCAAGAATGGTATTGGAGGCATGTCACGCGCCTTGCATGGTCTGTACCGCAAGCATCTCATCAAGAGCAAGTTTGCCACCAGTGATCGCCCTGCCCTTCTCAACAGCTGGGAAGGACTTGGCTCTACCTTCAACCAAAGCAGTATCTACAACCTCGCGAAGGAGGCCGCGGAGGTGGGCGCCAAGCTCTTCGTCTTGGATGACGGCTGGTTTGGAGACGAGTACCCTCGCATCTCTGACGAGGAAGGATTGGGTGACTGGGTGCCCAACCCTGCACGTTTCCCCGATGGCCTCGAGCCCATTGTGAAGAAGATCACCGATCTCAAGGCCGCAAACACGTCAACCAACTTGCGCTTCGGTATCTGGGTGGAGCCTGAAATGGTCAACCCTAACTCGACACTTTACCACGAGCACCCAGACTGGGCCTTGCACGCGGGACTGTACCCACGAACAGAGCGACGTAACCAGCTCGTGCTCAACCTTGCCCTCCCGGAGGTCCAGGACTTCATCATCAAGTCCGTCTCGGATATCCTCAACAGTGCGGATATCAGTTATGTCAAGTGGGACAACAACAGAGGTATCCATGAGATGCCTTCCCCTGCCACGAACCATGCCTACATGCTCGGCATGTACCGTGTCTTCGACGAACTGACCACGAAGTTCCCCGACGTTCTCTGGGAGGGATGTGCCTCGGGTGGAGGTCGTTTCGACCCAGGTGTTCTGCAGTACTTCCCTCAGATCTGGACCTCTGATGACACGGATGCCGTGGAGCGTATTTCCATTCAGCTTGGTACTTCCCTTGCCTACCCACCTAGCGCAATGGGCGCTCACTTGTCCGCCGTGCCAAACCAACAGACCGGTCGGACTGTCCCTGTTGCCTTCCGTGGTCATGTAGCTATGATGGGCGGCTCGTTCGGTTTGGAACTCGACCCAGCTGAGATGACTGCTGAGGACAAAGCCGCTCTCCCGGGTCTCATTGCTCTCTCGGAGAAGATCAACCCCATCATTCTGAATGGTGACTTGTGGCGGTTGAACTTGCCAGAGGACTCGAACTGGCCTGCTGCTTTGTTCATTGGCGAGGATGGCAAGCAGGCAGTGCTCTTTGTCTTCCAACTCGCACCTAACATCGATCACTCTTGGCCGCGTATTAGGTTGCAGGGCTTGGATGCGCAGGCGACATACAAGATTGATGGCAACGCCACCTATACTGGTGCAACTCTGATGAATCTTGGCTTGCAGTTCCCCTTCTCGACTGATTACGGAAGCGAGGTTGTGATGCTAGAGAAGCAATAGAACGGACATGGATTTGAGGTAGAAATAGTCCATAGGGACCATGACTTTCCGAGGTTTTTCATGTTCACATATATCACATAGTTTGGCAATGATATAAATTTCAATTTGGGTTATATAAAGTCAAATGGTTCGATTCTGGAATTGATTTTGGTTAGATGGCTCTTCTGAAATTGTAGGGAGCTCTAGAGCTGGGGGCCTCGAACTCAAACAAAAGGCGGTATTGTATGGCAAATTCCGACCCTTATCGATAAGAGCGCATCTTTATCTTTTCTGACTCCAAAGATCCGTCCTGAGAACTGACTGCCTTTGCACGCCGGTTTCGACATGGCAGACGCAGATGAAGAATTTCTGCAGAATCCTGCAAATGCTTCTGTACAGCCTGAGGTTGACCTGTCTGACGAGACACAGGACTTTCGCTTCCTCAACAACCTGAACATGTAGGCCCCCACGAACTTGCGCATTCTTGACAGCCAGCTAATTACCTCAATTCGTTCAGCTATGCAGACTCAGGCAGTCTCCCGCGTCGTGGAGAGAAGGACTTTGAGCCTAATCCAACAGAACACCAAACTGGCGTCCTTTCCGAGTCGCGCAGGGCGATGCACAATGCCCTCTCATTTCCTCGTCTTCATAGCACAAAGGCCCATGTTATAGCGTTCTATGCACCAGATGGATATACCCCGCTAGCCGAAATTCCTCCACCGAAAGCCCCACAACAAACAGACAAGAGTACAGAGTCAGCTGAGAAGCCCGCAAGGCCCACGCCGAGGTCTGCTAACATCAACCCCGACGTATGTGTCTATGTGCCCAACCCAAAAGGTCCTTTCTTCAAATCAGTTGGCCAGAGTGACCGTTGGAATCGCCTCTGGTTATTACCCGAGGAAGCTTTATACCTTATTGAGAGAGGCAGTTTGGATATCAGATGGCCCAGCCCGACCGATCCTGCAATCCCTGGGGAGGACGGCCTCTCTATACCAATGAGCTTGCAGGCTGCATGGGCATCCTTCATAGGACATGGTGGTCTGACTCTCGAACGATACTCTGTTTATAGCGGCCTTAAACGCCTGGGATACACGCTCGCTCGAGCTCCTGGGTGGTGTGATGAAGCGGAGCAACGAGAACATGAGCAGAATCTTGCTCCTAGCCCAAGCTATAATGAGAATATTATACCAAAGCTGCGCGGAGCTGGCCTAGCAGGTATCCTAGGATCATTGTTCAACTGGATCCACGATCCTTATTCAACAGCCTCGACAACATCCGGCCCAATGATTGGCACCGGAATCAACCGTCACTACATGGATGTATACCGCAAGCTCGCAATTATCCCATGGTACGACCCCATCACTGCATCCCCCTCAAACCCCTCCGATACTACAGCGCCATTCCGTGTCGTGTTCCACGTCTGGAAGCCCTCGACGCCCGTCAAAAAATCAGCACCACCCACCCCCGAGTTCCGTGTCGCGGTCCTCAGCACTCGTGATCAAACTACCATGCCAAACATGACACAACTCGGCGCATTGCTTGAAAGCACACCCCTCGATCCTCCATCCGGAGAGAAGATGGAGCGGATGATGTATATGAGACTACGACATGGATATCGCAACGTTATTCTGGCAGTTGTGGATCAGGGTGTCGTGAGCTACTTGCGCGTCGCTGACTCGGCATTTGGGAAGGAGAAGCTGTATGAGAATCAAGGTGGACCCCGGGGACCTAAACGGGGAGGACGTGGATATCAAAAATCCAAAAAGCGTTGAATTCCCTTAGATCTTAAATGAATAAACGTCACATTTAATTCCTCCATTCAATAGGATGATTACACCCGAACTAATATCTTTACATAACTTGTGATTCATTTCGCGTTTGTCATACATCAAGCATGACTTGAACATAATTTCATGCATTCGAGTAAGCAGCTCACAGTCTGTACATTTCAGTCCTGCTCCTGGCCCCATCAAAGACGGAAGTGTTGTCAAGCGGACCATATTGCCTAGTAATCACCTTCAATGCCTCTTGCGCAACAAGGCCACCAGTCAACGAAGAAATGTTATGCAGCTCGCCACCCTGGGCCCGGCGCACCTCCTTGATCGCACGCGCGATCTGCTCCCGCGCCGCAGTGTCCACAGCCACCCCGTCGCCCCCAGTGAGCAAAGCCAAAATACGCTCCGTGTGACTGTGCCAGAGTGCGCTATCGTCAATGGATCTCTCCTTCTCCAGATTGTTGGATTGAATTTCATCTACAACCGAGTCGAGGACCTGGGTTGCAATGAAAATGGGGACCAAGGAGTCCTCCGAGTTGAGTTCGTTTCGAATCTTCTTGAGTGTTGAGGCGTCACTGTCGATGCTGATTTGGGGAATGCTACGACCTCGCACGACCTTGATGTGCGCGGCATTCTTACAGAAGACTTCGATCTCCCGGTCGAGAATGGCTGGTGACTGGCGTCCGATTTGAGACTCGAGTTGGCGTACCGTAGCTGTCACTTCTTCGACATCCTTTCGTGCCTTGGCCTTGTAGATGTTTTGCAGTGCAACGTAATCCGCTGACTGGGCTTTCATGTCGGGCAGAGATCCAGGGAGAGGTAGCACGCCATGGGAGCCATGGAAACTTTTTATGGCTGATGCAATTATCCAGAAATCCTGGGATGCAGACGTCAGCTGCTGACATTCCTCCATGTTGAAGATATCTCGGATCGAACTGCGCAGCTCAAAGGGTGAGATTGTTTTCAGCACAGCGGAAACTGCCTCATCGAAATTCTCTTCCCCTCCCTCGGGATTGGAAGTCCGCGCCTGGCCGCGCACAAACTCTCTGAACTCGGTTTTCTGTTTGTAGTTACTCGGTGCGCTTCCGTCGTGTGTTTGTTTCCATTGCTCAAGGAAGTGAAGCAGCAGGAGAATGTAGGGAACATGACCATGCTGGTGGTCGTCGAGGGTGTCCAGAGTCTCCAATTTAGAGGCAGCAGCGACAAGCTCCGGCCATGGGTTCAAAAGACGCAGATCTTGGGTCGATTCTGGATCTGGGTGTGTTTCAACAATGGGGAACTCTGCGGGAAGCTGAACTGAAAATGTGGAGAAGAATCCCACTGAATGGAGATATAGCACGGGGATGCCTAATTGCTTCGCTTGCCAGCATAGCGGAGCCAATGTGGAGCGTCTAATCGGACCAGAGATGATAATCAACTTGTGTCTGGGTAAAAAATCGGGATCAACAGTGAGATCTGAAATGCGCTGTATCATGAGTGAGTCAACAATGATCTTTGCTTGAGATTCAAACGAATGGATCATACTTTAGAGTAGTGATATCCCTGCACGTCGGGGTTTAATTCTCTCAATAGTCGACAAGTTTCTTCGGCACGGGACTTGCCAAGTGATTCTTCTTCTAAGAAGAAGTTCACACCAAGGTCAGACTCGGTGACCGTTGCGGGATCAACGATAGTGAAGCCACCGATACCAGGCAAGACCAGATTCTTGAGGGCCTCGACGCCTGCCACGCCAGAAACACCGGTGCTGTGTTGAGCAAGCGGGCCATCCGAATTCACCAACAAAACGCGGGAATCCTCGAGTGCTTGCTGGCCAGTTGCGGCCCACAAGCGGAGTTGGCGATCATACTTGCGCTCCTTGGAGGTTGGGCCAGTCAAGGCGGCGGGGAACGCATCTGTCATGGTATTAAAGAGCGGGAAGATGATGAAAGTGGAAAGTTGGATTGAAGGACGTTCAGAACAGCCCCAAATGAAGACTCCCAGAGTTATCTCTCGATAAAGATTTACTTTCTGGCTTTTCCTGCAACTTTGGAAGCTATCAAGTTTGAGTAATTGTTGACTGTTCGGACAATTGGAGGTGCTGGGCGCTTTTTACTAAGCAGGTCAGGCATGGATTCAGGCATGAATCATGCCTGCCAATTCAGGTGTCAATATCGAGCGAGGCCTTGCCATCCTTTCAAATGTTCATCATACCCTTGCTCCCTGCCAAACTCTAACATATTGAACACAGAATGAGAAATACAAATAGTTTTCACAGACCCAGTACCACTTAGACTTGACGTAGGTAGCATTGATAGGATTCATTCCAAAGGTGACATGCAGTACGAGTATGCCCAGGTGAGAAGACATACCAAGCATACTAGATGCCATTCAAGTACACCGCTTTTGCGCTATGGCAAGCTCATTCTCTTCTTGCTTTTGTCACTGCACAAGTTCCAAGCCACACCAGCCTCATCACAAAGTCACTTGTCTCTTGTAGTCGACATCGTTCACCTTGCGTCGACTCGTTCCCGTGTGTATTACATATTGTATTGGCCACCGATATCATAGTTTCCAGGTCCATCTGTGCCATATGGTCCAGGGGATGAATGATAATGTTCAAAAAGAGCGACATGGCGGCGGTGGTCAGATAAGATACTATTAATCTGTGGTCCAGAAATGTTAGCAGAGAACGACTCCGAGGATACGCCAGAGGATCTAGGTAGAAATCCACAGTGATTCAGATTGACGTACCGAGACCTGTCTGCTGTGTCTTTAGTGCATAGAACCTTGATACACCATATAGTGGACCGACTGGCCTCAAGGGATAGATCAAAACTGGAATGTACCACATGGTGTAGGTCCCTATAACCATCGCCCACACCAGGTATACACTTTCTGACTGTGGTGTGAATTATGGTCATTAGGTGGTGGTATTCCAGCTGGAGCGATATAAGTCGGTTGAAATGAAGACTGCATTCCCCCATTGTGTTTAACGGAGAGCTCTGGGAGACAAAAAGCGCAGGGCGAAAGTGAAGGGGTATAGACAAACGCCAGCTCTCGATCTCATCGTCAAGTTGTCGTATGTTGAGAAGAAGCTGATTGTTGTCATTCTTCAACGCTTGAGCGGAAAAAAGGTGCCGGCAGACTTTTTCCTTAAGAAGGCTCAACTTGAGATCTCCAGGGAAATGGGGGATCAGATGCCCAGATATTTGATCACTCGATTGAACTGATCCTCGTCTTCCTGGCAAGTAACTGTCATACTCCAGATAGTTTTCTGGGAAAGTGAGGTCGCAGTAAGAATCTGTGAGCAGCGGTGGGTTTCCTGTGCGAAGTGAAATGTCTTTGTCAAGCACGTAGGATACCCAGAACAGCACACGAATATGACGTGCTTCTCGCTCTGGAATAGACAAATCTTGTCCGGGCGCGGCTTGCGCTTCGTGGATGTGTCCGCCAAGGGAGCAGATCATGGAGCATGCCATTGAATTAAACATATTAGCTTTTTTCCAATGACCATTGAACATAAAACGGAGTTGCTGATTCCCATGGTCAGTATATGCTTGCGGTGGGTTCGAGGGTATATGGAGCGACCTCATCTTACCAGCAAAAGTATGGTCTGAAGCGTTGTCAAGCTGATATCTCCCATAGCCTGTATCAAAAGAGAGTTCGCCTGCGCTGCGCATGTATGTGCGTCTATAGCGGTTGAGATTTGTTGCGACAAATTCAAATAAGACGCCATGGATATAGTCGCGAGAAGACAGGCCGTAGTCGAGAGCTGGGTGGTAGAAAGAGATATCTCGGCGCTTTCACTATAAGCTGATTGAATGGTACTCTCCAAAAGGGCCTCGTCCAATATTGGAAACGCGAGGTTGAATGGTGACATCAAATATGCGTTCAGTAATTCTCGAGTTTCAAACTCGTCCGGTAATTTGCCCAACCCTGACGGAGATGTTGACCCCAGATCTACGAAGGAAGCAGGCTCCGAGATGGTAATACAAAAGTCTTCCAGCGAAACGATTTGACTGGTCTTGGTTGATATCCAATGTCTCCCTGCTTCGGAGCGAATTGGCATACCGTTAAAAAACCAGTTAGGCCCTAGCTGGTTTGAAAGCCTATCGAGCCTACTCTTTAGTCTATCGGCGGACGGTCCATTGAGAGCAGAGGGCGTTCGTGTGGGATCAGAGGCGATTTGTAAGACCGGGGTTCCAAGGTTAACACTTCGTCCTCCTCTAATGGACGGAGAGGCTGTGGTCGATGTTTCAGCAGCTGCCACAACTTCACCTGCAAACTCCTTTCCAGGCGATGCTTGCGCCAGAGCACCTTCGAGCTGCTTAATTCGCTCTGACAGGTTATTTACTTCGCTCTGGTCCACACTTAAGTGAAGCACAGAAGAGAAAAAGGCATTAGAATATTTCGCGTAATTTTTCGGGCTAGAAGCTCAAATACCTGGCCCGTGGCTTTTTTTGAGGTCTTTCTCGGTCGAAAGTACACTCAAGGCTGCGATGTGTACACCATTCACATGGTCCCGGTGCGCTAGGAAGCGAGCATTGGATCTATATGCCAGATGCGATAACTTAATCAGAGTCCAGTGTTGAAGAAGAAGATCATGAATAAATACCTTTCTGCGATGACAGGCGTCGCATGCTTTCTTTTGAGGAAGTGGTCTTTTTGGCATTGTGTCGGCGAAGAGTTTCCCGAAATCGCCGACGCCGCATGCCTGATTGTGGTGGACACGGGGTTTTCGGGTCATCATGTGACACAAGTGGATCCATAGTCTCCACTGGTGACGAAGTATGTAAATCATGGCCAATTTTCATACGGTCAAGAATTATGGACAATATCTGAGCTGCAGCCCCCTGTAATGACATTTCGACTGATAACTGAAAGCCCCTGTTACAACTACCTAGAAGGATGAAGTACCATTTGATTTCCTCATCAGTGCTTCCATGCATTGGACACTATTACCACGGTGAACAGGTTCACCTAATCCCTAGAAGTCTGACGCGGAAACAATATCCCACCCACGCTGTCTTGATCCCCTGAGTCCATCAGCAGACAAACATGTTGGTATATGGATCAGATGTCCCCGTTGAATGCGAACGAATGCGGCATAAAGGGTGCCAGCGAGCGCGACTGCTATGACACTTATCAAAACGGGCCATTGGAATTGATCAGGCCTCGAGAAAACAATCGTGGCAATGTAGGAGCAGATCTCGAAAAGGTTTTGCCACGCAGCTTCGGTAGATGAAAACGAGCCTCGCGTGCTTGCATCAACGCCCTAGAGAACAACACATCAAGTCAGCAATAGAACATCAAATAATCAATCATACCGAGTATTTATGGAGCAATCAGTAGGTGAAACGGACAGGGAGGTTGTGTTGATGAGCTCTCACCTCTTGGACAATTATTTGTGCACATAGGTCGAACCCCCTTAAGCCAATACGGCTCAAAATCGTGCCACCCACTATACCAGATGCTGATATCAGTGGGAATTCTTTGAAATCCCAGAAAACAGACATTCCAGCGACTAAACAGGCGATCTGCCAGGATGCAAGCCAGAGTCCAGCACGAGTTGTTCCGATTCTTTCCATGAGCCAGGGAGCGATCCAGGTCGCCAGGAATTCACAGGCAACGGATAATGTTCTTGTGGTGGCGATTAGAGCAGAGTCATAGCCTGTCGACAAGAGCCAAGTGACCATTTGCCCGGAAAATGACAGTACAGTCAGGTAAAGAAGAGCCCCAGCAAACGACGGCAGGAATACAGGGTGTCGGATATAGGCCACAAAGTCTTGGGCTGCTTTGTTTACCAGGCTTCGGCAAGGGCCCCATATGCGTGCTTTGAGGCCATGTGGCTGCACTTCGATCGTGGAGGCGTCGGACTCGGCGGCTTGGTTTCGTTCTGATAATCCTGGCACCATGTGATATACCTGGACATTCCACGAATATATTAGAAGACCAGAGCGGATTCGTTGTTATATGTTGATACTCAGACAAGATCACACGTACCTGTGCTATTGAGTAGTATTCAATGACGACGGAGCACACATTCATCCCAAGGTTTACTAGAATGGCAGTGTCTGTGGATATGGTATCCACGAATGCGATGAACAGGGGCCCTAGCAACTTGCAAACCAAGTCAATCCGCCTCATTTGAGCGTTCATGGCTGAATATCACGGAGCAATGTCAGCAAACTGGTTCTCGAACCGGGTCGACGTTTACACACCCTTAAGAGTATGATGGTTGTCCCCAGCAACTACCACGGCCTATCGAGGAAGTGTCAGGAAAGTTCCCCAAACTAAAACTTCCAAGTCTGCAATACGCACCCAATCTCTCTCCACAGAGACCATATTCATGATGGAGCATAGCTTTTCTATGCATGCCAAAAAGGCCAGAGCTGTAAGGAGTGAATAGTTCAGCTCGCGGGCCATTTGAAATTTCACTTTGAGGAGATAAAAGATAGCACACGATGCAGCCACGGCAAGTCTCTGTAACACTGCAGTTGGACGAAGCCATTGTGAGTATACGACTTCAGGAGATATTTGGGCAGCGGCACGAGAAATAAACTCACCGATTGATACACGGACGACTTTGAGTCGATTTTCAACGTCGATATAATGACCTACAGCAGGCGCAAAGACAATCGCGGCCAAACCGCGAGAAAGAGCGTAGACTGACATTGGCAACAGAGTGCCGGGATAGATTGTTGCCAGATATAGAACTGCTCCAAACTCAAAGACTCGGGAATTCCATGTTGACAAGAAATGTGACAGATAGAGGCGATTGGCAAGCTTTTTGGGAAACTCATCTCTGAGGTCGTTGCCTCTCTGAGAAGTAGAGGGTGAATCGGCGTTTGAATCGGCATGCAGCAAAGGTGTGTCCTCAGCCGGTAGCTGTTGCTTTATTGGAGCTCTGGTCATGTTTCAACCGCAATTGCCGGGCAATCTGCTAGACTCTCGAGTATCGAAAAGTTGCGGATAGTGCACGTCTCGGGCCTTTTGAGTTGACTCTCAAGAAAAGGGAGAGCTACTGGATATATGGTTTTCTGTCAGGAGTCTCGGAAATGTGGATTCCATGTCAAGCACATCTTCATTTGCAGCTAGCTTCCAAGGTTTAGAATCTCAACAAATAAGGACCTCCGAGTGGCGTGGTCCGTAGAGCCTGGAAGGGCAGGTGCAGGTGCCAAGCAAACATGGTGTTATGTAAGCGGCGTTTTCGGCAGCCGCGATGCCCAGGGCTGTTCACTTTGGGAAGTCGTCAACCTTGCAAGTTGCAACTTCCAATGTTGGTCTTAGCCAGGTGGACTTTTCTGGACTTTGCTCACTCTACCTGTCACGATCGAATGGCTCTCGCTATATACCTGACGAAGAAACTCACAATTGCGTCTCCATTTCTTAATCAATCTATCAAAAGCTGCACATGTTCCTTTCCAATTGGGAAAACATCTCACAGAGTACCACAGCGTTGGCTCCATTCAAGCACAGAGTACATGTGACCCTGATTGCTGTCTGTGTCAATAGCACATGAAACGGCGGAGGTCACCTTCGTCGTCGGCTCTCGGTTGTGGGGGCCAGGGCCGGGTGCTAGGGAGTGGGGTTCCTTGGCCCCGGGGGCGGTCGAGACAAACCTCCCCAGGCACGAAAATAAGCAAAGTACGGAGTGGAAATAATGGGACCTTAGAATTGAAATCATTCATTAGGCATGGGTACCGTGGTACCAAACCATTGTTTCTCGTTGAACTCCATACAAATCGTACATTTTAGTTATTATGTGTGGACCAATGCAAGAAAGTTGCATGGTATGTATGGTGCGTGATCCCAAGGAATACAAATGCACTCACTCCGTAGCTTTTGGTATGTACTCGTAGAGGCATGGGCTCCGAATTCGGAGTCTGTACTTCGTATCTGAGTGTTGATCATTGTCCCTTGCATTCCTTAAAATCAGACTTCATTACTCCGTCTGATGTATGTACGAGTAGTTTTGACTCCTTACTTCGTAGCAAATAAACGAGGAAAGGAAGATCTTTTCGAGACTGACGTGGCTCGCGCATTAGAGGCGCTTCTCTTCGTTTCACAGGTCCAAATTCAGTGACAGAGGATCGAAACTAAGCCATCGGGTCCGTTTTGTGTGGGGTTAAATATGGGGTAACCCGATCAGCCGCAAAAACAAGAGATGCCAAAATCTAAAATCTGCGACGCAAACTCAATAATTGTCCCACGCTCTGGCCCAGGGGCGCATACAGAATGGCACTTTACTCATATGAAAGTCCCACAGTGCTCTATGCTTGTACAATATGGACTTATGTATCAGGACATGACGCTGGTGAAATATTCTCCGAGTTTCATAACTTAATTGTTTCACTTGATACGGAACCGTTCAAAATGTAGAATATATTCTAAAGTTACTAGGCACAATTTGTATAGTCTTGTGTAGGAGAGAAATATTCAAGATACTGAGGTGAAAAATCTGCCGTGACATTGCTAGGGTGCCATTCTGCAGACTTGGTTCGGACTCGGCTGCACCGTCGAAACGGGATCGACACTGGATCGGCACGGTTTGGTTTCAATATTCCGTCGAAGGCCGATCATGACGCTTCGTCTCAAAATCAAAGCAAAAAGACCCTGCTCTCATCTGGACAGTCGACAATATTTATATCTGTTTAATCCTCCCGAAGTGGCATTGTCTTCAATTCAATCAAATCGTTTTCCTATCATCAAGAAAATCCAACAACCGAAACCAATTCCCTCTCCAATCCGAAGTCAATCAATTCCCACTCCTGAAGTCTCCAAGATGAAGTTTGCCGTCGTCGCTCTCGCCTTTGCCGCTCTCTCACACGCCCAATCCCGGGCTGATGTTCCTCCCTGTGCCCTTCCCTGTCTGGACGATGCTGTCAAGCAGAACACCAGCTGCGCAACCGATGACTACGCTTGTATCTGCAAGGACCAAGATGCTGTCAAATCAGCTGCCACAAGCTGTGTCGTATCTAAGTGCGGCATCAGCACTGCCCAGAGTATGGCTACTCTTCAATGCTGCTAATGCAAAGGCTAATCAAATATATAGACGATGTCTTGCCTGCCGTCAAGAAGATCTGCGATGCGCAATAAGGTCCCAGTGACTTTCTGACCTGGTGCTAGCTACTTTCTATGCAGCTATGGAATTGAAAGCTTTCCAGCCATAGGCAGGCCGTGGCATCCGTTGTACGGAGAGGAAAGTATTTGCTACTGGCTTAGCAAGTTGTCAAAGTGATCCAAGGACATATGTACAGTATCTAGATCCACATTATTTGAGATGATTTTAAGAAACTTGCACCTGGCAGGTGCTCTTTGAGCCAAGTTTCATACTTAAGCATGCCATATGATACGTAGGAAGTACCAAAAAATGAACATGCCCAGCGCATGTGGGAGAATCCATAGAGGCAATCAGCCTGCGCTGGCCCTGGATGTGATCCTGACACCCCTAAGGTGTTTCACAGAATATTTCTGGTGTAATCGTGTTGTTTCTTTTTAACTAGACCTAAACATAATCTTCAAGGGTGGTTTCAATGCGATTTAATGTCCACAGGTCCCAAGATTGTTTACTGAGCACTTAAAAAGGTATGAACGTTCCACTTGAGGTTCTTTAGTGTATATTTCTAAGGATTCCTTTCCATATCTATGATTTGGTCAATGCTGACTCTCAGCTCTTATGCTTTGTTTTTCTAAAGTTTTTTTCTTTTTTTGTGTTACCATTCCAAGTTTTACTGATGTATATATGGTACGTATCATATTCCATAGAACAGGTCGTTAGCTTATTCTCTACGGAATACTCCATACAGGTAGCAGAGACTTCAGGCCATTGGTGACGGTCTTATAGCCTAGATATTACCTTGGAGAAATTGACCAACTAACCCATTGCCGCGGTTGGACATGCCACTGCGCTTAAATTTGCCGAAGTAGGATGGAATGCCGCTCGGCCCAGTAGAACCCCCACTAGTGCATGACGTTATATGTTAGAACTAATATGGTCGATTTGGCTTCTGCATCTACTACTTTCTCACGGAGTACACCAATTGACCTGTAGACAGCGCTAAGGGGTTAAATACGAGACGGGACCCATGTTCCCAACCGCCCGCTGCTCCCCTCTTTTCTTCCGACTCCCCACACTTCTTTTCCGTCCCAGATTCCATTCCACCATGGCCGCCCTCATTGAAGAAGCCAAGCGCGCTGCCGCAAAGGTTGCCGTTGAGAAGCATTACCCCCAAGATGCCCGCTGGGTCGGTATTGGTAGCGGTACCACCATTGTCTACGTCGTTGAGGCAATCAAGGCTCTCGGCGTGGACACCTCCGCCACCAAATACGTGCCCACCGGCTACCAGTCTAAGCAACTGATCATTGGCGCTGGCCTGACCGCTGTCGAATTTGACAGCATTCCCTCCGGTACCATCTTCGACGTCGCTTTTGACGGCGCGGATGAAGTCGATGAGGATCTGAACTGCATTAAGGGTGGCGGTGCCTGCTTGTTCCAAGAGAAGATCGTCGCTATGCAGGCCAAGGAATTTGTCTGCGTTGCCGGTGAGTTTACTACATATGACATGATCCCGATTCCATTGGGAGTTTCTCAATGCCGTGTCGCGATCATTTTGGACTTTGCGCAAAACTAACTCTCATCCCTCAAGATCACCGCAAGCTCCAACCCCGCCTCCTCTCAAACTGGAAGACTGTCCCCATTGAAGTCGCCCCCATCGCCGCTCACCGTGTTCTGTCCAAGCTCAAGGACCTCGGCAGCGTCAACCCATTCATTCGGGCTTCCGCAAGCGAAAAGGAAGGTCCTCTCAAGACCGACCAGGGCTTCTTCATTATTGATGCTCCTTTCCCGCCCTTGTTGATCAAGTCCGATATCGCTGCTGGCAAGGAAGGCAACGGTAAGGATGGTGTGTGGGCAGTCCAAGATCTTGCTCGCAAGATCAACGAGATCGCGGGTGTGCTTGAGGTCGGTATCTTCCAGGGCGAAACTGGCCCGCAGGCTACTGCGGCTGGCGGTATCGGAGGACAGCGACCCGTCGCGGCCTACTTTGGCATGGCCGATGGATCGGTCTCCGTCCGTAAGGCTGAGTAGATGTCACATCGAACGATGGACTTTGGGGACGATACGAGACTACGTAAATAGATGAGATGATACCAATATTTCTCCTTTGTCCAGCCTTGAACCCGCTAAGATCGGAAGTTGCCAGGTTGCGAATTTTTGAAGTGTTTTATGTCGTATTTGCTATGGTATCAAGACGCTTCATTCCGAGCAGAGAAAAGAAAAAGAGCAGTTTTGGTGGCCGCGGGTTTATTTGGGAACCTTGCCCTTGGCCTCTGTCTCGCCCAGTTCCCGCACATAAATCATCACCGAGCCCTCGGGGACATCATCATGACCGTCCTCAAACCCAGGGCTGACTGCCATGGCTAGATGGCGGCCACTACCGCTGAATGCGACGGCGGACACACTGGTCTGAAGTTTCTGGTATTGGCGGATACGGCGCTTGGTAATTCCATCCCAAATGGCGACGACTCCATCACCACCACCAGAAGCAAATGTCCCGAACACGGGATGGAAGGCCAAGGCATTGACGGGGTAAACGACATCGACTCCATCCTCCGCGGTTTGGCGATGGCACTTGAAAGCGTACGTGCGGGCTTGAGATTCGGGCGATGGATCGAACCACTCCACCGCAACACGGCCCTCAATGCTGGATGAGGCGTAGCCGTTATCATCGGGCATGCAGGCAACTGCCCGAGTCATAAACTTCAAGCTACTCTCACGACGCTGCCAGGGCTCAACGTCCACGCGATTGCCACCGGGAACGTTGCTGTCTGTTTGCGCAGTGAGGATAGTCAATGCCTTGAGGTCGTAGATGTGCAAGGACCGTGAGGCCATGGCGACGACCAGCTTGGTGGCCGTCGCAGAGATCGAGAACGGCTTGGATGGGAGTGGAACAATGATGGGTAAAGAATCGAGGTTTGTGGCAAGGTGGAAGTGGAGTGTTGAGTCCCATGAAGCGGAGATGATGAGGTTGTGCTCGCGGCTGTACACAACGCTGCACACGCCAGCCTCGTGGCTGCTGAGTACGGTTTGTTCGCCGGTGTTTAGGTCAATCCTGCGAATATTAGTCAATGTTTATCTACGATCATAAGGCGATCGCTGATCACCGATCAGATCCATTGGGGAAAGACTCACTTCCTCACATCCCAGTCCAACCCAGCTGTGTAGATCTCATTTTCGTTCTCTCCGAAGCAGACGTCCAGGACGGGTGCGCGGTGCTCGAACTTCTGTAGTAGCTTTCCTTCCCCAATGTCGCCATTCTCATCGCGCAAGTCGTACAAGTAGACGTTCTTGTCCCATGACGAAACGACGATTCGGGTGGAATTGGGGTCGGGGGAGAACTTCAGTGCTGAGATAGCATCTGTAGGTGGCGAGGCCACGGCAAACGGTACAGATTCTGTATAATATGGTCAGAGATTGTTAAAATATAGTGGAATATGACGACCAGGGACAACTCACGGTTAGACATCGTAATTGAGCTGCGGAGTTGAAGAAGCTCAAGTCGGAAAGCTCCTTTAGCAGCCCTTTTCTGCCGTCGCAAACCGCCATCGGATTCCCCGCGCGTCGATAAGAAAAAAAAGATCACGGCCTGACATCACTCAGCACGACTCAAAAGTTTACTCCATACAATAGGCCCAAGATGCCCTTCGCACAGCTGGTTATTGGTCCTCCAGGAGCCGGGAAATCTACATATTGCAATGGCATGCACCAGTTCCTAGGCGCAATCGGCCGGCAATGCTCTATCGTTAATCTGGACCCCGCCAACGACAACACTTCCTATCCATGTGCGCTGGACGTACGCGATCTAGTCAAACTGGAAGAGATCATGGAGGAGGATAAGCTGGGCCCGAACGGAGGTGTTCTCTATGCTCTTGAGGAGCTTGAGCAGAACTTTGACTGGCTCGAAGACGGACTGAAGGAGCTTGGGGGTATGATATCTCACGTTGGAGTGCATTGGGTATGGCTAACACTTTGTTTCTAGAGGACTATATCCTATTTGACTGCCCTGGTCAAGTTGAACTTTTCACACATCACTCATCATTACGAAACATCTTCTTTAAGATTCAAAAAATGGGCATACGAGTTAGTGACATGACCCTCGACATAGCATTGCAATGCCTGGCTAACATCCGCTTTTGTGCATCAGTTGATCGTGGTCCATCTTGTTGACTCATACACTCTTACTTTGCCGTCAATGTATATCTCCGCTCTCCTCCTCTCCCTCCGCGCCATGCTCCAACTCGACCTCCCACACCTGAATGTCCTCACCAAAATCGACAACCTTGCCAACTATGCCCCTCTCCCTTTCAACCTAGATTACTACACAGAAGTTCAGGACTTGTCCTATCTACTCCCAGAGTTGGAAAACGAATCCTCACGACTATCACACCAAAAGTTTGGTGCTCTCAATAGGACCATCATCGACCTGGTCGAGGAATTTGGGCTTGTTGGCTTCGAGACGCTGGCCGTCGAAGATAAAAAGAGCATGATGAGTCTCCTGCGCGCTATTGATCGCGCATCTGGATATGCCTTTGGCCCTGCCGAGGGTGCCAATGATACTGTCTGGCAGGTGGCTGTCCGGGAGGGCATGGGTACCACAGACGTCCGAGACGTGCAAGAGCGCTGGCTGGACGCGAAGGATGAATACGATGAGCTGGAGGAGCAAGAACTGGAAGAGGAGGTCCGCCTGCGCAAGGCGGCGAGCCAAGTCGAGGCTACCGGGGCTGCCGGAGGTGACGATGACATGGAAGACGACGACGGACATGCCTACGACGAGGAGCTCGAGAAGTGGAAGCAGAACATGCCCGATAGTGGCGTTCGAGTACAGCGCAAGGCATAATAACAAAACCCCCAAGCCTTGATCTAGCTCGTCTTCCGAGCTTGAAAACATCACATTTAGCAATGAATAATCACCGTACAATTGGGGTATCTCATTAACGTATAAACACATCTCATCTGCTCTACTCATCACCCATGACTTCATCTTCACTTTCGTCCATCACGGAATCAACAACGGCAGTCCCCTTTCCCCCAGCAATCCCTTCGATTAAATCCCCTAGAACCCCTCGTTCTTCTGCATCCTTGACACGCACAATCTCTGCTCTAGCCCGACGGATCGCCTCCTCCTCTGCCTTGCGCATAGTTCCCGACACGCGGATCACGCGGAAAACGCACGCACGCTCACGGCCTGTGCCGCGCTTCTGCGGATTCGGGGACGGTTCCGGGACACCGGACATATATGTGATAGCAGACCAGACGATACGGAATGCAGCACGGGGACACCGCACTATTGCTGTCGATGTAGCCGGGGAGAGATATTTTACTGATAGTTGTTAGATAAAAGCATCGGGTATTGGGTGCGGACATTGAGGTTTCATGACCGCAAGAAGATTTATCCCTTACTTTGAATCCCAGCTGCTGAGGCACCACCTAGTTTTCCGATTCCCCAATCGCCATATAGCTCTGCGACAGATTCGCGAATCATCTTCGCGAGGAATCCTGCCGTGAGAGCGTCGGAGGTTGGGGAGTGTATTGCCAGGGAAGGGTTATGAGGGCTGGCGGAGTTCGGGGTGGCCGGCCAAGTCGATGGATCTGGGTACAGAATGTCCATGAGGAGGTAGCGGCTCTTCAAGCGGACCATGGTGGGTGAGCTGGCGGAGGTTTCGTTGTGGTTCTAAGTTTGAAGCAAGACGGGTCTGGTGGTAGAATTGAGCCTCCAAATCAGAGGGGCGAGCCGAAACTGGGTGCTGAATTCAGCTCGTGCAAGTACACCAAAGGAAGACGATAGAAAGAAGCAAGCTGGACCGGATGCTGGATTCCAAGTTCAGAAAAGATTGCGACTGATAGCGGAGGCGATAAGGATATTTCCTAATCGGCTCCACCTCCAGAACACTCAGGCGCAGAGCTCTTACAATGAACATAAGACCGCTGTATTTTCGAGTTGATTTTTTAGTGGTGATTACAAGAGAGGCCTACGAACTACTCGTATTTCGGAAAGCGTATATCATGCAGCAAGGGCACATTCATTATTCACCAAAGTGGTCTAGTCATCTACTGTAAAACGAATTAAATCAGATCCGTAGTCGGGTTGCACTTTTTTTTTTGAGTGTCAACTTGGTCATGCCACATGGACGCAGTACATCGATACACATAACTGCTCAGAAAACATAAGAAAAGAAAAACCAAGGGATGAACCATCCGAACTCCACCGCCCTGAATGGACGGACTATATGCCAGCGGACGGCGCTGCAAAAAGTCACAAACAAAATCACAGGTTGACCTCGACACGGCCTTCGGCACCACCCTTCTGCAAGGTGGGGAGGAGGTAGGTGATGTCGTCCCAGGGGTGGCGGTAGAGACCGGTGCGCAGGCGCTTCTGGTCGAGGTAGTGGGCAATGAGACCAATGGAGCGACCGAGAACGAAGAGACCGTTGAGCACACCCATGCGCATGTAGTCCTCAGTTTCCTCGGGGGTGAAGGCACCGCAGTTGCGGAGCAGGTCGACGAAGCAGACAGCGACACAGCCGTCGACGTTAAGAATGAGGTTGTCCTTCTTGGAGGTGGTGACAGTCTCAACGGCAATAGCGTAATCGAGCAGCTTGGTGCTGGGGAAGTGCTTCTTGACAAACTCCTTGACGAGCTCGACACGGAGATCGGGGTTCTGGCGGGACTTGACCTTGTGGCCGATACCGGGGATGAGCTTGTTCTCCTTGCGCATGATGTCGACGAAGTCACGGGGGCTCAGACCCTTGTCAAAGGCCTTGGTGAACTCCTCAGCGGCGCCATCCAGGGCACCACCGAAGCGGGAACCGATGGTCAGGAGACCAGAGACGAGGGCACTGATGAGGTCCTTGCCGGCACGGGTAGTAATAATGGTGTTCATGGCACCGGACACGGCGGGACCGTGGTCGGCAGTCAGCATCAGAACCATCTCGAGGAACTTGCTGGCGTAGGGAGGCAGGCGGCGGCGGAACCAGAGGAGAGACATGACACCGCCAATGCCGATATCCTCACGGAAGACATCGGAGATGGGCATACCGGCGTAGAGCAGCTCCTGGCCACGGTCGTCGGAGATGGTGGAGATGAAGGCAGCAGGCTTACGGACGAGACCGAGCTCCTGGGCCCAGGAGTAGTCAATGGGGATCTTAGGGACAACGGGCTCGGCGGCAGGGACGATGGAGCCCTTCTTGACCTCAGCGTCGTAGACCTCCTTGAGGGTCTGGGGAAGGTCCTCGAAAGTCTCGGGGACGTGGATACCGGCCTCGCGCATGGCCTTGTTCTTGACCACGGCGGTCTCGAGCTCAGAGTTGGCGGAGGCACCGGCGTGACCGAACTGAACCTCGGTCTGGAACATGCTGGCGCAAGTTCCGATAGCCCAGGCAACGATGGGCTTGGTGATGGTGCCGTTCTTAATGGCCTCAATCACACGGTACTCCTCAACACCACCGACCTCACCGAGGAGGACGAGGATCTTGCACTCGGGCTCGGCCTGGTAGCGGAGCAAGTGGTCGATGAAAGTGGTACCGGGGTAACGGTCACCACCAATGGCAACACCCTCGTACACACCGTCGGTGTTCTGGGAGATGATGTTGTTCAATTCGTTGGACATACCACCAGACTTGGAGACGTAACCGACGGAACCCTTGCGGTAGAGCTTGGAGGCAACGATGTTGTCCATCATACCACCGGTGTTACCGATCTTGTAGGAACCGGGCTTGATACCACCAACGGTAGCGGGACCAATGATGGTGATACCCTTCTCCTTGGCGGTGACCATGATCTCACGGGCACGACGCTCGGGGACACCTTCAGCGATGATGGCAATGGAGCGAATCTGGGGGTTCTCCATCAGCTCCATGGTGGAGGAGTAGACGGAGCGGGAAGAGGCGAAGTTGACAACGGTGTCGACATCGGGGTGCTTGGCCATGGCCTTCGCAACGTCCTGGTAGACGGGGAGGAGTGTCTCGCTGGTACCCCAGTACATCTTGCTGACGAACTGGCCACCGAAAGTGTAAATGATACCAGCCACTGAGGGGGTAGTACGCTTGCAAATGAAGTCAAAGTCGAGCATGCCCTGCACGGCTCGGGGTTGCATGCCGCTGGTTCTTGTTAGCTCGCTGTCGCCACGAGGGTTCTCCGGTTCAAACTCACTATACGAAGCATCGTGTCTTGTTGTGGAAGAGGCTGTGTTGGAGGGGAGAGAGGACCCGGCTAGGGGGAGCAAAGCGAGTGATGTTGTCGTTAGCAGACTGCTGGCCGTTGCCGGCGGGGAGAGTAGAGGGCATGATGAATCTGAGGAAGTATTAGTATTGGGGAAAGAAATTGGAAGGCGAGATCACTCCAGACTTACATAGTTAAACAAGCCGCTCAATGCGAGATAATTGAGAAGAGAGGAAAGGAGAAAGGGGGAAATTGAGGAGAAGAAAGCAGCTGTTGAGAAAAATCCGCGGGGTGAGTGTATTTCGGAGTACTCGCAGATACACCGTACAGCTCCTACCAGACCGCCGAGTTCCCCACCGGGTTTCAATACACTCAACACTCAGTCCCCAAAGTACTGGGTACCGCCAATACTGCAGGCCCCACCGATCTGTGCAAAGTACCTGTACGGGTACGGAGGCGGACGACTCCGTTGTATTGTTTATGGAGGGGCACTGCTATATTCTTCTATGTTGTATGATGCTCTACTATGAACTTTGCTAGTTAGTTATAGTATGTGCAAGAGTAGTAGAATTCACCAATTCGTCTTGTCCCCCGTACTCCATACGCTTTATTCAACTATGATTCTATAATGGTTTCAATGTGACCTATATCTCCAAGCAGCGGTCTATCACCCAACAATTTTTTCAGCGGTATCGGCCAAAAGTACATGGATTCGGAGCAAATAAAGAGTGCCACTGGAAGTACCTCCACCGGTGGAGCAGAGCTGTGCCCCGTTTTCCCAACGAAGGCGATACCCCCACCGCGGATCCGTCTCTCTGGTCTGTTCTCAACATACACACAGTGGGACCTGCCGAATTGTACGCTGTAAGTTCCAGCACAACTTTTTTTGGTATTGTACGCTGTACACTCCAGTATTCCCCCCCCGACTTTTCCATCTTTCTCTTTAGCTTCTTCAATTCTCTCTCTCTCTCCTTTTCATCTCTCCCTCCAAAAAACCACAATCCACACATCATGTCCGCCAAATCTATCTCCGAGGCCGACGGCAAGGCTATCATCAACTACCACCTCACTCGCGCCCCGGTGATCAAGCCCAGCCCTCTCCCCGCCTCTACAACACACAACGCCCCTCCCCGCCTCGCCTCTCTCTACTTCCCCGATGACAAGACCGTCAAGGATGTCCTTGACCAGGCTGAGGTCTCCTACCCTTGGCTCTTGGTCCCCGGCTCCAAGTTTGTTGCGAAGCCCGATCAATTGATCAAGCGCCGCGGTAAGAGCGGTCTGCTCGCTCTCAACAAGACTTGGGCTGAGGCTCGCGAATGGATTGAGTCCCGTGCCACCAAGGATGTCCAGGTTGAGACCGTCACAGGCGTGCTGCGCACTTTCCTCGTGGAGCCCTTTGTGCCCCACGATGCTTCCACTGAGGCCTACATTTGCATTAACTCCGTTCGCGAGGTAAGCTTACCCCAGAATTTTCCCTTTGCCCTTACCTTTCAATGAAAAAGATCACGAGCTAATAGTTCAATTTCAGGGTGACTGGATCCTCTTCTACCACGAGGGTGGTGTCGATGTCGGTGATGTTGATGCCAAGGCTGAGAAGCTGTTGATTCCCGTCAACCTTAAGCAATACCCCTCCAACGAGGAGATTGCTGCCGGTCTGCTGAGCAAGGTCCCCAAGGGTGTCCACAACGTCCTGGTTGACTTCATCACCCGTCTCTACGCCGTTTACGTCGACTGCCAGTTCACCTACCTCGAGATCAACCCCCTGGTTGTCATTCCCAACGCCGATGCCACCTCTGCCGATGTCCACTTCCTGGATCTCGCTGCCAAGATTGACCAGACCGCCGAGTTCGAGTGCGGTACCAAGTGGGCTATCGCCCGTAGCCCCGCTGCTCTCGGCTCCTCCGTCGTCGCTACCACCGACGGCAAGGTCAGCATTGACGCCGGTCCCCCTCTGGAGTTCCCCGCTCCCTTCGGTCGTGAGATGACCAAGGAGGAGAAGTTCATCTCCGACATGGACGCCAAGACCGGTGCTTCCCTCAAGCTTACCGTCCTCAACTCCAAGGGCCGCGTCTGGACCCTCGTTGCTGGTGGTGGTGCCTCCGTCGTCTACGCCGATGCCATCGCTTCCGCTGGTTTCGTGAGCGAGCTTGCCAACTACGGAGAATACTCCGGTGCCCCCAGTGAGGCCCAGTCCTTCCAATACGCTCGCACCGTTCTGGACCTTATGCTCCGTGCCCCCATGCACCCCGAGGGCAAGGTTCTCTTCATTGGTGGTGGTATTGCCAACTTCACCAACGTTGCCAGCACCTTCAAGGGTCTGATCCGCGCCATTCGCGAGGTCGCACCCGTGCTCGTTGAGCACAAGGTTCAGATCTGGGTCCGTCGTGCTGGTCCCAACTACCAGGAGGGTCTCAAGAACATCAAGTCCGTTGGTGTCGAGCTCGGCCTGGACATGCACGTCTACGGCCCCGAGATGCACGTTTCCGGTATCGTTCCTCTCGCCCTCCAGGGCAAGAAGTCCGATGTCAAGGAATTCGGCGCATAAACGGGTTAAACCCTATGTTTGATGTTTGTTTCTTCTTTGCAGCGTGTGTCCGTTGCATCGGTTTGTGGTATAATGCATGGCATGACATGACTTTGTTTGTTTGTTTTTTGCGGGATTCCGGGGGTCCGCGGTCACCCCGGCGTCTGTCCTGTTTTGCTGAGGCTATGGCGTTACTTCCCGCCCGGACGAAAAGACCCGGTCCTTCTGGCGCCGACGTGCTCTCCGTTGATTAGATTTTCATTTCCTTATGTTCACTACCGGGGGATTTAGATCGTGTGATGTCCCGTCGGATAATATCAATGATACGAGGCATTTATTGTCCCAATCTCTCCACGCAAGTAGATGTATTACTCCGTACTCGACAAATATGATACTTTGTAGAAGAACCTTCCAAAGTTGTGACCACATGCTCAATGGCAGAAAACATAATGGCCGTGAAAAATACCATCGAAAGTTACACGTGTATCGCATAACGGTAATTTTGGGAATAAGCTCAAAATCTAGGATCCAGGATCCAGGAACCCGAACAAGCTCCCGGACTCCACACAAGCTTCACCCCGGATTGACAGGGGCCTCCAGATCTAACTCTAGATCAAGGACATATAGAGTAGGGACCGTGCTGGGGCCTGCAATACCGAGGGGCTGACGAGCTTCCGTTGCTCCGAGATTAGGGCACGATAAGCACCGGACGAACGGGGGACCATGAGAGCTGAGTATAAATAGCGAGCGAGGTACGTACTCTATGACCTATCCTGATTAGGCTAGATGTTTAGCCTAGAGGCATACACTGAAGGGTCTATGTCTATGTCACACACTGTCGTGCATACTTACTATGGGAGTTTACTCCGTACAATATGTTTCAATTGAAACATTCCCCTACTCGACGATTCTCAGCTGTCTTGTCTTGCAAGTGATCTCAGTCACTCCTGGGAAGACTGAGGGTATGAGCCGATAGACTTCAGGAATGAACAACATGGATTTCAATTCTGTGCTTCAAATGACCCTCTTGCCGTTCGTTCCGTCTTTAACATTCCTTTCAAGGTTATCCTTCCATCAGACGGCCTCGACAGGTATCTGGTCATATTTTTCGACATATCTGGAAATCTTAATATTCACATACCTGGTATGGCGCTCACTTAAGCCCAGTTGCAGGATGTGAGTACTTCTTTACAGCGCCAAGGGCTTGTCTCGCCCGATACTCTTTCTGATCCCATACTGAGGGTGGGGTAGATCGATATGCGGGGGACTGACTAGCATTCCGGTTCTTTTTCTCTCCCTCAAATTGGTGCAATCGACCTACCATGCAGACAGCTTCTATCGAATTAACATCGTACAAGCCTGAAGGACAGAAAGGCAACTGATGCGAGAAGGCCCACGGAAACAACCTTGTGCTTGAAACATGACAGCTTCCCATATGTTTGGAAGCATCATCAGCGATCGATATCGATACTTCCACAGCCCACCATATTCAGGGTGCATGTAAGGTGAGGGTCTCATAGTAGAACCCGGCTCCCAATTTCTGGCTCTATCTGGGTACTCTCGGATACACCACCGAGAGTGGAAGAAAAGCGGACGCAAGGAGCAGCGGGAAATCGCATCCATGGATGCCAGGGTCTATCCCAGACTTCACGGTGACCGAAAAGGCGGATTCTGTTCTCCAAAATGCGTGAATCTTGCTGGTGGAATTGGCCATGTCTCCCACGTTCTCCGTGAGGATCACTTCCAAAGTTGTCATGGTTTGTGTCACTAACTGTGTGCTCTTATTTCGGATAGTCGTGTGAAACAGTCCTGGAGAATATTATGTATACTATATACTCTTCTCTTTGAATCCAATTATGATCACAGGAAACCGCAACACCACCCAGCGATTGGAATCATGTTTAACAAACCAACAATGATGACCTGTCAGTAAATATGCTAATTTATAAGCTAATAAATAGAACATCAACACCCAAACCGCTGCAGAAGGGCATCTCCGGGAGGAAACTCGGTTGGGGCTGTTGGTCCTTGGGGGGCCTGGGGGAGGCGAGTACGATGTTGAGGGGGATTGAGCGCATTAGCTATAGATACACTGGTTAGTTGTATATGGAAGGTATGGGATTGGCACATACTGCTTTGAACATCCCAACTAGGCCTTTTGGAAGGTGGGGGCATATTGTTTTCACAGTATGGTTTTGACCTTGCCCCTTTGGAACTACCAGTGCCACTTCGTTGGTGCCGATGGAGCTGCTCGACTCCATCTTTGTTGACAGGAAAGGGTGGAGTACGTGGAAATTTGGAGGTCGAAGCTGGACCTTGGGGTGAATGTGAAGCTAATGGGATCGAGGTTGGGGCATTCAGGGTGGATAGAGTCTGGGATACAGTATCTGATGCTGCGGTTTGCATTCGGGACCGCATTGCTCGTGACTTGAGCAGATTGTAGAGGTTGGTCATTTGGGACAGTTTGTTAGATTTGTCGCGACACATGTCATTCAACTCCTGGTTTTTCTTTTGAAGCTCCTCTTGGGCAGTTTGCATATCTAGTTTTGGAACGTGTGAGAATCCGAAGCAAGAAACAAAAGGAAGCCCCATACCAGAGATCTTGTTCTGCATGGCCGTCATTTCCGAGTTCGCATTGTGGATGACCTTGTCCATTTGCGTGTTGAGATTGGAGTACTTTTCCGTAAGCGACTTTGCTCGGTACTCTTGATAGAATCTGATGGAGCATCAGCTACCAAATCTCGAGACTGGACGTAAGATTGGGTTGAGACCTACATCTCCTGCGTGCTCTGATACGCCCAGAACCCCAAAGCACGGCCAGCACATTCCATGATGGTGTTTGGATCCAACCCACTCAACACACTCGTTTTGTAATCTTCCGTCGGATTCAAGACGGTGGAGACGGCATCATCTGGATTGAAGAGAACCGTTTGACATGCGGGACAGCGCCGACTGCTTGTGGTTGGATGTGAAAGTCCCAAGGCATCTGCGCAGTTATGACAGAAGATATGACTGTGGTTATCAGCAATGCCAGGAAATACAGATGCAGCAGTCTTACGAGCAAGTTGTCACCACAGCTTTCTCTTTCAATTCTGTTCTGCATTTAAGAGAATTGCATTTGAGCGCAAAATCCATGCCGCCGATACAGAGTGCAGAGTGTTGAGAAGATCGAGTTCCCAAGGTCACGAGAAAAAGGCGACTTCCATTTCTCTACGGCCAGCGGAAGGAAGCTTCGATTTGCCGCGTACATCAATTCCAGGTTGATACGGAAAATGACAAATGTGATCCCTGTCTGTCGTAATGATTATATTTTTAGTGGTTTTTGAACGTTCTAGAAAAAGAATGTATTCCCCTGTGCATCTCGTCGCGTTGAAGCCATCTTCTCTTCAAACTCTTTGCCAGGTTCATACTCGTGCCATAGACTGGCGGGGTATATGTGCTTGTTCTTCTCGAACCACCGTCGATCTACTACCTTAGTCTCCGAAAAGTCCTTGTCTGCGCCCTCTAGTTGATTGTCACCAACCGACTGGAGGCCACCAATAGGAGTCTCTGGGGAAGGCTGGTTGGAATAGTCAAAGAGCAGACCCCCAGCACGGGAGAAGCTGGGGACTTTGTTGGCGATGAAATGGTAGAATTCGTAATGCTATGCGTATGTTAGATGGGCTTGGCAGTCGAAGGGGTGGCAATGAGCTTACATGCGGGACAATAATATCACCTTTAACAAGCATCAGGTCATCAACACTGACACGCGCCCACTCCCTCCGAGTGTCCTTCTTGGCCTGAGATGCGTTGCTCCCACCGCGAACACCCATTTCCGCACCGACCTTGCGACACCGATCCAAGAATAACCAGACGTGGTCGCCCTTCTTGACCTTAACTGAACCAGCGGGTATACTGGTCCCATCATAGAACACAAATGGGATCAGGATCTCTGTATTCTTCACAGCTTCCTGCATGGCCAAGAACTCCTTCCGGAGAGTGTCGCGAGCTTGCGCCTCAGCCTCCATTGATGCCTTCGTCAACGCCTTGGGGGGAGGAGGGGCGTTTGGATTTGCTTTCATGCGTCGAGCTGCGCCATCCTCTGCGGGGGTCTTCGAACCAGATCGTGATACGCTCGAATCGCGCGGCGTTGTGGCGGATTCCATCCCGGTGTCGTCCTGGTCATCGCCGAATGAAAGCTTGCTCTTTGCGAATGGCTTCTTTTTCTTCTTTTTAGGAGGAGCATCACTCCCAGGCGGCGTGGACCTAATGCGCTGTGGTCAGCTTTGGCTGAATCAGAACCGGCACTTTACTTACCCGTCAGTCACTTCACCTGTGGAAGGGGTTGCGCTTCTTGAATTACCAGATGCCAGTCGACCAAGCGACTTGTCATGCGCTTCGCGCTCTTTTTGTTCGAGTACCTCGGCGCGGCGCTTGCGAAAGTCGGAAAGATGAACGAGACCAACAGTTTGCTCCTTGAGCATCTCCTCCGCGGAAACGCTTTGGCCGGCGAAAGACCGCGGAGTAGATGTACGGCTGTCCTCCTCTTCTGCCATGGTGTAAAGGACTGAAGCCAATCAATTCGGCAACTGCAGCGAGAAAATGCGAATGTTGAAATCGAAGTCACTGACGTCTTGTCTCACACGTGACCTTGAAGTTCCAGTGCAAGTAAAGCGACTTGCGATGACCTGGAGATGTTACCCCCAATGTATTGCCAATGATCTAGAAGAAAGTCCTACTTTAAGTAAATAATCTTTTTAGGGTTCCAAGTAGCGATCAACTCGGACTGTGGGAGCTAGAACATCATCTCTCAAGCTCTCAATAGAACAGTGCAAACAAGTCAAACTCGGCACGCAGCGCGCAACCTGCGTCGATCTCGATCCTCTTTGACACATCTTTTTGCTAAACTCAACGTTCAATCGAAAGCTAGCCACCATGGACGAAGAAGATGATGATTTCTATGATCCCGTTGATACGGTTCCGACGACCCAATCGCACCATCCACCTCAGAATGCAGCCCAGGACGGTGATCCCATAGACGAGGAGGAGGAGGTTGAAGAAGAAGACGATGTGCGCGGACTCTCTGGGCCTTTACCTAGCTCTGTTCTGATCTAACTATCTTATAGGATGATTTCAATATCATTACAGAAGCTCCCGAAGGCGCACCGCCGCCCGAGCCGTACGTTCTTCCATCGCGCGCGCTCTACACTTATACTGATAGTACCAGCTCTCATCCTCGCCATGCAAGTTTAAGGCAAGAGCCGCCAAGGCCAAGCTCGACCGATCCGGGCTCAGTAGCGATGTCTGCAACCCCGTCCGCGACGCCACGACTCGACAACGCGGCTCCCCAAGTCAGCCACGCAACCACCGAAGCCTCGAATGAAAAGCCCGGCTCTGCTTACCCAGCAATCCACAGTTCGACCATTGACGTCAATGCGAACCCTGTTCACCCCACGACCGGGAAGCCTATCATGTCCACTGACATGGACGCCGACCTCCCTTCTGACGACAAGCCCTGGCGACGACCGGGGACAGATGTCTCGGACTACTTCAACTATGGATTTGACGAATTCACATGGTCAGGATATTGTCTTAAACAACAAGGTGTGCGCCAAGAAGTGGGCAGTCAAAAGAAGCAAATGGACGATATGCAGGCTTTCATGGGCATGGGAATGCCCATGCCCGGTGCACCGTCAGCTGCACCAGCCAGCGCCGCTCCCGCCATGCCAGGCATGCCGGGCATGCCAGACATGAATCCGGATATGATGCAAGGTATGCTGGCATCCATGATGTCGCAGGGCTTGGACCCGTCTGCCATGGACCCCATGGCCTTCATGCAGCACGCACAGTCAATGATGCCCGGCGGGGGCCAGCAAGCGCAAGCTGGCTTTGCCGGCCAATCTCAAAATCAAGGCTTCAACCAAGGTGGCCAGGGCCAAATGGGCTACGGAGGGTATGATCAACGTGGGGGTTATGGTGGTGGTCGAGGCCGCGGACGCAGATGGTAGTTCGATAAGCGTATACTACCGCTTCCACGTGTGACATATACTTTACTGTGGATTCCGCGATGAATTTGATTTTAGGCGTTCTAAATGCATACAATGGGAATGACAATGGCGATTGATGGTTTGCAAATCCAGATGGCAACACTTTTATTACAGTAGAGCTCCAATTGAGCCACAGAAGGTATCATGGATTCAGAAGTTCAGCATGTAACTCCTAGAAGAAAGAAGATCGGAGACAACATAGTGGACTCCGGTAGTCCGTTTGTTTGGCCCTCGGAAAGAAGCTCATGGTCGGTCTTGGCATTCTGGAAATTTCTCCAGTCAGATCTTCTTCCCCCGGTTCCATCTTCTTCCCTTCTCCATCATCCCCAACCTTTGATCCTATCACACCCTTCTTCATTATGGTATGTACTACACTCCAATGAACTTACATTGGTTTTCCCCGAGCTCCCATTCCACTATGCGAGCGTTGTTGTCTTTCAACCCGAGCCCGAGATAGCCGAAACTCTGCGCAATGCGCGACGGTCAACTCAACGAATAAGTTGCACATGATTCAATGTACTAACAAACGGTTATCTAGTCTATCCTCCGCAACATCAAGTCCCTCACCCCCCTCCTGGACCGCGTCCTGGTCCAGCGCATCAAGCCCGAGGCCAAGACCGCCTCCGGTATCTTCCTCCCCGAGGCTGCCGTTAAGGAGCAGAATGAGGCCCAGGTCCTCGCTGTTGGTCCCGGTCTCTTCGACAAGGATGGCAAGCGTCTCCCCATGGGTGTCGCCGCCGGTGACAAGGTCCTCATCCCCCAGGTATGTGACACGTTTTCCCGCTGCTGATCAGTATCAACGAAGGCAATTGCTAATGGATATAGTTCGGTGGTAACTCCGTCAAGGTCGGCGAGGAGGAGTACACTCTCTTCCGCGATCACGAGTATGTTCTTATCCCTCTCTATATTTGAACCACACTAATGACCCAACAGCATCCTGGCCAAGATCAAGGAATAAACAGATCGACCATCTGATTCCATCGATTGGGTTTCGCGCCACCAACCCTCCTAGTCATGTCCTCGACGGGCTCGTTCGCTGAAAAATGCGATTGAACCGATGACATCTGACGTGTATTATATCGACGCAACGCGAGCTCGACCATCCTATTGATCTCAGGAACAAATTAAAGGGGAAAAAAATCACAAAAAATTTCCGAGTCGGGCGGGTGATATCTACTTGGATTTACAATGGGTGTTAATTCTTTGTCCCGATTCGACCATCTTTCCATTTTGCATATGAGTTTTTGAAGCGCTGGATTGGCCCTGGGTCTTGCATCAATTGATGTCTTTGTCCATTGTACTTTTAAGTTAAACAGCGGCTTCCTACCCCGTGTGAACGGGGTTGGTAGTCGATAATTGCAGACTTGATCATCTCCTCTCGACTGTCCATCGACAAGTATCTACATCGTGCCGTCCCATCGTCTTCACATACTCCCAGTGGCTTAGATGCACCCCGGCAATCAACAGGACCTGCCATAATATCAATAATGTTCGAAGTACGGAGTGTAGTTCATACTGTTCAAAAAGATTGAATATTGTTGAGACCATTAGTGTGATACCGGGTTCAGACCGCCAGGTGTAGATGTGCGTTTGTCTCCCTCCCTCCCTCCCCCCAGTCTCAGTCAAGCAGAAACAATAAACTAACTTTATTGCGTTCCGCGCTCTGGACAAATAGTGGAAACAAGTGGAGCCTTGGAAACCTGGCGTGCGGTACATGTGGATGTGTTGATCTCAATAATCAGGTCGTGAGGAATTGGCATCACGACCACAGCATTCAGCCTACTCAAATCTAGTCGAAGACCTGGTGCTAGTACTCAGGATGCTGAAATGTGTGTACTTCATCTGATCCAGGAAAGACCTAAGATCCATAGTGAACAGACTTTGGTTATCTCGTTGCAAAAAGGCCCAAGGGCTTCTTACTCAAGTGATGCATACTTCAATGTACGTTCACATCAGTGGATCCCAAGATGGAGTGTAGTATTCTCGTAAACTAGCTCGAATGTTTGTCCACAAAAATAAGGTGATAAGGGGCATGAGCTGCATCCCGTTTGCACTTGCATAATCTCATTCCTGACATTCGTATTTCACATCTCAATCGTATATTTCATTTCTCGACATCATCATCCGATATTCTGTATTCCCGGGCAGACAAGCTCAGCTGGCCTCAACGTCTTTCCACACACTACGGATGTATTAGGCTCAATTCCTAGAAATGCACCTTGGGCCGTGGAAGTGATCATTTCTCACCCGGTCGACGGGCCTCCGAATTCGATCACTTTGTGCTTGGTTAACTCAAGAGAACCAATATCAAAAGTCAGGTAAGGCCTCACCATTATTTCCAACTCCTCATCGAGATCATCCGATTCAAGGCCGAACTGTTCAAAAAGATTTGCGGGAGGCTGTGCAAGTCAATACATGTGAGTACACTGAGTTAGATGGGCTATCAATACCTGGGAGCTTCCCACACCAGAAGCCGTAAAGGCTTGTCCATGGATGGGGCAGAAATTCGCAGTACCGTGCAATCGATCAGAACGGGGCCGAGTATCGGATTCGATGGATTCGCGCATCTCTCTCGGGGCGTCCATACCAGCGATAAAATCAACGTCGCGCATAAAGGTCTCTGCCGCAAGTACAGTGGAATGACCTGGAGGAAAGCTCAAATGTTGGGTATTGGGATCCGGAGCAAAATTGTAGTGATCGAACACCTCACGCGTCTCTGGGGGTATGGCAGGACCGCCAGGTCCACTTGGGACAGTCACATAGTTGATGGGATTGATTCCAGGCAGCATGGGACTTTGAGCAGACAGTTCAGCATTAGCCACGGTAAGGTCAGGATCGATGCCTGTAGTTTCTCCTTGTGAGTTCGGACCGGGGATGACATTAAGGAATTCAGCAGGAACGGAGACGAGATCAGATTCCGTGAGGTAACTGTCAGAACCTGTGTCAGGAGGATCCTTCCGAGGCGGTAGAGAAAATCTCTCGGAAGCAGGGCGATATGGCTGAAAGCCTGTTTCCAGTGGGGGATTATCATTATCGTCGAAGGTTCGGAGAAGAGGCACAGGAGCCAGATCGGATGTCTTCAGGACAGGGAGAAGGGGCCGCCAGATGTTGCCATTGTAGGGCTCAGGGCGTAAGGCGTTTTGCAAAGCCGCCAAATCTTCGGCCCTGGCAGGCATACGTTGTTCCAGGATACTTTGACAAAAAGCATTCTTAATCTCCTCCATACGCTGCTCTGGGTTTTCAGCTGCGAGGCCAGCGCGAGGTGGAATAGGTTGAGGCTCGCAGGATGCGTCAGCATACTTGATGGGATATTCAAGACTGTAATCTTCAGATAGGCCGTAGAAGCGTGCATATTCCCGCAAAGAGGGTTCGGTTGAGCTCTCCATGCTGAGCAATAGTCCCAAGAATCCTTGGGTTGGAACGACAAAGGATATCGAGATTACCAAAGCCCTTACCCAAGTCGCGGAAACGAGGTGAAAAGAAAAGAAAAAAGTAAACAAAAGAACAACCTCACGTAACAAGAGTAGAACCCTCCCGAGGCAGGTGCTCTGGAACAGAACAAACACCCCGAATTCGGCAAGTGCGAGTCACCGACTACTATCCATAGATGTGAGAACATTGTACACAACTCTACTTTTCAGGGAGAGAGCAAATATCTTGCTGAGATAAAAAAGACAACAGTCGCTCAATTTAATGTGTCGCTAATGGCTATGAAAATAATGAATCCCTCGGATGGCAGGGAACCTCTCAGTCGTTGTAATTAGACTGGCGAGATCCATCCTTGTTGACCGCCGGCAGTCCATACAAGGCATTCAACTCGTCTTCTTGAGATCTTCCGGTATCCTCCAGCACAGGCTTCTCGGCTTGAACAGCCACGCGAATGGCGTGACGACGGTGCGGTGTGAAGCCATAAGAGGCACTGTGGTTGGTGGACCGGTTGTCCCAGAGCGCAACATCATCCGCGCCCCATGAGAAGCGAGCGTGCATTTCCTGTGTGGTGGCAATCACATCGGTCAGATAGCGGATGATGGCGTCGCTTTCCGCGGCCGGAATACCAATGATCTTCCTGACGAAGCCGGGGTTGAAGAAGAGACCGTTCCAGCCCGTGACAGGGTTTGTGCGGATGAGAGGGTGCACCGTGGTAACGGGATCGCGGCGAACGGGACGGCCCAGTGCCCGAGAGTCATTGGCTTGCATGTCTGCTGAGTGGGCTGCTGTCAGGCCCTTCAGATAGGTTTGCATGTGAGAGGAAAGGACGTCATATGCGGCGTATTGGGACGACCACAGGGTGTCGCCACCGCCTCCTCGGGGTGGACCACTGAGAAGCTTGAGGGATGTGTAAGATGGTGGCTGGAGCTCATAGGTCACGTCCGAGTGCCACAAGAAGCTGGGTGTGAAGAGGGCACGATTGTCGGGTGAGTTATCGCCAGTGTAAACGACATGAACATCCTCAAGACCCGCTTTGCGAGGCACTGATGTGGTAGCATGCTAGAGATGGTTAGTATCAATGGTCTCATTGAGTTTCGAAGACCAGTACTAACCTTGTGCAACTTTCCCCAGTATCTTCCCAAGTCCCGCTGGGCATCAACATCGAAGTTTTTCTGAGAACGGAAGAAGACGACACCGCGGTAGGCAATCAACCGGGCAAGGTCATCCTTCTGGGCATCGTCGAGTGTGGAGAGGTCCACGCCCTGGATTTCAGTTCCAATTTTCGGGTTGTGATCAAAGACAGCTGTGGCGTCTCTCAGCAGATTCCGGAATTTGGCGTCTCCTCGCAGGCCCTTGTCATTGTATTCTGTGAGTTCAAGCGGAGCCCAGTGAATGTCTGGGAAACTAGGCAAGAAGTCATTGTGGGCATAGTCGTCGTGTTGAGTGACTGGTGTCCGGCCCGGCTGGTATCCGAACTTGTTGTCGCCACTGGCGGCGAGGTTCTTCTTCAGGATTGGGATGGTAAAGGCCGTTGGCTCGGTGACCACAGGCTCTTCCAATGAGGGTGCCATTGTTCCAAATAAGGTGTGTGGTATAATGCAAGTGAGGTGGACGATGTATGTGTGAAGATGTATGTATACTCGACTGGGATGCCAGACGATCTTCCGTGTTATCAGATGGAAAAACAAGGTTTGAATAGAACCAAGAACGAAAAGGACAGCACGGTTTATATAGATCTCTCCTTGACAATGAGTCAACCCCAGATAACGCCATCGTGGTCTGAACGGATCTCGCATGCCCCGGAGTTCACGGGGATTGCGCCATTTCAGAGTTCAATCACCTCAGGCGAGTAACAACGGGGCTCCCAGGGCCACAAAAACGGGGCTCCTCTGGACATGAAACCCAATTGGGACCCATAGATCTTCTTCTCCCCCAGAATTCTCTAGAAGAAGGGGTTGATCACGTCATTTGGTCGGAGGCAAGATTAGCAATCATAAAGCTCCCGTCTTTCATGGAGGCTATACTCGTAGATGAATACACCGCTAGTTTGAACTATGGTCTGACTTCAGGATCTGCGAGATACGTGTCAAAGAGATCTAGATGGTACAAAGTACGTGATCTCAGCAGTGTCGATGTACGAGTAGTACACGAAGCCAAGTGGAGGTCAAGATTAGGGATGGGCGCTAAGCAACAACGATCACGCAAGAGTGGCGGGTTCTTGCGTCCCCTTCTTACTCAGCCGGATCCACTTGGAATCCTGGAACCCTAAGTCCTTCATGCTACGAGTACATACTGTGCAATGTTGGAATGTACTCCAGATGCCCTACTCGTGCTTTGTGCTGCAATGTCACTCCGTACTCAGGCATGATCTTCCTCAATTCCTTTGTATAATCTTATCAATCAGCGGGAGATTGCCAGATCCACCTGAACTTACTCGTACCATCTACTCCGGAGTCCGTACAGGGTATATACTACGGTAGCCTGGACATTCGACGCTAAAAAAAAATCATCATGTTTCCCATACGCCTTAGGCGTTTTTATATTACAGGCTAGATAGCTGGGGGAACCTATCCAAGGTGAAACCGCGCATCCCCTGACTGCTGCCCCGAGATATCCTGCACCTGTTCGGAAACAGTGCTCAATCGGGTAGCAACACCCATGATGCCCGCCTCGACATCTGCAAGGACAGCGGCAAGTTCATTTACATTGGACTTGGGGGCTGCACCGGCGCCGTCACGGGACTTGGAGCTAACAAAGTCGCTGATCTGGCGGTTTAGAGTCGCTTCCACCCCGTGCAAGTGATCTTCAATCTCCTTCAGATTGCCGGTGTATTTACCTAGCACCCCCTTCATCTCCTTGGAGCGGTGTGAGAAGTAATCGATCAAGTTGACTGGGACGCCGTTGACGGACGTAGCGGATGCATCCCCCTCAACGCCATCGGGAAGGGCAAGCGTGTTCTTGCGGCTAGAGCGCATAGACCGCTCAGGGATATTTTGGTCCTGCACAGACCACCAACCGCCGCCATTGGACTGGTATTGCAGGGGTAGTTTCAGGGTATCAATGGCGCGGAAGGCCACCTCGGCCTCGGCCGCGTCTCGTGTGACGAGGCTGCGCAGCCCGTCGATGTCACTGGCGTCGTTCTCCAAGGCATGCTGCATTGTCTCCAATTTCCCCTGCACGTAGTCCACATCATTGGGGATTGATGCGCCTTGCTTTTCGATAGTGGGAAGTAAATCGCCAACCTCGTGGCACATCTTCATTTGGTTTAGAATGTGGTTGTCGATGGCCTCAATTTGATTGCGAATTTCGTCGGCACAGCTCTCGTACTTGGTGGTCGGTAAAATGTTGCTGACATCAACTTTGACGCCAGGGATGACTGTGTTAGTGGCGGTACTCTGCTGTAGTGGTTGCTGTGTTCCTTGCGTGTTGGGCTGGCCAAAGAGAGAGAGGGTGGGCTTCGCAGGCTGCTGCTGCTGCTGGGTGTTTTGATTGGCGCCACTGTGAGATGTTAGGAATTTGGGAAATGCGATGAATCAGATAAGATCATAGTCACTTACAACAATCCTGTACCAGTTGTCGAAGAGCCGAGTGTGGATCCACCGAGACTGAACGCCGACTGAGGCTGGGTTTGGGCTGCGCCGCCACCGAAAAGGCCTCCCGTTGTACCTTGAGTGGTGCTGGTGCCAGCGCCAGCGGTTGTGCCACCGAACAGATTGGATGTTGAAGCTTGTGTTGTTGCAGATCCTGCACTTGGGAAAAGGCTACCGCCGCTGGGCGCCGAAGTTTGTGTAGCTCCAAACATGTTGGATCCGGTTGATGGGGTCTGAGTGGCTCCTGCTGCAGGCGCGCCGAACAAGCTCCCTGCTGGTTTTGGAGCAGAAGCTGTGTTTCCGAACATACCGCCAGTCGTACCTGTTGCTCCGGGAGTAGATGTGGATGTGGATGTGTTGTTGCCGCTGCGGTGAAATCGTGGTTAGCTTTTCTGCCCTTCGTGTAATGTTGGTGTGGCCCAGTTCAGTGATCAAGCCACCCTCGGTGGCTGTGGACCAGTGATTGGAATGTCGATCAATTGGATAGAATCATAGCAAGGGGAATTGACGACCGGGTCTGATAGGCCCAGCCGCATGGCCAAGATCAGAGGCACTCAAATATGGGAACTCACAACAGAGAATTAGAGGTAGTATTGAGGGCAAGTGCACTAGATGCAGAAGTCTTGGGAGCAAACATCTTGGATGTTGACAGGCTTTTTGCTGTCACAACAATGGGAAGCTGCGATCGCAGCATCAAAATGCGGAATGCGCGGCATCAATGTTCTTCCGCTCCGACAAATATCAATTGCCTTTGCCCGCCAAGGTCCACTTTATTGATCTATTCCAAGTTGTTATATGTATTTGCTTGCATTTATTGAGTCCACCTTACAATCTGGGCAGCCAAAATATTATCTTGCCAGGGGTAGACGTAGTTGGCGCGTGTGTCGGACGTGGTAGATGCTTGACTCAACTCCATGAGCTCCATCGAGCGTGACCCACCCCAGGATCTTAGTGCAGACCACTTATCAAGGCCGAGGTGGTAAACAAAAGAGGAAGATACAGGCAATATGGCCATCAATGATGCCGGCCAGCTGATGCCAGTATGCGTTGCATCGACAAGACAGCGCAACGATGGAGCAACTTCGCTGGAAGAACCAGCCCCGGCATCTTCAGTTGCCTCGTCGATATCATCGCTCGTCGAATCTACAGTGGCCTCAGATGAAAAATCTAATGGCGGTGACACTGATTCGAACTGGTTCAAAGGCGCGGAATGGTAAGTCTTTCATGACAATCACCAAGACGTTGGGCGACATTGACAATTCACATATAGGTCCCCGGATGGAACAACGTTGCTAACAGACTCAGCTGATCACTCTATCCGAACATGGATCTTGTAAGTCTGCCAAACTATTCCAAAAAAAACTCCAATTCTGGCTGACCCAGAAGACCACCGGATCTGCTGGAGAAGCAATCTGTTCATCAATTATCGCCATATTCTACTCTGCCTTCAGCGGAACCGACATATGCTATGGCGATCTATCCGTTCTTCAATCTCCAGGACCCTTCCACGACACTGTTCCTCTCTTCTGTCCGTGATCATCCAATCCGACTTTCGTCGGCTCTAGCTCCCACTCCAATGGGCAGCTACTCTCTTGTCAACCCGATGACCGAAGCATTCATCTCTCCGCATTCAATGGTTTACCCTTCAACCCTAGGTGGTACGCATTTCCTCACTGGCTCCGACAGCCTCATATGTCTTTTTGATGTATCGAGGCCCGGAACGCAAGGCCCCGTCTCTTCTATGCCAACCATACCCAGCAAGCGCAAACAAATTGTGGGCGGTGGGGTTGGCATGAAGGGTATTGTATCAGCTTTGGCTGTGAGTCCTAGCGGAGACGGCATCCTTGCTGCTGGCACTTTCACCAGGCATGTTGGCCTTTACAACTCGAATGGATCTGGCGAATCCCTTGGTACATTCAGTATTGCCAAAACCGAGGCGAATCGTGATATCGGTGGCCGTGGTATCACGCAGCTTGTCTGGAGTCCCTGCGGCAGGTACCTATATGTTGCCGAGCGGAAAAGCGACGGTGTGTTAGTATACGACGTTCGCGTTACAGGCCAAATGCTTGGACACTTGCGTGGGCGCAAGGCGCTCACGAACCAGCGAATGAAGATTGACGTTGTGCCTTCTGGTCCGGATGGGTCTCATGAGGTTTGGGCCGGTGGTACAGATGGATTCATGCGAGTTTGGAGAAGCCCAGAGTACTCTGCAGGTGGACAAGATCCAGATGCAGAATTCAAGGTGCATGGTGGTGAGTGTCCTCTTGGTCGGTTTGAATGCGCAATGCTGACCCAAAAAGATGCTGTTACAAGCGCAATGTTCCATCCTCTGGCAAACGTTGTAGCCACTAGCTCTGGGCAGCGACATTATTATTTTGAAGATAATTCCGATGAAAGCGACGCTGATGTGGCCCAGGAAAGCCGAGACATTGACAATAGCCTCAAGGTTTGGTCAATGCCGTTCTTGCAATCGGAGGCTGAGGTCGACACTGATCCAGCGAATCCTTGCTGAGGTATGATCTTTTAATGATATCGAGCGTGTCGGAGAACAGAACAGCTGTGCTGTTGAAAAATACCCTAGGAATATCCATGCTCCCAAGATCCAACCCTGGAAAGTCATCCACATTTCGTTTGTACGCACGTAAACAAATCTTCGAGTTATGCAGTGACACCATCCGTTTGGCTGTGAATCGTAAACTGTATATATCAGACGCACTTGTCTAAATGTTTGAATATCTGCAAGACGCAAAACAGAACCCCGCGCTCAAGTGTGGGGATTATTTACATGAGACTCGGCGAAGTTTTAAGGGATGCGAATGCCATACTTCTCGTAAGGGAAGTTTTCCAATGAGGAATAAAGTTGGCCGAAACCATCCCCAATCTTGCCGGGCTGCCCGGCACCCTTCACACGCCACGCCTGGAGTTCCTCGGCCTCCTTCTCGGCATTGGTCTTCTCGTCTTCCTTGTGCGAGCCCGTGGCTCCCGCAAGGACCTCTCCCTCTCGACCCTTGAAGGCATCCAGGAGACCATCCTGTGGGACCCATGCGACCTGCATACCAGCACGACGACCTGCCTCTACTCCAGGCACTGCATCTTCGAAGACAAGACATTCTTCGGGCTTGATCTCGGTCTTTCCCTGAAGGCGCAGCTCAACGTTGATGGTCTCTAGTGCAAGCAAATAGATGTCGGGCAGAGGCTTGCCTCGACCCTTTCCGATCCGGGGGTCGTCACCAAGGACCTTATTGACTTCGGGGAAAACAGACATAAGTTCGGTGAGGTGGTCGGTCTTCAATTTGTAATTGGTGTGGTGCGACGATGTGGCCAGTGCAATATAGACAGGGTCGTTGGTTGACGCCGTGGACTTGAGGTTGGAGAGCAAGGTTCGTACACCAGGGAGCGGCTGCGAGCGCGGGAAATACTTCTGTTGCAGGGCGAATCGCTGTTGGTTCAACTCCTCATCGCCGATAGGAAGCTGGGCAAAGTCGTGGAAGATCTTGCCGGCCTAGATATGGCGTGAGAAAAAGCAACAATAGCGGGACCGACTCAGCATGCAACTGACCTCTGGCTGAGGGCGACCCTGCATCTGTGCTTTAATTGACCACGGGAGCAGAGGCCTGTCATACTTCTGGAGGATTTCATTGGTGATCACAGTGTACAGATCCTCTGAGTCAATCAACAAACCGTCCATGTCAAAGAGACATGCTCGGATTCGGGGAAGCCTGTTAAAATGTCAATTGGGGACTTTTTTAAGCCAAATAGCCATCTTGCTCACTCATTGCTGGAAGCCATGACTGTGTCCTCTTGTATGTCTACACAGAAATAGTCTGGAGAGGATGTTTGACAGCGGTTCGATAAGACGCGGGGAATTATCCTTATCGGTCCCGTGATTGGCCCTTGGCAACATTTGGCGATCTTGCGTCGACGTACACCTCTCCACAGAATGACGAACCCCCAGAACGCGCCGAAGCGCGACAAGAACGACGATAATTCAGACGATAGTGGCGACGAAGATGTCTTCCACGATGCACACTTCCCGGCGGAGGAAGAAGCCGTGAGATGATACAGATCTCCAATTACCCGCAGTTTTGTTGCTAATGTCCATCTTCGCAGCAACTCCTGAAAGAATCCCAGGAAATCAAGTCTGAAGCAAACCAATTGTTTCTTGCTGCGAGCTACGACCAAGCCATTTCCTGCTACGACCGAGCCCTTGCCTCATGCCCAAACTACCTTGACTACGACGTCGCTGTTCTCCACAGTAACGTTGCCGCCTGTCATTTGAAGCTAGAGGCCTGGAAGTCAGCTGTAGACTCGGCAACTGTCTCCATCGAACGCCTGGAGAAGATAATTCCTTCTACCCCGCTGAATAAGAGCAATGATACGAAGGGAAGCGAGGCAACAAAACAAGATAAAAAAGATAGCGACGACGTGGTAGAGATCTCCGGAGATGATGAAGATGCTGAATTGGAGCACCTGAAGCGTTTGGAGGAGCAGGATGAACTCAGAAACAAGGTCTTGCGACTGCGAGCCAAGGTTCTCATGAGACGGGCGAAGGCGAAGGTACAAATTGGGGGCTGGGGTAGCTTGCAAGGAGCCGCAGAAGATTATCAGGGTCTGGTTGCAATTGAAACAGTCTCGGCTGATGACAAACGCATTGCCCAGCGAGAACTGCGGGAGCTCCCCGCACGTATTAGCGAAGCACGGGAAAAGGAGATGGGAGATATGATGGGGAAGTTGAAGGATGTGAGTATCTCGCCATGCTACCTATTGGATCTTGTTGGTGGAACTAACATGATACAGCTCGGCAACGGGATCTTGAGCCCATTTGGCCTTTCAACAGACAATTTCAAGTTCGTCCAAGACCCGAAGACTGGGGGTTACAACATGAACTTCCAGTCCTGACGTGACCTATTCCTACCGTGCTTCTCGTAAATTTGATGCATGGGAGCCACTTGGGTCGTTCCTTGACACTATCAATTGCATTCCTGGCAGCAAGCCCGAAGGCGTCACGACTTTGCGCATTATGCATCCTATCACCTCATCCATTTTGTGTCCATATGACACTTCACACAAATACCTGCTACTCCCTCACGACTCGGCAGAAATCTTTCATCGCACAAACCTCGGGCCCAATTCAATACGATACCACGTCACAGTACTTCTCTCTTCTAGCAAGCTTGTTTAATAAAGATCGCGAGTTCACTCAATTGTGCACAGGAATTGGTCGATCGACATCCTTTATCCAACCTTCACCGATCACATACGTGGAATACGTCAGGCGTGACCACGAATAGAGAGAACAACATGAACTCTTCATTCAACTATGGTTCACACTTCTCAGTCCGATTTCAGTCAGTGGTATTTGCTGTCGGTTTCAAGTTTGGCGTGCATTGGATGAAGCTCGCTAGTTTTACGCCCGTGAGCTGGCCGTAGACATGAAGTCTTCGCTCAGTCCGCCCCCTAAATCAATTCTACTACTTCGGAGTAAGGCGTAGTTCTAGTGCAACCAGAAAGCCAATGATCAATTGGCGTTGCTTGAGTGCTCGTGGGGGCCACGAACTAGCTCGCTTTGCTCCGACACTAGCGGGCATACTACATACGCTAAGCGAACCTGTATAAAATGGAAGAAAACCCTTGAATTTTGGCTATCCCAAGGATGTCTCAAATACTGTTGACAACATTCAGCATGTGTGTCGCTCCCCAAAGCATATTGACTGTCCTTCTAATAACATCAGAATCGTGACCTTTTTAGTCCTTGCATCCTTTATTCCTCAAATACGCCATGCGTGGCTAAGAAAAGAGGGTGGAAGGGTTTCCCTGAACTATCTACAATTGAACCTGATTTGCTCCACGGAAAACCTTTTCTTGGCTTTCTTTTTCACAGTAAATGCTGACGAGGATGTGCCTATCTGGGCCCACGCTCCTCGAATTGCCCTTGACTGGGTCAACCTAGCACAGTTCGTTGGAATATGGATTCTTTTCAATTTTCTGTGAGTTGGAACCCCAAATGACCGTGCATGACACTCCAAGCCAGTTCTTACCCGATTCCATAGGTTTGTTCTTGCAGTCTATTACAGCTCTATCAGCCGTGCCCACAAGGCCAAAAGGATAGCGCTTTACGTCTTGTTTCTCATCATCTCCCTGGTCCCCTTGATGATCGATGCAACAACAGACTTATTTTGTCCTTCAGGGAAGGTTGACTGCTCCGTTACTAGCCGGGATCCGATCGAATTTTTCATGGCACTCCACGCAAATATTCTTCAGCCGGTGACCCACGCGCTCATGGTTCTATCCTTCTATGAACAAGCTCGACAACGAACCCTTGATCTGAGTGTTACAGGTCTCAAATTACAAAGTTCCATCTTCTTCGTCTCGGCCATGTTGTGGACGTTCCGTTTACATATCCCGTGGGAGTTGATCGGCACGGAGACACCGCTGACCCCTTTTTACATCAAGTGTATTATTTGGTTGCAATATGTCAAGTTTTCAGCTGGCGCGGATATAATATTTGCAATTGGACAATGCACATTGCTGCGGTTGATATTGCGGAATTCGTGTTTCGAAGCTACTCACACAGCGACAGAGAGGCAGCGTCTGTTGGGACCCCAGCAGGAGAGCATTGAGAATGTCTAGGACTAATGGAATGAGTAACAGCCATTCAAATAGTACCTATGAGTTCATTGGAGTTGGCTTATAGCCTTCTACCTAAGTATTAATGGAAGCTACCCTGTGGGTCTGTTTGACAAAATGAAGCCCTCTCCATGATCAGCTGCTATTTCCACTTTGAAAAAATGAAACGAATAATCATACTTAAGTAGTGGGAAACATCTAGCATCGTGACACAAAGGTGGAACAACACGGGAAATTCAGTTCCAGGCTACAGACATGGATCACTCGGTCTGACTGGTACCTATGGAGCGCACCGGGAAATCTTACCCTTAAGAACTCTCTCATCGCCAAGCCATTGTACTATGTGATTCGCACCTTGTGAAAATTGCTTAGTAGGTCTCATCTTCATACTTCTGGAGCTGCATGCAAGGAAAATGGTGGACAGGCTGCGAAGTACTAGTCAAGAACTCCGTAGAAAATGTTCTTTGATGCACCAAGGCCTAAGCGCCCGCATGGCGCTACTTTGGCCAGTCACATCGAGCTCATCCATCACACATAAAAAGCTGCTTCGCGACATCTCACTCGGGCAGAACCGACCTCAGGAGCAGATAGCCCCGCCAGCCACACAATGCTTTTTGAGGTCTACACCACCGAATCGATTGGCGCACCGCGGAACCATATCGCCATCTACATCGAGACCGCCCCGAGTGAAGACGCAGGCTGGCTCTACCATGTTACTGGGACAATCCTCAACGGTATGGAATACACACCTAGGGAAACACCAAACCCTGTGCACCTCCCGGAGTATGTACCATCCTCAATGAAGCAAATCGGGACCATTGAGGAAGAAGATCTGGACAAGTTTATTACGGAGGTATGCCTCGTGGTTCCTCCCCCGAGAGCCCAAGTCACGCTTCGAGGCACCCGCTTGTACCCCGACATTCCGCTTTACCGCTGTGGGGATTGGCTGAATGATGTTCAAGAGATGGCTTTTCAGAAAGGGATCTTCAATTCTCTCTGACAGGTGGATCTTTCGATCGCTTCCGCTGCAGTCTGGTCCACTATTCGGTCAATCATACTCCGAGCATCGGTTACATAATTAACTACTCGTACGGGTTCAAAGACATTACAGGCCTGCCAGGAATGCCTGGGGCTTACCGCAATGCACGTTTGCCTACTTCGTATTCTGTATTTCGCAATGGATACGGAGTAACTAGCACGAAGTATGGAGTGCGTGAAAAGACATACCATCGATCGACATTCTTGCTTTACTCAACCTGGATGTTTTTTGTCCAGCTGCCATTTCAAAGGAAAAGGCTATCAATCATCACTTTTCTGTCTCTCCTCCCATTTGTGTTGTTCCCTGATATGTACCATTGTAGCCCTCGACCTTCTCACTCATTTGGTGGAATACCAATTGTGCCAACCGGGCCGAGGGATATACCCTCAATCCTGCAGGATTAACCACCTGAAGCAGAGCTCCGACGACCCCTTCATACCCACTGTCCATCACGCCGGCGTGTATCAGGACACCGGATCTGAACAATGAACTGCGCACGAACACCTGGCCCATAGCGTCCAGGGGAACCGAGACAGTCTCATTGAACTCCACGAGGTACGAGCCGTGACCGAGGTCCAGAAACTCGGAGGGAAAGTGGATTTCCTCGGTTGAGGCGGTCTGTCGGAATTTGTTGTCCAGATCGATGACGCCGGGCGAGGTCCACCTCAGGACCCGCTTCAGGGTGAGGTCGACTCCACAGGGTTGAGCTTGCAGCTTCGGAGCTTTCACATTGCGAATGATGCGTGGGAGCAAGGAGTGACCTGGTATTATCATATTCGGTCGTCGTGCGTACGGAATATTCCGGAACTAGTATACTCCGTGTCCGGAATCTGATTTCAATAATTCAAATCTCCCTGCTCCCTGGCGCTGAACCCGTTTGTGTAAATACTCGTACGAGTAGCTTTATGGAGGGTTGGCTGAAAAGGGGCATTCGAAAATAAAAACTAGTGGAGTCCACTCTCCCGCAGCGATCGCCGATTGGCTCGATCAGTCATCTTGAGAAATCGCATCTCTGCAGATCAGTATTGAATTGGATCTTCATTGTGGAGAATAGTTCCTCGCCAAACATCGAGTTCCACCGCACAGTTCCAAGCCTCGGGAGTGCGCATTCAGTGGATGTTATGCGTGTTGTTCTGCTCTGGGGATCTGATACCAAGTTGTGGCCTATGATGGATCAGGTATATGCCGTGAACCTAGGCAAAAACCGACAGCTCCAGTACTACGGAGTATAAAGATGAATAATCCTGAGCTGAAGCCGAGGCTGAAAGAGGCGCTTTTGTACCATGGGTGGGCCAGATTCAGGAGAGATTAAGTTCGAATTCAATCAGTGCTGGTCCAATGACAGCGGCACGGCACAGAACTATAATGGAGACCTCCCTTGGCCAGGTTTCTGTACCTCGGACACTGTTCCCGCGTAGTGTTCGTCGATCGTATTTTTTTTAATCGTAATTTTTTTTTTGTTTTCTTGTTTCTTATTTAAGTGCCAATTCCTCATTACGCGGAGGGCTTCGCTCGTTCAAATTTTTGTACCTAGACATTTCGCGCTCACAATGACCGTATACCGCTCCTCCTATCCAGATCTCGACATCGAGTCGGTCGATCTGGTGTCCTACCTTTTCTCCAACCCTTTCAACACTCCTCTCGATAGACCATTGTACGTCGACGCTGTCACTGGGAAAACATATACCTTCGGCGATGTCATTCAACGCACCCGCTCGCTTTCAAATGGTCTGCGCCAAAGCATTGGCGTCAAGCCCGATGATGTCGTAGCCTTCTTCAGCCCCAACTCGATCGAATACCCCATCGTCTGTCACGCATTGATCGGATCAAGGGCAATCGCCTCCCCCACCAGTGCGGCGTTGACCGCGCTGGAGTTGAACGCTCAACTCAAGACCAGTGGCGCGCGATTCGTCATCGTCCATTCTTCTTTGCTGCAGACTGCCCAAAAGGCAGTGAAGGGAACCTCTGTCGAAAGAATCGTCATGGTTGACGGTGACTCTTTCGAGGGCAAGCCCACCTGTGAGAAGATGGCCAGCACATTCGCGCCAACTGAGTTCCTGACGGTAAACCCCGCCGAGGCCAACCGCCAGGCAACCTTCATTTGCTTCTCTTCCGGAACCTCTGGCGCCGCCAAGGGTGTCATCACCACACACCAGAATATGACCTCCAACCTGCAACAATGGCGCTCCATCATGCTCGAGTCCGGGAATCCCTCCCAGCGCCCCTCGAGGAGTTCCGCCATTGGCTTCTTGCCCTTCAGCCACATCTACGGTCTGAACCTCTTCATCTGCCAGTGTCTTATTTGGGGCACCACCGTTGTTGTCATGCCCAAGTTTGACCTTGACGCCTACCTCGGCTATATCCAACAATACCGCCCCGACGAGCTGTCCATCGTCCCTCCCATCGCCCTGATGCTGGTCAAGGATCCCCGTGTCAGCAAGTACGATCTCAGTAGCGTCCGCAAAATCATGTCTGCCGCGGCCCCACTCACCATCGAACTGTCGACTGCTCTCGAGGCCAAGTTCAAGGAATTGTGGAACACCGAGGTCTTCTGTACCCAGTGCTGGGGCCTGACAGAGACTTCGCCTCTCGCGACTGCCATTCCCAACGACCAGATCGAGAAGCGCACCACGGGTGTTGGCTGTATCGTGCCGAACATGGAGTTCCGCTTTGTCGATCCTGACTCCATGAAGGATGCCGAGGTCACCTCAAGCGGGTCAACTCAGCCTGCCGAGATCTGGGTGCGCGGACCCAATGTGGTGATGGGCTATTACAACAATGACGAGGCTACCAAGAGTTCCTTCCACATTGACGAGGCTGGTCAGCGGTGGTTCCGCACTGGTGACATTGGAACCATCGATCCCGAGGGATACGTCTCAATCCACGATCGCATCAAGGAGATGATCAAGTACAAGGGACTGCAGGTGATTCCTAGTGAGTTGGAGGGCAAGCTCATTGACCACCCGGACGTGGAGGACGCGGCCGTTGTGGGCAAGTGGGTGGACGAGCGAGCCACTGAGTTGCCAGTTGGATTTTTGGTTCTCAGTCGCCAGGCCAAGGAACGCGATGAGAAGACCGTTATTGCCGGTATCAACTCATGGCTGAACGAGCGCGTTGCTAACCACAAGCGTCTGCGCGGTGGTATCCATCTCTTGGCGCAGATCCCCAAGTCGCCTAGTGGAAAGATTCTGCGTCGGGAGGTCAAGGAACTCCTGAAGAGCAAGACGCCCAAGGCTCGTCTGTGATGTAAAACCTCGAAAATTACCCCTAATAATTTTGTATAGTACAATGTATAGCTCTGCACGTGACCCGGTGTAGTTGAATCTGAAACACTTGGCCCGTTTCAACATCTTGATCCATGTATGGGTGGTGTTGGATAGAGAGTGTGCTTTAACTGAATCCCCCGAAGGAGAATTTTCTCATCTTGTCGACTCATTTACTCCAATAAATATCGGAGATGGAGCGAGATCACATCCTTCAACTCCATCCTTCGGGGCCCGCGGGCCCCCGAAACGGGGATCAATTCACGTCCGTGAGAAGTGGGCGCGACAACACATCCGATACGAAAGTACATAATTCCTGAATTATCCCGGAAATGTCGCCTTTGTTCTTGACTCACTCTGACCGGAACAAGCCTCGACAAGCCTTTTGATGGTGGGACTTGAGTGTCAACTAAAATTTCCCGCATCTCTAGGCTTCAGTTGTCGATCTGACCCACTTCTCTCCTATTCTGAGAATTCAGTTGGTTTTCCCCTTTACAAAACCTCATGTCTAAAAATTGGTGGTCGAATGACAGGCGGCCCAAATTTGTTGAGTTGAGGTCGTCAAGATGGTTCATCATGTTTGCGGTCTCGTTTGCTGCAGGTACAGACGTCTTTCTGTATGGACTGATCGTCCCGGTAACACCAACGGCACTGAAAGATAGAGTGGGACTGTCAGAGGACAGCATACAAGGATGGACTTCTATCCTTCTCGCTCTGTATGCTGCAGCTTTACTGGCAACCGCTCCAGTGGTTGGGTATATCGCGGATCGAGCAGAGTCGCGAAGATGGCCACTTCTGATCGGCCTGGTGGCCCTTGGCGCAGCGACAGCCTTGCTGTGCGTTGGAACCCATATGGCACTCTGGGTTGTTGGACGTATCTTCCAAGGCGCTGCCGCCGCGATAGTTTGGACTGCCGGGCTTGCGTTGATGGTTGACACAGTCGGCCAGGATGGCCTTGGCCAAGCCATCGGGTATGTTTCCATGGCCATCAGCGTGGGAACATTAGGCGGTCCCCTTCTCGGAGGTGTCGTCTACCAGAGTGGTGGATATTACGCCGTTTTTGGTCTTGCCTTCGCCCTCATCGGATTGGACATTGTCTTCCGATTGCTGCTGATTGAGAAACGACATGCCATGAAATGGCTGGTGCCAGAGTTGAGACCTTCAACAGAATACAAATCAGTGGAATCGGAATCGATAGCGACAGCAGTACCCCCGACACCGAGCACTGCATCAGACTCACAAGGACCTTTAAAGCCCCCTCCTTCGCCGGGTGGTTTGACCCGCCTTGTTACCCTGCTGGGCTCCCCCCGCCTCGTCGTCTCTCTGTGGGGATACTTCGTTATCTCACTCGTCCTGGGCTCCTTCGATAGTGTGCTGCCACTCTTTGTCAAGGAGACATTTGGATGGCAGCAAAGCGGTCAAGGACTCATTTTCATTCCGCTCTTGGTGCCTCACATCACAGATCCGCTTACCGGGTGGATGCTCGACAATTTCCCCAAGTCTTGTCGCTATATCACCTCGACTGCTTTTGTTTGCATTGTCCCTGTGTTGGTGCTCCTTCGCATGGTGACGGAAAATTCGATGCAGCAGAAAGTTCTCCTCTGTGCTCTCCTCTCCCTGGCGGGCCTCTGTTTAGCTGTGGCCATGCCACCTCTCATTGCTGAGACCTTCCACGCCGTCAAGGAAAAAGAAGATGAAACCCCCGGTATCTTTGGGCGTGGCGGAGCCATGGCTCTTGCGTTCGGACTTGTGAACATGGGCTTCGCTGCTGGTACCCTCATCGGCCCGTTCTTCGCAGGCTTTATTCGACAGAGCGCAGGGTGGGGAACTATGGGCTGGGCGTTGGCACTGGTCGCTGGCATTTCATCTGTTCCAATCCTGTTGTTCTTGGGCGGGTGGATCTTGAGGCCGGTCGAACCGAGCGAGACTGCCACGGACAATGCTGTACCTTGAGTTGGAAGCTCAAGGTATCTATAATTATCGACATATGTATTTTTAATTCATTCTTTATCTAGACCCTTGATTATATACACCAACTGGGATATACGCCATTTGAAGTACTTCGGTTTTATGCTCTGGTTGCTCGGCAAATCTTCACCTGGGCACCTTTATTCCATTAATACCTAGGTAGAGAGGAATCAAGGTACGGAATACGGTGTAGTACTTAAGTAGATATCACATTCCTCAAATCCATCACATTGAGCCTTACACTCACTTTTCTCAAACTTGGGCATGTTCAGAAGTATACTTAAGTAGCTCCCCACATCCACATCCAAGTCCCCCGCAGCCCCACATTGATAATTGCTGACAGTCGACTGCTTTTTGCGGGTTCGGGAGTTGAGTCGAGCTGTATTAGCCGTGGTACACATCGCTTCTACTTACCTTGACTTTCAATGACCTTCCTTTATCCGATGACAATATTCCATCATGGCTGAGATTCAACACCCAGGCCTCAACGCCACATTCAGGGGCAGGCGTAACCAGTCCACATCCGTTGATCAATTTCTAGGCATCAAATACGCCAGTATTCCTGCTCGGTTCGAGAGAGCCGAGGTGGTCAACGGGTTCGATGGTGCAGTTGTTGATGCTACGAAATATGGGTAAGATGTCTTTGTTCGGCACGAATTCGAATTGGATCTGACGTATGGCATAGTCCGAGATGCCCCCAAGCTAATGTAGATGTTGGCCATCTCCTCCGTATTCCCGAGGATTTCAGGATTGAGCCAGAAGCAGAGGATGAGTTCGAATGTTTGAATCTAGAAGTCACTTGTCCTGCCAACTCATCCGCTACAGACGATTTGCTACCCGTTGTTGTCTGGATCCACGGTGGCTCTCAGATAGTTTCATTCTGCTCTGGGGCCTCGAAGATCTGCGACCCGACCAAGATTGTCGCTGACTCGGTCAAGATGGGAAAGCCGGTCATCTTTGTGTCAATAAATTACCGTCTGAATATCTTCAGCTTCGGAGATGGCAAGGAAAGAAACCTGGCATTGAAAGATCAGCGTCTGGGAATTGAGTGGGTGCGACAGAATATCGTCGGCTTTGGGGGAAATCCTGTGGGTGGTCTCTGAATCTCCAACCTTCTGGCATTACTCTAACCCACAAATAGGATAATATCACACTTTCTGGTGAGAGTGCCGGTGCCATATATACTCATGCACACCTCATCACAGGTCCTCCTGTCAAACGGGCAGTTATGGCGTCTGGATCGCTCTATCTATCCTCGCCACTTCCACTGGAGAAGGGCGATGGCTTGATCAAGGCTCTAGAGTCGAAGGTTCAAGAGCTTGGTCAAGCATCATTGCGGCAATCCTCAGTGCCTGTGATGATCCAAGCACTGGATGAATGCAATGTGAACACAATGTGGATACAGGAAGAACCTGAATTAGAAGGATGGGAAACTCGACCAGAGCAGGTTGATGAAGTTATGATTGGTGACGTCGAGTACGAGGTGGGTTGAAGCTTTTCATTCCAATGATGAGTATTTACTGATATGATGCAGTCGGTGATCTGGCGTAACGGCGTTGAGTCCCTTGATGGAGAAACGATCGCCGCCGCATTTGACAACGAAAAGACTTGGGGGACCCAGCTGCGGAAGATGTATCAGGTCGTGGGCAACCGCCCTACCGCAGCGAAACTGGGCGCCCTGGATCTCGTCAACGATGTTCGCTACACTCTACCCGTTGAGATTATTTCCGACAAGCTGCGAAGTGCCAACAAGCGCGTGTTCCAATATGTGGTTGATCAGCCTAATCCCTGGCAGTCATCTAGCCGTGCGCATCATGCAGTTGATCTCCTCTTCCTCTTTGACGGGGTTGATCTGTCCTTCAACCCTGCAGCCAGTGCTGTTGGGGAGGAGATGCGACAGCGCTGGATTCGGTTCATCAGCGGTGAAGCGCCGTGGTCTTTTGACCGAAGATTTGCCTATGGACCGGTGGGCGAATGCAAGGAGATTGATGATGTGCAATTTGCTACTCGCAGACGTGTAGAACACTGCAAGGTGCTCAGGGAAGCTGGTCCTAGTGCTTACATGCCCATTGTCTTCGCTTTGACCGCGGGGCGCATCAATTTGCTTAATTAAATTCACAATAGTACAGAATTTTACGAGAATTGCACTTGGCAAATAGAAAGATCCCTGGAAATGGTTCAAATTTAGACTTAACATGTAGTACGGACTCTACGGAACTCTCCAAGGATATAGATTCGGCCAGTTGGCGACTCCTAGTACTCGGCAGTTGAAGCCCCATCCCACTCCCGTAGATCACCAACATCCCATCGCCCAAGACTTAGCCTTCTCCACGCATCCGTTACTCAGGCCTGACTCATGTGGGGTTACCTTTGTTATTGAAACTGAGACGCCTGAATTCCCCATTTGCACGAATCAGCTCTTTTGCCTGGGGAAGTCGGCATGTTCAGCCCCCTTCTCTCTGCCGATGTATACGCGAAACGTCCTTGTGTGGGACAAAAGACTGTGATATGAGCCTCGTGCAGATGATGATCTATCGCACGGATATTCCGATATATCCGTCCACGACTGCTGCCCTGCTTGGCTCGGAGAAACGGCTCGAATGATGATGCTGAAGTCTTGGACTGTGCTCTCTAGCGGGATTGACCCCACAAGTTGGCACAGGTATATAGATTCCATCCCCCATTCATCTATCCAAAGCGCGATATTTTGACTTTGCCGTAATACTTTCACTGCTACTGTTACATTATGCCTTCGACCGACTCTTTGTCCGATCCCCAGGAGTACCAGAAAATCTTCCACTGGGCTGAAACTCAGAAGGATGGCACGATCCCCTCTTTCAATACACGACGGAATGATCCTTACGAGGTACGTCGCTTCCCCTTGGAATACAGATCACCGCTAATCTTGCGCAGTACCAAGCCGGCTTTGGCAACGCGTATGTATTTTCAACTCATCGAGCTATTCAACATGCTGATGTAGTCCACTGGGAACAGCTTCGCCTCTGAAGCAATCCCTGGCACCATTCCACAGGGCCAAAATAGCCCTCGCAATGTGAGATTTGGTCTATATGCCGAGCAGATGACTGCTACGGCTTTTGTCGCTCCGCGACACTGCAACAAGAAGGCGTGGCTCTACCGTGCCCGTCCCGCCGTCGCCCACCAAGGCTTTGTATGCACCCCTCTATCGGGTCAATCACCAGCACTAACCTGTTTGGTAGACCGAGCTCCCAGACAACAAGGATACGGAGGCAAATTTCTTGCCTCTAAACCCTCGCATCCACGTTTCTCCCACCCAGCTAGCATGGCATCCGTTTGATATCCCCGAATCGGGAGAAGTCGACTTTGTGTCAGGGTTGAAGACGGTCGCTGGCTCGGGCGATCCAACTCTGCGGGAGGGTCTTGCCACGCATGTCTATGTTGCTAATACTAGCATGAAGAAAAAAGCTTTCGTCAACTCGGACGGCGAGTTCCTCATCGTTCCCCAACAGGGTGCACTCGATATTCAAACCGAGTTTGGACCCATGCTGGTGCAACCAGGTGAGCTTTGTGTCATCCAGCGCGGTATCCGCTTCAGTGTAAATTTGCCGGATGGTCCCTCTCGTGGATACATTCTCGAGGTCTGGGGCACACAGTTCGAACTTCCTGAGCTGGGACCTCTAGGTGCCAATGGCCTTGCCAATGCGCGTGACTTTTTGAGTCCGGTGGCTAGATATGAGATCTCTCAGGAGCCATGGGAAATTATCTACAAGCTTGGTGGCAAGTTCTTTAAAAGCACCCAAAACCATAGCCCATATGATGTAGTCGCATGGCATGGCAACTATGTGAGTCTTTCTTCTTTGCCCGGACGATCTGGAGACTGACCTACGGCAGGTCCCCTATAAATATGACTTAACCAAGTTTGTCAATGTTGGTTCCATCTCTGTGGACCACATTGATCCATCTATTTTCTGTGTGCTTACAGCGAAATCCCGCGATCTCACCGCGCCGCTTGCTGACTTCCTTACGTTCTCCCCTCGCTGGGATGTCGCCTCTCGTATGTTCATCCAAAATCACCAGTCTTTTATCATCGCTAACATTCAACAAAGACACATACCGACCTCCTTACTACCACCGTAATGCCGCCTCCGAGCTTATGGGTTTGATCTACGGTGGCTACGGTGGCCGATCAGATGCCTTCCAGCCTGGCAGTGTTTCATTTGAATGTGGCAGTATGTTTCGTTGCTCATCTCTCACTTGACATAGATCGGCGCTAATCATCTTTCGCAGTGGTCCCACACGGTGTCGCCTATGAAGAGTTCAAACAAGCGACTGAAAACGAACCACCAGTGATGCAAATATCGCAAGCTTCAATCGCCTTCATGTTCGAGTCTTGTCGTCCTTTCACGATTACTGACTATGCGTGGAACAGCGAGAAGAAACATGAACATGAGCCCAAGATGTGGGACAACTTGGTGGATAATTTCTCGAAGCATGCCAAGGAAGTCGAGGAGATTCTGGCCCCTAAGGCAAAGGGGCTTTCTATTTCCTGAGAATTTAGCATAAGAGGTACCTCATGCATATTCTAAAATCGGTTATATCCGTTTGGAGCGATTCGATATCTCCTCCCCGCCAGCGCTGGAAATCACATTCCTTCAATGTTAACCCATAAATTGAGTCTCATCACCAAGAGAAATCAATGACAGCCTTGGATAGACACATAATTGTAACTCTCATCAGCCAGATCGGTGATAGGCCCTAGTGGCTCCAAACGAGTACTGGTTTGATAACTCTTCCATCTTCCAAGCCGGCGAGGGCCTTTGGATAATCCGTTGCCTGTTCTTTTAGGTCAGTAGACTGCCCAAGTTTTAGACAGTGATAGCGCACCTCAAAATACTGCACGAAACGATCTAAGGGGAATTTCCCTTCTCGGTACCACTGGATCATCTGTGGAATAGCCTGGGACCAGCGTTAAAACGATATTCAGCGGGTTGAGTGGCGTTATACACACTTCCTGGGGATCACAATCTCCCTCAATACATCCAAGAATAGCTCTTCCTTTCTATAATCACACTACGCAATTAGTATGATAAACAAATCATGAATCAATCGATCTCACGTTAATGTGTTCCCCAAGATTTATGTTGAGGGTAAAATCCAGCGGAGGTATGCCGATGTAGACCACTTTTCCACGGGCATGGGTCGATTGAATACTCTGCTCGATTATAAAAGGCACTCCAGTGGTGTCTATCGCGATGGATGTCCCCGTGGGAACGATGCTCCGGACTGCGCTGTCTAGCGTAGAAAAGTTTGAATCGCTGGTATCGATGGCGTGTGTCGCACCAATATCTTTGGCCAGCTCAAGACGAGATTTCATACGATCAACTGCAATGATAGTTTTGCATCCAATGATTTTGGCAGTCTGGGAAAGATCAAGTATCAGTCATTGGTTCACCCATTTAAGAGGTACTACGGCTAACCATGAGTGCCCCCATACCGACCGCACCCAAGCCCGAGATCATCACAACATCATTTGGGCTTGCCTGCGTGATGTTTTGAACAGCCCCCATTCCAGTCTGAAAGCCACAGCCTAGAGGAGCAAAGAGTTTCAGCTCACTGGGATCGCGGATAAGAGCTTTGGCATTGACGACGGTAGATTTGTGGACGGCACTGTACTGCGCAAAGCTAGATTGACCAAAGAATTGTGACCAGAGAGGTTTTCTATCATTCTTACTTCTCATTGATCCCTGCTGACCGACATAATTCCTCGACGCAAAAGAATCACAGTATGCGGGGTGGGAAGCCAGGCACTGTACACAGGCAGAGCAGGAGGAGAAGGAGAGAAGAACAGGATCTCCAGCTTCGACTGAGTGTACATTCTTGCCAACCGTCAGGACAATACCGGCGCCTATGAAACAGTTCAGTTGGGAGGTGTGAAATATAGTCGACTCAACAGAGCAGCAGTACCTTCATGTCCAACTACCTTGGGATATTCAATACCGAGCGTACCACTAGGCACAGCTGATAGGACAATGTCTGTATGGCATATCCCTGAGGCGTGGATCTGCACCAGCACCTCGTCATCGCCAGGTGGACGTACCTCGACTTGTTCGAGTGACCAGTTCAAGGCCAGAGGCTGGTCTGGCTCCCGAGAGACTATCGCTGTTACAGCATCCATGACGCGAGGTCAACCAAAGTAGCTAGATGTTCCAAAGTTGATGTTGATGTAGATGCATGGACTGCCGATCTCTGTGGGTTCTATTGCCCCGCTCATCAATAACCGAGGAGTTCATCGCGGCTATACCCACACTGTCTTGAGGGATCCAGACGTGATTTAAGCTTCTGCAGACATCCAAACGCCTACTTCGCATGAGTTTTGCTATGATCGTCATAATCAGTTCGTCTCACTTTGTAATGATTGTATATCCATTGGATTCATTCGACATTCCTCCGCTGAGCACTATGTCAAACAAAGGAGTGGTGGCAAAACTGAAGAATCATAATGAAACATTCACTGATACTTGATTTCCAGCTGTAGTTACATAGAGCCATGGGAGCCATGTCTTTATTGTTGTTCTCCTGAGTTACCCCCTCCAGGGCTTTGCATCGATTCCCTGCCTTTAAATAGTCCAGGATGCCAGTGTCGATCCCATCGGTGGTCGGCGTTTCGGCTTCCGACCTGGCGCACCGGGGCCCGACGAAGCGCGACTCAAACGCCAGGGGTGCTGGTTGGCAATTCATTCCTTTTAACCACGGTGAAATCATGTAGCTTTGGCACCGACAGTGATAAAGTGGCCCACTGATCTCGGGTATCAATAACCATCCTCTGGCTTTGCCAAGGGGCTAGGGCAGAGTTTGTTTTCAATGTATGAAACCCCTGGGAGTATATAGAGTACACACTTCGAAGGTTTTTGTATCCTCAAACTCAGTGCCTCTTGGTGAAAAACTGCGATACTGCTTACCTCTCAAAACTTCTCCTTCGCAACTTTAAGACTTAGTTCCCTAGCCTCTGATCAACCAATCTCACAAAGGGTCAGAGCAATGGGCGGACCTTATATGTCCAAGACGGCTGGAATGGGCCTTCGCCCAACAGTTTCCCTCGACGTCCCGATATGCGCTGTCTTTCTCGCTCTATTCCTCGCCGGTGCGGTCTGCCACATGACCCTCTTTCGCCGCAATCTAGCAAGAGGACACAAATTCATACCATCAGCCATGACATTCGGTTTCTGCATGTCGCGAATCGTCGCCAATGCTCTTCGCATTGCCTGGGCTTGCCATGGCTCAAACATTAGCCTTGCTATTGCAGCTCAGATCTTCGTTGCTGCCGGTGTGTTGCTGTTGTTCATCTTGAACTTGCTCTACGCTCAACGCATGTTCCGCGCTGTGTATCCTGTCCTGGGCTGGTCTCAAACTGTCTCGTGGGCTTTCAAGGCTCTCTATACTCTTGTTGTCGTGACTATCATCATGGTCATTACATGTGTTGTTCAGAGTATGTATACTCTTAACACGAACACCCTTCGGATCGACCGCGATATCCAGTTGTACGGCCAGACCTACTTCGCCATCATCTCCTTCCTCCCCATCCCACTACTGGCAGCAGTGATTATGTCTCCGAACCGAAAGCAGATTGAGCAATTCGGCTCCGGTTCGTGGATCGCGAAAGTGCTCGTTGTCGGACTTGTTGCTTCGCTTCTCTGCCTCGGCGCCTCCTTCCGAGCTGGTACTTCCTGGATGTCTCCTCGTCCGGTCACAACTCCTGCATGGTACCACAGCAAAGCTTGCTTTTATGTGTTTGATTTCGGCATTGACATACTGGTCGTGGCTATCTTCTTCATCACGCGAGTCGACCAACGGTTCTGGGTCCCAAATGGAAGCTCCAAGGCGCGCCATTATAGGGGATCCGAGGATAATGAAAAGAGTATGCAAAGGGGTATCACTGGTAACTCAGGTGTGCAAGATCTCGAAAGTCGAGACAGTAGTCTCGCTCGTGGAATGAGTGGAGAAACCAAATGATGGGAGTTTGACTGCGTCTGCAAACTGGGATGGGCGTTTGTTAACATTTTTGGGCTGAGACATACTGTATATTAGAAATTGATGTAATAAAAGTGCCAAAGATTACCACGATGTTTCCGAGAAACCAGATTTCTATAGAGCGAGCTCATCCACTACTCCACTGGCCTAATGTTCAAACGTCCACAACCTTGGAAGTCGTTTCAAAGTTACCGAGGAAACCGCGAAGCTGGCTGTTTCCGAATTGTGAAATGCCCTGGAGCCTTGGGGCAAGTACGAAATAGTCTAGATGGTCGTTCTTTCCCTGACGTACTCCGGAAAGGTTTCCGTCCTGTGAGATACCGACATGGATTTCATGTCAACCTTCGAAGCCATGCTACTGGGAGGCATGATACCCCAAGTCTTCACATTTGGGAATAGATCTTGAGTCCAGAGTAACACAGCCAGGTGGCCTCCAAAAGATTCTTGCAAATGGTCTTTTATTTTCATGATTGGTATCAACAAGTGGCCAGGCATCGCACCATACAGAATTAAGTCGGCAAGAGCCCGTTCGAATGCAACCCCATTCTCCGCCAGTCCAATTGTCTCTCGAAGGACGAAGAAGAAATCTATCAGAGGAAATAGTCGGGTGTGCGCCTCGATACCATAGGTTCTCCCGCTCGGGGGCAAGGGTCGAATTGTAGGCTAGGAAGGGCGTTAGCATGTTGTGACGAAAGGCTATGACTCGCGAGGATACTCACAATGTGTATTTCAAATGCTCGTCAATCTCCATAATCGCGGCCTGGTTGCCGCAGCGGTAACAGTAATTAGGGGCTGCAGCGGGGTTAGTTATAGAGTTTTGTCAAATCCAGCGGTGAGACATCATACCTGAGAAGATGGTGACAACGTTACGATCTTGGGACCAGTTATATCCTTCCATCACCAATTGATGGGCACGTGCCACCAGAGTCAAGCCGTTGTTGTGGTTAAAGGCTTCGGAGATATCCTGGCCGAATGTGTATCCAGCACCGCGAGGAGATATTCCCCATCCGCATCGGTCATCGGGATCACTCCAGAGCAAGTCACACATAGGACCCTCATGGGGCACTTCTTGGATGCGATCAAGCGACCGGATGTTGTCGAGAGTGTCAATAGACGGGCTCAGACCACCGTGAAGACAGAAGATCTGGTTTTCGATGAGAGCGGTAAGGGGAAGGTAATCGAAGAGGTCGGTGAAGTATTTCCACACATTGGCGTTGCCATATTTGCGGAGACATTCATCATAGAAGCCGTAGACCTGTGTGATCTGTCGGGACTCGTGGTTTCCACGAAGGATGGTAATACGCTGGGGGTAACGGATCTTCAAGGAGACGAGAAGGGTCACGGTCTCAACTGAGTAGTAACCACGGTCGACATAGTCACCTGCATAAAAAAAAGTAAAGTTAGGTATGTTACCCCACAACGACTTCATCCGACCGACGCCACTCACCCATAAAGAGATAGTTTGTGTCCGGGTTGGGACCGCCGATGCGGAACAGCTCCATTAGGTCGTGGAACTGTCCGTGTATGTCACCGCAGACTGTCACTGGGCATTTCTGGCGGGGATGTCAGTGAGCTACGGGAGGCAGGTCAACATCCCGACCGATGAACAACATACCACTGGCTGCACATTGGACTCTTCCTGCAGAACTTCTCTCGCCTATGAGACACACATATGATCAATTTGAATTCACTTTTAGCCCGGTGCAGGATCTTGAAACGCACCCGATCGCACAGCCGTCGCACGTCTTCCTCCGCTAATTGCTTGCAAGTCATCAAACTCTCGATCCACCCGTCCAGAGTCGGTATGGAGCCGGGGTCGCTCGTAGGCGACAAACGGTGTGGCTCAGGGGACCGCGCAGTATCGATTTCCATGTTGTTGTCCATTTCGTCGGTGTGCTCAGCTGGCTGAAAAGGAGGGGCCAGCTGGGGGAGGGGCGGTCTCGTGAGAAAACAACGGAATTCGTGGGTAGGCGCAGGTGTCGTGGGGTCTTAAAACCTAAGGAGAGTTATACTCCAGATGACAATTCAATTAAACGGCAATGTCCCAGGATTGATTCAAGGGATAAGGGGATGGGTTTGGGAACGCGAGAAAGGGAGAAGAGATGGGAGTTCGGGAAGGTCAAGTTCAGAGTGGTGAAAGCAAGATGCGCCACACTTGACACTTCAGCCACACCGCTTTACTGCCCCATATGCATTTTCTCCAAACTACGACATCGTACATGAAAGCGATTGTGGATTGAATGGGATTATTTTCGAGGCTACAGAGTGCATAGTATTGGATTGACTGCCTCTAAAGAAGAGGTTGACAATGAAAAAAAAAGACAGGTCAACTTCTGGTTGTGACTTGTTAGATGATGTCCCCGCCAAATCCACCACCAAAGCCCCCTCCAAAGCCTCCTCCGCCTCGTCCATGGTTACCATAGGGTCCACGGTTGCTGCCAAATGGTGGTTCGCCAGGTCCAACGGGATCATATCGTGCTCCAGGGGGCGCCCGAGGATCTTGTCTACCCCTACCGGGACCTGATCCACCGAAGAGGGGGTCATCGAAGGTGGGATGCATACCCCCACTACCTGGACCATAACCACCCATGCGTCCATTGAAGGCGTCGTGGGGAGAAAGACCCTGTGGGTACAGATCCTGCGAGCCGATACTTCCTGGAGCTCCTAGCCCAGATGGTCCATCCCCGAGACCCGATGGACCTGCTCCAAGCCCATCCGGACCGCCACCAAGCCCACCTAGATATCTCGGCGGGGGACGGTTGGTTCGCAGGGGACGTTTGATTTGATGCTCATCTTCAAATCCGGGAGGAGCGAAGTCTACTTGTGGTTTGGAGCGACGTGGCGCTGCTGCCAAAGGGTCGTCAAATGGACGCGGGCGAGCAGGTTGTGGAACGGAGTCATCGCGTAGAGCGTCTCGCTGTCTGCTTTCTGCTTGTGTTTCCCTTGGGGGTTGGCCAGTGCCTTCGTAATCTTCTTGTTGCACCCCGGATACAATCCTCTGGATCACATTGATCTTGAATAGACTGATCAAGTCTCCTAAGCGAGCGGAGGAGCTGAACACGTCTTGAAGAGAGGCTTTGATATCTTCGGTAGAGGACAGAGGAAGGGCAGAGGTTGAGATATAATCCTTGGTAGGAACATCGAAGGAACTGGTGCGGTCGTCACCTAGCGCGAGTGCAAAGACAACCGCGTTTCCACCCATGCGACTCACTTTGACTAGATACTGTGTCTCGGAATTTGAATGCGCATATCGGAAAGCGATCGTATCATTAGTGTTCCATCCTGCGGGGAGAGTGGGTTGGTCTGAGGTTGTTTCTGTCGATGTTAGCTATGCGATGAAGTGGAGATGAATACAAGCTTCAAGACATACCTAGGTTGTGGTCTTCACCAAGGCCAACCAGCCTGAAATCGAGCGCTGCCAAGCAGGCATGGCCGATCAGCGCCACCGCTTCATGTGGTGTTTTGAGGCTTGGCTGGCCAGACTGAATAGCTCTGGCGGCAAGGTCCAGAATATTGTCCTGTTCAAATACATCTGTGCCAGTCATTTTGAAAGACTTTATTGACGAGTTCGATGGTAAAGACAATGTTGTCAAAGTCGCCGGAGATGAGGCTCCCGATGACCTCACATGTCACCACGTGAGCTCCCCACTTCTCTACAATCAGTGCATACAAAACAAACACACTACACGGAATACTACTCTGGAGCTATACCTTACTGAACGCTGCACTCCGATTAATGTACACTATCTGTCGCTCTCTAAAGCATTGCCTTCGGGAAATTCTTCATCGCCTGCCGCACTCCCAAGTCCGCCAGGATTTCCTCGGTCCCGCCCAGAATAGCGTCAAACTTGTATGTGCGGTGGAACATCTCAATGATCTTACCCATTCCGGACTGGGTGATACCACGACCACCAAATATGTTTGTGGCGTGACTGGCAATCTCGCCTGCGGCCTGGGTACAGTGTGACTTGAGTAATCCGATTGGCCCACCAAGATGCTTCGCTTGCTCGGCATAGGTCATATTGCACATCTGATAGGCAATGGACTCAAGCCAGGCCTGGTTGGATTCGGTAAGGGAGATCATGCGGGCAAGTCTGTGGGGTGTTAGAGGAGAAGTGGACTATTTGCATCTTTGAACTCACTTTTGACGAATGGCGGGTTGTTCAATTAACTTCTTGCCAAAGACGATGCGCTGATTGCACCATTTCATAGTCTCTTCCACAACGGTCATTGACATCCGGACTACTGCAGCCACCATCATGAACCGCTCATGATTAAAGTTGCTCATGATCACAATGAAGCCCTTGTGCTCCTCGCCGAGAAGGTTCTGGACGGGGACCTTGACGTTCTCGAATTGCACAAATGCAGTGGCAGCAGCAGTCGAGTATGATGTCTTGATGGGCTTGGTCTCAACACCTTCGCCCCGAGGAATCAACAGCACCGAGAAACCCTTCTCGGTACGGCACCCAGTTACGAAGTAATCGGCGAACATGCCGTTTGTGATCCATTTCCTATGTCTGGTCAATATGCAGTCTCTCGATATTTGGTTCAGCGAACCGTGGATAGTCAAAACTTACTTGGTTCCGTTAACAATATAATGCTTGCCATCTGGAGTCTTCACTGCGGTCGTCTTCAGACCAGCGACATCGCTACCGGCAAAGGCCTCGGTGATAGCCAGGCAGGTCTTCTTCTGGCCAGACAAGACCTCATCGTTGATCCGCTCCTTGAGAACGGGATCCCGCAGCCATTGCTGTACTGCTGTCAAGCTGATTGCCATGCCAGCCATGTTACCATCCTGGAATCCTCGGGCGTTGGCCCGAACCAACTCTTGCGTCACAATCATGTCGTGAAGGTAGTCAAACTCCTTCCCATCCACGACCCCGCCAAGCAGGCTACGGTTGTGGAGATGCTTTCCAGGACCCAGGCGCATGGCAAGTACATTTGTCTCGGCCATACGGTTGATGAGCTCTTGACTAATGTAGGTACCATCGCGTTCCTTCTCCTGCGCCTCGGGTGTGACGTACTTATCGGTAAACTCTCGAACCGCCCTTTGAAGACGCCGATGTGTCTCCTTGTAGTAAGGCGACTTGAATTCCGGACGTAGCCATAATGGTTCGGCATAGGGCACGGGGCTCAAGGCACCAGGCGTCGGCACGATGACTTCGGACTTCTCTCCTTCAATAGTGCCGATGCAGAGCTGGTCTCGGTATTTCTCCAGGACCTCCTGACGGTGCAGGTTGTAAAAGTCGGTTGTTGCATCCTGGCCGGCCACCTGGGCTAGGACTACACTGCCACCGGGGTGGGCGTCCACAAATTCCGTTAAATCATAGACTTGGTGGTCGATGATACACCAGAGAGACTCCTCGGTGTTGTGCTTAGCAACTTCCGCACGGGTCAGGATTTCCGCAGACATTTTTATTCTCAGAAATGAAGAGGGGCATTAGGACCAGTAAATACCCCAGACTGCCTGGCTCCAATCACACTTCATCTGATTCAAATTCAGCCGAGGCCCGAGGTGATGTCAGCATGTTTCACCGCACCCTCATTCTTCTGCTCGTTTTTAATTACTGACGAAGACTAGTCCCAGAAATAAAGAGGTCTATGCGTCTCCAGCAGTGCACCCAATGATCTGCGTTGAGTTGGTCAGTGAAAAAGGCTGCTATTCCCAGACCCACATGTGATCGACAACGGTCATACTTCAACACGAGGGCAGGTCAACACGGAAATAATTTCCACGAAATTGATGGATTATTCTATCAGGTCCAGGGCTACCAGCGAGGTGCCACGAGGTGAGCCTGGCCAGGCGCGCAAATAGTAGGCCGCGCCGCGGTGGATCTGCCTCGGCTACGTTAAGTTGCATTAAGTTTCAATAATATTGCAGTGCAAAGTGCGGAGTACTCCATTACTGGACGTCTGGAGACATTTACATTTTCAGTTCCTCACGCCTAACGGATTTTGTTGCCTAATCACTTCTAACGGACCGACAATGGGGTATATTGGCCTTTTATTAGAGTATGTGGACACAACCTTCAATAATATATTTACTCCGTGGCTGTAGCCCTAAACCTCCATAGCTTGGAGATACTCAAAAATATTTCACAGAAATGACAAAGTTTAGGTAGGGCTGGCCTAATTCAACGACAGTTGAACTTTACAAGGAATTCCAATCCAGCGACCTGCTCAAGTGGAACTTTGTGCCAGGACTTCTAAAGTTGTTTCCAATTTCACTACGCAATACAAAAATCACAGCTACCTATTACCTAGACACTTGAGCACAACCTTCTAAAGTTGAGATCATCCCTGGGCAGCAATTGTAAACGGAGTTGAGTATGTATTTGAACATGACAATGTATCCATAGATTTATAACTAGGCTACCTGGCCCTGCGCATCACTGGTGATTTTTCGCGCGACTGGATTTCATATCTTCGAGCGCCTCCTCAATTAACCACTCACAAACAGGCTCGGCATCGCTTCCGACCCGCCAACTGCCCAACACAACCCCATGCTGCTCTAATACATCCGTTGCGCGTTCCCAGCGGCGTCGCCAGAGCTCCTCACGCTTGTTAGGGAGCGGCGCAGGCGGGACGGCGGAATCGGTAGATGAGTGCTTAATTCCACCAACGGGTGATCCCGAGAAGTTGAGGCGGTCGCTTGCATATTGGAATCCCTGGTAGGCGGCCTGGGCAGCCGCAGCAGGGTAGGATTGTATCCCACTTGCAGGTGCAGCGGCAGGTGTAGGAGTTGTCGATCCACTTGGCGTGGCGGATGGACTCTGATCTACACTGGCAATGGATGACCCTGTGTTTGTTCGACGGGGTGGTGGACGAGGTGGTGGGGGCTTAGCGCGAGCGGCTTGTGTTTGACTGTTGTCGTTATCGAGACCTTTGAGCCACGAAGAAGGGAGGTCGTTCCCTGAGGCCGCTGTGCTACTTCGAGAAATTCCCGGCGAAGGATCTGACTCTGCCTTGGACGCAGAACCACGCTTAGGCGGCACAGGGGGGACTGCCTTGCGCTTCGGAGCGTCCTGCGGAGGCGGTTTAGAGTCATTCTCGGTCGTATCGGAGGGCGTGGCGACTTGACGTAGAGAAGAGGGCCTGGCAGCCCTAGCCAGGTCGGCTGGGGTAGAAACCATGCGCAGTGCAGATGGCTTAATAGGCTTCACTGGAGGTGGGCGTGGGGTGGTAGGGTGTGTAAGCCCGGACGGAGGTGGCTTGTCGTCAATGATGAGATCGGTCAAATCAATCAAATCTTCTAGTTCAAGGTCCTTTGGATCCGGTTCTGGGCGCACTGGAGGCGAAACAACAGTCGTACCACTCCTAGGCGGCAGTTGGGGCCTGTTGGACATCTCATCTGATCGGTCCTTGATATCGGGCGAGCTGCGACTGCGGTTGGACGGGGTAAATTGACTGACGGATTTGTCGAAGAATGGCTTGGTATGCGGAGTCGTGACATCGCGGATGAAGATTCCCAGGATCCGGCCAGGGTTTGCGAGCACAATCTCAGTATATACCTCTAGATCAGCTTCACCGCTATCACCGACTAAAATGAATTTGCGTTCGGGGAAATCACGCAGGATTTGCTCTAGCGATCCTCGCTTTCGCTCTGCCGTGGGCTCGAAGATACCTTGCAGCATGCCTGAATACTGCTTGAGGTGGAAAGATCCCGGAGGCAAGCCCACCATCTTGAAATACCGTTCAAGCAGAGGGTAGAGCTGCCAGGGTGCGTTTGAGACATAGTGAATCTGCACACCTTGCTTGGCAAGACTTCCGTACCAGTCGCTGACTCCTTCGACCTTAAGGTCATCCAGTTCACGGATGAATGTGTTGCGGAACATCTCTTTGGCACCACCGGCAATGGCAGAGTGCTTCACCGTGTCGTCAATGTCACTGATCAAGCTGATTCCGGTCGGCTCAATAATCTGTATCGGTCGAGCAGCAGACAAGTCTTCAGAGGCCAACACACGGATATGTGTGGGAACAAATGGCAGTGCAGCACGAAGGGTGAAATGTCCCGACTCATCCGTCGTGATGTTCCTGGACTTGCTCTCATTTTCATCAAAAAAGAACACAGTAACAGGCATGCTGGCAACAGGGTTAGTCAGGAAGGGACGAAGTCTTTCCATGAGGTGTGCATTTGCCACAGTTAATTCGTCCTTGCTCAATGGAGCTGCAGGTTGTTGTGACCGGTCCGCATTGGAGCTTTTCCAGGCTGGATCTGCGTCCTTGACGGCTGATTCGACAAGCGACTGCATCTGCTTGTCGATATATTCATCTTCTCCTTTGCCCGAAATTTTCTCGTCGATTTCGTCATTTGGGGATCCGGTGGGCGCAGGAATCCCACTCAGTTTCCTGGCCAAAGCGATCATCAATCTATGTTTTCGGCTCAGCGGGCCTCGACCAGGAGCGTAGATCCAGCCACGCACATCAACGGCCACAACCGAATCCTCTGTTTCCGTCTCGTCCCACGCAGGCGCTGGGAGATCATCGTCCTCCGCGGCTGCGGCCCCACGGTATTCGTCAATAGTCTCGGACCACGAATCACGTCGCGGGCGGGGGCTGTCGGTGTTTTTGTTTTTGGATAATTTTCTAGCATAGCTGGGGAAAAGAACCATCTCTTCGTCGCCTGAGCGTGCGATCTCGACATCTGGAAAGGCGCCAGGGGTATTGTAGTAATCCTCGTCATGTTCGTTCCTCTGACCAGCCCACTGTGAAGTATAGGCTTGGCGGAGCTCGTTCGCCGCTTTGAAATATTCATAGACTTTCTTGCGACGGCTGCCAGGGGCAGCGGCACCATCGCCGCTGCTTGTTCCCCATGTTGACGATAGCCCGGGTTGCGCCATTGAATTGTTCGACCCGCGGCGGGGCTCTCGGATCGCCTTCGGGTATGCGTTTTCCGGACTACTGGTTCCTGCAGTAGTATTCCACGTCTTACGGCGTCGCTTTTGCCCTAGCAGATAGGTAAGAAGGCGACTTCCAAGTCTCGTATCGCGCGCAGCAAGTCGCGCCTGTCGCTGGACGAGCGCTCGGTAAACCCGCGATTGGGCCCGATGTCGGATAGCGGGGATAGTTTCGTGACGGATTCCCCAAAGACGGGAATGGGCTCGTCTGGTTGCGAGCGGGCCGATCAATAGACGGAGTACACGAGCGAGTTTGCCAGGTCGAGGCTCGCGTGGGAAAGGAGGGAAGAGAGTGGTAGGCGGGCGCCTGAAGAGGGACCTCGACCGTAGGGTGAGCCAGCGGAAATGAGGTTTAGGCGCCAGTGTCTCGAGGGGTTCGATGCCCAGGTGGAAGTTTGAAGGAAATGCGAATAAAAGAAGGATTAACCTGATAACCTGCGGGGAAAGAGATCGCCCATGACGATGATTATCCGGGTGCTCACCGCGTTCCGCAGAATCCTGCTTCGGCTGTCGGAGAATTCTAACTGTTGCGTCTAGGTGGCGATATTTATGGAGTAGCACCACTTAATTTTGAAGATCAGTGGAATTGATATAGAGAATCACGTAGAATGTCGAGGCTAGTCTTCTAAGAGCATATTTAATTGTTGTCAACTTCAGACATAGTTATTGCGAGTTGATATCTCATGAAATAGTAAAACCTATTTTACATTGAGTAATATACATAATGTCCAGTAGCGAATCATGCACTGTCTTCAGTGTAATTCACTTTCTTAGCGCGAGAAGTTCGCCTAGAGGGTGTTGCGAGAGTCAAAGCAGTATCTACTTCGCCACTCTCTTCAGGCTCTGGTGTAGAGTCAAGCTCCGCGACCTTTCGTTTACCGCGAGATTTGCTAGCGGGAGGCGTACGCCTGGTCGTCTTGGCTGTCTTTTTCACCGGGGTCTCTATCTTGACCGTGGAATCCAGGGGGACATCATCAGCAACACATTCCGTTTTTACCTGCTTAGTGGTCTTCTTCGGACTCGGTGCGGCTTTGGGCTTCACAACCTTCTTGGCTGGCCGAAGCCATTCTTCCATCCCCCTTGGCCAGTAGACTCTGCCATCGGGGCCGCCCATCCCAACTTCCTCGTCGGGAATGATACGAGGCGGGGGTACGGTGCCTTCCAGGTCCACGAAGCCCCCTTTCTTTTTAGACTTTTTGGGTGGCTTGAACGGTTGATTCTCGTCGGTGCGAATGTAGGGTAGTAGATCGTTGGCAAGATTGTAGCCGGGAAGTTTGAAGGTTCGCATCAACTCAAACACGGCCTGCTCCTTATCCTTGGCCTCTATCATCAAGTCCATTATGGGAGCACATGGAGGTAAAGTTGCGACACGATCACTGTGTTTGCGTCGTTGCCGTGGGGTGATAGCGGCGGCCGTCGGCTCAGAGTAATGCATCTTCTGCGTGATGTTTTTGCGGGTCCACGTTGCCGCTATACGATCATAAAGGGGAATGATGTCCTCGGTCCCTTCGCGGAGCTCATTCGAGTCGAAAATAATATTGTGATGGTGATAATCGAGGACAAGAGGGATGTTGAGCTCCTCACATATAGGCAAGAGGTCGTGGACAGACCAGCTCACATCGTCGTTCTCCAGGACTAGCCGGTTCTTGATGTCCTGGGACAGCAACGCGTAGTTTTCTCTGAACCGATCAAGTGTTGCTGCCTTGTCGCCAAAGACTCCGCCCATGTGGAGGATCATGACTGCGTCCCGATCTTGCTGCGGAGGCAGTTTGAGTAACTGAAGCAACTCCGAGTGGTATTCAAGATCGCGATAAGAGCTCTCTATCACTTCTTTCCTTGGGGACCCAAATTGTGTGAACTGCCCCGGGTGAACTGACACTCGGTGTCCAAGCTCCGCCACCACTCGTCCTGTGTCTGCTAGGACTTCCGACGCGAATGGCGCAAGCTTATATCCATATTCCTTGTGACTTGCAAATGGGAACATCTCACTGCTCAGGCGCATGAATTTGATGCCGTATTTATCATTCCAGCGGATGATCTTTACTAGGTCGCGCGCATTTGCTAATCCGAGCCCCTCAACGAAGGCTTGTCCGCGCGCAATATCGGCAGGTTGATCGCGGTCCGGGCGGTTCTTGACCGGGTGCGAAGGCTGATCGGGGTCTTGAAGGGGGTGCCTATTTTCAAGGATCGAGGCAATGCGACAAGTGCGGGAGCAGAAGACGGGGGGTGTTGAATAACGGAGGTAGGTATTTAGGCAGGCCTGTTGGCGTCGAAATTAGTTCCAATTCCAGCATGGCATAGACTCGGCTTTACAACATGACTTACATATCCCAGTCGGCCTTTCCAGGGAAGAGGAAGGTAGCTGCTATGCACTGGAGGCGGACGCCCAAGGGCCTCCTTTAGCTCCTCCGCCTCAAGTGGAATCTCTACATCCGATTCTGGATCCAGGGAAGCCATGCTTTCTGCCGAGGGCACATCCTCATTGAGGATGTCCACTGGCTTCTCTTCAGATTTGGTGCTATTTGCGCTGGCCATGCCTGCAGCGTCCAAACGGCTTGATTCTCGAGCAATGTTTTGTGAGCAGTCTTGCGAGTAAGGGCGATGAGAAGCGAGGGCAGACTGTGACGGGTAAACTAGGGAAGATGCAACACGTTTGGCCGCAAAGCGCAGAGAGTTGTGAGCGGCATGACGGACGGATCTGGTCGTCGCCACGGGAATCGATCGATCGGTAATTCTCAGTGACGTGTGGCGACCCTGCGGGCCAGCTTCCAAGGAACGGACATATTGGAAAGACAGGTCCTGCAGCCGAACAAGAGACCGCCGACACATTCGGCGTTTGGGGGTGGGCGTTGCAGAAGTCAAGGGCGGGATCATGACGCGCTCGACACGCGACGCATCGCTTCCGTGGTGCTTCCGCTCCAATCAAAGCGTCAAGCTAGTGCCAAGGTAATCTCCGTCAAATGACAGAGTACGGAGTTCCTGTTCTCAATTGTAACATCTGAAATCTATTGATAAGCATGAGAATTTATATACGAGCGCAGAGTAGGTACAATTAGGCTCTTGGGGCTCCAAAACCATCTCCCAACCTTGTATCACCAGATGATATCATTGATGCCTCAGGCGCAAATGCAAATCATGCAAATCGCACCCTGTTGTACGCCAACCTATCAGCATCAACATCCAAAGCGAGGATTTTCCTTTACACATCACTCCTGTTTATACAATTTTCAGGCAAAGAAGAGAGAGTGTGACAGGCAATTGGGGACTCAAGAGACTTCCACCCAACTCATCTCCAAAATTCAACATGAACCCAGCCATGCCTCCCATGGATGTGGCCTCGTTCCAGCCTGAGTCAATGCAAGCATGGCTTTACTCTGGCACCTCCGGAGGTCTCGAGAATAACCTGAACTTTAATCCATCTGCTCGTGCACCGCCTGCCCCGAAGGGCAACGAGGTTATTGTGAAAGTCCTATCTGCCGCCTTGAACCCAGTGGATTACAAGTTCCCTGAAATGGGCCTTGCAGCTCGTATGCTCATGACCATGCCTGCGTCCCCGGGTATGGACTTCTGCGGCCGTGTGGTGGCAACTGGGCCGCTTGCAAAGCATTTCAAAGAAGACCAGCTGGTCCATGGGTGTCCCGCACGACCAGTCCAGTTTGGCTCGCTTGGGGAGTATCTCATTATAGGGGCAGACAGGATTGGGCCTGTGCCGGACGGCGTCTCGGTCGATCATGCAGCAGCTCTCTCACTTGCCGGATTGACTGCGTACCAAAGCTTAGAGGGACACGTGAAAGCCGGGGAGAAAGTCCTCATTAATGGAGCTTCTGGTGGATGTGGAGTTTTTGCTGTTCAAATTGCGAAGCAGCTGGGCTGTCACGTCACGACCATATGCTCCACTCGAAACGTTGAGTTGTGTTTGCGCATGGGGGCAGACGAGGTGATCGACTACACCGCGCATAAAGACCTTGTTGCAAAACTACAAGATCGAAAGGTGTCATTTGATTGTATTGTTGATAATGTTGGCTTGCCTTCTGAATTGTACTACCAGTCCCATCATTTCCTCAAAGAAGATGGAGCATTTGTGCAGGTCGGTGCGTCGACCCTGATGACGTTCCTTGGAAGAATGGGGTGGCCATCTTTCCTTGGGGGTGGGCAAAGGAAATTTGTGCCTGTGATGACAAAAATGGATCACAGACAACTGGCACAGCTTGGAGAGTGGGTGTCTGAGGGCAAGATTCAAATCCAGCTCGACAGCGTCTTCGAGTTCCACGAGACACCCAAAGCCTTCGAAAGGCTTCGATCAGGCCGTGCAAGAGGCAAGATAGTCGTGCATGTCAGTGATCCCAACAACCAGAGCATGGAATCCTTCGGCATTGGGCTTTGATTATCACTTCTCGAGGCATCTGATACCATCGTGCTCTATATCAATGTTGTTCTCTTCTTGGTTGCAAACAACCTGATAGATGCATCAGAAAAGAAAAGAAGAAAAAAAGAAAACCAGAAACCAAGGCAGTCCATCTTGACTGGGCTGCGAGAAAAAAAAACCCCCGATTTTGACCTACTATGGCCATTTGCGTGCCAAACACATCCTACAGATACACCTCCTCCAACATTCAACCCAATGGCTTTTTCTTCCCATGAAATCGGCTAACTTACGTTCCAATCACGTGCATTGGTTCTAAATTACGACCTCAAGGCTTCGGGCAAGCCGAAACCGAAATGCTACCTCTGAACCTGTACTACGCCTACTTCATATATAGACATCCATCTGTGCTCAGCTGGAGATATGGGTTGGGAAATGTCCAAGACACGCCAAATATTTTTATCGTTCAAAATATCTTCCATGCCTCCATGGAAGCAGATTAAGTCTACTGTTCTTGTTATCAACCCCTTTAAATTCAAACATTAGCACCTGATGGATCGATAAAAACAAGAACCTTGGAAGACGACCATCTCCGACAAACCCTCCACCCGTCCGGCCCTTGAGGCTGTTTCAAGATTTGAAATGGATTCCAGGTTAACTCAGCCCTTGGAGTATCGCACATTCTGCCGTTTCCAAATCATTGCCACGGCAAAAATCTGGGCCGCCGAAAACGCACCGCACATCTTCATCTGCATACTGTATGCAGTTGCATAAACTTCACGAACCTGCAATTGACTTGCTGGAGAGAAAGTCTTGATTGCCTCGGTGGTTTTCAGCAAGGCAGCCAACTCGTCAGGTTGTAGGGCGGATGACAAACGACTTTGTATATAATGGAAAAGAATCGCACTCGAAGCCGCAATGCCCAGAACGCCACCCAACATGCGGAGCTGAATACCAATTCCCAATGCAACGTTCTGATCTTCGATTTCCACCACGAGGGAGGTGGCCATATAGAATGCGCTTACGCCAAGGCCAGTTCCCAGTCCAGCCAAGACCAAGTACCCAAACTGACCAAGCCAAAGCTCTGTTGTGGAAGCGATCTCCGAAAAGAGAAAAAGGCCGGTCACTTGTATGACCAGGCCAATTAATGCAATGTAGGCAAACGGCATTCTCAACCGTCCTGCCAACACGGAGCAAGATATAATGCCGATCAGACAGCTTAGCGCAAATGACAACAGCTTTACGCCCGAACCAACTGGTGAGCTTCCATTGACAATCTGGAACCTCTGCGGAATATTGATCACGCAGACAGTCATCGGTAAACCTGTTGTGAAAAATCCACTAGAATTGGATCCTGTTATCAGCCAAGGTCATTAGATACCACAGAAACCGGGGGTACAAACAGTGCCATCCCCATGAAGAGTCGATTGTGTGCCAGTCTCCATGGGAACATTGGACTAATTTTGAGATCACGGCGACAGATGAACCACTGCCAAACGATAAACGCAATCCAAGCAATGCCCGAGATCACTAAGAAGCTGATGACTAGTGCTGAGCTCCACGAGTACTGGTAGTTCCCTTCTTGAAGGGCAGCAATAATGAATGAGCAGGCAGTCAAGACGAGGAATGCCCCAAAGAAATCCACTTGGTGAATGGCTGTCTTCATGTTTACCCAAACCTGCGCCGGCGTCGATTCCTCATTTGCTACCGGTGCGGGATTGGGGAAATGAGCCGGCAAAACGAAGTACAACAAGAGCCAACCAAAAGCACCCGCCGGAACGCTGTGGCTGTTAGACCTGACCAAGGCTGGGCTGGATATACTCACTTCATCAGGAATACCCAGCGCCATTTACCGTCATTGGAAATGGCACCGCCGAGCAGAGGTCCGAGGACCAGGCCTATCGAGATGATCCCACCCGCGAGGGAGCTGGCTTTGTCGTATTGCTCATACGGAAGGATTCGGAGAATTGAGAACAGTGTCAAGGTATAGATTCCAGCACCACCAAGGCCCTGGAATGCGCGACACACGACTCTATATTTGACATCCGTTAGCCCACCCGTTCCAAGGTTAGTTTTGCTTGCAAAGCAAATCCGAAAGAATCTCCACCTGGGCATTGACTGACAGTTGACTAAGACTTTGGGCTCCAGCACATCCACCAGAAAAAGCAATGAAAATGGCTACGGCCGTAAGCAGAGTTCGCTTCACTCCAAAGATGCTACTAAAGCTTGTCCAGATGATGAGGAATCCTGGAGAGACATGTGTTAGCTGGGGCCGCACCGGGAAGAAACGGGGAGAGAACCTGTGTAGGTAAGAAGGTAGGAAGTGATAACCCAACTGCTCTGTCCAGCATTTTGAAGATCGTCTGTGATGGTGACTAGCGATGTGCTCACAATGGTTGCCTCGACACCAGTGAGAAAAAGAGGCAGAGCGAGACTAGTAAAGACTCTGTTTTAGTTTCGAGGCAAACAAGCCTTGGGCTGTTCACTTACCCTGCTATCGCGAGATATAACCTAGCCCCGTGCAATGCACCATCCCATCGGACAGGAACATTCCCCTCATTGAATTCGTTGGCCTCGATGGCTTCGTTGATCTCCTTCTCGGCCATAGACAACATCAATCAACTAGAAAGTCGCTGGTAGTTGAGTCTAACAACGAACACGGATGTTATTTTTTTCAGAGAGGAAATTTTCCGCTGGGACTTCAGGACCAGTTAGGCAGATCACACTGGCTGAAGATGTGATCCAATGATGGATACGTATATCGTACATGTATTCTCCAAGTCCCCTTAGCCGACGAAAAGGCGCAGGGCTAGCAACGAGCTGCATATATTAGTTCCCTTGCGCTGCTTTCCAGGAAGAATCCCACCTTCGATGTTCAATTTCCTGAAGATCTAGTTTTTTTTTTCACGCCCAATAAGCTGCATGAAATATGCATGAACGCCACTATTCATGTCGTGTCCCATTGTGTTTTATCGAATAATCTCAAGGCCCCACATCTCACCTTATCCTTCCCTCAAGTGTTACCAATTTCTTGGACGTTTTTGATGAGACTGGACATAATGAGGCGGACATTGAAAATTACGAGCGAGATTGTCTAAATAAGTGACGCATATGGAAATATCATGCGCCAATGTTGGGGTACTAGGATAGACTACTCTTGTGGAGCTGTGGAAGATCGGCGATGCCGAACTACTCGTATCGCGAAATCGCACTAAGCTGGGAGACCACTAACTAGGGCTTATGTTAGGCCTCCTGCATGTGTGCAGCCGTCCTGGCCCCCCAGACCAAGAAGCCAACTCACTCTGCATCGGCGCTGAGATTTTCTCCTCGCAGAGCAGCATCTTGACGATTTTGACAAGGACTTCAGGAGGGGTTTCTGATTTCCTGAGTGCGCAAGATAGAAATTGACCTGCGCGAAAATTTGAGATTCGCTCTTCTTTCGCTGACTGATTAGACCCAGGATTGCACTCTGTACACCTGTAGACTGGATACGGTCGAGACATATTGTGGAGTCGCTCTATGCCTGCTGTTTAAAGATTGAGTTCATATCAGGAGGGTGAGATCTTCAATGTTGTCTTGATCTTTGGTGACATCCGTTCTCATCCCTAGCGTCATTGGTGTCATGAGTTCAAGGCTGAGCTTTCTAAAGTTTGTTCCATATCGACATTGTTGAGGGTCTGCTCGTATGTGACGTCAGGCTAGTGCCGCGGTAATTCTCCTACTAGAGTTAGCAACCTTGGCTAGAGCGATGTGTCACTGATCTAGTGGCGTTACCTGGTATTTAGCGTGATGTTGACGGCCCACGAGCGACGAGCAACGTGCGCAGAGAAGGCTCGTTGGTGCAGGCTTGTTTCGAGTATTTTTGGCAGCAGGGAATGTTGCGCGGCCAGTGTATACATTGCTCTTTAAAATGGGTATAGGTCGCCATGTATCGCTCGAGTACAGATCCATACCCAGCCTGAATTCCCTTTTGCTCCTCCCCTCAAAAAAACCTCCTATCACAATAGATCACAATGGCTCCTTTCATCGAGGTGGCGGACTTTCAGATTGCGGATGGAGGAATTCTGGATAGCACGGAATTTTGCAGTGGTGATGGCGTGGGTGATGGCCCTGAAACCAACGCAAATAATCAAAGTGATAAGGGTATCCATAGGAAGAGGTCTTCACAAGACGCCCCCAGACCAGCTCCTCCAGAGCCCATTGCTATCTGTGGCATGTCAGTACGACTCCCTGGAGCCGTGCACACACCTCAGGAACTATGGAAGTTCCTGATATCCAAGCGCGACGCCCGTGGCCCTGTACCCGAATCCAGATATAATGTTTCGGCATATCATTCTAAGACCGCCAAGCCAGGCAGCGTCAGCTCTGAATATGGGTATTTCCTCGATGAGAGCATCGATATTGCATCTATTGATACTTCATTCTTCACAATGGGGAAGTCAGAAGCAGAGCGTGTGGACCCTCAGCAGCGCCAGATGTTGGAAGTTGCCCGGGAGTGCTTGGAAGATGCTGGCGAAGTTAATTGGAAAGGCAAATCCATTGGTTGCTTTATGGGGAGTTTTGGGGAAGACTGGGTTGAGATGTTTGCAAAAGAAAACCAGCAATATGGCCAGCATCGAGCAACCGGCCATGGGGATTTCATGTTGGCCAATCGTGTTTCATATGAGATGGATCTCACAGGACCGAGGTAAGTTATATAACGCCATACTTCCAATATACCTAGCCATTCTAATCAGCATTAAAGTATGGTCATTCGCACTGCTTGTTCGGCCGCTCTCGTTGCACTCCACGAAGCGTGTCTCGCATTGTATAGGGGCGACTGTGAAGCCGCTATCATCGGTGGTGCCAACCTGATACTAGGCCCTGGTATGACCACTTCTATGGCGGAGCAAGGCGTGCTCTCACCAGATGGCTCATGCAAGACCTTCTCCGCCGATGCAAATGGCTATGCTCGGGGGGAAGGGATTTCTGCAATCTTCATCAAACCTCTTGCCAACGCCCTACGAGATAATAATCCCGTCCGAGCTGTGATCCGTGCAACGGCCTCCGCCAGTGATGGCAGAGGAACTAGCAGTGGAATATCAGTTCCCAATGATGTTGCTCAGGAAGCTTTGATAAGACGAGCATATGAGATCGCCGGAATCAGCGACTATTCCGAGACGGCGTTCTTCGAATGCCATGGTACTGGAACACCAGTCGGAGATCCAATCGAAGCCAGGGCGGTTGGGCGTGTCTTTGGTCCCTCTGGTGGTATTATGATAGGATCCGCCAAACCTAACTTCGGTCATTCCGAAGGAGCTTCGGGTCTTACATCGCTGATCAAGTCGGTCCTAGCCTTGGAGCATCGTGTTATCCCACCGAACATCAAGCTCGGAGACCCCAACCCGGCAATTCCGTGGGATGAATTTGGACTCTCTGTTCCCACGGAGCCATCAAACTGGCCTGAGTCGCGAAGGGAACGCATCAGTGTTAACTCGTTCGGCATTGGAGGCACCGATGCCCACGTTATCCTTGATTCGGCTCATAGCTTTGGCATTTCTCCGGTGTCCGAATGTTTTACCATAGAGCCGCAATTGCTTCTCTATTCGGCCAATAATATTGAGTCGTTGAACAGGATGAGCGCGATTTATAAGACCTACAGCCAAAAGAATTCCCGAAAAGTGAGCGACCTGGCCTTCACATTGAGCCACAGAAGAGAACACTTGATTCATCGGGCTTTTGCAATCAAGAATGCCCTTGGAACCCTCACAACTTCAGCTCCATCAAAATCCGGTGACGCACCTGCGGTTGTGATGGTTTTCACTGGTCAAGGTGCTCAATGGCCACAAATGGGTGGTGGTTTGTTCCATAGTCCATCTTATCCTGTTTTTAAGGAAACAATCCGGTCGCTCGACCAATATCTTCAAACACTTGAACCTGCCCCAAAATGGCGCATTGAAGATGAGCTCTTGAGGGGTCCTGAGCACAGCAAACTTGGATGGGCTGAGCTATCACAGCCTCTCTGCACAGCAATCCAAATTGCTTTGGTCGACGTTTTTGCTTCTGTCGGAGTTCAGGCCTCTGCTGCAGTTGGACACTCTAGTGGTGAGGTGGCTGCTGCTTATGCCGCTGGCGCTCTGACGGCCAATGAAGCGATCACAATTGCATTTTACCGTGGTCAGGTCACTCAGCTGCAGAACAAGCCCGGGGCTATGGCAGCAATCGGAATGGACGCCGATTCTGTACAGCAATACCTGAAACCTGGGGTGATCGTTGCATGTGAGAACTCGCCTAGGAGTGTCACCCTCGCTGGAGACGCTCAAGAGGTTGAAGAGGTGGTGGCCAGCATCAAAGAAGCTAAGCCGGATCTATTGGCGAGAAAATTGCAGGTCGACAAGGCGTACCATTCCCATCATATGGTCGAGATAGGGGAGCAATATCACGCTCTCATCGAACCGCATGTCACCGCGAAAGATGCCCGGGTGTTGTTCTTCAGCAGTGTCGAAAATGCAGTGCTCAGTGAGAGCAGCGAATTCGGTCCGAAGTATTGGCAAAAGAACCTGGAGTCTCCAGTTCTCTTTTGCTCGGCTATTGAATCTATCATCCAACATGATGTTGCGAAGAATATGGTGCTTCTTGAAATCGGGCCTCACTCTGCACTTGCGGGCCCCTTGCGTCAAATCCAGGCCCACCACTCCACCTCCTCTCCGTATGTGTCTGCCCTGACTCGCAACCAACACGACGTGGAATCATTTTTGACTGCTGCTGGGATTCTTTACTCTCTTAATGCCAGTCTCGATTTGAAAAGACTTATTCCCAGGGGCCGGACTCTTCCAGACCTCCCAAGATACCCATGGGACCACTCGAAACGATTTTGGTATGAGTCTCGACTCAGCAAGGAGTGGAGATGTCGCGAGTACAAGTATCATGATCTTCTTGGGGTTCGAGTCACGGAAAGTTTTGAATTCGATATTCTCTTCCGGAATCTATTCCATCTGGACAACGCTCCATGGATTCGGGACCACAAAGTCGGCGATGATGTGATTTTCCCCTTTGCCGGGTATGCTGCGATGGCTGGCGAGGCTGTGCGGCAGGCTACTGGGGTGGAGCAGGCCTTTAAGCTGCGCGATATAATCGTCAGTACTGCCCTCGTCTTGAACGATGGGCCTCCGGTCGAGATCATGACCAGCCTACGCCCACATCGCCTGACAGATTCTCTCGATAGCGAGTGGTGGGAATTTACAATCGCCTCTTACAATGGAACTCTTTGGACCAAACACTGCTCCGGCGAGGTCAGATCTCAAACCGACGACTTTGGAGCAGCTCCGAAAACCGCACCCTTTGTGCGCAAGGTTGCTAAACGTCGGTGCTATGAGTCTATGGCTAGATCTGGTCTCAATTTTGGAAATGCTTTTCAACGCCTTGAAGGAATTCGCTCCGACACCTTATCACAGCAAGCAACTTCTGAAGTCCTTGCCAAGGAGACAGATGGGAATGAATATCATCTGCACCCGACAATCATTGATGCTTCACTACAGCTCCTCAGTGTCGCAGCTTCTAAAGGCTATACTACGTCCACAACCAAGATCATGGTTCCCACCAATATCAAAGAGATGTGTATCTATCGCTGCCACAAAGATGTCCGGGTTCGCGCCTCAGCATCCAACACCCCGAACGGCTCTATAATCGGCAGCGGTCAGTGTATCTCGGCGGGTGGAGAACTTGTTTTGCGCAGCTCAGGGGTCAGACTCTCTGTTATAGATGACCAGGAATCGGAAAAGTCTGGAGATCTGACTGCGCTGGTAAAGTGGGGTCCTCATATTGACTTCTTGGATGTGAGCACACTTATCAAGCCGGTGACTGAGATCGCAGAGTCCATGGACACATGTGTCGTCCGCGCCAGTGACATCCAGGATCTGACTGAACTGTCTCATCTATGCATGATCCACACGAAGCGTACTTTGGGAGGTCTAGAGACAACCATTCCACACATGCTCAAATATCGATCCTGGATCGATCATCACCTCCAAAATGCCGACGTGAATGGCCTCGAATCGCTTGAAGAGAATGTCATTAATCAACGGGTAAAGCGGATCGTGAACGATCTATCTCAAACTGCTGCTGCTGACTTCGCAAATGCCATTTACAAAATCAACAGCCAGATTAAACAGATTTTTGTCGGCGCGGTTGAGCCATTAGATCTGCTTGTTGCGGACGAAACACTGACAGGAATGTACCATTACATGGATCGGTGTGATGAGTCGGAGTTTTACAAGAATTTGACTCACAGCAAACCAAACCTCCGTGTTCTTGAGATTGGATCTGGCACTGGTGGATCTACCGCAAAGGTTCTGAGGCTTTTGAAACCTGACAACAAAGCTTTGTACTCCACATACACTTTCACTGATATTTCCTCTGGATTTTTTGTCGCTGCAAAGAAGCGTTTTGAATCGTACCCAAATATCGAGTATAAAACTCTCGATATCAGCAAGGATCCGTCTGAGCAGGGATTCGAAGACCACAAGTACGACCTCATTCTAGCCACCAATGTCATTCACGCCACAGAGTCATTGCAAACAAGCCTCTGTCATATCCGAAACCTACTTGAGCCTAACGGTCGCCTCCTGCTGACTGAGCTGACCTCGACCTCAAAATGGGTGAACTACATTTGGGGCCCCCTGGCCGGCTGGTGGTATGGCGACTCTGAGGGCCGATCAGAAGAGCCATATATCAGCCTCAATCAGTGGGAGATAGAGCTCAAGGCCGCTGGATTCCGTACACCGGACGCCGCGGTTCGCGATTCAGCTTCACCATATGAAATATGCTCTGTTATAGTGGCAAGACCAGACTTGCACGTCCAACCAACCTCATCTGTTACACTCCTGACACTTTCACCAGAGTCTGAACAGGGCAAGCTCCTGCTTCGCAGCTTTGAAGCCAAAGGGTATAGGGTACACTGTTGCACGCTCCAGGATATGTCTCTCCCCACTGGTCAAGATGTCATTGCTCTGCTTGATGAGCATGGTCCCTTTTTCGAAAATATCGGGGATCTGAGGTTCAGTCGTTTCAAAGAATTGATTCAGAGCTTGGGAGAACGCGGCATCTTCTGGGTGACTCAACTTTCGCAAATCCATTGTCAAGATCCACGATTCGGTCAGATTCATGGCATCGCCAGAACTACTCGCTCTGAGTTGCTCGTTGACTTTGCCACTTGTGAAGTTGACAATTTCGAGTCGTCTTCTGATCAAGTAATTGAGGTTTTTCAAGCATTCCAGGTACGCCAAGAGAGTGAAACTTTCAAACCTGAATTTGAATACGCAATCGTTCAAAACACCGTTCGTGTTGGGCGTATACACTCATTCTCGACACAAGAAGAGACTGCAATCAGTGATACGACCGATAGTATTACTCTACGCACCAGTAAAGCTGGACGCCTTGGCGCTTTGCACTGGACTCGACAGGAGATGGTGGTATTGAAGGACACTGAGGTGGAAATCGAAACATACGCCACTGGCTTGAACTTCAAAGTAAGTTTCCAATACTTCTCGGGGTCCAAATTCTAATGACTCGAAATCACAGGATGTTCTGTGTGCCATGGGTATTGTGGAAGCCGCAGACAATTCATTCGGTCTTGAGGCAGCTGGTGTTGTCCGTCGCCTCGGTCCTGGTGTTCAACATCTGTCCGTCGGCGATCGTGTACTACTCATTGGACGAGGTGGATTCGGAACACGTGTGGTTGTGTCTGAGAATCTATGTGAGAAGATTCCAGGCGGGTTGAGCTTTGAAGACGCAGCCACCATGCCTTGCGTGTTTGCGACATCATTTTACTCACTCTTTACCGTGGGAAACTTACAAAGGGGACAGGTGTGTTTTTAGATCATTCACTTGTTCGGGCTCTTTGCTGACCCTCGCCTTAGTCCATTCTCATCCACAGTGCTTGTGGTGGAGTTGGTATTGCCACTATTCAGTTGGCTCAAATGGTTGGTGCTGAAATATATGCAACCGTCGGCAGCGAAAAGAAGGTCCAGTATCTGATGGAGACATTCGGCCTTCCTCGAAACAGGATCTTCAATTCCCGCAACACCTCGTTTGTCGAAGATCTCATGCGGGAGACTGGGGGTGAAGGTGTTGATCTAGCACTTAATTCTCTCTCTGGTGAGCTTCTGCATGCAACATGGGAGTGTGTTGCCGAGTTCGGAAAGCTGGTTGAGATTGGGAAACGAGACCTGATTGGATCTGGAAAGCTCGACATGAGCATCTTCGAGGCTAATCGTAGCTATTGTTGTGTGGATTTGGATCATATCTGTGTCAAACGGCCAAAGGTTGTGAAGAAGTAAGTTCTTAACACTCCGGGTCAGAAGATCTCCTAGATCACGACTCGGTGGCTCATGCCTGGTGTCTAACTGTGGGTGCAGGTTGCTCCAAAATATCATCAGCTTGTTGAGAGAGAGACACATCCATCCGATCCGGCCTATCAAGGTGTTCAAGTCTGATGAGATTCTGGACGCGTTTCGGTATATGCAACAAGGCGTGCATTTGGGCAAAATAGTGGTATCAATGCTCGACATATCAGATCACGCTTCTTCGCCGGGGGTTGTTCAACAGCGAAGGAAAGAGACTCGGTTCCATGAATCAGGTGCTTATCTACTCGTTGGAGGCCTTGGTGGTATAGGTCGTTCAATCTCTACCTGGATGGTAGAGCACGGAGCTCGTCACATCATCTATCTATCTCGGACTGCAGGTACAACTGAAGCCCACGAAGACCTTAGCCAGGAGCTTTCCAGTATGGGATGTCGCGTTCAATTTGTCCAGGGGAGTGTGGTTGTTCTCCAGGATGTCATTAAGGCTATGTCACATGCACATGGACGACTGAAGGGTATTTTACAAATGTCCATGACTCTTTGCGATCAAGCATTTGGTCAAATGACGCTGGAGAGTTGGAATGCAGCTGTTGATCCCAAAGTCAAGGGGACGTGGAATCTGCACTCCGCTTCCATGTGCATCCAAGCTGATCTTGATTTATTCGTTCTCTTCAGTTCCCTTTCTGGTGTTATCGGAACCCCAGGTCAAGTCAACTATGCGGGTGCGAACAGCTTCCTAGATGCATTTGCAGACTACCGGCGGGGCTTGGGTCTTGTCGCTAGCTCAATTCAGATTGGTGCTGTCGATGGAATTGGCTACCTTGCTGAGCACGATTCAGTCAGACAAAAGCTCACGAGTGCTAATTTGGGCTCTTCCATTTCAGAAAATGAGCTTCTTGAGGTGCTACGGGCAGTCATGACACCAATTCCGACTGCAGCGAAGTCCACAACTACAACCAGCTTCATGCTGGGACTTCGCAGTAATACCACGCTGAGCAGCCCCGCAAACCGTTGCTTGTGGAAGAAGGACGTTCGTATGGCTTCCTTCCACAACTATGTCGAGGCCGACATTGCAGCCAGCTCTACTTCAAATGACAGTCTGAAATCCTTTATTGCCACAGCCAAGGGCGATGCTTCTCTGCTGGGTAAATCTGAATCTATTGAGTTCCTGGCGGCAGAGATCGGGAGGAAAATTTTCAATTTCTTATTGAAGCCCGAAGAGGACCTTCAGACAACATGCACCCTTTCTGATCTAGGAATGGACTCTCTTGTGGCTATTGAGGTTCGACAATGGTGGAAGTCAACTTTCGGCTTCGATATCAGCGTACTCGAGATGATGGGAATGGGAACTCTGTATGCTCTAGGTGAGCATGCGTCTCGGGGTATGCTCAGTCTTTTCCACGGTGAAAATCAGCTGTTCGTTTAGATTCGAGATATACAAGATAGCAGGATGAAATGATTCGCTTAATTTTTTGTGACGGGGGTAAAATCGGAGACTATGCGCCACATAAGATCTATACACATGAATTTGCAAGAATACACCATACACTAGCCCAGCAAACCGCTGGCCAAAGCCTCCAGATCGCCCAGGGTCTCGATTGACTTGGGAGCCTTGGAGGGCTTCTCGTCCCCAGAGACACGCTGCTTCTTGCTGGGACGAGGCTCGGGCTCGGATTCCGAGTCTGAGCCGGGGATCTCGAACGGCACATGAGGGAGATGAGAGAGACCCTGGAAGTCGCCTTCCTCTTCTGCCTCGGCCGCGATCTCGGCACGCTCGCGGGCCTTGCGCTTCTCCTTCTTCTCGCGACGCTTCTCGCGCATGACTTCCTTGTCCTCGATATCGGCTTGGCGGGTACGCTCTGTCTCGCCCTCGAGGAACTTCTCGCGCTGGGTGTTGGCGTCGCCCTTGGCTTTGAAGGCATCCTCGGACTCCATCTCGTACACTTCGTGGGCATTGCCCTCGTCGTCGTAGATGAGCTTGGTACCCTTGCCCTTGAACTTGAGTAACTTCTTCTTAGACTTGAGAAGCTTCTCGCGTCGCTTGGAGTCGATAATGAGAGGATCTTGGCCTGCGATGTGTACCTTCTTGACACCAGTAGTATCCTTCTCGGCGTCGAAATCGGAGTCGGAGTCGGAATCAGATCCAGATGCGGCACCCAGATTTTCATCACCAGCAGTGAAGCGGCGCTTGACCGACAGGAAATCGGCGTCCTCGTCAGCCTCATCGTCAACATCCTTGCTAACATCCTTGGTTCCATTGTCGATCATCGTGCCATCGTCGTTGATGAGCTTAGAGTAGTGCTCTGCCAACACACCCTGGTTACGACGCTCAAACATGCGGTCGTAACGTGTGCGCACCTCCTTCTCATCCTTCTTGTCCTTCTTCTCTGCGTCCGAATCGTCATCACTAGACATGTGTGCCATTCTCCATGATTCGTTCTTCCGCTCCTTCGCATCGTCACCCTTAATGAACTTGATACGCGGAGCTCCAGGAAGACCAAGACTCTGTGCATACTCTTCTAAGGGAAGCTCCTTGATCTTGAAAGTCTCCTTGTCCTTTTGAACGTAGACTGACTTGACGTAGGAGATAAACGCCTTCTGACCCAGATATTTTAGCTCTGGGTCCTTGAAACACATATTTTGCAACTGATTCTTGACACTGTGCTGCTTGTTCGCTTTGATGTTGATTCGCACAACCGGAACCTTCTTCTGTTCGAGCTGGTTGAGGAAACCCTTTTCCTCGCTGGGATCCAGGAACAGCACAGCACGACCAACACGCTCATACCGGGCTGTTCGCCCGACACGATGGATGTAGGTGTCAGCGTCTTCAGGGCAATCCATTTGAATGACCCAGTCGACCGCGGGGAAATCCAGACCACGCGCAACCACATCGGTGGCAAAGAGGACTGCGTGTTGAGCCTGAGAGAATTTTGTGGTTACATCAAGGCGACCTCCCTGCTTCTGACGCCCATGCAAATGCAAGAGAGAGATACCGGGCTGCAGATGGCGCAGTGCTTCGTAGCAGTAGCGGACTTGCTTGCCCGATGATAAAAATACAATAGTTTTGGCTTTGAGGTTGGCGCGAATGAAACTCCAGAGGGTATCGAGTTTTTGAGGCAATGGGATGACGGTGTAGTGTTGTTGGAGGGTGGAGGGAGTAGCGGCGTCGGCGGATTCGTGAACAGATACGTACTCAGGTTCTTGCAGACTCAGTCTAGCCAAGTCACCGACCTTCTTGGTCTGCGTGGCACTGAATAGCATGGTCTGGCGCTGCTTGGGGAGATGGTCGATAATGGCATCCACGGTTTTCTGGAAGCCCATATCCAAAATTCTGTCGGCTTCATCCAAGACCAGCATCTGCAGGTTGTTTGTCTCAAACATGGCAGTCTGATCTAAATGTTGCAGCATACGACCGGGTGTGCAGACCAAAATGTTCATGCGACCCATGCGTTCTTGTTCCTCCCGCAGACTCTTTCCACCAATGATCAGACCCGCGGAAAAGTGGTGGTTTCTTCCAACTTTCCTCAGTTGTTCGAAAATCTGAATTGCGAGTTCGCGAGTTGGCGACAGAATGAGCGCGCCGAGGCCATCGAGTTCGGTCCATTTCTTGCGATAGAGGTTTTCGATAACGGGAACAAGGAAGGCGAGGGTCTTTCCGCTACCGGTCTTGGCTGCACCGAGAATGTCACGTCCCTTGAGACCATGACTGATGGCACGCGCTTGAATATCGGTGAGAGTCTTGTAATGGGAGGCGGAAAGTCCTGAAGCCGTTGGCTCGGAGAGTGGGAGATCGGAGAAGTTTTTGAGTGAGGCTTTGAGGTCGAGTTCTTCGACCTGCTTCACAAGGTCTGAAATTTGTTCCTCGCCACGCTTTCGCTTCAGGATCCTCCCTGAGTCCTGATGAGCTTTAGCCTTGGGCTTGCCTTTCACTCCTCGAGGCGCCATGATGCTGTTGGGTTGATCTTGGGGAGTTGCGGGCGGTGAAAACATCTTTTTTTTTAATCGTCGCTTGGCAGAAAGCGGTAGATGAGGCGGTGAGAGATAGATCTAGAGTATACAACTAAAAGTGTTCTTTTGCTGCGGTAGTATATTGAAAATTCAATTCGGCTTTTGCTTTCTATATGAAATAGGCTCCATTCGGTCGCAAATGCGATTTAATAAACCAATTGATCAGTGCGAATACCTAAAACTGTTTACTCTGAAGAGTCGGCGCTCGGCGCTAATTATGCTGACTGATCCGCAGATAAGCCCCGGCGCCTGCTCTTATCTGGTTTGAGCTTCGGTCCTCAGGGAGTGTTTCTCTCCAGTCTACAGTCCACCATGGCGGACGAAGATCAAGACATCTTTGACTCCCTTGAGAGGGAGGCTTCAGACTTTAATAAGGTATGACTCTTTGAGTATTCGCCGACCGTCATCGTGACTAACACGCGACAGGATGCCGAAATTGATCGCATCCGCAAGGCATTCACTCTTGATGCGTAAGTCAACGCTCATCCGACGTTGTGATCCATTCTCGGCTTCCCATCATGAATTCAATACTGACCTGCCATAGGTACGCTGTCCTAGATCTGCAACCTGGAGTTACAGAGAAAGACATCAAAATCCAGTACCGCAAGAAATCCCTCCTCATTCACCCCGACAAAACTAAGAACCCCGCCGCACCCGATGCCTTTGACCGGCTCAAGAAAGCCCAAACCGCTCTTCTAGACGAAAAGCAGCGCACATACCTGGATGAATGTATTGCAGACGCGCGTCGGCTCTTGATCCGTGAACTGAAGTACACAGTTGACTCCCCCGAACTGAAGACCGAAGAGTTTAAGGTCGAGTGGCGCAAAAAGACGATTTGGGTGCTACTTGAGGAGGAGGCGCGCCGTCGGCGACAGCTCAAGGCGCAGATGCAAGAAGAAGGTCGCGAACAGCGCAAAGAAGACGAGGAAATTGAGGCGCGGAAACGGAAGCGCGAGCATGACAAGAAGTGGGAAGATACCCGGGAGGAGCGCATTGGCAGCTGGCGAGATTTCCAGAAGGAGCGCAAGACCGGTGATGAAAAGAAGAAAAAGAAAAAGATGAAGGTCCTAGGATAAGCGTTCAACACAACAATTTTTTAGTTTCAATTGCAATGAAAGATCCACGAGCATCTACCGAGTTCCACAGATAAGCTGCGGGGGGGACGCGGGGTCCCGGAAGTTAAGGAGTTCAACGGCTGCATTTCCGACATCTCACACTTGTAGAATTACAACGTCGGTGGACAGAGAAGACGAATTTCGGAGATCTTTCGGGTGTCACATCGCTCCCCGCAGTGTGTGGATTAAGTCATTGTGCCCGAGAACCACCTTCAGGGCTGATCTCCCCTCATCAACTCTCCAGCTCCGTTCTCCCTCCCTCTCTTTCTCTCGCCATGACTCAGTCTGCGAGATACCCGCTACCTCATGATCATCTGAAACCGTTCCCCTCGTCACCTGCGCCATCGCAGACTGCAGCCAAGCCATTGGACAATGCCCAAGCCGAGGTCAATCACAATGGGGACCCCGATACAATGCCTGAATCCAATGACCTCCCGCCTCTCCCAGCCGTTGTCGCCCGCATTCATAGCCGGGTGAAAGCTTTCCTCAACGAGACACATCCCGAGGACTCCCTGCTCGCCTCCGTCCAGCGCCAAACCCGCATCTCACTGGGCGTGGTCTCAAGTGCACTGAAGCGCTACAAGCTCTCTGAACTCTCTGTTTCATACAATGGCGGCAAGGACTGTTTAGTTCTGCTCATTCTTTTTTTGGCCGGCCTGCACCCCGAAAACAACCCCGAGGTCCATAATACCGAAACAGAAGCACAAATAGCCGCCGCAACCTTCATCCCATCTATCTACGCCCTGCCCCCGGACCCTTTTGATGCCGTCGAAGACTTCGTTGTCACCTCCGCTAGAGCATACCATCTTGCCATCACAAAGTATACGACCTCGCCGCCCGCGTCAACGCTACGCTCCAGCTTCGAAGATTACCTGGCTCGACACCCTGGTATCCGGGCGATATTCGTCGGCACCCGGCGGACAGATCCGCACGGGGCGCAACTGACACACTTTGACCGGACAGATGGCGGCTGGCCCGACTTTATGCGAGTACACCCAGTGATTGACTGGCATTATGCAGAGATCTGGGCGTTTATCCGGCATCTGGATTTGAGATACTGTTCCCTTTACGATGAGGGATACACGAGTCTGGGAGGGACCTCTGATACGCATCCGAACCCTAAGTTGCAAAATGATGGGGAATACCTCCCCGCGTACCAGCTCACGGAAGACGTGGAAGAGAGGTTGGGGCGGAATTGACTTGTAAATAGCGTGTGTCTTCCCTGTGTATAGAACGAGAATTTCCTCTTTTGATAGATTGCACGTTATAGCTACGCTCACCTGTTGGGGGCTTGAACATGAACATTACTGGAAATCAGTCTGTTGTCAATAATATCATATTTGATTGCGCTACCTCGTCGGTGCGATCACGAAGTCTTGGGACATGCGTCTGGAACATACACATATTTCTGAAAACATGCAAAGTCTTATAACTGCAAAAGATAAAGAAAGGGAACCACCGTTCTCCGTCATCCCGTGGTCCTCTCATCAGACTCCATAATAATAGCAGGAACCGTATTGATATCGTTAGTCATTAATCGTGAATCATAAACCTGGTCATGAAACAGCAAAGCTGAGCCATACATTCTCGTACATTCTGTGAATGGTAAGAGATGCAGTGTATTCTGGAACTGGATCATGGGGGCGCTGCGAGTCTTACCCGGAGGGTAAGAGTCTGTAAGGTATCCCGGGAACATGGGTATGCGCGGGATATTGTCGCACCGGTGGCTAAGCGCACGACCGGATAGGGGAGAGAATGATCATGGGGGACGAATCTGCAGAGGCAGAGCGCGCTCGCATGTTCTCCTTTCGAGGGGTCGAAGCGTGGGAGCAAGCTTCGATAGGTGTCCCTGGAATGACGGTCTTGGATGAACCACCAGAGAGATCAGTGTAAGAGCGACGGTCCAAAGAACGTGCTCGACCGCGATGACGAGAGGGAATGTCAAGCGCGTTGAGGCTCCGTGACGATAACGAACTATCCCGTGCACTGCTTGACGCCTTCTTCAGATGCGGATGACTGTCAGAATTGTTAGCATACCTTGGGTTATCTTGAGGTTCAAAGCTGATGTTAGGGCATACCATGGGGAGATTGTAGTGGCTGGGGTCCAGTCTGAGCCAGCTCCAACTGGGGATGCATAGCTGACTTGGGAGTTTGGAGTGAGGTGTGAGGTACGTCGCATCGAAGGAGAAGGAGTGGACCCTTGCACCACCTCGACTGAGTAGTTGTACTCCCCCGCGCGATAAGCCCGACGCTCATTGCTCTGCTGCTTCAAGATCTTCTGAGCTTTGGTATCGGCAAAGCGCAAAAGCAACTTAACCCCATCCTCCGTGGTGACGTTGTGAAACTCGGTCAGAACCTTCTCGGCAATTTCGCGATTTTCAAACCTGTTGAGTAAGACGCAATTGTTAGTTGGGAATAAACGAGAAGAGTGAACGGAGTAATATGATACCTTGCGAAGCCCACTTCCTTGCTTACACCCGTTTTCTCATCCCGGCTGATCTTTTCCGATACAACGCGCCATGGTTCGAAGTGATTGCGAAGGTCCTTCTTTGTCAGTAATTGTTCTATCATGGGAGATGGTAGAAATGCGAACTTACAGCCTCGGTCCATTCCATTGGGATGTTAGTGCAATATATGTTTGTAGAAGACCTGTCTTCGAGATCCTTCAGACGAGAGTTGCGAGACTTTTGAGCGAAGCTAGCCTGGTAGCCAAGGTAGAAGAAACCCCGGATACAGTTTTCGCAGGACTCAAAGCTGTAATACTGGACGAACCCGAAACTGTCGTATCGTCAGCATTGATCAGCATCATTTCTTCAACATGGAATGCATACCCTTTGCAAAGGCTGGTATCCAGGTCCACTATCGCCTTGCAGCGTTCGATTTTTCCGAACCGCGCAGCGTATGCATGTAGCATCTCATCAGTCGTCTCTGGCAGGAAACCTCGAATGTAGACGTTCGTAATCCCCTCGCGGTTCTCCAAGCACTTGGCAAGAGTCAATTCAGAGGGATTGGTCCACATAGCAGGCACTGCACGTGGGATGGCGGGATCTTGCTGGGTGATGGCCTCCAGGTCTTGAACCGCATATCCATTAGGTGTCTTCATCATTTGGAGCGGGAGTGAAAGTGACCCAAACTGGGGAGACATTGTTCCATATGAGTAGCTGCCAATCGAGGACATAGAGCCACTATCAACGGAAGACATGTAAGCGGAAGGATAGCAGTATTGTAACTGGCCTGCGTTCTCTGTTTGGGCTCCGTTTTGAGCGTCGGCCATGTTCCAAGTACCTTGCTTGGCATTCTTTCCATCTTGAAGATCATAGCTCATCATGTAAGGCCATGAAGGATAGGCACCAGCCATCACGGGGCCGACATTTGGATAGATACCAGTTGGAAGGTACGAGAACTGGCCCATTGAGTCATTTTGACCCGACAAAGTGTTGGGAACAAACGATGACACGGTCGGAACGCCATTGAAGACGGTCGAGTTGGGAAGCAGGATGAAAGGACTGTTGTAGGCACGATTGGCATTCGACCAGTCCATGCTCGTGTTTAATTGAGCAGGAGCAGTGTTCTTCGAGCCACTGAACTTGGAACGAGAGTTTTGGATAGTCATCCGACTGAACATGTTGTTCAAGGCCACATTGCTGCTTTCACAAGAGGTCGGGTTGGTGGATTGTTGATATCGTGGACAATATGGCGTACGGGGCTCATTCTGGTGGCATTGACCTGACTGGGAGCTTGATGTTTGACCAGAGCCCGACGAGCTTGTGTGCTGGGAGCCCTGGAGGTGCATGATGAGGTGCCTTGGCTGTTCAAGATCATGGTGTTAGTTTGCTCTTTGGATATCTTCCTCTAGTCCTGCCTAAACAAAACTCTTCAAAAGAAGAGGAATCCATAGCGAGAGACCTCACCTGCGTCCCCATTCCAGCTATATAAGCCCAGACGGAATACGGACACTGGTGAAGATCGTCAGTGATTGACACTGATATGGGAAACCAAAATGGCTGAACAGGACGGAAGATTGGATGGTGGAATCACTCACAGAAACGCAGACTGGCGCTCCCTCTGAGGACTGGAGAGTGATCCACGATCACAGGTGTACGACGATGAAAGTCTAGACAATCAATGTCGGGATTAAAAGATGACGGGATGAAAGTGATGGGATGGGGATGAAGACAAGTCAAGAAGAATAAGTGGCAGGGGAGGGAAAAAAATAAAAGTCACGAGCTACATGGGGAAAGTGCTGAGAGACAGAAGGAGCTCCGTCATATGAGCTGGGGGAAAGAACGAGAGTGGAAGTCACATGGGGGAGAGTGGCCCTACCTGCATCTTTTTTAGAGCATGCACTCTTAGCATGGGAGTCCCTTGTTTTATGTCACATATTATAACTCGAAAAGAATCAGAACGATGGATATCTGCAGTTGAATAGGGTGTTGGTTTCCCGAGTTCTCGGTTTTCTCTAAATGTTGGACGATAGTATGCAATATGAATCGTAAGGGGAATCAGGCGCCCGGTATACTAGCGATGACCTTATTCAGACTGTTCCTGCAGCCACTTATAGACCACCGAGAAATCTTTTCCACGGTGTTTCTCCTCAACATCCTTGTAAACCTCGCGGGCCTGGGCTCCTAGGGCGAGAGGAGTACCAGACTCCTTCGCAGCCGCAAGAGCTAATCGGAGATCCTTGTGCATTAGGCTCACTCCGAAACCGCCTTCATATCCACGCGACGCCGGGGCCGTCTCGACAACACCGGGGACAGGATTGTTGACCTCGGAAGGCCAGCATCGGCCGGTCGACGAATTGATCATTTCAGCCAAGGCTTTGGGCTCGAGACCCCAGCGAACACCGAGATTCATAGCCTCAGCAGTGGCGATGTTGTTTAGGGCCAATATGTAATTATTGGCTAGCTTGCCAGATACTCCAGCACCGGGCTCTCCAAGATGCCAGGCTTTCTTGCCCATCAATGCCAGGACGCCACGGACACGCTCGAGCAATTCCTTCGATTGCGAAGAGGCGCCGAACATGAAGGACAAAGTTCCGGCTCGGGCGCCAACCACACCACCTGATACAGGGGCGTCAACGAACCGGCCGGTCTGGGTGGTGTGGATAGCATTGGCAATGTCCTTGGAAGTGACCGGATCAATAGTAGATGTATCGATGAAGAGGCGTTCCTGGTCGAGAGGTGGAAGTGTTCCATGTTTCAAGATCGAGTGGTAAACTTCGATGACGTGCTGAGATTCTGGAAGGCTGGTGACCATTACTGTCTACATAAGACGTGAACAGTAAGTACAGAGCACGGTCCAAGAAGCTAGTCAAGCCACAGGACCCGCACAAACTAAGTACTTACCGATTTCTCTGCGACCTCGCGCGCATTTTCGGCAAGTTCGACCTGCCCTTCACTGGCGCTGGCGCCATTGCTGCGTGCAGCCTCTTGGGCTTCAGTGGCAAACCGTTTCATCGCATCTTCGTTGATGTCACGCACAATTAAGGTATCTTCTGCGGGGATCTTGGCGCGGAGGTTTTTAGCCATATTGTACCCTTGGGGTAGTCAGCCAATGCATCAATGAATTTGTCGGCCCGAAACAACCGAGGTCATCACTGTAGGTCAAACACTTACCCATTTGGCCTAGCCCAACAAAGCCCCACGTCGCATCACGATGCCTGGTCGTGGAGAAAGCTCGGGCCGAGCTGGACGGCCAGCGTCGGAGATCCACTGCAGAAGCATGGAGGGCATTCGCCCTCCGTGGGAGAGCCAATGCTGTTCGAAGACTCATAGCGTAGCAATCAAGTTGAGCTGCTGAATGCGCTGTGGAATGCAAAAGAGAGACTGTCAATGGCAGTCGCGTAGTAAATGTATTCTGAATTGTGAACAATGTGAACAGCGTCAGGCGCGAATTATGATCAGTGTCTCGAACTGATCAAAACAAAAAAATTATTGGGGTGGGGGAAGAGGACAATTTAAAACAAGCCAGAGCTACACTGAGCAGTTCAGCCGTGGCTTTCCGAGAAGCCAGGGGGGGAGGAGGTAGAGAAGTGTACTGATTTGCGGGGAAGTGCCGCATTAGGAAAGCCGTGGGGAAGCGCGTCTTCGTCACGTGTGGGGTAGACCCATATACTCGTACGACATACGAGTAGAACGCCAATGCTTCAAGTGAAAATATGCAATGTAGACGTAAATTGTAATGCAAAACACCTAGAAATGTAGTTTCACCAACTTCTGCAGGGTGAGTAATATACAGGATGCAGAAGTGCGAATCGACGCTGAAGAAATCAATGACCAAGTATATGGACTTTAAAAGGGTATGTAGTATGTGGACCAAACTCCCAAGAATTGCCCGTACACCAAAGAGAGATTGAACCAGGGAACAAGGAAATAGGGGCGAAGTGCGATAGATACGATTGGGGGAGGAATCACCGAGGTGATGCCGGATGGCTGGTTGGTGTCGAAAGATACTCCTCGGGCACCTTGGGCACACGAGGTGAGTTGGCTGTTTGAACAACGGCGCGATGCTGCGCACGGAGGTGATCACGCTGCCGCTCCTTCTCTCTATTGGCAGCGCCACCAGTCAGCCTCCGCATACCGCTGCGAATCATCGACTCCAGAGAATGTGACCCGTCAGTTGCGCTGCGGACCATGGGGACGGGAAGTGGATGCAATCGTTTATTCACCGGGCGTTCTTCTAGATCTGAATGCACCTCATCCGGCTCTTCGTCGGACAGGAAGGCAGAGTCGCTCAGTCCAAGGGCTTGGGTGGCATGAGGTGCACCGGACGCAGTGTGAAGGTAAAGGTTGTTGGCAGGGGAAGTGACGGATCGGGTATGGGAGGTCGGGCGTAACAGTTGTGCAGGGTTTTGGGGCACTGCACTGATCGGAGAGTATGGAGCGGGACCATCGAAGCGGAAGTTTGGCGCACGAGACTCGGCGAGACCGTTGTGGAAAGACGATGTAGATCCCGTGCGAGCAAGAGACTTCCTCAAGATTGGCGCAGTCTGTTGGTCGTAGAGATGGGCGTTTGTATCTACCACGTAGCTGCCTGTGAACCCTCGCAACATAGGAGGGGCAACAGGGTTTAGAACTGGAGTTGTGGGATCGGTCTCCTCAAAGAAGTCATCTAAGCTATCCAGCTTCTGCACAAGATCTCCCATGTTTCCATCGGTTTGCGTATCAATCGACTTCATGGTATCGGCTCTCATGGGGAAGAATGAATCGCTGCTGTTATACTCATCTGCGTGGAATGCAACACCTGGAGTCATCACATCCTCGTCTTGCATGTCTTCGGCCTCTACACAGGTATAGAACACAGCATGAACGTTGTGCCTGGTCATGCTTGACTGTGTCGCAGGCATGGGAACCGACCAGCCCGTGGGCTCGGGAATCCCGTATAGACTCTGGATCCTTTCATACTCTTTGCGAATTGCGCGAGAGGAGGCTGATGATGCCATACTCATACGAAGATGATGGCGCTCCATTGGGTTTCCAGACACGGTGATGATGTGGTCTAGAACCTCAAGGGCCTGGGGACAGAGGTCAGTCTGCAGAAGCCGGAGTAGAGGAGAGATCAAGTCAGGACCGTGGCAGGTCACTTCGTTGCGTCTCATATCCACTTCAGGAATCAGCACACAGAGAATCCGCATCACTCTGATCCGGAACCAATCCGTGGTATTTGTCAAAAGGCCCATGAGGAAGATCAAACACTGGAAATCAAGGCGAGGGAAATAGTATAACTTTATCTCAGTGATTATATGATCAAGAAAGACGCCAGCGGTCTTATACTGCTGATTCGCAAATCCGAACAGCGAAGCTGCCAGCCTGGGGCATCGCTCGCTCTCGGCAACCCGAGCGAGTAGACCGGCACGGGCGATGGGTTTGGAATCACTGAAGTTTTGTTCAAAACTTTGAAGGAAATGCGGCAAATTTGCCAGCACTGTGAAGAGCTGGCGGGTTCCATCTCCAATGAGGTTATTGTTAGGCAGACCACTTAGGAGATGCAGGAGATCGAGTGTGCGATCAAAAGACTCCGATGATTTCATTCCCTTGAAAACCAGGTCCTGTAGACCATCAAATCCACCTTCCCATTTAGGTGGCTGGCCCTCAATAAGCTTGGCCACTACGACTGGATCGCTGAGGTCGACACGGCTGAGGAATTTCTCAAGCATGCCGATACTTTCAGTGAACTCTGTCTCGTGGATTGTGTTCAAACAAGCGCAAGTTGTCCAGAACAATTGAGGATAGTCCAGAAGGTCAGAGGGAGCTAGTGAGCTGATGATAATCTTCAAGGTTGTGAGAATCTCCATTGAGAAGGTTTGGTAGTCTGTCTCCTCATCTGCAATGGTGTTTGAGAGACGGGCAAGCATGTCCGCGAGCATTCGCGAATCCAACGACGTTGAGATACAACGGAAGATTTGGAAGGACCGGCATGCCAGGTGTCGCACTGGGCACGAGGTGGCCCAGTTCAAGGCTTCCTTGGCCCACAAATCACCAACGCCTTCGTAGGCAAAGCTGAAAAATCTGACAACATCACGGGTGACGAATGCCATAGAAGCAGGCACCCGACGATCGTCAGACTCTTCATCTTTGCCATGGTTTTCTTCATACTCCCAGACAACAGCAGGGTCACTCTTACGAATTGACTCCACGAAGTCCTCCACAGATTGCCGGGCGCCAGCTGGGGCATCATCTGCAAGTTTGGCCGCTATGAGCTCGTGAATGAGATGTACCAGCATCTCACGGGCTTGCTCCTGCACAGTGACCGTGTAATGATCCCACAGGATGAGTACAATATGAATGAGCTTGACAACATCCTCGAGGGCCAGGGTGACCGGGGTAACCATGAGATCAACAAGGAATATTAGAGCCACCTGTCCAAGAGAAAGACCTGCTTGCTTGTTTCCGACTGGTAGCACCGTCCCAAGGTCTGCGACGTAAGGTAGACTGGTAATATCTGAAGGAGGTGGAGTCAAGTCTTTCCGCTCTTGCACCATGTTCTTCGGCACAACTTGCAACATGAAGAACTCGATGACCTTTGATCCAGCCGGCGTACCAGAAAGGAAAACGACCATCTGTTTAGCGTATTCCACAAAATTCTGCTCTTTGCGCTCCAGGCATATGCTGATAATAAAATCAAGGACTAACTGCACATTGCCCCCATGGGGGCCTGTCGCCAAGGCCTGCCACAATGCTTGTACCTGATTTGGCAAAATTGTGCTGCAGCGAATGGTAATTTCGAACAAGTTAGCCAGCAACATGTATGACTTGGCTGTGGGGCCGCCATTAGGATCAACCTGGAGCTCCATCGTCTGAACCCACGGCAAGATAGCGGCAACCATGTTACGCTGGCTATCGGGTTTTAGATTGCGGAAATGCAAAGAGAATTCAGAGAAGATGGTGAAAGCCAGGTCGGAGTGCTGGCTTGCTAGTCTTTTCGAAATCTCGAATTGGGCAAGTTTGTACACCGCGGTGGTCTTGTCTGAGATACTGATATCAAAGTCCTGGAGTCGGGAGTTCTTTTGCTGTCGCTCTTCGAGCTTCCGCAGAAGTTTAGCGGACTTCATTCGAATTTCACGTTTTTCATTGCCCAAAGTCACCAAAACGGCTCCCAGAATTCTCCAGAATCTGAGAGGGTAACTTGGGTACTCGAAAAGAACCTGGCTAACCACTTCAATGTAGCTCTCGATGGTCTTTGGTTGCTCCGTTACATAGCACATTTCAATAGATCGCTCCATCAGATATGAGTGCTCCTGGTTGTGTACGATAAGATTCTTGAGTGCACGGCGACCAATAGCGTGCCATTTGTCAGTGACGGAGTTGAAAATGATCTCAAGCCATGAGAGCATGCGACTGACGTCGAATTGGAGAACAGAGCCACTCTCGGTGGTAATACTGATGGGGCCAGCACAAAGGGAAGCCATTGCACTCAAAGCTGCCGCCCGGAGGTTCTTCTTCTCGATTTCCATAGCAGCAGCAGTGTTTCTCATCTCGCCAGTCTCGTGCGGCTGTGCCATAGCGAATTTCCGCATGTTTTCTTCTCTCTCTGATATCTGGGCTTGATTAGGTGAGTAGCCGCACCAGTCTTCCATAAGAGAAAATGCGGATTTTCGAGACTCGAAAGGCATCCAGCGAGAAGGATCTTTGGCGCGATTGATGCCTTCAAATAGTTCCTCCATAAGTCCACAATAATGGAAGCGCAGGCGCTGGAATTCCCAGTCATTTTGAACCTCGGCGTCACTCAAAAAGATCCGAATATCCTTTGCGTAAGTGGCAAGGTTATTGACGATCCAGTCGTCGTTGTAAACCTCTGGCTCTTGAAGGAAGTGGGACGTAAGTTTGTAAACGTTGGTGACTTCGGTACGTAGGCGGTCCGTCTTTCTGTTTCGACGAGGACTGCTGGGACTCCGGAAGTGGTTGCCGATTCGCATCTTTGCTTCTTCGTTGCAGGTCGTGACAGCATACTGCAACGACTCAAGAAGTGTGCGATAGAGATTTTTATGGATGGATCCTAAAGCCACCACAATGGCGCTGCGGATGGAGTCTCGCTCAGCAGAAAGCAGCGGAATGACAAATGCAAACAAGCTCCGAGCAGAGCTAATTTTATCTTGAGACTGGTGAGCCCCTTTTGAGGCTTTGCGTGCGTGTTGAGCATTCGCCAGTTGGCTTTGAGACTGCGCCCCGACGTTGGTGACTGTGGTACATGCCATGACCAAGTAAAGCTTCCATTGCTCGACCAGGATCTCAGATGTTACGTTGCTTCTGCCAACAGGACGAGGCTGGTAGGCATCCATTGAGCCATATTGGGGAAAGCGTATGCTTTCGGCCAAATGCGTAATGAGTTTGTGCATCTGAACAAGTCGTGCGCATACAATCTCCCTTCCCAGTGTTACGGCAAAGGGACAAGTCTCGAAGCTGACACGAATGATGTTGGGGAAGACCTTGGCCCACAATGTTGAGTCGTAAGACACTTCACTGCTACACAGCTCGATGAGTGTATTTTGCGAAGCGCTCCGTCGTTTCCCTTTTTGGATCCGGCTTCGCTCGGCAACCGTTAGATTTTCATCGTTGACATCTAGGATTTGCTGGGAATCAGCCTCAAGAATACGAATGATGCGGGTGTTCTCTTTTCCAAGAGCGCTGTCGAATTCGGTGATCAGACGAAGGACCGTGATGGCAAATGCTCGAACCCGTCTTGATTGCGAACACAAAAAGAAGAGACCGTGTGACTCAATCTCTTCCACGTGCGCAAGCACGCTTGATAGATCAAGGTGTAGTGCGCGGCTGCCCGATATAGACCGTTCTAGCTGATCCATTGCTGCTGCGCCTTTCGTTTTCTGTTTGATCTCGTTGATCCAGATCTGCAGGAGCTCAACATAGAGCCTCAGAGTAGACTCGATATGTCCTGGGCCTAGCATCCCCTCATCTGACATGGTAGAATAACGCTCATCAAAGTTGAATATAAACCTGGCAAATCCTATTGTAACTTGTTGGGCATGCAACTGCCGTGCGATGGCCTTCAAGGACTGAGCCGAAGAAGTGGCGATGTTGGACTGAACGTGTGCAGTCCCTGTGCAGAGTAGGTTGATGAGTGAGTTAAATGGGATGTGATCGGAGAGACAGCGGGGGAGGGCCTGAACTGCCACATGGAGGAGGTCGTAGAACCCTTGCTTCTGGTCCAGAGTGGTAACATGGTCATCACGGCGGCCGAAGCTGAAAGCTTCCGAGATTGGCGTTTTGGGGGTAGTTCCACTGAACTTCTCGTCCAGAACTGCTTGGCCGCCAAATGTATTATCGCAAAGCAAAGTGATCTTGCCCAGAACTTCACAGAAGCGGAAGTAATATTCTTTCACGTTTTCACTCAGTCTTGCTGTGTTGACTGGTTGCCACGAGGTTGGGTCTTGCTTTTCGGTGGTATTTACCACGGTATGCTCCTTGAGTAACTGAGGACGATGGAAATATAGAGGTGTCGAGGCCTCTGTAAAGGGGTTAGGTAGCGAGCCAGTAGGAATCGGAGGACACAGCTGGTCACTCGTTTCCAAATCAGACATGGTAGCTAGGAAAGCACGAATTCCGATGACCATCTTTTCCGGTTCCATCTGCTCTATCCTCAACTCCTTGCCCGACAAGAAAAGATCGGAGTTTATCAGAGGGAAAATAATATTGCGGAAACAAACATCCGGATGCTTGAAGCCAATGATTTGAATCAGCTGTATCAAGGGATCGGCAAAGACCGGCTCTGCACTAAGATACGTTCTCCGGCCGGTTGGGAGGGCGATTTTTGCCACTTCTTCGACCTTGCGAAGTGTGGTTGTAGGAGAATCAGAGAAACGGAAGAAGTATGTCCAAACCAGTCGGCAGATGGCGTGAAGCGCCGGTGCGCGAGTTGGACGGTCCTTCAACCGAGCAGGTAAGCTAGATATCATCGGCAGCCATTGAGAGGAGAAGGTCTCTTTGTTCGAAATGCAGAGCAGCAGAACGTTCAGCGAGAATGAGGAGGCCCAGTGGCGTGGCTTGGTAAGGAGTTGGGCTAGGCGCGGCTGGACCAAGTCAACGAACTCCTTCCAGCGAGGCAGTGAAAGATCACAACTCGGATTGGCCGCAACAGGAAGGAGAAGTTTCTCGATCACGTAGCAGTACGCCTGTTTGATTCGCTGCCCATGAGCATTGACAAACAAGCGGGCCAGAGACCGCATGAAGTCACACGATTTGAGCCATCCTTCGGGTGACATGGGCAAGCGAAGATATCTCATACAGAGAATTAGTAACTCAGCCTTGGAATCTCCATCACGGGAGGGGCCCCGGGCTGCTTCCTCCTTCTGGTAACGGTCAAGCTCCGCCAGGAAACGCCCCGAGACATTGGAGAAGTTGGACTCGCTCATGATACCTAACAACTGGCCATAGATTCTCCAGTTCGCCATTCGTAATGGAGATGCCGAGATCTGGTCAGGGTCCGAGGTCTTCACTTGGCCGAAAACGATATCTTCCAGGCGATCTGCCATGTCGAGGGTTATTGAGGCCAAGCTACTCTGGTTGAAGATCTCAATCAAAACTCTACAAACTAAATAGACCGAAACCGTCGCCCGTCGCTCGACCAGAGCGACATCGTCGGGACGACTGACATAGGGCGCCGAGGGTTGCGATCGTTCTGCGGTGGCGGTAGGGTCCATGAGCTGGGTGGGCTCGGTATTACGACGCAGCAAGGGACCGTTCTCTGTGGCGGGCGAGGGTTTTTGGTCGTTCGTCATCTGCCTTGCCGTGATAGCCGCATCTCCTTTGGCCTTACGCCAAAACATGATAGTGTCGATCAACGGCTTGGGCTTTTGTCGAGCGATATGTCCGAGGGCTGAGATCAATTGATCGAACGTTGGGTCCGCTCCAGGGCCGCACACCTCTTCCACGGGAGCTTGGGATTCTCCCAGCTTCATTATAGCCTGGTTTATTTTGCTATCCGCCTGTCCCACAAAGGAGTTGAACAGGTGGTGCAACGCATATTCCCCCACTGTCTTGGATTCCGAGTGTTTCGACTGCGAGCGGCTGTGTGATCTCTCCCTCCTTGTTTTTCCTCCCGAATTCATTCGCTTGTGAAGCAAAGCTGCGGGACTCGTATCCATGATGTCCCTATCGGCGTCCTTTATCGGGCTGAGGGTTGGTGGTAACCCATGGCCTGCGGATGCTGCGGATGTCCCCGAGGGTGTTGAATAGCCTGAATGTGTATCGAGAGGGTCGAATTTCGCCGGCAGGGTAGCCTCATCAAATGCCCCGCGTCCGAGAGACGCGATGAGCTCCGGGCTCAGAGGACTTGTTGAAGCAGTCGACCCAGCCATGCTGGTATTCCGAGAATGCTGAACGCCGTGGACGATGGAGGTCTGCCGGTGATGCCCGTAGGAATTGGAGGGTTTTCGTTCTAAGCCTCCTTCATACCCTGGTCGGCTGCCGGGTACATCGGGGCTCTTAGAACCGGAATGACCGCGCCTAGGCTGGATGGGGGCGAGTGTAGAAGGGTCAATAGCTCTTCCTCGGGCGGCGGAGGATTCGCGGCTGTGCATCGGGGTGGACTGGGCGGTGCGAGTACCACGCCGGTCGGACGGGGACGCAAGATTATGGTGCGACGCGGATTTCAGGTCGTCAGGGATGAGGGGCAGTGTTGTTTGGCCTAAGCCAGCTTTGGCGGGATTTGAAGCCACTATTCCGATGTTAAAAGGCAAATTCAGAATCATCCAGGAGAGGACTCACTTATGACAGTGATTCCAGCGTCATTGTTTCTAATTCTAGCTCACGCCAATGCTGCACAGGGAGCAATGCTTGAGCTAAGGGGTGTTCGAGATGATGTGAGCTTGAGATGTTTTTTATCGGGCGCACGGGTGTAAGGACTTTCATTATTAAGCTAGCCATTTCCAAATATACATCAAGAAATAAATCAAAAAGATAGTCTCCTATGCCACTGAGAATGTTATCCAGGGCTTCAACTTTGGGTTCTCCATGGACCTCTTTGGTTTCAGGGTTGGGCCTAGTATGAGTAGCTCCTACGTCTATAGAGATCTCGGGAGCCTCACGTTTCACCTCGACTGTTTTGGAATCGGCCAACTGGCAGACATGATCAACTCAACCATAGCCTATCGCTCTGCACAGTATTAATCTCTGCACATTATTAATACGCTGTACTCCTGAGATGCGGGTTTGACGTAAGGCAGAGGATCCCAGGGGGAACCTCTGATCGGTTTCAAGTGACAAGTCGGGTCTATGGTGAAACAGATCGGGACTCCACACATGCTGTGCGGATTATTTTGTAGGGTCTGGTACTGTATTGCACTATTCTGGTTATACCTCTGCAAAGGGTCCTAGTTCCTCTGTATGTTCGTACTGCATAATTATACAACCCCCTATAGACATTGCCCCTACACCGGCATATCTTTACGTCGTACTTCGTATTCCGTATATAAACATAATGAGATCGAGGGCGTCAGCGCCCCTGGCCTAGACTAGATCTAGCGCTGTTCTGATACAGCGATCAATCTTCAGAGTACGGAGACTGGAGTATTGCCAACGGCTGTCGCTGATCTCGGAAATGTTTCAAGTTGTAGATTCGTCTCATCTCTCTCTTCCTGTTCCAAGGTTTGGGATTGGCTTCAAGTCCGCATCTAGTTATAAATGGATCATCGGGGTCGATATACGAGTACATGTACGAGTAGTGTCTGAAGTGAAACCCACAATGTCTTGGATATACAAACTGCCAAAGTTTGGTCTTTCGGCTCAAATGTTTTCTATCCTGTTTCTAAAGTTGATGGTGTACTCGTAATCCTTTTGTCCTCGTTCTTTGTCGCTATCCCCCCTGCACTCAAAGCGCAACTTTAGAGAAAGTGAGTGCCCTTCTAAGTGCCCTGGCCCATCGAGTACCATCTAACTTGTTGGCTGTACTTATTCCGTACTACCCGCCATCCATGCGAAAGCCCCCGCGAACTTTCTCGCAACGCTCATTGTGTTAGCTTGGACGCTTCTAAAGTTCGGCTCCGTAGCAAGTACTTGGGTCGATGGATTGGAAGCAATTTGATGTGTGTACGGAGTGCTTCCTGACATCTGCACACTTTGTGACACCCCTGTAATGCCAGCCACTACACCATATCAGACGAATACTACAAAATGGGCTCTTAAGTTTAATATTCAACCTTGATCCTTTAGATATAGCTCCCTAGTACAGGTAGATTCGGCTCCGGTTGGATGCATCTCCACCGGGTAGTGGGTTGTTTATCGGCTCCGCCACCGGGTGACAACGCAGGTGCGCACATGAGCAGTCCGACCTTGAATTGTAATGGAGGAACAATATGTACTTATGTACAGAGTAAGAGCTCATAACATCTATCCGAGCAAGCTGTAGCCGCTCGGAACACAAAGGGTTGGCCGTTGACGTCGGAATAGACGGTTAACCTCCTGATACATCACATAAAACCTCAATGGAGCCGCACTAACATCCTGGACGGAAGTGTTCCGCGATCAATGAAAACGCCTGAAGGGGAGGGGACGGAAAAGGGCAAAGAAACAGATATCTCCCGGGTAGTGTTGCCGTTGCCCGTTGCCCCCAACTTACCCGAGCTCCGCCTTTGAACGTTGAGGCAAAACGCCGCTAGACTGGGGTGCAGAGCAAACGGTACGGCTTTCTGATTGACGGTTGCATTGCCTCTTCGGTGTCTACAAACCGACTTTGCTTCCGGTGGACAAACTCCCTCGGCCATCATTCCCCACATATAAAGGACCTGGGGAAGGACACAAGACCAATTTCTACTTGTTCTGCTACTTTGGACTCTACTTAAGCCCATCTTACGTGATTATCATATTACACACAGCACCTGGACAGTTACACCGAATCGACCGGAGTTTCTAAGTCACAAGTTCATAAGCGGTGAAGGCCGAGGTTGCGATCCACACGGAGCCAGGTCAAAGTGGATCAGACCACCTATTGTTTCTTTTCCCTCCTCCCTCTTCCTGATTGAGGTCATTTGGGGTCTTTCAAGTGTGCTCTTTTCGAACCGGGCCGTTTTGTACAGACTTTATACATTTTTGGTGGTTGATTCTTTTGTGAATTCTCTGCCGCGGAGAACGACTGGGAGCAACCTCTCCCCCTCCCCCTCCCCTCACACACACACAATGGCGCAGCTAGATACTCTCGACTTGGTCGTTCTGGTGGCCCTCCTGGTGGGTAGCGTTGCCTATTTCACCAAGGGTAGCTACTGGGCCGTTCCCAAGGACCCCTACGCCTCCAGCGCCGTCGCGAATGGAGCCGCAAACAGCGGCAAGACCCGCGATATCGTGGAGAAGATGGACGAAACAAACAAGAACTGCGTGATTTTCTATGGATCGCAAACTGGTACCGCGGAGGACTATGCCTCCCGATTGGCAAAAGAGGGCTCCCAGCGCTTCGGCCTGAAGACGATGGTCGCCGACATTGAGGACTATGACTACGAAAATCTGGATAAATTCCCCGAGGACAAGGTCGCATTCTTTGTGCTGGCCACCTACGGTGAGGGCGAACCGACGGACAATGCTGTAGATTTCTACCAATTCTTCACCGGCGAGGACGTTGCATTTGAGAGCGGTGCCGCTGCCGAAGACTCCCCTCTGTCTGCCATGAAGTACGTCGCATTCGGTCTCGGAAACAACACCTATGAGCACTACAACGCCATGGTTCGCCAAGTGGACACCGCGCTGAGCAAGCTTGGTGCGCAGCGCATCGGAACTGCTGGCGAGGGTGACGATGGTGCCGGAACCATGGAGGAAGACTTCCTGGCCTGGAAGGAGCCTATGTGGGCTGCTCTGACCGACGCCATGGGTCTCCAAGAACGTGAAGCTACCTACGAAGCCGTTTTCTCTGTCACCGAGGATGAGCTCAAGACCCCCGAGGACGAGTCCGTCTATCTGGGTGAACCTACTGCTGCCCACCGTGAGGGTACCGCCAAGGGTCCTTACTCTGCGCATAACCCTTTCATTGCCCCCATCGTCGAATCTTCCGAATTGTTCTCTGTCAAGGACCGCAACTGTCTGCACATGGAAATCAGCATCGCTGGAAGCAACCTCAGCTACCAAACTGGTGATCACATCGCTATCTGGCCCACCAACGCTGGTGCTGAGGTTGATCGCTTCCTTGAGGTCTTCGGAATCACCGATAAGCGTCACTCCGTCATTAGTATCAAGGGCATTGATGTCACAGCTAAAATCCCCATCCCGACTCCCACCACGTATGACGCGGCTGTCCGCTACTACATGGAGGCTTGTGCCCCGGTTTCTCGTCAATTCGTCTCTACCCTTGCTGCTTTCGCCCCCGATGAGGAAAGCAAGGCTGAAATTGTTCGCCTCGGTAACGACAAGGACTACTTCCACGAGAAGATTACCAACCAGTGCTTCAACATCGCCCAGGCTCTGCAAAGCATTACCTCCAAGCCCTTCACTGCAGTTCCGTTCTCGCTCCTGATTGAAGGTCTCAACAAACTCCAGCCTCGCTACTACTCAATCTCCTCGTCTTCACTGGTTCAAAAGGACAAGATCAGCATCACTGCTGTTGTCGAGTCTGTTCGTCTGCCTGGTGCTTCGCACATGGTCAAGGGTGTCACCACCAACTACCTCCTAGCCCTGAAGCAGAAGCAGAATGGTGACCCGCAGCCCGACCCGCATGGCCTGACTTACTCTATCACCGGCCCCCGCAACAAGTACGACGGGATTCACGTGCCTGTCCATGTCCGCCACTCCAACTTCAAGCTGCCTTCTGACCCTTCGAAGCCCATCATCATGGTTGGTCCCGGTACTGGTGTTGCTCCCTTCCGCGGTTTCATTCAGGAACGTGCTGCTCTCGCTGCCAAGGGCGAGAAAGTTGGAACTACCCTTCTGTTCTTCGGATGTCGCAAGAGCGATGAAGACTTTATTTACCAGGATCAATTCAAGGTATGCGACCCTATTGTAATTCCAGAAACCTCAAGCTAACACATTATTATAGATCTGGCAGGACCAGATGGGCGATTCACTGAAGGTTGTCACTGCTTTCTCCCGCGAGGGTTCTGAAAAGGTGTACGTTCAGCACCGCCTCAAGGAGAACGCTACGCTGGTCAGCGAACTCCTAAAGCAAAAGGCCAACTTTTACGTCTGTGGTGACGCCGCCAACATGGCCCGCGAGGTCAACTTGGTGCTCGGTCACATCATTGCCGAGCAGCGTGGCATGCCCGCGGAGAAGGGCGAGGAGATGGTCAAACACATGCGTAGCAGCGGCAGCTACCAGGAAGATGTCTGGTCATGAGGTTATGAATGATGAAAACTTCTCTGTTTCCGCTTAGACGAGCATTTATATTGGCATTCTTCTCTTCTGTTTTTTTTTCCCCCTTCTGTGGCTGCTTTCTCCCATTTCGTTTCATGTATTCCTAGCATTGCCCTCTGAGGGCTTCCTTTGGGAAGCATGTACCGGGGGCTTCAGTATCTATTGTAGACTTGTGATTTAGAACGGAATTTAATTCTCTTTCTAAAGTTCTGGAACAGATGTTCCTCAGGTCATATTTCGGAGAGGCTCCAGGGCTTCCGAATCCTGCAAGTCCGCATGGAACATGAGTTTTGACATCCGTGGATCTTATAACAGATTTCTATCTAGTACTCCACTCCATATGACTTGTGCCCTTAAGGGAAGTAACAATGTGCGGGTGTCCCTAGGTTTATGAATAACTTCATGCATCGATCATAACAAAACCTTGGAAGCAATATAATTCTTCAATGAGATCATGCAGAATTAATGGATTAGGCAAGCTAATTGAGCACATCAGATTTATCAATCAATTGATCAAGTTAAAGAGATGAACGTAAACCAAGTGTGTCATAGAGGCCAGATATATCTATCAAACAGGCCATTCAACAGGTTAAATAAACCATGTGTATTACAAGCTCTAGAGGTTAAGCAGAAGCATGCCATGGGGGGAAGGCGGTAGAGTATAAAGGCGGGGTTGATAGCTTACTCATGTTCTGCCGGCAGAATACAAGAAAGCGTTGCGATGAGCGAATGCGGACTCGAGCGTCATTATACACGCATCACGCATCTCTATATAGTTGAGTTCTATTCCTCCCCACGTCACTTATTCTCTATATGCGAGGGATTGCTCTTATTGCTTCCAACTCCATTGCACCGGACGGCTACTCGCTCTGAGCTGAGTGGTCATCAACATCATGGCCTATGTCGTTCCTATCCACGGCGCGAGTGCCATTCGGCATGCTGTGAAGCTCAACTTCTTCTCGCAAGATGATGAATGTCTTGTTGTTGCGTGAGTCCTAGCCCATACATACCGTTGGGCCCCGGCTCGCTGAACCATGGGATTTGAAGCTAATCTCAACCCACAGCAAGTCAAATCGCCTTGAGTATTACAGGCTGTCACCAGATGGTCTTACCCTCGCGGCGACTTCTAGGCTGTTTGCTCAAATTACCATGCTAGCAAGACTCCCGGCTCCCGCAAATTCACATACTGATCACCTGTTTATCGGCACCGATCAAGATAACTACTTCACCGCATCGTGGGATCATAAAAGTAACCAGATCTACACAGCACGCAGCTGTGTCAATATTGCTGAGCCTTCCTCAAGACCATCTCACTGCTCACCGCGCTGTCTTGTTGATCCCACGGGCCGATTCATGACACTCGAGATCTACGAGGGCGTGATAATAGTTGTGCCAATTGTGCAACCGACAAAGAAGCGAGGCCGTGTGTCAACGGCGGCCGGGGCTGATAATCCTCCTAAGGTGGGGGAACTCGCCAAACCGACTACATCACGAATCGACGAACTGGTCGTCAGATCCTCCGCTTTCCTACACTCAGAATCGAACCCCTGGCTAGCACTACTGTACGAGGACAACGCGCAGAAGGTGCGTCTCAGGATCCGCGAGTTGGAATTCACTCCTGGAACCTCGTCAGGGTCTCCTCCAGAGGCTATATTCAACGAAGTGCAAGACCTTGAAGGGGGACAATTCGGGCAGGAGCTTGACCTTGGCTCCTCACATCTCATTCCGATTCCCGCGCCGCTTGGTGGTTTAATTGTGCTCGGTGAGACTACAATCAAGTACATTGACGACAATGCCAATAATGTACTCACACGAAATCTCGGCGAGGCAACCGTCTTCGTTGCCTGGGAAAAGATTGATAGCCAACGTTGGCTCCTGGCCGATGACTACGGACGTCTTTCTTGCCTATCATTTATTTTGAACAATCAGGGTGAGATAGATGACTGGAAACTCGACCAACTGGGCACCACTACTCGCGCGGGGGTCCTGGTCTATCTCGGTGGTGGTATGCTGTTCGTGGGGTCATACCATGGAGATTCACAGGTGGTCCGGTTGAATGATACATCCTTTGAGGTCATCCAGGTCTTGTCCAACATAGGGCCCATCCTCGATTTTACAATCATGGATCTTGGAAACCGCACCAACGAGACCCAAACCCATGAGTTCTCATCTGGACAGGCCCGTATTGTGACTGGATCTGGCGCATTCAGCGATGGTACCCTGCGAAGCGTACGCAGTGGCGTCGGCATGGAAGAGCTTGGCTTGCTTGGGGAGATGGATCATATTACAGACCTTTGGGGTCTACAGACCCAAAGACAGACCAGTGGTAAATCACTGGATACACTGGTGGTCACTTTCGTGGACGAAACCCGCGTGTTCCGGTTCAGTACCGAAGGCGAAGTGGAGGAATTAGACCAATTCCTGGGGCTTTCATTCACAGAAAACACCCTCCTAGTCGCGCGTCTTTCTGGTGACCGAATTTTGCAAGTCACTGAAAAGCGAGTACTGGTCGCTGATCTAGAAAGTGGGATGGTCACTTTTGAATGGGAGCCTCAGACCCGTAAACACAAGCTGATCACGGCTGCCTCCAACAACGACGAGAGCCTCATCTTGGTTGTCAGTGGTCGCATCGTCGTGTCTTTTGACCTCCAAGGCAATGTCAAATTCGCCACAGAAAAAGACTTCGGTGATGATCACCAGATATCTGGCCTGACCGTCCCGTCTGAGCCACATGGAGTCTTCATTGCCGCATTTCCACAGTCGGCTCAAGTGTCTGTTCTTGCCATCGATGACTTGGCTGAGCTTCACACTAAGTCACTTGGCCCTGCGGGGGAGAGCTTTCCACGATCGGTTCTAGTGGCCCAGGTACTAGTCAATTGTCCACCAACCCTCTTTGTCTCTATGGCAGATGGATGTGTTGTGACCTTCTCGCTGAACCCAGAGGACAAGTCGCTCAGTGGGAATAACAAGCTAGTCCTCGGCTCTGAGCAGCCGATCTTCAAAAAGCTACCCAAAGGCGATGGCTTGTACAATGTGTTCGCCACCTGCGAGAATCCTAGCCTGATTTACGGCTCGGAGGGTCGCATCATTTATTCTGCCGTAAACTCCGAAGGCGCAACCCGGATCTGTCATTTGGATGCAGAAGCGTTCCCCGACGCTATTGCGGTGGCCACCGAGAGGGAGTTGAAGATTGCGCTGGTTGACAAAGAACACACGACACAAATCCAAACTTTGCCAATGGGCTCGACTGTTCGGCGCGTTGCTTATTCGCCTTCTGAAAAGGCATTCGGACTTGGCACCATTGAACGCACATTCCTCGGTGGCGATGAGCACGTCAAGAGCCACTTCGTTCTTGCTGATGAGATCATGTTCCAACAGCTTGATGCCATCGAACTAGGTGCCAACGAGCTCATTGAGAGTGTTATCCGAGCAGAGGTGCCGGCCGGAAAAGATGATCAGGGCAAAGCGGCCACCAAAGATCGATTCATCGTCGGCACGGCGTTTACAGAAGGTGATACGGATGCTATGGGCGGACGAATCCTTGTGTTGGAAGTTGATCATGGTCGCAAACTCAGTCAAGTTGCTGAGTTGCGGGTTCGGGGCGCGTGTCGGGCTCTCGCTATGATGGGCGATTGCATCGTGGCAGCTCTCATGAAGACTGTATGTGCAAGTACCAAGTTGCTCGGATATTACTGACATCTTCTAGGTTGTTGTCTACAAGATGAAAACCAACAACGTTGGACCGATGAAGCTGGAAAAGCTCGCCTCATACCGAACCTCGACTGCGCCAATTGAACTCACTGTGGTTGGGAACATGATTGCCGTGGCAGACCTGATGAAGAGCCTGTGCCTGGTCAGATACAACCAGGGCAAAAATGGCGAGCCCGATGCGCTTGTAGAAATCGGCCGCCACTACCAAACCATGTGGTCCACAGCCGTTGCTTGTGTCGGGGACGAAACATTCCTCCTGAGTGATGCTGAGGGCAATCTCGTCGTTCTTTCTCGGAACAAAGAAGGCGTTACCGCCCAGGACCAGCAACGTCTGCTTGCGACCAGCGAGATCTCGCTGGGGCAGATGGTAAACCGAATTCGCCCGGTTGATATTCCTCATCTTGCCAGTGTGGCGGTCACTCCGCGCGCCTTCATGGCAACGGTAAGTCCCTCTCCACCTTAGCCATACTGATGCGCGTCACTAATTTGCTGTGCAGGTCGAGGGCTCTATATACCTGTTTGCGGTGATCAATCCAGACCACCAGGACTTCCTCATGAGACTCCAAGCCGTGCTTTCTACCAAAGTCAAGTCCCTCGGTGAGCTTTCATTCGACAAGTTCCGCGGCTTCCGCACCATGGTCCGTACAGCCGATGCGCCATACAGATTTGTTGATGGCGAGCTCATCGAGGAGTTCTTGAACTGCTCGCCCAGCATGCAACAGGAGATCGTTGATGAGGTAGGATCTGATGATGTAGAGGAGGTTAAGCGAATGATTGAGGCCCTGCGCCGACTTCACTGATTGTACGAATTTGATGACTTTCATGAGATGCAATTACATTTTTTTAGCGGCTGTGGGACTCTATGAGTCAGTCCACAGCTATGGCAATATGGATATATTTTGTAACCAATTTCTGCCAAAAGAAAACTCCAGCCTAGGTGGATGATCGGGGGTAGAATTTTGATTATAGCTAAAGGGGCCCTGGGAGGCAAAGTTAAATCGAGGCACAACAATTAAAAATACAAGAAGTAAAACCCCCCAGGGACCATGCAATGCAGAAAGACAAACCGTCCGACCCCATCCTCATAGCATCAGAACTCAATAGGTTTATGGATGAGGTTCATAGATCCTTTTTGTCCTGGGGAGCGTGCTCCTCGTCCTCGCTCCAGTCCAACAATTCCATGATCTGTTCACGGCTCAGGTCCTGCGCGCGCTGATCCTTCTTGACATTCTTGATGTAGTTCTTCTGGCGCTTGCGCGCCATCTTGTTCCACTCCGGGACTCCACTGGCAGCAGCCATCACATCCTCTTCGTCCTCGAGCTCGTCGTCGGTGTTTTCGACTTCACCGAGGACCTTGCCCTTGTCGCCACCACCACCGCCACCACTGCGGAGGGAGTTGGGTGACACCTTGACTTTGCCGAATTCGGCTCTCTCCTTCTCCTTCTTCTCCTTCTCCTTGCGGCGATCACGATCATGCATCCACTTGAACAATTTCTCAATGTAGGGTCGGACGATCAGGTAGAAGACTACACTGCCAATAACTTTGGTCCAGCGCTTGCCGCTCATTTGCGCGATCGAGGCATAGCCATTTCTCCAGAACCTGGTCCAGATAGTCTCGAAGAAAACGTAGAGTTGGCCGAAGAAATCCTGGAGGGCCTCGGCGGCATGGTCGCTCAGGTCGGGTTGGGCTTGAGGTGTAGCCATGGTGGCTGTGGAGGGTTTGGAAGAAAGGAAGCCCAAAATTAAGTGCTTGGACACTCCTGGAGGTGAAGTGTAAATAGATTCAGCCGAATAGGAGAAACGGCGAAAAATAATTGAGGGACAGATCTGCGATTTGCTTTGCGCTTCTGTGAAATTCCGCGGGCTGCCGCAACAAGAGGTTACCGTTTGGGGATTAGCGTCCCGGATTAACTATTTATCCTATTCACGCGTCAGTGGCCAATCACGATACGCGCTTCACCTTCTATTCACCTGGGAACTCACTGTTTACCGAGTATCATGGAGCAGACCGAAGAGGCTAGTCTGGAAGAGGTCAGTGGGTGAGACAACCCATCTACTGCAGAACTGACTCCCCATAGCGCTTGAAATCCAGTCTGTGGTTGTCGATCGGCAAGATTGTTGATGAAGAGACCATCAGGTTAGGCGTCAATGCGACGCCGCAGTTCATAGGTGCCTTAACAGAAATGGTTTGGGCTCAGATTGGTATGTGGAATTGACTGTCATTCCACATAAATAGGTAGTCTGACCTTGCCGCAGAGACCGTGAGTCAGGACCTAGAGTCTTTTGCGAAGTAAGTCAGCTTGTGTCTTGACACCGCGACCTTGAGGACGAGGCTGATGATTGTGTTTATCTCAGACATGCAGGCCGATCTACCATTAATACATCCGACGTGATGCTCCTTGCTCGTCGTAACGAAGGGCTTGATTCGATTCTACGCGCTTTTGTTGAACAAGAGAAAGAGAAACAACGCCAGGATGAGTCCTGAGCGGCGGACTGTCAGCCTGATTTGGATCTCGAAGTCGCACAGTGGGCTCTGCTGCTCCAAATACTCCATACAGACTCAATGCATTGCCGTATGCTAGGGATATACACCATACAGGGAAACGGAGACCGCCTGATCCTCTGGCCTCGAGCCCTTTTGGGTTCGCGACCATTGATGCCGTGGATTGTCTCTCCAGTTGTGCCCAGCAGCTTCCCCCGGTGAAAGCTGAATTATTCTTTCCTACCCTAGCAACAGCAGACTATCCTTAATGCTGTGGGTCTCTCGCCGGGGCAGTCAAGCCGTTCCTTTTTGCGATATGAACAATGTGTTGGCTACGTTGATAGGTCATCCCCCGAGCTCATTACATAGGGGTAGTAAGTCCCCTCCTGCCTCAGACGAAAGAGCCAGAGAGCTATACCTGGGGATCCATGGATGCATCGATGGATTTGGACTTTAAAGGTTGAATACGACATCCATGTATGATACCTCATATGCATTCAGCGTTCATGTGCGTTAAGCAAGCTAGCCTGGAACATTGTAAAGTTGTTGGAAAAAAGCGTTGTCTTTCTCAATCCAACTCACTTGCTGAGATGTGCAAAAAAATAAGGACGTTCAACGAATAAAATGTGAGTACATGTTACCTCTACGGTAGTATTTTGGTGGAAACGTGCCTCATTGCTAGCTAAAAATATTGGGTGAAAGAGGGGTCACCGGTTAGGTGACAGTTAGCTAACAACTGTAAGGGGCGGACCGTAGGTGTCAGCTAAAGTACGCAGGAAAAGCGAGGAGATGGAAGAATGGTTCATTCTGAGCTCGTAGCTCGCTAACTAAAAAGAACGGGGACCACGTGACAGGGTCCAGCTAAATCTCCCCAGAACCTTTCCTTGTACTTGGAGACAAGTCTTTCGGGGTCATGTCAACCAGATCTGGTTAGGCGCTGGCTGCACTCATACGGTTATCAGCGAACGAATGACAGCAGGACCGGGGCAGACTCGCGTCGGGGGTCAATCGTCTCCCCTCTAGCCTCTAAGATTGACCGCGGAACTGATCGGTCATGGAGTGTGTCAATGAAGCCTTTTTGTCCTAGGATGATGCCCGAACGCGTGTTTGGGAAGGCTTCTTTGCCCACCACCCACGCGATAAAGTCTATACCAAACAGTGAGTTGGTAAATTCGAGGTTGAATGAATTCTGAACACGGGTGCCATCTTGGTTTTGGTAAACACTGTGGACAGGGTTATGATGGCTCCCAACCCATCAAGGCTACCAAAGTCTGCGAATTTGGCGCGTCAGAGGCAGACGTCGAGGTCTGGCCATGGAGTAGCGAGATTTGCTGCCGATTCAGCGGCGCCAGGAAGTGAAGGCAGGGTTTGTTCAGGCGCGGCGGGTGAGTAGTTTCGTCTAGGAGCTTCTCTTTGAGTAAGGCACGACGACCTGGAGAAAGAGGCTTGGGGCAATCTTCTGGATCCAGTTTGCCCGTGGTACGATTTGGGCGGCTTGATGAGAAATGCTTGGAGGAAATTTCTCGGGCAGATCCATATTGAAAAGCTATCCTCACGGGTTAAGCTCTGGAAATGAAGTGGCACAAGAGATACGTTAGAAACCGCGCCAACCTTGGAAAGAGATCCTAAGCATACGACAGTCAACTGTGGCTGGGGTCGTTCTTTCCCTTTTTGGTTCACTATTTTTGCCCAATTAATGGGAGATTGTCACATGCGTGGCGGGTGAGAGGTCAAATGAGACTGCCTTATGGGCATAAGGCGCTAACCAAAGGCGGGAAGGTGGGGGATATCAACCATGGGAGCCGTGCGATGACATCAGCCAGTGGATTCACTGTGGCCGAATAAAGTGTGGCGCAGACGCCCCCGGCCATTGAACTCAGAGCTTCTTCTTGGCCCATCCACTGATCTTCGTCAATTGCGTCTGCTCAGGGTCTTCGCCTTATAAGTCGCCCAAATCCTGTTGCCTGAGTTTTCTTCCATACATATTCTCCTGGGGTAGTCACCTACTATTCATACAAAATATTTACCTTCATAATGGGAGCTGGTGGAGTCATCCTTCGCTTCTTTAATCTCTTCCTTCGAGTACTGCAGTTCCTGGACGGTGCCGTCATTCTTGGCATCTTCTCATACTACCTCGCCATCCTCTCTAGGAACAACCAACATATCGAAACATGGGTTAAGGCGGTCGAGGGTCTCGCAGGTGCTGCGACCCTCTATGGCCTCCTAGGCATGATCCTGACCTGCTGCTTGGGTGGTGTGGCGTTTTTTGCCTTCTTGGGTGTCGCTCTAGATATTTGTTTCGTGGGCGCGATGGTCGCGATTGCGATCCTGACCCGTAAGGGTGTCAGCAAGTGCACCGGCACCGTCGACACCCCACTAGGATCAGGAAATGCCAACGACGACACTTTCTCCAAGGGCCTGACGTTCGGCATGACCTGCACATTGGAGAAGGTCGTTTTCGCCGTGGCGATCATTGGAATGTGAGTACAACCATAAATCTCAGCCCTATATCTCGCAACAGACATACTGATCGACTTTAGTTTCCTCTTCTTGGTCTCCATTCTCTTCCAGATTCTGCTCGCTCGCCACCACAAGCGCGAGAAGCGTTTCGGTCCTTCGCCTTCCAACAACTACACCCACGGTACTCGTGGGGCCTTCTGGCGCCGCAACAAGAACCACCCCGAAGCTACGGGAGCCGCTGATACTCTGCCCGGTCATCCCACACCGCATGACGTCGAGATGGGCGCAGAGCCCAAGACCGAGAAGAAGTGGTACAGCTTCGGTCGCAACAAGGACACGGCGACCAACGGTGCCGTACCCCCTACCCAAAATGGCGGCGGTTACGGATACGGTAATTCGGCGTACACTGGCAACATCTAAACGTGCCAGTGGTTTGCCACGGAGGCGAATAGTCGTCCTTGCTTGCTGGACGACTGTTCGTGTTACAGCTGGTGTGTAAACACCAATGATTCTATGACCATTTTGCGTTAGCTGGAAGCCATGATACCACTGCTATGTTTGTGAATAGATTGGATTGTACAATATGACGGAGGATATCTGGCGGGCGCTTCCGGTCTTTTGAGACTTAGCTGGTCACTTAATATTAATGAAGAACGATTTATCCCACTCGCTTCTCGGTAGATGGCAATCTCGTATTACTGGAGACCTTGCATACGACAAAAACATGCAAGTCTGATCTCCCTTGCTTGTCAGCTCCACTGTTGGGTACACGGCACTCGTTTGCGCCTCCCCAGGTATGAGGGTTTTGTCAATATCGGTGACGTAAACGCTCTAATCAACCATGCAGAAAGACTCCGAAGTCTATGTATGTATTGCCTAAATAGTAGAAAGTGTTGACCTCTATACAAACATGCACTGGGACCCTGCCTTGATGGTTTATTAGTGGTCGGGGTACGGAGTATAACCTTACAAATGGCGGATAGTGACGGTTCTCCAACGCACCTCCACACACCTCCATGCACCTCCAGGGCCAACCTTACGAAAATGTAGGTTGTCAAGCCCTACGTAACACTCTCCATGCCTTCACAAAATCAAATTTTGGGTTAATGAACCGCAGAGTTACTCTTCTATTTGTCTCATACCGTTTTTTTCGATACAATGCCTGCTTCCATCACCATCATCTTCTCTCCCTACCATGTGGGATCCCGCGACCACCGCGTTGGTAACGGCCCACACCGGATTCGCTCGCTGGGCATTGTGGAGGCCCTAGATAAGTTGGGCGTAGCAATTAACTTCCACGAGATACCTCACGTCGACAGTTTTGAGGGCGAAATTGGCCGTAGCTTTGAGCTCCTCCGCCGTATTTCCACCGCGGTTTCCCAAACGGTAGCATCAGACAGCTTCCCTCTCATTTTGTCCGGAAACTGCATGGCGACCGCTGGCGCCGCCTGTGGCTTGCCCATCAATGATCTCGGCTTTGTTTATTTCGACGCCCATGACGACCTGGACTCGCCTGATGTCAACGAGAACGGGTATTTCGATGCCATGGGTCTCTCCATGCTTCGCGGAGAGAGCTGGAAGACCCTTATGAATACTGTTCCCGGCTACTCACCCCGAACCTACCGCCGCTTCCTCTACTGTGGTCTCCGTGACCAATCCCCTTTGCAGCGCCAGCGTGTTATCGACGCCGGCATGACTGCTGTCTGGGGACGCACCGACGTGAAGGTTGACTTTGCCTCCCAAATGAAGCAAGAACTTTCTGCCCGTTCCTATGGCCCGGCTGCCGTTCACCTTGATCTTGATGTTCTGGACGAGTCTTACGGCAAGGTTAACGACTACCCTTCGCCTGGTGGTATGATGGAAGAGGACCTGATCGCCTGTATGGACATGGTACCCCGTATGAACACGAGCCCGCAATCTCTTACTGTCTGCTCCTTCGATCCCGATTCCGGTGATGGTGACAAGATTGCCACTATTGCTATTCGCGCCATTACCACCTTCGTTCAAGCTCTTTTGGATACAAAAGTTTTGACCAATCCATGAACTTGGTCATATAGTTTGAGGCCTTGTTGTCTCGAGAGACATGCAAGATCGAGAATAGGGCAAGAGAACTTGATATAATTTCTGTCGAAAGTGAGATTTTCGGAGTCGATTGTAGTTCCAAGGATTCCAAATGAAGTTATAATGTGGTTGCACAATGGCTGTATGTCCAAGGATGCAATTTTAAACATGTAAGAAACCAACTTAGAACGATTGGCAGATAATCTTTTTAGAAAAGATTCTGAAAAAAGGTATTCTTCTTCCAAGGTTATATCGATTAAACCCTAGGATCATTTTGAAAATGTTACCCAAGGCCCCAGGCTTCTAAAGTTCCTTATAACTTCAACTTTTTGAGCATCTGGATTTGTCATGATGCTAATTTCGGAAAATATTTACAGCCTTGAAGGGTCTCATTGCAGACAACGGTTTGTCGCTCCAGCCTGTCATCTTTGAAATTATCGTACCCTTTCTCCTGCTTCATCATCATTCATGAGCCAAGCTTTTACCGAGCGCACTCTACGAACCAAAACGAAATGAATGCACTAGAAACGACTGTTCACTGCGTCATTCAGCCCTGGTGTGCCGAAATCATGGCATTGACGATATATGCGCAGTGGACGTCAAATGAAATCCCGGGCAGATCCAGGGTCTCCATGTCTACTCTGGGGGCTAAATGAGAGACGAAACCCGCGACCTACGCCCCGTGGGGGCAATATAGGCGGGGGAAAAAACATCCTCTTCTCTCAGACTTGATGTGACACCTCTCGCTGTGGAAGCCAGAACAAGGTTGTCCAAATCCCCAAGGCCACAGCTAGCATGGCGAGCAGTATTGGCTGCAAGATTGTCACCCCCTTGGCTTGCGCAATAGCACCAATCATAAAGGGAAACACAGCGCCACCACCCATTGAGAATGCAGCCGCAAACCCGATGGCAGCAACGTGAATATTTCTCGGTAACATTCGCGTGGCCACAATGACAACTCCAGGAAATATGGTCCCCATGAAGAAACCAACAAGCGATACTGCCACTGCTGATACAATGAACTCTGGCACGAGCCAGAATATCAGCTCAAGGGCGATAGCAAACAAAATGTATATGGCGACCGATAGCTTCTCTCCAATTCGTGGTGATACGAACCCCAGTACGAACCGACCGACAGTGATGCCCAGCCAGAACCCTGTCTCCGCCATTCCAGATTCAAATGCACCGCCATGTCGAACATTTGTCATGAAAACAACGATCCAACCGCCAATTGCCACTTCTATACCGCCGTATAGGAAGAGGAATATGGCACATATCCAGGTCACCTTGTGCGTCAGAGCAGCACGAGTTTGAGACAACGCACCGCCTGCATCCCCTGCAAGGCTTGCGTTTTCTTGTTGGTACTTGTTGCTTGTTTCGTCCCAAAAGGCGGCCGCAGTGTAAATCAATGCTAGTGCCGCCCCTCCGGTCTTAGTTGGATTGTTAGGACCTTTAGGTGTGCCCACAAGACAATTGGATTAACTTACCATAAGATAGTAGTAAGAATACCACTGCCATCCCACTTTGGTAATCAATGTTGTAGCAACCAATGGGCTAATTGTAGCTCCTATGCCGTAGAACCCATGGAAGAACCCGAGCACTTCATTCGAATTGGCCATGTTACCAATCCACACATTCCACGCGGCATTGTGGAAGCCGCTGCCAAGACCAATGAGTACATAAAATACCACTAGAACTGGAAATGGAGGGTGTGTTGATATGATTGCAAAAGCAGTCACATGGCAGCTCGGTGCAATGACAGCGATCCCTCTTCTTCCTAGGTTTTGATGAATCAGGTTGCTCAGTATGGCCGAGAGGGCGTAGCCCACAAATGGCGAAAGGAAGATCAATGAAACAACTGTATAGCTTTTTTGGTAGTAAGTCTCGAGCTGTCAATCATCAAGTAGCGATCGTCAGCGATCTAGGTGTGATAGTGAAATTCGAACAGAACCAACATAGGGAATGATAGCTCCGTAAGCGGCGTCATTTGCTCCCATCACCATCGCACACCAGAATGTGGCAGTCAGCTTCCATATTGTAGATTTCGACTCGTTCCATCTGAGTGCGACGTTGACTGCGTGTGATGGCGGGGCATCGTCCTCTGTTTCAGATGCGGTGCTGATCTCAGGTGTATCTCGGTACTCCCCAGACTCGCTTGATGGTGGCGATGATGGCCTAGCGGCGGGGCTTCCCCTTGAGAAGGCCATCGTTTAGAATGTCGATGAGATTCTGGGATTATCGGAAGTCTTATGTCCGTCAGATTGCGGGGGCTGGAACGGGACATGCGGGGGGGAAGCACATGGCGAACGTAACCCCTGATAATAACAAAGATTTATCACTGATATGCAAAACTCACATCTCTCATGGAAAAAGTCTTCACTTCAGAAGTAAGTTTCCTTAGTTCTGAGGCACCTGGCCCTTGCCTAAACAGCACTTAAGTCAATCGATGTTGGAATTTGATATATGCCTCTGGTGGTCTTCATATAAAAAACCTTTCCTGGAAAGAAGTATTGTGATTCTAATTATTTGGTGCGTTCTAGCTTTCTAGCTTTTCAACCAAGTGAGTCCCTACTACTTACTTCCCATGTGTGGGTGATGGTCGCATAGTGCTCCATGACGCCGACACCTGGAGATACGGGTTCCCATTCTTTCCAGAACATACTCTGGGAAAATCCTGGAAGTCGGGAGATAAGACGCCATTTTATGTAGGAAAATCCCGGTCTACAAAAAGAAGCAAAACCAAAAAGAAACACGCCAAACGATCAACTCGCGTCCAGTCACGTGGTGGTATTGTAGGGCTCCACTCGCGTCGCCTCTGCGACCTCGTCTGGTGACTTAGTCAACAAACATTTCACAAGACCCTGGGATGTCAGAATGTCAGTAAATCTCGAGTTAGAGGATTATATTCAGCCCTTACGGGTCGGTATCGAGACCTTGTATGATTTGTCATGTCGGCTCTCGGATTCATATACAAAGCTGGCTGCAGAGTCTCCAGACCATTTTATTCCCATGGCCATCACTCAGCTTCCAACGGGTCACGAGACGGGGCGCTACCTCGCGGTCTATGTTGGGCTGTCGTACCTTCGTGTGGCCTTCATCGATCTATTGGGGGATCGACAGATTGAGGGACACGCACGTGTACGTCGGACGTTAGAGAAGGCATGGCCGATCGAGGAACATTTACGAAAAGATCACTCCGCTGACCTCTTCACTTGGATTGGAGACTGCATTGCCGAAGTGGTGGCGGACAGACTCGCAAATCCGAGTGAAGAGCGAATTGACCAAATCACCACAGGCATCTCCTTCTGCCTTCCCATAAAGTGATGTTTCCTGCCAGGCTATCCGGTTCTTTCTGGCACTAATCTTTTGTAGGCAAGACTCCCTGGATGAAGCTATTCTGATGCCGACAGGAAAAGGGTTCTCTCTAAGTTCAGACCTCAACCTCCGCCAGTCATTACTGAATGGGTACGAACGTCACACGTATTCCTCACATGGAGACGAGGCAAATGTACCTGCGAAACGACGGAGACTGTTTTCTCTCCCCAAATTGAAAGTGGCAGTAATGATTAATGACACAACTGCGACTTTTGCCTCCTTGGCATACTCGATCCCTTCCTTGCCGAACACACGTGTCGTCATGGGGCTGATCGTGGGCGCGGGCTGCAATACCACTGTTCCCATGAAGCTCTCTACTTTACATGGATGTAAAGCAAAAAACATCCTTGAGAAACACCCTGACGCGGAGGAGGCTCTTGTTTCAACGGAATGGACTCTCTCCACGGCGGCTGCGCCTTTCGATGAACTTGGCATTCGAACCAAATGGGACCATCAGCTGGATCGACACTGCAAACAACCGGGATTCCAGCCCATGGAGTACATGATTGGTGGCTCTTACACCGGTGAGCTTGTCCGTATTGTCTGTTATGACTGGTTTCATAGAGCTCTGGGCATTCAAAGGTCCTTTTTGCCAGTGAAGTTGGTAGAGGAGTATTCTCTGTCGACAGAGTTCCTCTCTCTTGTTGTCGCGCCTTCTCAATCCGATGAACAACTCTCAACTGAGCTTTCCAAGACCCTTCAACCACCCGAAAATAGTGATTGGGCTTGGTCAGCTGCTTATGCCCGTGCTGTGCGCACGATCGCTTCAGTTGTGCAAGATCGGGCTGCGTCGCTTGTCGCGTCCGCGGTGGTCGGTCTTCTCGATTGTACAAACGAAGTGAAGCTTACCAAGTCAAATAAAGAGACCCATGGCCGCAATGGCAGCGCGGAACCTCAAGGAACTGAAAATACAGATTCAGCATTAGCTTTGGCATCCACACCGGATTGGAGTCGTGGCCCCGAAGAACTCGCTGTTGCCTTCTCCGGTGGCGTGATCCAGCATTATCCTCATTATAAAGAAGCTGTCCAGAGATGTGTCGATCGTCTTTTACTACGCGCTGGTCCGCAAGCAGGCGGAAAGAGTGTATTCCTAAGGGAGGCCAGTGATGGTGGTCTCATTGGGACAGGAGTTCTCGCCGGAACCGCATCGGGTGAGATCGGCGAGATTAAAGTCACCATAACATCGCCTTGAGCGTGTCAACAATCTCTATAATCATACCATATCAAATAGAATTACCCAGGAAATTCGACCCGTACAGGTTTGTAGAAATGGAGGCCCGCGTCGCATTTCGGCTGCGGGAACCCGACACCGGGTACTTGTACCCGACCTGACTATTTTCATGCAGCTATTTCACTGATATAACCCATCCTTGCCTGTCTTCGAGGTGGAGTCTCATCGCATTGAACATCGACAACTAGTGTGGTCCTTTTGTGAGGTTCAAGTGTCAATCTCGCGCTCTACATTATCGCCCACTCGGGTTAGTTAAATGCTGCCAAGAAAAGGTACCGCACTATTTCAACGCCAATTTTTCGGCATTCGTGCTGCACACCAGACTCGACACTTCACAATGAGGTTCTTTGATGTTCGTGGATTCCCTCAATGTCGAATTTATTGTCACCTAACACCAGTCGCAGGTAGCCGTGACATATACTGCGGATCAATTCCAGGGAATTTATCGCGGAAAGCAATACCACGAACCCGACTTTGCAGAAGTTCTGAAAAGAGCGCGTGGGTATGACTGTGAAAAAGTGATGCTCACCACAATGACTCTTGAGGGTGCGAAACAAAATCTGCAGGCTGTCAGGGACTTCTCAGCAATGTGCAAAATGACCATCGGCGTGCACCCGTACCACGCCGCTGAGATATATGAAAGGCCAGGAACTCAGTATCTCACCGAGCTCCGTGAACTAGGCGACAGTTTACTTGCCGAGAAATTCTCCCCTCTCGCGGCGTTTGGCGAAATTGGACTGGACTACGAGTATCTGGAGCGGGCAGATAAGGAAACGCAACAGCGCGCATTCCGCGAGCAATTAGAATTGGCGGTGCACTTCCAACTACCACTTTTCCTGCACGTTCGTGAGTGTACGGATGATTTTATCTCCATTATCGAACCTTACCTCCCGCGACTACCTAGAGGTGGTTTGGTTCATTCGTTCGCCGGAAACAAGGAAGAGATGCTCCGCCTGGTGGGACTGGGGCTGGAAATTAGTATCAACGGCGTCTCATTTCGAACTGATGAGCAGCTGGAAATGGTGAAAAATATTCCCCTGGAAAAGTTGCAGTTGGAAACCGATGCCCCATGGTGCGAGGTGTTGGGTAATGATCCCAAAATCGCGCCCTTCCTGGAGAAGGCGAAGCCCTTGCCAGCCAGCCGGAAACACAACAAATTCATTTCCGGGCAAATGGTCAAGACGCGCAATGAAAGTTGCAATATGGAACGTGTGGGACTGGTAGTTGCGGGATTAAAGGGAATTTCCATAGAAGAGGTTTCTGAAATGGCGTGGACAAACAGTTCTCGCATGTTCTGGTGAAAATATATTGCCGCAATGTTGGAATCATGTATAGGAATAAGTAGAGCAGAACATCAGAATATCTAAGTAATTTTTACACTCAACCTTTCGTTCTTTCTCTGGAAAAATGCCCCATCTAAGTATAGATGCTGTTAAACTAGTATTTCACTATGAAATTTTGGCATAGAAAGATGGCACGGATGTGTGTCGCTGTTCCAGCTTTTGAAGGTTGCTCAAGTGGTGCTCAAGTAGTGCTCAGGCAGTGGAATTCAAAACCAAACTTTGGAGGTCTTTGATTTCTATGCGGCAATTTAGTTGTTTGATCCATTTCCCCTTGAATTTAAAATTTAGATTAATAAAAGTTGATATGTAAGAATTTCCAAAGTTCTCGCGCTCCAAGGTTGGCGACCAGGTGAGAAAGTGCAAAAACATCCGTGTACTCGAGCATCCCGACTGGAAGTGCGTATGGACCAAGCCCCCACTATGATAAGCTTTCCTATTGAAACGTGAAAATGGGAAAAAAGACCGCCCTCAGGCGCTTGGACAGCAGACATTGAGTAAACAAAGCCCTTCCGAGGTTGCAGGGATGCAATTGGTGCCTTGACTAGGGTTGCAGGGGGAAAATAGTGCCACCCCTTCGACCTTGAGGCAGATAACCAAACCTGTTTCATTGCATACCCCAGGTTTGAAGATACAGAGATTAAGCGGAGGGTCTCGACCAAGACCGAAGCATCCTCGCCGAATATCCGCAATTACGACGCGTTCCTATTGATAGCTCCCGAGGCCTGACATCATGACAGAATTCCGCTCATCACTTGGCCTGCGGAGATTAAAGATCGGACTGGAATGGAGGAAATCATGGTCTTCTCCATATCTGAGCCATTATTGCCTGCCGGGTTTGCAATCCACGGCCCCTGGAGTGGGTGCCCTAGAGGTCGGGCTTTGCTAGAGTTTGGTTGGAATTGATCCTGGAATTGGATTGAGTCGAGCCAGTTATTTTCATGGATGACAAGGTCCTATGTGTTTCCAGCGTGTTTGACAGAGAGAAGAAAATCATGATTAAAAAATACGATTAAGAGCGCTCACGCATTCTACAGAAACTAACTGAAATTGCCCAACTTGCTGTGATGGTTGGGAAGAATATGGTTTGTTTGGCCGACATTCTTCACGTTGCGAGGGCCAGCACAGCTTTGGCCACAACAACATGGCATCTGCCATTCTTGTCAGGAAGTATGGAGAATGTTATGACCTGCAATGTATTTATACTGCTTGTCGAGCACGTCAACTCAACCTCTTCAGCCAAGCTTGTGGACTTTGGACAATATCAACCCCGGTGGTTAAGTGATCAGTGCAGCATTCAAGGATCCAAACCTCATTACACTCTTTTTCAAGCAAAGACTGTAAGTGATATAGAACGCATGGGATGGGTGTCTGCTCAACCTGCAGCGATGACACGAGCCACCCCAGACTTCACGGGACTTCGCTAACCTGCATGTGGATATAGAAGCACTTCAAATCACAATGAAGAGTGTCGCTATTATCTCCGGTCTATTGGCCAGCACCGTCTCTGCTCACATGCAATTGAGCACCCCTTACCCTATCCGCAGTCCTCTGAACAAGGATGCCAAGGGACAGAAGGACTACTCTTACACCAACCCTTTGTCAAGCTCTGGCAGTGATTACCCATGCAAAGGATATGCCAAGGATGACTTTGAGGCTGTCGCAACCTGGGAGCCCGGCTCCACCCAACACATGGAGTTGGAGGGAAGCGCCACCCACGATGGTGGCTCATGCCAACTCGCCCTGACCTATGATCAGGGTGAGACCTTCAAGGTCATTGAATCCATCGAGGGTGACTGTCCCATTGACAAGAAGTACGACTTTGAAATTCCCTCCGATGCTCCCGCTGGTGACGCACTGTTCGCGTGGACCTGGTTCAACAAGATCGGAAACCGTGAGATGTACATGAACTGTGCCATGATCACCATCGGTGGCTCCAGTGACCGAGCCGCCAACGACACCGAGACTGAGAAGCGTGACGAGATGAACGCCCCCAAACACATTGCCGAGCAAAAGCCCAGCAACAAGGAACACACCACCGCCGCTAAGAGCAGCTTTGACAGTCTCCCCGATCTTTTCGTTGCCAATGTGGAGCAAGAAGGCAAGTGTGTCACCACTGAGGGTGAAGCCGTCCACTTCCCCAAGCCCGGTCCCAAGCTCATTGGAAAGGCCAAGGGTCCCGGCTACAAGTGTTCTGAAAAAGCCCCCTTCCTTTCTGAGGAATCCAACTCCACCAAGGACTCTTCCAAGGACGAGTCCACCAAGAACGAGTCTCCCAAGAAGGAATCCACCAAGTCTACCGACACGGTGGCCAAGGTTGCGCAGGCATTCGGCACTGCTTCCCCCTCTGCCGACAGTCGCACCCACAGCACTGAGGCTTCTACCAACAACCATTTCGGCCACTACGTCGCCCACTTCAAATGTCACGATGGTGAGCTGATCTGCTCTCCTGATGGATTCACCTTTGCTCTCTGTGATCACGGCCGTCCAGTCTTCATGGGCTCTGTCGCTGCTGGCACCATCTGCCACGGAGGTGCCATCTTTGCTGCTCACTAATTTCTTCTTCCCTCTTATAAAATCCCTTCAGCTTTATTCTGCATTGAAGATGTAGATCTTTTCAACACGGCTCTCTGTCTTTGGTCAGCAGTGCCTTTTTTCATGGCTCCTTTTGTTCCTTCATGTTTCTGTTACCCTTTGCCACTATTTTTCCACTGATGACCCCGTTGGTATTACTGGAGGTGCTTTTGTGATATACCTTGACATAATGAATGTTCCAATATGGCTTTAAATCCTCCGATTCCTCGTAGCTGTTCCGTCGACGTTGATTCCATAAGCTGGGGAGTCTTCAATTCCGAGTGTGTGTATGGACATTATAGTACAATCAACTACTCCTCCTGAGGCCAGTCTGCCGTTTTACACAATGTTGACCGGACCGAATAGGGGCTGGTTGCATTGCCCATTGCCCACGCCCGCGCTCAGAGGCCTATCTCCTTCCCCCTATCGTCCTGTCTGCTATGTTAGACCACCACAGCACTCTTCTCTCTCTCTAGTATATGTTGAGCCTACAGGGCAGAAGAAGAAGCTGACTGAATCGATTGATTGACTGCGGGAGAGAGAGGAAGAAGAGAGAGAGACTCGGGGAAGAGGGTCTATCTATAAACAGCAAACGAGGGTTGGGACGAACATTCCACACAACAGTATGCAGGCTAAAAATGCTAATATGCAAGAGGTATCATTGAAAAATTCCAAAAAAGGTGGTGCATTATAAGAACACCCACTGACCAAATCGCTGGATTTTACCCCAAAGGCCAGCCGACTTGGAAACTTCATCCTCCGGTTGGTCTTCTTGCGAAGGATCATACCGGTCAGTCCTCAAGTCCATATTTGACTTCCTAACAAACTTGGTCCTTTTGACCAACTTCCATGCCAAGAACATGACAATCATGATTGGTATCTCGATGTAATAAGAGACAAAGTCGACATCCTTGAAATGTGGGCTGAAACACTTCCATCCTTGAACAAGGACGAGGAATGAGTTCAACACAATGGCGAAGATGGGTCCGAAGGGGTACGTCCAATTTTTGAAGGGAAGGAGATGCTCAATTCCCTGGGCACGAACCGCCGATCGGAACCTCAAAGAAGCGATACCGATGCAAATCCAGGAGAGCTGGTTTGACACACCGACGATATTTTGAAGCCAGGACCATAGCTTTCCGGCGCCAATATAGCTAGCCCCAAAGCAGAGACCACTGATCACAGATGTAGCAAGAACAGCCACCCAAGGAACATGGAAGCGATTCAGGTGGCCAAAGAATTTAGGTGCGTATCCGTCAACAGCGAGGGTGAAGAGTAGACGTGATCCAGCGAAGAGGGCGTGATTCGCAGCGGAAATGACCGATGTCATGATTACTGCGTTGATGAAGCTACCGGCAACTGCAGAGCCGGCTTGTTGAAAAACAATAGTGAAAGGGCTGGTCTTTGTATCTCCATCCGAAAGACCTGGATAGTCGTAGGGTACATTGAAGCCAATGATCACAATAGAGAGGAGATAAAAGAGGATGATTCGCCAGAAGACATTCCGGACAACCTTGGGCATTGTTTTGGCGGGACTTTTCGTCTCACCTGCTGTAATAGCGATGGATTCGGTTCCACCACTGATTCGAAGTTAGATGTGAATGTACGGGAATAGTACAGATAATGGACATACTATGCAAATGAAGCTGTGACGAAAACAGACGCAAAACCGCCGATTCCATCGACAAAAGGTGCATCACCTTTCGTCCAATTTCTTGCGCCGATGTATTCATGGTTTTTATTTCCGCCGCAGTTGACGGCAATTCCTAGAATAATGAAGATCTGGGTCCCAGTTAGATATAAGAAAACCAGGAAAACTTGATCTTGACCACTCACGACGATCGTAATCACTTTGAGAAGACTCAGCCAGTATTCGATCTATAAGCAAGTTAGCCAGGTCAACAAAAAAACTAGGGTAAGGCATAATTTAGGCAGCACTGGACCTGGCCGCTCTGCCCCTTAAGGTGAGACAAGTCTCAAGACATACCTCGCCATAAACCTTGACAGACATGACATTCAGAACGATCACGACGACCAAGAAGATCAGGCTGATTGCCCATCCGGGGAAATTATCTGTCCAATACTGCAGCAGAAGCTGCAGTGCCAGAATATCGGATGCCTGATAAGAGAGAACGGAAAATGGGTTAGAATATAGAATGAGACTTGACAAAAGGCACAAATTACCGTTGATACAGCATCATTGAACCAGTAGTTCCACGTTAAAGCGAATCCAAGAGCTTTATCAACAAAACGACTGATGTGAAGTCAATAAATATACTGTCAACTGATCGAAAAGTACCCACCCGGCGTAAGTGCAGAAGGAGCCGGCGACAGGCATGAACGCTGCCATCTCACCAAGAGAGAGCATGGTAATAAACACGATTGCACCGACAATCGCGTAACTGAGAAGCATGGAGGCTGGTCCGCCTGTTGCGAGTGAAGATCCAGTTCCAAGGAATAGACCAGTGCCGATGGTACCGCCAATCGCGATCATCTGCACCTGGCGGCCGCTCAGGCGGCGGGCAAGCTTGTCTGCATTCACTATGGGGTTGGAAACATAGTCCTCATTCATCGAGCCCTTAGGGTCGGGCGATTTCTCGACTTCGGCCATGATGTTGAGTGGCTAGTTAGGGCAACGTTAGCATATCCGGATAAACCTGAAACATGTCCGAGATTTCGGCAGTTACATACCAGTTCCACAGTAAGCCCCTAGATCTGGTGATCGGCACGTGGCACCCCGGGGTATTCAGGTCTCACAACAAACCGTACGTTGCAAGGAGGAAAAAATGAGGCCCAGCTTCATTTTTCTTCTTCATCGATGGCGTGATTGCAGCGATGGATTAGAGGATGGACGAACCAGACGAATGCAACGTCGTATGTGTCAGAAAAACTCGGCAAATGTCCCCACTGAAGCTTATGTATCCGCCCCGATGCGGGTGGACAGGGTGAAAGACCGGTGATTGGGTCGCCACCAACATGGTGGAGTTTCATTCTCCAGAGCCCGGTAAGTGCGTGGTTAGCTACCGATCCAGCGTGAAGATTGTCGGTAGAGGCGTAACTTTAGAAGTAGATGCTCCAGATGGGTTTTAGATGGAGACGTTTGGTGTCAAGACAGGCGGGTTGTACCGGCAGAATATGCAGGTTTGATTTGTTTGTTCTTCGGGATTGATGCATCGACACATACATACGATGAGAAAAGGAAATGTTTAGGAGAAGCGATATTTAAGAAGAAGTAGTATTACAACTGGATTGTCATCCATATTAGAATTTTCCAATTCTTGTAAATAGATACTTACTTTTACTAAGGGTTTGCAAAGTAAAGATAAGTATTTTGGACTTTGGAAAGGATTGGGAGAAATCTGTAGACATCGGGAGGCTCAGGGTCATTGCTGAAAAGCGGAGAGCAAAGCGGCCAAAATCAGGCATCAAGGGTGTTGTATTATCCGCGAGGGTGTCAATGCATCAATCCCCTTCTAAAGTTGTTCTTTCCGTTTGCATAATCTGTGCTCTGCATGGGGTACTTAAGTAATTGTACCGAGTCCACAAGTATATTTCTACTACTTGGCTACGGGGTAGTTAGCTGTAGACGGAGTACTGTGTACAGAACAAAAGAATCTCACGTCGAGGTCTTGAGCAAAGTGCGGAAGACCCATGGTACTAGCATCAATTGGAGCAATGGTATCCACGTGGCTGGGGAAAACTTTAAACTTTATATACCGAGGGTTGCATATACACATGTAGACAAATGAAGGGCATCGGTGTATGGCCAGCCCTAGATCGTTTTGGTCAGGGGTCAAACCGAGTTCGACATCTCCCATTCATCCCTAAAAAGCACAGATCTTGAGAAAAGAGACAACCCCCATGTTATTCACGAAAACGCCACGCTATGTCTTAGCAAAATGTCACGTCAAAAACGGGGGTAACTCGCGAGAAGGGGAATCAGACAAACGAGAGAACAAATGAGACGCATAACAAAAGAAACCCTCTCCAGCCATCCTCCATGTCCAGCAGAGTGATGTAGCACTGAACTGTCAGATGGATATGATAAGTGCACAAAAACATGGGATATCCTAAACAAAATCCTGGGGAATGAGAACATGTACTTTTGATGTCCTGCATGAAAGTTGTAAAGAGATTAAGCGTGAAACGCAAGTCGAATCCTTTTGACGCTCGCGTCGGTTCGCCGCGCAATTAGTCCCCGTAGACCCTGCTACCGGGGATTTGGATTATACAATACAAGGAGGAGCTCCAGCCTCCGAATGGTATAAAGATCTGTAGATGTTGCAAATTTAATCGTTTACCATGTCATCCAGTGCCATCTTGCGCCGCTTGATTGGCCTGTCATGGGTTTCGGTTTCTGGTGGGGGTTCGGTCCTCGGCAGGGAAGGTGAGCTTCCTGCTGTAACTTGAATGGGAGATGGTAGTTCGATGGGCCCGAGATGACGGGGGATGGGGTCCATAGTCGCACTAGTGATGGAGGAGGAGCGCTGGTGGGGAAATGTATAGTTGAAGGCCGGCCCTGCAGATCTGTGGAATGCAGGCCGGGAATCGTGACTGTCGTCTCGGGCTGGGAGACCCCAGGATGCGGGATAAGGGTCGCTGAGACGGTGCGCGTGGTGGGGAGGAGGAGGTCCGGCGGTGGCCTGGTGAATTGGAGGGAGACGCACGGGCGACTCGATATGATATGGATCTCGAGGCGACAGTGGCACCCGAGGATCGCTCATTGGCGGGCGGACTGCGGTGCTGGGCGGTTCGGTATAGCCAAGGAAAGGAATTCCCAACGGAGGGGCTTGGTGTTGGGGAGGCGAAGTAGGCGGTGGTAATGCTGGAACCCCGCTATATGGTGGGAACCGTCGGTCCATGCTCGCGGGGACTGTGTTAACCTTGAGGTTGGGGTTAAAGCCGGCCATAGGCATGTACGGAGGCGCATGTGGATGAGTCGGTACTGGATGCGAGGCTGGCCCAGATGAAGAAAAGGGCCGGCGACTCGAAACTGGCATGGTTGGAGAGGGGTCCATAGGCCGAGTGAGAGGAAATACTGAAGCTGACCACCTGTGTGGCGTTCTGACACCTGAGCTTGCATCGAGTCCCTGTAAATCGGTCATGGGTCTCAATTCCCGCGAAGACGTGGCCCGATGCATGGTGGTGCGCCGCGGGGGCATGGTTTGGTGGGCCTCAGCTGGGATGGCTGGGTTATCTAAATGAGTGGTGTACGTTCTGAGCGAGGAATCTTCTGCTTTCAACGGAGGTCGTCCACGCTTCTTGTGGGTGACATCCACACATGTTGACTTCTTGGTTAGTCTCGTTTGAGACTGAACGGGGGATCTGAAGACTTACAGCTTTGCCCGAGAGTACACATCTTCGACAGGGTCGAGCTGGATCACATCCCAAGTGCTTTTTCTTGCAATTCACACAGGCCGATGCTACATGAGCCTTTGTCCGCCGCGTGGATTTCTGTGCCAGTGAGCGAGCTGAGGTGGATTGAGCTGGGTCCAGAACTGCCAGAGGATACTGTGCTCCTGGTAATGGTCGAGGCGAGCCCGTATATAGTGGACCGCCGTCGGTATACACCGGCAGCCGTGGCAGTGGCTCAGACAGCGGTACTTGCGACAGCTCCGAGACAGGACCGGAGCGCTCTACCGGCGAGGGCTGCCCCCGAGGCTTAGTCTCTAATGTTGGAGGAGATTCCGACATCGATCGAAGTTGAGCCCGGGGGCTGCACCCTCGAGCATTGGGAGACCACGATCGATTCAACGGCCGCCGCTCTGGGCCCGGGTTGAATTGACCAAACTGCGTCGAAAGGCTCGGTTGAAGCACGAGTGATTGCATCGGGCGTCGGGCAGGAAAGGAAAAGGGCCCACGGGGCAGATGATTTGTTTCTTTTTTTTTTTTGGGGGGGGGGTTTTTTGGGGCTCTTTTTTTTTCCTTTTGTTTGTTTTTTTTTTTTTGGTCTCCTTTTTATGACTCCGTCCTCTTTGCCCCCACGGTGGTATACCTCCCCAGGAACACAAAATCACAAACCGCAGGCGTCGATGCTTAGGGCCAGCATCTCTGACGAATCGAGGCAAAGATCAAGCGCGGGGAGATAGAAGGAACAAACTCCTCTAAGACTTACGTCCCAGGACCCGAGCTTATAATCAATAGAGAGAGAGATCCGCTATTGGAGGAGTCAGAAAATAGACTGCATCGATCAGCGGGAGATTTCCAGATCATGACAGGGCACAGGGTTACTCTTTAGCCGCAGTACTCCGTACGGAGTGCTATGTACGAATATTCCCACAGGGCGACTTATTGCAGGATAGCGGTCGATCATCGAGCTAGGATCAAGGTGCAGGACCAATGTCAAAGCCCCGCCTTGCCTCGGTGTCTCGATCACACGTTCAGGTATTTTGTATTCCCGCTGTACGGAGGATTCGTATTTGGATTTTGGATTTTGGATTTTCACAGGGGGTCCGAAAGGGGATATCAAGTATGGAGTACAGAGTACCAAGTAGAAGATTAGGGTACGTAGTACAGCGTCCAGTGTCCAGCGTACAGAGTACCACTTGTCGTCGGCAGCAATCTCCAATAGTCCCTCAAGATAAGAGAGAAAAGTAGGTCAATGCAGGCTAGCGAGTGATAGACGTGGATCTTCATCATGGGCGATCATTGAATCATTGAATAGTCGCCCTTTTTTGGTGATTGAGTTATTGGGTGATTGGGTGATTGGGTGATTCTGCCATTTGGCCTGGGCTATTGGGGGGCCCGTTGGGGTCTCGGGGCTTTCTTTCTTGTTTCTTTTCTTTTCTTTTTTTCAATTTTGGCCTCACCAGTTCAGTAACATGGAGAAGGGACAAAGTCATGATGCGTTTGGGTGATCAATAATATGCCAATCAGGGCCGGAAGCAAGGTGGCCCAGGGAAGATCGACGTCGGCGCCCGCAGCCATTGCCAATAGTCGAACTTGTGGACGTGCATTCCGAGTACTTTGACCCTTGACTATTACGTCCGTATTACGCCTTTAGGGGATCGATAGTCACTAATCTATTTTCTGGGTATTTCCTCCATACAATACTTGTACTCATAGTCCCCATATGGAGCACTCCTACGCGATTATATCTGGTAATTGGTAGAGTCTAGTGTCGAGGTCTATTCAATATGCAATTTAATGCTTAAATTGCTGGGTTACAGTGTCAATATATTGTCCCCTTGGCCTTTGACTTTCTGTGTCGCCCTTTTTTTTAGCCGAGTCGAAAGTCCCCAAAGTGGATTGTCGGCTGCAATGCCTAATTTTCCATCACGACTCTGGGTCCTCAGAGAGTCTTGGATTTTACCCGTTAAAAGTCGTTGCAAATCGCTGCAAATCCCACGGTCTTTATTCTCCGACCCGGGCAAATCCACTAGATGACCGAGGCGATCCTCTTATGCTCCGTCTAGGGGGTTACTGTTACAATTGTCGATCAACGAGATGGGGTCTCACAGGAGACTCGGATGCAGGCATAAAGCATCGACGCCTTTTTCCCCTGGGCATGAGTTGTGATACCGCGTTGAACCTGTGGGACGTCGACCCTTGACGTGGGGAAGGGGATTGAGAGTTTTTTTTTTTTTCTTTTCTTTCTCTTTTTTCCCCCTTTCTGCACAATTTTCTCTCTGTACTGACTATGTACTCCGTGCGGAGGGGGAAGTACGAAGGAAATCACCCTTTGGCAGGTTGTCTTAAAGGGTCTCAAGGAAACATCCCTCTGGTCGAGGAATTCCTTTTGATTCTTTTAATTTTCCGGTAGACCCCGACAGAGATGTGGCTGCAGCCTCTGGCGTCTGGGCGATCACATTGCCCTTTGCCAGGTGCGCGTGCATTGCTGACGATCCCCGCTATCCCTGGCTTTGAGACAGCTGCAGGATTCCAGAGACCCCCGTTCCCGTCTCTTGAGCTTACCTACAGTAGTTCGTTGAACTAGGTACCAGTTAGGGTTTGAGGGGAAGTATACCTGCGTAACTCGACCATCAGGATCCAAATCACAGACTGTATTCGGTGTACACAGTAACTGCCGAGTGATCGTATGAACACTCCATGACCCCTCTACCTGTATACAACAAGTCCATGCTCGGCAGCATCCGACTAAGGGAAAAGGGGTGTGGAACATGCGGCACGCGGAGCAGCAAGGGGTCTGTCACCCCGTTCATGCAGGATTAAATAGTCTGGACCCATCTGGTTGGTCGCTTTGTGAATGTTCCACTCGTCATTTTTCTATTATTCGTGCGACCCCCAAAAAACAGTATACTCCTACCGCTCCCGGTATAGTGTGGGCTTAATTTGTCAAATATCGCCCGAGGCTACTCCGTTCTCCATACTTAACTAGAGACTGAATAGACCATGACGGAGATTATCCGGGACTATCGAGAAGAATTCTCCTAGCTTCAACGTCGCTCACTTTGATTTAAATTGTATACGAGTAGAATCGGGACCGACTTTGGGAACGTACTCATGCCTACGGAGTTTGTTCGGTGAGGGAGTACTGAGGAGCTTGCTTCTACTCCGTACGGACGCATCTCCAGATCTCGTATTACAACTCCCGTACTCTCAACTCCCGATATCTCAACGGCCAGATCAGCTGAGAGGCCCGAGTCCACTAGGGCGTGATTGGGTTCGGAGGAGTCGATCTACGGTTTAAACGTGATGGTCCTGTGCATGGCCAAGTTGTAATCTCGAGTAGCTGCATTTGCAATGCGCCTTCGTGTAGGAGAATTGGGCGACAGCCGACGTTTCCCATGTGGTGAGTGCCGGGCGGTTCCTAAATCCCGGATTCATACTAGGCCCAGAGGGAGAGAAAGGGAGTCGCCGAAGACAATGGTGGTATCTTTGTAATATAGAAATCTATGCTATACACCTTTTGATCAATTTGGTGGAGAAATCACTCTTCTCCGCCCCTTTTTCTTTTTTTCTTTTTCAGGTCCCCGGGTTCACGCCCGAAACAGAGCCCGCTCACCGTCTCTTCTTCGATGGCCGCGCGTTCTTGTCGCGACGCTGCTGCTGCTGCTTCCGCGCCTTGCGAATGTCTTCGGTGGACCGCAGCTCGCTCTTGCCACCGTAGGCCGCACCGCCCATCTTGTCGTTCTGGCGCTCGCGCGCGGCATCGTTCTTCTTCTTCATCTTGTCGTAGTCGCCACGCAGAGGATCGGCACGCTTGGGCGCGCGGTCCTGGTTGTGACGGAATCGTCCAGTCGCCATGCGCGAGTTGACGTTGTTCATGGCAGGCGTTTCGGTCTCACCAACACGGGGCATGCGCTCAACGCGCTTGCCCTTCTTCCAGGCCTGGAAGCGACCGCTGCGGAAACTGGCGGCGATCTTGGCTCCACTCTCACCGCGGACGAGTCGGTCACCCTTGGATCCGTCCTCGTCGTTCTGACGTGCAACATACTTCTTATGACGCTTGTCCCAGCGCATGATGGAACGCGCTTCGCCGAAGCCACGCTTGCCCTCGTCGCCGTTCAGGTCCATGGTCGCGTTGCGTGAGTCGGAAGCAAAGTTCGAGTTCGTACCAGAGTGCACACCGTAAGCCTTGTCTTCGGCCATGTCGTTGTGCTGGGGTTTATAGCCCATAAAGTAGTCCGGGTTCTGGAACGCCGCAGCTGGCTCCTTCTTCTCTGCGTTGTTCCCCTTGTTGGCGTTGTAGGCGGAGAAAGTAACTTCTAGCTCATCATCGGATGCCTCCGACATGTTGTCACCAGGTTGGTCGGGAACATCCTCGTCATCCGGTTTCTGTTGACCATCTTCACCAGTGGGCATTCCAAGAGCAACCAGCTCAGCTTCGGCCTTGGCATCTGCCCGCTTCCTTCTGTTCTCAACACCTGTGCGAAGTCGTCGAATCGTATCCACGGCCTCGTTGTCGGCGACCTTGCCGCCTCGTCGGTTGTTTGCTTCGAAGATGGTTTCTTGTGGCCGATAACCACCAATACGTGCAAGCATGTTTTCGCGCTCTACTTCCATGGCACTAGCGGCGTCATTGAAGATCGGGTGGATTTCGGACCAGTGCTCGGAAGCAACAACCTCCTTGGACCGCTTGGCGCTCTCGGCAGATGCCGAGTTACGGGTGCGCAGATACAGCTTCTCTCCTTTCTGGGACACCTGCTTCTGTCCAAAGATATCCATGTCATCATCGAGGATCTTCTGCACCCACTCACAAGAGCGGGAAATAGGTTCTCTGGGAAGTGTTCCAACCACAACATCTTCAGCATAGTTAAGCTCGGTTCCATATTGGCGGCCGATAACCAGTCTGCGTCCCAAGAACAGCTGTAGATCGAGAAGATAAGGGCAATCCTTATCGCGGACGAGACTGTAACTCCAACCCTTTTGACCAGCTCGTGCAGTACGACCAACACGATGAATGAAGATCTTAGGCTGTGAGGGGAAATCGTAATTGATGACGTTGGCGAGGACCGGAATATCAATACCACGGGCGGCCACATCGGTGACAACCAGAATGTTTGAGATACCAGATCGGAAATTTTGGACGTGCTGGTTACGTGCAGTCTGATCCAGGGAACCATAGGCGTAAGAGGTGGCGAATCCTGCCTCGACAAGCAGGGCGTATAGGTAGTCGACGTGGTGTTTGGTTGCAGCGAACACGATGGTAGAATGTTTCGTAGGGGACTCCTTGAAGCCGCTCGGGCGACGGATATCGGATCTCTTGCGCTTCTTTGATGGATTCTCCGCCTCCTGGCGAATTCTCATGCCAATGTCGGTCTCACCAATAGGCATTTTGATGATTTCGTGTAGAATGTGTAGCAAGGCACCTTCCTTGTCCGAAGACTTCACTCCAAAGAAGGCGTTTTGTAGGTCGGGTGAAACTTTGTTCTCGGTGTCCAGACGAATCAGACTCGGCTCTTGAAGACCGGCACGGGCGAATTCCACGAGGGACTTGGGCAATGTAGCGGAGAAGAGGAGGGTTTGGCGGGTTGACGGCAGACCGTGCAAAATCTCGGTCAATTGGGCGGCGAAACCCATTTCGAAGAGTCTGTCAGCCTCGTCAAAGACGACGTACTTGATACTAGACAAATCCATTTCCATCTCAACCTTCAAATGCAAGAATCGACCGGGTGTCGCGATCACGATATCGGGGTTGTTGGCCATCATTCCGAATTGATCCTCCAAGCTGTCACCACCAATGATGAGTACTGAGGTTAGGTTTGTTCCTTTACCCATCTCTTTGACGACCTTCATGGTCTGCAGGGCCAATTCACGGGACGGGGACATGATAAGAGCACGTGCACCGAACGCCGTGCTGTGGCTCTTCAGCTTCTCGATCATGGGAATGACGAACGAAGCCGTCTTTCCGGAACCAGTACGAGCCATACCGACCACGTCCTTATCATCCATGATAACGGGAATGGTCTTTCGCTGAATTGGCGTCGGGACAGAAAATCCTTTGCGGGCGATGGCCTTCAACAGGAAACCACTGAGGCCCATTGCCTGGAAACCACCACCCTTCTTAACTGTGCGACCCTTGAGGTTGGAGGCCTTTCGGTTGGCAGAAGCCTGCTGATTGGCAATGAATGCCGCATCACCGTCATCTTCACCTAAAAAGTCCAGATCTTGAGGTATGGGTTTCTGGTTGGGGTTTTGCTTCTTCTGAGGGGGTTTCGAGCCATCATCGGAGTCGCTGTCGTGTTCGAAGAGGGCGCCCGTAATATCGAACTCGTTTTCGGACTCCGCGGGTGACTCCTCACGGCGAGGCATTGTCGGGTGCTGAGCCTCGATTGATATGCCGCAAATGCGGTGATAAGAGTTGATTAGGTCGGTGCAGCAGTTGCCAGAACTTTTGGAACTGCAAGAAAATGATTGTGTACAGGACAGAGTAGATATCAAATATACACAATCCACGAACCGCTCAGACTTCAACACCTGAAGAGAAAGTCAAGTCGCTTATCTCGCCGTTACTTCGCATCGCAAAAAAAAAAAGTTCGGGGAATCAAAGGCGGTGAGGGCCGGATCAATGATATACCCAATGCAAACCAGACAAACTAAATCTATACACAGCCAATATGGGCATGGCCAAGGCATTTAGAGCACGATAATGAACTAGGTCTGGAATTCAAATACTATGAGCATATATAGTGTACTGTCTATTTTCTATCGTTTTGTCAACTCCAGACGGATGAAACGACCCAAATTAAACACATGATTGGTTCTCGGACGCGAAATGTTAGTCAAAAATGGAGAGCGGTCTGCCGTGGCAGAACGCGATCCCCGCGACGCGTTGGAGATCCCAATTGAGTAAAATGGTGCTTCAGACAAGCTCTACCTGAATACCTTCATTCTCCCTCACAACAAAACCTTGGAATCACATATCATGGGTAAGTACTTATGCACTCATCATAAATATCAGAATCTGTTTTCTAACATAATTTATCAGACGGCGGATACAACAGCTTTGGCGGCGGTGGTGGAGGCTTCGTGCCCGGCGAAACGAACAGCCCCTCGGGAGCCAAGGTACGTTCGTGATGACTGTTTCTTCATAACGAAATATTGACTCTCGAGTGAATAGACTGGCGACCGTGACAACAAGACCCTTCGTCCTGTGACAGTGAAGCAAATCCTGGACGCCTCTCAACCCTATCCCGAGGCTGCATTCCAAATCGACAGTGCCGACGTAGCCAATGTCCTCTTCATTGGCCAAGTCCGCAACATCAGTTCCCAGAGCACAAATGTCACATACAAGATCGACGACGGCACAGGTGATATCGAAGTCAAGAAGTGGATTGACTCGACAACCGCCGACAACATGGATACCGACGACGGGAAAGCGCCCGGCGATGGAAAGAGCGAGGTTGAGCTCAATGGCTACGCCCGCGTCTTTGGATCCATCAAATCATTTGGAAACAAGCGTTACGTTGGTGCTCACAGTGTCCGGCCTTTGACTCAGATTGACGAGCTGCATTGTCATCTACTGGAGGCCACTGCTGTGCACTTGTTCTTCACCCGTGGCCCGCCTGGTGGTGCTACGACTGGCAATGCTGCTGCCGGTGGAGATGCGGTGATGGGCGGTGCCGAAGAGTACGGCACTGGTCAGAACAAGGCCCTATCAACCATGTCGGCCACCGCAAAGAAGGTGTATACTCTGCTCAAGAACGAACCGCAGGATGAGAGTGGCCTGCACCTGCAGGTTATTTCGGCCAAGTTGAACATGCCTGCAACCGAAGTTAGCAAGGCTGGTGATGAGCTGCTTAGCGCAGGTGTGGTCTTTTCCACTCTGGATGAGCAGACATGGGCAATCCTGGAGTACTGAGGAGACTCGTCATATCAGCATTTAGTAAAATTCATATTCGAGCTCCAATGATATCATGAACTGTCTTATTCACCATGTGGATGTTATGTGCTTACTTGCTCTTTTAACAGTACCTAGGTAATCTTGGTTGAAATAATGTAAACTAAACCCCGATAGGAGGTTTAACAGGCCACAGCTGATTCTGATTGCACAACTTCAAGAAAAGCAAATGGGTTAGGAACTCCAGGGGAACGAGCTTATGCTCGTAGACGTCAAATCGTGTGGAATCATTTCTTCGTCCATTAGACGTGGCATCGTCAATTTAAGTCAGCTCGTTTCTACGAACGGCCTCCTCAACAGAGCGATTCCAATTAGCCCGGCTAATGAAGATGCCCTCAATGAGAGAAACAAGTCCAAGAGTAAGGGCTACACCGGTCCATAGGCCCATGACGCCCCATCCTAAAACAAATGTTGTGGTCATGCTGAGTGGCATGGCAACCACATAGTAAAGGAAGAGCTGGATGTAACCACCCACCTCCTGTCGACCGAGACCACGCAGGATACCATTGCAATTGGCGGCCAGGGCATCAAATAGCTGGAAAGCCGCACAGAGTGGCAGAACCTGCGCCACAATCTCCACAACTTCTGGGTCGGAGCTGAAGAGTCTAGGGATGTACGAGCGTAAAGTGGACAAAAGAACCATGTTCAACAAGCCGACGATGGCAGCGCCACAAAAGCTCACCTTGGCAGAGGTCTTGGCGGCGTCGACCAGGGTAGCTCCGATCAGGTTCGCTACCCGCGTGCTACCCGCAATGGAGAGTGGGAATGGTATCTGCCATGTGATGCTTGAGATAGTTGCCAGGATAGATTGGGCTGCGAGCTCGGATGTACCGAGGTAGCTGGATGCAAGGGTCAGGATTTCGAAGGCCAGACATTCTGCCTCCACCATGATGAGCCCCGGGAGTGCCAAGCGGATCATTGGACCCCAATTCTGGAAGGCACGTCGACTGAATCCACACCAACACTCGGATCCAACGAAGAAATAGACATAGATGAACAGGCAGATTGGGAGAAGTGTTTCCGTGATGACAACGGCGATGGGCGCGCCAATGAAGCCCCATTGAAGTTTCTGCCACGTTCATTAGTATCTTCATTGTTCGAAAATGCGTATAGACGATACTCACCCAAACGAAGAACCAGTTAAGGAATGCGTTAAGTGGCGCGCAGAAGATCAAAACATACAAAGACGCCGAAAATATACCCTGGGCCTGCAGGTATCGCTTGCCACTCTCGAAGCAAGCAAAACCGGGCGTACCCAGGAGAGCAACCTTTAGATAGAGACCAGCCATCTCGGCAACCTCTGTCTCAGGCACAATCTTGGCCAAAATGTGCTCCGAAAAGTACCAGAGAACCATAATAGGGATGGTGATCATCCAAAGGAAGTAGACCATCCGCAGCATCTGCAGTCCTACCAGCTTCCTCTTCCCAGAGCCATAAGCCTGCGAACAGAGGGTATCCAAACTCGTCGCCAAGCCTGAAAACACTGCATTTCCGGTAATGGTCACAGTCATACTCGCCAGGCTGACAGCTCCCAGCTCCTCTTTTCCTAGGTGCCCAATGGTGAAGATACTAGCTACCGTCAAGGAATACTGTAGGAGGAAAGTCACCATCAGCGGCAATGAGTACTTCCCAATGACCTTCGCTTCCCGCTGCCAGGTGGTATGAATCAGGCCAGCCGCAACTGCTTCATCCCATTTGCGATCAATCTCCTCCGAGCCCATCTCGCTGCCGGAGCCCCCAGATTCGACCGCTTCATCCAGTAGCGCAGTCGTTTCACTTGCGCCGTCGGACACACGACTCCGACTTCTCGATCGATGAGAGTGACTTGTTCGGCGAGACGGGGATCCTTGACCAATCGCAGCAGAGAGTAATCCACTCACTTTGTGCTGCAGGCCGTGAGACTTGCCATGTGCATGGTCGGGTGGGATAACATTATTATCGCTCAACAGGTGGCGCTCTTCCTCGATGATTTGCTGGCGCTCGTTCTTGGACAGAACTTGCTGTTCTCCAGTCCAGGGGATTATGGTTGCGTGGCTGATTGAGGTGAAATTGCTGGGGCGGCGATATGACCCAGCTAACGAGCGGGCGTTGCTGGTATAGCTACCGGGTGGGTAGTCGGTCGAGCTGGAAGTTTCATCGCTGGGGGTTGGTTCATCCTCACTGTAACTGGCGAGATCTCGGGCGATTGCAGAGGCTGCAATTGGCGAACTCGATGTGAATGACCGGCTGAATGGACTTTGGTGCTCGGAATCGGAGCGGATGTTTCGGGGTCCCATTTTGAGAGCCTGACGGAAGTCCGGTTATTGGGTAGGCCACATTATTCGCCAAGAGCAAATTACGCCCAGAGCAAAGAGTAACCTTGGAATCTTGGAACTTCAAAAATAGTACAAGAGAAGAGAGAAGAGAGTCCTGGGGATTCTCAAGATGCCCAGTGGGGGTTCAGATAGCAGATGAGCTAAGGGTATTTGTAATACCGTTTTCGACCTAAGCGGCCGTGCGGTCAATCCGATTTTCTTAGATCAAACGGAGTACAAAGTAGAGAGCAGAGAGTGTGGCAAGCTTTTATTAAATTATTATAGGTTTCTGTATGTACTGAATCTCTAATGAACTAATGATGTAAGAGTAACACCGGGGTAGATGTATATCTATGCATGCATATAAAGCAGGAATACAGAAATGCAAGTGGAGGTTGGAGGTACTACATATATAGATCCATGGATGGATTGTACATAGGTAAATTGCCTATTTAAACCACGTAAACCACGCGATGTATGGAGTACTCGAGTACATGATGTATGTCATCTCTAGATCACCCCGTTCTTCGTACGATCAAATCACCAAAGTCGGTGTGAACCAAGGAGTTCTCCGCATCGGATTGACCCACAGGGGCAGGTCGAGGCGGAGTCACAGGGTTCTGTACACCGTCGATCATCAAACCCTGCTTGGCTCTCGAGTACTTGAACTACATACTCTCGTATGTACTCCGTGCTGCACCCTGGGATATTACCTAGTAGTACGAATCTGAGCCTGTCAACTGATGTCCGAAAGCGGCATAAAGCATCACATGATCATCGCCTTACTCCATGCTCGTACTGATCTTTCCAAGGTTGTTTCTAAACCTCGTCCAGCGGTGCACCATGTCTCAGTCAACGGCCCTTCGTCCTCCATTCAACCCTTTGATTAATCCGGTGCATTCCAAGCCAGTGCTGGTAGAAGAGTAAGTCGACTTCACTCCGGAGTATTGTTCCAAAATTTATGTGGCGTGACTCCTTACATGTAGAATCATGGAGTCTGAAATCTTTTGTTTTTATGCCTCTGATGCCTCTGTGCATAGATCTACAGGCGGTTTCACCCACATGTTTTGCCTCGACACATTCTGACACCTCGGCAGGCACCTTGAGTCCCAGCGCCACATTCTCTTATCGCGGCCATACTGTGGAGCGCTACTGTTTGAGAACAGCACCTCGGATGCTCGCGACCACTGCGCGAATGAGCGCACCTTTCTTTCATGGCTGCGTCTGTCTATGTACTTAGCCGTCGTCTCACTCGCCATCATCATCTCCTTTCACTTTCGCGACCAGCCTACCGTCCTGGAGAGGCGCATGGCCTTGCCGCTCGGAATCATCTTCTGGATTCTCAGTTTGACCTGCTTGGCGAACGGCTTTGCAAACTACTCGCGGACGGTCATGAAGTATGCTCGCAAGGCGGCCTTGGTGCAGAGTGGGTGGAAGACCCAGGTAGTGTTTACAGTGGTGGGGACGGTGATTCTGGGTAGTTGCATTTTGTTTTTGTCGACGGATCCGGCTCAGTAATGAACGGGAAGGATCTTCGGCTTAGTCGATTAGCGCCGGCGTTGGTATCATCGCATCAGTTTGTTACTTTGCATACGACTTTGCATACAAGTATATATTGTCCGGATACTCATGCCTCGGGATACTTTTCATAATGGAATGACCAATGTCAGTAATGTCAACTTGGAATGTAGGGTGGTTGACCGTAAGCCGTCAGGGCAAATGACCCGAATTATATAGTAATTTCGTAAGAATCGTCGCACAGACAAAAACAATACTAAGGTATATTTCCATGAGTTGCGCAAAGGAGGCAATCCCACCGAGAATGCATAGACAAGAAAACTGGGAGAACCAGAAAAGAGGCCAAGATCGGGACACACCAGATGCTGTCAATGTTTTACATCCGACGAATCTCCTGTTCGTTCTTGTACTTGTCCAGGGCCGGGGTGCCAAGATGACTCCACCACTCAAACAGCATGGAATTGCAGATCAGCTTGAACCAAGGGGTGAATTTCAGACCGGGCTGCTCGAACATAGCCTTCAGCTCATCAGCCGACACATAGGTGGTGTCGCGGACCTCGTTGGGGCTCGGGTTTAGGTCAACATCGGCTTGAATGAAGAGAATGTAGTCCACTAGCGATGGTCAGAGATCTCTCCGCGAATCGGACAACAGATGGCATCACGCAAACGACTTACCCTCATGTTCACCCCACTTGCCGTCGCTGGGAGCCTTGTAGTGAATTCTGGTAAAGAACTCAAACTTGTCCAGGGGCACCTGCTCGGCCTTGATGCCCAGCTCGTGGTCAAGCTTGCGCTGTGCTGCACGCTTCACGCCCAGTACGGCAGCATCAAGCTCAGAACCTGTCTCACCAGGGATACCCAGGGGGTGTGAGCAGCAGGTGTTGGTCCACATATCGGGGAAGGTGATTTTCTCGGTGGCGCGCTGTTGAAGCAGCAGACGCTTGTTGGAATCAAAAAGGAAGACGGAGAAGGCACGGTGAAGGAGACCCTTGTCGATGTTGGTCATCAAATGGCCTGTTCAAAAGTGGTTGTCAGTGACCGATCGCCAAACTAATTGTTCCCCTCCCCCACATTCCCGCCATTTAGGACATTCTGGGGCAGTTGGCAGCGTTTCAACGTACAGAGCTTCTTGCTGGCACTTCCAATTGGGCGATCATTGTTATCCAGAACAATGCAAACCTCATCCATTAGGCGGACTTGCTCCTCGTCGTACCCTTCAAGCTCTCCGGCGGCACCCTCGCTGGTATGGCTGGTGGGAAGGACTTCGCGAGCCAGCGACGTGTCGACCTCGGGGAAGAGAGTGGCGACATTATCCGCCGTAATCTCAGGCGGACTGGTCAAAGTGACGGATTCGGTGATTGTCTCGCTCATCTTGGCTGGATATCTGGGGAGAAAGGAAATCCCAAAGAGAAATGCGACTTGTTGGGGGACTGAGGCGGTCAATGATCGGACCAATTTTGCCCCCATAAACATTCGAACGCGGGGGATTCTTCTACTGCTGCGACTGAATCATGCTGTGTACTATTTCTTATTGATTCATTTCAATATGCACGAACATATAACCTTTCTGGCCGGGATCGCATAACCCAATGTGCCCTTCACGATATTCAGCCAACGACTTGCTGGTGTTCTCTCCAGGCGGGCAACTGACCCCGGCCGAGAAACCTATGTGACAAAGAAAATCACCAAAAGTGCGCTTGCGTACTGTCTCCAATCTGGTCCAATTCGCTCGTGAAGAGGGCCTATCAAATACGATTACTCAAAAATTTCCAATCACTTGAGCTCCAGGAGGCCAGCCAATTGCTTCAGCTCTTCAACCTCTTCGAATGTCTCGAGTAGGCAAAATACCATGTCTTTTATGTTCAGCAACGGCCAAACGATAGAGGGTGAGGCTGCTGAGTACTACCAGGCATGTGCGCATGAGCTGTTTAGCAGAACGCCATACTTTCAATGTTGCAATCACGTCTGCTCATTAACCCCTGCCAATGTGACCATTCCTCCCGGAGCTGACGGTAATCGGAACGTGGTATTTGCTGATGTGGACTCCTCTAATATCTACGATGGGCTGCATGGGCTTGAAGAAACACGTGGGAGTCTCAATACTCCAGTTATAGATTTAACAACTTCGACTAAGAATGCTGGACTGCTTATTGATATCGACTCGCCACGTCCTGCAAGTATTGCTCCTACAACAGCTCTATCCGGATACACAGCTTATACAAAAGAGGTCTAGGCTAAAGTTAGACAAGAATGGAAAGCCAGGAGTTATGTGCCGGCAATGTCAGAAGGTTCTTGATCATCCTGGTTGGGCTCATAGCGGAACAACTTCAATGAATAAGCACTATAATGGGGTGACTTACCGGAAAGCCGTCTTAGCCAAAGGACAGAAGCCAAACATTAAGCTTGCACTAGAGCATGCTGTATGTTCAGGACCCAATTATCGCCTTTATCATACTAACTCTTCTACGTCTAGGCTTTGAACCGGCCCGTACGAAGGTTCGATACGCGTGTTTGGCAGCAAAAGCTTGCGAAGCTTCTTACTATGTCGCATCCTCCCTTCCTTTTTCTTGAGCACCCTGAGTTTCGTGATCTTATCTCTTACGCCCGGCTTGCACCATCAATGCCAGATATCCCGTCCGCCAAGGTTATGCGCCGGCAGCTTCGAGAGCTAGTCTGTGAGAACCAAAACCAAAAGATTATTCTTCGGACACTCCCTTCTGATGCTAAGCTGTCTCTTGCCCTTAATTGCTGGACATCTCCATTTAAACAGCCATTTATAGCTATTACTAGATACTTCATTGACGAAAACTGGGAGTATCGTGAGATATTACTTAGATTTGAACCCTTATATAGTGCTCACTTTGGTGCAAATCTGAGTGAGGTGGTTTTTGACCTACTGCAAGAGCATCAGATCACTGATCGAGTGCTTTTGGTAACTACCGACAACGCTTCAAATAACAAGACTCTTATGGAAAGTATCCACGAGGCGATTGAAGGTCTACTACAATTCTCGAGCGATGTCGCTGTCATTCGGGTACCATATATTGCATATGTGATCCAGCTTAGCCTAAAAAGTCTCCTTTGGAAGATGAAGGCTATTCCAAAGAACGATAGAATTGAGTAGGCATGGTCTGATGATTGGATAGAAGCTCTCCAGGCGACGCAGCAGGATAGAGAGATTCTAAAGTTGTATACACTCTAGGCAAAGTAAGGTGTCTTAAATTAATTTTGATTTATGATACTAATTTATATCTTAGGTCCGAAACCTTGCGATTTATATTAATGCAAGTCCTCAGCGCCGAGAATCATTCTATAACTTCTAAAGTTACAGATAAGAGAGCCAAAGCTAGTTCCAATCCAGGATGTTGCTACTCGATGGAACTCGACATTCTTAATGCTCGCACGCGCGAAAAGGCTCCATTAGGCTTTCGATGCTTTCTGCTCCTAGTATGACTAAGGGCACTTTGCTTTAAGCTATGAGCAATGGTGGCAGGTCGATTATCTTCTCTGTATCCTTGAGCCTTTTTAGCGATTCACAACACTTTTATGCAAGACAAAGAATGTTACTATCTATTGGGTTTTCAAAGTCTACAATAAGCTGTTTGATCACCTTGAGAAGTCGATTAATCGGCTTCGACGGAAGAGAGTTGCTTGGAAGCAGGTGATGCTTATATCCCTCGAAGCAGCAAAACTTAAGCTCTCAGCTTACTACAGAGATGTCGATAAGATTGAGGGTCATATCTGCGTAATTGGTACGATCATTCTCCGTAAGATAAACTCAAGTTCTTCTCGACTTCAGACTGGGATCCAGACCTAGAATCCCAGGTCGATTACCGAGCAGTATATCGCCAGAGCCTTGAGTCCTTCTTCGGGAAGTACTCTAAGAGTCTTATTGAGGAGTATCAAAGGTTAGCTGCTCTGATAATGAGTTCGATGCAAGATGAATTTGATTTGGCTTGTGCTTTAGATGAGTCGCAGCAATCTCAAATTTCATAGCTAGCAAAGTCGGACGAACTTACAAGATATCTTGACAGTAGTAAGTATCCCTTAACCTTTATTAGAGTAATTGCTAATTTATCTTTAGACATAGTCCCAAATGCTCAGCCTCTGACCTGGTGGAGAGACCACCAAGATGAGTTCCCTACGATAGCGAGGCTTGCTCGCGATGTGCTCTCTATCCCAGCTAGTGGTGTAGGAGTAGAGCGGCTTTTCAACTCTGCACGAGATATCTGTCATTATCGTCGAGGCTCTCTTCAGCCTCAAACAATCTTAGATCTTATGATGTATATGTGTACATCACAGTTTGAGATTCATGAAGAGGAGCGAATAATGCTCTCTGAATATCTTTCGGCTCAGGAGATACAGGCTGCAAAGGAAGAGAGAACACAGCAGCAACTCGCTGTCGATCTAATTAGCGACAATGAAGAGGATGAAGGGTCTACGACACAGCTCCAAGCCAGATCCCAACCCCGAGCTATCTCGCAAGCCCTAGCAACCTCGCAGGCTGCCCAGGGTCCGTCTGCCAAAGCACTCGGTAAAAGACGCATAAGCAATTTCGCTGACGATGTGGAAAGTGACGAGGAGGAAGACGATGGTCAAGAGTCGGAGGCAATAGCTCTGCTAGAGATACAGCACCGAGTGTCAGGCAGAGTCCGTAAGCGTTCAAGGTTGCTAGATGGGTATGAAACGTCTAATATGTAATTCAAGATTCGGGCATCTTTTCGGTTTATTCATTAGTTTTTATTTGTTCAGATTTAATTCATTCTAAATTGTCAGATTAACAAACTACTCTACTATATGCTGTAAGTGAGATACTCAAAAATACAGCCAAAATCTACATAACTTATGCTCCACATGACTTGCCGATGTTTGCTTTGTTTGACGATCCTGAGGGTAGGTTCGCGACTTCTACGGCCCTACCCTGACCCCACTTCAGGGTCTAACCTCACGACCCTAAAACCTGCGTGGTCCGGGTCGCGGTCCGGGTCGTCCGGGTCACCCGCGGGTCGTGGCGAGGTCTAGTCCTGCATTGTGCTGCGTCTGTCGTACAGAAATCGCATCAAGGTCGATTTTCCCGCACCTGGCTTTCCCTTGATCTAGAGAATACCGCGAGACTTGCCTCGCCAGGACTAGTGTCTTTCTAAACCCAGCATCCATTGACATGTATCGGTATGACACGGCTCAACATTGTCTCTCCGATCGAGCATCTGTGGGAATGCCAAAGACTTAAGGACCTCTGTCACCATGGTAAGCGATAAGATCCTTGGATTTCCGAGAGCACACCACTGTTGATTTTTTGTGGGATCTTCGGCTGGCTATGCGGAATAAAAGCGGATATGTACTAAGAAATTGAAACGCAGGATTACCATCCCAAAAACAGGGTACATCCAGAAATCATGTGATGGCTTAATGGGGTTTAGCGCTCGGTACAAATCGAGGAAACCTCTTTATATTGCCAGCAAACTCGCCAAGCTAGTAGACGAACCAGCTGTGCGCATATAAGACATTGTAATTAGCTCATATTTGTTTGTCATATACGTACTTTTTACTCCGTACGCAGTGGATCGGATCCAGGTTCTGGTCGGAGAAACTTAGAAGGGAGAATTTTAGTTGCATGATTAAGAAGAAACTAAACCAATCAGAACGAAGACACTAATTTATATCACTTCTATGTTATACATACTCCGTACTCCGTACAGTGCTACTCCGTACAATAATTTCACTTTATGCTTAGCGCCGGCCCCCGGGTAGCATTTAGCTAGAAGTAGTTCCATACTGGAAATGGGCCTTGCAAAGGGACAGTACTCTATGAGCAAATGACATCGCTTCTTGGAATTCATGAAACGCATGAATTCAATGGGTCTCCAAGGAAAGTTGTCTAACCTATATCTGTTAGGATCTCCGGAGTTCCTGACCAGAAGGCATACAGGTAGTAGGCATCAAGGGAAACCAGTTGAATTACTATCCATTGAATCTGTACACCTAATGATCTAGTAGCCTGCAATTGCAATAATAGCCTATATCGTGTCAGGGCTTGTCTTCTGTGCAGCTCATCACACATGATGCCAGAATCGGTTTGTGAAATTGTTTGCTAGTTCTGCCAAGAGCAAGCCACTCTGAGCTACATGAAACTACTGACGCAGTACATATCTTGTTGCAGCTAGTAAAAATACCAGCGTTTCTCCCAATGTGAGGGCTTTTTTCCATGACACTAGGTAAAGGGCCTTCGAAGGGCCTTCCTCCTAGGTCAGGAGCCCGAGATGCAAGTCTATAAAAGCCTGGTCAATTCCTGCTGAACATTCTCTCATCCAGCACACAACCAAAACCAACTCCTCAATCCTCAACTTCAAAACCAACCTTCAACCATCCACCATGGTCAAGCTCACTACTCTCGCTGTTGCCATTGTGGCCAGCTTCTCGTCTCTTGCGGCGGCCGCCAACTGCCAGAACGGCCTCCAGTACTGCGGCTACGTTCTCTTGAGAAAGGGTAAGCTATAGAAATGCCCAATGTCTGTTGCTATCCTAATATCTGTATATTAACTCTGTGTTCTAGGCAATTACTACTCCCAGATTACCCAAGCTCTGTCCGGTGCCGGTATGCCCACCGATCCATCCCACGTCCAAAACACCCTTTTCCAGTGTGTTGGTGGATCCAACGGTAACATCAATATTATCAAATACTGTGGGGCTTCCTGCCAGGATGGTGGTAACAACCACAGCGACACCTGTTAAAGATTGGTTGAACTGGCTTCTTGGGCTTCTATGTAGCCCAATAGTGAAGGCGGCTGATGTTGGATTATTCGCGCTGTTTGCATTGGGTTTATGTTTGATCATGGGTCTTTACCATTCTGGCGTTGTCAGGATGAGAGTGTCTGCATATGAAAAGAGTGTTGTCTTTGACCCATTTTTGATATAGCGATGTTTCCTCCATTGGTCGATTTCTTCTCTTGCATGTATCTAGCAGTTGTCTATCACTATCTATCAATATGTGTGCCATGTTATTCAGTCCAACTATCCACGTCGGCATAATCTCATTTCATACAACAAGAGACAGAGAGACCTGGACATTTTCTGTGAGGGATGTTGTGATGGGTTTCGGATCCCTGCAGTGAAGGTAGGTGTAACCCGGGGGCGGAGCGGGTCCAGCGGGGGTAGCCCTGCAAAGTAGGGGCCATCCTCCTGCCTTGCTAGGTTCCTCTTGTCGGATGATCCACGGGCACCTAGGCCTCGCCATAGGAGTACCACGGGTAGGTAAGTCCTACCCATTACCCATGAACTACCCAGAAATGCATAACTAATCCCTTTGGCTGCGTTAATTCGTACACCGCGCTAAACTATATTAGGCCATCACATGGTTCATAGATGTACCTTGTTTTTTGAATGGTAATCCTGCGTTTCCATTTCTTAGTAATCCCCATAGTAATTGTAACACGCCCGCCCCAGTGAATTAAACCTCCTTTTTTGAAGCTATTTACATGTTTTTTAATGATCCGTTTCTGTCGTCTCACGCTGAGACGTCTCGTCCGTTCTTCTCCTCTTTGGCCTAGGCGCCCGGCCTGATCTTCTTGGCCCTTGATTCTCTGAAGCCTCCCACCCTGCCCCCGACGCCGCCGATGCCTGAGATGTCGCCCGTGAGGCCGCCCGTGAGGCCGCCAGTAATGCCTCAAAGGCCTGGTTCCTAGCTATGATCTGCTGCTCAATGATCTCAATTTGGGATCGGGATGTAGGTAGAGGGTAGTACGGTATAGATATTGGGTTAACCGGGTTGTTAATTGACGATTGGTTGTTTTTTTGGCTATGTAAGCCTTGCTTCGGGTGTATTGAAGCAGTATCTGGGTAGGCTTGGAGCTTTGCTTCGAGACTGTGAAGCCCTGGGGCTGGATATGTATGTTTATAGTCTTAATAGCCTGTTCAGCTGAGCGATAAAAGGGTCCGCTAAATTCAGACATAGGTGGGATAGGGAGGGCATTAAACATGATAGACATGATTTATATAGAGGCTGAATATGGGGATGGGAAATTGGAAGTGAAATGTAAGTGTAAAAAACTATTTAAAAAACAGAGTAGTACATATGTGAGTCATGTGACGGCCTAATATAGTTTAGTGTGGTGTACGAATTAACGCAGCCTATTTTAATAGTCTCTTTTTTTCTCCCTGAGTTAAAAGTCAGTGTGAATCGAACAGAGGCAATCTCCCACTTAAATGAGGCAGCCAATCAAAATTGATCGAGACTCATATATGCATAAATGAGCACAAGACGTCTGAACTAGTGTCTTCGCCCGGTTCTTGAAATATGCCCCTAGCAAGGACTACAGGTTCCTAGGAAATAACGCTATAAAGAGGAACCTCAATCAAATTGGGCAAGGCGGCTAATCCAAGGTATGTGTTGGTTGACGATGTGATGCAATAACGCGCATGGACTTGGTGTTCTGTAACTGCAGAACTGAGGCATTGTGGTCTGAGCTGATTGGATGCCTGAGCCGGACTCAAATAGTATGCCACGGGCTGGTCCACAAACAGAGCCTCATTTCTTGTAATATTCATGTATATAAAATCCCTACGACGCTTGATCGAATTGAGAGATAAAAAGGAGCATGGAAGCCTTCGGTGGAGTGGCCTTGGCGATTGCCATTTACAATCAGCTGGAAGCATGTATTCGAGGTCTTCGTCGACTGTACAAAAATTTCAAATTCGCTGAGCAGGACATAGGACAGCTCATTGACGAGGTGTCTGCTTGTCAAAGTCTCTCTGAGATATTCAATGATGTTAGTCGCCTGCTGACAGGCCGTGTTATTAACTTGGCTATCGAGAAGAAGCTTGATAAAACGCTAGAGTCTCAGGCCACTTCGGCTTGTGAGCAGATTAGTCATATTATGGCGAAGCTAAGGCCTTTGATGAAAAGGAGCATCTCCAATCGATTTGATATATTAATGTTAAGAAGGCATGGCGAGAGAAAAAGGAAGAAGAACCGATTGAATTATTCTCTGTGCGGGAGAGAGAAGAAGAGAGAGGGAGGAGGCTAAGGAGTGAGAGCTAGGGGTTAGGGGTTAAGCACTGGTGCGGGGAGTCCACTTGAAACGAACCTGAATATCGGGGTTCTGCTCATACACATCATACAAGTAACCCAAAATCACATCGCTCTCGGCTTTATCGAGCCCCACAATCCGGACTGTCATTGACCGGTTCACCCATAATGCTTTCCAGCCTGTGGCTGGGTGCACACGGACGATGGGATGCTCGCGTTCTACATACTTTGGTCCCGCTTCTGGGTTCTCGCGGTCGAGGTACGGATGCGCAGAGCGATAGATGGCAGTTCGGCCATCAATCAATGTACGGAAGAGCGGGGACAGCTTCTCGTATGCGGCATAGCCACTCGCCCAGAGCGTGTCACCCCCGACTGTGGGAACGGTGTCGTTATGTAGATGTGTTACTCCTGCGGGTTGCCTTTCATGCACGAGATCGCTATGCCACCGGGATGCCCCACCCGGGCGACGGAAGCTTGCCGGGCTCTCGGATGCTTGTAATGCTGGCCACATTACGCTCACGCCAGGAACGCCAGGGACCTGGGGGACTTGAGGCTGGAAAATACAGTTGGCAAGAAATCATTAAAATGGGTTGGAACAGCCTACATGGATCTCGACTTCGCCATACCATTCACCTAAATCTTTCTGCTGTTGAGGGGTGATCTCCTGGTCCCGAAAGAAGACAACGCTCCGCTCGGCGATCAACAAACCTAGCTCATCCTTTTGTTGGTCCGTTAGGCCCTTTAACTGCAGGCCGACGATTTCCGTTCCAATGTGTCTAGTTAATGGGATCACCTCTGTCGCTGCCGACAGAAGAGCTTTCTTTTCAGGGTCGGCTCGGCTGCTAGGATCGATATGAGGACGATCATAATCTCGCACATTATACACATCGTCAAGGTAAAGTGGGCGAGACGGGCGATACGGGTATCCTTCACTGAGATCAATGCCGGCTCTTTCTAGACGTTCGCGAGCAGAGTCGGGAAGGCTAAGGGTATTTTTCCTCGGCACTGCGACATCGGTAATGCGTGGATCAATAGGAGCAGGGGCCATTGTGTACGATGTATGAGAATCAGAAGATTGCAAAGAGCTTCAATTTTACTGGCACATTTAGACTTGCAACGTGCCATACACCCGTTCAAATAGGTAGCACCTCGGAATTTCATAATCACATCATCGCCATGACACATTGCGTCTTCTGCGGGATGTTATCTTACAATTAGCTCGCCTCTCAACCCCTCTCTTTTATCCAGTCGCATCTGAATTCCAATTCAATGTGCGAAAGTACAAGGGAGTGTAGCGTGCTGTGGGCTATTTCACCATCTTCCGCCGATATCACGACCGCTCAACATTTCTAAGCATTGCATTATCTTGCCGTCTCTTCCGGAGAACAACTTTCGATTCTTCAAAACAACGACGCACGATAAAGCATTCGATTCTTGTTTCGTGGCTTGCGTTAATGCATTTTGGAAGGCAACATCGAAGCCGTCACTCAATATTGGAGAATCAAGGACCATTTCCGATTTCAAAAACCATAACCGGAATCATGAGCAAAGAGTCTGTTCACGTTGCTGTCATTGGAGCAGGTATCAGCGGGGTAGTCACTGCAGGGCATCTTCTAGCCACTGGGATCAAAGTGACGGTCTTCGAGAGAAGCAATGCAGCGGGAGGTGTATGGTAAGATTAGTCCTAGTCTGTTAATTGTACAACCAAATTGCAGTTTTCGGATGATTATACTAAATAGTTACAGGCTCTATGATAAACGTGCTCCAATTGAAGCACAATATCCATCACCGAGGCCATCTGCGTCGCAAGAGTATGTTCAAGATGACAGAAAGGACCGAGAAAGGAACATTTTGCTGCATGCACCCCCGGGGTAAGTTTATTCACCACATACAAGTGCGCTTAGCTCATGATATCAAGGCCATGCTATGAAAGTCTCACCAATAATGTGTCCACTCCTTTGCTTCGGACAAAGCTCAATGCCTGGCCTGAGGGAACTGGTCCATTTGTAAGACATAACGTGCTCAAAGACTATATCCAAGATACATCTCAGAAGGCTGGCGTTGATAATGTCACCAAGTTCGGTGCTCGAGTGGATCGAGTGTACAAGAATGGATCGACATGGAATGTTCATTGGAGTACGCTCAGCGGCTCAGATCAGGACGTTGTGGAACAGAACTCAGCAGCAAGTCATCACATTATTACCAGCCGGGGGAACATAAGACAGCTAACCAAATTCCAGTCGTTCGACTCAGTGATCGTGGCTTCAGGTCACTACCATACACCCCTTGTTCCAGATATTAGAGGACTGGCCGAAGCAAAGACCCAATGGCCCGCCAAAATTTTCCACTCCAAGTCGTTCCGGCGATCACAGGGATTGGAAGGAAAGGTATGAAGAGCACATCTTGATCATTCCGACGGGACTGACGGGTTTTGCAGAATGTCCTTTTGATTGGCGGAGGGGTGTCTGCTATCGACATAGCCAAGGAGATTAGTGCCACGGTTAATCAAATCTACCAAAGCACCCGGAATGGCGCCTTTGACCTCCCCGAGACTGCACTGCCATCGAATGCGACCCGAATTGGTGAAATTGAAGAGTTCAAACCCTCCGACCCCAATGTTCCAACTGAGCACTTGCCATTGACCGCACATATCAAGTCTGGGGGGATTTTAGAGGACATTGATGTGATCATTCTTTGCACAGGATACCAACTTGCTTTTCCGTTCCTGGACCAGCTTAACGACTACAGTTTGTCAGCCACCCAGGCTGATGAAAATGTACTTGTGACCGACGGCACTCAAATCCACAACTTGCACAAAGATATCTTCTATATCCCCGACCCAACATTGGCATTCGTCGGCATACCATTCTACACAGCAACGTTCTCGCTGTTTGAGTTTCAAGCCATTGCAGTGGTGGCTTTTCTTTCTGGTGTCGCAAGTCTTCCACCCACTGAGAGCCTACGGGAAGAGTATGCTACTCGCCTAAAGGAGAAGGGCTATGGCCGGAGTTTCCATTCGCTCAGGGATCAGGAGCAACCTTATGTTAAGGAACTGTTGGAATGGGTCAATGCTGGTAGAGCCGATAAAGGTTTACAGCTGGTTGAGGGTCACACTGAGGCTTGGATTCAGGAAAAGGCCGCTCTGGGGGAAAGGCTTAAATTGATATTTGCAGGGCAGCTTCCAAGGGCACAGGCACTCGAAAGTCCCCTAGCGGTGAAAGTCACCGCATGATTTTCTAGAGGTGAAGAGGTGGCATCCATGGATGGCTTCCAGGTTTTTTGAACACTGCAGATGACACATCACCTGGGTGACAGGATAATAAAGAGTCCAATTTTGCAACCTCGATAGGCAATACATAAACAAACCTATATGAAGACTTTAGCAGGGGAGCTACTAGGTAATGATTGAATTGATGTGTTTGACCGAAGTTCTTCATCTTGAACTCGCTCCTCCTTAACCCCTGGAAGTTTCTACTGTGTGAGGAACTTAAGAATCATATCTCCTTCCTATTACCCTCTCACAATAAATACAATAACTGCTGACACGGAATCTTGAAGTCCAGCATTAGCTTTTAGAGATATTTTTCCGAAATCAACCCGCTTGTCGGGTGCCAAAGATGTATGTGAAACTTCGGGCTCTAGAAATACTTTTTGGAAAAAAAAAATGAAAGGAAGAGGAAAATCAAATGTCTCTATGTAGCTAAGCTCTTCCAAGACATGCTTGTACAATATCCAATCTATTGCTGGTTTGCAAGATAAGGAGACGTAACTATGTAAACTGCTCAGTGACACCATCGTCCAAGCGCATGACGAGCTTTGATGCTGCTGATGGCGGGTTCCTAGTGCGACCTGACAATAGTTTCACTAATCCAGTAAATAATGCTCCGTCGGTCTACCTCCGCACGTATCAATCAGTTCGTGCATGATGAATATCCTCGCAGAGATTGCGCAAACCTTGAAGTAGGTCCCATTCTCATTGGATCACTATGCGATCAGCCCCCTTGCTTATAGCAATCAAGCTCGATTTTCTTGTTTTAAGACCGACGATTTTCCCTTTTTCGACACTGACAAGCTAGACCTGGGAATCTAGTACCGTTCAATCGCAAGTTTGAACGTCAGCCAGTCTATCATTGCGGTTGCCAAAGATATATATCCCAATTACCCCTCGAAGGTTGAAAGAGGCGATCTCGCATACGGAGTACCATATTTACTCTTCGAGAATCGCCATGTCCTCAAGATCACCCGAGGAGACCCATGTCGGCTTCCAGACAGAGGTGATCCAGAAAGAACCCAAACGTAAATGGGTGAGCTACATTTGGGACACCTTTGATAAGTCTCTGGAGGAGCGCCGACTGCTTTTCAAATTAGATTCCGCGATCCTGACATTTGCATCATTGGGTAGGTTTGAGTGAACTCTTCCCTGTGAGCAATTCTTAACCAGATCGGTAGGGTATTTCATTAAGTACCTGGATCAAATCAACATCAACAATGCATTTGTCTCGGGGATGTATGTTCTCATATATCATCAACCATTCGAAATCTGATCATTGACAAATTACAGGAAGGAAGACTTGGGCATGTATGGCAATGAACTCAACTATATGCAGACCTGTTGGACTGTGGGATATGTCATTGGGGAGATTCCCAGCAATATTTTGTTGACTCGGATTAAGCCAAGGTATTGGATACCGGCAATGGAGGTATGCCTAGCAGTCTTGGATTTTGGAGCAAATTACTGACCCCCAAAGCTTCTCTGGACCGTTCTCACCATGTCTCTATCTCGGTGTAACACCCCAACACAATTCTATGTACTAAGATTCTTCGTTGGTATGTGTAAAAAAGCCATTATCCTCTTTTGGTCGCTAATTTTTCAACTTTCTCTTGTGGTAGGATTGGCCGAGAGTACTTTTTATCCAGGAATGCAATACATCATCGGATCCTGGTACCGCAAAGACGAGCTTGCAAAACGCTCATGCATATTCCATACCAGCAGTGGAATAGCTAGTATGTTCTCTGGGTATCTCATGGATGCAGTGTATCGACTTGGAGGGCGAGGAGGTTTCAAGGGCTGGCAGTGGTATGAAACCGTCCTACAACATGCAAGCTACCTGGATTTTGAGCTAAATACTTACTCGTTGAAAGGCTCTTCATCATCGACGGCGTGATTTCGCTCCCAGTAGCCATAAGCGGGTTTTTTATTCTTCCCGATGTACCAGAGATCTCTAGTCCATGGTACCTAAGCGAGAAGGTACGCTTCGCTCATTCCCAACCATGCTGGTATAAACATGTGCTGATGCTTAACTAGGAGGTTGAATTGGCTCAAAAGCGAATGAATTTGGAAGGAAGAAAAAACAGAGAGCCATACACCAAGTCTAAACTGAAGAAGATCTTTACTTCATGGCACATCTATCTCCTGACGCTACTCTACATGTGAGTCAAACCCCTGATGGACAGAGTAATCTGCTAACTAATTAAGATGTTTCAACAATGGTGCTGCGGGAAGTCAGCCTGTCTTTCAACAGTGAGTGATGAACCCCGAAGCATGTTGTAAGTATACTCACTCGTTTCTCTGCAGATTCCTCAAAACCTCTACGGATCCAGTTTACTCCATCGGGCAAATCAACTCGATACCCACGACTACTCCTGCAGTTCAGGTTGTAACAACACTAGCTTACGCATGGATATCTGACACTGTTTTAAAAGGTAGCCGTTGGCCCCCAATCGTTTTCGGCGCTGTAAGTTCAACCCTATCCTTGCCATAAGCCAGCCGACTAATTCAAGATCAGTGTGTCAATATCGTCAGTTATGTCTCCCTTGCAGTGTGGAACATTCCAATGGGATGGAAATGGACATGCTACATAATAAGTGGAGCTGGTTACGGACTAAGTGGATTACTCATGGCGTACGTTTCCTCCGCATGTTTAACTAATTGATGTTTTGTGTGCTAACTGCCAATGCAGTTGGGCCCATGAGATCTGTTCTGATGATAACGAAGAGCGATCCTTGGTGATTGGCAGCATGAATGAACTGGCTTATGTCTTCCAAGCCTGGTTGCCCCTTATTGTATGGCAGCAGGTCGATGCACCGGAGTACCAGAAAGGATTCATCACCGTAACAGTCCTATCAGTTCTGCTGATCATCTTCACCTTCCTCGTTCGCTTCTTGCACCAAAAGGAGAAATTGGAGAAAAGGTGCGACCCCAAATTGTCTTCGCACCACTCTTGTCAGTTTGGATTAACTCATGATTTATAGCAACACCGAGGTCTGCAAAGTCGAAGACGCGGACGATCTGTCATCGGATGCCGCTCGGGCAGTAACTCCCATCGACACGAAACTAGTGAAGGCTTAAAAGAGGAAGAACAGAAGCTTGTACAGAGTAAGTGGGCTTACAATAAGCGCATGTCAATCGAATTCGTGTGATGCCTAGGTCTTGTTGTGGTCGCTCCTGGTGACGATGATTTTGTCAAGACCGGGCTCTGAACACCTGAAATTGGGACGAAGTTGTTTAGATGCTGACAGGTCCGCACTTTGACTCAGGGGTAATTAGATAGGAGAAAAATGGCTAGGCTCTGTGGACATGCGTGTTACAAAAGCCGACGACACTAGAGTGAATAGTGGCGCTGGTACGAGTACGGAGTACTCATACGAGTATATCACAGGTAGGAAAGGCAAATATTGGAATTGCGATGGCCCATTCGAAATTGGGGATCCCCAATGTGGGGATCTGCGTCACAAGACAATGAAACAGTGGGACATCCCCTTTGTGCTTCCTGGTTTTGCCTCTAGCCCTTTCGGAGATCGGCACTATCTCACTTAGGCAACATTATCGAAGTCCAAATTCCCTGGACAGAGCGATGTGATAGCTACTGGCCCCGGAAGATCCCACGGGGGTGATCTGCGCATTGGCAAAACACGAATGCGTCATGGGGAATGTGGGATCCTACGGAAAATCGTCTACGGGTATAACCTAGAAGAAATAGGGCAAGTCGACAGCCTCAACGCCGGGCGAGTCGAACCGGCCTAAGAAGTGTGAAGAACCAGTAACCACGAGTACTCGTAGTATCGTTCAAGCTCTACGCGTATCACGAATTCGGGCCCACCTGTCGAAATTCCCCGAATTTAATACTCGTAGAGCTCCGGTCAGGAAAGGAAAAGAAAAATCTCCATTATAAAATGATTATGGAGATCATCGTGGATCCCAAGCTAGGCGAACAGACGCGAAGTCCTGCGCGGCTGCACCGGAGGCACACCAAGTGTGTATCTCCACTTAAGACGACTAGCTTCAAGCTCAACAAGTGGAGATAGCGGGGTGCGGTGCTGTACGAGTAGAGAGCTCTGGACACGAATTCCCAAAAGCAGATAGGGGGAAAGAAATTTTAAAAAAAGAGAGTAAAAAAGAAAGAGGAACAAGAGCAATTGTTTTTCAGTCTTTCGCCAATCAAATGCCCAATTGGAACAGGGATCAAAAGATATTGGAAATTGCTATTGTTAACTTCAGGGCATGGTGAGACATCTGCATGAGCGTTGGATCTTTTCCCCCCTGCTTTCTCATCGCGCTGTCCATTCAATATGGAAAGGATAATTTTTTAGAAGCTGTTTTGACGCGGCCTTTCCGGTCTCCGCGAAACTAGAGGGTTAGAGTTATTTCAAATCAGTTCCCTTTCGTGGTTGGCGAAGATCCCTCGCTTGGTCTTAGCGTGTGATTCGGCGTTCTGAAGTGGATCGCGGCAAGAGTCGAGATCTTTTTTTCAACGGGCCTCGGGGAGGTGTGACCGGGTCCCAGCTCTGAGAAGCTCCAAAAAGTCGTCTGCTGGCCCTGCGACTCCGGGATCCATACTCCGTAGTTCCCGACGTGGAAATTGCAATTTCCACGGATTGCGAGAGTGGTTGATCTCTCGGGGTTCTCCGGCGACTCGCCCCAAAATGGTTGGCCAGGACCTCAGTACTCGTACGGAGTACGGAGTACGATACCTCAATGTGGCACGGGATGCGAGTGTCCACAATGGTCGATGAGGACAGCTAGTCCAATCCATTCCACCCCGAGAAGTGATTTGTCGATCTTAATACTAGAGCCAAGACTGTGCGTTGATAATCGAGATTCGGTTTACCCGCGCGCCAGAACAGATGTTGGATGCAATGATATCACATTCGAGCTTCCAGAGATGGAGATGCAGCTAAATCGTAGCAAACTGAAGAGAAACACGCATACTTGCAAAAATATCAAAATACCAAACCAAATGCATAGTACAATATTGAACGCCAAGGTAACGGGTCTGCGCGCTACTAGAGTGAGAGACACAATCCTTCGAAGGGATCATGCCATGCTGAAGTACAATAGATGAAGACAAACTTGAGATAGGTCTGGCCAGCAGATCCCACCCGCCAGGCAACGAAAACAGAACGACCTCCCAGGATAATCATGGCCAATGCGTACAGTAATTCTCGTAATTGTAAACCCAGTCTGGGCATTGTGTGCGTCTAGCATTTGCTGGTCGAGCGGTGGTGCCTTGAAGCCGACAGCGGCGACTTGGATGCAAGTAAAGGGGGACCAGCACGGCCGATCTGAGGCGGATGTTTCCTCTCATCGCAATCATGTCTATATAGTCAGACGTTATTAACACATGACTCGAAATGAAACAATTTAATAGTAATGCTCTCTTACCTATTAAGGGAATCTTGCCGGCTAAAGCGCCGGTCGCACGACTCACAAGAATATTTGCGAATCCCAAGGTGGACCTAGCCCCCATGTGAGTGACTGATTTTGGTTGACTCTGATCGCTGGACTCACTGTGTCTTTGTGCCTTTTGAGATCTGAACTCCTCCCAAAAGATTTGCGGCACTCCTCACATGGATGATTGTGCTTCCAATCGGGGTTGTGCATCTTTTGGTGTTCTTTGCAGTTGGAGCGTCGGGTGAATACTTTGCTACAAGTGGGACACTGCCTTCCGCTCGCAGAGATAAGTCTACCAGGCGAGCCATGGCCTCTCTTCGTAGGCTGAGGAGTAGGCTCCGGTGTGACTATGTTGCTGGTAGCGACCTCATGTGGAATTTCGTCCTGCCAGGCGTTCACGTCCGCTATGCTTGATCTTCCGGCTCCCAATTCCATTGATCTCAGCGGGGCATTGGTGGAGGATCGTGGAGTCACAGGCATGGGGATGGAGATGGCAGCATTTGGAACCGCCCCCTGGATCCATTGTAAGTTTGCTGGGGGAGTCACAGCATCAGATGGGGTTGTCGGGTCTGAGCAGGGAGTATGCATCCATAGCTCGGACATCCCAGTGGCAAAGCTATCCTGGCCTGCGCCAACTTCCAAAGCAGAATTGTAACTGGGAGACGCGCTCATCGACGCAGAGCTATAGAGACCCAGCGATCCAGCGGAAAGAATTTGAAGTTGGTCGTAAACGGGTGTGTAGCATGATTCGTTTGTGTATTCACTGTAGGAAAGACCAAAATCAGGTGTTGGAGAGACCAGTTGCGATGGCACTTGGGACGGGACGTTGAACACCCTCACTTCATCGAATGCATGTTCAATACCACAGCCGGATATGCCCAACCCAACAGGGGCTCTTCCATGGGATTCGGGTGAGGATGTCGGAGACGAGTATGCTAGAGACGAGTGGGTGTGTGCATCCTCGGGTTGCGGGGAGATAGCTGAACGAGTTGATCTCTGGGAGTAATCCATGTTGCGAAGACCTGGACGCGACAGTTGGAGTAAAGTTATTCACAATCCGGATCAAAACCAACCAGAGGCTAGTCTATATTAGAGTGAGTAGAGAGTGATAAGGTGGAGTATATATAGTCGAGGCGTTGAACAGCGTCGCTGTTGGCGATTGACGGCGGCATACATGAACGGTGGCTGAGGAGGTCAGGTATGAATTCATTGGAGCAGAAGTTGCGCCGCATCGACACCGATGAAGGCTGAAGATTGAATGGAGTTGACGCCGTAGTTGACAAGGCAGATTCAGAGAGGAAAGGGTCTGTAATTTCGGTGGAAGAATCAAACAGAGTGGGGTGGGCATTAACGGGGCTCGTCCGGAACAGATCGATGACATTCCACTATGTGCACTCACTTAGCCCCGGGGAAGAGATGCCTGGAATATGTCATCGCAAGTGGATCCTAGCCCTGCATTCGAAATGATCAGAACTTTCCGAAGTACTCTGTACAGATAAATATGATGTATGCAGATGCATACCAACGCCTGGGGATAATGGCCTTGGTAAACGCTAGCCATGCCCTTTCATCCCCGTTGGGTTGGACTGCCCAACCGCGACGTGTCCCATGCAGGCAGTAGCCAAGCAGAAATACCGAGAGATCCCAATCTTCTGTAGTCTTCGGCTTGGCGGGGTGCAATAGGGCCAAGGGTCTGTTGACCACTGAACACAGCCCTCGCAAAGTCGATTAGTTCCGAAGAACAGTCCAGACTCAGACAAGATGTTGATCAGCGTTTTTACAAAAGCCAGAACTACTCGTACCGTAACCTCAAGCGTATGCGGGACCACCCTTCCGAACCGCTCGATTTCTTTGGCTTCATGTATACCATATTGCGGTAACTCCACATTGACCCCACAGGCATTGGCGCCTCCTAGATGTTTTGATCTCTATATGGATATCTAATGTCCTTGTAAATTCGAGCTCGTCACTATTTACTTTCATGTATGGCACAATATTGACATCAAATAAGTAGAAACGAAAAGATCGGGGAAAACGGAGAAGCCGAATACACCAGGGGGAAAACCGAGACCGAGGAGGGGGGGAAACAAGAAGAGAGAGGGAGGGAGAGAAAAAGCAAGAAAAAAAAAAAAAAAAAAAAAAGGGAAAAAAAAAAAAAAAAAAAAAAAAAAAAAAAAAAAAAAAAAAAAAAAAAAAAAAAAAAAGCGAACCCCGAAAAAAATGACCAATCCTGTTGGAGAGGACTATTCAATATGGTTGTTCACAGGCATACATATCGAACGGTTTTCGACTGTCAAAGTGGCTCTGCCACTAATCCGCACCGACGCCAAATAGCGCCAGTCCGGTCCTGCAGGGGCGTGCGTGGCCCTAAGCGCCATTGGGGTGACCCCTCTGCCGCGCTTTGCTTTCCTGCTTTAGAGCGAACGATCATACTCCATACTCCGTAGTGCGGAGCCGAGTCTGGCTGGAGAATCTCATTTTTGCCCAGCCAGTGCCTCCACTTGAGCTCGTAGTCGCTCGACCGTGTCGATCAGGTCCGCAAGTTGGATTTTCCCAACCTCGACCTCAGGTTCACGCGCGGCTTGCTGATCCACAGTGCGTGCTTTCCCGGAGCCCAGATTTGTTTCAACTACGGAGTGGTGGTGTGGGTCCTGCCACCCAGAAGATGGCTTGTTTGCAGAAGTACCACCGCGTACTCCTATCGACGTCGGAGGACGTTGGGTATGTCGTTTCAGGTTTCGCCACTTCGACTCGTAGAGCCATATCAATGCAACAAACGGAATGTGCGTGGCCCGTAGCAGGATAATGCGTACGCGACGGACAGTTCCCGCCGAGAGAAAGAGGCGCATAGGGCGGATACAAAGAAGGGGGATGAGATTCTGCTGGGGTTAGCGAAGAAACCTTCCAGAATACACAAAGAAAAAGGCGATGTCAGGATCCGACGCCGAACTAACCATAGGTGGCATGAAGTACGTCAGTCGTCGAGAATTGCTACTTTCCAGAACATAGATAGCGAGCCTGATTGGGTCAGTAACTAGGATACTTTCTTGGGGGCAGTGCTAAATTTGAGAAGAGACAGGGGTCTTGAGTTGCATACTGAAAAAGATATTCTTCTCGAGCATGGCGCATAACCTATGCAGGATGTTAGTGACCGTTACCATACTCTTGGGTAAGGATTGAACTGACACCTTCCAGGCTCATGCTCATCAAACTGATCAAAGAGGAGAGGATCAGAGTGTTCGTCATGAGAGAGAATATGAGCCTGCATGATATGGTAGTTAGTATGGAGTATACCACATAGAATGCATAGACAGGCGACGTGGAAATTCCAGTCTAGGTCGTGTGCAATTCGAAAGCTGCGCATCGCTCCGAACGTCACCTGCATATTGGAACGTGATCAATTGCACATGCGACCGTGGGAATATTCCAAAAACAAGAATAAAAGAAAAGGAAATCAAAAAAGTTCCAAAACCGAAGTGAACATACATCAGACCGTAGCCGAAGATCGGGGAAATCTAAGAAATTAGCGTGTCAGTCAACTAAACGCGATAGCCAACCAATTTGCCAATCCATCGGGATATTGCAAATCGGGCTGCAGAACAGCCGCACTCACTGCAGACGCGGTGTCCTGTCATCAAATCAATTGCGCCACGGTCAGTGCACAACATCCTAAAATGGTTTAGATCGATAGGACATACCAATCCTAAAACACTCGACCTGAAAACATCCATATCGTTAGTTCGTGGCGGCAAGAGCAGGGGTACTTTCACCGTACCCAAAGAACACTTTCACCAATAGGTGCGCCATGGCATTGATAGACAAGCGGTCACGGGCCAGCATGGTAAAGGTCGTCAGGAACCCTGCAGCCGGTCAGACATGAACTGGATAGGGTGGCACCGCCTCCTTACCAATGTACAAGACCACCACCACCGGGGAGAACCTGAAGAATGCTTTCGTCTGATAATGGCAATCAGCCTTGCGCCCCGGCGACTGCATGAGGGGGATATGGTACCATCTCTTTCAACACCGGGATCTGTTGATATCCAGTCAGTTGAATCTTCCTGGAATCATGTCTCATACAGGATCCACTTACTAGACTGCCGAAGTATGAATTCAAGCTCACGAGCGAGCAGATCCTGTTTGTCCAGTGTCAGCCCTGTGACCCACATGCATAACCCAGAGGAACTCTTGCCTAGGCACAAGAAATAGAGCCTCCAGGGACAAAATATCGAATGACAGATCAATCACCGATGGATCGGCTTTTGCCAGCCCGATGACTCCTGTGGCGGTCTCATTAGTCGCCTCGTTGACAGAGCATGCTGAGGGCAAAGAGCCACCAAGGCAGACTTGGGCATGACTCACTGGTTATGACAAATGCTATTCCTACCCCAATGATGCTCAGGTTCCAGAGGCTCCAGAAATCCATTTGGTAGAACACGACCCCGGCATCAATAATCCCACTCAGTTCGTCGTATGCAAAGGCGACAATCCACGCATACATCACCGCTTCAAACAACCCAATGGCGTCTTGCCTTCTCTCTATCAACACCGCATAGTAAAGTGCGAGGAATGAGACGAAGAATACGGCTTCGAAGATCTTGCGATAGAAAGGTACTCTCAATCGCGAATACGGATCTGCCGTTCTAATGGGAAGGAGTGTCAGTATACCATCACCTTGACACTTTGCGATAATGGGAAAGCCTCACCTCGTGTTGTATGTGTGTGGCTTCTTGGTGGAATTTACCGTCAGGGAATCCCAGAAGACAATTTCCCCGTTCCAGATACCATCGACCACTCTTTGCACGACTCGTTGGCTTAAAAATCGTTTTGCGTGAGCAATCGTTGCAATCTCCATCGCATTGAGTCCGAAGAACTGAGAGTATCTCTGCGCCGTGTAGAGCTCATCTTGTTGGGCTTGATTCTGTGAGATCCCAGAAGCCTGGGTGTCCGTATGTCCCGTGCTGCCGAAAAGACGATTGAAAGTGGACGGATGTGACAAGAGGGGAGCCGCCTCGCTCTCGGTCTGGCGTATTCCCGATTGCGGTGACACCAGACCAGAAAGGCCTGTCTCAGTCTCAGATAGGTTGGTAGAGTGGCGTCGCGGCGAGGGGAGCTCTTCTAGCAAAAACTCGATTGTCTCGCGTTGATTTAAATGGCACAAAAACTGCCAGGCCACAAATTCACACGCTGCCCCTCGACTCTCATTGAGCCCCCAGTCATCTTCGGTGGCAGTCATGAATTCCCATTTCAGGATCCTGGACTGGTCAATTTGAGAATTTGTGGTTCAGCGCTATCTGGCTTACATCAAAGCCACAATGATAAAAGGATTGTGGCTGTCTTGCGCCAATGCATGGACCAGCTGTCTCAGACGATGCCCTTGGGGGCCATGCATCATTTGCTCAAACGTGTAGGCCATATCACCCACGGCCATACTGATGAAGCTGCATGCAGGGTCAGTTATGTCTTGGCGCCAAGTGACGACACATACTTGAACAACTTGGGGAGTACATCGAAAAGCGGCTCGTCCGTGTCGATGATTGGGATTTCGAAATTCTCCATTGCAGCGATCTTTCCTTCAGAAGACCAAGGCTTACAGCACTGCTCGAACGGTAGGCGGGTCCGTCCCGCCAGTACCAGTCGGGAAAATGTTTGGGTGGATAGCTGAATCAAGCCAAGAATGTGTACTTTGTAGGTCAAGGAAACTGTATTGGGTGTGGTGAGCTCTCACTTTGATGATCACACTGGCCTAGCTGTATGGTTTTGTGTGTTCCCTGGTGGTTGGATCAATCCCGAGATGCCTGCAAAAGACCCATATTGAATTAGTATACCACAGATTGCATGACAAAACACTTCAAGAAAGTAAATCAAGGACAAAATTCAATGTCTTATTTTCGGTCTCGAGAAAAAAAAAAAGACAAGACCAATCTCAGCTTGGACATCAACACAAACAGCTGTGCTGCCCCCTGCGGCCTGTTGACCGCCTTTGGCACGTGTCACGTCTGACTTCATCGTACTCAAGCTTCCCATCTCCCTCACACAAACAATTTCTTTCTCTTTCTTTTGCTGGCGGAATTTGGTCTTTTCCACATTGAATCTCGCTGTATCTCCGAAGGGGAGATGAGGGCTGGTCGACATGGGACAAGGTTACTCCCTCACAACCCTGTCAGCGGGGTCGGCGGGAATCGATGTGCCCGAGCTGTCTGACCTAGTGTATGAGAGGTCGATGGGAGGAGGCAGGTTCATGAAGAGCATCAGAGCCAAGCAGCAGAATGGCTTGGTCTTTGTGAAAGTGATCATGAAACCGTTCCCTACCATGGAGCTAGAACCATACATCAAAGCAATCACAAGTATGTCTATGCCTGGCTATTTTTCACTACAGGGCTCTAATGATTTGACCAGGGGAACGCAATCTATTGTCAGATGTGCCGAACGCGTTGAGCTATCAGAGGATTCTTGAAACGGGGACAAGTGGATACCTGGTGCGTCAGTACATCCACAGCTCCCTCTATGACCGAATGAGGTATGTCTACCACAACTATCATGCCTGTTGGGAAAATCTGACAATTGATCAGCACACGGCCTTTCTTAGAGCATATTGAGAAAAAATGGATTGCGTTTCAGCTCTTGTGCGCTCTTCGAGATTGTCATTCCTTAGATATCTACCACGGTGATATCAAAACGGAGAATGTGTTGGTGACAGCCTGGAACTGGCTGTATCTTTCCGATTTCTCCTCATCATTCAAGCCAACCTTTCTCCCGGAAGACAATCCTGCGGATTTCTCTTTCTTCTTCGATATATCCGGCAGACGAACATGTTACTTGGCCCCCGAACGTTTCTCTGTAGCTGGTGAAGAACCAAGCGGGAGTGGAGTAAACTGGGCAATGGACATATTCAGTGCTGGCTGCGTTATCGCTGAACTATTCCTCGAGTCGCCCATTTTCAACCTGAGCCAAATGTACAAATACCGCAAAGGCGAATACAGTCCAGTGCACAGTCAACTGGCAAAGATTGAAGATCCAGATATTCGAGACTTGATCCTCCATATGATTCAACTCGAGCCTGAATCGCGATACTCCGCAGATGAATATCTCAACTTCTGGAAAGGAAAGGCGTTCCCGGAATACTTCTACAGCTTTCTTCACCAGTACATGTCTCTCATGACCGATCCTTCATCTGGCCGACCAGATGCCGGAGCAGACTCAAACAACCGAGGAGAAGCGGATGAACGAATCGAGCGTGTCTATCTGGACTTTGACAAGATATCCTACTTCCTCGGTTCTACAGCCCGGGGCGTCGGGGGAGGATCCGGTATAACTATCCCTAATTTGACTGGCAATGCTCTCCCTGTGAAACTTGATCAACCAAGAGGCGAGGTCCCAACCCCGACTCAGTCCCAGCCCGATGAGGGTGCTCTGATCTTCCTCACACTGGTAGTTTCCAACCTGCGGAATACAGGCAAAGCATCGGCTAGAATCAAAGCCTGTGACATTCTTCTTGCTTTTGCAGAAAGGTTGTCGGATGAAGCGAGACTGGATCGAGTGCTCCCGCATATCATGATTCTTCTAACTGACCGTACTGATACCGTCAAAGTCGCTGCGATCCGCACCCTGACCCAACTACTCGAAATGGTCCAAGTAGTGTCCCCAGTCAACGCCTATTTGTTCTCCGAATACATTTTCCCACGACTTCAACCGTTTGTGGCTACCTCCAGCAATAATCCCAGTGCGATGGTGCGTGCAGCATACGCCTCGTGCATCGCGTCCTTGGCCCAATCTTCCTTGCGCTTTCTGGACATGATTCAAGCGTTACGCTCCGACACCCGTTTGGCTGCGTTGATACCGGTTGGCTTTGAGCCCCGGTGGTCCGAAGAGGCGACTTACCACAATCTTTACGATGTGGCCCGAGTTGACCTCTTGGAATATTTCGAAGCTCACACGAAAGCACTCTTGACGGACACAGACGCATCAGTACGGCGGGCATTTCTAGGATCTGTGTCTAGTCTTTGTGTTTTCTTCGGAAATCTCAAGGCCAATGAGGTTGTTCTGAGTCATTTGAATACGTACCTGAATGACCCCGATTGGATTCTCAAATGCGCTTTCTTCGAGGCCGTGATAGGCGTCGCAGCTTACGTGGGAAGTCTCAATTTAGAACTATACATACTGCCACTCATGGTTCAATCAATGACAGAGCCTGAGGAATTCGTCGTTGAAAGAGTCATTCGATCTCTAGCAGCCATGGCAGACCTTGGCTTGTTCCAGCGGCCAACGATGTGGGACCTGCTCCACACAACTGCAGGCTTTCTGGTGCATCCAAATCTCTGGATTCGAGAAGCTGCGGTGAAGTTCGTTATGAACTCCTCCAAATTCTTATCGATAGCGGACATACATTCCATCCTGACACCCATAATTCGTCCATTCCTCAAGATCCAAATCGTTGGCTTTTCCGAAATCCGCATTCTCGATGCCCTGAAACGACCAATCTCGAGGAGTGTATATGAATCGGCTTTGCAGTGGGCCTCAAAGACCGACCGCGGGGTGTTCTGGAAATCCACTAGCCGCGAGGGGATGTTCCACTTGTCTGAGCCCAGGGCCTTTAGTCCTCGTGTTGGACAACGAACCCCTGCCTTGACCATGGCCAGTCAACCCAAAAATGACGAGGACGAGCAATGGTTGAGCCGCCTCAGAAACTTTGGAATGACCTTAGAGGACGAGTCTAAGCTGCTTGCACTGAAGGACTATGTTTGGAGGGTCTCACTGCGACAATCTAGAGAAGTCAATAATCACATCTCTCCCCCCTTGAATGATATCGTCAGCCTAACCCAACACGGCATCAAGCCACAAACTGTTTTCTTTGACAAAGAGCTCAGAGAACAACCGCGAAGGGGGTCATTGGATGAAAATGACGGGAACGCCGGGGATGATGCGAGGCCAAGAACCATCGCAGACGCCTTGCTCGACGCTTCAACGACTATTGAGCGAAACCCCAGTCTTCACCGCAGGCACTTGCGCTCAAAAAGCCATGCATCAAAAGACCAAAGGCCATCCCCTGGCGCTCCTCTTTTGGACGGCAATGATTCATCCCCTCTCTCGTCGTCACCACTGTCCTCGTCCCCTGCTACGAGATCGGGGTCTCGCGCATTATCTCCGCCAAACTCGGACACTGACCGCAGACCTTCCACTTGTGGGAGTAGTCCCGGCCAAGATGGATCATTAACACCAACAAACGCAGAGACACGAAGCTTGGCTAGCTGGGTTAACAAAAGACCCAGTGCGATCAACTTGCTGAATGGAAAAGACACCGGCAAAGCCTTTGCCGAGACAGCCACAAGCGCCGCCAATGCCTTTGGAAAGGTTGACGCACCAGTTCAAAGAGGCGGGACACCCCAGCCATCTACATCCATATTTCCAGAGCGAAAGCCCCAGACGATCTCGCAAAAGTACCGGGCCAACCATTCATATTCGGGGAATCATCCCGCTGTTTTACGGCTGTTGGACAACGTCTTCGAGGAAAATTACCCTACAGACTTGTTTGACCTTGGTCCATATGTGAAAGAAGTTGATACCCGACAACCGATTCGCGGCGCCACCGATCAAGAGCCGAACAAGGTCTGGAGACCAGAAGGAAACTTGGTTGCAACTTTTGGTGAACACAGTGCGCCGATCAATCGCATAGCTGTTGCGCCAGATCACTCATTCTTTGCCACTGCTTCCGACGATAGTACAGTGAAGATATGGGATACCACCCGTTTAGAAAGAAATCTGACACCACGGTCTCGTCAGACCCACCGTCATGCGCCGGGCTCCCGGGTGAAGGCTTTGACCTTTGTGGAAAATACGTATACTTTCATCAGTGCAGCTACCGACGGCAGTATTCATGCTGTCCGGGTTGATTATCAGAAAGTCAGCCAGACTGCTGTTCGCTATGGCAAACTTCAGATCGTTCGCGAATATCAGCTTCCCGCTGCCGAGGACGGAACCCCAGAGCACGCTGTTTGGATGGAACACTTCCGCGAAGAAGGCCAGTCCACATTAATCATAGCAACAAATACCTCCCGCATCATTGCCCTGGACATGAAAACCATGCTTCCAATCTACACACTGGAGAATCCCATCCATCATGGCACCTTGACTACTTTCTGCTGTGATCGCAGGCATCACTGGCTACTGGTTGGCACCACTCACGGTATTCTTGATCTCTGGGATCTGCGTTTCCGCGTACGACTGAAGGCTTGGGGTCTTCCGGGTTGGGGTGCAATCAATCGCATCCAACTGCACCCAGTGAAGGCACGTGGACGCTGGGTCTGCGTGTCCAGCAGTGGCAGCCATGGCAATGAGATCACCGTATGGGACATTGAAAAGTTCCGCTGCCGTGAAGTCTACCAGGCGACCCCACTGGGCATCGGTAGTAATGCTTCCAGTACCGCTCATCCCTCCCGTACCTCTGCTCATCCAACCCACATCGCGCCGAGTGACTACGAAGCATGGCGAGTCGACGGCGACCGACCGGAAGGCATGCTAAGTCGGTTCGCCACCAGCGATACAGAAGGCACTTCCAGCAACTCGGCTGGTGATCGGCTCGGTATCTGGACCTTTGCCGTTGGTCTCAATGCTCCCGATGAAGACAAGGACTCTAGCACAAAGTGTGGGTATATCATATCTGCTGGGTGCGACCGAAAGATTCGCTTCTGGGATTTGGCTCGGCCAGATCTTTCGTCTATAGTCAGCGGCTTAGACATTGTGTCGGACGGAAGTGCTGGCGGCAAGCCGCACTACGAGCAGTCTCAACCAAGTCCGAATCTTTTGGTCACTACTGAGCGGCTCCCTAGTTCGTCTACTGGTGGCAACTTGAGAGATGCCAGGAAGGGAGCAAGTCGGCCACCCCGGAGTACGGTCATTAGTCTGCAGCAACAGATGTTGTTGAAAAGCCATTTAGACGTGGTTCAAGATGTGGCAGTCTTGCGTGTTCCATATGGCATGGTTGTTAGTGTCGACCGGGCCGGCATGGTCTATATCTTTTCTTGAGCCCGCCCATCACAACCTCAACGATATCTGAATTTATGATAGCGTCTCCTCGAATTTAGTACCGAATTGATAAAATGCAGAAATCAGATCCAGTATTTCTCGTTTTGCCAAATTGGCTGGGCCATTTGACCTACTGTAAATGGATGGAATTGCAATGCGTAATCGCACCAGCACAATGCTGCATATGAACATTTGGAGGCAGCATGCTGCTGGCCCTCTACATGTAATGCTCTGTTGCTTGACCTTTTGCCACCTGCCTTTGGTAATAGAGAATGGGAAAGACAAGAGTTTGGTTATGGCGATTCAGAAAGCTGGGGACCTGAAAAAAAAGCCTGGGACTTGTCCATCCCCTGGAGTCTCAGTGTTACTTCCAGTGCAAGCACCAGTGCTGTGGGAGCGTTTGACATGAAGTTCCCGTTCAGTGAGATGTATTTTAGACCCCTCAAGCCATTATGGACATAAACTACGGAATCTAGCGCTTCTCAAAGGGCTTCAATAACAAGAGCAAGATCATCCATGTTCTCTAAGAATGCATCAAACTCCGTTTTCACCTCTTCCATATCCTCATCGAGATCATCTGTCCACCGATGAACATATACGGTTCTCAATCCACACGCCTTTGCACCCCGCAAGTCGTAAGCATGCGCCGCAACCAGTACAACCTCCTCTGCAGGGAGTTTGACTAGCTCCAGGGCTTTTACATATGCCTCCTGGTTTGGTTTGTACGCACCCAGGAGCTGACTTGAAAATAGCAGGTCAAATTCCAAGCCCGAGGAGCGGGTCAGGTCGAGTTGGAGCCGGGTTGTCCCGTTCGCATGCACAAAGACTTCCAACCCGAGTCTGGTCCGAAGACTCTGGATTGCGTCAGACACTTCCGGCCATGCCTTTTGGGAGTGCCAGACCTGTATGAGGTGGAGTTTGGTCTGATCATCGAAATGAGGCGAGTGTGCGGGGAACCGCCCGAGAACAACCTCCAGGCTGCGGGCGAGTGTGATGTCGATATCCTCGGGATTGAGCCTCTGACTCACCCGACTGCTGTTTTCGAGGAAGTATTGCCGCCGCCATTCAAGTGCTAGGCTGGATGCTTCGCTCTCGGGGATGGCAGAGGGCAAGGCCTGCACTACACTGCTGTGCCAGTCCAGACACGTTCCCATGAAGTCAAAGAAAACGGCTTTGATCGTTGACTTGGTCATTACTGTGATTGTCTGGGTTTTCGGGGGTATTTACCTTTGGGTTGTGAGATACTGTTTAAATAGTAAGCAGATCGTATTCTATTGGCTGCGTTGCGATTACATGGAAAGTTGATTTGAAATCAAACTAACGTTGTAAGAGGTCAAAGACCGTATATTTGCATGTTCTCCAAGGCTGCTTATCCAAGGTTTACTGGTCGAACTACACACTACAACAAATATGGATGCACAGGGAATATCTATTCTGAGTCGCGAACATGAATCACTAGAATGATTGCAAAATACCCGAAGTTGGACAGGGTACTACACAGCGCAGGAGCAGGTTATGAGTCCAAAATTTATCAAACAAATGATTATAAACGGAAGACGAAAGGCCGGTTGATGAACTTCCGGCCGTCGTTGATCTCCCTGATGTACCAATCCAGAGATTTGTTCGCGGCATCAAGGACCGTGTCACTATCTGAGAAAGCCCCGGCGATGCGTAGTGAGAGACAGTTGGAATGATACGGATGTCTGGGCGCCCGATCGATAGTCACCTGTCCGTTGTAAATGCGAAAGCTCATCAGTCGAAGCAAAGCGGGATTTGCTAACCGGGCATCTTCGCGTTCGAACCAGATTGTCACCCAGTAGACATTAGGGCCGCTGGGCTGATCTGGAATAGGCCCTAAATGGTTACTGAAGGCACCCTGCGTGGATTGCATGAAGATGGACTGAGGTTGAATCAGTAAACAATAATATCCAAGGCACCGGTTGTCGATTGCTTCGAAGCTGTGTTGAATTTGGGTGAAATACCTAAGGAACGAAGTGACTTAAGTAGGGTAGACAGGCAAGGGTGCAACAATGAAGTGACCTCGAAATAGCAACAAAGCGATTGCGGAAAAAAGGGAACTCAAATGCCGCTTTGTCGTCGTCCAAGGTTCTTTCATGTGGATTTGGCCAATTGGACAATCAGGTTATGACAATAGCACAGCCTCCAACTGGCAAAGAAGATAATCCGTTGAATAACAGGAAAGCTATTGTTGAGTATGACGACCGCCTGACTGTAGTGCATTACGCTTAAGGCTTAAGAGTACATCCAGCTAAACTGAAACCGTCACAGCCGAATCCACCTACCCATCCAGGTCTCAACGATCTCCTTGGCCTCATCGACCAAGCCAAGGTCAAGCAAAAGCTGCGTAGCACCCCTGACAGCCGAGTCCAACGCCGAAAACACCCAACCGTGGGTATAACTGGTATGTTCTCCAACAAAGATAGTCTTGAACTCAGTCTGGTAATAGGCAGGCAGGAATTCCTCCTGTTGGCCGACGACTGGATCTGCCCAACCTCCCGCATGGTGTGGGTCAGTCTCCCAGCACTGTCTCTCGTAGTGGCCAGTGAACTGCTCAGAGGCAATCTCGCCGTGCACTTCGACCATTGCACGTTGAGCAAGAGCAACATGTTCCTCGTCGTGGAGAGCTGATACCGAGCGGGCGGGGGCAAAGTAGATATATGATGCAAGGACCACACCCGGTCCTGTGCCGTTGATGTTGTACGATGGATAGCAAATCTCACCGATCCCAGGCATGTCGACAGAACCACATCCGCCCCAGATCGGGGTTTTGAGATGTTCCCAAAAGCGAGAACGATAGTGTAGGGCTATTTTGCAGGCTGGTTCATAATTGAGGGTTGAGATGGCCCGGCCAAGTGTGGAAGAGAAACGTGGTAAATCCCATAGCCGGACTTTTGTGAAGGGCGCAGTGACGACTACATGGTCGAACTCCATACTTTCGGGTCTCGTTTGGAAAGGGTCCTTGCGCCAGGTAATGGCTGCTTTATCTGAGGTCTTATTATATACGAGACCATCTATTGTACGGTTCAGCGTGAGCTTCCCTTCGAGGAGTGGCATGAATGCTTTTGGGAGCGACTCTAGGCCTTTGTCGATGGTTCGGATTTCCGTTGCTGCGCTGTACAAGCCATAGTAGACAGATTGCCAGATGTCAAAGTTGAAGGAGTTGCTCAGTTGATTGATGACGCTGGTGTTGTAGCCTTTCGCATAGCGTAGGTACGCGGCCTCAGACCAGTCGAGCTTTCCCTCTTCTATCGCTTCCTTGTGGGCTTTGTACAAATTGGTGGCAAGCTTTTGGAGGTATTCTTTGCTGTGGACACTGGTATAGTTATCATAGGCAGCTTTTGCAGTAGAGACGGCAGCTTGATTCGATGGAGGCGTATATACTAGAGACTTGTCGGCCTCAACATTGGCGACACTTGGAATTCGGCCATCTGGAAGACGATTTCCACCGGAGTAAATTGGTAGATTAGGGCCTTTCTCGGTCCACGGAATGAACTTGATCTGAAGATTTGGCCTTTTTGCATTGATCCGGTTGAGTACGTCCACAAGCTGGAAAACCATGCGATGATCTTGGATCTCTAGGGTCTCGTTCGTGTCCGCATAGGTGATGCTGACAGGAAATCGCATTGCTCCCATCTCTTGGTATTGATAATCCTCTGGCTTTGTGTTATTTAGGTACTTGGTGCGAATGCGACCGCCGACTCGCCCCGAAGACTCATATATGTGCCAATTGTGAACCCCAGAAGACCGCAGCAACAGACTGGTCATGAGTCCAGATATTCCGCCCCCAACGATGGCCACAGACTGGTTCTTGGCCTGTGTCACAAAGGATTTCTCCAGGGGCTTGGATTTCATGTAAGCCACGCCATCAAACCATGGCCCCAAGGCATCGGCTACATCGGCGATCTTCTGGCGCTTTTGGATTGATGGCGAGACGCTTAGCGGATTGGATCGACCTACCGGTCCTGTCTCTGAGAAGGCATGCAGACAATACAAGTCCGGGGTGTCCGGAGGCGTGGACCAAACAAACCGTTCGGGGTATGCGTCACGTTTCACCACCGTATTCCCGATTTCATGATGCTTTTGCCGCGGATCTTGGATATCACACTTCCCGTACACTAGTTGCAGACGACCTTCGAACTGACTCGAGAATTCGACGTGTATGTTGTGCAGGGAATTGGCGGTTACATGCTCGGGGCCACGGAATAGGATCGCTTCGGTGGATGGTTGGGCCCCAGCATAGACCAGAACTGCAAGGCCAAGTGCCTGCAGCAGCCCATGTCGCAAACAAGACTTCATCTTGAGCAGTTGAGGCCCTGGGTGCCCCTTTCCAAGAAGATCTGAATGGTTGTGTCCAGATCAGTCGTGAAGCACAGTCAATACCTCGTTCGTCTCCTGGTTCGAATGTCGCTAGGCTACCACGCTCAAAACTTGTAGCATGTAGATTGGGAACCGGGAGACTCCCATGGCAAGCCTGGGCGGAAAAGACATTCTAGTTGTTGACATGTCTGGAATAGGAATGTGTCTGTGCGTCGCCAGGGGTACATACACTATGCAGTACGAGTTACGGAGTACATTGAGCAGCATTTTCGCAGAGCTTAGCCTGCAGGTACAGAGTATCTCGTTCGGGGTTCCCTAACAAGACGAGCGACCACAGGCATGCCCCGGCTCAGCGATTGGATCCTGCAGTCGAGTTTGGTGTGTTTCCTGGCTCGTTTCTAGACCGGCGGGTTTGTATCACATGGATCCACCCAGATCAGTGATCAACCTTGGAGAATGCTGACTGTTGGATCGGTGTCTCGATGGCATATCTGGACTACCCATGTCGATCTCTTGGGCGAGGCCACGGGCGGAGAGGAAAGGGGTCAAGTGCACTTCGTAAGTCAAGTCATCATATTCGCTCAAAACGCACAAAACGCTAGTAACGCTAGAAATTGCCAAAGCAGCGTTTAATCACAACATATCGTGGTTTCTTCCAGCTTTCTGTCCGGCACGTCATCGAGGCCCACGGTGACGACCATCCAATCACAGAGGAACTTGCCCAGCCCGGCACCGATGAAGATGCAGATAATCACGTAGACGTTGAAGTACATGGCCAGCAGCATGGTGATATAGGCCCCGGCAAAGGTGACGGCGTGAATGATGGCGCGCGTCAATTGCTGCAGTGGGGTGGCGCGAAAGGTGACTGTCGACCTTTCCCACTTCTTGGCGAAGGTACCGTGCGCGGCTTGGCGCTGGAATTGGCGCGTCAGGAAATTGTCGTACTCCCGGCCGATGCGGCGACAGAATTCGACGAGCACGACCAGCAGGACAGTGCCGATGCAGGTGGCGGCAAACATGCCATTGTTCTTGATCTGCCATCCGGTGGAGAGGAAACAAGCGTCGATGGTGTTGAAGTTGAAGAGCATCTGGCCTAATGAGCGCCGTTTTGAGCCAACTCCGTCTTGGCACTCACCGAGATTTGACACTCGTTGCTCCCCATGTCCATATCCATGCCCTGCATGATGTGTGTGTGAGAGAGAGGGAGATAGCACTGACGTGCTTTATGATAGACTGAACAGTGTTCAAGTCTGAAGGCGGAGGAGGGTCTTCTTATAAACAGTGGCCTCTTACGCTTGCTCCCCCCACCTAATGGCCCAGAGTGGAGCAGAATCGGCGATGGAGCAGAGAAATGTGCTCAAACGGCCTCAAACGACCTCGAATGGGCGTGAACGGACTCTAGACGAAACAATGAGCTCAATATCTCTCAGAGGTCGTTAAATTGTCGACTCTTCCTCTCTGTCACTCTTTTACGCACCCACGCACCCACACACACTCTCTCTCTCTCTTGCACACATTGCACTGCCATATTCCTACAGATTGACGTAAGGAATATGAAGTAAGTAGCCGCATTTTTAAGCTTGTTCTGCTTAACACTTTCGGCACGGGCATCATGCCTTTCACTCTGGATGCACGTCATATCCAGAACATGAGCGCGGCCACCGCGATCGAGCCTCATTGGGGATATGCCGATCGCGCTGTGCCATGTACCAACGATGCGGGCTCATGTGCCTATCTTGATGATGTATACTCTTCACACGACCGGGGCATGCTCTACTCCGGCATCCTGTGGTGTGTCATAGGCGCCATTCTGCTGCTCTGGGTCGTGCTCAACCAGTCAAATGCCCCCACATCATCGCCATCCCTCGCCCCCGCAGAACCAGCAGGGCTGGTGCGAGCGCGCCGGGCTGTGAGAGCGCTCGCTCGCAAATACCTCCTCCCCGATGCGGCCCGACTGGTCTTCGGCCGCACCACACGCCTCCAAGTGCTCACGCTCGCCCTGCTGGTGGGCTACCTCCTGGTTTTCAGCTTCGTCGGGATCGTCTATCATACCTGGGTCACCCCCGTCTCCGACATGCCCGGAGTGTACAACACGCGCGATAGCATTGGGCCATGGTCGGATCGCGTCGGGACCCTGGCCTACGCGCTGACGCCGCTCTCGGTGTTGCTGAGCAGCCGGGAGTCCTTTCTGTCCGTCATCACTGGGCTCCCATACCAGAGTTTCAACTTCCTCCACCGCTGGCTAGGTTACATTATCTTTGTCCAGAGCTCGCTTCATACCATTGGCTGGTGCGTCGTCGAGCTCCGGCTGTACCAACCACAGCCCACTGTCGGCCTGGAGTGGGTCACACAAACATACATTATCTGGGGCATCGTGGCGATGATTCTTCTGCTGCTGATGTTTGCCCTGAGCACCCCGTGGGGCATTCGGCTGACGGGCTACGAGACCTTCCGCAAACTCCACTACGTCCTTGCTATGGTCTATATTGGCGCATGTTGGGCGCACTGGAAGGCCCTCAAGTGTTTCATGTGGCCGTCCCTGATCTTTTGGTTCCTCGATCGCGGTGCACGGCTGGTCCGCACCGCGCTTCTGCACTACCACCCCGATCACACTGGTGGCGGTCTCGCGTTAAAACCGGCCACTGCGAGCATCACTCGCTTCCCGGACCCCGAACATGGCGATGTCCTTCGCCTGAACTTGGAGAATGGTCAAGATCCATGGGACATTGGCCAGCATTACTACCTCTGCTTCCCCAAATCAAGCGTCTGGCAGTCTCACCCGTTCACGCCGCTCAACCTGCCGGTCGTCAAAAACGGCACTGTGCAACACTCATATTTGTTGCGAGCTAAGGGTGGAGAAACCAAGAAGATCGCTAACCTCGCGATCGAATCCAAATCCACACCGGTGATTCTAACCGGCGCATACGGTGAATCAATCGCTACTCATCTCACCCCCTCCACCAACATTCTCTGCATTGCCGGTGGAACCGGCATCACCTATGTTCTTCCCGTGCTCCTTGGCCTCGCCCGCCAACCGCCCTCTCCGGACCGCAAGGTGGAGCTGATCTGGGCCATTCGCCATACCGCCAACACGGAATGGATCGAGGCCGAGTTGGACCTCCTCCAAAAGGCACGCAATACGCTCAACCTGGAAATCCGCATTTTCGCTACCCGAGATACAACCAGCAAAACCCCCTCGGAGGCCTCAATCGAAAATTGCAACTTGACGGTTCCTAAGATCGAGGAGAAAGCTCCAATTGAGTCCGAGGCTTCATGCTGTGGCTGCGATAAGCCGGCCTCCGTGGAACGGCTCGGGGGGTCAGAAGACTCTTCGCGGCATCCAGATCTGCCTCGACTGGTGAGTTCGTTTGTGGGGGACACCGTGCGCGGGCCGACGAGTGTCTTTGCCAGTGGACCTGGCGGGATGATCAGCGATCTCAGGGACATTGTCGCGTCTTGCAACGATGGGCCGAAGGTCTGGAAGGGACAAGAACGATTCGATGTCAGACTGGTCTGTGATGATCGGTTGGAGTGGTGAGCGTTTTATTTTACATTTACATTTGCATTTATGGACATATCGCATAGGTTCGCTGTACATAGTCATGATCATGAAAACATAAGCATATTTTTTTTCAAATCCATCTTTCTACACTAACGTGATGTCTAACAGCGACATATAGATTTAGTACCAGCCGACTGACACAAGGTCGCAGTTCAAAGCATTTAGTCGGAACTCGAGGTTTGTTTGTCATTTAATCAGAATAGTGCTTTCCAACACAAGCATCTCGGACAGGCTCCAGCTTGGCGCGATGGTTATGAAATGATTCCAGCAATCGATCTCAACGGAATGTTCAGACGATCACTGCCGATCCACCAAATTCCGAAGATTCCGTGAAGATCTTGTAGTTTCCCCACCATCTTCCGTCTACAATGCACTTTGCACCAATCGAACTACAATTCTTTTCACAATCAGTTCTAATCTGCGACAAGTCCGGATTCATTATTGAGATGAAACTTCAACGAGTGCATACATCGAATTTCACGCGGAATTTTCTTGATAAAAGCTGCGACGTATGATGCAGGGCTCCGAGCCGTTTTACCCGGGACCCATTCGCCTACTCGTCCTGGAAAGATCGTCGAAATAGCCATGAGCACATATAAAGGCAATGTCTCGTTCATCCTGGGCACTACAATTTAACACAGGCGATATACAATATGGCGGCTCCATCAAACCGCAAGGTGGCCTTTGTCACGGGAGCAAATGGCATCAGTGGATTCAATATCATCGAACACCTGGTGTCTCAACCCAAGGAGGAATGGTGCGTCAGCTTCAAGTGTTGTTTCTTCCGTATTGACACCTCCCAGGAGCAAGATCGTTGTGACTTCCAGGAGACCACTCCCCAACGCATGGATCGACCCCCGCGTCAGATTTGTGGCTGTGGACTTCCTTGAACCCGTTGAGAAGATCAATGCTTCATTAGCAGATATCTGCAGTGATGTCACCCATGCCTTTTTCACTTCATACGTTCATAGCGATGATTTCCGTCTTTTGCGCGACAAAAACGTCCCTCTCTTTCGCAACTTTATGGACTCGGTCGATGCCGTGTGTCCCAAGCTCCAGCGCGTATGCCTCCAGACTGGCGGCAAAGTAAGTCTCTCATGAACATCATGCTAATTCAATGATACTAAATCCTGTTCAGTACTATGGCGTTCACCTAGGGCCGGTGAAAGTTCCACTGGAGGAGTCTTTCCCTCGCTACGATGATAAGGGATTCAACTTCTATTACAACCAGGAAGATTACCTACGAGAGGTCCAGGCTCGCCGAAACGCCTGGACTTGGAATGTCATCCGACCAAATGCAATCAATGGTTTCGCTCCTCATGGTAAGCACGAAGACCCTTGATTTGGCGGGATCTATGAATCAAAGGATTAATGACCTTATCAGCAAACGGCATGTCGGAAGTCCTAACCATCGCCATATACATGCTCATCTGCCGTGAGATGGGCGAACCTGCACACTTCCCCGGAAATGAGTACTTCTGGACGTCCATTGACGATAACTCCTACGCGCCCAGTCTCGCAGATCTCTCTGTTTGGGCTGCCTCACATGAGCACTGCCAGGATGAAGCATTCAACCATGTGAACGGAGATGTGTTCGTGTGGAAGTATATCTGGCAAGACTTTGCGGCGTACTTTGGCCTCGATGTGCCCGAGCCGACGTTCCAGAAAGCATCAGGCCAGGCCGATACTCTGGCCAATGAGATCGATATGGTGGAGTGGGCTAAGGACAAACGTCACATCTGGGAGCGGGTTGTTGCCAAGTACGGTGGTAAGGCTGATGCTTTTGACTGGGGGACGTGGGGATTTTTCAATTGGGCTACAGGAAAGTCTTGGTTGACGATCTCTTCCATCAACAAAGCAAGAGATTTTGGTTGGACCCGTCACGATGGGACACTCCAGACTTGGATTGACACATATCGATCCTTCGAAAATGCCGGGGTGATGCCCTCCCTTGATCTCCTGAATAAAGAGTAATGTGAAATGCTGCTCTTGAAACCAACCATTGGGGATGCTTCGGATGTCTGAACAGACCGCATTATTTCGTATTTCATACCCCGTACTCCGTACAAATGTGAGACATGGATTTAAGCAAGGGCGATCTTTTCTCGGATACTCCGGCTCAACAAAACAACACTCCATCTATAGATGCTCAATTTGTGGCCAATCGGATGATCTAGACACGACTCCACCGCCAATTTCGACAATTCTCTTCCACGGAGGCGTTTATTTATTGGTTCTGGGCCTTGGATGGCGTGGGGAGAGACACCCGTTGACGTGGAGAGTTCTAGAATAAGAGTGGGCCTGTCCGATCACAGTTAGATACTTTATTCAGAGATCTATATTTACGATAAACGACCCCTTTCTTCCCGGGCCCCCTTAAAACCTCGCCCCGGCTGTACGAACAAATTTTGAACAATTCTAAAGAGTTTTGAAAGCTTCGAAAACATTGGCCTAAGTGTTTTACCATCTTTCAAAAATATCGCCTAGAATATGCCAAGGAAACACAAAAACACTACGAAACGGTGGTTTTGCTATGTCAATCAAGTTCGCTTCAATGTCTCCTGACCATGTCTATGAGATTGATGAGCTTCCACTGGATGAGCGCACCCTTCGAGGACAAAATCACCGAAGGACCTTTTATCGTATAACGCAGGCTGCGATTTGGATTGCACCCCTCTACTTCACTGCTCGCCTTTACTTCTTGCTCAGAGCTCTGTCGCCAACATGGAAGATGTGGGCAATGCTAGGCATTGAGTGCTTGTTTGCTCGTAAGTCCTTTGCTCCTGGAATGATGCAGCTGCTGACGAGCTAGACATGTCATATCAGCATCAGGCCGTGTCGCTTTCGGCAGCAGGTTCTTCTAGTCAGGCTTCGCGAAAAAGGTTGAGATTGCGGAACAGTGCCAGTCTTCCCACGGTTGATGTACTGATAACATGTTGCGGAGAGTCGGTGGAAATTATTTCAGACACGGTTCGCGCAGCCTGTTCGCTGGATTACCCGGCTTCGCGGTTTCGAGTCCGTCTACTTGACGATGGCGCATCGACGGAACTTCGCGACGAGATTGCCAGACTATCCATGACCTGGAGTCACTTGAGCTACCACACTCGCGGCAAACAATCGAATCAGTCGTTCGCTAAAGCAGGGAACTTGAACTATGCTCTCTTCTCCTTGCAAAGCGAGGATCCACCTGAATACTGTACCGTTGTGGATGCCGACTCTATTCTGATGCCCCATTTCCTGCGCGCAACCTTACCTCATTTGCTGAAGGACCCCGAGGCAGCGTTAGTCACTACACGGCAGTACTTTGACAACTTGCCTCGGGGAGATCCGCTCTCGCAGGCCCGCGCGTACTTCTACACGTGCGAGAATACTGAGCTTGATCTGATGGGCCATGCTGTTGATGCGGGATCTGGCGCCGTGTTTCGTCGCAAGGCCATTCTTGATGTCGGGGGTTACCCTACCTTCTCTTTCTCTGAGGACTGGCAGCTTTCTCTTGTCCTGCGGGGTATGGGAAAGCGCACAATGCAGGTGCAAGAGATCTTGCAATTTGGCCTCGTGCCAACTTCTTTTGCGGGACATCTCAAACAACGCAATCGATGGCATATTGGCCACTCCCAACAGGTATCTGTCCTATTCGCGTCTGCTAAAAATGCCATTCCGCAACATCTTCGTTGGGACATTGCCACTGGAGGACTGTCGATTATGGCAGGCCTGGTGACATACCTGATTGGCTTCTTCGCAATCCCGACTCTGTTGTTTGTCGAAGGCGATCTCTTTCCCACCCGATCTCTATTTGAGATCAAATCCCAGGTCGTGCTGGCAATCTTACATGTGTTATCCACGTGGGCATACAACTGGTCTCGGAGTACGCATGCGGGTGTTCCCTTCATGCCCCTTGCCCATACGGAAAACAGTTGGCTTGCTCCTGGTAAGGCCTTCACGAGAACACGAAAGAGTTTGATATTGATGCTGATTCTGATATATAGCGCATTTGTATGCTGTTTTCCAGTTTCACTTGTTTGGAAGTAAACCTAAGGGCTCCTTCGTGACAGGAAGTGCAGCTAATTGCCGGGAAAATGCCTCGCCCGTAAAGCTTTTTCCAAAGATTCACAAAGATGTGCTGGAAAATGGACTGTGGCTAAACATCTCTCTCTTTGCTACCCTGTTGTGCGGAACGCTTTTTTCCCTCCAGAGCTTGGTCAGTGCCACTGGTCCTTTGATCCCTAGGGTACTTTCCTCTATTGCATGGCCGCCATTCTTCGTGATGATTATCTCCACTTTCTATAACCATTGGACCCCGATTGGACATCTTCTCAACCCTCCAGTGTATCCCTCCCGGGCATCTGGATTGATGGTCACTGAAAGCAAAGTTCCATATTCGAGCGCGAATATTAAAACAGACCATATCTACAAGGTTTCTATGTTCGACCGAACTCTCGCTTTTGGGTTGCCAAGCGTTCTTCTTGGGATGCTCGCGGGAGTCCTCACTCTATGATTCAAAGCTCATACCCACATTGGCTTCAACGGCTAGAGAAATGTAGCCTAAATGCCGCATGATCCCAGGTGTCACTGCAGGTGGGCAGCGAAATATGGCAGTCAAATCATTTTATTCCAAGATAACGCGCTTTATCAGACTCAATATGACTATACTACACATCTTGAATCACACTCTCGTATTATTATTTTCATAATTTCGCTGAATCAAAGGGGTGAAGGGGAACCTTGATCTAACCTCGGAGTTCCCCAACCTTGGAAGATGGCTGCTGTGGTCAGCCCAGACCCTGGAAGATCTTCCAGATACAATTCCAAGCCAAAAAGCATGGAAATTATATTTTCTCGAGGCTATGAGCTCCGCTGGCGATCTCGAGGCGGATCCGGGTCGCCCTGCATACCGAACTCGGTAAGCGTCAAATCCCTCCACATGTGAATTTCTTACTCCAACGTATCAGGAGAGCAGCCCCGGAGTGAATGGTTGAAACTTTGGAAAGTCACGAAGTTCCCCGCATCTGGGGTATGGTTCTTCATGTGAGATACTGCATCTCAATTGAGGCTGACCAATCGTGTTGGAATATTCATGGATAGACACATGAATGATATCAGAGACGGAGGTTAGAATGATGCCTTTTCCGCTATGGCTCATGTTCCCAACAGACAACAAATGCCTTGGTAATTCTTTCAAGGCTGGATCATGTGCGTCTGTGGTCAAGAATATAAAAATCGTATACATTCCCAACGTTTTGATGGTAGTGATGCTACAAGATGTCTGCTAAAGATCGCCTCACGAGTATTGTTCCCATTTCCATCGTCGAAACACTTCTCGTGGTTGCCTGGAGTATCACTGAGGAGCGACCTTGGAGACCTTCTACTATCTTCTGTTGCATCTTTGGGGCCAATGTAGCTGTGCTTGCGATATGGAGGATCTTTATATGGCCCTTCCTCTTTAATCCCCTTAGACACTTGCCAACTGTCAAGGTATTATGAGACTTCGGACAAACCCGTTTCACATCCATGGGTCGATGCTAATGACAAGAATTACAGGGGCCACTCATAGGCGCAAAGGTCTTCATGCGCCACCCCCGTGGGCAGGTCACAGTAGAATGGCTACGAACGATTCCGAACGAAGGATTGATCCACTTCCGCGAGGCCTTGAACTACAGTTTTGTTCTAGCGACTAACCACCGTGCCTTGGTTGACGTCCTCAGCACCAACAGTTACGACTTCATCAAACCCCCCGGGGGACGCGAGTTCCTGGCCAGGGGACTGGGGTATGGCCTCATTCTCTCCGAGGGTGATGCTCACCGCGCACAGAGAAAGGCGGTCACCCCTGCGTTCACCATCAAAAATATTCGCGCGATGTATCCCTTGATGTGGAGTAAGACACAGCTATTCTTGTCTCAACTTGAAAAAGAAATACGCATCAATGCTGCGCCAGCAACAGATCTAAAGAATGTGGGGTTCGTGGAGATTGGATCTTGGGCTAAGTAAGTTGTCGAAATTTGAAAGCATTTTCTATCATTTCAAATCCTGATATCTTTCAGTCGCTTGACATTGGACATCATTGGACCCGCGGCTATCGGTCGGGATTTCCAATCCTTGGAGAACGAGAACGACCCGGTTTCACAGAATTACTCGGCCATCTTGAAGCCCTCGGGTGATCTGCTTCTGCTGTTTGGAGCTTCGCTGCTGCTTCCACAGTGGCTTGTCAAACTGATACCCTGCCGGGCCAACACCGTGCTCCCGCGCAACGTGAAATATCTCCGCAATCTGTTCCACGACATTCTGACGGAGAAGCGGAACTCGCTTGCCGGTGAGAAAAGCGAGCGAGAGGCTGTCGACGGGGACATACTGGGTACAATGATGCGCGGAGGGGAGTTCAGTGATCATGAACTGGTCGATCAGATGCTCACCTTTCTCGCTGCTGGGGTATGTATGCCTCCGATCGATAGCTATGTTGTGATGACTGACAATCCTCGAGCACGAGACAACAGCGGGTGCACTTACATGGTGTTGCTATCACCTCTGCATTGAGCCAACGATCCAAAACAAGCTGCGCGACGAAATATACTCCACGCTCCCTTCCCAAAAAGCCGAGGTCTCATGGGAAGATTTGGAGGGCATGCCATATCTGAATGGAGTGTGTCAAGAAGTCTTGCGTCTGTATCCCACAGTTCCTATGACTGGGCGTGAAGCCATCCGTGACACAGTCATTGCTGGCAAAAAAATACCCAAAGGCACCACGATTGTTTTGTGTCCACAGTCTATCAACCGCAGCCCGGAATTCTGGGGTGACACTGCGGACCAGTTCTTGCCGGAACGATGGATCGATGTAGACGACTGCGGGAGACAGAGTCCCAACAAGCACGGAGGCGCGTCAACCAACTTTGCACAAATCACGTTCCTTCATGGACCTCGAGCTTGCATTGGGAAAGATTTCGCGAAGGCTGAATTCCGGTGTGCAGTTGCTGGGCTCTTCGGGCTCTTCCAGTGCGAGCTGAAGAATCCAGAACAACAAATCACATTCGGGGGGACCTTGACTACACAACCACTTGAAGGTATGAATTTGCGACTTTCCAAGCTGGATTGGTAACCCGGTCATCGGAGTAGAACAAAGTAACGTACTACCAGGCGGTTATATGCAGTAGCTCTTGGAGTCAAGGGCCACGGAGCCTAGTTAAACTTGTTAAACTAGGTTCCATCCTATTTGGGCGATGATCAGTATGAATAACGAAATATAGTACACTTTTCTTGGAAGGAGTAGTCTCTGTGCCTTGTGCAGCGCATATATGTGCAAGAGAGAAGCAGGGAATGGGCGAGGGAAAAAAAAAAGAAAGCAACCGATTGATTTGATTCCCGGTTGGCGTCTGATTAGCTCCAGAATGCGTATTATTAGTTGCTGCGCCAAAGGCTCTATTATTCTTTTGCAACTCAATCTAAGATTAACCGTTAAACGAGATTGACAGAACATCATTCCTCAACCTCGGAATGTTCGTGCGTCTTCATGCACAAAATACTCATGTGTGACCGCAATCCCAGGCCTAGGTCCCGTTTCCTTAACCAATCCATCTTCAGAATCATTAAAAGAGACATCATCTGCGCCACGGTCAACCTGGCTCCGCGAGGCGGAGACGGAGGTCTGTTGCTTGCTGTCCTGTGCACCTGTGTGCACACCCGCGTGCGATAGTTCGTAGCCGCGACGGCTACTGTACGTTCCCGTGCGAGAGTGCGAGCCGAAGACCAAGGTGCGCAGCACTGGGAGACAGGATGCGATGATCGCAATGGCGGTTTCGACCATGGATACTGTGCAGGTGATCATTTGCTCGCCGAGATGGGAGTAGACTGCTCGAATGACTGGGTACAATATGGTTAGATTCCGGAATGGAATGGCAAATTGGGAGTAATGATAAGGTAACGTACTGCTGGTGATGACGACAAAGACACCAAGGAGGAAGACCGAGATGACACCCCACTTTTGCTTCGTGGGCATCTTGAGTCGCGCAACTTGGGAAATGGGGAGGCAGATGACTGTAAAAAAAGGTTAGAAGGGTCAAGATGGCAGTGAACTCGAAATCTTACTGAAGACATCAGTAAATATGTTGACTGAGGTTTTGCTGAATTAGCCAGTGATGCAAGGAAATTTTAGGAGGACATAGTCGTACAAAGAATAGTGAGCCAGTAGTTGATTGTCGACGGTCCTTCAGGACATGTCACTAGAAAAATCAGTTGCTGTGCGGCAGACGGTCGAGTTAGGAGCCTCACATTCGGCATCCAGAAGCCCCTGCCACTGGCGCCGGGGCGGATAGCATTTGAAAACGATATCAAAGAAAAGCACTAGCCAGGTCGCCGCCAGGGTACCCAGGGTGATGTTGTACACCAGTTGGTAGCGGGTACGGTCTGCAAGACGCTTGTAGAAGATCACCATGCTGGCCTTGATCAACCACAGCGAAGTGACGTACAAGGTGGATCCCGGGATGATCATCTGTTCAACGGTCGTTAATGCGATTCTACGGTATAGAATTACCAGTCAAAGGCCTTTTACCTTCATCATGTTGATTTTCTGATCCATGGTGGTATTCGCCATGTCGGACATGCCTGCGCGAAAGGTCAATTGGGATCTCCCGAAAAAGTTGCACCAACCCGTTGACTCACCTTGATTAAACATGTAATGTTGAATTGCCAGATCGCCAATAAGACATAGAGCGGCCATTGTGACAAACAGGTCGTCCAGATAAAGTCGCTTCAAGAGCCGCCCTCGGACCACAAGACGACATACCAGGAAGGTGCATGCCGTCACTGTGCAGATATACCATGCAACCTGCCCCCGAGACGTTGTTAGCAAGCTAAGTAGCCATCGAGAAGAGAGGTGGGAACATACCACTTGACCCTGATCTGGGCGAGCCATATTGGACCTCTTTCACAGTAGGAGGGAATGTACAGGTAGGAACCGCTCGCGATTGCTGGCGATTCAAACTCTTTTACGTTCTCTGGTTTAACCTCCAGATTGCCTTTTCGTACAGAGACATTCTGGAAGCCCTAGTACAGCCATGGTATCATCTGTGTATCAGATTACGTTTCACGCCTTGGGGCGAGGTAAGATATGTAATTACGGTCACATAGACTGAGATCACATCAATTGACCCATCGGGGGGCAACTCTGATCGAAGCTAGCGCCATGGCACTATGCAACGAGAGCCGTGATTGGGTCTTGAGGCTTCCATTGCCCCGATGTGGCCGGATAAACGAGTAGACTTTTCACTGGTCTTCAACCAAGGAACAAATTTCCTCAAAAGTTGGGAGATCGGGAGGAGTCCGAGCTTGAGTGTGGCATGTCTGAATGCTTTAACGATCCACTCAAGTACAAATAGTTGGCCGAGGTCCAGAAGTCCAGAAGTCGAATGATACGGAGTATACGGCTTAATATATTCAAGACACCCCAATACGTGATAGTACGGTCCTCTCGTCGGCATTAATATCGGGTTTGCATTCAATTTATTCAACTCAGATCCACACACGTATTCCAATTCGGCTAGACCCGCCGAAGCAGGAAAAGAGAGAGAGAGAAGTTTTTCTTTTAAAAAAAAAAAGAAGGAGGCGTGCGAGTACGAGTAGGGCTTAAGGTTCCTGGGAAGAGCATTCGCATAGCGCCCACTGCGTGCGATCGGGGCTTCCATGCAGGTGCCGGCCTTACTTCGGCGAAAGTCCCTGTCGAATTTAGCGAACGGTGGTCTTGGCCTGCATTCCCCACTGTGGAGGCCGATCCGGGTGTGAATACTCTTTGCAGCATTCCAGAATGGTGGGATTGGTATTTGCTGCTTTAGCTGCAGGCATAACACGAAATGCATAACACGAAATAAACTAGCTGCCTACTCTGTACAATGAAAAAGGTTCGCAATTGAACAAAGTTTAGAGGCTTGTCTCAGATGTAATTATTTATTTATTTGTCAGAAAGATTAACAAAAAAAAAAAAAAAACAGCCTGAAATCTATGTGTCTTGCATCTCTCAGGCTTCCTCGGCCAATAACACCGGGTTTTGGACCTCGGGATAGTAAGGGTAGTTGGGAAGGTAAACATTCTGGCAACGAGTGTTATACGCGCCAGTGGTACTCATAACAATCTCCTCCTCGTGCTCGGGCACACCAACGCGCGCCAAAGGACCGTCCGTGGGCGAGGCCTGTGCCCAGCCAGGCCCAGCCTGGGGGTTTTTGATCCACGCGACGAACCAGGAGAGCATGTAGTCTGCCAGCTGCTGCTCGGCGGTCGTCACATCCTCCAGCAGTGAGAAGCATTCTTTGCCGCCGTGGAAAAAGGGCACCTCACTTCCGTGCGAGGGCCCCAGGTTGGGGATCGGCAGAACGTTAGAGTAGTTGCCGAACCAACGGTAGATCCAGGTGGGTTGCTGGGCAGCGCGCAGCTGGAGCATGGCGTCGGTCGCGCACAGGAAGCGCGCGTCTCCGTAGGAGGCACCGCTCATCTGGGAGACGGAGGGGTAGTCGGATTCGTTGTAGGCAGCGATAAGCTCGGCCTCAGGCACAAAGGCCAGGTCGGCGTCAAAGGTGCGGATCCATGAAGAGAAGTCGGTGTTCTCGCTGCCGTAGACGTAGCCGAAGATCGCACCCTCCTGGTCGGAGTTACCGACGAGCAGAGGCAGAGAAGTTGGGTATTTCCCGTTTTGGAAGCGCTCGGTGTAGTTGGAGAAGCGGGTGATCTCATCGATCGAGGGAGAGAACCAGGTGTTCGTCGTCGAATTGAAGTACGTGGTCTGGAACGCATATGTGTCTGCAGCGCGCAGACAGTCCAGAGAATAGTTCTCGGCTGTGCAGTCCAAAGACACGCCGGCATCCAACATGTCCTGCACTACTTGCTTCAGGGCGACCCCAGAAGGAGCAATGGCAGGACCCGATTGGGCGTTGGCAGACATCTCGATCGCACCGGCCAAGAAGGTCTCGGGGTGGTTCCAGAGGTAGTGGTCCACGTGCACACCACCGGAGGAATGACCTCCCAGCACGATGCGCGACTTGTCACCGCCGAAAGCTGGAGAGAAGGTTAGTCAATGAGAAGGTTAGTCAATGACCAGACGATATGATTCCGATGGGAGGAAATGGAAATGAAAACTTGCCTTCAATGTTGTCGTGAATCCACTCCATGGCCAACTCAACGTCCAAAATGCCGAAGTTCTGGGATTGTCCCTGCAACTCCGGCGCATTGGGCGAGGCATAGATGCTCTCACGGTAGTTGAAGTTGACATAGATCACATCGTTGCGAGCCATGTTGAATCCTTGCCATTGAGCATTGCTGCTGCCACCAGTGACCATGGCACCTCCGTAGATATAGACGAACACGGGAAGACCACGGCCGGCGGCCTGGCGTGGGGTCCAGATGTTCAGGCTGAGGCAGTCCTCACTCTGATTCGTGATGGCAGTGCCTGACATGGCTTGGGCACATGATGGACCATAGCTTGTGGCCTCAAAGTGGCCATTGGGGAACGCAGCGACAGGCTGAGGTGCCTTCCACCGGTTCTCACCCGCAGTCGTCTCCGCGAAAGGAATACCAAGGAAGACGTTGGTGTCATTCTGAGCGAACCCCTCGATCGCTCCCTGCTTGATGGTGACACTAGGAGCAGCAGCGTTGGCCCGACACGCGTTGGACTCAGCAACTGCAACCACCATGGCCATAGCCGTCAGGCTCAAAGTGCGGTACCAAGACCCCATTGTTGTGATCGTGGTGAACGCGATCGCAAAGAAGAGATTCAAAAGGGGGATGGGAATGCGATGATCACTGCTAACGGCGGGAGTTGAGCCTTTAAGTGGCGGGCCATGCGGGCCCGTTAGCGGTTAGCGTGTCGAATCTGAATCTGCGGAACTCAGCCGAAGTTCTCCCAGGGAAAAAAAAAACCACTTGTCTCATCTGTTTGGTCTAAGAAGGTCTAAAAAAGTCAAGATTGAGTGGAGCCACAACATGCCACCCACGTGGCGCACTGCACTAAACTTCTTTGATTGTCACTATCGATTCCATTTCCATGGACTTGCTCGTAGACAGTGCTTGTGCAGAGCTGAGTTGAAGGCGACAAGAGGCAAAGCGCCAAGCCGAAATTGGAAGGTTCGCTTATATAAGCTTTGATGGCCAGGGCACCTGCCAATTTGGGACAAGCACTAATCGCATCAATTCGATATAAAAATGAATTAGAAACTCTTACTCTACTCAACATAACTAAACATGTCAATTCGCCGTAAAAGATTCATATTCTAGAGAAATCAAAAACCCCCGAAAAATAAGCATGTTGGAAAACAACAAGCGAACACAGTTACCCAATATCAAACCGCATGTTAAGTTTTTGGAGCCTTTGGGTATGGAAAGTGACAATGCGCGCAACATGTTTTTGGCCTTGACCAAAGCTTCCCAGAACGAAAGATGCAACCGTCTTGCCAATATCTGTTCCTAGCAAAGCATCGAATTCAGGCGATCCAAGAGACCAAATTCGTGGCTCTCGCGAAGGATATTGATACGGTACTATGGATTCATAGACGTTATGGCGGATACACCACACCGTGCTCTCATTTAGTATATTGGTGACAAACACATACCTCAGGCTGGAAAGATGCAAGTCAATCTCATAAGCAACCTTGGTGAGCTCGGAGATATGCGGAGCCCGGGCCCCGGGCTCCCTAAAGATATTGTCGATAAAAATCACACCCGGCCCACATCGTCCAATCCACTGTACTCGGTCCTTTTGATGAGCGTCGCTGTTGATGATCTGGACGGTTCGATACTGAGATCGGGAGTCACACAGATCGCGATGCTCACTGGGCAGTCCAAGGTGCTTCATTCGGCGGTTCCATGCCCGAGTGAGCTTCTGGGTGTTCTGAGCCACGAACCAAGCCGCATCGGAGTTGATATGTTCAAATGATAACGTACTCATCGCAACCGTACATCCAGGCCGGTGGGGACAGCCCATCCATTTACGGAGCATCCTTCCTTTGGGCTGGAATTCTGGATACACCCATGGATACATGGTTGCAGAGCTTGATTTGTTGGCTGACATGTTAAGCAACTGTGGAAGAATATCGTCCGAATTTATATTGATTATGTAGCCTCTTCTCCAAGCCAGTGTTGAAATATACCGAATCAGTAATCAATGCTGTGCTTGTCAAATCCAACATGCTCTTATATAAATCACTTGAGCAATTCCAATGTCCATCTCTGAGAACATAAAGATTGGAGGAATACAAAGAACATTGTGGGTGTCTGTCAGCAAATGCTACATCCCCATAAAGAGTGACAAATTTGTGTCTCGGAAAACAATGGAGTCTCTTATTGAGAGATAGTAAACTTAATGGAACGACAGAAAACGAAGGGTAAGAACAGACCCAAATTGAAGCTAACAAAACCCCTCCCAATAGTGAGTGGCGCCTTGAAATTTTGATAGACAGACTCTGCATCCATCCAAAGATGCATTGCCAAAGTTTACAACCCTGGAAGATTCCATTTGTGACCCCAAAAACCTTGGAATCAATCCCATGCTTGGAATTCCAAAAACTAGCTACGGTTATTCTCGGGGTATGAACTCTTCTTTGAGAGTCGACTAGTCTCTGCAACAACGCTTCTTTGAATGTGTTATGTATAATTCTTCCAATAGGCCGGTCTGTGCACCGAGACATTCAACCCGATCGCATACCCTACTTACAGGTAAATGGAGCATCGGGTTGCGATGCTTAGCGGTACAGGCCGGTGGCTATGGTCTCTGTTGAGAGTTTTGCTCTCCCGCATCTCTCCTTATTTTATTGTCTCTCTCCGTCTTGATATATAGTAATAAATACGTTGTTTCCTGCCCCGATCAGTGTTTCCGATAGCCCCTTGAATGCTTACTGGAGGTTGCCTTCCATTTTACTGTCCAACTAGCTTGTGATAAGAGCCAGAATTTGGAATAATCGAGCAATTTATATCGCACATCATGTTGTCATGACCAGATTGCAGCGGGTTGGTGTTATATGACTCAAACTCCATCTTACTGGAGTATGTATGAAAGTGTCAAAATCTGTCACACTCTTAAATGAATACAATAATAATAATTTGATAAATTTTTTTATTCAATTCAGGTGCTTCCAACAGCCAATAATACATCAATATTTATCTACATTTGCTTCGTGTACCTCCGTCGGTTCACCCTCATATGGATCCACGGTTGTACTTGCGAATTTTCTTGCTGAGATCCCGCGCTCAAAGAGTAAATCAAGCTCCTCATACGTGCGGTCCTTTGGCTCAGGAAGGCGGAAGAAGGCCCACACCAAAGATACCAGACATGTACCAGCCCAAAAGTAGGCGCATCGTGCACCCCAGTCCCAGGCCGTGGAATTGAGTTGATAGTTTGTTAGAACATTGACAACAATGTTGCTAATGTTGTACAAGCTCCGGGCAAGAACAATTGTCTTTGCTTTCAGGCGAGTTGAAGAAAGTTCAGAGACAAGGGAATATGTGACCGGGCCAACGCTAATATCATAGCAGAAGGTGAATATGATAAGCATCACGCCTATTGACCACTTGGCTGCATTGTTTTCTTCTGGTGCAAACGACAAGGAGCCTGTAATGATGAGAAGGACGAAAAGACTGGCCAAGCCTGAGATGTGGATAGTTCGGCGGCCCGCATAGCTCATCAAGAACCATGATCCAATCGTACCCAGGACACCAAGTCCATATTGTCCAAGCGACATGTTGAATGATTCAATCGTAGGTAGACCGGCCTGCACACAAAAGTAGGCGAAATACCCCATCAGGTTTTGACCACATAAAGTCTGGACTAACCAAACAAAGCAAACCACCTCGGTGCGACGGAGGTTAGTTCCTCTGAAGCAATCCATGTAAGTTGTGCCACTGGAGAGCGATTTTTCCAGCTCATTTGTGTGTTGGATCATAGCAATAGTCTCTTCGGGGTCGAAATTCGGGTCATTGGACGACGTCAGACGCTGAAGCGCCCGTCGGGCTCCTTGCACATTACCTTGGCGCACATGCCACCAAGGTGACTCGGGTGCAAAGAGACAGCCGATTATGATGGGAATGGGGAATGCCCACTGAACGCCGAAGGGAATGCGCCATGCCCATTGATCGCCACGAGATATTGACCCGCGGTTGACACCAACTGCGATGAACTGCCCGAAAACCCAACACATGTTGATGAAGGTTGTCAGATATGGTCGCAGAACAACTGGGCATACTTCTGAGGCATAGGCTGCTGGTAAAGTCTGGAAAATTCCCCACGGGATACCTGCAAGAATTTCGGCCGCCAACAGCATCTGCACATTGACAGCAAAGAAGAACACAAAGATGACCGCCGTGATCATGACCAGAGCACATATCATTGTTCGACGATACCCCAGTCGTTCTGAGACCAAGCCATTGATCAAAAGTCCGATGACTTCCCCGCAACGTGCACCGTTGGAAAGACCAGACTGCCAGGATGCTGGGACGGCCCATTTGCCTGAAGCTGTCTGCTCGCCAAATTTCTGATTGAAGGCAGGGGAGGCGTACATCGAGCTCAACAGAGCAAGGTCGTACCCTTCCATGACGAGAGTAGACGAGAGGAGGATAGACCACCCAACTGCTTTCGGGTATAGTCGAAGGGCTTGCCAGAGGGTCATCGATTGCTCCTTCCTAGCAGCATGCCTTCCTTCGGCGAGGACAGGGAAGAGCTTTTCGTTCGTTTTGACGCCATCTTCAGTGGACGCCATTTCTGGATTCAAGGTGATGGTACCCAAAGAGGAATTCTTGAATGATGAAGACCTGGAAAAGTGTTTGGAAAACCAAGCAATAGATGCTTGAGGTCTGATCGAAATCAAAGACTGTAGTAGCAACAGCTCAATCTTCAACCATTATGAAGTCGACAGATCAGGGAGAAACAGGAAATTTATACGAGAGCAGCAGTCGCGATGCAGAGGCATGATCCAGTTCACCCGCACCGCTGATCCGGGGAAAATGCGCATGGTCTGTCACTCGGGTCGCAAATTTTGGAGAAGACTGGGGAAATCGAAATTGTGGGGGTCTCATGGGCGAATCACGGTGCCGGAATCGAGACTTTTGGCAGCAAGTCGGTCGTTAGTCGGAGACGCCTTCATCCGTCGGAGGCTTGGCGGTAATGTAGCCCTTCCTTGAATATATCCCCGCATTTGCTTAGCCCGGCTTGTGTCCGAAGCCTGTAGGGTATAAGAGTTTTAAGATGAAAAGCAAGTTAAAAAAAAAGTGTTGTCAAGTCATGTCACCCCACGCAATTCAAGAGAAAACGGTTCCAACGGGGACAAACAACTGGTGGAAAGAAGCCACCGTCTACCAGGTTAGTTGCGAAAACACAATTTTTTTCTCAAATTTTAACTGACTTTCTGGCTCCCAGGTCTACCCAGCTTCCTTCTATGACTCCAATGGCGATGGCTGGGGTGACATCCCCGGCGTTGTTGAAAAAGTCCCCTATCTCGAGTCGTTAGGCGTCGATGTTGTGTGGCTGTCGCCTATGTATGACTCCCCCATGCACGACATGGGCTATGACGTTTCCGATTATGAAAAGGTGCTACCTGCGTATGGAACCGTGCAGGATGTAGAGAATCTTGTGGAAGCTTGTCATTCGCGGGGTATGAAAGTGATCCTAGATCTTGTCGTCAATCACTCCAGTGATCAACATGCTTGGTTTCAGGAAAGTCGGAGCAGCAAAGACAGCGAAAAGCGTGACTGGTACTTCTGGCGTCCCCCTCGATATGATGATGCTGGAAACCGGATGCCACCGAGTAATTATCGGGGTTATTTCGCCGGAAGCACATGTAAGACCTTCAAATTCCTGATTTTGATTTGTTTATGCCCTAACATCCGCCTCTTGCAGGGACTTGGGATGAGAAGACAGAAGAATACTACCTACATCTTTACGCCAAAGAGCAGCCTGATCTCAACTGGGACAACAAAGCCACTCGTGAGGCCATTTACAACAGTGCTGTCCGGTTCTGGCTCAATAAGGGTGTCGATGGCTTCCGGGTTGACACCGTCAACAAGTATAGCAAACATACAGACTTTCCCGATGCCCCTATCACGGATTCGAAAAGCTACATACAACCTGCCATTGGGATGTGGTGTAATGGGCCCCGCATTCACGAATTCCTACGAGAGATGTACGACGATTCCTTCGCTCCCTACGGGGATGTAATGACAGTCGGCGAGTTAGCCAACACCCCCGACCCCAAAAATGTTCTTGAATACGTGAGCGCCTCAGCCAAACAGCTCAGTATGGTGTTTCATCTGGACATTGGACACATTGGCATGGGACCCAGTCTCGAGGAGAAATATATCTTGACTCCGTGGAAGTTGACCAAAATGAAATCTATCGTGGAGAAGTGGCAGACCTTCATCGAGGGTACCGATGGCTGGACGACCGCGTTTTGTGAGAACCATGACAACGGACGTTCTGTCTCACGCTTTGGATCGGACTCTCCCGAATTCCGAGAAATATCTGCCAAAATGCTTGCTCTAATGATGGTTACCATGACCGGCACTCTGTTTATCTATCAAGGACAAGAGATTGGTATGATCAACGCCCCTCGCGAATGGCCCATCGAGGAATATAAGGATATTGAAGGACTGGGCTATTACCGCGAAGCGGAGCGACAGAGTGCTAGTGGTGCCGACACCACGCGCAAAGATCTCATCATGAATGGTCTTCGTACTTTGGCTCGCGATCACTCCAGACTGCCAATGCAATGGAATGACTCTGCCCACGCTGGCTTCACTACCGGACAGCCATGGATGCGTGCACATGATCTTTACAGCGAGATCAACGTGAAGAAACAAGAAAATGATTCTTCGAGTGTACTTTCATTCTGGAAAGATGTTCTGCGCTTGAGGAAAGAGCATCGAGTCCTGTTTGTCCATGGCGCATTTGAGGTTCTTGACTATGAAAACCTAGAGACGTTCTGCTTTTTCAAGTCCAGGGATGACACAAAGGCATTGGTCGTTCTCAATTTCACGGAGAAATTGCAACCATTCACCCAGATTGACAAGACAAAGGGCATGAAGCTACTAGTGGGAAACTATGCTGAATCCTCCCCCGAAACCTTGAAACCCTTCGAAGGGCGTGTTTATATTTGAGAACGAGAGTTTAATTCTTTTGGTGCTCTATCCGGGGCAGCCCAAGGATTTCGAAAGGTGAAGCATGAGTCATGGCGGAGTACTACATGACTTGCTGTGAAGGTTAGTCATTGTCTGCATGGAGTTCTAGAAGTATTACTCCGCAGATTCGGTGAACAATACTAGAACGCCGAACCCCATTCGCCATGCATAATCCACGTGGCGGGACCTCGGGGCCGCCCGCCTCAGCCGGTGTTATGTAACATAAATCCCTGCAGCCGCGCTCCCGGGGTTAGAGGGCCGGACTCCGGAGAACTCTGTTTTTTTTTTCTTTTCTTTTTTTTCTGTTTTTTGCCTCCCGCGTGTCACCATGCCCTCTCCGGTCGCGATGTTTGATATCCTAGTATTACCTGATATTTTATATTTTGTTGGATTCTTCTTTCACCCAGTTGTTAATTATTTTCGAATTTAAATTTGATCTCAAATGACTGTTAGCACATTAGTAACAAGACTAGACTGTGCTTCTAGAAGAATAAGAATATTCTGGACAAGACCATCGACCTTGGATCGGCCCAACGGTTATGGAGTAGTCTCCGATATTTTTTTTTGCCTCCGATAAAGGAGATCTTGCCCCATACTGAGTCAACTTTGTTCGCCGATGTGGAGTTCAGATCTTTTCTTCTTCTCCTTTATAATTAGCTTCTTCTTCTGTTTATCTCTCTCCGCATCGAATATTTCACAGTGCAGTTCTACCTCAATTTGTCCTGACCCGGGGCTCTTCTCTCGCCACAATGGCTTCCTCTCTTAACGAAACAGTCCCCGACGACGCGACAAAAACAACCAAGCGTGATTATGAGAGCAACATCCTTGGAGCAGATGGCGATAAGCTCGCAATCGAAGATATGAATGGAAGGGAACGACAAATCGAGGAACACGGAATCCAGAAATTCAACCGGTTAGGTTGGAAGCGACTCACCATTGTCCTCATTGCCGAAGCGGTCGCGCTGGGCACTCTCTCTATTCCGTCCACTTTTGCGACCCTTGGAATGGTCGCTGGAGTGATCACCTGCATTGGAGTCGGATTTCTCGCTATCTACACCAGTTACATTGTTGGTCGTGTGAAGGTGTTAAATCCCCACATCACCAATTTCCCCGATGCGGCCCATCTGATGTTCAGCAAACTCGGCTGTGGGCGCTTCGGATACGAGCTTGTCACTGTTATGCTTGGTCTCTTGCTGGTGTTCCTTGGAGCATCGCATTGTCTCACGGGGACAATTGCCTTCGAGACTATCACCGAAAGCAACACATGCTCCATCGTATTCGCCGTTGTTTCCGCCATCATTCTTTTCCTACTTGCTATTCCACCTAGCTTTACCGAGGTCGCCATTCTTGGCTATGTGGACTTTGCTTCAATTCTGATCGCGGTTGGAATCACGATCATCGGCACTGGTGTCGAATCGACAAATTCTTCCCACGGCCTCAGCAACGTGAATTGGTCAGCATGGCCAAAGCCAGGCATCACCTTCTCCGAGGGTTTTATTGCCTGCACAAACATCGTATTCGCCTATACCATCACACTGTGCCAAATCTCGTTCATGGACGAGATGCATACCCCCTCTGATTATATGAAGTCTATTTGGTCATTGGGATTCATTGAAATCACGGTGTACACCTTGACCGGTGCATTGGTATATGCTTTCGTTGGCCAAGATGTCAAAAGTCCGGCTCTGTTGTCTGCAGGTCACTTTCTCAGCCGCCTGGTCTTTGGAATTGCCCTGCCGGTCATTTTCATCAGCGGTTCGATCAACATTGTTGTTTTCGGACGTATGGTCCACGGACGGATATTCAAAAACTCTTACATCCGATTCATCAACACACCTGTTGGTTGGATTACGTGGCTGGTTACAATCCTTATCACTGTCATCGTTGCCTTCATCATCGCAGAGGTCATTCCATTCTTCAATGACTTGCTGTCTATCATGTCAGCCCTGTTTGTATCCGGCTTCACTTTCTATTTCCCCGCCATGATGTGGTTCTTGCTATTGCGGGAGGGACCGATCACAACGCCTAAGAACATCGCTCTGGCGATTTTGAATGGCTTCATCTTTGTGATCGGAATATTGATTCTGGTGGCTGGTACTTATACCTCCATCCAAGATATCGTAAGTGCTAGAATTCCGATATGACTCCTTACCTTCAGCAGCATGCTAACCAACGACTCCAGATTGATCAATATCACGCAGGGACAGTTTCAGGCGTTTTTAGCTGCAAGGCGTCCTAATAATATTCCCTGGTCATTCGCATCTCGAAGCAGGGCTTCGCATGCATTCAAAACATCAAAAGGATGTTTCTCATTACATATATAATACAGTGCAAAAAAAATTTAAAAAATACAAAGATTCATCAAGAGAAATCATAAGACATCATATAAGACCTTAATCTGTAGTGTTAGTACGAGGCGAGTGGATTGGACTGACATATGGGTGCCTGAGCAACCAGGCAAAGAAACAGTATTTTCCCCCGGCTTCTCCCCGACTTCCCTCCGCATCCCCGGACTTTGGCAATGCAACTGTCATCTGCCTATTTTTCCGGCTCCCCTGGACCTCATGTCGGACTCGCCAGTTAAACAGGCATGTGAAGCCTGTCGCCGGCGCAAGGTCAAATGCACATCCCCACGTCCTTGCAAGCAGTGTCGATCTGCCGGCTTAGTCTGCCGGACCTCAATGCAAAAACAGCGAAAAGGTAGACAGAGTGAGAAAACTGCCAACGTCCTCAGTGAGCTACGGTCAAAGGAAAATGTACAGGCTCTTCCGCGTGAAACGAGCATTTATTCGCCTTCCACGGGTCCCAGGATTGAGAGCGTAACAACACCCTTGTCGCCACCGGCCTCTGGGAGATGCCATTTCTCCCGAACTGCAGGGCTTCTGAGTTCTAGTCTTATTGATGATTGCTCGGAATACTTCTTCTCACGTATGCGGGGAACAGTGCCAATCTTGCAACCCTGTGGGTTCCAGAAGCAGATAGACCTCGCTGGTTCATGTCTCCATGCATACTGTTTGGTCACAGCTTTCTGTGCATTCGTGGTTACCCAAACTGGGTTCTCGGTGGAGTATGATTCCATGAATTACTCAGACAAATGCTCCCTTGAGGACTTTCGAGGCTCCTTGATTACAGAAGCTACCGAAGCTCGAAGACATATTGACCCGGTCACGGATCCTGTTCGCCAGAGCATTATCATCGCTTTTCTTCTCTATGGATGTCATATTGGGCTTGGGAATCAAAGGCATGCTTACTATTATCTTCGCGAGGCCACGACCCTTTATACTGCCAGTGCTCTGGATGACCAGACATCCTCAAGGCAGGTAGATGATGATGACCCTTCAGAAGAAGGGAAATTGTTTTGGTTGTTGGTAATTTCGGAGAGGTACAATGGGTTGCCTTTTCCTTCCGATTTTTGTGCTAAGATTTTCTTAGGGCTCATGCCATCAGACGACACAGGCCAATTACCCTCCAGGTGACCTCCGAAAGCCCTCAATTAGAAGACGACATCAATTTACCCACGTCGACTGCCGGCTTTCTTTGTCTGGTAAACCTTTATCGTCCATTCGATGAAAGTTTTCTTGGTCAGTGGAATGGAATAAATGCAACTTGCTCGATTGAGTCGCTTGTCCAACTCCAAGAGCGCATTCAAAACGCAGTCCCCGCTGATCTCGATCTACCCGACATACTCATGGCCGACTTGCGGGTATCTCAGCAATGGCTTCGTATCATGATATGGCAACTCTCGACTACGGCAGGATTCTTGTCAACAAGCCCTACCCATGCATGCATGGATTTCCGCCACCCTCTACAGATCGCGGAAGATCTGTGTCTCGCCACATGGAAATTATCAAAACAGAGCATGGAGACTCATGGGATCGGGCTCGTAAGCTTTTTCTGGGTTTCTTCGGGTGTTCATTTTATTAACTGAGCTTTAGATCGAGAAGTTATTTGAGGTAGCATGCACGTTGGTTGATGTCATGGCGTGTCTGTCGGTGGCGGGTCTCCGCTCTTCGGGCTTCAAGCTCGGCCCACAAGATTATCTCAAGCATCTTTGTACTCTCATCCATGATCTTCCAGGAGGCCGACGAAGATACCTGCCGCTTCTTCTTACCAAGATACGCCAAAGTCTTTCTTCGATGATAGCGCCAATCACCATTCATCTCAATCTCCAACCATATCCACCGGCTGACAGCTCTGTCCCTAATAGCGACACTTTATCACCTATTGTCTCAAGTCAAATCTCTCTTCAAGAGGGTCTCACGGATTCCACATCAACTGATATGCATCCTGGTTCGGCTCCTGGGAATTGGATGGACAGCAATTTCAACTATGCAGAGATGAGCCGCATAGGTGACAAAACACCGGAGATCGATGAGGCATTTCTCCAGTACTCAAGCTATTTCTCCTGAGTCACTCCGGGTTGGACAAGCACCTGGGCGGTTTATGAGTCACTAATAGTATTTACTTTACGCCCCGCCGGTACAAGCCCCGAGGCGTTCTAAGGCTTTAATTAGGCACTAATCAAAGAGCCACCTTGGCTAATGATGTACTTACTTGAGTAGTGAGGTTCATTCGGCTTTCAACTTTCCAATGATCACAGCCATCCAAGGTTTCAAGGTTGGAAGCCACCTGGGCAACAAAAAAAAGTGATACTCCATACGTTAACTTTGTCACTCATTCCAACGTTCAAGACTTAAATTTCACCAACGCCGAAGATGACTAGAATAAGATAGAAAAAGAAAAGACAAAAAAGAAATCTCTCCCTCGGGGAATCGAACCCCGGTCTCCCGCGCTTATCGGTGTCAATGACAAGCGGAAATCATCACCACTAGACCAAGGAAGATGTGATGGCTGAGTTACTGCTCGGCCACTTGGCTGGTTGATGGAAAATGAGGAGTTTAATGACTCTATAAACATGTAGGGATCTCGGTTCCACATTCAGCGTGAATCTATGGATGTCTTCTCGTTTAACAATTTAATGTAAAGTTTTTTTAATGCTGCATTTGCGTATTTATTTTGGAAATTGAGTATTTCTAAAGTTTGAACACGACCTCAGGACTTTGTGTCATATCAGATGTGACTTATAGACATCTATGTATATATATTCAGTCCAGAGTTCTCATTCATATACTCTGTATAGTGGACCTGGGCAGTAGTGTCAAGCTCAAGATTGAGTTAATTATCAAAATGACCTCAGACATCAGGAGATTTGCATGTTGTGGATAGGAGCAATAGAATGCATGTAAATCAAGACGCGACAACGGAGGTTACCACATATTGACAGGTACATATGTGCATGGGCACCCGCATTTTGGTGCCTTGGCCCCGGTCTCCCAGCCTCCAACAGTGACACAATACAATTAACCCAGGATCAACACCTGCAAGGGCTACTTGTCAAGCCAATGAGAGTTCTGGAGTAGAATAATTCAGTACCCAGACCCCAAAAATGTGTCTAGCTTGTGCATGAATAATTGCGCCACTGTCGCTGGCCAGAACAATAGCGAACCCCAGACTCGCTTACATCATCGGGGATTCCCTGCTTTCCCGATTGCGGTCTTTTCCCAGTGCAACCTCTCATCTCACACCACTTCTATCTTATTGTATCTAATTGCAAACCCCCTGCAGAGCTGCCTACCGACACGCACCCTCCACTGGGTAAGAGTATACCACAGCCGGGTACGTTGCGACCACCTATAAGCTCTCACACGACTCCACGCCTCAGGACCCTCGGCAACTCCTAGTCGCATGGTCATCGAGAACTCGACATTCGCTCCTGGATTCGTCGGTGTGTTGTCAGAATGACGGGCCCAGACCGGGCTTTGCTCAATCGTCGCTCCTCCACGCAACATTATCAGACCTTCGATACCCCGCCGCCTAAGTCGCGTGGTCGACCGAACTCGGGGCAGTCCGAGTCCCCTGCAGACGGTTCTCACGATCCCCACCATGAACCCGCTGATGTGCCTGGGACATCATCCCCCCTACCAAGGAGGCAGATGGCAGTCCTGGCCATGATTGCGCTAGCAGAACAGACAGCTCTGAACTCCATCAGTCCATATCTCCCCGACATGGCCTCTACATTTCCCGAAGTGGAACCAACACAAGTGGGTGTATACGTGGGGACAATTGCATCGGCATTTGCCTTGGCGCAGTTTGCCACGAACTATTTCTGGGGATGGTTATCGGACCGAATTGGTCGCAAGCCGGTCATCCTGCTTGGCACGTTGTTGACTGCGCTGTGCTTCGTCGCATTTGGATTCTGCAGAACGCTTGGACAAGCTATAGCGGTACAAGCTTTGATGGGTGTGGTCAATGGCAACCAGGGCCTGGTTTCCACCTGTCTGGGGGAGATCACTGATCGGAGCAACCAATCTCAGGCGTTCACCTATCTCCCGGTGTTATACGGAATTGGAGGTATTACAGGCCCTCTGTTGGGTGGGCTCTTGATTTTTGAGACAAATCCATTCACGGGAAACAAGAACCCCTACCCCTACCTTGCGCCGAACCTTGTGTCGGCCGTTGTCCTCCTGGTGGACTTCACCCTAACAGCTATGTTCTTGGAAGAGAGTCTGGAAGACGCAGAAAGCCTACCCAAGATCGGGAGAAAGGTGCGCAGCCTTTTCGCATGGCTATGGCAGTTCACTGGCGATTCCCGCCATCCCACTTACGTGGCAGCTTCGCAATCAGTGCATGGTCGCCATGCTGCAGAGGCCGAGGATCATGACAGCGACCTGGATTCGGCTTCCGAAGTCTCAAGTTTGCTCGGCCACCACGAGGAGCTCAGCTGGGATGAGATTTTCACTCGGGACACAGTTTTGCTTCTCCTGACATACCTGATATTTGCTTTCTGCAATGTCTCATTCAACTCGCTGTTCCCTATATTTGCCCAAGCCAAGCCACCGGCTGGACGGTCACTCACCCCATCTGAGATCGGGCTTTCTCAAGGCTTTGCTGGTATTGTGACCATAATTTTCCAGATTTGTGTCTTCAATCGCCTGCGCGATAAGATGGGCAATCGCTGGTCCTACCGGGCTGGTCTCTTCGGATTTGTGATCTCATTTGTCTTGATGCCGTTCATTGGCTACAAGAGCAGGTCGACTGACAATTTGACCGGCAAATCGGCCCTGATGGCCATCGAATTATGCCTAGTATTGCTGGTCAAGACTATTGCCGCCGTGGGTGGTTTGACCAGCGCCTTGCTCTTGGTGAGTCGGGTTAGTCTGGCACCTTTGTGCAAAAGCTAATCATTATTCCCAGGTCACCAACTCTGCGCCAAATCATGCCGTCCTGGGTGCTCTCAACGGCCTTGCACAGACTCTCTCTGCGGCTGGGCGTGCCGTGGGTCCATTCCTCTCTGGGGGCCTGTTCTCCCTTACGTCCAAGATCCAGCCGAAGGGCGAGGCTTTGGCATTTGGAGTCTTCGGCGCTGTCTCATTCATCGGGTTCGTCATGAGCTTCGGTATCCGCGGCCGGTCTCTCGAGGCAGAGGGCTGGGGCGAAGACAGCGATGAAGGAGACAAGTCGGACGACGATGAGCCGAACGGCGTTTGATCTTTTTGCCAAAAAAAAAAAGTCGATATGACGATATGACGAGTTTTTGTTGCTTTTCAGCCCTCTTGCATTTTGGAATATATGTTAGCCTGCGTGATAGATTTTCCTGGCTGTTGCATTAATCGCTGCTCCAAGGCGTGTGTTCTATTCAATCCAGTCGTGATTGAGTGACCTCTCAATTGGATTGCTCTGTAATTTATCACACTTTCGAAGACCACCTACACTCCAATCTCGGTTAAAATTTGAATCGAATTCTGTCCTTGTATCTGAAAGATCCATTGGTCTCAGTATCAATGGCTAGAAAGTCCCTGTCGTATCAATTAGAACAAAAACATCTCCGATATGAGTCCTTCGAACCCTGTGGATGAACGAAGTGTAATTGATACCCAAGGGAGCTCGGGAAATACATCAAAATCAGAAGAAAATAAGTAAATCTTTTGCCAATTTATCTCTTGGCCATGCAGAGTCAATGTTGAGGATATCCATAGATACGCATATAGTTTAGGTAAGAATTAAAAGTGAACGCTGAATTAAATTTCCAATATGAGATGGCAAAGGATATAAGCGATGCATAAAATGAGAATCCCAGCAGTGCTACTTCATCAGCAAACTAACAGCCCAGGGAACGCTTAGCCCCCGCAAATCCCCATAGTGTTGTCCAACACCCAGGAACACAATGGGGATGCCGGTTGCGTGGACCATACTGACCAAAGTTCCAACCATGTCGCCAACGGTATCACATTTACTGATGATGAACCCATCCAAGTTGCGACCTTGACCAAAGGCCTGATTGAAGTTGCGTGCCTGCATGACACTGTCCGTACCAACAAGAGCCTCGCCAACCATGAAGATCTTATCCGGGTTGGCAAATTTGGCGAACTTCTCAAGGGAAGACATCAGTCGCTGGTCGTTGTGGCGGCGACCAGCTGTATCGATCAGCACAACGTCGAACTTATTGGCTGCTGCATAATCGACAGCATCCTTCGCGACGTTGGCAGCGTCTTTACCGTAGCCCTTCTGGTAAATTTCGACATCGCCTGCGTTTTCGCGAGAGCTCAGTTCCTTCAAGCGGTCTGCGTGCACGCGAAGCTGCTCCACAGCCCCGGAACGGAAAGTATCACATGCTGCAATGAGAACCCGGTACTTGTTTTGCAACAGGAAGTAGCAGATCTTGCTCAGGTTTGTCGACTTTCCAACGCCGTTAACACCGACAATAGACATGACGTATGGCCGAGGAGCCTGTTGTTTGGTCGTAGGGGCGACGACGGCGTTGATCTCACGCAGCAGATCCAAGGAAGAAGTCGGGGTCAAAATCTTCCGCAGCGAGGATTCCATTGCCACTCGTAAGGCGGCATCGGTGCTTTGGAAGCTGTCAGTCTTCTTGCCGACCATTTCACGTTGAACTCCCTCGCAGAGACGGACGGCAGCTTCACGCGCCACGTTCTTCTTCAGAAGATGCTCCTCCATTGCCTTTATGGGCTTTTCGAGATCGGACTCCGTCAAAACCTTTCCACCAACAATGTTTCGGAAGAAACCTCCAATCGCATTGAACCCGGAGCCAACGACGCCTGACGAAGCTGCACCCTTGGAAGATTTCTCTGCATCTGCCTGCTCCAAGATAGATTGGACCTCTTCGCCCAGCTCTTTCAGCACGAACTGGCCCTTGCCCGTTCGGCGACCCCAATCATCTGCGGAGACGGCTTCCACTGCTGGAGCAGTCGCCTCTCCCTCATCCGCGGGGGCAGAGTAATCGAGAATCTCCCCATCATCCTCGTCTGCCATTCCGCTGGCATCCCATTTGCGCATCTTCTTCGCAGTGCTCTTGACAGGCTTTCCCTTCCTGGCATTTTCATCACCGGACGATGCGTGGGGGCTCGCGTTCGCAGCCTTGCGGGCCCGGCGAGAGACACGACCTCCAGGTCCGGCCTTTGCGGTAAGAATATGACCCTGGGGAGTCGAAGTTCTAGAAATATCTGGTGTGGCTGGTGGCGTACCCTCGTCAGAGGTCGCCCCGGCTTGCGCAGCTCTAGGCTGCGCTTTCACCAGACCAGGAACGGGTGGGGGAGGGGGCCCTCCATTATCCGATGAAACAAGCGGATCTTTCTTTTCGCTTGCCTCTGACACATGTTCCTCCACAAAGCCGGTGTCGTCCTCCAGCTCTCGGACTTGCTGGTCAAAGTATGGTTCGAAGCGGTAGGTCTGGATTCTCGCGCGGTTTCCTTTCACTTGGTCCTTGTAGAGATCTATGAAGATTGTCGAGATGTTCTCAAGAAGTTTGTCGATCCAGCCGAGGTGGAGCAGTGATTGGTAGACGGCCTTTATAAACTCAGAGTTAGTTCCCTGAGACAATGCGCAGGCGCATGCGACAGACGCACCACGAAGATCAAATCGAATTCCTTGACTCTCTTCCACTTTAGAGTATATTTCTCCTTCTTGTATGCCGGCGAGACCCCACCCGTTGTGGGATTTTGAGGCAGGACTTTCTCCTCAATAAAGACGTCGTTGATCAAGCCGTTGATGACATGTGCGCCCACTGGTGCATAGGACTTGGACCAAAGCACGACACCTGAGGTGGTCAAAATTTCGAATGCTTCCAACATAGCTTGTTCGCTCGCAAAAGGAATCAAGTCGATCGAGTATGTATAAACGTGGGCAAGGACGTGGGACTTTGGTGGCGGAACGGGGCGAGGTTGGAGCTCGGAAGCGGATTGGATCTTCAGCCACGTATAAACACTTTCCGCTCCCTCCCTCTGTTCTCGCTTCTTCCCCGTCACACGCTCACTCGTTCGCCACCAAAATCTACCGATCACATCTCTCTCATTGAGATTAATCATGTATCGTGGCTCGTTCGCTCCGCCGCCTGCGCAATCACCGCCACTTCACCACCCCGTCCCGCAACATGTCTCGACAGTCCCGATGATGCGCTCACCACCACCACCAGTTCCCCAACAACCTCCCAGCGCTGGCTATGGCGGGAACCCATATCAGCCATCGCCTGCTCAAGGTGGCAGTGGATCTTACGCGCCCGGTCCCGGTTTCGGGGGGTTCATGAACGAACCCACGGCGCAGATGGGATTCCAGGTTGGCAAAACCGCCATGGCCGCTGGACAGGAGTATATGGAATCCAACGTAAGAGCTCTCCCTATTGAACTTTGTTATATCCTTGATGCTTATATACCCTACAGTTCAATCGCTATGTCTCTATACCCGCCCTCAAGCATTATTTTAACGTCTCCAACTCCTACGTTCTGAACAAGCTCTTGCTAGTTCTCTTCCCCTGGCGCCACAAGCCATGGTCCCGGCAACAAGCCCGAATGGCCTCAGCCTCTACTGGACCGGATGGGCAGATCATCCAGCAAAACTATTCGTCCATGTTCCTCCCTCCGCGTGACGACCTCAACTCGCCCGACATGTACATCCCCGTTATGGCTCTAGTAACATATATTCTGTTGTCTGTGCTTCTGGCTGGATTCCGGGGTAACTTCCACCCCGAGCTGTTGGGATCGATCACCACCACCGCGATTGCGGTGATTCTGTTTGAGATTCTCTGTCTCAAGCTGGCGACCTACATCTTGAGTATCAATAATGACTCACAATTGCTCGACTTGGTGGCTTATTCGGGCTACAAGTTCGTGGGTATCATCGTTACGATGGTGGCGGCTGAGATCCTGAACCCTGGCCAGGGAACAGGTGGCTGGGTTGGATGGACAGTCTTTGCATATACCTTCATGGCCAATGCATTCTTCTTGGTATGTCAATGACCCGAGCGATGCCTTCCAGTATCTTTCAATTTACTAATTGGACTATAGCTTCGCTCTTTGAAATATGTGTTGCTGCCTGATTCAGCCGACTCCGCTATGCATGCTGGCTCCATGCGCCCCGTGGCTCGATCTCAGCGTAACCGCCGCACACAGTTCTTGTTCGTCTACTCTTACGTTGTTCAGTTCATCTTCATGTGGGTTCTCAGCCGCGAAGGACCGTCTGCGGCAGCTGCTACCTCTGCATCTTCATAAAGAAGCATGCAGAAAAGAATGAGGGATTGTGGATGATACTGATTAGCTTGGATGAAAGGTATGCATAAGGGACAGCGAATGGACAGTCCTGGCGCTTGGGGCATTACGGCCGAAGTAACGATCTAGCACGACTTATTGTAATCAAAATACTTGCATTTGTACTCCGTACCCATCAGTATGTAAATTATGCAACTGTACTCCATGCGTAGGACTCGATACAAAGTACATGTGCTCCGGACTTTGAAGTCAGATCTAGATACGGATTATGGAGTACCGATTACGTGGACTACTACTGAAGGATGATTGACTTGAGTTGGGTAATATCTCTCATTGAAACTATGTACTAAGTAAAACCGATGATCCGAAAAATGAATTCCTATATTCTTTTCGAAGGTTAGCGACTGGTCACAAACAATCGTGTCAAGCAATGATGTGCAAAGTAATGTCCTCAGAGATCTTGGTAGTTATGGTAATATCATAACCGAAGCTCAATTACTATCTAGGCGTGATAAGGTTTTTAATCATCGGACGGGGAGTTTTCCTGACGACTTGTGCCAACGTACCATTTAAGGGCCAAGGGCTGTGGGAGGGACTGAAATCCGAGTGGGAGGGTGCTAAATCTTGAGATAAAGTCAGCGCGATGTTTTCCAAAGCATTGACAGCATGAGAAGAGTGTGATAATCCATATCAGAATATGTAAGAAATTGAATATCATACGCCAGCGCTGTATCGAGAGCCCCGGCGAGGGCCTCACAGACACCAGGTCAATCGCAAATTACCGCATCATATGAGGATGAGAGAGAAAACGGAGGGAATCGAGCATACCTTAGTAAAATGCTATCAAGCATAAGGTCGAATGTAAAAGACTCATCATTAAAGTCTGTCAAGCTGTCCAACTTAGGAGCTTGAAGAGATCAACAAGAGCTGTCGGCGAAAAAAAACGAACTAAAAAGCACGGATTCGGAAAATTATTATTGCGGATGATTACCTCAGCGGAGCCCTAGATCTGCGAGTGGCCAGTTAAGCGAGGATCGGTGCGAGTTGTGGGCACATCCGAAATTCAAGACTAACTCTCGACAATTGAACTCTTTCGACAACCCCTTTCGACTCCATACCCCAAGTCGACCGTGAGTGTGCTCTCATCATCCCAATCGAAAACGCGACGCTGAATTTTTGTCCCAGAATTTCGCCATGGCCGATATCGATGTCAAGGTCGCTTCCTGGAAGCTGGTTGAGGTTGGCCGTGTGGTGCTGATCCGCAGCGGTCCCTTCGAAGGCAAGCTTGCCGCTATCGTCGAGATCGTGGACCACCGCCGTGTATGTGGAATCGCCCTCCCCCGGAATCGCGACTATCTGAAGAATCGGAATTTCGGAGATTTGAGAATCGGGGACAATATGTATTGACATGCGATTTTTTTTTCAGGTCCTCGTTGACGGTCCCTCCACCGAGGAGAAGAAGATCGTGCCCCGTCACGTTCTCCCCCTCTCCCACGCCACCCTCACTCACTTCACCATCCCCCAGCTTCCCCGTGCTGCCGGTACCGGCCCCGTCAAGAAGCTCTGGGCTAAGAACGAGATCGATGGCAAGTGGGCCAAGAGCGCCTTCGCTCAGCGCACCGACCGCACTGAGCGCCGCAAGAACCTCTCCGACTTCGAGCGCTTCAAGGTTCTGCGCCTCCGCAAGCAGGTACGTTTTGGGAACCGGAGGAGGTGGAGTTCTGGGCACACATGCGTCTAGACTTTACCTTGGGTGGATTTGAATCCCGGGATTCACGACGATACTAACTATCTTATTCAGGCTCGCTACGAGGTCCAGAAGTCTTTCGCCAAGGTTCGCGCTGCCACCAAGGCATAGATGATTATGAGGTTTCGGTGCATGGGTTGAAGGAGGTGTCCTGGAAGGGTTTCCATTGCTGGAATAACTCTGGCAAAATTCGCTGTATGCATTATCGATCAACAGCAAAAATGATTCAAAATCCTTGATATCCCGGCAAAGGGGCCTTTTGTCATTGGTTTTCTTCCCCCGTCCGGGGCTATGGGCATCATTTTTTTATATTCCTACGGGGATAAATCTGGCTCTAACCAAAAAGAATAGAAAGAGCAGATCCGTAAATAATGCTTGTATTATTTCTGAGATATAAATTCCGGTTCTAGAGTCTAGAATCTATAGAGTAACTAGCGTCAAATCCGTACATATATCCATATAGTCCATATAGTGATGTAGTAGATTCCCAGATAGGGCAATGTGTGGCCCCGGGGGGAACTCGCTAATTTCGGGTCGGATGGCGCACAGCTACGCACCTTCGACCTCAACAAAATCCACCCCCATCTACCACAGCTTGATATCAACCTCTCAGGTACGTTTGAAGATCGAATTCATCGAATTCTCGCCTTTCCGACGTCAATTTCCGTTGTTTTTCGGGTGTTGTGCGGTTTTGTGGCGGTTTACCCGATTCTCTACTGCCCGCTCAAGCCCTGACGGCATTGCGAACCAACCAGCTAATCCACCTTTTTTTTTGTCCTTTAGGCACCTCACTACCGCAAAAATGGCTGACCCCCGCGTTGAAGAAATCCACGATGACGACGTCGTCAAGAACGTCGAGAGCGACTCTGACTCTGGCTCCGAGGCTGGCGATGAGCCCAACATTCCCGCCGGTGCCTCCGTCGCTGTCCACTCCCGTGGTGAGAAGAAGGCCCGCAAGGCCATTGGCAAGCTCGGCCTGAAGCTCGTCCCTGGCATCACCCGTGTCACTCTCCGCCGCCCCAAGAACGTACGTGCACCCGATGCGACCGACATGACAATTTCTACCCCGCCCAACACCCAACACGTTGTGATGGTCAGGTCTTCGACGTAGTTTGTCGGAGTCACCAACGGGGCCAATTGTCGTGTAGGATTCAAATTGTGTAGATATCAAGGCTAACTCATATGACTTTTAGATTCTCTTCGTTGTCAACCAGCCCGAGGTCTACCGCTCCCCCAACTCCAACTGCTGGATGTATGTTGAAATCTAGGAACCCAATTGACCTCCAGCGGGAAAGTGTTTACTGACTTCTACTAGCATCTTCGGTGAGGCCAAGATTGAGGACCTGAACTCCCAGGCCCAGGCCTCTGCTGCTCAGCAGCTCGCTGCCTCCGAGGCCGCTGGTGACCACGCCGGCCACAACCACGATGAGGAGGAGATCCTCGGCAAGGGCAAGGCCCCCGAGCAGGATAAGAAGGAGGATGAGGAGGATGATGGTGAGGAGGTTGATGAGTCCGGCCTTGAGTCCAAGGACATCGAGCTCGTCATGGCACAAGCAAGCGTTTCCCGCAAGAAGGCCGTCAAGGCTCTTCGGGAGAACGACAACGATATCGTTAACTCCATCATGGCTCTCAGCATATAATGAGTTATCGGTTTACCAATAAGGGTCAGGGATTTGGGTTATGATAGACATGTGTCTGGTTATAGCTCATAGTGTACACAATTCAGCCCAAAACGATTGAACCCACAATTGAAGTCAACTGTTCTCACGCCCCAAAAAATTGAAATCGTGAAGGAAAAATAGATACATATGTAAATTTTTGGTTAATTGCATTGCTATGGTTCTGGATAATTATATTCTGCATGATCCGCACTATGCTAAAGATGCCAACGGTGAATTTCGGAATGGACATCACGTGACCCGAACAATCCAAACCTTCCGGGTCACTCCTCGTTCGGCACCTCCCTGTACATCGACCTCCCCTCTCTTCTCCCCACCCCCAACCTCAATCATACCCGTCACAATGGCTGCCGTACGTTGCTCTCTTTCTCCTCGCCTTGGAGAATATCCCATCTTTCTGGAACCCAACCGCTAACCCCCCTTACCCGAAAACAGCGCAGCGCCGCTACCAAGATCGACTGGGCCAAGGTGTCGAGCTCGCTCGGCCTCCGCGGTCAGACCGCCACCTCCCTCCAATCCTTCAAGAAGCGCAACGACGAGGCTCGCCGCAAGGTTACCGTCCTGTCCGAGCAGCCCCAGGCCGTTGACTTCAGCCACTACCGCGGTATCCTGAAGAACAAGGCCATCGTCGACGAGATCGAGAACCACTTCAAGACCTTCAAGCCCGCTTCCTACGATGTCAGCCGCCAGCTGAAGGCTATCGATGCCTTCGAGTCCCAGGCCGTCCAGAACGCCGAAGCCACCAAGGGCAAGGTCGAGGCCGAGCTGCAGAACTTGCAGAAGACCCTCCAGAACATCGAGACTGCCCGTCCCTTCGAGGACCTCACTGTCGTACGTATCTATCATGGATCTAAATGTGGTATCTGTTACTTACATGACTGCTATTCTTCTAGGACGAGGTTGCCGCTGCCCAGCCCGAGATCGACGAGAAGACCGCTTCCCTCGTTTCCAAGGGCAAGTGGATGCCCCCTGGCTACAAGGTATGTGCAGACTGCTCTGCTTGGTACACTTCTATCTTCTCGATACTCATATCAATTTTCTTTACAGGAGCGCTTCGGCGATCTCTCCGCTGTCTAAGCGTGGACACTTGTGGCCTCGAATCCGCCTTGTTATCCCTTCCTTTATCACACTACGTGATCATGATTTTTGGAGCCAAGAAGATGGCTATTCAGCCAGTGCATGATCAGATACCTCCGATAGTGTGGCGGGACTGGGATGTGTATAGAAACAATACATTGTCGTTTCTGCGTTCATCAACCCCCTTGCAATCTTGTAAAATTCACTAGGTACATGAGTACATAAAAATTAATATTACCATGTACCTACCTAAGCTCTTGAGCAGGCGAATTGGGAAGTATTGCATCGAAATTTGTGAGTCCCCAGGAGATCTGTGATGGATATCGAATTTCCGGGTCCCCGATGGGTGTGGACATGTCAGGATATATAAAGAAAAAGGTTTGGACTGGGGAAAAACGTTCCCCGGAATTCGTACTTTTTCAACTGACACTTAACAAGTGACGACACATATCCATTCATATGCATGTTAGTCAACGCATAAGCGAAGCCCAAGCCATATAGACGACGATACGACAGCCCGCGGAGCTCCAACATGCCATGCCAAGCCACGCAACTAACCTCGAGTTACCCACTTCCCCTCCCCCTCCCTCAGCAATGGAACGGTCTTCTGCCATTACATCCTTTTTATTGGAGCTAGAAGACGGGCTCGCTTCGTCAGGAGCTACAAAGAGGGTATGCGACCTTGGAAAGCCTGCAATACCTCGTGTACCTGGGCAGTGCCATTGAAATGATTCATGTCTCCTCTTCCTTCATTTGAATCTTGATCTTAAGAAGCTAGCTTACCTGCTACTTTGACCTGGGCTATATATACAAAGGTCCATATTAATTTCTCACAGCCCGTTGCAAATGGGCCCATCTGACTCCTCGACCAACAATCAGTGCTCGCGCCTGGAGTCGTTGCCCGTTGAAATCTTGCAGTTGATCTTCCTCCATAGCTTGGAGGTCAACCTTCCGCGCGCATCGCCACGCCTTGGCAATGCCTTGTCTTCGCCCTTGCTATACACATGGCTCATTCGGCTTGTGTTCAGCAGCCCCAACCCTGGCTCGCGGGAAGGTTTCTTTACCCCGGACTTTTTACCCCCGCCGCTGGATTTCTGGGCCCTGTCATGGGAAGAGCGCGCACATTTGCAAACGACCCTGTTAGCATGTCGCTGGTGCACATTTACTTTGCTGCGCAAGTGTCAACGGGAATATGTCAACCATGCGATTCGACGCAAATGCACCGGTCTGGTTTTCCGCGAAGAGGACCAGGCTCTGTTGTCGAATCTAGATCCTCGATTCGATGACCTGGAAGATCGTGACTGGGCTCCAGACATGAAGCGTGGGAAAGGAGACATCGTGTTTCCTGCTCAACTGGAAGAAAGCCTACGAACCCCGTCGTCTAGGAGCGTTGACCGCAAAGTCGCAATTTGGTTCCATTATGGCGCGTTTCAAATCCGCGAACCGAATGAGATATTCTACGAGAACGACCTTTTTCGATTACCTTGCGCAAATGTCATCAAGCCAGGCCGCATTCCGGACAAGGTCTTGAGATCGCCATGGTCAGATGCACAATTTTGGTTTCTACAATTGTTATCTTCGGACTTCTACCTTGACGAAGATCAGTTCAGCCTGGACCGCTCGTCTGACATTACCTATCGCCTCATTCGAAAACGGAAATTTGAGCCCTTCCGTCGGTTACTGTCTATGTCTTTTCGGTCTGGTAATTGCAGGGTTCCTGCTCGGTGGCCCTTGCAGCCTGTCCACTACTCTCTGGTGCGCCGTTATGGAAGTGGGTCCGGTGATCGGTTTATCAACTTTATCCTCGAGGAGCGCTGGGATGATATCCCCGTGGAAGTAAAGCAAGAGCTACTGCGGTATGTCGAGTCGCCATAGCCACGTGGTAGAGGCTTAATGTACAACAATATGATATTTTTACTTGTACATATCAAAATTTAGCACTCACTTTCATGTGCAAACTACAGACCCATCTAGTGACAAGAAAACAACAAAATTTCGTATCCCAAATCTTGATTCATATTCATTATTCAAGAATAATTGCGCCTCAGGGTATGTACTCCAAATATTGAAACAGAATTGAAAGATATTCGCGCCGGCATAACAATCGTAAAACCCGAAGCCCATCCATTCATCTTTCAGTTGTGGACTGGTGTTTGGGTATAATCATGACGGGGGTTGGTGTTAGACTGCTGATCGACGACCGCGCCGACGTTTTCCACAGTAACCGCATGTGAGGCAAGAGATGATCACGTCGATGACAGTGACCACGCCGCTGATAATGGCATGACAGATGGAGCCGATTGCGTTCACGATAGCCATCAGGCAGCTACCGATAGCGCGGAAGACGCTTTGGATCTGTGGTGGCAGGTGTTAGGAAAGACTCGCAGATGGATAGAGTGCATCACATACGCAAGAGACAACGGCACCCATATTGAAGAGCTCTGGTTTGTATCAAGGAGGATTTATTTTGGTTTGGATGTGAGGGTAGACTCCGAGCTGGAGGTAGCGTGTGTGTGGACAGTAGGATCACTGAATGGGTGCATCTTGAAAGAGCTGGGTAGACACGAGGATATTTAAATAGAAAGAATAAGATGACGATCTTCTCAGACAAGGCAAATAATTCTTGTTCGATCAGCTTAGATACGTAACTGGCGTCTCAAAGGGGCGATTGATTGACAGTTCATGCACTTAAGCTTGTCTTATCAGGCGTTGGGAATCACAGGGTGCAGGTTGCCGCAGGTAGGGACAGACGCCAGTGACGTAGAGAGCTATGACAGAATTCCAGAATTGAAGAATGAAGAGGAAGTTGAAAAGCTGAGCAGTCGAAAAATTAAATTAAGAGCCAATAGCTACACGAGGTACCAGGGGGTGGTCAACCTGATTGGAATCATTTCGTCATGTCGATGCTGTTCCCGTTCATTCCTTGATTTCTACCTTATTAAGGTACGGAGTTTTTCTGGCCCTGTGGGGCATTCGCCGTTGATATTAACTGGGTCATCAAGTTTGAGATCTAATTTCTTCCGTGCAAATCCTTCATCGTTCCTTGCCCTACTGTGTTGCGACTACTATGTGTACTACACCTTTTTTTTTCCCTCCGGCGGCGATGGTCTTGACGTCATTTGATAATAGACTAACCCCAATCCGGACACTGAGCGGGGTATATCATGTGACCAAGATGCCCTTCCCGTTTTCTGTCGGTTAGATTTCCGCCAATCAAAGGCACCTGGGCAGCCATTCCATGGAGCTTGTATGTACACCTCTCGAGGTCAGCCGTATACTCTAACTATACACATACAAGTGGCCTGGACACTGAGATGTTTCTGAGTCATAGTGCTCAGCCTAAAAGACTGTCTACACCATGATCCCAATTCCCTAGACATTGGAAGGATACAGCGTGGCGATGCTGCTCGAAAGTGTGATGCACTATCTCTTCTTAGTACGGATACTCTGTGCTCCGTACTGACAGACCAGTCAGTATGAAGCCAAAGTCTATGGTCTATGGATCATTCCAACTCAGCCTTGTGGACACAGTGGAGCTGGGTCATGATCTTTCTGCACGGACAGAATGCGTACTTGGGATGTATAGATACTGATTTGTATGGAGCACGTCGCGCTGACTGAGAGTACTCTTCTCTCGATCTGTGCTGCATTGAATCAAGACACCATGCTGGATGAAACGAAACAAAGAACAGGTAAGATTTTCCTCTAGGCATCTTCAGACACAAAAAGTATTTCCAACGTGGTTATGTACTAGTCTTCTGGCGACTATGTATAAGTCTTTAGAAGATATGGTACCAATTAGGTTTAGCGCAGACCTACATTATACATACACACAGATCACGTGACCTGACAGCTGGGTTCAAAGCGGCAGCCAGTGGAAGCCAAAAGAGGAAGTCCCCACTTGGCAGAAAATCTACTCGTAGTGCATAGAGGCGCATACTTCCGGTTGTTGATTTATGAGTTCGACATACTACAGGAGTTCCCTTGTGTTTTCTTGCGAAAAGCACCCACACAACAATGAAATGAGCCTTATCAATCCAAAGGGGGACGCAAAGTGCCGAGCTTCCATCCATGAGCTCAAACAACACACCGGAGACATGGCTTGGTCCGCCTAAACCCGCATCGTCAAAGTCCCAATCAAAACGCAGACCAGGCCGCGTTTTCAAAATTCCTCAGCGAAGCAGCTCGTCTCGGTCAGATCGAACCTCTCGATCGCGTTCCGGCCCCTACGACCGCCCTTCGAACTCCCCCAGACCCACGCGGTCACATACTCCCATTCCAAGAACCAGGATGTTGTCAATGTTGGAGGCCCTCCCCGCGGAGGTGATCGAGCAGATCTTTCTACATTCGCTGAATCTGAACCTGCCTCGAGCCTCGCCGTTCCTTTCTCGCGTTCTCTCTCGGGAGCATATGTACCGCACTCTCATTCTCCTCGCCTTTTGGGATGACTCGTCTAGCTACCCCGGTAGCGCCACAATCAGTCAAATGATGGTTGGGCCATTGGAATACGTTCCTCTGTCACTAGAGGATAGAACGCGCCTGCAGAAAGAAATCTTCAAGTGCAAATGGTTGACGATGGAACGCGTCCGAGAGCAGGTCCCAAAGATGCAGATTTTGACTATCCACAGGCAATGGATCAATGCGGGTATTGTAGTGGACAAAGAGCAGCAGAGCGACTTTGAGAATTTCCTCGCTCGGAAAACCGATAGGCCTCGGGTGTTCCACGGCCGCGGACCACGATTGGACAGACTTATCAAGCAGATAGTGTCACCATGCGTCCCCGACATCATCGAAGGTCCCAATGCTACAAGGGATCGTCCGCATTCTTACAATCTTGTGATAGAGCCAATGATCTCGACAAACATTAGCCTTTCCGGTCTTGGTGCGGCCACATTTCCCGCGCTCAATTTGGTGGACTTTCCAGAGCATCTCCTCCGAGGTCGCCGTGGATTCTCGTCCGAGGACGTTGCATTCATGGAAATGTTGCGGATGACCTCAGCCAATTGGCATGCCGGTACGAAGAATATCGCCCGGACTTCTCACAATCGCTCAGCCCTACACGAGGGAATCAAAAATGCAATCCGCACTCAGAACTATAGCGCCATGCTCTGCCTTCTCAAGCTTGATGAACACTTCATGCACTGCCATCGCGAGGCACAAGGGAGTCAGGACAACCACATGATCCCCAAATCCCACTTTTTGGAGGTTATTCGTACTGGACGTGACAAACCCCATCTCAACCTGGCTTTCTTTGAGGCTTTGTTGCGCGCCAGCGCTGAGTCCATACCAGTTGAGTCATCTGAACTGACCGAATGGATTGTGGATAACGTGAATCTTGCAAAGCGCAACCCAACTCCTTATAACTTGATGAACGGCAGGTTCGCGCGTTGGTTGTCAGACTGGCAAATGCGATTGCCTGGGATACTCCAACGTCAAGAAGACATATGGGCCGGCGAAGCTTATGGGGAACCCGACCCACCGCTATTCATCTTGGGAAGCTTGACCCTGGAGGATAGCGAATGCTATCGTTTCTACAAAGAGGTCCTCCACCCTCATCGCGAGCCTTTCGGTAACTGGCTGGAGGAGAGTTCGTTCCAGACTGAGGATTACTGGCTGCAGGAATCTGGCCCTCCCCGCCCGCATAAGACGTAGAGATCTCATGCGGGCGTTGATTGAGCATGATACCCATATATAGAGCATGTAAAATAGTGTACAGATTCTGAAGAAGAACATAATCAGACCCAAAGTCTAGATCTCAACCAACTAATGTGCAATAGAATACATTGAATATCCAACAAGGATACTCCGACATTAAAGGGCAAGGCCAATGCATCACATGTTACCCAACAATCTGAAAAGACCAGCAATCCACCCACCAAGGGTATACTGATATCCAGTCTCAACGACGCCCTTGCACATTTCCCAAGCCTTCTGACCATCCTTCGCACCGGCCGCACCCTCTTTCTTCTGAATAGGGTAGTCCACGCGTGGCGGGATAGCAGTGCCAATCAACTTAGGGAAGCGATCGGCACAAACAGCCTTAGTATTGCAAAGTCCACGCAATCCTTCCTCGCCCGCAAATCGGCCGTATCCAGATCCACGCACACCGCCGAATGGAAGCTGCACAGCATAGTAGCTGCCGAAGTCATTGATGGCCACCATTCCAGCGGAGATGCTAGAAACACAAGCTTGAACATCTGCGCTATTGTGACCGAAGACGCTTGCGCCCAGTGCGTAGGGTGTTGAGTTGGAGATGGCAATTGCGTCGGCGACAGATTCAGCGCGCATCAGTAGGAAGACGGGTGCGAAGAGCTCAGTCTGCGCAATGCGCATATCACGCGTCACGTCTACAAGGAGGGTCGGGGCGAAATAGTGACCATGCTCGTGGACTGGGTGCTTGTGCTGAGTGCCACCGGCGAGGAGACGGGCTCCCTGATCAACGGCTTCGTTGATCAGAGATTCGAGGGCGGCGAAGGAGGCAGGGGAGATCATAGCGCCCATATCTGGGGTCGTGCTATCAAGAAGGATGGAGCCGAGGCGGAGCTTTTGAATGCGGGGAGTGACGATATCAATAAGACGCTGGTATGCCCCTGGGAGGGCGACGATGCGCTCCACACCAATGCAATTTTGGCCGGCAGATTGGAAAACACCGCGCATGAGAATCGAAGCGATGGAGGAGAGATTACGAATAGTACGAGAGTCATCGAGGATAACAGCTGGGTCCTTGCCACCGAGCTCAACGCAGACTGGAATGAGGGCCTTGGCTGCCGATGCGCAAACCTTGTGGGCAACGGGTCGAGATCCAATGAAGGTCAAATGGGCAACGTCTGGGTGCGAGGTGAAGGCATCTGCCACACCGGGGAGGCAGACGAGCATCTGGACGAGATCGGGCGAGTGGCCACAGGCGGAAAGAGCGCCGCGGACCATTTCGAGGAAGAACTTAGAACACCATGCTGTTTGTTCGGATGGCTTTACCACGACTGCGTTACCAGTGAAGAGTGCGCTAATGACGGGGCCGATGAAGTTGTGTAGAGGGTAGTTCCATGACACACAGGCACCCACCACACCGAGAGGCTCATAGGTGACCATGTTCTTCTTGTACATCATAAGGAAGTTGGTTGGTCGTCGCTCTGGAAGCAGCGCCTTCTCGCCATGGTCGATAGTCCACTTCAGCTTTTCCACTGTCACAAGGATTTCTCCGAATGAGGCATCCACTTTTGTCTTTCCCGAATCGAGGCAGCATGCGGTCACGAGATCATCTTGGTGGTCGAGGACATATCTGCGATATGTTAGCTGAGGTCTTGGAGGGTGCACACAGGAAAGAGTCCGAGACAGTGTCCAAATAGAGACACATACTTGAGCAATGTCCGAAGAACCTGTCTGCGCTCAGCGAAAGTGGACTTGGCCCACTCGCGCTGGGCAGCTCCCGCAGCCCGAACGGCCTCGTTCACATCGTCGACTGTCGCGGGCTTTGTACCATTTCCAAGCACTCTACCATCGGCAGGACAGTAGCTCATGATCAATTGGTGGTTCCATTTCTATGCACCACAGATGTTAGATTGTGGAAATGAGGGGATAAACTGCAGAGAAAATGCCAGGCTAGCACTCACTCCCCGAACTTGATCCTGCAACACCATCTTCTGTTGCCCCTGAACCTCCTCCCAGGTCGTGCCCGCACCGCTCTTGCGGACTTCCGTTGGGATAGGCACATTGAACGTGATTGCTGCCTCTTTCCAGCTCTGGATGTAGAGGTACCCCACGTACACGGCGAGTAGGGAGGTCAGCGCAACGCCGACGTGGGGGACATATTTCACCGATCCAGGAGGCGCGTAAGTCTCCAGCAGATGGTGCAGCGACGGTGGGATATGCGATGCCAGGCAATCCATGGCGGAACTTGGGGAATTGGCGCAATTGACTGGTGCTGAAGTTGGTGGACACGGGGGAGATTGTTTTTCGCGTTTGCGATAGGCGATAAGATCGGCCCAGGTGGCAGGTGCCCAGGTGCCCAGGTGGATTTCTCGAACTAAAACATACTATCGAGAGCTCAAGTGATGAACCGTTAAAGCTTTTTTGGGAAATATTGCAAATAGCTAATAATATATAATACAAATATATGGGTTCAGGGCACCTGGTTCCTCATAGATCATACAGTCATCCCATATCATGCCATTCCCGCCCCGTATCCTAGACTTAGGGGGTGTATTCATCACTCATTTCACCGACGCTGGAAAGCTCGCTCTCCTCCGTTTCCAATTCAATTTGAACATTCTCCTCCCTGCGCTTGACTCGCGAGTTGGCTGCTTTCTTGACAATCTTCTTCTTTGGCTTGGGAGTGGCGGCAGCCGCTCCATTACCCTTGCGCTTTCCGGTACGGGTCACTAGGTGATCAATGACACAGCCATCTTCCCACCCATTGCTGGACTCGCCGGTAATTGCGCGACACCGGGGACAGCTTTTACCATGGCGAATAAAAAGCTGATGGAGCGAGTATTTCAGGTGGTCTGGGATCCGTACTTCTAGGTGGCTGAAGGCAGTGACTTCAGTGGCCTTGGAAGGGACCCATCCCAGCCAGCGGCAAAGCCGGAAGATGTGCGTGTCAACAGCAAAACAGGGTCTCTGAAGACAAAATAGAACAACGCAAGCGGCTGTCTTTGGTCCAATCCCTGGATATTTGATCAGGTTCGACATAGCTTCATCAGTGGTGAGGTTGTGGAGGTGATTGAGGGACAGAAAGTTCTGGTCTGCGCAGGCAATCTCGTATATTTTGTTCATTTCCGCTTTATCGGGCACCAGCTTGGGGACTGTGTGATCTTTGGATTCCGCGTCCACGAGGGCATTGCGTCGCGCTTGATTGTCCTCGTGGACTATGTCAAGAATTGCTTTCAGATTCTTGCTTTTGATGTCTGCTAGACCACCACGTTTGATTGCTTCGAATGCGTCTTTGACTGTGGCTTGTCGAACAGCTTCCCAGTTGACACTGCCTTTGCCAATCCCTTCAGAGAGAATGCCGAATCGATTGACCAGACCATTGAAAGCCATGGCTGAGTTTTTTCCGGTGGTAGCACCGCTAAGAAGAGTGCGAATCAAAGCATCTAGGACGGATGGTACCTCTCCGCAGCCAGTGACTGTCAAAGAAGGTTCCGGGATAGTTGCGGGCGCAATGACTTCGCCATGAATACTAGTTAGCAGTCGATTGACCTCTTCACACTCCTCGGGGGTAGGCCGGGTCAATTCAGGGAAAGGAGAGACACCGGGTGTCAAGCCATAAGTGTTCTTCTTTGGTTTCCGGCCAGGGGTGATTGGAGCTGCCGGGATTTCTTCAATCTTAGTTGCAGCCTTGTCCACAGTGTGCTGAAGATCGGCAGCCAGTTCGGCCGTCTTCCCGTCCAAAGGCTGAGATTGGTTTTCCTTGTCTGACTCAATGGGCAAGGTGGCAGAATTACTTCCTGTAACCGATGTACTGGGTACAGATCCCAGATTATGAGGAAGTTCATTGAATCGTGCCGTCTTCTCCTCCTCGATCGCTCCACTTCGGCCATTGGGCGATTTGGTATCAGCGACAGAAGTAGGGCTGGAGATTGCAGCAGAGTTGGGAGCGATGAGTGTAGTTGATTTATACCCCCTTTTCTTGGATTTTTTGGCAACCTTCGACTGACTTGATGGCTGTTTGACAACGGGGCTATTGCCCTCGGCGACAAAAGCAGCCGTAGCAGCCAGAGCGGCAGAACGAGTGATACGGCGCTCCATGACCAGACTGCAGAGCTTAATCAATCAAACTTTTGACAGTGGATGGCAATATGGCATCAAACACGAGAAATATATTGAGTGTCGAATATATCAATCGACGCTGGAATCAAACTTGATCCTACAACTTACACCGATGATCGCATGGTGGGTCAACGATGCACGGTGTGACTGGCCAATTGGTCTGCACAAGGGTCAAGTCACGTGACACCACCGATCATTTCGACGGCACAGGTAGAAGAAGTGGAAAAGTTATTTTGTTTGGCATTCATGGTCTAGTTCATAATAGATGATCGAGAAATAAACTCGAGACACCGGGGATGGGTATTTTCATGCATTTCAACATCATATGGCAATCGGCCATCCAGCATGTAACTCTTATGCTCTTTCAAACAAACGCCCAGACACCCGATGCAAATTGCCGTAGCGGCAGAGAGAGAAAAGAAAAGGTTTCACATGTACTCGTAATCATTCATGATGGTCAGCCATGTTGTGGATGCTAATATCCATGCGGTCAGAGACCTTGGGGTTGGGGTGGTCTTCAGTGTTGCCGGCACGCTCGGCAGCGGCGGCAGCAATCGAGTTTGCCCCATTAGCAGGAATGATCTTGCCATTGGTGTCCATGGTAACTCCGTTGGCGGCGATCTGGAAGTCGGTCATGTTGGCAAAGCCATGGGAGACGGCCTCCTTGGCCTTGTCGAGCGCCTTGACCTTACGGCCCTCACCACGGACAGCCTCCAGGTGTTCGAAGTAGCCAGCAGAGACGGGAGTAACGTAGCTGCCGCAGAACACGCCAACTTCGAAGTCCTTGGGTTCTTGCTGACCGTTCTCACGGGCAACTTCCGCACAGGAGTCCTTAAGATCGGACAGGGTCTGGAAGACAACTGCCTCTGCACCGATGTGCTTGGCAATAGCCTGGGAATCCCGGTTGTGGGCAACGAGCTCTTGGGGAGAAGCAAGGTCGATACCGTAGATGTGAGCGTGGGTGATCTCGGGAGCACAACTGGCAAGGTAAACCTTCTTGGCACCGGCTTCCCGAGCCATGCTGACGATCTCACGACTCGTGGTACCACGAACGATGCTGTCATCAACCAGGAGGACGTTGCGGTCCTTGAACTCAGCCTTCATGGCGTTGAGCTTGCGACGAACACCCTTTTGCCGTGTCTTTTGCTCCGGCATGATGAATGTGCGGAAGACGTAACGGTTCTTCACAAAGCCGTGGCAGTAGGGCTTGTTCAGATACTGCGCCACATTGGTAGCAGACGTGGTGGCAGTCTCAGGGATAGGGATGACCACGTCGATGTCCTTAACGACATCGGGGCCCAGGACGTCGAGGACACGCGCACCCAGGCGGTCACCCATGCGTTGCCGGCTACGGTACACACTGATACCGTCGATGACGGAGTCGGGGCGAGCGAAGTAGACATACTCGAAGATATCAGGAGCATAGTTGCGCTTGGGTGACACCTGACGGAAGACAGGCTCACCACCCTTGGCGATGATGACAGCCTCACCGGGCTGGATGTCACGTTGGTTGGTGAAGCCAAGCTGGTCCAGAGCCACAGACTCGGAGGACATCATGTAGTCCATACCGGGTCCGTCCAATGACTGGCGAGATCCCAGGATGAGGGGACGAATACCGTATGAGTCACGGAAACCCAGAATACCAAAACCTGTAATTGCCAGTTAGTATTATCCAACGAGAACAGCGAGGGCTAGTACTCACCGGCAAGCATAGCAGTGCAAGCCCAGCCACCTTCGCAGCGTTGGTACATGCGAGTCAAGCTGGCAAAGAGGTCCTCGTGGTTGACACGGGCCTTTTTGGTTTCGCTCAGCTCATCAGCGAACACGTTGAGCATGAGTTCACTGTCACTATCGGTGTTGATATGACGGTGGGCCTCCAGATCCAGATGTTTCCGGAGCTCGCCGGCATTGATCAGGTTACCGTTGTGGGCAAAGCAAATGCCGTAGGGGCTGTTGACGTAGAACGGCTGGGCTTCGGCATTGGCACTGGATCCCGCAGTCGGGTACCGCAAGTGACCAATTCCCATGAAGCCAGGCAGGTTGGCAACCTTGGCACCGTCCTGGAAGACCTTGGCAGCCATGCCGTTGGCCTTCAGTTGGTAGAACCGACCCCCGGACGCACAAGTCGCGATACCGGCTGCATCCTGACCCCGATCTGTGCAGAGCCTTTAGTCTCGCGATCGCACTTGAATATCTTCTGGCCGAAACTCACGTTGGAGAAGGTAGAGTGCCTCGTGGAGGTCCACGGCAGCCGAAGATGAGGGGTTCGCCTGGATCAGCGCAATAATTCCACACATCTTGACGTGGGGTAGTCCTGAATTGAACGAGAAGGGTTAGCACCAGTGCAATCCATTGCGTTCACATAATTCAAGTAACATTGTGTCTCAGATCAGACCAGGTGTTTCTCCGCAAAAAAATTAGGAAGTCTAACATCTATAAAAAAACCAAAATTCATCATAGAGACAAGGGGGGAGCAATAAGAAAAAAACCATGTCATTCACTTACCAAGACCAAATCACGTAAAAAAGGAGAGAGAAAGGAGTTCAAAGAATGGTCATCACCAGGAAAGCCAGGAATGAATCACCCCCAGGAAGTCAGAGAAGAGAAAATCTCCATAGTGAATTTTGTTCTGTGGTTTGGTTTGGTGGACCAAAAATTTTTCTTCCGACCCCGGAGCCAGTCAGAGGCCTGTCACGTGGATATTATAGATCCCTGAATTACTAGGCATAAATAGTCCGTGCGCTGATCCATGCCCAAGCCCTATTTCCCAAACGGGAAAAGTAACATAGTACATAGTAGCCTCTTAATATCTGTATATTTCAGGTTGTTTGATGAGAGTGATGAGAGACTCAATGAGGACCATGCCTTTGTATTGCTCTTTGAGACCATCTTCCTCCCGAGAAGTACGCGCCGCTTTGTTCAGCAAACTAATATATGGGGGATGCTCTTCTGAAATCCTGGGGTTTAATCAGTTTATACCCAGGTACTTACCCTGCGCAAAACATCTCAACTCAGAGATACCCCGCCAAAATCTGCCAAGCGAGCTCCATGCAGGTATATGCATATAAATACCTCGAAAAGCTCCTGATCAAATCACTGACCACATCCCCAGCAAACTGAACAGAGAGATCGACCACCCCAGCTCCCAGTCTGTTGCCTGATACTGCTTCACTAACCATCATCTTCTCTTATCTTCTCTCATCTCATCAAACTTGAGGATGACCATCATCAAGTCTTCCATCAATCCAATGGCTGCCCCAAAGGTCCAATCACATTCTTCCGAGCGCCCCTTTGCTTTCATAAGCCACCCTGGTACAGCTCATAGAGACACTGAAGTACTGAGCCTGGCAGGTGAGGATGTGGATTTGACGGACTCGAGTCTTTCGGGGCTATACGATACGTTTATACGACGCACTGAGGACATGCGAATGGAAATTGACTCCAGCGGCGACGATGACTTTTTCGAGCAGTCCATGAGTCAGCTCACTTTCAGCCAGAAAGATGAGACACTTCCATCTGCTGAGAACTATAGCTCTGCTGCCCGTGCTCTTCACAAAACCTCTACTCGTCATCCTGCATTCAACCGTCCTCCGCCGCCCCCTTTGACTGAAGCCATTTCGTGTGTTCAGGTGAGCAACGAATTCATATTCCGTGCTTCACTTACTGACAGTAAACTTCATCAGAAGATTTACGATCTGACACTGGATAATGAGCCCGTTACTGACAACTCGGCGACTACCAGCACTGCCACTACTCGGTTGGCACAAAGGACGCTTGACCAGTCCCATCCTGTCTACTGGCATGATGGGATATTCTACAAGGCCGGAATGTGCGTGGAGTTCAAAGATCACTCTTTCATGAAGATTCTCGGAATTGTTCCTCAATCTGATGATCTAAGTTTCTTCGGTTGGAGAATATTTCGGTCAACTCATGCTGAGTGTGGCACATTTCTACCCAAAATCAACAATGAGTTGGTCTGGGTGACACAAGTTGAAGATTTCATGAGCTCGAGATTTGTCAAGCGCAAAGTCAGGATCCGATTCACCAATTTCCGATCAAGTCTGATGAGCAATCCTCGCAGACTGACCTGTCGGCTCAAGTTGACCATTCGACAGTCGGGTGTTGTACTTGGCTCTGATCTTGCCCCGATTACGTCGGACCAGTTTGCCATTGAATATCTCGAGTACAATGAAACAGATCCTGGGCTCGGGAAATGGTCAAACGAGCTTCGTGCTGAATGGCGTGGGGAGACTGTGCCCTTTGGGGCCGCCGAGAAGTCCTCTCGAGCTCTGGAAATTGAATGCGAGACGGGTATAATTGACCTTGAGCCTGAGCGGACGTATACTTTTGGCGACACCTTCTGCGGCGGCGGTGGTGTGTCTTGTGGTGCAAAGCAAGCCGGGCTGAAACTCAAATACGCCAACGATAGTGACGAGAAGGCCTTGTCAACATATTTGCTCAATCACAGTGATGTCGAGGCGGAATGTTCGGACTTCAATACCTTCGTCACAAACGACGCGAAGTTCCTACACGTGGATATCGCCCATGCCTCTCCTCCTTGCCAAACATTTTCGCCAGCACACACGGTCAACAGCTCTAGGGATGAAGCCAATTCCGCCTGCATTTTCTCGGGTGTTGATTTGGCTAGGGTCTCCAAGTGTCGAATTTTGACGCTTGAGGAAACTTCAGGGTTACCGACTAGGCATATCTTGACTTTCAACCGAATGGTGCTGAGCCTGGTAGAAATCGGGTTTTCTGTGCGCTGGTCTATCCTTGGCTGCGATCGATATGGAGTTCCGCAGGATAGGAAAAGGTTGATGATAATTGCTGCAGGGTAAGTGGGAACTGTGAAAATGATACCTTTGATTTCTATATCTGATATCTAACCCCTTGGTGTATATACAGACCTGGTGAAACGCTGCCTCATTATGCCGAGCCCACCCATGGTGACTCCCGTGCTGGTAGCAAGGTCCTCCCCCGAGCGACGATTGGTTCCACCATCAAGGACATTCCCGTCGGTGCCCCAGACCATAACCCAGATAGGGGCCTCGAGCGATGGCGTTTAACTCACCGAGAAGCATTTGAAGCGGAGAGCCTTGCGAAGACAATTACCTGCGGAGGAGGGGAGTTTAATTATCACCCGTCAGGAAAGAGGCCTTACACAGACCGAGAAATGGCGGTCCTGCAGACGTTTCCGATGAGTTATCGGTTCTCAGGAGTCTACACGCGGAAACAGATCGGCAATGCGGTGCCACCGTTGTTTGCAAAGGCGATTTATAGTGAAGTGGTGCGATCACTACGGGAGACCGACCGGGCAGAGGCACAGGGGAAGTTCCGTTAGGCCTGGGGGGCTGGGGGCTTGCCGATCACCATGTGAGCGCGGATCAGCCGAGGGTCCAGGTAGTGTGATAGAGACTCAAATATAAGGGCGAGTTTTTGAAATTTCTTCTTTCAATTGTGTTTGAGGTATAATCACTGTATAGGCACTCCGATTTTCGCCAGATTGATTTGTAGACTGGACCTGTAACTATGGAGTAATTGAGGGGATGGATGGGAGTGACAAGTGTCATATCCGATATTCGGAGCTGATGAGCATGAGTAGCAGATCAAATCCTAAGATATACGAAAAAGCTACAGCCATTGACCAATGGCCATGAATATGCAGCAATAATATGCCCTGAAGGAGAGAGCACGGTGTGGTAAAACCCCCTTTACCCGACAGTAACCGGGGCCCTCGGCCGGATGAAGTCAGCAACTTGTTCAGATCCTCGTACTTTTTCTCCCTTTCCCCAACATTCTTCCTTTGCTTTTTCTCTTTGTCTTCTCGAGCTTCTTTCATATTCTCGTAATCTTGGGTCTTTGAATTGATCCTATCCCTCCCTTTCTTGACAATGTCCCTGCCCGCAGTGAGACGCTTGACCCACTCGTCTCCCCGCACTTTGGCCCGCATCTCCAGACTGCCCACTTTGGCTTCTTCCATCAACATCGCTCCCCGAATTCCTGCCCGCACTTCACGCTTCTCAACCATGGCCGCCCGTCAGTCTGCCGCCCCGGCGGTTCCCTCCGACAAGCCATATGACACCGAAATCCAAGATATGGCGAGCTACATCCACGGCTACAAGGTGGATTCCGACTTGGCGGTAAGTAGCGCGCCCGCGCCTCGGTAAGACGGAGCTTCCGCTAAACTAGGAATTTCGATAGTTTGACACTGCCCGCCTGGTATTCCTCGACACTTTAGGCTGCGGTTTGGAGGCGCTCAAGTTCAAGGAGTGCGCCAAGCTCCTGGGCCCTGTCGTTGACGGCACTGTCGTCCCTAATGGTACTCGCGTTTTAGGTACTCCTTACCAGTTGGACCCTGTGAATGGAGCTTTCAACATTGGTGCTATGATCCGTTGGCTCGATTACAATGACTGCTGGCTGGCTGCTGAGTGGGGTCACCCCTCTGACAACCTCGGTGGTATTCTGGCTGTGGCCGACTGGATCTCGCGTACCAACCGCGCCGGTGGAAACCTTGGCAATGGTAAGATCTTGAAGATCCGCGATGTTTTGGAAGCCATGATCAAGGCCCACGAAATTCAGGGTGTTTTGGCCCTTGAGAACTCCTACAACAAGGTCGGCCTGGACCACGTTGTTTTGGTCAAGGTTGCGACCGCCGCTGTTGTTTCCAAGATGCTGGATCTCACCGAGCAACAGACGGCTGATGCTATCACCCAAGCTTGGGTTGACGGCCAGTCTCTCCGGACTTACCGCCACTCGCCCAACACCATGTCCCGCAAGTCGTGGGCCGCCGGTGATGCCTGCCAACGCGCTGTGAACTTGGTTCTCAAGGTTCAAAAGGGCGAGGGTGGTCTCCGCAGCGTTCTCACTGCCCCCACCTGGGGCTTCTACGATGTCCTGTTCAAGGGCAAAAAGTTCCAGTTCCAGCGCCCCTACGGCAGTTACGTCATGGAGAACGTTCTGTTCAAGGTTTCCTATCCCGGTAAGTAAACCCAAGGCTCCTGGAAAACAAGCCATGCTGATGAATTTCGATAGCCGAGTTCCATTCCCAGACTGCCATTGAGGCCGCTGAGAAGGTCAACGCCAAGCTTGCTTCCATGGGCAAGAGCGCCAAGGACATTAAGGAGATCACCAACCGTACACACGAGGCATGCATCCGCATCATTGACAAGCAGTTCAAGGAGATGGATAACTTCGCTGATCGCGACCACTGTGTGCAAGTAAGTACACCGAAATTCTAGAAGTTGTGCTTCGGCTAACCCTCCATCTAGTACATGGTTGCCACTATGCTCGTTTTCGGCCGCTTGACTGCCGCCGACTACGCGGACGGCTCGGAGGCTGCTACTTCCCCCCTGCTTGAGGACCTCCGCAAGCGCATCCGCTGTGTTGAGGACACCAAGTTTACCACCGACTACCACGACCCTACCAAGCGTACCATCCCCAATGCCCTGACTGTCACTTTGAACGACGGCACTGTGCTTGAGGAGATCTCTGTTGAGGCTCCTCTTGGTCACCGCCTCCGTCGTGAGGAGGCCAAGCCCGAGATTCTGTCCAAGTACAAGCGTCATATCGAGGCACACTTTGATCAGGCCCGCGTCGACGAGCTGCTGAAGGTGGGCTGGGACCGCTCTCAGCTGGAGAACTACGATGTCGACCAGTACGTCGACCTTTACGTCAAGGACAAGACCATTACACCTTCCAACTAAAGAAATGGATGGCCCAGTGCGCTTTGAAAGCGTCACTATTTGTATGATGAAACACATTTTATATACCGCAAAATTACATTGATTTTTAAGACTGCGTTTTCCATGGCATAATCTTCACCCAGAAGCACCTGATGTGCAGGTCGTTCCCAAATTTGAAGGAGTATTGGCACACAACACCTTAGCCAGCCCAGAGGGGGGTTTAACGGTATAGGAACTCACATGGACATCGCATGTCCCCTCAGATCCACAGTTCAGATTTCCCGTAACAGCATCATACTTCCCACTGGTCTTTCCGCTGAACTTATCAAAGACGATACCTGTCAAATCCGAATTTCCAGGGTTCTTGGCGCAGTACTCGCTATCCTCTCCATAACAGCTCTGGATCTGAATCGCATAGTCACACCCATCAACCGAGATATCTGTGAATGTGACATTGCTCACGGTTGAAACACCATGCTTTCCACCAGATGGGTAGGTCTTGATTCCGGCAGCCTTGGTCGAATTGATCATTGTTGCCCCAGATACATACACGTTCTTCACGAAATCATCAGAGCTTTTACCCAATGATCCAACAGACAATCCGTGGCTGCCGATGCAGGTAATGTCCGTGACAGTGACCCCGTCAGATCCTGGTTTGAACGCCACGCAGTCGTCATCGTTGCTCACGTTCACGTTCTTGATAGTGACGTCTGTGCTGGCGCCGATATCAAAGCCATCTGTGTTCTTAGGTTCATTGTCACTTTTCGACGTGGCGTCCATCTTGAGATTGCTAAAAGAAACTCTCTTGCTGTCTCCCTTGACGGAGTTGAAGACGTTGGGTGGGTTCTTTTGGCGCAAGTTCGAGATTTCAATATCCGAACCTCCGGTGATATAGAGGAGTGTTGGGCGGGCATAGCTGGTGTCTTTGGCAAACAGATCCCATCTATTCGAAATGTCAGCACATTGAAGAAATGAATTTGACGGATATACCATACGCATTCTGTCCATTGCCGTCAATGACTCCCTTGCCCGTCACCGATCGGATTTTGATACCATCGATGTTCTTGACATTGATCATCGCCGTGCGGCCTTTCCAGTAATCCGTCGACGAACTGAATTTCAGCAGTCCCTCGACTTGGAAGTCACACCCAGCGCAATCTGCGAAGTCGAGTACGCTGTTCAAATAATAGGTTGTCCCAACAGGGATGACAATAGTCCCCCCTTTTCCGCATGATGAAATTGCAGACGTGATAGCTGGCACATCGTCTGTAGACGAAGAGCCCCCTGCTTTTGGCGTGCAAGTAGCAGCGCGGGCACCAAGGGATTTCGTCGATTCAGGCAGCGCCAGGGCTCCCGCGAAGAGCGCGAAAAGTGTAAATGATTTTAGGCACATGGTTGTATTCCGTACTCAATTCACTTGTGCTTCCGGAAATTATGCAGCGGATACCTTTATATCTATTTCGAATGACAGTCTAAACATAGATGTTTCAGATCCGAACCGACACGGAGGATTTTCTAAGTGTGGAATAATTCACCACTCTCCCTATTCGAGGAACAATTCTCATGTGCTGATGATCTTTACTGAAACTGTCAAATCGATGCAGCGTTATTGTAAGCGAGCGCTGTCTCTTCTTTCCATAGATCGCCTGGTGCTCAAGTGGTGCGTGGGGAATTACCGGCGAAACCGACCTCGAATGAACAAAAAGAAATCAAGGCCCGGAAATATCTGCCTAAATTCAATAACTGCACTAGAGCAGCAAATGTGATCATTTATGGAAATATCCCGGGACAATCGGTCTCAACTATAGTTCCGGGACTGTGGAGTGGTGGAATCCGACCCTTGAAACACAACCGCAATGACAGGCTGAATCAGGAGCTCCGTTCCAAACACAGGAGTAGTTTAGCTATAATAACAGCTGTCAAACCGCATACCTATAGATCTAAACTTAATTACTGCACAGCACATCCTTTCCCAATGCATATTTGCAAATCGCTGCTCTCCGCCCTGTTCCTCGGCGCGGGTGTACTTGGTGCACCCACCGAGCTGGTCCGCCGCACCAGCAGAACCAGCGCGCCCTCCGGCTGTTTAACGGTCGGATCAAGCGGTAAATACACCACGATTGGCGCAGCGATCACTGCCCTCGGCTCCTCCTCAGAGGCAGCTTGTATTTATGTTGCGAGTGGCACATACAAAGAGCAGATCACCATCAACTATGCGGGTGCTTTGACAATCTATGGTCAGACTACTGATACAGGATCATACAAGAATAATGTCGTTACTATCACCCATACCATATCTTCACCGGAGGCTGGTAGTTTGGACAAGAGTGCTACTGTGAATGTGGTTTCTGATGGATTCAAGATGTATAACATCAATGTGGTGAACGGTTACGGAAAGGGGGTTCAAGCTGTTGCGTGAGTGTTCTATGCACTCTGATTCCGCTGAGATAGTGACTGATGAAACCAGACTTGTCGGAAATGCCGATAAACTCGGCTTCTACGGATGTCAATTCTCGGGATACCAGGATACTCTGTACGCCAAGGCAGGAACCCAGTACTATTCCAACTGCATGATTGAGGGTAAGAATTCTTCTCCACAGATCCAAGATTGCAGCCACTAATCATGCTCAGGAGCCGTTGACTACATCTTCGGAGATGCCTCCGCATGGTTTGGCGAATGTGATATCGTCTCGAACGGTCCCGGCGCCATTACAGCCAACTCGCGCCAGACAAGTACCGATTCAGCCTGGTATGCTATTGATCACTGTAACATCAAGGCTGCATCTGGAACCAGCATTGATGGAGATGTATATCTCGGACGTCCGTGGCGCGTTCTGTCTCGTGTGATCTACCAAAACTCCAAACTGGGTAGTTTGATCAATGCCAAGGGCTGGACCACCATGGCAGATGGTGCTACACCGTTCTACTATGAGTATAACAACTCTGGGGATGGCTCAGACACTTCGAAGCGCGAGTATATGACTTCCATCTCGGCTGGGGTGACCAAGAAGACTGTTCTCGGGAGCGATTATGGTGACTGGATTGACTCGAGCTATTAATCTAATCGCATTTGATAATGGGTTGATCATGCCTTTCAAAATTGAATTTGTTCATCAAGGCTCAGGCACCCCGGCCCAAATCAGACAGACATACTTAATTAATAAGGCAGCATCGGGGCTGGCCGCTCTGCCCCTTCGTAGGCTCTGCTGTTGGCAAGGAAACGCGTTGGGAGTTTTGGCGCGTCGGCAACAGAGACCACTCTTACCCCACTCCTTGATTCTGATCTTTGACCACTCTACAGAAATTTCGAGAGATTTTTTCAAGGTTGCTGCTATAAAAGGCACCATTCAAGCTACCTTCAATCTCCTCAAATCAGATACTCCGAAATCCCCACATAAACAGAGATAAGATGCACATGAAACCATCGGAGCGTCGTGAGATCCGCAAACCTTTGTCAAATCTCAACAACTAATGTGACTGCCGTTGAACATCATTTATTGGAATCTTCCTGGCTGAGCGAAGAAAAAATTAATCTACAATTGATCAGTCTGGAAGGAGAATTGTCAATCTTTATTCTTTCCTGATTTTCTCCACGAAAATCTGGGAGGTAGGATCGATGATGTACTTGTCTGATAAATTAAAATTCGAAGTAACGTAACAATTGCAATTAAATAAAGTAGAAAGACTATCATTACATATCCTCTAGGTCAAAACGCATGTGTAACTTGTGAACATCGGAATCAATGTTGAAAGTCACAATCCTGGAAATACGCTTTCTGCCTTGACCCCAAGCACACAGAACAAAGGCCCCAACGACTTTGCCAATTCCAGTGCCCAACAGAGCCTGAAACTCATGCGAGCTAGAGTTCCAAATGTGCTGTGTGCGAGATGGGTACTGCAGTCCTTGTGACTTGTACACCTTATGCCGGGCACAGTGAACGGTGTCTTTCTCATTGATGTTAGCCACAACCACCGATTTGAGGCTGTTCAAAGGGAATTCTAGCTGGTAGACTGCTTTGGTGAACTCGGAAATATATGGGTCATCGCTTCTTTTGGATCGGAAAATATCGTCAACAATAACCATGCCTGGTGCAATGCGTCCGATCCACCAGGTTGGTGCGCTTACATCACGTTGTGTGACAGAGACATTGTGAAAGGTAGAGTTAGTATTCCCAATTTGAAGAAAGGCTAGTAGTTTTGCATTTAGCTTTTCTTGTTTTGCCACGATCAAGTAGTCTCGGGACTTGTATGCAAGAGTGAAGACGGACTTTGGGTATGGGCAACCTGATTGACGACCCTCGATCCATCTCTGAAGAATGAGTCCTCTCTCTTCCCATGGTGGAGACGTGGAAGCCATTTTGCTTGGGGGCAAAATTTCGGGCGAATGATAGTGAAGCTGGTTTCTACTTTAGAACAAGAACTTAGCTATCAGCCAAAAAAGTTAGTGTTTTTGAAGGTTCTTTCAAATGAGACAATTTGATGGTATGGATCATTTCGAGGGAGGATTATAGGCGCCTTTTATAAATCCCAATGCTTGAAGAGACAAGACTACTTGAATGAAATGCCATTGAGAATTTTATCAATGCCCAGGTACTTTCTGAAAGCATGACAAGCTATTATTGTACATCATAAAGGGAAAGAAAGGGTTTCATGTCAAATTTATGCGAGTGAAAGGGAATCAAAGGAAAGAAACCGTGAAAAATGATTGGCCAAGAGAAAGACCTGGACCAAAAAAAATCAAGTTCGATGCAAGGTATTGAAAAGAATTTCAAGCGTGAAAGAAATGAAGCCTTAGCAAAGCAGCAACACATGCTCACCTGGGCACTTGGGTGGAAGGTGGGAACAGAAAAGAACAACCATAACAACAAGCCGGCTGATAATTTGTCTGCGCACTGAGATTTTACGTGGAGCTCATGATCAAAAGATACTGGATTTCAAATGTTCGTTTGTAACTTGGGTTCGGAAGCCCATTAATTTGAATATTAACTGGTAGTGACAGGTTTGGTTGAAAACAAACTCAAAGAGGAAAGCTCTCGGGTTGACGCATTGTGCCGCGAAGACAGAGTGACGGAGGTCGAAGTTCTCCTGTCCCTCTGGATGTAGCAGAAAATCACTACTTCTTCTTCTGCATGATGTCCACAAACACGTGTCCGAGAGGTCCTTCCTCTGCACTCCATCCCCCATGCTCGATTCTATACTTGTCACTACTGTCCAACGTCTCAACCAAGTTGACGTATTTGCCGCCTCTGTTTTCCCAATGGATCTCGCAGATCTTGGCATCATCATGAAATAAGTCAAGGCGACCCTCGCTGCCCCGACGGCTCTGGGCACCAATTTCTCCAACACCGTTAGGCGAGATCACGATTTCGTCGATCTCCTCCTCAGTGAGGGACTTGCGGCGGTCATTGACGTCGTAGAACTCACCGCTATGGCATATTAGTATAGAGGTAGAGTAGCATCAACACAAGGATTCTTTTACCCTTCGATGACAGTGTTCTGAACCAAAACGTCGCCGTTCTCCAGGTGGCCACGAATGTGGAACGAGACCCACTGGGAGTTGTAATTGTTCATGTCGTTCATGTTGAAAAGATTTGAGTAGACTTCAGGATGATTGAATAATGCTTCGAAGCACAAAGAGCTGACGGTTCTTTATATAATACCCCACGAATCGCCCGTAGTGATGTAATCCATTTGACCAACTGGGATGTTGTGGTGACAATCGTATGATGCCATTGGCCCACGTCAACTCAAACCACGGGACGACCCTTGCTCGCTTTTGCGGGGAAAATCTGCATGCTCGTATCCTCCTGAAGTCCCATACTTGAGTATGCTGTACTTAAGTATAATCGATACTTCTATAAGGAAGAGCGTGCGACTCTGATAACGCGAATTAAATCACTTGAACCATGCGTTGTTGTGGATTAATTGTAGGGAGGGTGGCAACACCCGTGGACAACGCCATCCGCAACAGCCATTTTCCAACATCGGTAGTATGTACATCATCCAATCATAGGGTTCAATTTGCGCTGAGATGCGTAATACTCCTACAGAATGGATTCCCCGCTCTTGAAAGACGCAACACCTGATCACCTCCTCAAACACTTCAAACAAATATTCGTGGACTAAACCCTGATAGGCTGTTGAACCGGATTAGCCTCGTGTGTAGCAATAGAAAGTCGATTTCTCAAAGGGCCGAACACAAACATTAATTCAAGCGGAAATATCACACGGAAGCGAGCCACAGCAGTACCCGTGACCAGCGTCAAAAGCGCCCAAGAAGTCAATATTATGACATCCATCACTCGTTCTCCAAACTTTGGTCGAAAATTGGTAGTTACCCGCACTGGTCTCCTGGAAGCTGCACATCTGTTAGTCATCATGCATGGCCAAGATTTAGGTCGTAGATCATCTTACTAGACGCCGCACTGAGTGGTTGTGCAGGCGTTGAAACCACCATAAATCCAACCAACATAGGTAGACCCAGTGTTGTAATCTGTTAAGCGAAGCTCTTGGGTGATACTGCCACCTTCGCCTGGATTGTAGACCCCAGCGCTCATTTGACCATACCAAGCAGCTGCCTGGCCGGCAAGACCAAGAGCACCAAGAGCGAAAGGAAGCTTCATTTTGATTCAATGAGATGAATGCGAATGACGAGAAAGAAAATCGAAGGACGATGCTGGGCTGCAATGTCTCCTTGAGGGCTTCTCGGCCTATTTATGTCAGTTTCAGTTGCCCAAGTGGTAAGGGCCATTGATTTGTGTCGCATGGGCTAGGCTACTGTTTTTTTTTTTTTTTTTTTTTTGCAGGACATATTGATTGAGCTCATAGAAAATATCGAAATTTAGGCTTAATACAAACTAGCTTGAAATCACGGAAGAATTATGTCTATACTGGCTGACTCCGAGTAATATCCACATCCCTGTTACCTTGATAGACGAGACAAGCTTCGATAGAAGCCTAGTGGGTACATGTATGGTAATTTCTTTTCAACATGTCTCCTATCATAGAGCTTGAAGTATTCTGTGATTCAAGCATAAACAAAACACACGATATGCTGTCAATTCACGATCACTTGCGCAGTGATCACTTAGGATGTATTGACAACCTTGGACGTTTCTTTTGAGACTATAGCAACTAAAGCAGAGAAGCATGTGAAAGCTGCGATCGTACTGAACTGTGTCCTGATGGTAAGACATGCAGGGTCCTAATCTCCGCCCGCATATTATAGTGCAAGCTAGTGATACAGCACCCTAATGTTGCAGAAGGTACTATGTATAGGGTGCAATGACTACAGACCACTTGCTTCCTTGGGTAATGTGTTTACTTAGATAGTCTCACTTTTTACCGCAAAGAATCTATCGATGTGACTGAATTGGCAAAATACAGGTTTCGTTTGATTAAGTTAACTGCAAAGCTGTTATGGAAAAAGCCGTAAACTCATACGGCAGTTTTTATCTTGGGTTGCTGTCGACTCGAGGGTGAAGTTTGCACCTGACTCAGAACATAATCGACTGTATTCGTGAAAATTTCTCAGACAATCGTTATCTGGAAGGACAGAACTTTAGGGGTGAATTAAAAATGCGTAGAGTCCAAGAAAACGCCTTCGAGAAGTACTATCAGCGCCGAGTGCAGCAACTATCACTCCCCTTCATTTATTCTAAAGTTGCACAGTGATAACTGGCAGATCCACTAAACAACCAATCGAATGGACCCATATTCTACTATGAGTTAGTAACTGCAGCCTAAGCCTAAAAGAAAGACGCTTTATGCAACAAGATATAAGGGCAACATGAACCGACAACCTATGATAGGCTGCGACACCCATTCATTTAAGCCTTCCAACGGCAAGTCTTAAAATCAATAAGCCTTGCATTTCGGCCTGCCGGGAATGTAACATGGTGATATCGATCAATATTCATGGGATTTTTATTCCAAAATATCTATATTGGGGAGAGCGTTGTTGGACAGCCTTGGAACTCTCCTTGGTCAAGTGCGAAAGCAAAAGGCTTTGGAAAGGCTCGCGTGTTTACTGAGATAGATAGAGAATGAATTCGTCGCTCATCATGTAGGCATGTGATTGTAGCATACCTAGGGAGTTACCATAAACTGGGATACCTGCTATGGGATGTTGACGCGCACTTGGTACGCTCGCATCTCCTAACGTTGGACAGCTCAAAGTCCCTGTTGCAATCGTCCACGCGTGTATTTCAACTTCTCGTACCTTGAGACCATTGCCTTCATTAGGCGAGCAGCTTGCACACATTCCCTGAACCTGGGCGTAGTGCGACGCGTGATGATCAAACTGGGGCGATGCGGAACATGCTTCCCAAAGAAGAAGTCCGCCCGCAGTTCTTGGCAAGCGCGGATGGTCCGAGTTAGGCGATTTATCCCGAATAGGGACTGTACCAACTATGTCAACTTTGATGGCTCAGTAACCTGTCGCTCGAGAGTAGGCCTTTTATTCAAAGCCCAATATCCTGATAAAACAGATGCAGGTGGAAAAAGAGGATTGTCTCTGTGGAACAAATAATTGAGTGTCATTGATTCCAACTCAACATGCACGCGTGGCTGAACCCATATCCGCAGAAGCAGTGAGACAGCGTACCTAGAAGATGTGAAATTAGACATTGTATCAGAGTGGTACTCACCGATCAAGCGGATCAGTAACTCCTTTCCCTAATCCACAGGGGAGAACCAGTCACCGCTTCCTGCGCGTTACCTGCATCTTAAAAGGCGGGTATGGCTCCTTATGGCTTGAGAGCATTGATATGTGCCACGGAACAGGGTGTGCTGAAGGTTGACAAAAACAAGAAAGCAGCTCTGATTGCAGCTTGGGCGTCACTGACTCCTCGACTCGCGGAGTTAGCAGGCGAGGTCGAGAAAAAGCAACAAAAGGTAAGACAAAAAGACAAGAGAAGAGCGTGCCCTCATGAACTGGAGAGGTTTGCTATCTTGGTCATCATCCCAGACAGTAACAGCACTTGAAAAAACAATGAGCTTAAAAATCCCGCGGCAGCCGCGAAACCAAGAACTATGAGCACAGCGCATGGGGCGCCGAGGAAGGAGAAAAAGAAAAAGCCCGTGAAGATTTGAGTAGTTGAGCTCGCACCCTGCATTGCCAACGCAGTAGATTTCTCATCTTGGCACTGCATTGACAATAGATTTTGCAACGATTGAGTGCATGAGAGACTTCGGCTTTGGGCTCATCGTAATAAATAGACTGGGCACCGATATAGCTCATAGTCGGGAATTGAATCATTGAACAATTGCCCAGTAACACTTTTGATTGGGCATGTCGAGACAGATTTCATCCAACCATCAAGGTAGTTATTGATTTCCTTGTCGACAGTCCGTGCCGACTTGCGGCTAAATCCGGAGAGCAAATGAAGAACGTAGCGCTTCATGCTCGTTATAATCCCAAGTTTATTGACTGCGGGTCATGCACACCGTACTCAGTAGATTCCGCAGATGGAGGCCATATTTTCCAAGATTGAACTGTAGTGAACCGTAACAAGTTTGAAGTTCGTACCAAGAGGACCACGGGCCCCGCGGTGGGCGAAGGGAACGAGTTTCCCTATAGAGAAGGTTAGGCGCGTCGCTGTCAACTCAAGTTGTGCTCTAATACATGCCACATACATACCGACCTGTTCGATAGATCCAAGAAAATGCAGGTCGTTCGGCTCAGTAGGATGTCTGGTGCATGCATTCTCGTGTCAATCGCCTCAATGATAGCCAAGACATGAGCTCATGCGGAGTTGCATGCATCTATACGGATACTCGCGCAAAGTGAAGAGAAACGCTGTTTAGGTCGTATTGGATATCTTAGAAGCAAGGCTATGGATGAGGGGAAAAGCATGAGAGAAGTGAGAAAACGCCGATAGTGAAGCAGATGACCAAACCCCCGAGACTGGGAATCGATAGTATTGCCGATGGCAAGTCTCCAAACAATAAGAAGCCAAGAAAAAGGGTCCTGGATTCCGGAAATTATCCTCGTGCTTCGTCTGGCGAATACGAAGCTTGGCAGATCGGGCACTTATACCGACGGTACTCGAACCAAGACTTGAGACACTCGGAGTGAAAGGCATGCTTGCAACGATTCAGGACAAGGACCTCGCTCGGTGGAGCATGGTGTGCCCCGCATGTGCAGGGTTGTTGATTATGCGCGTGGGCTAGAACGGCAGGGTCGGGACAGGCAAGGTGTTGGGATGACGCCAGGGAACATAGGCAGATTGCACTGGGAGGATTGATTTGTCAGTACAATTATTCTAGAAGGAGGATCCGATTCGACTCTGTCGTATCTTTCGCTTTCCAGGAACGAAGAATATTGGCATTAGGAGGAGACGGGCGAGACTGTTTTTGCCCAGACCCTCGAGCCGTGTGGACAAGAGGTCGCCGATCCCCATAGGGCGGAGGGGCCAGTGCCCAGCCCTAGAGTCCCCGCAATACATCATCGAGCCGCGCCAAGAGACGAGAGATGGGGGCCGGAATCGGAGACCGGGTGGAATGAGAAACATCCGACTCACCAAAGTTCTTGGCCATATCGCTGGGCGTGGGCCGGACTGTTTTGCTCTTCCAGCCATCGATCGACGGAAACTGGTTGTCCCAGGACGTTCTGCATCGGTACCTGATAGATGGGCGGAAGCACCTGGGTCTCGCTCATGGCTTGCATTGCTGCACGGCGTCGATGATGCCACATGATCATGCTAAGAGAACACAGTGAATCAGTGATCAGCACGTCAGAACTTCGAGAACATTTCGCATGCATGAAGCGGGGGCCAAGCCACGTCCGTGCAGTTACTCACATCGGAATTGCGCTGATCAGCGAAAACAGGGCGACAGCCCCAATCACAACCCCAATTATCTCCCCTCGCGGCATCGAATCGTCGTCCATGAGTGGAGGGGCATGGACACTGGGTCCAAGCGATATGGATACGAGATAAAATGCGTCCAAATAAAATAGAGGGGAAAAAAAAGAAGACAAAAAACCAGAGAGGAGAATCGAGGTATCGGCCAATGAGGTTCAAAGGGTCCAATAAGAATCAAAGGAGTAGGATGGTGCAACCTGAATCGGATCACTCGGGTCAACAAGGTCGATAATGTCAATTGTGTATTCAGGCACCGTGTACCCAGTAAATCTGCCCATTTCCTGAGGCAGCAATCATAAAGCAATTCCTCCTTTCATAATTCCCCCGGAGAAAAAGTGAGCGGATTTGAAGCGGAGGGAAACTCTCGGACCTCGGCCTGCCAAGAGGTCCCAAGAGCCAAGAGCCAAGACGCCAAGCAACCAAACGGAATCAACCAGAAACTGAGAGGCGACCTGTCGTGCCAAGAAACTCCCGCACCAATCAAACACCACTGTTTGTCGCGTGGCCGCCGCCGAGACATAGCGCCGAGAGTCGTTTGCGTCATCAGCCAACAGGTAGAAAGTAAGATTAATGCGCCAAGGTTAGTCCGCCCGATAGCGACAGCAAGTAATGGGCTGTGATTGGCGACACGAGCAGTGGTCATGTTGGTTCCCCAGACTTCACTTCCCTGGGTGATTGCAACCGAACTACTCCCAGCCCGATTACCCGGTCGCGTTTTCGCCATCGAGATGGTTCCAGACATTATTTATACTCCAAGACATCCCCCCAGAATAGACGCCGAAGCTTGAAGTTAAAAAGTATACAAAGAACTACTTAGGTAATTCTGGTGTATGGACTCACATTCTCTTGCGGATACCTTCTACATGACGCCTCCATAGAGCCTCATAGAAAGTACTTTATTCGACAACACAACACAACACAAACTAGAACACCACACCTTTACGATATGTCGCAGGAAAGAGAGAAAGGCTCTCCTGCCGACACTAACCAACAACCCCTCTCCCAGCCGGCTCATAGTCTCTCATTCGAAGATGTCATCACCGAACTTGGCACCAACTCCGATGACGGGCTGACCTCCGCGGATGTCAAACAGCGGTTGGAGAAATATGGCGAGAACATGCTCGAAGGAGATGAGGGTGTTTCCCTTGCCAAGATTGTCATCCGGCAGATCGCCAATGCCATGATGCTGGTGAGTCCCCATAAGGCGAATGATGAATGACATCACTAACTATGACAGGTCCTGATTATTGCCATGGCGGTTAGTTTCGGCATCCAGTCATGGATCGAAGGTGGTTTCATTGCTGCCGTCATCGGATTGAACATCGTGGTGGGAGTATACCAGGACTATGCTGCGGAGAAAACTATGGATTCATTGCGATCACTCAGCTCTCCAACGGGTGTAGTCTCTCGTGATGGCAAGACTGCGACCGTTGCAGCAAACGAAATTGTTCCTGGTGACATGGTGGAATTAAAAGTCGGAGACACTGTTCCCGCCGATGTCCGGTATGTAGCTTTGTACCCTGACGTATTCCTCCTGGAAGATCTAACAAATCAATAGGTTGGTTGAAGCATTCAACTTCGAAACCGACGAAGCACTCTTAACTGGCGAGTCTCTGCCAGTACAGAAAGAAGCCGAAAGCATCTTCGATATCGAAACAGGCCCAGGAGACAGACTGAACATTGCTTACAGTTCCTCAACCGTAACCCGAGGACGAGCCCGCGGTGTCGTTGTGGGAACTGGAATGCGCACGGAAATTGGAGCCATTGCGCAGGCCCTACGCGGAACAGACTCTAGACGTCGACCCGTCAAGCGTGGACCTGAAGGCGAGACAAAGAAGAGATGGTACGTCCAGGCCTGGACTTTGACGACCACGGATGCCATCGGTCGGTTCTTGGGCACAAATGTCGGCACACCGCTGCAGCGCAAGCTCTCCAAACTGGCCCTCCTTCTTTTTGCTATTGCTGTGATTTTCGCTATTGTCGTTGCAGGTTCAAACAACTGGCGCGGGGATAGCGAAGTCATCATTTATGCGGTCGCCACCGGTCTGGCTATGATTCCAGCCTGTTTGGTAGTTGTCCTGACCATCACTATGGCCGTTGGCACGAAGCAAATGGTGAAGCGAAATGTCATTGTGCGAAAACTCGACTCTCTGGAGGCTCTCGGTGCCGTCACCAACATCTGTTCCGATAAGACTGGTACTCTCACACAAGGCCGCATGGTCGCCAAACGAGCTTGGATTCCGTCTCTGGGTACATACTCTGTCGGTGCCTCCAATGAGCCTCTGAACCCCCGCGATGGCGATCTGAGCCTTGTTCCCGAACCCCCAATCCAGGTTGGACAAGACAATCTTGGCCAGGTTGCATCACCGGACGATCTTCTGAAAGATAACGATACTCTGATGGACTACCTTGATGTTGCCTCCATGGCCAACCTGGCCCATATCCACGAGACAGCCAATGACGGATGGCAAGCTCGAGGTGAGCCAACTGACATCGCTATTCAAGTCTTCGCCTCTCGATTCAACTGGGGTTTGGACCGTTGGACCAAAGGCGAGAAGCCAACATGGGCTCAGAAGGCGGAGTACCCCTTCGATTCCAGTGTTAAGAAGATGTCCGTTATCTTCGCCAAACGTCAAGAGCACTCAGAGAAAAAGCGTGAGATGATCTTCACCAAAGGCGCCGTCGAGCGCGTTCTGGAAGCTTGCACCACCATCAAATGGAAGCCTAACTCTGAGCCTGTCCCTATTGATGACGACATCAAGGACGAGATTTTGAACAACATGGAGGCTCTGGCCAAAGAGGGACTGCGAGTCCTCGCCTTGGCCGGTCGGGAAAACACTTCACCGGCACCAGAGGGTGGCGATCCTCTCCCCCGAGAGGAGGTTGAGAAAAATCTGTCATTCTACGGACTCATTGGTCTTTACGACCCGCCTCGCCCCGAGACAGCTGGCGCTATTGCTCAATGTTACAAAGCCGGTATTTCGGTGCACATGGTAACTGGTGACCACCCGGGTACTGCGCGAGCTATCGCTGCGCAAGTTGGAATCATCCCTGCGAATATGGATATGATTGCCAAGGATGTCGCTGATGCCATGGTCATGACAGCCTCCGAGTTTGACAGGCTGACCGAAGATGAAATCGACAACCTGCCCACGCTCCCATTGGTCATTGCTCGCTGTGCTCCCAACACCAAGGTCCGTATGATTGATGCTCTCCATCGCCGTGGTCGGTTTGTTGCTATGACTGGTGATGGTGTCAACGACTCACCGTCGCTTAAGCGTGCCGATGTCGGTATTGCCATGGGCCAGAATGGCTCTGATGTGGCTAAAGACGCCTCCGAGTTGGTTCTTTCTGATGACAACTTTGCCTCTATCATCAACGGCATTGAAGAAGGCCGTCGTATCTTCGACAACATCCAGAAGTTTGTTTTGCATCTTCTGGCTGAAAACGTTGCTTTGGCTTTGACTTTGCTCATTGGTCTTGCATTCAAGGATGATAGCAACCAGTCTGTCTTCCCCATTGCCCCCGTTGAAATCATCTGGATTATCATGATTACCTCCGGCCTTCCCGACATGGGACTCGGAATGGAGATTGCCGCCCCGGAAGTGATGGACCGCCCACCCCAAAGTGTATGTTTCCCCTTGATCCAATTGACTTCGACGCAACATACTAACAACCCAACAGAAGCAAGGTATCTTCACCTGGGAGATCATCATCGACACTCTTGTCTACGGTGTCTGGATGGCCGCTCTGTGTCTGTCAGCCTTTGCTCTCGTGATGTTCCGATGGGGTGATGGAAATCTTGCCACCGGCTGTAACACTCAGTACAACGACCCGACAAAGCCCTATACTTGCGACACTGTTTTCCGCGCCCGTGCGACAACCTTCACCTGCATGACTTGGTTTGCCCTCTTCCTCGCCTGGGAAATGATGAATCTCCGCCGCAGCTTTTTCCAAATGCAACCCGACTCCAAGCGCTACTTCACGCAATGGATGCATGACATCTGGCGCAACAAGTTCCTCTTCTTCGGAATCATGACTGGTTTCGTCCTCGCTTTCCCCATCCTGTACATCCCAGTCATCAACCACAAGGTCTTCAAGCACAGCAGTATCTCCTGGGAGTGGGGTATTGTCTTTGTCGAGACAGTGCTGTTCTTCCTTGGTATTGAGAGCTGGAAGTGGTGCAAGCGGGTCTACTTCCGTCGTCAGGCGCGCAAGGCTGCAGAGAAGGGCGACCAGCCTGGCGGTGAGCGCCGCGGGCTTAGAGACTTCAGCCGGTACAACACCATGGATCGGTCGGACACCCAGGCCAGTGACATGAAGGTTGAACAATCTATGGTGTAATTTTGCGATCATTTTAGCATTGCTTTGGTTAGATCAAACATAACTTGCATTCGAAGATCGCGAGCGATTTTCATTCTTATTAGACAGAAACCGAATGACATGACTTTACTATTTCACATCGATTGCAGCGGGTTATCTGGAGCATGGTGCCACTAAGTTTCTTCTAAAGTTGGGTACTACTTAGGGATCGCTTACCCTTTTGATTACCGCATTGGGTTGCATGAGACTCGGGCGGCGATGTAAGATCCCACAGCGGAGCGCATAGCGCCGATATCATCGTCCACCAATGGGGCATTATTACTTACACGACCAATGTAACCATAACCCACAAGATAAGGGTACGCTGAAGGAGGTCATTTGTGTATAAAGAGTTCATCAGCTCACGCAGGTCGCTCCACGCGTGCCATGATGGGGCCAGAATTAGCTGTCGCTATGTTAGTTTTGGGGCGAAGTGAGATAAACTGGGAAATCTCACAATGTATTTCACAAGCTTGGCACCTGAGATGTCTTCGGCCAGCGTATCGGCAAAGTTCGACAGGATTGCGACATATAACAGATCGAGGAACAGTTCGAATCGCCCGGCTTGGCGCTCACCGTCCTGGCGGCGCATCAACTTCCCGTCTTCAAACCATTGCAATGCACGAGGCTGACTGAAGAGAAAACGAGGGTTAGAGTGGTTCTCGCGTTCTTCCACCGCTGAGACTGACATGGTTGGAGAAAGAAACACGTCGAGCAAGGGGCCGAAAAAAACTTAAGGCTGATCCCGCCCCACCGTTCGTAGCTTAATCGGATCTACGGAGTACGCGACCTAGGGGGTACTATTGCCGCGAGCAATTTGCACCTACAGAATATGCCAGGAAATTGCAATTTTACAACATAGTCCAAGATTGATGAAACGATGATTTTTTTAAAAAAAATTTCTGTTTTCTGCTTTGTTCGCCATTGAACCGAGTCTTGGTCAATCTTCTCCGCGCAACCACAACTCCCATTCTTTTCTTTTTCTTGTAGATCCCCCAGAAGTCCTGGAGCATTCAAGATGTGCTCCCCTGATGCCCCGCCAGCAACTTTGACGGTTTGACAACGCCGAAACCCGGCAGAGAATGGAGCATTCAAGATGCGTTACCCTGATGCCCCGCCAGCAACTTTGACGGTCTGACAACGCCGAGACCCGGCAGAGAATGGAGCATTCAAGATGTGCTCCCCTGATGCCCCGCCAGCAACTTTGACGGTTTGACAACGCCGAGACCCGGCAGCCACTGGAGCATTCAAGATGCCCCTCCCCCCTGTGATTGATGATGCCGAGACCCGGCAGAGAATGGAGCATTCAAGATGCAATTCGTCTCGATGCTTCCCCGCAGCAAGCTTGAAGGATTTGTGGTGGGAACTCCCGTGGACGATGGAGCATTCAAGATGCCATTCCCCCCTGTGATTGACGGTGCCAAGACCCGGCAGAGAATGGAGCATTCAAGATGCAATTCGTCTCGATGCTTCCCCGCAGCAAGCGTGAAGGATTTGTGGTGACGTTTCCTTTGGTGTATTCATAATGAAGAAGGTGTATCCCACCGATGATGACGAATGCACAACCGACGGCGAAATTTGACGACAGCGCAACCCGCTGGGAGATGCCAATCTGGCCGTTTCCGGGCTTCGTGGGCCGAATCACATGCACGCGCGACGCTCTAAAAAAAAGGTTAGTAATGAGAATGTAGGTGTAGGGAACACAATGCCTTACGTGCAATGGTGGATGAAGTCTAGGATTTGTTAGCTCAGGCCGTCAACAGGAAACACATCGACGACGTACCCATGCGAGACGCTGATAAATGAAGTTGAATTTCCCAAAGCACCGCTCGATGGTCAAGGAATTCCTTCCAACGCCTTACCCCCAGATGGCCTGAGGATAAGGCGTTGGAAGGCTTTGTTGTTTCCTTTTCCCCACTGTCTCCTCCCCCCAGCCACCCTGGGTGGTTCGAGCCATTTTCTTTTGGCGTTTCCCTGCCTAGCCTTTTGGCGGAGACAACAGCGACTCGCTCAGTCTCACTCTTCAAGACATTGTATTCTATTCCATAGGAACCGGCATTGCCTGGTAGATTGGTGATTGTGTTTGGGCTCCAAACAGCATGCATGCCATCAATGATGCATCAACGAAACAAGGTGTGTTGCTTTTCCCTCCATTGCTTCGAGTTACCACGCTTTCGCCCAAAACTTGTAAATTCTCAATCGGCGTATCGAAGGTCGGTCACATAGACATGCACAACAGCCTTTCCTGGGCTGACACTAATGGTGCAATGGCACGCATCTGGCTGCCAATGACCAGCATGGAAGGATGGCACGAGAAGCAGCGCCAAAATCACGGTTGCTGCCTGTATGATGATGTCGTATGCCGATCATCTATCTGGGTGGCGGATGCGGCGATGAAGAAAATCCCTCAAACCGAAATTGTCAAGATGGTCTCCTTGAAACTTTTCGTACTTGCGCCGAGATTGTGATCGGTGATCGGGGACTTAGGTAGTAGCTTCGTGGCGGTGCTTCCTCTTTCGTCCATGTGTGTTAGATGACGATTGGTGATGAACCAGATCGTTGGAGTATATTCACTGGTGCAACAACGAGGGAAGAGGTCACGAGGACCCCTTTGTGGTGTTTGAAAAGGGACGTGTGGCAAGGCCTAGTGTGGGCATGGCATGGAGTCACGGAGATTTGGGGACTCGGAAATTAGGGCAAGGTTTTCGTCCTGTAGGTGTGACTTCATCAGACGGGTGAGCTCAGCGGGTGCCCAATTTGCCTGAAGGATGACTGCCATGCTTCCATACTCATGTTAGTTTGATCGAGCGTCCTTGAGTGAAATTCGGGGTATCAACTTACCTTGGATACGGTTATTGGCCTCGTAGAATAGTTCGGCATGAACAATGCGCAAGGGTTCCTCCTGTGCGGGGTAATATCAAAGATGAACCACTCTGGCAGTCTTTTCTTTTTGTTGCCCACATCTCCCTCATTTGAGAATAGGAGTAGCGGTCCTTTTTGCAGCGTTAGAAAATCCCGTCATAAACGATATCATCAAGGGACAACTCGGTCTGACATACCATATAGAGCGTGACCGATGAGCTAGTATCAAGTCGCGAAGGTCATGACCATTTCTTCTATGACTGGGGAAAAGACCACGCGTGTGTCCAACAGTCATTTTCAAAAGGATCGAACATCCCCTGGTGATAGTTAGTTAGTGATGATGTTTCACGTGTTTGTGATGCAAGGAGTGGGGAAGTGAGTTACTCACAACAACAACGACGAAAAACAGTAAGAAGACCAGGCAGCGCATGTTTATCCAAACGCGTGGAGAAAGTAGTTGAGAGGGTTCCTCTTGGCACCCATACTGATTCGAGCGAGACTGCTGTCGTCGGCATGGAAACACGTAGATCCATGATCAGCCGCGTCTATAAAATGGAAATATCAGACAGTGGTTGAATAGAAGGTTGAGGTTTCACAGGAGACACGTACCTTCACTTGTCTGAGGATATGATGGGGAAGAAACCAACAGTGTTGTCGGGGGAGTAGAGGATAGAACCCCGATGATGATGAGCGGACCCCTTGGATGAAGAGGGATGATAGAAGATGATATCACGTCTTTCAGGACAAGAGTGGATTGCTTGATGGGGATAGACGCGAAGGCGTCGAGAAGACAACAGATGCGGGAGAAGACAACAGATGCGGGGGAAAAGCACTAGATAGTTGAAGTTGACGCGTAAGGACAGAGAGGCCTTGAACACCAAGAAACCATCTAGGATACCGATTCAAAAGATGAAGACTCAAGAATACAAGTAGTGTTGCGGATGTGTAGAGGAGAGAGTGTAGTGTAGAGGGAGTGTTTTGAAAAGGAGGAGTGTTGGGAAAAGGAAGAGAGAAGTGAAGTGTAAAAGGAGGAGGTAGCTTCAAAACCTGGTCGAGGGGGCAAAGAACATACCCCACGACTGGTACAAACTTCACTACAGGTCTTAGTTGCAAAACCTCGTGGCCAACTCATGGAAGAATCCGATGCGCGGTCTCGATAATGAAGGGTAGACACGAGGGCCATAGGCCTGTGTTAATCTTAGTGAGATTGTATCGGATATTGCGAACCTGAAGTCTATTATCAAAGGGGATGCGCACCTTGTAGTTCTGAGAGCATAATAAAGTCACAAAACCGTTGATGTCGTATTTAGCTAGCTTTGTCTATGTACTTCGAGGCTTATACTTAATAACTTTTCATAACTTCGATATTTTTGTAGAGCTTTGGTCCAGCCAAGATTGGATTGTCTTGGCCAATTCATCAATTTCGGCCTCCGTATTCCCCGAATGTAAACACACCCGCACTCGTTCCTTGCCTTCGGGGATAGTGGGCGGCATTATGGCACGCACCACAAAGCCCTTTGCCTGACAGAAACTCGCTAGTTGCCGTGGTTGCGAGGTTCGAAGCGAGATGATTGGAGACGTGGGGAAGTGGTCTACTTCGAACATAACTGATTCAGCAGTGTGCAGAGCAGCCAGCTGTTGTCGAAGATGTCTTATCAACTGCTGGAGTCGGCGTTGTAACTATGGCAATGGTGAGCTAACCCATTTGAAACAATTATACCTTTGTGATAAACGTACTGATTCGGTTTCACCTGTCTGCAGGAGCTCATACGTCGCGCGAATGGACGCCAGGAAGGGGAATCCCAGTGCCGTCGTGTATATCAAGCTCCGCGCATAGTTGATGAGATATTCTCTCGTCTCAGGGCCACAGAGGACCATTGCTATACACCAATCAGCGATACACTTCTTGTTTCACAACCTGGGTGCGAAAAACAAACCTCCGTGGCTCGCAAGCGCCTTGCCAAAAGTGTGTACACGGATCAACATTCGATCTTGCACACCGAGCTCCTGGATCACGCCCGCGCCCTTTGGTCCAAAGACGCCCGTCGAGTGTGCTTCATCCACATAGAAATACCCGTTACCACGAGGAAGCAGGTCGTCGACGACCGCAATGAATTCCTTTATGGGAGCCACGTCGCCATCCATACTATAAATGGACTCAACAACCACAAATACATTCCGCGACCCGGCCGCGATCTTCGGATCTTCAGCCATCTGCGCCAGCAAGACCTCCCTCAGTCCCGCCGCCGAGCTATGCGCAAACATTTTCCGAGGTCCCGCCCGCGAGAGCCGCATACCTTCGTGAGCGCTTGCGTGAATGAGTTCATCATACAAAATTACATCGCCGGGTTGTGGAATGCTGGAGAGCACACCGACATTGGCATCATACCCAGAATTGAACAACAGCGCTGTCGGGGCCTGGTGGAAGTCTGCGACGAATCTCTCCAGGTCCTCCGCGTATGCAGAATTCCCGTCCAGCAACCGGGAACCTCCACTGGCAAAGGGAAAGGATGGCGGGGTGTTGTTCAACAGCGCAAGAAACCGTTCACGGTATGCGGAAGATGTTGATAGGGACAGAAAATCATTGGAAGAGAAGTCCACGGCTGTCCGGGGCAGCACAGTCAGCCTCCGACGGGCAGATTTAGCTTCCCGGTGCGCCAATGCGGCGGAGAATGAGTCAACGAGTGTCATGGATGCTGGCGACAACGACGTCTGCGCTGTGGAGTTGATGGTATGTTTACTGATGCGAGTTGGCACTGACTCGGCACGCGTTTCTGCAGATGTGTTCCTGGTCCCTGGTTCCTGGTTCCCGAGACCAATGATCATCCCGCACTTAAATTGACACTTCAATTGGCAGTTCCTCTGCGAACTGACTTGATGTCGTGAGCTTGTCACTTGCGACCGAAGTTTCTTCACTTCCGATGCAAAAAGGCCCCGACTAGTACACGGTATCAATCCCAAGATCGGCAAAGTCGAAGCCAAAAGTCGTTGAGGAACTCAACGGGACCAGAATAACCTCGGTGAAAGTGTGTGGAGTTGAGTGGAGTCACTGATTCGTTGACGTAGCGGGAAACTCAATCCGGAGAGTGTTGACTCCGGAGCTTCACACTTCTCTCCTCTTCACAACATGCCTCCCGTTGGTGCTGCGTTATGGCGCAGTCTGCGTGCTCATCAAGTCTACGGTGCCAACACTGATGTCGGGAAGACTATTATCTCTACAGTGTTGTGCAATGCCATCCAACGCCAGAACCAGCAAGCTGCGTTCTTGAAGCCCGTCTCAACAGGCGCATTGGATGATGCTGACGATCGGTATGTTTTGTTTGGTGTGGGACCTGGACTTCAATTGCTGATCTCCGCAGGCATTTGAAGCGCTACGGGGCGGGGACCCTTACTAAATGCCTCTACCAATTCGATGACCCAGTCAGCCCGCATTTAGCGGCCAGAAATAAAGTGGTATGAACTCCCTAGATCAATACAGTCGGAAAACTAAGATTGCAGCAGATTCCGCGCGACGATGATCTTCTCGCGTCCATACATAAAACACTCTCCGGCTGGGCACGGTCGGACATCGACTTCGCCCTCGTTGAAACAGCCGGCGGGGTGCATTCCCCTGGCCCCAATGGCAACTCCCAGGCGGACTTGTATCGGCCACTGCGTTTACCAATTGTCCTCGTGGCTGATTCCCGTCTTGGGGGGATTTCTTCTTCCATCTCTGCATACGAGTCACTGCTCCTCCGCGGCTATGACGTCTCATCCGTGGTCCTGTTCCGGGACGAATATTATCAGAATCATGAATATCTACGTGAATTCTTCAAGGGAAAGAATATTCCGCTGGTGTCTTTACCAGCACCCCCTGCTCGGCCCGAGAAGTTGGATGCCAACTCCCAATTGAGAGACGAGGAAGCTATGCTCAGCTACTACCAAAATTCGGCCAAGGAGTCCGAGGTTCTCCGACTTTTGGAAGACATGACCGTAAACAACACTGGGCGCATCGAGCGCTTGGAGGAGATGGCCGATCGTGCCCGCGATCTGATATGGTACCCCTTCACCCAGCATCAAGGGATGAAAGCCAAGGACATTACCGTGATCGACTCTGCCCACGACGACTACTTCCAAACATTCGGTTCGAGCCAGTCAAAATCGGAGAGTGAATTGCGCCCGACTTTTGATGGTTCAGCGTCTTGGTGGACTCAAGGATTAGGCCATGGTAACCCCGATCTGTCACTATCCGCGGCCTATGCCGCCGGTCGGTACGGCCATGTTATGTTCGCAGGCGCGGTTCATGAACCGGCCCTTTCGCTAGCCAGTGATCTACTGGAGACACTGGATAATCCCCGCTTTACCAAGGTATTCTATACAGACAATGGAAGCACAGGTATGGAGGTTGCTGTGAAAATGGGTCTCCGTGCATCTTGCGACCGGTACGGCTGGGACGCAAGTCAGGAGCAGATCGGCATTTTGGGACTGAAGGGCAGCTACCATGGTGATACTATTGGTGTTATGGACTGTTCGGAGCCATCTACATTTAATAAGAAGGTTGAGTGGTACCGTGGCCGCGGTCATTGGTTCGATTTCCCTCTCGTCAAGATGGTTGACGGGGCCTGGAAAGTCGAGGTCCCAAGTGAGCTGAAGGCAGACCTCGGCGAGGACGCCGATTTTGCTTCCCTGGGCTCAGTCTTTGACTTGACCAACCGCCTGGAGTCTGCCACAGCTCAGCGCTACAAGGAATATATTCGCCGCACCATCGAAGATCTTGTTCAGCGCCAGGGCATGAAGTTTGGTGCCCTGATTTTGGAGCCTGTGATCCTTGGCGCCGGTGGAATGCTCTTCTGGTGAGCGAGCAGCCCTCAAATCCTAATGATTTCCTGATCTCCTCGTACTAATCTTCATATTTAGTGACCCGCTTTTCCAGCGATGCTTGACAGATGTGGTCCGTGATCACCCTGAGCTGTTCGCCGGCAAACCTTCCGCCCCTAAGCAATCACCCTCGTGGTCTGGTCTGCCCGTCATTTTCGATGAAGTCTTCACTGGACTCTACCGTCTCGGCCGGCGAACTTCGGCTTCGTTCCTTGGCGTTCACCCCGACGTCGCTGTCAATGCCAAGCTTCTGACCGGAGGTCTTATCCCCCTTTGCACCACCGTAGCCAGTGAGGAGATTTTCAATGCCTTTTCTAGCCCGGAAAAGAGCGACGCCCTCCTCCACGGTCACAGCTACACTGCCCACGCTGTTGGATGCACAGTTGCTGTGGACTCTCTGAAAACGATGGCGAAGCTTGATACTGACGGATCATGGGATGGATACCGCGAAGACTGGCGCGTTTCCTCCAAGACTTCTGATGAAACCTCAACTCCGGATGTTTGGAGTGTCTGGTCCCAGGGCCTGCTCCAGGACCTGTCCCGTGCGGACTCCGTGGAGAGTGTCTTTGCCATTGGAACCGTGCTCACTATCTCGCTTCGCGACGCGGAGGGCGGCGGCTACACATCTAATGTTGCCAAGGGGTTGCAACAAAAGTTGTCAACTGGTGGAGATCAGTTCAATGTCCACTCACGTGTCCTCGGTAATATTCTGTACTTGATGTCTAGTGTGACGTCCAAGCCCGAGAACTTGCGGGAGATGGAGAGGCTCCTTCGATCATCGTTGGTTTAAGAAGATATTATGAATATATATGAGCAAATTTTGGATCTTCAAATTGAATTGAACATGTTTGATGAACAAACACCATGGAAAGTTGGGTGTGCTTCTAAATTGATTCACATGTGCACAGATAGATTTCTATCAGACACGATCAATGACTTTCTCAGGTTTCAGCCCTGCCCCAAGTGTCCCAAAGGTACACCTGGGCACCTGGCACCTGGGCATATGGATGGACGGACCCAGCATATGCAAGTGGCACCAGTGTATACCAGTCTATCCACCTGGGCACCAAGACGCCCCAAATCCAATCAAGCGTTCGATGGTGCAATGGATCTCATGGAGATAGAGTAGTACTCCCCATCCTCATCATCGTCGGTGATATTCCACTGCAGAGAATACGCACCTTCCTGGGTTTTGTTTTTCTTGGCATAGAACAACGAAGTGTATTCACCGTCGTCTGTCTCCACCAAAAGGAAATGTCCGTACCAGATAAACTTGGTTGTAACCTCCTCCGATGACGGGCTGGTAGTGAAACCAACCTGATGGTCCGTAGAATTGGCGCTTGGGACAAACAGTTGTTGATTACTGAAAGAGCCGGAGCTGCTTCTTTTTCCACTGGTGTCGGTCTCGTTGGTCGGGTTGCCGACTAGAGGTCCAGATGACCCGGGCGTGACTGTAAACATGGTCAGAGACAAGGGGAAGAAGATAGCGCTGGAATGCGTACAAGCGACCTGGCCGACATCTGTTGCGTTATCCGGTGTGTGGTTTGCAATGACAGCGTTTCCTATGTATTCATTCTTAGCATGGACAGAGGGTGCCTCTTCGGGGTATTATCAGTCACTTACCATCGGCGTAATACAACGGAAGGCCTCCGATGTTATCCCCATATGCATAGAGACTGAAAGAATCCGTGCTGCGTTGACCCAGAATGCCAGCAGATACGTCTGAACCCAGGGCAAGAAAGCAAAGACCGAATGATTTGGCCCACATTGTGACTTTATGGTGACAGTGGAAGTCTAAAGTATTGCGATCGAGCACGAAAAAGAGGAACGGCGCAAATCAAAAGACACAGCTCGTTTTTGATTTAGAACAAGGGCCAGTTTATGCAATTAACATCACCATGGTATATTTGGTATCGGTTATACCAATATCCCGCGTCTTTCAACTCCATTGATTTACATCTCCACTATGGGGTCCTATCGAGTGAGAGTTGACTATCTATCGGCCTGCAGAAAGCCCAAGCTCACGCTAATGCCCGCAAGGCAGACAAAATGCCCCTCAGAAAGAGGACCTCCATGGCATGAAAATAGAACTAGTCGCATGCTTGCGCGGAGCTGACGTTGGTGAGTGATCTTTTCCCAATGTGACGATCTTAGTTTAGTGGGGCCCGTCGGCCGGGACTGAGAACTCCAGGGCTTACAACTTGTGAACCTCAACTATCTTCGTTCTTTACGACAATCATCGATATACAATAGCCGGAATTATATTTGCAAACGCTATTGGGGGGAAAAAGTTCAATACTGAACCTCTGGATTGAGATGTCAGGAAGAGCGCCAACGTTTCATTTATAGAAACCAACTATACATAAAAGTCAGGCACACGAGTACAAGGCCATGTTCCATTATTAGCTACAGGATCTGCAGTCGGATCTGCTAGCCTAATACCAGTGCTGCAAAATCAGATTTCAACCTTGCTGATAACGCAGGTACCGTCTGATTCTTGATTGCGCGTTGAGTATGGGGTCGGTAGGCCGCGTAACCTTCGATTACCTGCACTTCAATTCGTCCGATCACCTCTTCTCCTGAAAAGTACGCATAGGTAAGACGGAGCTTCTGCAGAAAGAGGGGAATAGTAGGCAATGATGGCTGCATAAGCTTCAAATGACCATGGCAGTCCGTAGCCGATCATACAGACATTTAACCTGTTCCAAAGGACTACCATAGACATGTGCTCCTCACACTCGACATACTCTTCTGGCCCCAATCATAACTCTGTCTTTCATTAAGGACCATCAATTTCCTTTGAGTTCTTGTGTCGGCTTTGCTGCAATATGAAGGCCGTCTTCGTGACTTACCTCTTTTGCGGTCTGGTTGTTAAGGCTTCCGCTGCAAGCCTCACCAAATCTTTCCATACTCTCCCATCGTCCTCTCTTTCATCTGTCTTTCCTTCTGCCTCTAGTGGTGTCTCATCAGCATGTTCTGGAAATACGGCAACCACACGCGATCAATGGTGCGACTACGATATCAACACTGACTACACAACCACTGTCCCTCAAACGAATGTCACGCGCGAGTACTACTTCAACCTGGAGCAGGTGACAGTTGCTCCAGATGGTCGTTCAAGGTCTGCCATTGCTATCAACGGATCCATCCCTGGTCCAACCATCGAGGCGAATTGGGGAGACGAGGTTGTGGTCCACCTCACCAATAGCCTTCCCGACTCCCTGCAAAACGGAACAAGTATACACTTCCATGGAATCCGCCAATTTTGGACAAACCAGAACGACGGGGTAGTTTCCATCACTCAGTGCCCGACTGCACCCAACAACACCATCACCTACAAGTGGCGTGCGATGCAGTATGGCACAACCTGGTACCATTCCCACATTGGTTTGCAAGCCTGGGAAGGTCTGTTTGGTGGTATCATCATTCATGGACCTGCTAGTGCAGACTACGACGAGGATAAAGGTGTGATTATTATGAATGACTGGGACCTCAACACAGTCGACCAGTTATTCATGTCGGCCCAGATGGACGGCCCTCCAACGCTTGATTCTGCTTTGATCAACGGTACTAATGTCTTCGGGTACGATGGCAATGTCAATCAAACTGGTACCCGTTTCAATACTTCCTTCACGGCAGGAACCTCGTACAGACTTCGGTTAATCAACGCGGCCTGCGATACTCACTTCAAATTTTCGATTGACAACCATACGATGACTGTCATTGCGAATGACCTTGTTCCCATTGAGCCTTACAAGACGAACATGCTTAATATTGCTATGGGTACGTGATCTTTGCCTCAAACGTAGAATGAGACTAACCAAAAGCGCTGTACAGGTCAACGATACGACGTCATTGTCAAAGCAGATCAGGTCTCGGTGGCGAAGAACTTCTGGCTCCGAACCATTCCTCAAAATGCATGCTCGGAGAATGCGAATCCCAAGAACATCAAAGGCATTGTGTACTACGGTGACTCTCCCTCGACTCCTTCGACGACAGGCTACACCTACACAGACAGTTGCGACGATGAGACGATGTCCGATCTAGTCCCAATAGTCAGCGAAACTGTTTCCAATGCCTTCTACAACAAATCCGAGCCCGTCTCGCTGGGCAAGAACGGGGGTAGTCTCTACCGGTGGAAGCTCAATTCAACCTCAATGCACGTGGATTGGGAAGATCCAACTCTTCTGGAAGTCTACCGTGGCCACCATAGTTGGGCGAATGTCAGTGGCGTTGTTGAGCTTCCCCACAAAAATAAATGGACCTACATTGTCATTGAGACAACAATGTCTGTGCCACACCCGATCCATTTGCACGGTCATGATTTCATCATCATCGCCCAGGGGTCAGGGACATATTCAGGGGATGGCACCACACTGACCAATCCTCCCAAGCGAGACACAGCCATGCTGCCAGAGAATGGACACCTGGTCATTGCCTTCAAGACGGACAATCCCGGCGCATGGTTGATGCATTGTCACATTGGGTGGCACACGGAAGAAGGATTCGCCATCCAATTTGTGGAGCGGTACAGTGAAATCAAGCCACTTATTAACTATGACGATCTCCACAGCAACTGCAAAACCTGGAGTGCATTTGAGAATGATTTGAGTGTGGAGGAGGACGACTCGGGAATTTAACTCGAGCTTACGTTCGAATTCTGCTTAACCCGGGGTCATCCGGGGAAATGTTGGAGATATAGGGGCTGCGTTGTGGAGAGACGTACCCCAAGTGATGTTTTTATTTGTTATACAAAATTGCCCGGCCTGGAAGTTGCGGTCTTACTATTTATAATGGAATCTGGGGATATGGGGAACATCGTCAATATTACATACGAGCGCCAAACTCTGAAGCGCCCCGTTGAACTTACGAGCGACAGGCACATACTCGTACATACGAATAGCCAGGCGGTTGTCTTCACCTGATTCGGTTTCAATGACATAAAACCCTGTCGGTGCATGGACCCCTATTTTCTCGGTCATAACCCGATATCCGAGTCTCCCATACAAGCCGAGTTCCTTGGGACCAAGGCCGTCACGGGTAGGGCGCGTTTAGGCGGTAGCCAAGAATTGGCAAGGCTTAACAGATTTTGAATTTTTCAGTGGCGAACGCCTGCTGTCCAACCTGACCTCGAGACCACGGTTGGCTGACTACAATTTTGTCGACCAGCCGTGAGTGATTTGCCCTCACCTGAACACCCCATGTTTTCTGGCTTTCTCCTTGTGCTCGGCAATTGCGAGAAGAACCCAGCAGGATCATCGCATAGCTCTGAAGGGTCCTTGGCATTAAGTAACAACCCCAAGTAAGCAGTTGGGATTGGTCCTTGAATATAATAAGCGGCTACTCTCGGCAACCACGCGAGTCCGGCGATTCTTGTTGGGTAATAGAATGCCGGGCCGATGATATGATTGGCTGTAACCCCAGAAAGCGGGCCCCGAGGAGATTCATCCTGAGCGCCGAAGTGGGGCCGCGGACGCTTAATTCCTGTCAATGATCCCAATTCGGCATTCAAGCGTTACAATGTGGTATTCCCACGTCGTGCCCCCAACTTCAAACATAATGTGAATATGCAATCGAAACTCGATTGCCACTGATAGTAGTACCCGCTTCTAGAAGTCCCGGGCCCCACGATTCCGAGCCCCAACTTAGCTGTCGCGGGGTCTCGTTTCGGTTGACATTGAGAAATATCCACCTCTTGGCTCAGGGATTTTAATTTTCTTCACACATAGATCCGCGCTGGCTCGCTCTCTTCTTGATTTCTCTCATCTGATTTGCATTGTCTATATTTATTCGACACATACGCGTCGACATTATGATTCAGGATGGAGTGACACCGCAGCTTGACCGGGCTGATTCAGAGTCCGGGTACAATGAGAAGAAGCTGGACTATGACATGGCACCTCAATACCAAGACGCCTTCGGAAATGAGGAGGGTGCAGAGGTCAAATACAAGACTATGAAGTGGTGGCAGACAGGAATGTGTAAGTGGCGCGTGCAAAGATGTCTTCTACGACCAATTCTGACAGCATCTAGTTATGATTGCCGAATCGGTCTCACTTGGTGTGCTGTCTTTGCCCAAGACATTGGCCCAACTTGGTCTCGCGCCTGCTCTGGTGCTCATTATCGGACTCGGTATCCTCGCCACTTACACCGGTTACACAATTCACCAGTTCCGCGCGCGGTACCCTCACATTCAGAATTTGGGTGATGCTGGCGAGATATTGTTTGGAGCCTTTGGACGGGAGCTGTTTGGACTTGGCCAATTGCTCTTCTCGATCTTCATCATGGGCAGTCATATCTTGACCTTCAGTGTCATGATGAACACTGTTACCGAGCATGGCACTTGCACCATGGTTTTCACCACCGTCGGATTTGTGATCTGTTTCGTATGCTCTCTGCCTCGTACGATGAAGAACATGACCTACATTTCATGCATGTGTAAGTTGCCTTTATTACCTGGGCTCTGGGGGTTTGTGGACAATCGCTGACCAAAGAAACAGCATTCTTCAGTATCGTGACCGCAGTCATCATCACGATGGTTGCAGTTGGCGTTCAAAACCAGGGTGGTGTTGGCCTCAAGGCCACTGTTGATACCGATCTTTTCCGTGCCTTCAGTGCCGTCACTAACATCGTTTTTGCCTACTGTGCTCACGTCGCCTTCTTCGGTCTCCTTGCTGAAATGGAGAATCCCCGTGATTTCCCCAAGGCTCTCATCATGCTTCAGACCTTCGAAATTGTTTTCTATACCGTTGCCGCTGTGGTTATATACTACTACGTTGGTCAGGAGGTCACTTCTCCTGCTCTTGGGTCTGCTGGTCCCATTCTGAAGAAGGTTGCTTATGGAATCGCTATTCCCACCGTACGTTTGCGTCTCCCTCATTGAAATCAATCTTATCTGAAGTTATCCAACTAACAATCATAGATTATTGGTGCCGGTGTTGTGAATGGCCACATTGGTCTCAAGTATATCTACGTCCGTTTGTTCCGTGGCACTGATCGCATGCACAAGCGTGACGCAGTTGCAATCGGCTCATGGGTCGGAATCGCTCTTACATGCTGGGTCATTGCGTGGATTATTGCCGACGCAATTCCTGTGTTCAGCGACCTTCTGAGTCTCATCAGTTCCCTGTTCGCCAGTTGGTTCAGTTACGGTCTTGGTGGTGTGTATTGGCTGCACATCAATAAGGGCAAATGGTTCTCTTCTCCTCGGAAGATTGCGCTCACCGTAGTGAATGTGCTGATCATTCTGATTGGTGGGTGCATGTGTGGTCTTGGTCTCTATGTCTCCGGCAAAGCTATTCACGACGATGCTTCCAGCAACAGCTTCTCGTGCGCTAGCAACGCCGAGGTCTAAAATTGCTGTTTGAAAATTTTATTCGATACTGTGTTTCTAGAGTTGCACTGTACCATATCCTCTGGCATTTTCACATAATTTTGCATATAGATATCAGCATATGGCCGTTCATTTGCATAAATATTTTATGATCTTCAATTCACAATGTACAAGTAGGGTCCATGCTAATTCTCCACTATAACGTCGGTCACACGTGCCAACGGTCACGCCATGACCATGTGGAAGGGTAAGGTCCACTTGGCTTAAAAGGGAAGAACTCCGACCACTAAATTGATCTGAATATCGAGTCAAACACTCAAACCAACATGACTCGTGCTCTCATTTGGCCGATAAGCTAGCGCTTTAGCCTGGAGGTGGACCGGCGGGGACTGACCGTTGAGATTGATCTCAATTTTAGGAATCCGTGTTTTTGAATTAGGACAAGGTCATTGTTCAACATGAGTAAATCTCTTGAATAAAAGAAATGTATGCTGTGAAGCACATTGCGGATCTCATTAAATATATGGTACATGATGGATATCTAAACCACAGAAAAAAATAATCTGGCATCGCTATTTTGCGTCGTGTCGTAAAACAATTCTAAAACGTTCGACTGAAATGTGGCTTAAGCACGGCATGCACCGGTGCTACGAGTGGCCGTAGAGGATCGGCACATGCGACCAGACTCCGAGACAGTCCAGGCGTCACTGCCGACAGCCTTAAGAGCATAGAAGAATGATTCAGGATCCCACTTCTGCTTGACGGTCAACAGAGGGTTGTAGTTGCTGCCGAAGAAAGTCTCCTTCCAGTTCAACTGGCGGAAGTTGGCCTCGTTCTGGTAAGTTCCGCTACCGGGAGTAGCGTTCTCGAGCTGGGGCACATATTCGTTGGTGATCTTGAACTGATCATCGACCATCTTGGACCATGGGGCAGTCTCGTTCCAAGGGGTACCGATCTGCATCGTCACGGCGGCGTTGCGCAGAGCAGGGAAGATGGCGTTGGATACGTTGGTGGGGGCGGAAACGTTCATACCAACACCGACAGCGATGACACCGGCCTGGGTGATAGTGCGGAGGGCAGCTGCGATGCCGTTGTAGTTCTCCTCGAGGTTCTGGCGCTGCATCAGACGGCCACCGTACTGGTAAGTAGCCACATCCAGGTTACCCCAGGGAAGAGGGCCCATGTAGTGGTTGTAGTGGTCGTAGTACGAGTCGTACGTGGTGAAGGCAGTCTTGTAGGTGATGTTGAGCTTGGTGAGAGCGGTTGTGAAGGGCTCGAGAATGGCCTTGACATCATCGGTGGTCTGGTTGTAGGCAGTGATGGGGGCAATCATGAAGAAGCTGGATGTCATCTGGTAGATAACGGTCACACCCTGGTCGATCATGGCAGGCAACAGAGAGTGGAACTGAGAAACAGCCTCGTAGAAAGTATCGGTGCTGATTCCAGTCGCACCAAGCTGCAGAGAGGCACCGGAGATAGGTGCGTCCTGGTAAGCACGGACAGTCATGGAGATGACAACACCGTAGTTACCGGCGCCGCCACCGCTCAGAGCCCAGAAGAGGTCCTCGTTCTCGGTGCGAGAGGCCTTGACCAACTCACCAGCAGCGGTGACAACCTCGAACTCGAGGGTGTTGTCAGCGCCAAGACCAAACTCAGTGCTGAGAGCCGAGTGACCACCACCCTGGGTGTAACCACCCGCGAGGCCGACCGTGGGACATTCGCCGGTAACAACGACGAGACCCTTGGCATGAGCGGCCTCGAGAATTTGGTAACCGACCACACCGGCAGCAACCTTGAATGCAGGACCCTGGTAGTAGGGGCCGGACCAATCTTGGTACTCAATGTCGGTCAGGTGGTGAGTCCAGACAGAGAGGGCACCAGCACCAGTAGAGCGACCAAGGTAGTCATGGCCGGTGTTACGGATAACGAAGCGAATGTTGTTCTCGCGAGCGAAGTTCACAGCAGCGATGACTTGGTCGCTGGAAGACACATTCACGGCGTAGCTCACGTAGTTTCCGAGAGTGCAAGGCTTAGACTTGGCAGTGAAAGGGTCGCAAGTCTGGTTGGCGAAGTAAGTTTGCATCACAGACGAGGAAGAGTCGAAGTGAGGCTCTGGCTTGTACCAGGCGGCCTTGAGAGCTGCACAGGCAGCGCCATCGTAATGGGGAGCGTGGCAGGGGCTGCCAATGGGCACTGTCGCCACCAAGCTACCACCCACAGTAGAGTTCAGGGCATTCCAGGCGGAGGGAGCAGGCCAGCAGCTGTCTGTCGGCAAACAGTGGCAGTCAGAGGCGATTGCTGGGGCCGCAAGAGCCACGAGGGAACCAAATGTCCAGGCCTTCATGGTGGAGAGAATATGTGAAGGGATGAGGTCAAAAATGGAGGGGGAAACGTCGATCCCTTGCCTTTATTTATACAGGAGCACTTACTATCCCTCGGTCTTTTTCATGGCAAAGTTGAAGGCTTAGCTTAGTCTATTCGGAGATGTTCCCAAGTGCGTCTAGTATGCGTAGACAGAACTGTGGATTTTGGATATTGGAATTTTTTTTTTCTGGCCCCGGGGTTGTACCGAGACAGGATCTGGCCCGAGAGTCGGAGAGGGTGTTCATCGGACCACGCGAGATCGACGGCAATTGGAGATCGACGGTAACCGAAAGGCTGGGGATCTTCCATGGATACTGTTTCCATTCATGCCTTTCGCCAGGAACATGACGATCCAACGGAGTAAACTGGCGATTGTTTGCCATCATCATCATACCCAAAGTCAATATCAGAGCGTGCTAAGCACCGGAATGCCGCGGACTTGGCTGCGCCAGAACCGAGATCCGATCGACCCAATTGCGTCCATGCACTGTTGACACCGCCTTGTACAATCCAATCAGCTGGTGTGATGCGGGCCATTCGTCTGACCAAGCGCCACCGGTCCCCACACCACCGGAGGCTCAGCCCTAAGCAGAACATCGAGTAATGCAACTTCATCTCCCCTTAATATCTTACACTTTGGTGGCTGGCATGTGGCATAATTTCACAATATCAAAGGGTATCCTCTTCGGAGGCCCCATCAAGATAGATTGAAACGAAATATGCAAATACGCACGATTCATTTAAATTAATAAATGATTGTCTGGTCGAAGTGGGGCTGCAACCAGATCAAGGAAACACGATCTCTGATTGTTCCCTCATTGGTCGAGAGCAGATCATTGCACAAAAAAAGAGGACTCCGGGCTGGAGGAGAGACCGCAAGACCAAAAAGACCAGAAAGAAAAGAAAAAGAAAAGAAAAAGAAAAAAAGAAGCGATTAGATTTTCAGCTCACAATTAGAGTTTGCGCAATTCCAAGGCTGGCACAGACCAATCCACGGTCTTTTCACCTGCTACTTTTCGGTTTTCCAGGACCATGCAATTTTCCATTGGCTGTCGGTGGCGGCGCCCAAGGTTGCCATAACTCAGAGAAGCCCCCCATCCGGGGTTGATTCCCAAGTAAACCTTGGGCTCGGCTAAACTAAGGTAACATTTCCGGAACCTGCATATATCTCAATATTTTCCAAAACCCATAATCTGGTGCTGGCAACTCCAACTGAAGACATTTAATTCAAACTGATCGCCCTTGTTTCAACCATGCCCACATAGCCTCACCATGTCAACAAATCTTGGGCCATCGCTGGAGAAGGGGATCTGGGCCGCGGTGATCATCGCAGCGGTGATCGTAATCCTGCGTGTGGTTGCTAAAATTAAGATCAAACGGTTTGGCATTGACGATGGTATCATGATCTTCGCTGAGGTACATAACCCTTCCCTAGCATTTATCTTAGTTCTTCACACTGACATTGCGCTTAGTGCCTTGCCATCGCATCCACAGTCTTCTTGACCTTGTCAGTAAAGCACGGCTTCGGCAAAGATTTGACCAAATTACCATCGGCCGATCAAGAGGCCGTCCTCAAGTATATCGCCATACAAATTCCCGTCGTCACCTTCAGTACCACCTTCGCGCGGTCTGCCTTCATCATCTACCTCATTCCTCTTCTCGGCACCAACAAATATCACCAGGCCCTGCTGTGGGCTTTCCTGGTCATACAATTCATCGGAAATACCGCATCTGCAGTGCTGCCCCTCAGCATCTGTCACGATGTCGCCGCGCTGTGGGATCCCAAGGTGGCCGTGTCAACAACATGCGGCGACTTGAAGGCCGTGATCAACTTCGCCTACTATTCTAACAGCTTCAACTCCGCCACCGATCTGTTCCTGGCCGTTTTCCCCGCAGTGGTATTCTGGAACCTCAACCTCAAACTACGCATCAAGATCAGTTTGATTGTTCTTCTCAGTCTGGGAATTGTGGCAATGGTTGCATCCATTATCAAGACGACCAAACTCACCTCGCTGCCCAGTATCACCAACATCGGAGCCAGCGGTGGCATAGAATTGATCCGCTGGGGTTATATCGAAAACACCATCATTATCATAACATCCTCGATCCCTTGCATTCGCCCCTTGATTATCTCCTCCGTCCGCAAGATGTCCAGTGGCAAATTCTCTCGCTCCTATGAGCTCAGTCGTCCGTTCACCGGCCGCAAATCAGGCGCCCTTCCCAACGATACCAACCAGTCGCGCCGCACCCGCAGATTCAAGCCCGACATTGAACATGGTAGCGTCGATCGCATTCTCGATCATGAACAAAGCGCCCACACAAGTACGTCTGTTGGTGGTCAACCCGAATCGCCTACTTTCTTTGCACCTGGTATCACGAAGCAGGTTGAAATCTCGGTGTTCACTGATACCAACGGTCAACCTAGGGAAATGACGCATTTCTAAATGCGGTTTTGTGAATTTTTCTTGTGTATATCTAGACTCTTGAGACTTTATTAGCGTATGCCGTTACGAATATACTATTGTTTACGTCGACATAACCTCATCTAAACAAAACTTAGGGCTGATACTCCTATAATCCTGTACCAGTAGCGTTCCAATTGCTTTGTTCTCAACCCGACGATTTGGTTGTCAAGCCAGACTAGTGCCCACATCCCGAAGCAAACTGGCCGGTGCGCTAACTGTTGTTAGCGCCGGGAACTCCTCGATCTGGTCAAAGGGAAAGCCACACAGCGGTCTTAGTAGCCCTCAAAACGCCTCAGAGCGCCTTTGGATGAACGACCTGTTCGCATATACGGGAATACGCTACAGGTGAGACATCACACAGAAGTGGGTTCATGAAGAGCATAAGCAGCATTGGTCTTCTGAAGGATCTAGATTGGGGCAGAATTCCAATAGGTTTCTTAGCCCCCAATTCTTCACGGCTAGCTCAGGAACATTTGCGTTTAAAAGGGTAAAGCGGCAACCAGACATATTCATTGGTGACTCTCGCTAACGCTCGACATGTGGGACCAGGCACCAGAGGTTATGCACTTGCACACAACTTTCAAATCCGGTAGACTCCCGGAGCTATTGAATGCCTCTTCCACAGTTCCTCAAGCGAGTACCAGGCGCTAGAAGGCCCGAAGTAAACCGAACCATAGATCACTGCTTCCTCCCGAAGCCCGAAATCAATAGTCGAGAATAAGCTTCGACCATCACGGTGAGTACGGAGTACATTGTATGCGCATGGACTTGCTGACCGCAGGAAAGTGGGGGCTGTTAGCAATTGTGAAAAAGTATTCATAGATCTCGGTAAACTCCCGGGCCCATCTTCTATATTTATTATGATACTTCTCAGGCTCCAAGAACTATTAGCTAATTTAGAATTGCACCATCTAGTTCTAAGTTAGAGATTTGTCAAACAAAATTGACCTGCCCGTTTAGGAAGAGCTTTAGAACAGATGTTATAGTTCTATGTTGTAGAGAGCTATGGTATTTTCTATCTAGTCGCTTCCTGGTAAACTTCAGAATATAGTTTGGCCAGATCCCTCCTCACATTCCCCGAGGTCCGCGGAGATTAATTAACAGTGTGTAGTCCTAGATGTCTGAACGAATGCGGACACTAGCTAAAAATCTCAACGTCGGGAAACTTATTTGGCGAAAGCAGATGCCTGCTGAGTACTAACCCAACACGGGAATAGGTTCTGATGCGGCAATGAGCCGAACTTTAGAACCAACGATGCTAGTGATATTATAGGGCTGGAAATGGCACTGAGACCCCATTTTTGTCAACACAGACAAACAATCATTCCTGCCGAGGTATGGATTATTGTGGTAAAACACTCGGCATGAGGAAGTTCTCATGTTCGCAACGTGAATCCGACGGCTATCAAATGCTGGAGGTTTCAAAGCATAGAGCCTTTATGTCAGTGCATATCGGCTATGAGCTTTGAGTTCGCGAGGAAGTAAGGGACTGCTACATTGTATATTGTAAAGTTCTAAACTGGCTCGATGTTTTTCGATTATCGAGACACTCCAAGCTGTTTCCAAGGTTCTGACTTGTCAACCCAAATATTTGATCTTAAATTTGCATTTGGGTCCCAATTTACAAGCACGAACTCCAGGGCATTGGATGAATTGTTCAAGTATTCTCCAGGAGCGCCAGCACAGTTCACCTGAACAGGCAATTATCAGTGCTGTTCTAAAGTCATGTTACCAGGTCTGCTTGTACTTGAGCAGGTCCACGGGTGCAGCCTTGCTTCCAGCGCTAACAGACTTAAGTATTAATTATGCTATCGCTCAAACCTGGGAATAATGAATAAAGGGCTCTAGATTCTGAAGCGTTATAATTCTTTTTTTGGCTTAGTTGGGAACCTTTTCAGAAGATTCTCAAGTTCCAAGGTTCGACCAGCCCACAGACATGAACCAGAAATTACGCCATGGACTACTCAAGTAGCGATCTCAATAAATACAGAAGGAAAAAGCCAACTGGGCAGACACAGACATCGGGACTCCAGGGGGATTTTAATGAAAGATGACTTGATTTATTCACTTCAGCAGGAGAGAATGACGACGTAATTCATGAAATACCCCCACGGCTAGGCAAAACCCTGGAGATCTATATACAATTTCCCAAACCACCATGCCGAGGTCAAAGGCCCATTTAGAGACCTCAAAACAAAGGCATTTTCGCCGGATTCTCATAGTCCACATTCTCAGGGACAGACTCTATGCGCTCGGTGCAAGTGCCAAAGATGCGATCCCACAACCGCGTTTGCTTGCCATAGTTATGACTCTTCCGCCAGCCCTTGCGGTGGTGTAGATCATGATCCTCAATCACGATATCCGCATCCAGCAACTGCAAAAGCCAACTCAGAGTCGATGGCACGGTCAGATGCACTCGCAATCCACTATGTCCAAAGACCTCCGCAAAGGCGACGTAGTTGTGACAAATCCACCACTCGTAGAACCCCATAGGAAGTCCCATGAGCTTGAGACTAAAGTATGTCATCATTGGAACGCCGACCATATCAAAGAATTCCTGCTCGTGGTCTGCGTACGCGGCCAACAATGGGTTCGGGTGTTTGGTCAGATGGTGGGTGCGGTGGTATTTCCACAAATAGCCCACGTCGTGCATGAGGCGATGATACCAGTAGAACCAGAAGTCGAGGACGATGCCATAGAGCCCGATTTCAAGAGGTAGCCACTGCCAGGACATCTGGGAGGGCCTGGAGGTTTGGGTATAGGAAAGGAAGATGGAGAGGATAAGTCGGGAGCCGGTGGTTTTGTAAAGTGAGGTTACGACCTTGGCGACGCCGACGTCAGGGATACCGTCCCGTTCGTGTTTGTCGCCATCTAGGAAGCCATGGATGTGACCTAGGCGACGGAGAACATGAACTTGGTAGATGACTGTCGCGTTGAAGACGAAGAAGTAAAAGTTGAATGCCGTGATTGGACCGATGGTCTTGCCGGTGAATCGCATGTAGAGCTCGTGAAGGACCAAGGGAATGGCCGAGTAGAACAGTACCCAGCGTTGAAGAGACCACTGCGGCATGAATGGGAGTTTCTCATTTTTTTCATGGACAGGCACTTCCTTGTTCAGATCGATGGGGTGGACGTTCAGCGTGTCCAGCAGATGGTGGTTAAAGTTCCACGTACTGCGAGGCGCTGTCGGCCATGTTGATCTCATAGAATCTTTGGAAAGCGGTTTTGAATCCATGATGGGTAGTCGATTCTGAAAGTTTTCATAGTGCCGGGCATTTGGCTTTATACCGGCCTAATGAGGGCACCGGTACATGCGAATAGGCTTCGTGAGGAATCTTCGCTGTGGATCAAATTTCCCCAACAAACCTACACATCAAATAACCGGGAGATCATACACGGTCGTCGCTAATTTCTCGACGATCGGGGTCCGCCGCATGTGAATTTTCGGAATAATGTGGTTGTGAAGATGGATCATTTGAGCGTCATGGTAACCAAAAAGGGAATCATTGCGGTTTGATATTGATCTCTGTCCAATGACAAACATCAGTGACGTGGGTCAAGGTGGTTGAAAGCCAGCGTGCGCTTGATTTGCGCCTCGGTATTGCAGCATTTGATCGTGTGAAGTGGAGTCATAGCCGTATATTGTGTTCAATTGGGTCGGGCATCCCCCTACATTTTGGATGCTCTTTTTCCAGTGCGCGAGAGTATGCGTGTGAAAATTGAACCCGGGGTATGGGGAATAAACCGGGGGAATCGAAGATCTATACAGAATACGGAGCACTCCGTGCAGGAATAGCATTGGCAGAATAAAGTACCTGCAGAGGGCTGGTCACCTGACCCGAAGGATGTCGGCAAAAAAATAGGCGACGCGATTTAGCCCCATCTACGGGTCCCAGGGGAAGCCCTTGGGGATGTTCTATATTCTCAACTCTTGATCAATTTGATGTCTTAAACGACCATCTAAACGTATTGACTGTGATATTTTGCATCCAAAACTAACGACTCAACCAGGCACGCCCTGGATATTTAGGAGCTAGCTGCGACCGGCGCAGCAGCCTCGGGCTGGGGAGGAGGAGGTGCAGCAGCATCGGTGCTAGCACTGGCCTTAAAGCCAGGCTTCTCGAAGCTCTTCATGGGGTAGTAACCCCAGCGGTCGAACATAACACGATCCTCATCCCATCCGTTGCAGTCGGTAGTCAACATCTTCTCACCGGTGAAGACAGCGTTGGCACCAGCCTGGAAACAGGCAACTTGCTGTTCTTCAGAGAGAGCGATACGACCGGCCGCCAAACGCACAATGGTGCTCGGCATCACGATACGGGCGGTAGCGACGGTGCGCAACAAACGGTCGAAGGGAATCATCTTGCGGTCGCCGAGGGGGGTTCCGGGAATAGGGACAAGAGCGTTGACGGGGAAAGATTCGGGGTGAGCGGGCAGACTGGAGACGGTGTGAAGGAGACCAATGCGGTCGGTGTCAGTCTCACCCAGACCGAGGATACCACCGGAGCAAACGTTGATGCCAGCATCGCGAACGTGCGAGAGGGTCTTCAGGCGCTCGTCGTAGGAGCGGGTGGTGATGATGGTGGGGTAGAATTCACGGGAGGTATCGAGGTTGTGGTTGTATGCGGTCAAACCGGCATCCTTCAGTTCCTTGGCTTGGTTCTCGTCGATCATGCCGAGGGTGACGCAAACCTCCATGTCCATCTCACGGATGCCGGAGATCATTTGCTTGACGTTCTTGAGACTGGTCTTGCGGCCGCGCATGTCTCGCCAGGCGGCACCCATACAGAATCGGGTGCTGCCATTGGCTTTGGCATTGCGGGCCTTGGTGAGTACGTCGTCGACAGGGCTCATCTTGGTGGCCTTGAGCCCGGTGTTGTGCTTGGATGACTGGGCACAGTACGAGCAGTCCTCACTACATCCTCCGGTCTTGATGTTCATGAGAGTGCACATCTGAATAGCCGCGGGATCATGGAACCGGCGGTGAACGGCTGCCTGGATGGTGCATGAGCCGAATGTCCGAGAAGAAGAAGCATGTTACTGTGGTACTTACCGCCGCATATGTGAGTTGGTTCAATGGTGTCTCGTAGATTTGCTTGACTTCATCTCGAGTCCAAGTGGTCCGTGGGGCGGTAGCACCCGTAGCGTCAGTCAGCGTCAGAGGAATGCGGCTGGACAGGGAGGCAGGGCTGGGGGCACCCTGCACAGTCCCGTAGGACCGTGCCAGTGTTCTGGGCAATGACCTGATAGGAAGTGACATGGTATATGAGAATGGTCAGGGAATTGAGGAGGGATGAAGAAGGGAATATACGAGAGGGGTGATTCACCGACGACTTCAATCGTGTGGGGAAAGTGTCTGGCCAGGCTGATTGGACCCCAAACGCTCTTAACTCTTTTCCCCTCGCTGTGCCTATTACAAAACCTCGTTAGTTTTATTTTCGTTTTATTTTTTATTTTTTCAGCGGCTATTGCTGGCTACAACAATTTTCCACGGGTACCTGGGCCGGGGGAAGTAGGAACTCTGTTGAATTCTCCGTTCAACAGTGTTTTCCCACCAACATGGACCAACATGGAGGCCTAGATCTGGCATAGCTTTCCCTCGGAGCCATCACTGGCCCCCGGAATGTCTTTCCTGATTTCACCCCCGGTCCGAGAATTTCCCCTGAAGCCGTGGCAATTCCTGCAGAGTAGTCATCGTGTGTGTCAAGAGTGAGCTCTCCCAGCTCATCCCTACCGTTTGCGTCACCGATGCCTGGCGGAGATCCACCATATGTCTCTCCGCCAATAAAAGCACCGTTATTACCTGTCGATCGGACCGAAGGAAAAGACGAAATTATTGGGGATCAACAGTTTGAGCAAATCTCAACATAATCGAAATGATCATAGATTGATAACAGCCGTGCTCTCCAGATCAGCTCACCTTGCATGAGATCATCCATTGCTATTTCCGGCTTCAGAGGAACTAGCCCTGGAGGAATTGTGTTCGAGCTTGATTGCTTGGCCTCTACGAGTACCGTCTAGTAATAGATACGCAGTATGGAGTGTGGAGTGCGTACTCATAGCGCATAGACTCGGCGTAGAGAGAACGATGACGGAACCTCAGATCATCCATGCCATCATACTCGCATATTCAGCTATGCATAGCTATCTGTCGTTGCAATTGATCTCCATGGCTCCAGTCCAGGCCGAACGTTCTCCGGTACGGAGTAACAACCCACCCAAACATTCCCAAGATCGACGGAAGGACAGGTGCTTAATTTACTCACCGTACAGAGTTGCCTAATACGTTGAATAAACGCAGAATACCCGTTTGAGGATCCAAGGGGACTCTAGGGTTATTCTGAGGATCAAGCGGCTGCTACTTAAGTATATTTACAATGAGAAAAAAGAGGGGGAGTGTACAGATGGCATCCATGTTGAGCGGTCTATATCTATCTATAGATTTGTTGCTTGGATCGTTGGAAGCGGGAGTGCTTGTTGTGCGGGATGGCAGTGGCTTCAGACTTCTAAGTTTTCTTAGGTTAAAATTCCCGATGACTCACAGCTTATCTATCACGTAAGGTGACTCCAGGGCTCAACTCCTGGATAGAAGCGTAGGCTCATTGCTAGTTGAGCATTGGTGTTGCTTCCAGTCGACGCTGTTCGTACCTATACTTAAGTAGTATCCATCTGAGGCGCAATCCATTGGATGTGTTGATCAAACTTTAGAACTTAGAAGTCAGGTCCAGCAAGGACAAGAAGCCAATTTATTATATTTAAGATGTAATGTTCATACAAATTGGGGAATTTTGCAACGGAAATGGGGGGGCCGTTGGTGGACGCGGGTTCCTGACCGACCCTTCAAGTAGTATACGAGACGAGGCTCCAGGGCACGGAAGAGTCCCCGGTGAGAATAGGCACGGCCATGGATTACCCGCGTACAATTCTGGAGTCGCAGCGCCGGAAGAAGGGAGCTACCTCGTCTCTCCTTTACGGCTTTGCCCAAGCTCCGACCGGTGCATTTCCGGGAGTTCGTGACTCGATTCGCTGAGAATCTCAGGTCGCTGCTACTTAAGTACCTGTGCCCCTGAATTATGCCGTCTGAACCGACTTGAAACCAGTCGGACTCCTTAATATATATTCGAGGGGGGAAAAACGAAAATGAAACTACAAATAGAGAGAGAAACGAAAAGAGAAGACAAATGTATATAGACATTGATGATTTATATCTAGGGCATCAACGTGCATGGATTGAATATTTCTGGGATATGAGGTTCTGTCCTTTCGCTCCAATTGTGCAAACCTGATGCAAACTTTCAACCATCGAACAGCCTCACCGAGCGCGGTAGAGACTTGAACTCAACGCTCAAATTTCACACAGAACCGTCCCCAACGAAAGTGGACACTGTGGATTCTTTTCAAGTTGTGGCTCCGCGAGGACCATTATATTCAACCCTTGCAGAATCATATTTCAAATTGGCCTGTGTCGCGCTGGTTGTACAACCAGAGACCACCTGAGCAGTCCAGACCTCGGCGAAGATAGAAAATATCAAGTTGTGCACAAATGAGCCGGTTAAAGCTGCTGCTAGCTTACTGTTCCCCGCATTTCTTTCCACGTTTTGGCAGAGAAAACTGGGTCCGAGTGTCCAAGTTTGTGGTTGAAATAGTGCGGAGGTTGGATTTGTGCCGAGGATGTTCCTATGGGTCTCGGTAAACGGCAACTCCTCTCAATGGCAAGGAGCTGGGGATATTGAGCTCTATCATATTTTTCTCTCTCTTATAATCATTCCGAGAGCGTTGAAAGCGTTAAAATTCAACTTTTCCGCTGTCTTCCACAGCTACTCCCATCAACAGCTTGTCATTAGAATCGATTCTCTCTAGAATGGAGATAGGTGAACATGACCCCATCTTCTCGGTATATTCCATGGCCACCACTCATATAGAATAGGAACTGCCGCTGCCGCTCTCCTGGGGGGAGCCACCGTCGCAGGATATTTGAACGCCAAGTTCCATCTCAAGAAAGATGTATCGGGGTTGCTTGCAGTGAAACGTGCAGAACGCCAATACAGCTCTGCTGGTAAGGCTCGACTCTCTTTTTTTGGAGAATCAAAGCTGAAAGTCCCTAGTGAGCAACAACCGGGGAAATCCGTGGTTTGTACTTTTGGAAACCGTGAAACGTTACCCTGATATGACTTGTCTCTGGACTCGGGAGAGATCCTACACATATCGTGAAGTACAAGACCAGGCATGTCAATACGCGCATTTCTTCTTGTCGCAGGGTGTCAAAAAGGGCGACCTCGTGGCGTTGTATCTCCAGAATCGCCAGGAGTATATCGTCGCCTGGGTTGCGCTTTGGAGCATTGGATGCGCCCCAGCAGCTATTAATAATAATCTCACGGGCGACGCACTCCTACACTGCTTGAAGATCAGCGGTGCCAAACTCCTGATTTTGGACGATGATTCCGGCTGTCGTGCCCGGGTGGAGGAGTCCCGAGATGCGATCGTTGGGAATCTAGGAATGAACCCCATGGTACTGGACAACTCGCTCAAGGCACAGATTGGTACATTCCCCAATACTTTACCGCCGAAGGAGATGAGCAAACACATAAAGGGTGAATTCCCCGCCATCCTGTTATACACCTCTGGCACAACCGGTCTGCCCAAAGGATGCGCATTCACCATGTCCCGGCTATACACAACCTTGTACATACGCCGTTCTTTGATGAGTGACACACCCGGGCCTGATGGGGATCGCTGGTATAGCTGCATGCCCCTATACCACGGAACGGCAGCAATCAGCATGATTGCATGCTTGGTCATGGGGGTAAGTATCGCAATTGCGCCCAAATTCAGCGTGAGCAAGTTCTGGGACGACATTCGTGACTCGGAATCCACACTTTTCGTGTATGTCGGAGAAACTGCACGCTACTTGTTGGCACCGCCACCTTCTCCTCAAGATCGCAATCACAAGGTCCGCTGTATGTACGGGAACGGTCTTCGACCGGATATTTGGGAGAAATTCCGAGACAGATTCGGGGTCCAGGAAGTCGGTGAATTCTTCAATAGCACGGAAGGAATCTTCGGTCTGTTTAATTATAATCGCGGCCCCTTCACTTCCGGCAGTGTCGGTCATCATGGCTTGATCATGCGCGGTGTGTTGCATAATGTCTTCATCCCCGTGGCCATCGACCCGGAAACTGGCGACATCTTGCGGGACCCCAAGACAGGGTTTGCGACGCGCGCGAGCTATGAAGAAGGCGGAGAGATCATCGTCAACGTACCTGGAAAAGAAGCATTCCAGGGATACTGGCGCAACGATGAAGCGACGAATAAGAAGTTTTTGAAGGATGTCTTCAAAAAAGGGGACCTTTACTACCGCTCCGGAGATGCTCTTCGTCGTCAAAGCGACGGACGTTGGTACTTCCTCGATCGTCTCGGTGACACCTTCCGCTGGAAGAGTGAGAATGTGTGCGTATTAACCGGTACAATCCCCATAGGCTGCAAAGAAGCTGACAAACCGTTGTAGAGCCACGGCCGAGGTCTCAGAAATCGTAGGCCAGTTCCCAGGTATCACCGAGGCCAATGTTTACGGTGTTCGCCTTCCAAACCACGAGGGACGCGCAGGCTGTGCAGCAATTCAAATCAGTCCGGATGCTCGCCAGGCATTTGATTATTCCGCGCTTGCTAAATTCGTTCGCTCCAAGTTGCCTCGATATGCTGTTCCATTGTTCCTTCGGGTCGTTGAGAATCCCACGCATATCCATAATCACAAGCAGAACAAAGTGCCGCTTCGAGAGGAGGGTGTGGATATTTCTCTGGTTGGGACGAAGGCACCAGAAGGAAAGGACGATCACTTCTTATGGATTGCGCCGGGAGATGATACTTATTCCCCGTATGGACAGAAAGAGTGGGATCGATTGTCAAGTGGGGGAGCTCGCCTGTAAGTGATTTAGAGGAGCGTTGCATATGATAAACAATATACCATCAGTACAATTCATCACAAGGCGACTCATCCTCTGTCTAAGGGTTATGGAAATGAAGCGAAGAGATTCGGATCGAAAGAATTCAGTTGATCTTAGTTTTCAACTAGTCACTGGTCTATACGTGTGTCTGGGCTTTTCATATTGAAACCCCCGAGATAAAGCAAGAGAAACAGGTGGTCTCGCCAAGGAAAATCGGCAGATAAGGAAGAAAAAATCGCTTTGCGTTGAGGTCATATACGGCTGCACCAGGCTACCGTATCGGTATCTATTTCTTGAGCAGACCGAGAAGGTTGATGCTCTTGGGACGCTCGATGGGCATGCCCAGAGCACGATCCCAGATCAGCTGGGCTAGGGGCCCAAGAGCACGGCTGACACCGAAAGTGACAGTGTAGTAGAGGGGCTGCTGGAAGCCGTAGTGGTGGAACAGGACACCACTGGCGGCATCCACGTTGGGGTGGGGGTTCTTAGTCTGAGGAGAAAGCCGTTAGTTGAAACTTCAATGGTCGATATTTGTTCATAATTCAACATACCTTTCCATGCTCGGTAAGCACACCAGGGGCGATTTCCGAGTTCTTCTTGACCAACTGGAACACCGGGTTGGCCAGAACGTCGGGACGAGTGGCGGCGAAGTCCATCAAGGCCTCGAAACGGGGGTCGGGCTTGCGCAGAACACCGTGACCATACCCTGGCACGACACGACCAGACTTAAGGGTGTCCCAGAGGTAAGTGCGGACATCCTCATCGGTGAACTTGGTACCGATCTTATCCTGCATGGCGATCACCCAACGGAGAACCTCTTGGGCGGCCAAGCCGTGAAGAGGACCGGCAAGACCAAGGAGACCAGCGCTGTAGCTGAGGAAGGGGTCACTCAAAGCACTGCCGACAAGGTGGGTTGCGTGAGCAGACACATTGCCGCCCTCGTGGTCACCGTGCAAAGCCAGGTAAAGACGCAGAAGATCGTGGAAGTCTCCGTGCTCAGCGCCACCCTTGCCAAGCAACTCCGCAAAGTTGTGCGACCAATCCTGAGTGGCGTCAAGCTTTTGAGTGCCAACGGCATCAATCTCCTTCGGTCGGAATACCAGCGCGGCAACTCGGGGGATTTTGGCCAGCAGGGAGATGCTATCATCAAAAGTGGGTTCCCAGTACTCGGCCTTGTTGATTCCCTTTTCATAGGCCTGGGCGAACTTGGACTCGGTGTTCAAGGCAGCCACGGCAATGGAAAGTTGGGTCATGGGGTGCATGTTTGAGGGGAAAGACTTGATTAAGTCGAGGATATGGGTGGGGAGGTGTGACTTCTCCGCCAATTCACGAGAGAAGGCGCGTACTTGGCCAGTGGAGGGTACCTGGCCGGTGAGGAGCAGCCAGAACATGGCCTCGGGGAGCATCTCAGTGCCAGTGGTCCCCTTGGGGAGCTCGTTCTGGCAATCCTTGATGGTCTTGCCGTGGAAGCGAATTCCCTCGTCGGCGTCAAGGACAGAGCCCTCCCAAAGCATGGCCTTGAGACCACGCATGCCACCGATTGTGTTTCCGACCTTAACATCTCCAATTACTTCCTCGCTCTGCGCCTTCACTTTCTGGAGTAGCTCGCGCTTAGCCGGGATGACCTCCTTTAGGGTGGTCTTCAGGTCCGGCTCCGCGGTCGCATAGTGGCGAGAGAACACTGGCCGAGTGGCCTTTGATTGACTCAGCTCTATCATTCAAATTGTTAAGATTTGATTCCGGAGACTCACCTGTGCAATCTTAGAAACATGGCGGGTTGATCTCCAGCTGAGGGCCATGATGGGTCCGAAGTGGATTTTGCGGGGGCGGGAGAGTTGAATTGCGGGGAGCGCAGAGTTGAAGCTGAACAAAAAGAGCAATTGAGATATGTGAGAGGAGGAGATGTGTGATGAAAGCCCAGGTAAACCAAAAGATTCGGACTTATGCAACGATCGGCCAACACGTTACTCGGTTGAACGCGGGGCACAGGGGTGTTGCTCTACCGAGGCCCGGGGGCGGTTGCATGCGGCCATGTCGGTCCCTCTCGGCTGAAAATGTTGATACAGATGGGAATATCCAAGTGATTGGACCTCAATTCGGGCTGTGGCAGATATTTATGCTTTCAATGACAAAATATAGAGAATAATCCTGCCATATCTCTCAAGTCTGGTCTCTATATACTCCACATTTCAACGGTCGTGATGGAGGTCGAGCTGAAGGGCAAACATGCCGATGATGTCGGCACTATATTTGCATAACGAGTCAAAGCTTCCGTTAATCCGGAATTCTAGAAGGCGTTTAGGATGCCCGTGCTCCAAGCTCGCACTCTTATTGTTGGTTGTCCAGCTGAACACCTGCTTCAGCCTGTGATGATGACATAGCTGAGTTGACACCTGAGGCATGAATGCCTATCTTCAGGCAGAAATGCAAGGAGAGTTCAGGCACTACTAGTCAGGCACCAAGGCCACAGGGCAGATATCACCAGCCAATGAGAACCCAAGTTGAAACCCCGGTCAGCGGTCGTCCAGGTGGCGGCGAGGCCCCCACTGATTGGCTTACTCATCTCAAAAAAAAAAAATTGTAATCAGCAGCGCAAGGATGAATTAGTGTTCTTCTTGACCAACTCTCCCCTCTTTGTGTTTTTTTTTTGTTGTGTTTTGTCAGGGTTCTGGTGTATATCGTGTATATACTCAGGTTATCATCACCTCGACTTTCTGTGTGCGCGAACTGTGCGCCTGGAAAATTCTCCATAGGCTGAAATTGCCCCTCCTCAGCCCCTAAGCACATTTTGAAAGGCTTCTTGTCTTTTCTTTCGTTTCTTCCTTTCGATATCCCCGTTGGTATCGATCTTTCTCCTTCGGGTCTTTTAAAATTACTGGACGATGCCACACACTGTCGACCAAGAGACCATGCCGACCGTCGTCGCAAAGGGGCCCTCCGGCGTGCCCCCCACCGCCGAAGAGATTTCCGCCCTTCTCAACACCATCTTCACCTCAGAGTCTTCCCAGCAGTCTCTTGATGGCGCATACGCTCTGGCCAACCTTCTCATCCAGGGTGCTGGTGTTGCCGGCTTGTTGAACTACAATGTCCTCGCCGAAACCCGGAAGGCCGCTTCCGATAAGAAGAACGGTGCCAAGCGTGAGAGCGCCATGCTGATTATTGGTGCCTTGTTCGAGCGCTTCCCTCGCGAGTACCCTCTCAGTGAAGTTGTCTTCCTCTTGCACGACGGCGGTGTCTTTGACCTCGCTCTCGATGCCTTGGCCGATAAGGGTGCCGTTGTGCGCGATGCCGCCCAGTACGCCATCGACGCCCTTTTCGGTTCTCTTAGCCCCGAGGCCATGGTCAATGGTCTCCTTCCTGCTCTCGAGCTCTACCTGAGCAAGGGCTCTGGTAAGTGGCAGGGCTTTGTCGGTGCCTACAAGCTGATCGAGAAGATGGCCGTCAAGGCCCAGCTCGGCACTGGCACTATGGAAGAGGAACGCCAGAAGGACTTGCTCCGCGAGGCCATGGGTAAGACTCTCAAGGAGTTCATCCCCATTGTCGAGTCTGGCATGCACGACTTGAAGAGCGAGGTGGCCAAGCAATCTTGCAAGACAATGACTGCTCTCACCACTCTCCTGTCCAACGACGACGTTGCCCCTCGTATTCCCCTTCTGATCGAGACCATGGAGAAGCCATCTGCCAAGACTCTGCAGAAAGCTATCCATGCCCTTTCGCAGACCACCTTCGTTGCTATTGTGACCTCCCCTGTGCTGGCCATGCTCACTCCTCTCCTCGCTCGCTCCCTCAACACCCCGGCCACTCCCCAAGAAACCCTGCGTCAGACCGTCGTCGTCGTGGAGAACTTGACCAAGCTGGTCCACGATCCCGCCGAGGCCCGTACTTTCCTTCCCAACCTTCAGCCCGGTGTGAAGTCCGTTAAGGAGGGTGCTTCCCTCCCCGAGGTTCGTGAGCTCGCCACTCGTGCTCTCGATGTTATTGAGACTGCCATGCGCGACAATGATGTCGCCACCGGTTCCGTCTCAAAGACCACCCCCGAGGAAGTCTTGGCTGTCTTGAACGCTCAGATCCAAGAGCACGGCGGCCTGACTGGCTTCGGAGACGCCAAGTTCCAAGACTTGACCAAGAACTTTGTCGCCAGCAGCGTCCGAGAGGACATCAACGTTCGCATGCACGACCGTATTTCTGGCTGCATTGATCCCTACCTCCGCGGTTTGCTCGCGGATGGAAACACCGAGGCTGTTGCCTCTGCTGTCCAAGCCCACTACATCGAGCAGGATGAGATCAAGTACGGCAAGCCTGCCCCAGAGGACCCCAACGAGGTCGAGATTGTCAACGCCAACTTCTCTCTTGCTTACGGTGGTATGCTTCTGCTCTCTCACACCAACCTCCGTCTGCTCAAGGGTCACCGTTACGGTCTCTGTGGTCGCAACGGTGCAGGAAAGTCTACCCTCATGCGCAGTATCGCGAACGACAAGCTCGAGGGCTTCCCTCCCCAGGACGAGGTCCGCACCTGCTTTGTGGAGCATAACCAGGGTGAGGATGCCAACCTCACCATCTTGGAGTACGTCTCCAAGGACCCCAAGATTGCCGAGCAAGGCAGGGAGCACATTTCCGAGGTTCTCATCGAGTTCGGTTTCACTGACGGCCCTGAGGGTCGCCAGTCCCAGCCCGTGGGCTCCCTCTCCGGTGGTTGGAAGATGAAGCTGGCTCTTGCCCGCGCTATGCTTCAGAAGGCCGACGTTCTCCTGCTTGACGAACCTACTAACCACTTGGATGTTGCCAACGTCAAGTGGCTGCAGGAGTACCTAAAGTCCCACACCGAGATCACCAGTTTGATCGTTTCTCACGACTCCGGCTTCCTCGATGAAGTCTGTACCGATATCTACCACTACGAGGGTAAGAAGCTTGTCTGCTACAAGGGTAACCTTGCCGATTTCGTCAAGGTCAAGCCCGAGGGCAAGAGCTACTACACCCTGTCTGCTTCCAACGTGCAGTTCAAGTTCCCTCCTCCCGGTATTCTGTCTGGTATCAAGTCTCAAACTCGTGCTATCATGCGTATGAGCAATGTATCCTTCACATACCCCAACGCACCCAAGCCTTCTTTGCACGATGCCTCCCTGTCGCTCTCTCTCTCTTCCCGTGTCGCTATCATTGGTGGAAACGGTGCCGGAAAGTCCACCTTCATCAAGATTCTGACTGGTGAGACCATTCCCCAAACCGGTAAGGTGGAGAAGCACCCCAACCTGCGTATCGGTTACATCAAGCAGCACGCTTTGGAGCACGTTGAGATGCACTTGGAGAAGACTCCCAGCCAGTACCTTCAGTGGCGTTACGCCAACGGTGACGATCGTGAGGTCTTCATGAAGCAGACCCGTATCCTCACGGAAGAGGACAAGGCCCAGCTTGAGAAGCCTATTGATCTCGGTGCTGACTTTGGTCCCCGCCGCATTGAGACTCTGATTGGTCGTCAGAAGTGGAAGAAGACCTTCCAGTACGAGGTCAAGTGGGTTGGTCTCCTCCCCAAGAACAACACCATGATCTCACGTGAGACTCTGCTTGAGCACGGCTTCTTCAAGCTCGTTCAAGAGTTTGACGATCACGAGGCTTCCCGTGAGGGTCTCGGTTTCCGTGTCCTCGACCCTAAGACCATTACCAAGCACTTCGAGGATATTGGTATGGACCCCGAGATCGCCAACCACAACGAGATCTCTGGTCTTTCCGGTGGTCAGAAGGTCAAGGTCGTGCTTGCCGGTGCCATGTGGAACAACCCCCACTTGCTGGTCCTGGACGAGCCTACTAACTTCTTGGACCGTGACTCCCTCGGTGGTCTGGCCGTTGCCATCCGTGACTTCAAGGGTGGTGTCGTTATGATTTCTCACAACGAAGAGTTCGTCGGTGCTCTCTGCCCCGAGCAGCTCCACATCGCCGATGGCCGTGTTGTCAGCCGCACCAACAACGCCGTCAGCCTGGACCGCTTCGAGGACAGTGCCGCCAACACCCCCTCCGCTCCTGGCACCCCCGCCACCGGCTCGGCTGTCACCAGCGCTGCCCCATCTGCCGTCAACTCCGGTGATGAAGGCGCAGGTGAACTCAAGTTCCGCGCCAAGAAGAAGAAGAAGATGACCCGTGCTCAGCAGAAGGACCGTGAGGCCCGCCGTCGTCTGCGTCACATCGAATGGGTGAGTTCCACCCCCAATTGTACTGCCTCTTTGATCCCTTGCTAACAATATCTCCAGTTGAACTCCCCCAAGGGCACTCCTAAGCCCGTGGATTCCGACGACGAATAAACGCGCTTTACAACATTATGATTCGTAATCGCCTGGACTGTCTTTCTTTCCTCGCATCATGAGCACCATGTTTATGTTTTGGTCTGCATTCTGATAGACGGTGTTTGGGCGTTTTCCTTCCATAGTTCGGCATAGATTTTTGTGTCGCCTTCGCAAGTATTGTACATGTTTTGGATAGATACTTTGTGCATCTACCATGCGAAAGCAAAAGTTATTTTACATTTATCACTTGATTATTATTGCCTGACTTCCAATGCTCCTCATAACCGCCGACTACAGCCATTGCTTCATGTATAAATTCATGGCAGGTGTCGGCCTTTAAATTCAAACGCACCAACCACGAGATCCAGCCAATTTGCGATAGCAATAAATGTGTAAATCTCTTCTTTATTTTTATTCTTTCAACTTTCTCCAGCTATTGAATCCATAAATACACCCGCACCTTTTCAAGTAAAAGGATCAAAACTCCACCACCAGTGGTAAATCTCTCGAGCTCCGTCCAGCCCAAATCTTGAACTTGCCTTCGGTGGGAAGAATCCAATTCTGTGCACGAACACTCCAGTAACTAAGATCCTTGCGTGTCAATGTCAATTTGACCGTCTTGGCCTCCCCTGGCTGCAGGGTGATTTTCTCGAAATTGCGCAACACACGTTTAGGGAACTCTATAGTCTCCCGGGACCAGCCTATTCCGCGATGTTCGGCGACATCTTCTGGGAAAGACACATATACCTGAATCACCTCTTTCCCTGTCCGAGGACCGGTATTAGTGACTTCGATAGAGAGCTCCAGCATGGCTTCGTAAAGCGATGGATTGCCACCTGGTCCGCCGCCTGCAGCAGATGGTGTCTGGGGTGTATTGTATCCCTTGGGATATGGGTATGGGCCCGGATCTGTCCCCTCCAGAGAGTCGAAGTAGGGGTAAATGTATTTTCGGAGGACACGGAAGTCAGAAGGAAACAAGCCGGTGAATGGATTGGGCGGCCTTGTGTCGTATTTTGGAGGTTCGACCTCATTGCCCGGGCGAGGTGAAGGGTGTTGGGTCTTTTTCTGCAATTTCTCAATTCCAAGAGTAGAATAATCAAAAGTTGTGTAGGACAGGCCGAAACCGAATTCGTAGCGTGGGGTTATGTTGAACTTGTCAAAATAGCGATAGTCGATATACAGGCCCTGATTGAGATTGACTTGTGGGACTGAAGGATCTGTTTGTTGGTACAGCACTTCAGCCCCTGGGCCGTAGTCTTCCAAACTTCTGCCAATTGTGTATGGTAGTCGACCACTGGCGTCCACTTCGCCGAAAAGCACATCCACCAGGGCATTGCCACTTTCTTGCCCGGGGAGATTGGCGTATACCACAGCTTGCACACCGGGAAGGTCAATCCAGGATTCCATCACAACGGGGCCAATGGAATGCAAAATGACCACAGTTTTACCTTGGCCACCACCGCAATGTTTGGCCACTCCCTCTATCAATCCAGTGCCATTCTTTTGCAGGAACAGGTCGCTTCGATCTGCATCAATTCCATCACTGCGGATGAATCCTTCGCCACCGTCTGCGTTGGCGAAAACCAAGCAGAGATCCTGATCCACGAGGTCTTCGGGTTGGATGGCGTCTGTTAAGTGGTCCCGGATATCAACTGTGTCCGTCGACCAAGCATGCTGTAATGCTTCCCAAGGACTGACTAGATACGGAAATTCGACCGCACCACTGCCCCAGCCGGAAGCCAAGGTCCCTTGGTTGCACCCCCGATCGGCACATGCATTGGGCCCTTTACCAGGACCTGCGTCCTCGCCATAAACACCAACCCTATATCTTCCATTGAGGCCAGGGTGGTCCCGTGCGAGAGGAAGTGTATTGTTGACGTTTTTGAGGAGCACAGTGCCCTCTGCCGCAACTTGACGAGCCACGATAGAATGTGCGTGGGCGCCTTTACCTTGCGCATCAACATATTTGTTAACCACACCAGTGGCATCATTATCAGGGGATCCTTCATGTAGACGTCCCACTTCTTCTTGGGTCCATGAGGAGAAGTTTGGACCACCGTCTCCTTCCTGTCCAGGTTGCTCCCATGAGTCTTGTCGGAAATGATACCAGGCAGCGACGATGCGGGTCACCATGTCGTTCAAGCGTTCCATGGGAACGGAGGTGTTCAGAGCCGCGCGTGTCAGCTCCCCTCCCCATAGTGGTTTACCATCAGCCCAGTGAAGGCCGTCACCGGGCATGCTCATATCGAGGCCTCCAATGGCGCTCTCAACACCTGAGCGTTGGGCCAACCAGTCTGATTGAACGAAGCCCTGGAAGCCAAGTTCATCTTTGAGAATGCCATTGATCAATTTACTGTTCTCGCAGGCATAGGTGTTGTTGACCATCTGATAAGAGCACATCACACTCGCCACGTCCGCCCTAATGCTTTCGGCGAACGGCCAGGCAAAAACCTCGTGCAGCACACGGTCATCTATATTCGACGACAGAGCCTCTGGGAGTCCCCACTCGAAGGCCTGGCGGAAGTGTTCTTGTTCGTTGCCAATGAAGTGTTTCGCCGTGGCCATGACCCCATTTCGCTGTATACCGTGGATGGTCTCGGCCGCAGCCACTCCTTGGAGCACAGGGTCTGATCCAAAAGCTTCCCAGTTACGACCCCCAGCGGGCATCAAGCCAATTGGTCCCATGGACGGGCCTAAAACGACATTTACTCCTTTCAACCGTGCCTCATTTCCGATGGCAAAGCCCCGCTGTTGCATCAGCTCTCGATTCCATGTGGCACCGGTTGTAATACCGGCCGGGAATGCCGTGATATTGTGCACGTATCTAAGGCCGAGAGGGCCATCCTGCAGACAAAGAGAGGGGAATTTGACTCGGTCGGCGGTTCCTATGTAGCATCGGACGAGTTAGCCTAGGCGAAGCTATGGGACCGGGTAGTAAATCCTTACCGGTATTGCCTACACAGAGACCCATTTGCCAGCCCGTCCCAGTGGTAACGTTGACCTTCTCGGCAATGGACATTGCCTGGACCATCTCTTGTGCTTTCGCATAGCTTTCTTTCCACTGACTGCTAGTTCCACCGAGAGGTGTAGGGTACCATGGAACCGTTTCCTGCAATTGTTAGGCGCTGGAATTTGGGACTGATCGAGAGAATACGGTCGACGAAGGGATAACCTACAGATCCACTGAGACGACCCTCCGTAGAAGACCAAGGCAGGCCCCTGATGGCGAGCCAGACTACCACTATGGCAATGGTCAACATGGCAAGAACGTTCCACCACGAGTGCAGACGAAACAGCGACCGCCAGTGAAAGCGCTTATCGTCGTCGCCCCCAGCGCGTTCAAGCAGCAATCGCTTATCTGATGGTAATCCATAGTCGTCGCTGAGGGAAACAGAAGGCCTGGAGTCCCCATCTTCCAGATCTGTATCGAATGCATCGGTTAGGAAATTGCGATCCGCCGCAAGAAGTTCCTCAATGCGCTTCGAGGTGTCGCGTTCGTTATCGGGTACATCGATCGAAGCCGGGTTTCGGGAGCTCGACGATGAGGATGTTGGATCGCGAGACTTCAAGGGAAGAAGTTTTACGTCGGCTTCATTTTCAGAAATCTCGTCTTCACTTGTATCGCTCTGTGGCTCGGGGCCAGATGTCGGGGGGTCGGGGCGGGACGCGTATTCTCGCGTGTCGGAGAACCTCACTGAGCGCGAAGCTCCCTTGGCATGTGGGGAAGCCATTCAATGTGTAATGTCCATAATCTTGCAGATTCTCGGGAGCTTAGATGTGTTGTGCATGACCTGCATTCATTTTGCTCGGTGTCTCTGCATTGCGGAAAAGAACACGGTCACCTGACATCATGGAGCCCCTTTTTGGCTACTATATACATTACAATGACATCGCAACCTCTCTTCTCAGAGCGTGATTCAATTATCTTGTTGAGCTGATCAATGGGAAATACTCTTAATCGTACACAGTAATTTGCACTACTAATGCCTGCTTAAGTAAAAAAAATACATCCATGGTTATGCATTCTATTCCTACTGCCTAAATTTTGCCAACTCCACACTTGGACAAAAACCAAGCTAACGAAGAATAGCGTCCAACTGCCTGCCCTATGTTGTATATGCTCCGTCACTAGCCTTCGGTTTGCTGGCAGACCTGTTTCTCGGTGAAACCAAACCGAAAAACCAAAAACCAAACTCATAAAGGTTCTAAAAGTTTGAGACAAGATAGGAATATGGTAGGGCTGTGTCTGTGCCGGGAAGTACGCTACGAGGGATCATCGCATCCTTATTGTAAGGATTGATTCAAAGGATGTTTAGTGTTCAGGCAGGAGCAACATTGTAGAGTCAAATACAGATAGAGAAATAGACAAGTCTGTTCATCAAACAGTCATAAAAGGCCCCGGGGTGTTAATTCTCTCGTAATTTTAGTCGGCTTGTGTGTTGGGAAACCAACTATATCGGGACTACGGAGTACAATCGGCCTCAAAGTTTATAACCGATGTGTGTCGCGTCTGAATATGAAGATGTTTCTAAAGTACTACTGTACAATCAGATATCGGCAGAGGTCTGTGATGTCAAATATGATGTACCCTGAGACAGAGTGGAGATTATGGAGTCCTTCGGGGCCAGCTTACAGGCCGATAGTTCAAGTGCCTCCGTTCCTAGTTATTCTTAGTGATTCTTTAGTGGCCTTTTACTGGTTTTAGGGGAATTCCTGTCGGCCTTCCGAAGCCACCCGTCGATCTTTACTTTGTCAAACTCTGTTGATTTCTCTGAAACATTTCTTCAGGGTCCTTGGTTGCGATCTTCACCCTGCCGTGCCCAGGTGGCGGTGTCGGTTTGAGATCAATTAATGTAGCATTCCGTGTTTTGACAGGTGTAGGGGTCAACTGCCTCGGCTTGGTGGGAAAATACTACGATTCGAGTGGGAGAACGTGCGCATACAGTAGGCCGTTTAGCCCGTTTAGACCGATCTTCTACGTGTGGGGCTTCTGTAGCTTTCACCCTCTCAGATACCTTCATGTTCCTGAATGTGAGACCCTGAGCAAACTATTTTAGTACTCGGACCGTGCAAACATGACCAGTTTTGCCATCGCTGCAACCTAATTCGGCCGTCTAACCATCTTGGTAGGGCCCATAAGCCGCAGCCGTGGCGAAGCTTAGATCGGGCTCTGGTGACTTCCAAATCGGCTCGCTATGCCGTCTTTGTCGGGTTGCTATGATGTCGATCAATCCTCTGGGGATGATTTCTGTATATTTACAGGATCCGCTTATGGAGTTGCAGCACGTCCCCTCTTCTCAACGCTTATATATGACCCTGATCGAAGCCGCCACTTGAATCCCCCCGTAGACTCTCTTTATCTCTTAATTCCAATTCCACTTTCAATCCACCTTCGCTCAAAATGAAGTTCTCTGCTCTCCTCGCTCTCGCTCCTCTGGTGGCTGCCATCCCCGGCTCCAAGCAGGCCAGCTCTGATGCCTCATTCAGCGTCATGTCCGCTCGCTCTGCTTCCCCCGTCCACCTGCTGCCCCTCAACGCTGCTGGCAGCTACTTCTGGCTCGGTGGTAACGCCCAGACCTACTCCCCCGTCGAGGGCATCCCCGAGTCCAACCAGACCGTGATCACCGCCGGTCACTACCTTGTACGTCACACTGTCAATGCCATCAAACATCTTTAATACTAACCCTTTATCCAGGATGTTGTCGTTCCCGGTGGCCAGGCCATCTACGTCGACCCCAAGGGTGCTCTCCGCTTCACCACCCCTCACTCCGCCTACGAGCCTGCTGGCTCCTCTGACGGTCCCTTCGCCTACACTCCCGGCACCTCTTTCGGCCACTGGAGCTACACTGGCCAGGGTGCTTCTGGCTTCATGGCCTGCCCTAGCTCCAACAGCACTGCCACCGTCCGCCGTGGTCGTCGCGCTGCTGCCGCCCCCAAGTACCAGGTCTTCGCTGCTCTGAAGAACGCCACCGTTCCCTCTGGCAACGTCGCCGACTGCATTGGCTTCGATGCTCTCGCCATTGCTGCCAACGGTACCACCCCCACCTGGGAGTACATCTAAGCGTTGAGCCTGGAGCTTAGCGCGGATAATGTACAGTCGGACTTTGATAGGTCCTTATTAGAATGGCGAGGATACAGCCCATGCTTGAGTGTGGCTGTTGATTCTTTATCTTATACTGTATAAAGATTGTTATTTTAAACTGTTTCATGGCCAAACTTTTGTCACTCGTTACGAATATAAGACTATGTCGATGCCTTGGTAGCTATTGTCTACTGGGTTGCAATATCTAATAAAATTACCGGAGAACTCCGTACTCCGTACGATAATCTGTAGATCGTTATGTAGAAGTTATATAACTTAAAACTTCTGATCTCCGTGCATCAGAAGACCAATTCGGCTTAGACGCCCACTAGCATGCATTGGACGACTTGATTGGACAATGGAGGTTCTAAAGTTGTGCAGGGCGAGTCTCTAGGGCTGGGATTCGCAAACCTTCCAAGTCCACGGTTTCTAACTTCAGAAAGTTTTCCGCTGGTACTGCTACTTTTCAACTCAATACAAGATTACAAGGATACCTCAGTAATCAAACAGATAATTGTCAATTGTTATACAACAATGCTAACTCCAGTATGGGAAATAAACAAGGAAAGGGTATTCATCATCATTAAGCCACCGCCCAACTCACAGCTTAGCAGCGCTGCCAGCAGAGGAGATCTCATTGTACAGCAAGCTGGTCAAGAAATCGGCGTAATCCTCACCAGTGACCTGGCCAGCAAAGTAGCGAGCAGCAAGCTGGAACTTGTTACCCTTACCACCCTTGGCAGCCAGGCTATCAGCCTGCTCCTGCAACAAGCGCAGAGCAAAGGCCTTATCCATGCGCTTGCCATCGGAGGTGCTGACATTGTGCTTGGTCCATTGCCACAGCTGACTGCGGGAAACTTCTGCAGTGGCGGCATCCTCCATGAGGAAGTTGATGGGCACGCAGCCGACACCGCGGAGCCAGCCTTCCATATAGCTCAGGCCGATGTTCAGGTTCTTGCGGATACCGTCCTCAGTGATCTTTCCGGGGACATTGGTGTTGAGGAGGTCGTTGGCGGTGATGTTCACTTCCTCGCGACGGATGAACAACTGGTTGGGGGTTGGCATGTACTTGTTGAACACGTCGGAGGCAATCGCTGCCAGAGCGGGGTGGGCAACCCATGTGCCGTCGTGGCCGGCGCGGACCTCGCGCAGCTTATCTGCACGCACGCTCTCCATGGCCTTGTCGTTGGCAGCGGGGTCGTTCTTGATGGGGATCTGAGCGGCCATACCGCCCATGGCGTGAACACCACGGCGGTGACAGGTCTTGATGAGGAGCTTGACGTAGGCATCCATGAAGGGGACGGTCATGGTCACGTCGGAGCGATCGGGAAGAACAAAGTTAGGGTGCTGGCGGAACTTCTTAATGAAGGAGAAGATGTAATCCCAACGGCCGCAGTTAAGACCAGAGCTGTGGTCGCGGAGCTCGTAGATGATCTCGTCCATCTCGAATGCAGCGGTGATAGTCTCAATCAGAACGGTACCACGGATAGTACCGCGGGGAAGACCGATGTAGTCCTGGGAGAGGTTGAAGACGTCATTCCAGAGACGGGCCTCGAGGTGAGACTCCATTTTGGGCAGGTAGAAGTAAGGACCGGCACCGCGGGCGACCAGCTCCTTAGCGTTGTGGAAGAAGTAGAGACCGAAATCGAAAAGGCCACCGGAGATGGGCTCGCCATCGACGGTGAAGTGCTTCTCATCCAGGTGCCAGCCACGGGCACGAGCGATCAGGGTGGGCAGAGTGCGGTCGGTACGGAGCTTGTATTCCTTGCCACCCTGCTTGAAATCGACCTGGCGGCGGATAGCGTCGTACAAGTTGACCTGGCCGTTGACCATGTTGTCCCAGGTGGGAGCGCTGGAGTCCTCGAAATCGGCCATGTAAGTCCAGACATCCGAGTTCAAGGCGTTGACGACCATCTTGCGATCCGTAGGTCCGGTGATCTCTACACGACGATCCACCAGACCTGGGGCGGGAGGTGCACCCTTCCAGGCGTCATTTTCACGGATGTGCTTGGTCTCGGGGAGGAAGTCGAGGAGGTTGCCCTTGTCGATCTCGGCCTGGCGGTCGACACGGCGCTGGAGGAGGGCTTTGCGGGTCGGGTTAAAGGTGCGGTGCAAGAGAGCCAGGTAGGCACAAGCCTCCTTGGTTAGAATTTTGCGGGCATCATTGTTGATGGAGCCGAGGATGGACACATCCTTGAGCTGTGTGTCAACGTGAGACATATTGGGAAGGTATATGCGGTAGCGGAGGTAAATAGATGGTATACTAGTGGTCCATATATCTTAAAGTGTAGATTTCGAATCCAACACACACACAGAGAGAGAGGTAGATAGAGAATGAAGATCGAATGAGAAGAACTGGTTATATGAACAGCTATATACAAAAACCCCATCTGTCCGATAGAATACGTCACAGACACCGAAGTGCCGCGGTTGTTCATCGTTGACCCGCCTATGATAAGCGGAATGCCGATGCCCGCAGCTTAACCATTTGACCGCGACCGGCTAGAAGCTCTGACTTCCCCCCAGACTCTCTGAAGATCGCCTTTTCCACGGGAAACTCTTCCTCTCGGCCGATATTGCCCGTTCCCCGCGTGTTTTCAGGCACTTCAGGCCTCAATTTCAGGCCACAACCACTCCCTTGGAGGCTGCTCGGCCTCAAAAAGGGCGGTATCCCCCTCAATAAATTCGGCATACGCCGCATACCGAGTCTTATCGTCGGCCTTAGTGTTGCTTTCACGTCAATTCTCTCGCCCGGAAGACCTCAGGGTTATATAGTTTTTCATGATCTTTTTTTTTACAACTGTCTTTTACAGTTCTGCTAGGCGTGACGATAATCACCACGAATTCTCAAGTCTGACCTCAAACCTAGATACTCAGCTCCCCTGTCCCTGATTCACCCGATGGCTGTTCAAAACTCCCCGGAAGTCCAATCAGCCGCGGTAGAGTCAATACTCATTGCCAGGGAGGCAAAGGGGACAACACCGTAGCCGAATTGTCCCGTATCTGGGGTAGCATGTGACGACATGTGAACGAGTACGAAGTAGCAGACTACCAGAAATTTGGACATCTATAGTCGCATGTGCTATTTGGTATATCAATCAATCTTGGAAGTAGTAATGCTGCTACTGCGTATGCTTCATCTATGTACAATATATAATATCCATGGATATGGGCGGCATTTACACGGTCTCAATGTACCGCTTCATCTCCCTACATACAGGTTAGCATGCAGCTTGATGGGGTCATAAATAGATACTCACCAATCGGTGACGGCCTCCTCCCATAAGCGCACTTCGTGCTCCCGAGTGCCCGCGAAATGCTCCACGAATGAGTCACCAAAGACCTCTCGTGCAACACTCTCTGGTCGCGAGAACGTAACAATGGCTTCCTTCAAAGATTTCGCCAGGCGGACACCCTGATCGCTAGCACCACCCATGTCCTCACCACGGGCCAGTGGTGGTACGGGGATCTCGAGCTTCTTCTCCACGCCGCGCCACCCGAGAGCCAGAATCGCGGCCAGCACAAAGTGCGCATTGGTGTCTGCACCGGGGACTCGCACCTCAAATCTGGTGGCTTTGGCACTCGCCGTCGGCGGTGTGATCAAGCGAATTGAGGCCGCCCGGTGTTCCAGTCCCCAGGAGACTGTGACGGGGGCCCAGAAGTTCTCCACAAGCCGCTTGTAGGAATTGATGGTCGGCGCCAGGATGGGCATAATGTCTGGCAGGCCGACCAGCAGACCAGCCAGGAAATGCCGTCCCAGATCCGACAGATGAGCGATATCGGGGTATTGAGGAGAGGGATCGGGGGTATCGCGGATGAAAGCGTTCTTTCCGTCGGCGGTGACGAGCGAGATGTGCATATGTCCGCTGTTTCCGGGTAGACCCTGGCGCGGTTTGGCCATGAAGCATGGTGTGATGCCATGCTTGATTCCAAATGCCTTGACGGTATATCTATACGGAACCCGTTAGCCACCGCCCACGTTGACAAGTGTTTGCCATGATCTTACTTGAACAAGCCGGCTTTATCAGCCATGTCCTTCGCCTCACCAAATTGTAATGCCTAGTCCGATGTCAGTCCCAATGCGACCACGCCTGTTCCTTATCAACCCACGGCTTCAAACACACCCGGCCCACTCTCGGTGTGCCATCCCTCGATATCGCAGCGGAACTTCTCGCAGGCGTCAAAGATGCCATAATAGTAATCTTGGTTATGAAGAGGTCGAGTGATCGAATATCCGAACATGCCCTCTGTTAATGACGGTAGGGCGTCTGGAGGATTCGATTGAAGGAAAGTGGCCGTGGCAGAGGCACCTTGTTCGGGCGTCGCGTGACTACCCGGTGCGCGAAACTGGTAGAACTCATATTCGGCTTTGAAGATTGATTGAGTCAGCCATTTAGTCGGGCACGAAGGCGTCGATTGAACATACCACCTGCCATCGCCCGATACCCTGCCGCCTCAGCCTTGGCCGCCGCTGTCTTGAGCAACCCACGCGGACAGGCGCAGACTGGCTCTCGGGTATCTGGATCCAGAAAACTGATAAGGAAGAAGGGGACATTGCCCTCCCATGGAATGCGACGGAAGCTGCGGAGATCAGGGACAGCAACAAGGTCACGGTAGCCGTTCTCCTTGTTGCTGATCGTCAGCTCCTTGTAGTAGGTTGCATCATGCTGGTCCCAGCCAAAAATGACGGAGCAGAACCCAAATCCTTCAGTGATAATGGACAAGAACTTGTCCTTCTTCATGATCTTCCCGCGCAGGATACCATCCACGTCCACTCCTGCTACCTTCACCTTGGTATCGTGTTGCAGGATTTCGGCAACATTCTCGGGCGTGACCTCGGGGTCTGAGCTGGACATGATTGCAGAGGGAGCAAAGGCTTGCAAATTGAATGAGAAATCAGAAGAGAAGGTGAAAGCAAGGCATTCGTCACGGGGACTTCGAGGGGCCGAAGCTCGGGAGCTTATCAGTGACGCCTTCCCATTCTGGGCCAACATCGTCACCGCTTACTAACGGGATCCACAGGCCGCGGGCAGCAATGGATGCCCCACGTATACAACTCATTATTGACACACATCTCATATTAACCCATTGCTCTGAATTATAGTGAGTGTCCTGGGAACTGAAACATATCGTGGCAGCGAAGCTCCCTGGCACATTGCTAACAGCTCAAAAACAGACACAACTTACGCGACAGTACAACATGGCCGCAACCACTCCACGAGGACGCCTCCAAGGCAAGAATGCCATCATCACTGGTGCGGGCGGGTACGAGTTACCAGAACTACCATGAGCCACTCACAGGATATCTTGCTGACTTTCATGCCGTTGAACAGTGGTATTGGTCTGGAAACCAGCATTCTGTTCGCCCGCGAAGGCGCCAATGTCTTGATGGCCGATGTATCAGAGGCTGCCCTCGAAAAGGCACTGGCCAAGGTGAAGGAGGTCGTGCCCTCTGCCCCTCGTGTCGAATCAATCCGCTGCGATGTGTCCAAGGAGTCCGATGTACAGGCGATGGTCGAGTCCCAAGACAGCTGGGGCGGCACCGACGTGATCTTCAACAACGCCGGCATCATGCACGCCAACGATGCCGATGCTATCGATACCCCGGAGAAGATTTGGGATCTCACACACAATATCAATGTTAAGGGTGTTTGGTTCGGCAGCAAGCATGCAGTCCTCAGTCTGCGTCGTCACAAGAAGGCTCGTGGCAGCATCATTAACACCGCCAGTGTGGTTGCCCTGGTCGGTGCTGCCACCCCTCAGTTGGCATACACTGCCAGCAAGGGAGCTGTCCTGGCGATGACCCGGGAGTTGGCCATTGTTCATGCCCGTGAAGGATTCCGATTCAACGCTCTTTGCCCTGCCCCATTGAAGTAAGTTTCCCATCCGCTCGAATATTTAACCCGGCGGCTCATGAATGTTTAGCACCCCTCTTCTGCAAGACTGGTTGGGTGACGACCAGGCGAAGCGTTTCCGCCGCGAGGTCCACTTCCCCACCGGTCGGTTCGGCGAGGCGATCGAGCAGGCCCATGCCGTTGTGTTCCTGGCCAGTGACGAGAGCAGCTTTGTAAACGGAACTGACTTCGTTGTCGACGGTGGAATGACCAAGGTAAGTGTGGGAAAATTTCCCCGCGATTGCTCATGCTGACGAATGATTTCAGGCCTACGTGACCCCTGAAGGCCCGGCCACTCCTGCGCCCCAGAACAATGGCCACTAAATTAGCGTGAACTAATTACTAGTCCAGTGAATGTGGTCTAGTTTCCGTTGGGAATTCGTGATCATACTATTGGATATAAAGCGATGTTTGAGGTTATGAAGATGTTCCCGAGTGGGTTTCCAATACGACACGATGATTTAATTATGACAATTATGACATTAGGGAAGATCTGAGATATATTGAATACATCACATTGAGAATGAAGAAATCATGCCAGTTGAAATCAGTCGATGGCTGCATGATCGCATGATCGCATGATCGGCTACCATAAGAGCCCAGGACACCCTCGGCCCCCCACGTCACCATTCCCCGCATTCCCGGTCCGGTTAACCTTGAATATTTCCACTTGAACTCTTTTGTCCTCTTGTGTCCTCTTTTGACTTCTTTGACTCTTCCACTTGAGTTTTCACTTAGTCAATCCACACCTGCACTATAAACCATGTCTCAATTCACCCTCGGTGCCAACAAACGATATGGCAACCCATCCGGGCCGACCTTCTTTAAGCCGAAAACCGGGCGGCTGTAAGTTTAACCACCCCCTTTCTTCGCCATTTTCACTGACGCCTTCAAGCTTGATTCCCTTGATGGCCACCATCGGTCTCGGTATGTTCTTTGGCCCCTATTCCCAATTTGTGTATGTCGCTGACTTTATAGGGTTCGGTGCATACAACTACTACACCGAGGCCAAGATGCGAAGAGAAACCTCCGTTCTGGAGGAGGAGCTACGTCTCGCGCGGAACCAACAGTTAATGGACGCATATGGCGATAAGAACAGTCTGCACGACATCCAGCATGCTCTTGACACCTATCACGCCAAATAAGCGAGGATCCGTCATTCATAACACTTCGAGATGCTGGTAGTCTCGAGGCGAGGCGTATCCTCCTTGATTTGCGCGTTCATGGTGGAGTTTTGAAATCACTTTCAGGAGTTTTGGGATGTTATATTGATTTCTCAGTGGACTGGCGCACCGTCCACCTTTGGTGTCGAGATTGTATGGGCATATTTCTGGGGCGTTAACACTGTATCAACAATTCAAATGGCATTTTACATGGGCACATCAACGTACTTAAGTAGTCAATCTACTCGTATCTTATATCTTGCAACACAGCGCTAATCTTACTACAGACTAGCAGCACCCTATCTGTCCCGTCCCGTCTCGGTGACTTCAAAGTCCCTAGTAGGACTCGCGCCCGCAGTGGGGATATGGGGATACTGGAATGCAATTCACCGAGAGATGGTTTGTACTCCGTACATAATAGGAATTCATAATTTCCGTGCCTTGCCTTGATTAATATCCAGATAACCAATAGAGTCAGGACGACGGATGATAATCTTGGCCGAGGTCTGGGGATATTACACAACGCGCCACATTTGCCTTATCATGATTCGTCTCACAGGGAGCCTATGTGGTGTCAGGCAAGTCCATGCGAAGATCGACCGAAGCAGACAACTAAGCACTCTAGCGCGCGACCGAACGGCGATACGAGTAGACCAAATTGGCGATAAGGCTCAGATAAGGCATTCGGATTTGCCTCAAAGCCTTTGAACTTCCTGATAATCGACCCCAATAGCTTCCCCGCATATATTTGCAACCCTGTCGGAGCCATCCGCAAGGAGATTCGCCTGGCAATGCCTACCTGTTCCGCGTGGCTGTCGGATACTTAGACTGCACCGTGCCCCTGGGTTCTACGAGTAACAAAAATTCTCCGCAAATTCAAACAGACTCCACAATGAAGGACGGCCCACTTGAAGGTGATGATGCTCGGTTGGCGGCTATGGGCCATCGGCCGGAGCTCCAGCGAAGCCATTCTACTTGGTACGAGATTTGTAGGAGCCCAAGGGCAGGATTTGATTCTGACTGCCTTATAGGTCTATGTTAGGATTGGCATTTGCAGTCCTTAACGCAAGTGAGCTGGGTATTACGACCGGATCAGTCCGCTAACTGTTAAAATAGTCATGGACCGCCTTGTCGGCTAGCCTGTCGATCAGTTTAACATCCGGCGGCAGTACCAGCGTGATATGGGGTGGGTCCAATCTAGCATTGATCCGGGCTTCATTGACTTAGGGGTTTCAGGACTTGTGACTGCGGGATTCTGCAATCTTTGTATTGCATGCTCGCTCGCGGAGTTTCTTTCCGCATACCCTACGTACGTCAAGAAATTCAATTTGCGTGCTACTGCTAACTTCCCCGTATAGAGCCGGTGGACAGTATCATTGGGTTGCAGGTAAGTCGGCCATCCTTCAGTTTCTTCACTTTGAAAATGCTAACTTCCACAAAGCCAGTATGTACATGAAACTTTAGCCTAGAAATATACTAACAAGACTCAAGTCGCTTGGCCTAGAACCGTTCCTATTCTATCATGGATCACCGGTTGGATCAATGTGGCGGGCTGGGTGAGCAGAGCATGTACCTCCTTCAAGAACCAGAACTGATGAGTCTCAAGGTCGCCCTTGTAGCGACCAATTCGCTCCTATCAAGCCAGCTGATCGTCGGAGTCATATCCGTTCTTCACGAGGTAACCAATTGCGTTTTCTTTGCATAATCACCCCACGCTAACCATCAATGCAGAGTTATGTGCCGCAAAGGTGGCATCAGTTTCTCATCTACATCGGGCTAACTTTGGGCTCATTCATCATAAATGCATTTATGAACTCTATTCTACCGATCATTTACCGTGGCGCTTGTGGGTTTATCACCGACCAATATTGGATAGACGACTAACAAGATACAGTTATGTGGTCCATTGGTGGCTTTGTGGTTGTTTCGATTACAGTACTAGCATGCGCCTCGCCAAACTACAATTCAGCATAGTATGAGCCTCCGCTGAACCTCAATCCCGATTTGGACCCTCTAACATTCTTAGTTTTGTGTTCTGCAATTTTATCAACACAACAGGATGTATGCTACCCGAATCTTCCGATCAAAAGCGTTGCTAATTTCAGCCAGGGCCTGATGGAGTTGCGTGGCTTCTGGGTGTATGTACTTCGATGTGACACCACACAAAGACTCTTACTAACAATAGTCCAGCTGCTTCAAGGTGGACTCGGCGTGACAGCCTTTGTAAGTCCATGATGGGAAGTTTTACGAGGGTTGACTAACCATATTTCAGGATGCCGTAGCACATATGATCGAAGGTAAAGACTGACCTATTCGAGAGAGAAAAAGAAAGAGAGGAAGAAATCGCTAAATCACTACACAGAGGTACCAAACGCCGATGTCGAAGGCCCGAAAATCATGGTTTCTTGCGTAGGAATCGGAACAGTTACCGGATCTATCTTTCTGATTGTCCTGCTTTTCGTGGCAGGAAATATGGAAAAGGTTGCAACGTCAGCTGCCGGCCCTCTGTTACAAATTCTCATCGACGCCACCCAAAGCAACGCTGGGGCTATATGTCTTTTGATGTATGGAGCACAAAACCACAGTCTTGCGCGAGGAAGCTAACCTTGCATCATAGGTTGCCCCTAGTCTGTTTGGTATTCGCAATCATAAGTGTGATGACGACAAGCAGTCGAATGATCTTTGCTTTCGCCAGGTATATCTTCCACAACCAGACTGGCGAGCATCAACTGATTCTTTTATACAGAGATGGAGGTCTCCCTGCCTCGCGTTTCTTCGCAGCAGTCCATCCGACTTTGAAGATTCCGCTCAATGCTTTGATTCTCAGTGTTGTCGTGGTGATTGCATTTGGATGTATCTTCCTTGGTTCATCAAGGTAATGAATCCAATTGGTTAGCTACAAAGGGCGCGAAGCTTTACTAACAAAACAAAGTGCATTCAACGCAATTATATCTGCCTCAGTTGTAGCGCTTGATCTATCTTATGGAATTCCCATTGCCATCAATTGCCTGCAGGGCCGCAATTCACTACCAGAAAGAAAGTGGAAATTACCCAACGCTGTTGGATGGTTCGCTGATATGGTATGTGATTTGACTTCTTCAATCAAGGAGCAGACATCTGATTGAGCTAGGTTGCATTATCATACATTATCTTGACCACTGTGCTGTTTGTTTTCCCTCCATCCCGCACAGTCACAGGAAGTAGTATGAGTGAGTTGACTTGAGAGACCCTTGCACTATTTCCCTGCTAAATTTTCGATCTAGACTACTGCATCGCTGCATTTGCCGTTATTATCATCATTTCCGTCTTCCAGTGGATAGTGGACGGAAGGAAGAATTTCACAGGACCTCGTATTGATATGACTATTGATGCGCTAGACATCATGCCCACTCGCCAGGAACTCGAGTCCGACATGCATGAGAAGTAATGAACAGGTTTTGCCCCGCCCAGCTGTATTGACAAAACCCCGAACCAAATTTCCCGAATGACGCGTGATGTACAAATTGCTAGCCCGCGTTGGAGACACTATGTTCAAAGTAGACCCGGAATGAATCTCTTCGTCGATCGGTTCCAATCTTCCCATTCCCGACCGAAAGTCTGTTTCAACATTCTTTCTTCATCAATGACCCTCATCCATATAGCCCGGAAAAGTACCCCTAAAACCATCACGGCCGTGCCCAGCCCCCACCCCTGCAGTTTCGAAAATGCCGCGTCTGGAATCCAGCAAGCCAAGGTCGCGTCCCATCGCAAGAATAACGAGAAGACCCCTGTGAGCGCTAGGCCAGCACCTGTGTAACTTGGATGCTGGACCCATCTGTACATGCCCGTAGTGACCAAATGATCCGGCGCGACAAGGTGGAATGTAAAAGATTTGCCAAGCCCGCCATAGGCCGACACACGCATATATGCGCCCGCGTACACCAGCAGAAGAGATGTGACAGACACCACACTCCACATGAAGAGTTCGGGATTAATGTTTTGGGACTGGGGACATATCTGCACGACGCGACCACCAGTGCGGGATGGGATCATAGCCAATAGTGCATGATACAACGTCACAGCGAGCGTGACTCGGCGTGCAATGATGGGGAATTTTCCCGCCACGACGCTCAGGCGGTCATTTTGGTGGCGGTCTTTCAAGTCTGGGGAGAGATTGGGTGGCGTGGCGCAGAGCACGCTGCAATAGCCCGCGATCGCTATGGCGATTCCGAGCAGAACAGGGGCTGCCTGGCTCATCACTTAGGAAATTATTTGACACAAACGGAGTAGTTCGTATTATGTACTCCGTATGCATTTAGAGAGTATGCTGTACGGAGTAGATGAGGACTAAACCATTGGAACACTAGAAGCCTAGCCTTAATTCGCGCCCGTACACCGCCAGTTGGTGGGCCACGGGTCGGGTGTTACCACATTAACCTCCATTTCTCACCGGGTATCAAGCATCAGATCCGAAGATGATCTTGACTTCACGAGAACAAACGCGCTTGTTGATCCCTTCGATCACTTACGCAATGAGAACAGTTGCCATCTTCACCTAGCTGGGATCCATACACATGTACTCTTGTGTGGGACACCAGGCGAGTCAACTGCTTCTTGCGAGGACTTGTTCTTCCTCTGTTTATCGCCAGATCTGAACCTTAGAAGTTTTCTGTTTGTTGCTTTTTCGTTCTCCCGCTCCCATGCCGCCTGATTGCTAGAATTTATCACGCTTCGTCTTTCCCTGGAGTCCATCATCGTGATCGTCATTTCCTCCCTGTCTCGTAGCCTTGGTTGCACCAGTATTAGCTTCAGTCTTTACTGAAGCGGTCTCAATTGCAGTATTGGACGAAGAGTGCAAATTTGATGTCTTCTGTCTTCTTGGCTGCTATCTCTTCCTCGATGAATGTGTCCTGCATTTTCCCGGTCAAAGGCAAGTTCAACGAGGGATCAAAATGTGGATTGACGTGTTCGTAGTGTTGGGGATGTCACCACTTCCTTCTGTTTCCGATGAAGCCATTTTGTTTCCCAACCTTGCAAGGCTTCAAGGTTTAATTTCCCTCGATGTCAAAAGAGCTTTGGAAGTAAAATATCCGAGCTGATTGGATCGAAGTGACTGGCACTGATCAGATCAAGATTAACTATGGTTGGTCTAAGGTCGGAAAAGGAGCCCGAGGGCACAACATATCAAAGGGGATCGACTGGTGCTACATACTGGTTCGGGCTTCCTGGAGGCATCCAGGGCTTCTAAAGTTATGAAAGGTAGTTGGCAAAGGCCCCGGGGAGGAAGGAGTGCGGGGGAATGCAGAGCAAGCCCTGCCCAGTGGAGAGAGAAGGCCTCGGGGCTCTCACCTGAGCAACACAGCGACCAGTACTTTTTCTTGAGTTGTGTGTGATGTGCATAAAGCCACTTGAGCAAATGTCTTAATTGATGAATCCCTAGCTGGTAACGTGTATATTGCTGCGGGAATATATCGGGCAGCGCCCCTGCTGCCAAGAGGTGCCAAGCTGTCAACGTCCTGGTATGGATGGCTCTAATGGGAGAAACATCCCTGCAGACTTGGAGACTTCATTTTAAGCGAGCTTTCACAATGAACCCAGAAATAACCATTGGAATCTCCTCTTTGCAACCCGGAAAGCCCGCGCTACACTTAGTAGTATCAGTGTTGATCACACTTTGCAGGACAACTGAAGTGCTTGGAAACTTTTGATGTGAGGAATACCGGCTAGATATTGGGCAGCTCATTGGTTTCTATGCCCGCACCCTGTAAACCAGGTCCGAGTCCTGAAGGCTTAGGTGCAGAGGTAGAGCACACCTCCAGGAAGTAATTGATGATTTCGAGGGCCGCTGAAGTCCGAAACAATTGGCTTGAGGCTATAAGATAGCCCGCCAGACTCCTGGTTCTCTTAGATTATTATCACTACCTTCTGGAAATCAGCTCTTATTCTTTCCACCTACCACTTGCGCAAGACTCCATTTTAATCCATCATGCGGTTTGTCGTGATCTCTCTGCTTCCTCTTGCCACCGTGGTGGCAGGTCATGGCTATCTCTGGCAGCCAGATAGCCGAACAAAGTTGGGTTTCAAGGTCATAGAGAAACTCCAGCAAAGCGAATGAACAGAGCTCAACTGACAAAAACACTAGGCTGGCGTGGACACCTGCCCAGAATGCAGCATCTTGGAACCCGTCTCTTCCTGGCCAGATCTCGACTCGGCGGCAATTGGTCGTAGCGGGCCGTGTGGCTACAACGCTCGCGTGAGCGTCGACTACAATCAGCCAGGCAGTGACTGGGGATCTAATGTGGTCACCACCTATACAGCCGGTGAAGTGGTGGATGTTGTCTGGTGTGTTGATCACAATGGTGACCACGGCGGCATGTTTACCTTCCGCATCTGCCAACAACAAGACATTGTGGACAAATTCCTGGACCCAGACTATCTGCCTACAAATGCAGAAAAGCAAGAGGCCGAGGACTGCTTCGAAGCAGGTCTGTTGCCATGTACCGACGTGGACGGACAAGCCTGTGATTACAGCCCTGACTGTCCTGAGGGCGCAGCTTGCCAACGCAACGACTGGTTTACGTGCAATGCCTTCGATGGGTCAAAGTGCCAAGGTGTAGACAATTCCGCACTCTATTCTTGCGATACAACCATCTCTGGCGGCTACACGGTGTCGAAGAGGATCAAAATCCCCGACTATGTTTCCAATCACACCTTGATCTCGTGGAAATGGAACTCATTCCAGACAGGTCAGATCTATCTCTCTTGTGCAGACATTGCAATTCAGTGAGATCGGAGTATGTCGTATGGAAGCTTTCTTGAAACATGCAAACGGATACACTCCGAAGTGTCTTGAGGGGAGGTGATTCGGTTTACATTCATTTGGCCTGAATATGTACATTTTGACAGACCTAGGCCTAATTCAAGTTCAAATGATGAGTTTTAAGCTTGAGAAATCATTTGAAGTAATGAGCCAAATACCGAAATCGGTGGTAGCCAGCAGGACTTGCTAAATCTTCACATGGTGGAGTATCAGAAACCCGAAAATAGCACGGCCACGAAGATGGCAATTATGGTCCATGACGGAACAGTGATAGATGACCCAGCCCCCGGCTTAGTCTCACTTGCTGTCGCACTCGCTGCTGTACCGGTTGCCGTGCTCCCGCTGTCACTTGTAGCTTGGGCCTTAGAGTCGGTCACTACTGCCTTTACTGAGCTCACAGTAACGGTGTGTAAAACAGGGCTGGTAGTTCGACCAAAAGCATTGGTCGTTCTTCCAAATGTCCAGGTAAAGGTGTTACCGCTAACTGGACTGGCAATGGAACCTGCGATGTTGGAAGCAGTCTTTGTGCCATTCGTCGGCATGCTGGTTGGGCTCCAAAATTTAGTGTTTGCTCCAGCATCTGCACGACCGTAGCCCAAATCACCAGCACAGTCGAAAGCCTTGAGATATGGTCCACATTTATCCCAGTCGCCTGGAATCAGAACACTATCGAACCATTCATCTGCGCTCAGCAGCGACGGTTTGATGTCTGGGCAAGTATCCCAGATACTGATCAAGCGAGTTAGCATATGTCAAAAACTGAGCGAGAAAACCAAAAGAAAAACAAAATACGGGGTTAATAGGTAATGGGAGGCATACGAGGAAATGATGCTGCTATAAGCACAGCACAGACAGGCCTTGCCATAGTCATTGATATCATCAACTTCTGTAAGTGTCTCGATATTGGTCATGTTATTTGAGCATTCGGTCATTTGATCCACGATTAATGACTGTTTGAGATCAATCTTTCCAATGTTGCAAGAGCAAGACCCAGGAGCGTCATCGGGCACAGGCCAATATGGTAGTCCATCTCGATTAGGGTTGTTGCTGACAGAAATAAAGTCCAATACAGTGTTTTGATATTCGCAAGAGTAGACCTGTAACAGATTTGTTAACCAAGCGATTCAAAATCAGGAGATCAGCACAACATACTTGATTCCAGCAATGTGCACCAGCACAATCTATCTGGAGAGCGGATTGCTCGGCTGCGCACGCATTCATACAGTCAATTCCCAGACCAGGGCATTTGGCGTTCATGCAAGAGACGCTCCCACCACAAGACTTGGAGCAAGCTTCGCCTCCACCGCCACAGTTCTCGTTTATACAAGTCGAGTAACGCTCATCAACTAACTTGTAGCAGGATGCGAGACCTTTAGGGTCTGCACATGAAGTTGATTCAAAATAGCCGACCTTCTCGCATGAAACAAAAGGCAGCAGACCGACCAGCGCGACCAATGTGGGGGCCAAAAGAATCATAGTGGGTGGATTGGAACACTGAAAGCGACTTGATCTCAACTCCCCGAGCCCCTGGGTTATATAGTTTGGTCACACAACATGGGCTCCCTTGAGATGGAGCCTCAGGGTCTTGGGACGCATTAGTGCTGACTGAAACATACACCAAATCGACCTATACGGTGGCGATCACTTTTTAGCCTACGACAAATTGAACAGCATTCTCGTCTAGATCCATCCTGTACAGACCGAATGGGAATGCCAAGCCGGGTCAAAGGCAAGGCAAGCCCCCACGGACCAATCAGGGTCGGTTATTCGTCTTGAGCCCGCCCATCAGCCAACGAATGTGCAAACCAGAGCTTTTAGTGGCGTTTTCGGGGTAAACGTCGGGCCTCCCGATCCGCCATCCCAGATTTCCCAAATGGGAGCCAAACTGCGAGATGTTCAATTTGAAAGAAACCCCATAGAATTAATTATAAGACATAATAATAGTATGTTTGAACACTATCGTTTGTATATTTGTATGAGGGTCATGAGGTGGATGTTTGCGCAACGTCAAAGGATTTGTCAAGCACAAGTGGTACAGAATGATAATTTGGAAGAACAGAGAACATAAGAGCTAATCAAACAAAACAACTTTTTGGTTTTTTGGTCAAAATGACCCGACATGTTTTGAGACTTCAATCAGAAGACAATCAGAAATTGGACGTTTGTCCCAGAGGGCTCTGGTCGCGGTTTGCTTTCAGACAGAGCCTTCAGAGCTCAGGTATCCTGTTTGCTGTAGAGCTAGATACCCTTCTTCTCGCCCTTACAGATCAGCTCTTCCCTCTCTAACCCTTTCGATAGTGAATTCAAAAAGACTTTTATTTTGTGCCATCAATACTCCCAGCAGCCATGATCCAAATCAACCAGCACGACATTGAGAAAGCGCGAACTCGATATGAGACAGAGCGAGAAAAGCGATTGCGGCCAGATGGAATGTTCCAGTACACCGATATCAAAAATGCTGATGCAGTGAATGGACCCATCTGTCCACAGATCTCAGGCGACGTCAATATATTGCAAAAATGCCGCGTGCTTATTGTTGGTGCCGGGTTCGGTGGACTTCTTTTCGCCGTCAGGTTACTCCAGTCTGGCTTCCTCCTCGCGAACGAGACTCTTCTCGTGGACACAGCTGGAGGATTTGGAGGGACCTGGTGGTGGAACTCATATCCTGGGTTGACCTGTGATGTCGAAAGCTACACATACATGCCGCTCCTCGAAGAGACAAACTACATGCCATCGCAGAAGTACGTCTCTGGGTTGGAGCTGAAGGAGCATGCCCAACGCATCGCGACGAAGTGGAAATTGAGCGAGAGAGGCCTTTTCGAAGCAAAGGTTGAGGAACTGACCTGGGGCGATCGTGAGGGTCAATGGACTACAAGAATCACACGGACCGATGGAGCTTCTCGATACATCAAATCCGAATTCGTCATTATGGCCACTGGGCTTCTACACTCTCCAAAGATCCCCAAGCTGCATGGTCTTGAACAATTCCAAGGAAAGGTATTCCACACCTCGCGCTGGGATTACGACTACACCGGAGGTACTCAGAAAAATCCGACAATGGACCGATTGAATGACAAAACAATTGGCTTTGTCGGAACCGGAGCATCTGCGGTTCAAGCAATTCCTCATCTTGCACAGTGGGCCAGGAAACTAGTTGTTTTTCAACGAACGCCATCCGCGGTCGATTCACGCAACAACCGTCAAACGGACCCAGGTTGGTGGAAGGAATATACAGAGTCGGGGGAGCTGGGATGGCAACGGCGGCGAATGGAGAATTTCAACGCTTTCCTGTCTAATGATACTCCTTTCCCCGAAGTCAATATGGTCGCAGATCGGTGGACCGAAATGCCCTCTTTCAGCGTGCTCATCGGTGGTTCACATGCTCTTGAATCAGAGTATTTGACACGGATGAACGAGAAAGATCTTTATCGCCAAGAATCTATTCGACGTCGCATTGTCGACGCAGTGACCGATCGGGATACCGCATCCAAATTGCAGCCTTGGTATGATGGATGGTGCAAGCGGCCATGCTTCAGCGATGACTTCTTGGAGACATTCAACCGATCAAACGTCACCTTGGTTGATACGGATGGAAAAGGAATCAACGATCTCACTGAAGCAGGTATCCTTGTGGGAGAGCAAGAGTTCAGCCTGGATGCCATTATTTTGGGAACCGGATACAGCCTCGGGGGAAGTGCTGATCGAGGCAGCATTTCCATAACCGGGCGCAACAACATAACCTTCCAGCAAAAGTGCCAGAGTGGTCTGGCGACTTTACACGGAGTCTGCACAAATGGGTTCCCCAACCTGTTTTTCCCGGGTCCCTACCAGGCCGGCGCGACCGCCAACCAGGTTTATGTACTCGATCAGTTGGCTCTTCATGTGGCTCATATCATATCCGAAGCAGGAAAATTAAAAACAGCAGAACTCAGTAGACAGGATGCAATGTTTACTGTTGAGCCCAGCGTTGAAATGGAAAATCAGTGGAAATCAAAGGTTTTGTCGAAAGCCTGGGCCCTCAGAGGGACTCTCAACTGCACTCCAGGATATTTCAACCGGGAGGGACTCAGGATGAGTGAGGATCAAGCGTATCTTGCAGCGCATTTCAGCATTTGGGGCGAGGGTATTGCCAGCTTCATCAGGGAGATTGAAGGCTGGCGAAACGAAGGCCGATTGGATGGGCTTGAGATTTGGTCGCGATGAGTTACATGATTCCACTACCTAGCAGCATTGCAAAATCCATTCAGGGATGAAGTTAGCTACCTGAGTAATTACTTAGTACAAGTTGACCTGAGGTAGGCTTAGAAATACAATCATCTGTTCTAAGGTTCTTTGTTATCGATCCGTGAGGCTCCTCTCTGAGGAAGTCTGATTATAAGTCGTACAAAAGTGCATGACTGGGGCGAACAGGAAAATCAAAATCAAATTTTCCATCGGCGAATAATCTGGGTATTCATGAATACGCGGGCAAACTGTGACGAACTATGGAGTAATAAAGCGGAGTAATGAAAGACGCTCACCGGGAGCTGAATAAGTACAGTGTTGCGTCCCCCAGAAAATGCCGAACCCCAGAGACTTCTCCAGAAAAACCCCGAAATATATCGGCAACTCCCGAGCCCTAACTAATATTTGCCCCAGCGGCATCACCCCATAGCTGCTTCTTAACGGAAAGTGCTCAAAACGCTCGAAATGCTCACCGGCACCAAATAGCCGGAAATGAGATTCTCGGCTCGTGACAAGAGCCGTCTCTCGGTCGGAATATCCATTTCATTCAGGTCTGTTCTTCGGGGCTGGATGCCATGGTACAGTGCCCCACCACTAAGGCCCGAGTATGGTTCCATTGAAAAGAAACATGACCAGTTCTCATTTACCGCATTTGGGTGGAGTGGTCAGGGGACCAAGAAACCTTTGAGCAGCATCGAATAGCAGGTCACCACGACCGGTACCAGCAGGCGGGAGCGGCGAAAAGCCCATCTTACATCTTACCGATAATAGTCCGGTATTGCTGCGACGCACGGGAAAAAACAATAGGAACAAAGGGAAAGGAAAAAACTCCAATTCCCAGGGCCAAGACAAACGCGGAGATGAAAGGCGCCCAAAGGCCCCTTGGTAGAGTTGGGCCCGGTTGTGAATGGCTCGTTTCCCCGGAGGGAAAAAGCCATGAGAAATCTTGTGTTCTGGGGTTGAGTGGAACCGCTTCGGCTCCAGACACTGGCTCGGTTATGCCCGAGCTGCGAGCCATTTTGACATGTTGATCGATCATATTTGGTTTGACTTTGCTTTGTGTTCACATCGTTTACATCGGATTTTGTTTCAGTCTAAATTTGATTTGCGGGGTCCAGAACCATCTCTCCCAGTACTCGAACACATATTGATTTTCCTCGTTGTATTGCCGGCAGTCAGCCCGCCTTACGCCAAGACCCTTAGCATTTTCATGCCAGTCAAATTTCAGCAAAAGGAACGGAGAGTGGGATTTCGTGGCGCCTTTAGGGTCTGTGCTCTCTGTACGGCTTGCCTTCAATGTGACATTGAGAGTTGGAACGAGTTCCCTTGGATTCCGTCTTTTCATGTTTCAGTGTTTCCGTATAAATTACTTCGTACCTGCTAAAGACCTGGGTAGAGACCTCCAGGGGTCAGCAGACCTAAATAAAAGGGCACTGTAAGCGACAGATGGACAGGAAACGTGACTCAGAACAGAGCCACAGATGAGATGTACAGGGCAGATGAGAATGAAAAAAAAAAAAAAAAAAAAAAAAAAAAACCCGAAAAAAAAAAGAGCAAAAGAAAAGGAAGAAAAAGAGGCAAATAAAAACATAAACCAAAAAAAAAAAAAAAACACAA